CCCCCCAACGGCGTGGACTAATACTGACGCTCCCAACCAGGTTCGTCGATTGCCCTGGGCACGATATTCTGATGAGTACTATGTTGTCCGGCGCCGCCGTCATGGACGCCGCTCTCCTCCTGATTGCCGGCAATGAAGTTTGCCCGCAGCCTCAGACCTCCGAGCACTTGGCTGCGATTGAAATCATGAAACTCAGTCACATCATCATCCTGCAAAACAAGGTCGATCTGATGAGAGAGGAGGGCGCGTTGCAACATTACCAGTCCATCCTCAAGTTCATCCGCGGAACCGTCGCTGATGGCTCTCCCATCATCCCCATCTCCGCGCAGTTGAAGTACAACATTGACGCTGTCAACGAGTACCTGGTCTCGCACATCCCTGTGCCCGTCCGTGACTTCACCGCCTCGCCTCACATGATGGTCATCCGTTCGTTCGACGTGAACAAGCCTGGTGCGGAAATTGACGAGCTCAAGGGTGGTGTCGCTGGTGGTTCCATCTTGACTGGTGTGCTCAAGCTGAATGACGAGATCGAAATCCGCCCCGGTCTGGTCACCAAGGACGAGAATGGCAAGATCCAGTGCCGCCCTATCTTCTCGCGCATCGTCTCCCTGTTCGCCGAACACAATGACCTGAGGTTTGCCGTGCCCGGTGGTCTGATTGGTGTCGGTACCCGCGTCGACCCTACGCTGTGCCGTGCTGATCGTCTCGTCGGTTTCGTCCTGGGTCACCGTGGCCGCCTCCCCGCCATTTACACCGAGATCGAGGTCAACTACTTCCTTCTGCGCCGCCTGCTGGGTGTCAAGACCGCCGACGGCAAGCAGGCCAAGGTTAGCAAGCTGACCAAGAACGAAGTGCTCATGGTCAACATCGGTTCCACCGCCACCGGCGCCAAGGTCATGGGTGTCAAGGCCGATGCTGCGAAGCTGAGTCTCACCAGCCCGGCTTGTACAGAGATTGGCGAGAAGATCGCCATCAGTCGCAGAATTGACAAGCACTGGCGTCTGATCGGATGGGCTAACATTGTTGCGTAAGTGTTCTGTTGTTGTGTTTTTTTTTTAGCCTACGGTGGAATTGCGATGGCTGACTCTCTCTCTCTCTCTTTAGCGGTAACACCCTCGAGCCCATCCTGAACTAGATTCCGTTGAACGCGATGAGAAAATGGACTGCTGGGTGAGTTCTGTCGAGCAGAGTGAGACTTGTGAGAGAGACTTGGGAAGACTCCGTTACAGAGCTACTCTTGCAACATGACACATTTACATCTAGCGAATACCAGAAAATTAAAAAAGTGTTTTACGGTCACGACTGAAGTTGGTTGAGAAGAAAGGCTGCGAGCAGCGTCGGTCGAATGTTTACCCTCCAGATAGAAAAACGCAGGATTCCCACGCATCATCCAGCCTTGGATAAGGGTGGCTGGCTGGTACGCGGAAGGAAGCGCGGAGACGACGGAGCATAGATCCTTGATTCCATCTATTTCTTTGATGTCTTTTACGAGGTGCACGGTGGAGAAATTTTCCTCTTTGCTGAAGCCTACCTTTTTCCTACATGTACCTAGGTGGATTGCTTATATAGGGAAACGACGAGATGAGAAAAAGCAGTCAATAGCCATGATATTCATTACGGATAAGCTCCTGGTCATTGAAAATGTACTTGAAAAAAATAATATTTAAATCGTTCAAAATCAATATCCGCTGTTGCGTTGATATTGTCTCGCGTATTGTCCCTGGAACAAAGCGGCCGCCTGCACGACCAAACTAAAACGCCCGCCGCAGCGCGTCATTGTTTTTTACTCCGAAGTGCTTCGGAGTACTTCTTAAAGAATCCCCCCCCCCCCCCCCTTTCTTTGACAACAACACAGCACCATCTCCAGGTTCTGTTGTTGCGTCACACTCCTGAAGCCATGTATATCCTCGAGGTAAGTTGAAGCTCCAAAAAAAAGAGGTGCTGTCGCTGCGTGTGGAAGGTTGGAATTCGACCACCTGTCCTCCCCGCTGCGCGATGACGGCTTGCCTTGACATTGCAGACCACTGCTAATACGATACTTCAACAATAGCAACTCGCACGTCTATTAGACCGGCCGTTATTCCCGTGGAAGACTGTCCTCGTGGGGTTCTCCGTGGGGCAATATGTCCTAGAGGGACTGCTGTCGTTCCGGCAGTACAAGGTGCTGCAGCGGACCAAACTACCCAAGGTGCTGGAGGGTGAAGTGTCTCAAAAGGTTTATGATGAGAGCCAGGTATGCTTATTATTTTGGGGCGGTTTATAGTAGCTGTCTGTTCTGATCCCCCGTGTCTAGGCATACAGTCGCGCCAAAGCCAAGTTTGGCTTCATTTCGGGTCTCTACGGACAAATCCAGAATCTGGCCTTCATCTACGGTGACGTGTTGCCCAAGCTCTGGGGTTTTAGCGGCCTGCTCCTCTCGCAATATTTGCCTGCTCGATTCCAGGGAGAGATTTCCCAGACCCTGCTGTTCATCTTTGCGTTCAACCTGATCTCCACCGTTTTGTCCCTGCCGGTCGCCTATTACAACACCTTTGTTCTCGAGGAGAAGTTCGGGTTCAACAAGCAGACTGTCAAGCTTTGGGTGACGGACATGCTCAAGGGTCAGATGCTGGGGGTCGTTCTGGGTGCGCCAATCATCAGCGCGGTGCTCAAGATCGTCCAGAAGACCGGCAACTCCTTCTTCTACTACCTGTGGCTGTTTGGTGTCTTCGTCCAAATCTTTGCCATCACCATTTACCCGATCGTCATCTTGCCTCTGTTCAACAAACTTTCCCCCTTGGAGCCCGGTGATCTGAAGACCGGCGTGGAGCAGCTGGCCCGCAAGCTCAAGTTCCCTCTTTCCGAGCTGTACGTCATCGATGGCAGCAAGCGCAGCGCCCACAGCAACGCTTACTTCTATGGCCTGCCGTGGAAGAAGCACATCGTCATCTACGACACCCTGATCGAGAAGAGTGAACCCCAAGAAGTCGTTGCTGTCCTCAGCCATGAACTCGGTCACTGGAGTCTCAGCCACACCACCAAGCTCTTTGGTATCGCTCAGGTATGCAGATTTAAACCCCTCCCCCAAAGGAACCGCTCTTGCTAACATTTCTAGTTCCACATGTTCTACATCTTCGCTCTCTTCTCGGTCTTTGTCAACAACCAGTCTTTGTATCAGTCTTTCGGCTTCTTCAAGGAGCAGCCCATCATGATCGGGTTCCTGTTGTTTTCTGATGCTCTCGCCCCCATGGATGCCGTGGTGAAGCTGCTGATGAATATTCTCAGCCGGAAGTTTGAGTTTGAAGCTGGTACGATTCATATCATACATTTGTTCTAAAATCTAGAACAGGCTAACATTCCTCTAGATGCATTTGCTCAGAAGCTCGGATACTCAGATGAACTTGCCCGCTCACTCCTGAAGCTTCAAATCCAGAACTTGAGCACCATGGAAGCGGATTGGATGTATGCCAGCTACCACTACTCGCACCCTATCCTCCCTGAGCGCCTGGGCGCTCTTGGCTGGAAGGGCGGAAAGGTCACCGACGCCAAGGCAGAGGACAGCGACAAGCCCGTCAAGGCGGCTGACCGAGAGCTCTAGAGTTGCACCGCCATTCCCCGTTTCTTCATTTACCCTCTTGTTTTCTTTTTTCACTCGTCTGGTGTTATGGTCTCCCAGGAGGTGTCGAAAGGTGGCAGAGGCGTCGGTCTGGTTTTTTTTTTCCCTAAAAGAGATGGCATAGGAAAGGTTGTTTGAAAACACAGGATTTTAAGTTTTCATCAATATCACTTCTTTTTTCTTTGAGCAGCATCAGCCCGGGCTACCAGGCTGCCAGGCTGTCCTCAAGGGACACGCAGACAGACACAGCTGCGTCTCTCTTTGTCTTGGAATGATAATACAAGAAAAAAAATAAAACCCCCAATGAAAGCAAATGATATCGTAATGTCGTAAAACGCCAGTCAATGCCAACTTTTATAAACCTCTTTCTATTATTTCTTCCTTCCTTCCTTTCTTTCTTTCTTTCCTTCCTTTCCCTCGTTACTCCTCTGTAGCGTTGGCTTTGGCCCTCTTCTCCGCTAACCGGCGCTCTTTCTTCTTGCGCTTTCTCTCCTCCTTGTCCAGCGCGCCAGCTGTAGGATCTTCAGACGCATCCTGGGGCGCAGCATCTGCCTCCTCGTCCCTCTGCTGCCACTGCTGAGCATCCTCCCAGCCCTCTCCCTCTGCTTTCTGCGCGAGGGCATTCTCGTCCGCGCTAGGGTCGACGGTGACCACCTGTGCGTTGCCGTCCTCTCCAAGCTTGATGAATGTCAGATCACGGCCAAGCACCTCCCCGGCGAGCCCTGCTTGTACGCGCTTCAGATTGTGCAGGATCAGATTTGGCGCCGCGGCGGTGGTGCGCGAGACGGGGCCATGTTCGCTAATGGAGGCATTAGGCTGCAGCGCGGGGTCTGTGGCAGCGCGGTCGAGATAAGCGGCGAGGAAGTCGTGTGCAGCGGACTGTGAGATGGGTCTCGTCGAGAGGATGGTCGTCGGGGGAAGAGGGTTAGGGCCCTGGGCTGACATTGTGATGGGCGATTTAGATCCTTCAGGAGACAGGCTATATCAAGATTTAAAAAAAATGAAACTGAGTTTATGGTCAACGAGATGTGAAAGGATCTCTGTAATTCAATTGTCCTCCGAAGTCGTTGGAAGCAAGAATTATCAGGTCAAGATGTTCCCGAGAAAACTTTCGATGGCCCGTGCTCTGGCGGTTTCTCGGAGGTCAATTTTCGACTCCACGCGGCGGAACGACAACGACAGCTCCATCAAATCGCAACACAGGCGACGCTAGGACGCTATTCTCGATAGCTGATCTCATACTTGAAGCGCTTCGACAACTTCCCCATTCTCGTGCAGCAGTCCAAATGCTCAACATGCTCGGCTTGCGGTGCAGGGCCCTGGCCTCACCGGTCCGGTGCTTGATGTTCGGATCTCAGATGACAACAAGGTACGAGCTGACGAGATGGCAAACGTTTCTTGCGGGATTATGTCGATTCTGGAATTGTTTCTTTTCAATACTCTGGGTTCAAGATAAGCAGCTGCTGACATGAAACGCGCACGCAGACTTCAAGCTTCAATACCAACCTCCTCCACCACATCCTCCATCCGCACATTTTCCTCTGCTCTCCCCTCCATTCTCTCCCAAGGGACTCTCTCCAGATACCGCACAGCTGTACCCTCCGCGTTAGGTGCACTGCAAACCCGGTCCTTCTCTGCTAGCGCTTGCCTCGCCGGCAAGCGATCAACCTACAACCCCTCGCGGAGGGTGCAGAAGCGCCGCCATGGCTTCCTGGCACGTCTACGGTCGCGGGGAGGGAGAAACATTCTGATGAGGCGAAAGGCAAAGGGGAGGAAGTTCCTGAGTTGGTGAGGGGTTGATGGCCGGAGCCTTCAGTCAGTCCAGGCCGGTGTGGAACGGGTCACCTGTATTTTTTTGTGTTTGGACACACGATATTCAAACTCGAGACTCTTGCGTGATATCTCTCTTTGCGTCCTTGGTTGTTTGATATGCGGTCCTGAGCATCAAGGTAATTGATGTAAAATGTCGGTGTTGCATAGGTTATACTTATACTGCCTCTTTTGTAAAATACAACTATTATCATATTCCTCTTACCAGCTTCTTGTATCATGTTCCTATGTGGACAAAAATAGTGTTATCTCGATAAATGGGTGGTTTTTTTCTCTTTTATTTGTCTCCGGTTGTGGCCGATCCAACGTGTTAAGAGTATTGTTACAGACTATCACTTATATATTGTTGAAAGTTGACACCGACGGAATATCGTGTTTCTATAAAGCACCTTGACGGATGATCTAGCTAGATTGTCTAGAAAGCTGACTGTTCAGCAATAATTCGGAATCGTCTATTATTCCAGATTACAACATCACTGATTCTGGCCGCTATAGAAATCATTACTCAATGTCTACTCGGAATCATCCTCCTCGTCATCATCGTCCGACCCCGATTCATACTCTTCATCATCGTCGCTGTCATCATCGTCGTCGTCGTCGTCATCGTCGTTGTCATCGGCTTCGTCTCCATCGAGCTTCAGTCCATAGTCGTCTTCAAACTCCTTCAGACCTTGAGAAACAGGAGAAAATCCAGAAGCCTCGAGTCCTTCCTTGATCGTCTATTATCAACGGGTTAGCAAATCTTGACCCAGACCCCATTAAGCAGATAATTCCTACCTCTTCAAGTACAGTCGCACAGGTGATGACAATGTTGGCGCTTTCGGGGTTGAAGAGAGGAAGGATGATGTCGCGTAACGCTTCCTTGACCTCCTCCACGCTAATCCCACGAACCTTCTTAAGCATTTTCTCCTTGTAGTCGCTTGGCAGGTTGCGTACAACCTGGCGGGTGAAACTGCCCTGTGCGGCATTCGCAACCGTAGCTTGTTCATTGGCAAAGCCCACCACGATGCTACTGATAGCACCCTCCAACATCATCGGGTCGAACGGCGTCTCGCCAGACAGGTGGTCCTCAACAATTTTCTTGCCGGCAGTGAATGCCTTGGAAACATTAGGAGACCGGTAAACGTCATAATTGACAAAGCCAGTATCGATGTTGTACGCGAATTTCGCGCCATAAGCCAGGCCCTTGCCGCGGACAGCTACCCAGAGGGGACCTTCCACTGAGTTCATGTATGCGTTCGCGACCAACAAGGCCGGAAGCTTAGGGTGGTCGTACGAGTCCAGACCTCTTGCAGAGGCGTAGGCAAAGGACGAGTCAATCGTGGGCATCGGAACCACGTAGGCCTTCTTGCCCAGGCTCTTTCCCGCCTCGCTCAGCAGTGCTCGACGATCGGTGATAGGCTGGAGAGATGCGGTGGCTCCAAGACGTTCAGAAAACGACTTCCAGGAAGAAACGGGGTTGCGCAGTTTCTCAAGGTCGGCAATGACCAGGACCCGGATGTTCTCAAATTTGAAGAGAGACTTCCTAATTTCTTCCATACGCTCTACAACCAGGGATGGTTGGTCGGCAAGAAGCTTCTTGACACGCTTGAGATACCGGGCTTTCACCAGTGTGCTCCGAGCGCGCACGATTGACTCCGGTGCATAATGGACCATGACATGTACTGCTGCCAGCATGTCATCTCCGCTGCGCTTCGCATCCGGTACATCGGAGAGCAGTCGGCTGGCGATCGCTCGGAGTCTCTCAACATCAAACACGGTGTTCCAAGACAGTTCCTGGATCCAGGCAATAGCCGTGCTATATTTTTCCAGTTCCACTTGGAACGAGATACGAAGCATCTCCGAGTTACCCAGGTTTCTGCCCCCCTCCATGGAGTAGCCAACGGTATCTCTTTCAAGTTCAACCACGACCTGCTCAAAGTTGATTGTCTTTCCATCGCGCTCGATGGGCAGGTTGAAGAAAGCTTCTGTGTACACAGAGAGAAGTGGGCGAAGCTGCACATCAATTGATTGAGCCGAGATAAGAAGCGAGAGCTGAACGAAGCTGCTCTCAATGTGCTCGAAGTGTATGAAGAGTGGAAGACTTGAGTCGTCGTTATCCACCAGCTTCTGGATCTTGTGGCCCGGGCGTCCAGCTTTCAGAGCAGCACCAGATCGAGCCGTCGTAGTCTCTACGAAATGAATCGAGTCGGTTCCGGGAATTGCGAATTCGGCCAGCATCTCCTTAGGTATTTCCTTGTCATTTTCAACCTTCGCTCTTTCCAGCTTCTCAGCAAGCCTTTTTAAGCCATCTTCACCGAGTCGTTCTTTTTGTTCTGCAACGCGGGCCTCTTCCTCCTCCTTGAGCTTTTCAGACAGTTTTATAGAAGGAACACCGAGAATTGAGATATGAGGCGCATCGGCAATCCACTTCTTGATGAAAGTACGCCACTGATCTTCGCTCCATTTTTCAAGGACATCATACTCTTTCAAGCTTGCAACATCCAACATTGTCGAGCCATCTCTTTTTCCAAACAAGAAGTCTGAAATCACGTATTCGGCAAACGAGGAGGCCGAGTTTTCGGTGGAGAACTTCCAGGTACGCCGCTGTCGGTCGATACACTCACGCAGATATTTCATATCAAGCTTCTTCTCCATGGCCTCCTTCAAAACCTCGAAGAATCTCTTCTCCACCTGTGCGAGTTTCTTTGTCTCCACACTGGTCAAGGTGAATCGGATTTCGATGCTTGGATGATCCTCGGTGGAGTAATAGACGGCACTGGCAACTTGCTCCTTCTCCACTAAAGTGTTCTCCAGAAGAGAAGCAGAAGAGCCAGATAGATACAACAGCACAACATTCACCGCTCCGGCTATTAAACGATAAGAAAAATTTCCAAGTAGCATCACTGTTTGGATTTGAGTACTCACTTTGGACGGGATCAGTGCAATCAGGCCCGAGAAATCTAATCTCGACTTCTCCAAAGGACTCATCTTCTTCCGGAAATTCAACCTTCTGGATAATCGTCTTCTCCACAGGCGGCGCCTGCTTAGACTCGACCCAAGGCCTTTTGAAGGGTGCTCCTGGACTTGGGATGATATCTAGAATCGTACTTTCAAACTTGTCCAAGATCTCCAGCATATTGGTGTGGTCCACTTCTCCAGTGATCACCAAGCACAAATTTTTGGGTTGATACATTTCCCGATGGAAATCCCTTATTCTCTCCGCAGTGAGAACGCGCAGTTGTTCCATCATACCGCCAGTTTCATAGCGAAAACCGACACCCTCCGGATACAGCAGCCTCCGTGCACTGAGATCAATCAGTTCGGCGGCGTTGTTCTGCACACCTTGCATCTCAGAGTAGACAACACCTGCATCGTTTCCGGCGCCGTCGACGTGATGCACTTCAGTGTAGCATCCCTCATCGGTCAATGTCGGGGCAATGACATGCTCGAGGTATACTGGAAGAATGGTCGCAAAACCCTCCCAACCAGCCGTATCCAGAGTGTATGCTGTGTGGTCCGTCGCTGTCCAGGCGTTGGTATCAGAGTACACCCGAGTGGCAAGCTTATCCAGAAATCCTTTGTATCTATAGTTCCGCGACCCCATAAAGCACAGGTGCTCAAGCGTATGAGGAGCTCCAGAGTCATCATGGATCTCCGTGGCGAGCACGAAATAACCAGTCACCTTGGGACCCTTTTGGTCAATGACCACTACCCTCATGCCCGTCCTCTCTGATTCATACTGAGTAAACTCACTCGGAGAATAGTCAGGTTTGAATTTCTGGAGTAGTCTGAAGGAGCTCGTTTGGCTTGACGGCGCCATGATGAAGAGTGACGGAGTGGAGAATTGACGGAAGTTGAGTCTTACGGGGAAGCCGATTCCAATAGTCTTTGGCAAATGTGCTGTTCTGGGTTCAGGTCAGCGCGTCTGAATGAGAAAAGAGTATGACCCGGTTCACTAGTCGCATAGGCAAGATCAAAAATAGGTTTCATAAACAACTCCATGGCTCTCTCTCTGTCCTAAGTCTGAGAGGTTGTAGCAAAAGGCGGGATATGCACCCGTTCCATAATCGAGAGACGATTAGAATAAACAATGGGAGAAACCACAGCACTGCAATGGTTTGAAGACCCCGGGCCATGCTTGATTGCCCACCAGACAGGACATGCCGGTGTGTCGAGGGTCATAAAACAAGCAATTTTTGGTTTGGCGCTGGAACAGCAGCAGCACTCACTTGATCCGAACAAACTTTGCCCAGCGTAGGCAGCGAAAGACAGAATGGGACAACACGGTGGAAATCCTCGACGAGGTGAAAACGACCCTGTTGCTGACCAGAACGTTGTGGAAGCGTCCGCTTCTGGGTCTGGGTTCGGCTCCCTAACTGATCAACCCGAGAAATGGAGCCGGGTTTGTAGACCAGACACTCCACACACACTCCAAACGCCGAGGGAACCTCCTGTCGCTGACAAGAAGAGGGGGAGAAACCGTGAGCCAGCTGCTTTCATGACAGAAAAGTCTCTGTACTATTCATAACCCTGTGGCTCCCATGCCCACGTATAAGGCTGGTGAGGGGCAAGCTTGAGCGCAGGCGGTGACGCCAAGTCACATGGCGGCTCTCTATGCATTTAATGCTGGCCGTGGAAAGACCAACTAGACAAGTTTCGTCTTTGGGACGGCGTTCTCTTATTACTCTTTCTCTCTGCTTTATTGCATCACTGGGCTCTAATTGGGTCTCAGAGGTCCTTGTAGGCAAGGCATATTGGTAACGAAGCAGCTCTAACTCAACGCGCACTGGATAGCAGTTCGGATCATGGGCTCCAAAGTGCTGGATGACGAGGCATGCCAGGCAGTGTTGAACTTCGTCACGGAAGGCAAATATCCCGAATCAGAGGATGTGGTTGCATCGGAAATTCCTGCGTCGGCACTCGCAGCGGAATTGCAGTTGTTGTCCGCAGCTAGGGAGGAAGTAGAGGTAAGAGAGTGTTGTTATTTGCGCGCACATTCTATAAAAAGGGCAACGCAAGACTAAACCGAAATTTTCTTTTCATGCAGCAAGAAATAAGCTCACTGAGTCGAGAGAATATATTCAACGCCGAGGGATGGATTTCGCAAGCGCGACAGCTCCATGCGGATATCGAACGGTCAAGAGTGACAGCACGGGAGATTGTCGCCCAACATGAGAAGACCAAACCGCTTGAGTCGATGGTTGAGGATGCAGCGGCTAAAGTGCGACTTATTGAAACGGAGATTTCTTTCAACCAGGCTGTTACCAGCACACTCGAGGAGGTTCAGAGGCTCGTACAACAGCTGGACGCAGCGCGCGCAGTTTTGAACGAAGGGCAAATCATCGCCTCTATTGATATTCTGGAAGGCGCAGAGAAGACTGTGAAGTTTGATATCTCCGGGTTGAATACAAATATGAAGGCGATTTTATCCGAGAATGTTGTTGGGCTGCGTCAGGAGATTGTCGAGTCTCTCCGTCTTCGATGGGCTAACCAGCTCAAGATTGACGAAGAAAACGGCAAATTCGCAGTTCTACAGAAAGGTATGATTCAGTTGGCCCAGTGGTATTGTTTTTCTCACTGATTACCAAGTAGATACCGGTTTGGAGGACACGATTCTGGCTATGTCACGGCTTGATATTCTCACGCCTGCCATTGATCGGTTCCAAAAGGACCTAGTGACCGCAATTATCGATCCCATAATACCATCCAATTCCGAGGGCTACAGTCGGGTGATCCATGTCAGTGGTGATGGGATTTATTTGGACTCAGAGCCTTCGAGAATGACGGTGTCTGACTTGTTGGGTGGCGTATCTAACTTGCTGGGATGCCTTCGCCAATCACTCCCTGAAATAGTTGCTAACCCTCTATCGGACTATTTTGTTCCAAATCTCTTATCGAAGATCATCTCCTGGTTGTCCTCCACCATACCAACCGACCTTGATGGCCTTGATGAGTTTGAGAAGACCCTAGAACATGCCCAGAAGTTCACCAACCTAGTTGAATCACTGGGTTGGCGGGGACAAGACGAGATTGGAGCTTGGATAAACCAGGCTCCCCGACTTTGGCTCACCAGACGACGGGTTGATTCACTGGATAGGGTTCGCAAAGTTCTCGCCGCTAGCAAAGGCACAACAAAGCATGTCGAAAGAGTGGAGAAGGAAAAGGTTGCTCAGGCTGAAGAAGTCCTGCTGGAGGCGCCTTCTACTGATGACTGGGATGCGAGCTGGGACGATGTAAATGATGGTGCCAACGCACAAGAAAAAACTTCCATACCTGGGGTCGAAGAGGAAGAGGACGTTAGTGCATGGGGTCTCGATGATGAAGAGACCGTTGAGGAAAAGGAAGGTGTGAAAGAGGATGTGCTGGAGCCTGCGGAGGAGGATGATGACGATGGTGCCGACGCCTGGGGCTGGGGAGACGAAGATGAAGAAAAGCAGGACGATAAAGTCCAGTCCTCTACAACGCCGGTAAAAGTTTCTGCCAATGGAAAAGTCTCGGTTCAACAATCCTCTCCGAGGGAAGTGATTCTGAAGGAGACATACACTGTGACAGATATACCGGAATCGATCTTGCAAATTGTTCAGCAGCAGATCGTCGACTCGGAAGCTCTGACACAGCATACGTAAGTTATAATTGAGATAACGTGAGGTTCGGATTCACTAACAATATCCAGCCATTCCAACTCTCGCGTTGCAGCATCTGGAGCCGGTCTTCTTGCCTTGCCAACGCTAATTCTTGCCATGTTCAAGGCCACCGCCTCTTCGTTCTACGCGCTCAAGCTAAACTCTGGCCAAATGTACCTTTATAATGACAGTCTATACCTAGCTGATCAGATGAAAGGTCTGGCGGAGGAACGCCAGCTCACAAGACTCAACGCTGACATCGAATCACTGGAGAAATATGGCAAGCTAGCATACAGTAAAGAGATGCAAACCCAGCGCACCGTTGCGGCCGACCTACTCGATGGTGCCCAAGGGTTCAACCACTGCTCAGAACAGCCGTTCCTTGGAGAATGCGAGAATGCTATCGCGGCCACAGTCGACCGAATTCGGGACGTCTACAAGGAATGGCAACCCATTCTCTCTCATTCCGCCCTTCTCCAGTCAATCGGATCACTCCTTTCGACGGTGATCAATAAGATTATCATTGATATCGAAGATATTGGAGATATCTCGGAACCTCAATCGCAACGACTTGTCCAATTTTGCAACCAAGTTTCAAAGTTGGAAGATCTATTCGCGCCAGACAAGGCAAGTGGCGTCGAAGCTGTGCCAATGACAGCTGTCTACGTTCGCAACTGGCTGAAGTTTCAATATCTCATCAACATCCTCGAGAGCTCGCTTGCAGACATCAAATTTCTCTGGTTGGAAGGTGAGCTCAGCTTGGAGTTCTCGCCCGACGAGGTCGTCGATTTGATCAAAGCATTATTTGCCGAATCCGACCATCGGCGAAGAGCAATCGCAGAGATCCGAAGGAACTCAAGGGTATAGCATATTTCCTATAGATTCTACTATCAAAAATGCATATATAGACCCATTAAGAGTACTGGTCCTAACGTCTCCTTATCGCTTTGTAATCGCCACACGAGGTTCTCCGCGCTTGGCGCAAGTGGCCGCCTCGGCCGCCGTATTTTTTTCTCACTCGGCGGAGCAGGCTTGGTCGAGAGCTGCGACAACTTCAATAAGGCAATCCGACCTGAAAACATCGGCTGGACTGTCGCAGAATTTGATATCTCATTATGGACAGCTTATCTTCTGCTGCAGCTTCGTCGCAGGCTGTTCAGCGACAGGTTCGTGTGCAGCTGACGAGCAAGCAGGAAGACATTGCATTGCCAGAGAACACTGGACCAATTCTTGTCCCTACAGGTATTTGCTCGTTCCAGGGGGTTAGAAACTTGAAAAGCAAAAGGGATTGTTTCTGATATCGAGATGGTGAATAGGTCTCCGACGATATGCGCTGTCCACCTTGGTGAACAATCTGCTTGGGAGCGACAAGCCGATCCCCTTTGAATTTCTCATCAACGGCACTTTCCTGCGGACCTCAATCGACGAGTACTTGACTGCGAATGGTATCTCTGCAGAAACGACCCTCGAGGTTGAATATGTGCGAGCGCTTATTCCCCCACTGCATATCGCATCCTTCGAGCACGACGATTGGGTCAGCTCGACGGATATCCTCTCGGCGACTTCCCCCGCAGCATCCTGGGCCTCTTCGGCGGTCTCGCAAGGCCAAGAAAGAATCTTGTCCGGTAGTTACGACGGGCTGCTTCGAGTGTGGGATATGTCTTCTCAGATTCTGGCCGTTTCCCCGGCCCCAGCCGAAGGCGGGCATAGCGCCTCGATCAAGGCTGCGAAGTTTGTGACTCCGAACCAGATTGCATCGGCTGGTCTGGACCGGACGGTCCGTCTGTGGAAGTACGTGGAAAATGACGATGGGTTCTCTGGAAAGATTTCCCCCCAGCTGGAACTGTTTGGCCACAAGTCTGGGATCAACTCGCTAGCTGTACATGCGCCACTGAACCGCGTTCTCTCTGCCTCTAATGACCACACGGTTGGGTTCTGGTCGACGAAAAAGTCGGATGCCCCCGCTGCACCGGAAGAGGCACTTCCATCGAAAGCTTCGAAAAGCTCCAAGAGACGCAAGCTTAATCCTTCGGTCAGCACCCCGCAGCGTGGCCCTCTGGCCCTCTTCTCTGGGCATACCGCCCCGGTTTCTGCTGCCATCTTTGATGCCAAGGACTCGACGGTAGGATACTCTACGTCTTGGGATCACACTCTGCGGACCTGGGATCTCGTCACCTCCGCTCTCGTGGACACTCGTACTACGTCCCACTCGCTGCTTTCTCTCGAGCACCTCCCCGAGGTTCATCTCCTAGCCACCGGTACTTCTGCCCGTCACATCACGCTGATCGACCCTCGGGTTTCGGCGGCAACTGTGGCAGCGATGACACTTCGCGGTCATACCAACGCCGTGGTGACCTTATCCCGCGACCCTCATAGCACTTACGGTCTCATTAGTGGTAGTCATGATGGAACCTGCCGGATCTGGGACATCCGGTCCACAAAGACAGACAAAGATGGCGTGGTAGGCGAAAGCGTCTACACCATTTCCCGCAAGAGCCTGGAGGAAGAGGGCAAGGCAGACAGCAAGCGGGTCGGAGGCGAAGGTGTCAAGGTCTTCGGTGTTTCCTGGGATAAAACTGTGGGCATTGTCAGTGCCGGCGAGGACAAACGGCTTCAAATCAATCGTGGAGAAGGTGTGCTGCCCTCGAAAATTTAGAGGAGGAAGGGAGGATAATTTTATATTCTGGTTTTGGCGTTCCCTGTGTGTGTTTGTGTGTGTGGTGAAAAGTACAGTACTATGGTTTATGATTCTCTGATAGAGCGTAAATTTGGGGGAGTCATCTTTGCCAGATTACCGCTATCCATTGGATATTGGGATACTGGCAAGTTGTTCTCCCGAGTTTGACAGATGCAAATAGAAACTGAACCCATTTCTTTGAGGCATATAAGGTAATGTACATTCTAATAGGTTTTTGGGGGGGGTGGTTTACAAAAAATAAGAAGAATAGACTAAACGCCAAATCCATGCCATCTGCCAGGGATAGCAAAGCCGAACACGCAACATGAAGAGAAACAGCCCAGTTTTCACAATCAAAGCCGCCTGTCGATGCGGTTGAGCTTGACAGCAGTTTTGGTCTAGAGAGTAGATTAGTATCTACATCGTTTCAAGCAAGGTTGTTTATCGACTCACCTGAGTTCTTGTTCGTTGTCCCCGAGCCGGCAACCCCAAAGCATGCCGCCGACCACGGTAGGTACCCGTCTCCTTCAAGCGTTTGATATCGTCAAGAACTTGCCTCCGGAGGTCGTTCTCAATTTTCATATCGGCAAGCGCGGCGGTCAGATCCAGAACCTGCTTGTTCGCGAGCTCGCCGATCTTGCAGGTCGGATGGATGTGGAACCGGGAAAGGAGGCGGGATGAAGTGAACGGCCCAATACCGAAGAAAGCCTCGAGCGATTTCTTTTGTTTTTTTTTAAGAGCTCCATGTCAGTAATGATGTCTGTTGACAGGCGAGATCCGAAACGTTACCTTGACGAGGTTCCGCTCAGGGAAATTGACACCGAGAATGAAAACCTGGAAGACTCAATGAGCTATGTTCAATTACTCAATGACGAAATGGCATGAACTAGACTCACCATATTGATTAATTGATGGCTTTGGGGCGTTTTCAATGGGTTTACCTTCTGATGGTCCCCTCGAACGGTTATCGTCGAGAAATGCGCCGGTAACAACATTTTTCCGTTATTGATGAAAAATACATCTAGTATGGCTTAGTGTTATTTTTTATAACCTGGCCCACAAATTTACTAGGGATATCCCCGCACCGTATAATGTAATTTATTCTTAGTATTGAAAATTACTCGGAGGTACCTGCTTCGTTATCTCCACACTTGCAAGCTGGCATTCCAACCTTCCTCTTCCTTGACCCTATCTGACTCTTTCTGGCCATCCTTGAGTATCAGACCGTCAGTCAAGGAGTCTTGAGCCCATCATGCAGTTCAGAAGCTTCTTCCTTTCTCTCTTCCTCGTGTTCGCGGTCGGGCTGGCTCTCGTCCATGCCGACGAGGCTTCCAAGGAGCCGCGGGGACCGAAGATCACCAACAAGGTAGGCAAGCATCAATTGACTACCGGGGAAGAATTCTCTTAACACATGGTTTCAATTGATAGGTTTACTTTGATATTGAGCATGGAGGCAAGCCTCTCGGTAGAATTGTCATGGGGTTGTATGGCAAGACTGTTCCCAAGGTGAGTCGCGTTGAAAAACACACCCCCGTTGAGTGGGAGGCACTAATGCGTTGTTGTTATTGCTTCAGACTGCTGAGAACTTCCGGTGAGTATTCAATACTCTGTGGTACACACATATATATATATTTTACACCCATTGACTCGGAGTTATTCATGAAGTGCTCTTGCTACTGGCGAGCATGGATTTGGTTATGAGGGTTCTACCTTCCACCGTGTTATTGAGCAGTTCATGATCCAGGGTGGTGATTTCACCCGTGGTGACGGTTAGTTCTCGCCGATCTTGCAAAAAAGTGATTGATAGTAATACCCGTCTCCAGGCACTGGCGGCAAGTCCATTTACGGCGAGAAGTTCGCCGATGAGAACTTCAAGCTGAGACACACCCGCAAGGGTCTTCTGAGTATGATCATATCTTTGCCCAGTTAACGGTTTCAATAGCATTAATTCTTTTCTTCTTTTCTTTTCTAGGCATGGCGAACGCTGGCAAGGACACCAATGGATCCCAGTTCTTCATCACCACCGTTGTCACTTCGTAAGCCTTGATGTTCACGGACCCTGTATCCAACGCACTGCTAACATTCAAGCAGCTGGCTGGATGGTAAGCACGTTGTTTTCGGCGAAGTCCTCGAGGGCTACGATGTTGTGGAGATGATCGAGAAGGTCCCCACGGGTGGCGGTAGCAAGCCCAAGGAAACCGTCAAGATCGTGAAGAGCGGCGAGATCAAGGATGAGGCTGCTGAGCCGGCACCGGAGTCGGAGCCCGAAGCCGAGGTCAAGGAGCCCGAAACCCAGGAGGAGGCCCAGCCCAAAGGTAGCCATGAGGAACTGTAGACGCCCCCCATGTGGTGTCACGTTCTCTCCTTCGCTCCTATGGTATGTGCCGATGCTTACTTGCCATCAGTACAACAAATCGATGAAGCTGATAGCGGATCGTCGTTCCTCCCCCGGATGGCATTCTTCTTCTTCGTCGTCATCGTTGCCGCAGCCCTCGTCTACAAGCGCTTCCAGGCGAAGAAGCAGAAAATCGATGGACCGCTCCTGTCTGGTAAATAGTTGCAATGCAGAAGGAGATAACTTTCGCGTGTTAAATTATTTCTCTCGTGGATTCTAAATCATCTGTTTATTTGCAGTGGTTATTTAAAGCACTGGCCTTGTTCTGAACTGCTCAGTGACGACTCTGGCTGTAAGTTTTATATCACGTGATTCACGTGGCTTATATAATCTCAAAGCCTAAGCCTTTCGATCCCCACGCATTATTATTAACTATTATTGCCGAGCGCCCTCCATAGATACGACATACGGAGTAACTATATCGAGTAGACAACTACAAAGTACAATGTAGACAATCCTGGGGACAGTATTCAATATAAAATTCGAATACCGTAGCCTAAATAAATTCACCAGCAGCAAGATAATTTAATGATATACAGAGTCGAAGTACTGATACTCTGTACTCACCGTCATGTACTGTCTGTTAACTACCTGTGGTCAAGTCCACAACTAATCGACTATTGATTTCATACTTTACTTTTTCCTCCCCCATAAATAACTACCCTCCTGATCGGTGTGACGTGTTCCCTCGGAAGGTACCTAGGTAGGTACCTAACAAGGTACAAGGTACTCCGTAGTCACTCCGTACACACAGCCCAGTTTGCTGAGCTGAAGATCGTTGGTGGCTCTCTCCGTACTCCGTAGTAACTTAACTGTAGCTGACTAAGGCTAGGGACGGCGGAGACACATGATCGACGGCTCAGAAGATGGTCATATGGGGATGGAGACGGGATCTCTTGTGATGGCACTACAGTACATTATCTAGGTAGTTATATGATAAATAATAATAATAAAAATAGAAATGGAAATAAGCTATTATTGATTGTTCACCGAAATAATAAGAGATCGAGAATCAGGCCTCGATTCTAGAAGTCCAGAGAGCCCCCCTATCACTTACCAGGAAAAAGAAATTTCTTGAGGGGAGCCACTGGCCAAGCACCGCCTTTCGCCTTCGCGGTGGAAAAAAGTCAACCTTTCCGCCCGGTCTTTTGCCTCCTTCCCCCATCCCACAAACCTCTCATTCTTCCCTCTTCCCAACCCACTCCCAAACCAACTACTTCTACCCCATCTCCATATTATCTTCTCTTGTTTCTTTTCCATTTCTCGTTTCTTTTTTTTTCTGCCCATAGAGCTTGAGTCTGGGCCCACGGATTTTCTTCTGTATTTCCCACGCTCTCTCCGTGTGCTTTTTTTTAACCCACTTGTCGCCACCCTCTTATAGAAGGAAAGACGAGAGAGAAAGAGAAAAGACGGAAAACACGACTTCTTTTCGTCACTCTCTTTTTTCCACCCTCTGCTTGATCCATAGGGCTTGAGTTTGTCGAAACGGCGTTCCTTATTTCCTCCATTTTGCGACCATATTACCAGGCGTCGTAAGAAAAAGAGGACCGATCGCTACACCTACAACCTCCAAAAAAAAACTTGTACGTGCCTCCTCTTCCTTTCCAGTGGAACGCATCTTTCCTCATCTACAAGACCACTTATCGCTCGCCCGCACAGAAGAACTTTTTCACTATCTGTGACACCACCGCAAACATGGCCGACAGCTTGAAGATCGGAAACATGTCGCTCAACGACTCCCAGCACGCGCCCGCCCCCAACCCCTCGACCGGCCGCGCTGCCTACATTCCCCCTCACCTTCGTGGCCGCCAGGGTGGCCAGGCCGGAGGTATGGATGGCGCTGGCGCTGGTGCTGCTCCCGCTCCCGCCCCCCCTGCCGGTGGAAACACCGGCTCTTATCAAGGGTATGTTTTTTTGTCCCCCTCTTCCTCCCCTCCCGTCCCCTCCCCTCCTCAACTATTCAGTCTGTTTCAGTCCGTTTCGGGCCTGAACTGACTTGTTGGTTGTTGTTTTATTTTATTTTTTTAATAGTCGTCGTGGAGGTAATTACGCCAACGCTAACGCCCCTGATTTTAGCCCTCGAGGAGGTCCCGCCAATGGTAAACCCACCTGGACTGCGGATGATGGATTTCGTCCCGCTTTCGATCCCAATGCTTACGGAAACCCAGGTCACAGCGGCTCGTACAGCGGCGGCGGTTCCTACGGCGGCGGCGGCGGCGGTGGCGGTGCTGCTAGAGGCTCTGGTGATGGCCAGTGGCGCGATGGCAAGCACGTCCCCGGTCCGTCCAACGCCCGTCTCGAGCGCGAACTCTTCGGTGTCCCCAACGATCCCACCAAGCAGCACACCGGCATCAACTTCGCTAACTACGACGATATCCCCGTCGAAGCGTCCGGTCACGATGTTCCCGAGCCCGTCAACACGTTTACTAACCCCCCGCTCGATGACCACCTGATCTCTAACATCCAGCTTGCTAGCTACAAGACCCCTACTCCCGTCCAGAAGTACTCCATCCCCATTGTCATGAACGGCCGCGATCTCATGGCCTGCGCCCAGACCGGTTCCGGAAAGACCGGTGGTTTCCTCTTCCCCATCCTGTCCCAGGCCTTCCAGACCGGTCCCTCCGCCGTGCCCGCCCAGGCCTCCGGCCAGTTCAGCTACGGCCGCCAGCGCAAGGCCTACCCCACCTCGCTCATTCTCGCACCCACCCGCGAGCTGGTCTCCCAGATCTATGACGAAGCCCGCAAGTTCGCCTACCGCTCCTGGGTCCGCCCCTGCGTCGTCTACGGTGGTGCCGACATTGGCTCCCAGCTGCGCCAGATCGAGCGCGGCTGTGACCTGCTCGTCGCCACCCCCGGTCGTCTCGTCGATCTGATCGAGCGTGGCCGCATCTCCCTGGTCAACATCAAGTACCTGGTCCTCGATGAGGCTGATCGCATGCTGGACATGGGTTTCGAGCCCCAGATTCGCCGCATCGTCGAGGGTGAGGACATGCCCGCCGTCAACGACCGCCAGACCCTCATGTTCTCTGCCACCTTCCCCCGTGACATCCAGATGCTCGCCCGCGATTTCCTCAAGGACTACGTCTTCCTGTCCGTCGGTCGTGTCGGTTCCACCTCGGAGAACATCACCCAGAAGATCGAATACGTCGAGGACCACGACAAGCGCTCCGTCCTGCTGGACATCCTCCACACCCACGGCACCAACGGTCTCACCCTCATCTTCGTCGAGACTAAGCGCATGGCCGACTCCTTGTCCGACTTCCTCATCAACCAGCGCTTCCCCGCCACTGCCATCCACGGTGATCGCACCCAGCGCGAGCGTGAACGTGCCCTCGAATTCTTCCGTAACGGTCGCTGCCCCATCCTCGTCGCCACGGCCGTCGCCGCCCGTGGTCTCGATATCCCCAACGTCACCCACGTCATCAATTACGACCTCCCCACTGACATCGATGACTACGTCCACCGTATCGGTCGTACCGGTCGTGCTGGTAACACCGGTATCGCCACCGCCTTCTTCAACCGCGGCAACCGTGGCGTCGTTCGCGAGCTGATCGACCTCCTCAAGGAGGCCCACCAGGAGGTCCCTTCTTTCCTCGAGAGCATTGCCCGTGAGGGTAGCGGATACGGTGGTCGCGGTGGCCGCGGCAGCCGTGGTCGTGGTGGCAACGCCACCCGTGACATGCGTCGCGTGGGCGGCGGCATGGGCGGTGCCCCCTCCTCCTTTGGCGGCAGCGGTGGTGGCAGCTACGGCGGCAGCGGTGGCGGCAACTACAGCGGCGGTGGCAGCGGTTACGGTGGTGCTCCCTCCTACGGCGGAAGCGGTGGCGGTGGTGGTGGTGCTGGTGGTGGTAGCTACGGCGGCAGCGGTGGCTACAGCGGTGGCTACGGCAACCCCTCCGGCCCTACCGGTCCCTCCTCCTGGTGGTAAAAATCTCCATCGTGGTCCTTTTTTGACGAGGCCGTCGGGTCTGATTGGCTCCGTTCTTTTTCTCACTCTCTCTTTTTCACCTCACTTTTGATGGATACGATCAGAACGAGTCTTCCGAGTCTCTCTTTGTCTTTTATGATTCTCGGGACCGGCTTTGTCACGACTGCCACGACTCTTTTTTTTTCCCTCTAGATTTCCTTTTTTTTGTTCTCTCTCGATGTTTGTTGCGTTGCTTCTCTGGTTGATTTTTCATCTTTCGAGTTCCTTAATGTTTTTCTTTTCTTTTTTTTTTTTAGAGATGGGCATCGATGCAATCCGATATTGCCAGCTGGCTTCTGATCTCTCACGCTTCTCAACCGTGAACATCCTCGTCGGCTCTGCATGAATATCATAGATTGCGTTGCCTGGTTTCTGTTTCCCTTTCCTTTGTTTTCCTTTGTCTTTTCCTTATTATTTCCACCTGTGACCGCTTTCACATCAGATACCCTTACTTTGTCAAGCGTCGGGGCGGAGACACGCTTGAGCGGTGCGCCGAGTGGGAGTGCCGGCTTTTCGTCTCCAGAAAAGTTAACTTTTTTAAAAATGATTTCGTCTACTCGGTGCGCTTGGTGCTGCATCGACCGTGTCTCACAAGATAGATCTCTACAGTTTCGGTATCTAATGGCGGGCCTTTTTCGCAGTTCCTTTTTTCCCTTTCATTTCCCTTCCCCTCTCCTTCTGTCCATTTAATCTTTTCTCTCTCTGTCATGTGCTGCATGTTCTGTAACGGTCTCCGATCCCAAGAAAAAAAAAAACGGCGTTTCCCTTTTCTTTCTCCGGCATCAATGGGTGGGGGGGGAGGAGTGTGAGAAGAACTCAACCTGGTGCGTCTTGTTGCACGGCACACAGAACGAACGGTCTTCGGATGAGATTTTTTTTGCATTGCATCTGGCGTTGGCTTGAGCTTCTCTGTCCACGGAGGGGAAAAGATTTCCAAGATTCGCTGCAGAGGGTTGATCTGCTAAGCGAGGGCATATTGTTGCTTCTCCCTTGTTTTTTTCCCCTTCTTCTTCTTCGACCACATCTTCCGGGACTCGAGGGAGGGATGAGAAGTCGTTTTTTTTTTCTTCTCTTCTTTATGCCGGCGCTTTCTCCCATATGCAGCGATCCGCAGACATCGTTGCCTCGTCTCAGCAGCCTGTTTTGGCACCGACATGACGGTCTTTAGGACAGCAGAGCTGATATAGAGGCTAGGGATCTTCAAAAGGGGAGACCACTCCATCTAAAAAAGTTGTTAAGTCTACGAACCTCCAGTAGCTGAATGGAAAAATGGTAGACCTTGCCTACAGGGACAGTTTTCAAGACCATGAGTAAAAGAAATTTTCACGGAAACGTATATTAGAATCAATTTTCAATCTTCTTAATTGTTTTCTATTCTATTCGTTGCGATGTAGTTATCTACCAAAAAAAGTGCTGTATGTACAGACAGCTCTCGGCGGCAAGGAAAGCTTGCCAGGGAACACCAAACTTTCGCTCTCTCGCTTTTTTCTCCCCCCAACCGTCTCCTTCCCCTTTCGCCTCGCCCAAAGTCCTCTTTTTCGTCTCCTGGAGGGTCGTTTCACTCACTTGGGGTTGTTCTTTTTTCCTATTCTTTTTCATTTCTCTTCCTCGCCCTGATTCATCCAGATCCATCACCTACAACCCTCCATCGGATGCCGGTTGGTTATCTTGGTGATCAAGAGAGAAGGGACGATTGATCGCTTTTTCCCCATTGCATCGCGATTCCAGGGGTTAACGCCAGCACGAAACCCCCAGTTTTTCATCCACGACAACCTTTGTCAACTTCGACTTCGACTTCGAGATTGGCGACGCCCGTGAAAACGGAGTTGTGAGCCAGCAACCAACCATGGCGGAGGTCGACAGCATCGTTGCGGACGACTCGTTCGTACAGTCCGAAGCCCCTGACGAACCGGCTACGCACAACATGACTGTCAGCGCGACCGTGGGTACTCGCCGGCAGGCGAACGGGACTATTGGGTCAGTGTATTCGGGCAACAAGATCCGACATCTCAAGAAGGAGGACGGCATCCCGCTGTGGCGCAAGGACATCCAGTACGAGTTCCTCAAACTCGTCTTCGAGGACAAGACCCCCGTCTTTACGCGCTACTCGGACGGCCAGCGTAACTTGGACTTTGCCGATATCTACATCGATTCAATGGCGCGCAGCAGCAAGACCAGCAAGATTCTCAAGGATAAGTTGCAGAATGACAAGCAAGCCGCCATTAGCATGGCTATGGTGTGTCTGCTGGTCAATTTTGGCCGGATGAACACCACCCTCAATTGTAGGTGTTTCTCTTTTCTGTTTTTTCTCCTTCTTTATGTGTTTTATTGACGAATCAGTCTTCCCGGAGATGCGGGCTCAGTTACGGACCTACCACTCAATCCCTTCGTTGCAAGCACGCCAGGACCCCAATGCCTACAAACAACTGCAGGATGCACCGCGGCTCAAGTCCATCCTCAAGGGCGCCTCCGAGGATACCGACCAACCCAACAGTCTCGAGAAGATCAAGCGTGCTCCTATCCCGCGTACAAACCCCGTCAACCTCATCTTTGTACTCGCGCAATACGCGCCCAAGGTGTCGGAGATGCACTTCTTTCCCCCGCGCGATTTCTTTGATCTTGTCATGCGGTCCACACTTAGCAGTCGGAGTCGCGCCAAGGCCTTTCTCTGGCTGATGTGGTGGTATCTGGAGAGCGATTTCACTCGCGAGGACGCCCTGCGGAACCCCTTCGGAGCCGGTCTGGACGGTGAAGGCACCGGCGGGTTGCCAGTCAAGGTTCCGGCGTTTGAGAGTTTGACGGAGGAGCAAGCGGATGGCGAGAACGTCGACACCCAGTCAGAACTCGACTACGGTGAAGCGAAGCGCCTCGAGCGGAAACGTAAGGCCTTCTACCCTTTTTTTTTCCCTTTTGCTTTCCACGCGGCTAACCTTTTCTATTCAAGGTATCCTTGAGGAAGAAGATCCTACGCCTCGAGTCGTGAAACGGTCCAAGAAGGGTAATTTCCCATTTTCCACCATAGGTCAAACTTGCTATTGACATGTCCAACCCCCCCACAGGTATGGCCGATTACGGCTACGATGATGACCCAGCCTCAGGAGATCTATCTGGCTTTGTCTCCGGTAAGAATCATTTTCCAATCATCCTCTTCATCGCCAATCGCTGACATTTATCTGATAAGGACGAGATCGGATGGGCGCCGGTGACCGCGGATCTGCCATGTCGACTCCTCTGCATCCGTCGGCAAGACGCTATCCCCTTAATGAGGAAGACGACTACCAGACACCTGGCCAGTCAGCCCAATCACGGTACAAACGGCCTAAGCGCGAGTCATCGCTGAACCGCTCCGTCGGCCAGCAGCGCCTGATCCTCAAGACGAAGATGGACCAGACACCCGACGCCGCGTCCCCCGCGCCCCCGGGATCTGGGCACCCCGTTCTGAACCGTTTCGTCACGGAACCGTCGCTCACCCAACCGGCGCTGATTCGGCGGCCGCGGCCGCTCACCCAGCACCAGCTGGCAGTGGAGCAGAATCGCCGCCAGCGAATTGAGTACCTGCTCGCGAAGCGCAAGTCCGAGGCCTACCGCCTCCTCCGCACCAAGCGCGAAAGTGAGATCCCCTTTGCGCGGTATGGCCGCCTTCTGCAGAGCCTGCCGGATGGCTACGACACGGAAGATGAGGAACACAGCTGGGGCAAAGGCGGGCTGGTCCCCAATCCCGATGAGGAAGAGGATTACGGTGAATCAGCCAATTATTTCCTGTCGATCATCCGCAAAGCGACCCGACGGCTGGACCGGTGGGATCCAGACGAAGCGAACGGGCCGAGGAAAGACCGCCAGAAGGAGCGCGAGGAACGACACAAAGCCAAAGAGAATATGTTTGCGCTTGGCTACCCAGCAGAGCCGTCTCGTGGCGGAGCGACCGCCGCCGGTGGTGCCGGTAGCGGAGGTGGTTCTCGCGCCAAGGCCCGCCCTTCGAAACGCAAACCGGCCAGTACGACCGCCACCCCAAGGAGACCGGCGGGCTCTGGTGCTGCTCGCAGCAAAGCCAGCCGCCCGCGTCCAAATCGTGGATCGGCCGCGGACTCGACGCCCGCTGGCTCGACGCGGGATGGTCTGGAGGCGCCGTCGCACGAGCCAGAGCTCTCGCCGATGCCTGCCTCCATGGGTGACGGCGACGGGGATGGAGACGAGGGCCTGGACGAAATTGACAAGGAGCTCCTGGGCGAAGGGAGCGGCGATGACGACGACGACGATGACGATGCGGACCGCTCGCACGCTCACCTGCCACGGCGCGACCTGCGGGACGAACCAGGCTACGAGGACAGCTTCCTGGGCGAAGGGTACGAGGACGCACTGTCGTCGGACAACGACGATGAAGCCGACGAGGACGACCTCGAAGACGACAACTCATCCGCCTCCGACGGCGGGAACGGCTATGCCGCCAGCGAAAGCTCATCGGTTGCCGGTGATGCCCTGGATGCCGAGCCGGAGCGCATCGTGGCCGAGGGAGAAATCGACGACGATGAAATCATGGGTGATCATTAATATTGTCTTTTTCTACTATCCTTTTTATTCTTCTTTTACTATCATTATTATTATCCCTTTTTTTTTTCTCCTTCCCCTTTATCTTCTATCTCATGTTCATCGTTTTCCATGTCCATCCGGTCATCTCATATGGCATGACTCGTATCACCACAGGCCTAGGCATGTCCTTTTGCATCACATAAATGCAATATTTCTTTACTAGGTTTCTAATGAGATTGAATACCAGCTTACAGATACATCTTCACCTATGCTTGACGTCTATCCTTTTCAAGATATAGTTATATATATTCTTTCCCAACCAAAGAACTACCTAATCAATAGTTCTCCACGACTCCGCTATAATTTGCCAACGAATACATTGCGTTCTTTTTTATTAAAACAAGAAACGAAAAATCCCAACCCTTCCGGCAAATTTACTCGAGCTCTTCACGTAGTCGTAGATCCCGACCTGTCATCACCTTCGGGGTTCTCCTCCGAGCATGTGATTTGACCGGGTATTTTTTTCTTCTTCTCAACAAACAAACTCACGTCCAGAAACTTAAAACCCATCCTTCGTCTCACTTGCCTCTCTTCTTGATCTCTGTATAGCAGTGGTGTACAGATTGAACCTATTTACTGTTGTATCATAATACAGCTCCTTTTTCTGCCAAGTCAGTGGATTTCTGCTATTTTTTTTTTTTCCCGCGCCGAGACAGATCTCACCATCACATCACATTCTCGCCTCTCTCCTCCCCCCTCCCCTCTCTCTTCTCCCATCTTGCTCACTACCTATTCCCTTCTGCTTGAGAACACGTCAATTGACTCTCCAAGAAAAAACACACTGTGGTGAAATGTCGAACCAACCGCCTCTTCTTCGGCCGCGCCCCCGACGACCCTTCGAGCTATCACCGTCGAACGAGCCGTCCGAGCCCTCGTCGCCCGCCGAGTACGCAAACGCAGATCATCTGCTTGCAGCGCAGAATAATAATAATAATAATAATAATAATAATAATACCAACTCCATGCCGGGCTCCGAGGCCGTCAGTCGCACGGGCTCTGTGATGAACCTGACCTCGTCGACGCTGTACGGCATCTACTCGTCGACGGCGTTTGAGGGAATGCGTGACGAGTCCAGCCCCTGGGGCACAGAGGCGCACTCCCCGCCAGCTGCGGACGCCGGGGGTTCGCAGCCGCCGCCTGCGAAGCCCGAGGAGGTGATTGCGCTGCAGCGGACACGCTCGCGGCTCAGCCATGGCCTCTTCCGCGGGGTGATCCTGCCGCGGGCGCTGCGCAGCGCCCTGCTGTTCGGGTTTGGCATTGCCTACGGCTTCATCACCGTCCACCTGCACGAGAACCACTGGATCACCCCCGTCAAGCTCGAGAACCTCGACTGCTACTCGTGGGAATACCTGGGTTTCTGGGGGCTGGCGGGCGTCATCTTCGGTAATGTTCTGCCGTGGCTGGACCTGCTGTACGCGGGCCTTCAGGCGGAGAACAACACCAAGCGACGCTCGGCGGGTGCCAGTGATGAGCGGACCTTGTCGTGGAATGCGGCTGTTCGCAGTGTTGGGGCTTTTGTTGGTATTGCTTTTGCCATGGTAAGCTCGCTAAGCACATATATATACCTTATACTGTTTTATATTCACTAATCAAATCAGAGGAGAACCCCCTGGGAATCAACCACGCAAGCTTCAGTGACCCTTGCCCTCGTGAACCCCGTGCTCTGGTATCTCATCGACCGCACCAAGACCGGCTTCGTCATGTCGACCATCATCGGTCTCTCAGGCATGGCACTCTTCCTGGGTCTGCACCCAGACATGATCCCGGGCGCCGGCGACGCCACCGCATCCACGACGGGAACAATCATCTTCAACGTCACGGGAGCCGACCTGGCTCTGGGGACCAGCCTGACGCAGGAGAGCATCGCCGTACGCACGTGGGTGGCCAGCGTGCTCTTCTGCGCATGCGTGTGCTTTGGCAACATTGGTCGCCAGTTGGCTTTCGAGGGGAGCAACTAGTATTTTCCCCCCCTTCTTCCCTCTTTTCGGTGTTCACACAACGAAAAAAAAAAAGCATTTCCCCTACCCGCATGCCTACCGAAAGAATTTTTTTTTTTAATACCGTGGAGCTTGTTGATACTCACTCCCCTTCACCTTGATTTCGGCCATGCATAGAATAGTTTATATTACTCTTTTAATGAAAAGGATAATTATTTTTCTTACGATAACCATCGAAAATGTATGTATCGAAAGTATATGTAGAGTCCATCATTGCAATCCCTACCACTAGACAAAAAAAGTCTGGCAGGCACTGCACCCAAGATCGACCCCAAAGCTCCATCTCCATTCTCTATGACGATTTCCTTACTTCATAGGCCAGTAGACCTCGTAGGAACGCTTTTTGAGAAGAATGTTGTGTTTGCGTTGTTCATATATGGAGAAAAAAAAAGGGAAGGAAGCAGAAATTTTGTCGGCGGGTTTTAGTCTCCTGGGGTGGTCCGTGCGTCTTAGTAATTGGTCACATGGTATCAGGTGATATCACATGATGACATTGTTGGTCTTTAGACTTTAGTAATACTGATATGTCATGTGATGATGTCAGTTCCTATTTCGGGAGCCCCTCGACCCTAATCCGCATCCGGATTGGTGCGGGGTGATCACTGATCCCTCGGAAAATACTGTCCAGGCAAGAACCCCGCGGAGAACGAGAGGATTTTGTTTCTTCACTTGTGACTCAGGTGAAAAAAGGTATGTGTGTTTGGTTCCATCCATTGAGGGGATAGCGATTGATTTCTTCTGGATAGATAGTGTTGCATCATGTCTCAAAAGTCAGGTAAATACTCCTCTTGAATTTGTCTACTGCGTTATACGGCCGTATACTGATTCTATAGCGATTCTCTCCGTCTACGACAAGACCGGTCTTCTCGACCTGGCCAAGGGCCTCGTCAAGCACAATGTACGACTGCTCGCGTCGGGAGGTACGGCCAAGATGATCCGGGAGGCTGGGCTCCCCGTCGAGTGAGTCGAAAAAAACAGAGCCCAATGGGTATTTGGCGAAGTGTTGGTAGTAGTAACATGGATCAAAACTCCAGGGATGTCTCGGCCATCACCCACGCCCCTGAGATGCTTGGTGGCCGGGTCAAGACGCTGCACCCAGCCGTGCACGGCGGCATCCTGGCTCGCAACATCGAGTCCGACGAGAAGGATCTGGCTGCGCAGAAGATCGACAAGGTCGACTTTGTCGTCTGCAACCTGTATCCGTTCAAGGAGACGGTGGCCAAGGTCAACGTGACCATCCCCGAGGCCGTGGAGGAGATTGATATCGGCGGCGTCACCCTGCTGCGGGCGGCGGCCAAGAACCACTCGCGGGTGACCATCCTGTCCGACCCGACGGACTACCCGGAGTTCCTGCAGGAGCTCGAGGCCGGCGAGGTCACCGAGGCCACCCGCAAGCTGTACGCCCTCAAGGCCTTTGAGCACACCGCCGACTACGACACCGCCATCTCGGGCTTCTTCCGCAAGCAGTACGCCGGCAACGGCGAGCAGCACATCGCCCTGCGGTACGGTACCAACCCGCACCAGAAGCCCGCCTCGGCCTACATGGTCCAGGGCAAGATCCCCTTCAAGGTGCTCAACGGTTCCCCCGGTTACGTCAACCTGCTCGACGCCCTCAACGCCTGGCCCTTGGTCAAGGAGCTCAAGCAGGCCCTGGGTCTCCCCGCCGCCGCCAGCTTCAAGCACGTCTCGCCCGCCGGTGCCGCCGTGGGTACCCCGCTGAACGAGAAGGAGCGCAAGGTGTACATGGTTGACGATATCGCGGGCATCGAATCGTCCGGTCTTGCCCAGGCGTACGCCCGCGCCCGGGGTGCGGACCGCATGTCCTCGTTCGGCGACATCATCGCGCTGAGTGACGTCGTCGACGTCCCTACCGCCAAGATCATCTCCCGGGAGGTCTCCGACGGTGTCATCGCCGCCGGCTACACCCCCGAAGCGCTGGAGATCCTCTCCAAGAAGAAGGGCGGCAAGTACCTCGTCCTGGAGATGGACGAGACCTACTTCCCCGCCTCCGAGGAGACCCGCACCCTGTACGGCGTGCAGCTCACCCAGCACCGCAACGATGTCGTCATCTCTCCGCAGAAGACCTTCAACACCATCGTCACCCCCAAGGATCTCCAGCAGCTGCCCGAGGCGGCGCTCCGCGACCTCACCGTCGCCACCATCGCCCTCAAGTACACGCAGTCCAACTCGGTCTGCTACGCCCTGAACGGCCAGGTCATCGGCCTGGGTGCCGGTCAGCAGAGCCGGATCCACTGCACCCGTCTCGCCGGCGACAAGGCTGACAACTGGTGGATGCGCTTCCACGAGCGCACCCTCGCTCTCAAGTGGAAGCAGGGCGTCAAGCGCGCCGACAAGAGTAACGCCATTGACCTCCTCTGCTCGGGTCAGACCCCGCGCAACGAGGCCGAGCGCGTCGAGTACGAGCGTGTCTTTGAGGAGGTTCCCGCCCCCTTCACCCCGGAGGAGCGTGAGGCCTGGCTCAAGAACCTGGACGGCGTCGCCGTCTCGTCGGATGCATTCGTGAGTTTTACTTTTGATAAGAAGAAGAAGAAGAAGAAGAAGACGAAAACTAAGTAACTGTCTAGTTCCCCTTCATTGACAACGTCTTCCGCGCCGCCCGTTCCGGTGTCAAGTTCATCGCCGCCCCCAGCGGTAGCCAGAACGACGGCCCTGTCTTTTCGACGGCCGAGAAGCTCGGCATCACCTTTGTGGAGCAGAGCACTCGCCTGTTCCACCACTAGAGTATTGAAGAATATGCAATCTTTAAATCTTATTTACCTCAAAAGTGGCTGTTTATATCATGTAGCATGTTTTGGCGTTTTGCGAATATCAGAAAATCTAGATGTTGTATCAGACGTATCTCATAGTGTATTCATAAAGTCTTCTGTAGTTGTCAGTAGATATCGATGGTTTGGTCAATATTATGTAGTTATATTATAGATTTCAAGAGTACTGCCGCTCATAATGCTAAGAAAGAGTAACCAGACATCGAGCTCGCATGGCTCAGTTGGTAGAGCGCATGACTAGTAATCATGAGGTCCGCGGTTCGAATCCGCGTGTGAGCATTTCTTTTTGTTCTAGAACAAACACTATTACTTTTTGATCTTTAATCAATAGTTTACTTTAATACTCTAATTACTCCCTATTTTATTCACCTATTTAATACTCTTAGAGTGTACTCTGTACTACTGCTGTGCAACCTTTGCTCCACTGGGCTGTCTCCGACGCATCCGTTGACTCTGTAGTAGGCAGAGACTATCATACTCAATGCTACGTCATTACACTGTATCACCTCGTTCCATGGAATATATATATTCTAATAAGAGTCTTCGACTTACTCTTCCCAGTTGATGCGAGGCTGGCTGGTTTGACTTCAATATGTTTTATATATTCTTACTGTTGTTGGTACTCTGCCAGTATGTATCTGCAGATGAAACATCAGGGCAGGTAGTCCTCCACGGGGCTACGGGCTTAGCAAAAGACGCCAGTGAAAAGATAACGGGATGCTCTCCCTTCGAGACGAAACATCCTGACGACGATATAAGATTGGGATCGACGAAGAGGAGAATCCCAGGGTACAGTCGTGAGTGGAGCGGAAGGTTCGTCGTCTTCTCATCTTCCATGCTTGTTTTTCTTTTCTTTCTAATGGCTGGAACAGCGGGGCGGCGTACGATGTCCACGTCCGACTCACTCAGAGAAGCAGCAGGTAAGTCTCTATAGAGAGAGAGAGAGAGCTACCTGTCTAACGCTCCAGGTCGGCTGCTCGGGCGGTCTCGAGCCTAGACTGGGCACATCGGTGGGAAGTAGCTATCGACTGTCTCTCCCTGCCGGGAGTGGATAGTCTAGATATGTTTGACATGGACGAATTGGCCGTGGAGGCTTTCTGGGATCGGGTGTGGGCTTGTTACCTGCCGTATGCATCTGGGGGGTAGTCAGTATCATTACAAAAGCAGTTTTTCTATCAAAACTTACCTTGAGTTGACTTGATCTCTGTGTTAATAGGTAGTTAGCTTATTACAAGTGTAAGGTATGTGGTGTTGTCCCGCTGGTATTCACTCTGTTTTATATAACCCAGGGATAGGTCATTGACAGGGAACCACAGCACCCTCAACTGAGAGACAGGAAAAAGTTTCACTGCATACCAGACCCTGTAAGAAAAGAGAGGGAAAAAGTATTTTTTTTTTTCAAGAAAAAGAAAGCAGTCAATGGTTAGGCATTCACTGCGGAACCAGCTGCAGCATTGAAGAACTGTGGGCCAGATAGCCCTCAGGCTTCACAGGGGGGCCCATATAAGTATAAAACCCCAGACAGACACTCCTGTCTGTCTGGCAATCTCAACAATCCCCAATTCCTGCCCACAGACGCTGGTGTTTACAGCGTCGAGAGCGTTGAGTTCCTGGAGTTGGCCCGGCCCCTGGTGCACGTGACGCCACCATAAGCGACACCTCAGCAACGACAACAGCAGCGGCTCTCCTGAGGTCACTTCCGCCTCCCCCCAGTCTTCCTCCACCACTGCAACTCCCTCTCTCCTCCTATCTTTCTTGCACTCCTTTCCTCACCGTTGCGCTTCTATTTTCCTGTCCCGCGACTTCTTTTCCCTGCCCCCCCCCCCCGCGGTCCTTTATCTGTTGCGAGGCGTTTTGTTGGGTGGATGAGGTCGAGCTGCGGCCTGCGTAATTATGGCTCCTCTTCCCATCAAGTTCACGGAGCTCATCAATGTACGTTTCTTCATCACCCCCTCCAATCGCTCTTTGAATGGCAATGCGAAGCTAACCATCTATTTCTTGCCTCCTCTAGTTGACGAGTGCCGATATTGACGTATGTTCCATGCCTCCTCCGGCCCTCCCCGCTCCCCGACAACACTGCCGCCTGCCTGCCTGCTCGTGGTGCTGGCCTGTCCCGGCCCGCCGGCTTGCGTCGCTCGTGCTTTCTCCCTCTCATCACTGTTGCTGTTACTGACATGCGTTTATCCTGTACAGCAAAGCTCCATTGGCTTCAACTCAAGTGTATGTCTCCTGGTCAAAGCTGTATTTACTTGCCAAAAAAGCAACCGTCGCTAACACAAGTCCTGTCAATAGACCCTAGAGTCCGACCACTACGTCTGCGTCCGACAAAAAATTAATGAAAACGACAAGCCCCAAGTCATCATCGTCGATCTCAAGAACAATAATGAAGTCATCCGGCGCCCGATCAACGCCGACAGTGCGATCATGCACTGGTCGAAAAACATCATTGCTCTCAAGGCTCAGGGTAGAACGATCCAGATCTTTGACCTCACCGCCAAGCAAAAGCTCAAGTCGTCGGTGATGAACGAGGATGTCGTCTACTGGAAGTGGTTCAGCGAGAAGAGTCTCGGTCTGGTTACGGAGAACTCCGTTTACCACTGGGATGTCTTCGACCCAACCCAGTCACAGCCGCTCAAGGTGTTCGACCGCCTCCCCAACCTAGCGGTAGGTAATCTAGTTCTTATGGAGCCTATACCATGAATACTGACATTACTTTTTTTTTTTATTATTAGGGTTGCCAAATCATCAACTACCGTGTAAATGACGAGGAGAAGTGGATGGTGGTCGTCGGTATTGGCCAGCAGCAGGGACGCGTTGTTGGGTCGATGCAGCTCTACTCCAAGGAGCGTGGTATCTCTCAGTTCATCGAGGGTCATGCGGCGGCTTTTGCCTCTATTCGTGTCGAGGGTTCTCCTCTGGAACACAGACTCTTCACCTTTGCTGTCCGGACCGCCACCGGCGCCAAGCTGCAAATCGCCGAGATCGACCATCAAGAGCCTAACCCGCGCTTCCAGAAGAAGGCGGTCGAGGTGTATTTCCCCCAGGAAGCCGTCAACGACTTCCCCGTCGCCATGCAGGTGTCGAGGAAGTACGACATCGTCTACCTCGTCACCAAGTATGGCTTCATCCACCTGTACGACCTGGAGACAGGCACCTGCATCTTCATGAACCGAATCTCCAGCGAGACCATCTTCACCACGGCACCCGACTCGGAAGGTGCTGGCCTTGTCGGTGTCAACCGAAAGGGTCAGGTCTTGTCCGTCAGCATCGATGAGAGCACCATCATCCAGTACCTCATGGAGAATCCTGCCATGTCTGGACTGGCCGTTAAGCTTGCCTCGAAAGCCGGTCTTCCCGGGGCAGATCACCTGTATCAGCAGCAGTTTGACAACCTCCTGGCCCAAGGTAATTTCGCCGAGGCCGCCAAGGTTGCTGCCAACTCGCCCCGTGGCTTCCTTCGCACCCCGGAGACCATCAACCGGTTCAAGAACGCCCCTCAGACGGGCCAGGGAATGTCGGTCATCCTCCAGTACTTTGGTATGCTGCTTGATAAGGGTGCTCTCAACCGCTACGAGAGCGTGGAGCTCGTTCGCCCCGTTCTGCAGCAGAACCGCAAGCACCTGCTCGAGAAATGGATGAAGGAGAACAAGCTCGAGGCGTCGGAAGAGCTGGGTGACATCGTTCGCCCGCACGATATGAACCTTGCCCTGAACATCTATCTCCAGGCCAACGTTCCCCACAAGGTGGTTGCGGGCTTCGCTGAGACCGGCCAGTTCGACAAGATCCTCACCTACTCCAAGCAGGTTGGCTACCAGCCCGACTACACCCAGCTGCTGCAGCACATCGTGCGCGTCAACCCCGAGAAGGGTGCCGAGTTTGCCTCCCAGCTTGCCAACGAGGAGGCTGGGTCTCTGGTTGATCTCGACCGCGTGGTTGACGTCTTCCTGTCTCAGAACATGATCCAGCAGGCCACCTCGTTCCTCCTGGACGCGCTCAAGGACAACAAACCCGAGCACGGCCACCTGCAGACCCGTCTCCTGGAGATGAACCTCGTCAACGCCCCCCAGGTCGCCGACGCGATCTTGGGCAATGAGATCTTCACCCACTACGACCGTGCTCGCGTCTCTCAGCTCTGTGAGAACGCCGGTCTGATCCAGCGGGCTCTGGAGAACACGGATGACCCCGCTGCCATCAAGCGCAACATTGTTCGTACCGACAAGCTGAGCCCGGAATGGTTGATGACCTACTTTGGACGCCTCTCCGTGGAACAGACGCTCGACTGCCTCGATACTATGCTGGAGGTCAACATTCGCCAGAACCTGCAGGCGGTCGTCCAGATCGCCACCAAGTTCTCAGACCTGCTGGGCGCCAACCGTCTTATTGACCTGCTCGAGAAATACCGTACCGCCGAGGGTCTGTACTACTACCTGGGTAGCATCGTCAACCTGAGCGAAGACCCCGAGGTTCACTTCAAGTACATCGAGGCCGCTACTGCCATGAGTCAGATCACCGAAGTCGAGCGCATCTGCCGTGAGAGCAACTACTACAACCCTGAGAAGGTGAAGAACTTCCTCAAAGAGGCCAAGCTCACGGAGCAACTGCCTCTCATCATCGTGTGCGATCGCTACAACTTCATCCACGACCTGGTCCTGTATCTGTACCAGAACCAGCAGTACAAGTCCATCGAGGTATACGTGCAGCGTGTCAACCCGTCGCGGACCCCTGCCGTCGTCGGTGGCTTGCTGGATGTGGACTGTGACGAGGGCATCATCAAAAACCTTCTCTCCACCGTGGACCCTGCGGTCATTCCGATCGACGAGCTGGTGTCCGAGGTGGAGACCCGCAACCGCCTGAAGCTACTCCTCCCCTTCCTCGAGGCGACTCTGGCCACTGGCAACCAGCAGCAGGCCGTGTACAACGCCCTCGCCAAGATCTACATTGACAGCAATAACAACCCCGAAAAGTTCCTCAAGGAGAACGACCTGTATGATCCGTTGACGGTCGGCAAGTACTGCGAGAAGCGCGATCCGAACCTGGCATACATTGCCTACTCCAAGGGGCAGAATGACCTGGAGCTGATCAACATCACCAACGAGAACTCCATGTTCCGTGCCCAGGCTCGCTACCTCGTGGACCGTGCCGACTCGGAGATCTGGAGCTTTGTGCTCAGCGAGAACAACATGCACCGCCGCTCTCTGGTGGACCAGGTCGTCGCCACCGCAGTCCCCGAATCCACCGAGCCGGACAAGGTGTCCATTGCCGTCAAGGCTTTCCTCGACGCCGATCTCCCCGGCGAGCTCATCGAGCTGCTGGAAAAGATCATCCTGGAGCCCTCTCCGTTCAGCGACAACAGCAGCCTGCAGAACCTGCTCATGCTCACCGCCGCCAAGGCCGACAAGAGTCGTCTGATGGACTACATCCACCAGCTGAACGAATTCAATGCGGATGAGATTGCCGAGATGTGCATCTCCGTCGGTCTGTACGAGGAGGCGTTTGAGATCTACAAGAAGGTCAACAACCACCTGGCGGCCGTCAACGTGCTGGTGGAGAACGTCGTCAGCATCGACCGCGCCCAGGAATTCGCCGAGCGTGTGGAGCTGCCCGAAGTCTGGAGCAAGGTGGCCAAGGCCCAGCTGGATGGCTTGCGCGTGTCGGATTCGATCGAGTCGTACATCCGTGCCGCCGACCCGTCCAACTACAACGAGGTTATTGAAACCGCCACGCATGCCGGCAAGGATGAGGATCTTGTCAAGTTCCTGCGGATGGCACGCAAGACGCTGCGCGAGCCGGCCATCGACACGGCGCTGGCCTTCTGCTTTGCCCGGTTGGACCAGCTGCCGGAGCTGGAGGACTTTTTGCGCTCGACCAACGTTGCCAACATTGAGACCTCTGGTGACAAGGCCTACGAGGAAGGATACCACCAGGCAGCCAAGATCTTCTACACCAGTATCTCGAACTGGGCCAAGCTGGCGACCACCCTGGTGCACCTCGAGGACTACCAGGCGGCGGTGGAGTGCGCTCGCAAGGCGAACAGCGTCAAGGTGTGGAAGCAGGTAAACGAGGCGTGCGTCAACAAGAAGGAGTTCCGCCTGGCGCAGATCTGCGGTCTGAACCTGATTGTGCATGCCGAGGAGCTGCAAGACCTGGTGCGCCAATACGAGCGCAACGGGTACTTTGACGAGCTCATCTCGGTGCTGGAGGCCGGTCTGGGTCTGGAACGGGCGCACATGGGGATGTTCACGGAGCTGGGGATCGCGCTGTCCAAGTACCATCCGGACCGGGTGATGGAGCATCTGAAGCTGTTCTGGTCGCGGATCAACATCCCGAAGATGATTCGGGCGTGCGAGGAGGCGAACCTGTGGCCGGAGCTGGTGTTCCTGTACTGCCACTACGACGAGTGGGACAACGCGGCGCTGGCGATGATGGAGCGTGCTGCGGACGCGTGGGAGCACCACTCGTTCAAGGACATCATCGTCAAGGTGGCCAACCTGGAGATCTACTACCGCGCGTTGAACTTTTACCTGCAGGAACAGCCGCTGCTGCTGACGGACCTGCTGCAGGTGCTGACGTCGCGGATCGATGTGAACCGCGTGGTGCGGATCTTCCACTCGTCGGACAACATCCCGCTCATCAAGCCGTTCCTGCTCAACGTGCAGGGGCAGAACAAGCGGTCGGTCAACGACGCGATCAACGACCTGCTGATCGAGGAGGAGGACCACCAGACGCTGCGGGACTCGGTGGAGCAGTACGACAACTACGACGCCGTGGAGCTTGCGCAGCGCTTGGAGAAGCACGAGCTCATCTTCTTCCGCCAGATCGCGGCCAACATCTACCGCAAGAACAAGCGCTGGGAGAAGTCGATCGCCCTGTCCAAGCAGGATAAGCTCTACAAGGATGCCATCGAGACGGCCGCTCTGTCCAGCAAGGGCGAAGTGGTGGAGGACCTCCTTCGCTACGTAAGTTTTTCCTTCCTTTCTTTCTTTCTTTCTTTTTTTTTTTTAAAAAAAATCTTCTGCTAATGGTGTAGTTTGTGGACATTGGGAGCCGGGAGTGTTATGTGGGCATGTTGTACGCCTGTTACGATCTGATCCGGCCGGATGTGATTCTGGAAATGTCGTGGCGCCACGGGCTGCAGGACTTTACGATGCCGTTCATGATCAACCTCTTGTGCGAGCAGACGCGGACGCTGGAGGTGCTGCGGCGGGACAACGAAGAGCGCAAGGCGCGCGAGACGTCGCAGCAGAAGGACGAGGACAAGACACCGATCCTGGGCGGTTCGCGGTTGATGCTGACGCAGGGCCCTGCATCGGCCGCGCAGGCCAATGGGATCACCCCCCAGGCGACGGGTTTCCGGTTCTAAAGTCGATTCTTTTCGATTCTTTTCTCCCTGGATTTTCTATTTTTTTCTTTTTTTTTTCTCTTGTCTTCCTCATCTTTCTTCTTCTAATTCGTTGACTCACCGATTCGTTGATTGTTTTGTTGTACCATAATCCACGTTTACAAGTCTACTATACCGTGTCGTGTCGTGTAGTACAAGCGGAGTACAACCTCGGTTAGAGGGAGAACGGGCAAGACTTTATCCTCGCCAGATGTAGCAGTAGAGTCTAGACTAAGTGACGATCAAGGTTGACATGGCTTGAACTATTAGTATTAGTATTATTATTATTCGGTAGTTACTCCCTATAGTACATTCATTCCTTGGAGGAGATCCAGCCTTGGATGTCGGATAAAAGCAATCGCCGGTCTTCGGGCCGAGTTCGCCGGATGCCTCAGGCACAGACCTACTATAGTTGGCTAGTCATGAACGGTCAGCTGCCACGAAGCAGTCGGTCGCAGGGGCCTATCGGAGGAGTCATATTGCAATCACATTATGTACATGGACACGGACACGGACATGGACATGGACATGGTAGTTACATGATAGAACTACTAAGGACACTTTATTTTCTCGGTGTTCTAATCATTGGTGAATTCACCGGTTCACCGAGGATATCACCGGTAATACAGTAAGTAGTTAGGTAGGTTAGGTACCTTGGTACTAGGTACCTAGTAGTACCTAGGACCTAGTAACTACTACAGGTATCTGTGTAGTACCCACAGGTACTCCGTACTCCGTACTCCGTACTAGACTCTACTCTATTTGATCTGGATAATAAATCACCTCTGATCGACTCTCCGGAGTCCGGAGCCCCGGCCACTCGGAGAGACTCGTAGCTACTAAGCCGCCCGAGGTTACGGGGACGGGGGAGGTCGGAGACATACAATATCAGATACAGAGTACAGTACCTAGGTAAGATATCCTCACTATGGATGTCAGGATGTCAGGATGTCAGGATGTCACGATGAAATGAATAGAATGAATAGAATGATTAGATCGTATGTAATGGCTACAGTCATGGCCAAGAGAGAACGGCTAGACAAACTCACTCACCGGGGTGATGACCTCATTGGTATTGTCATTGTAGGTAACTAGTTACCTCGAGGTACCTACTAGGTACCTAGGTAGTACTGTAATACGGTATGTTACCGGAAAACTCTCGCTTATTTCCCGGACACTGTCTATACACTGTACTTTATAGTCGGGATAATAGCAGAATAGAATAGTAGAATAGAATAGTAGAGTAGAATATCAGAATATTAAAATAGTAGAGTAGTAGAATAGAATAGTAATAGATATATTATTTATATATTATCTACATAGCTTATACTGTAAAATATTCGGTATTCCATTGGATCCGAAACCGCTGCCCCGCCCTCCGCTCCGCTGATATATTTCCCCACGTTCTCCCTGTGTCCCTCTTTCCCTCCTCTTCTTCAGTCTCTTCTCAGCTCAGGATAGTGACTCACTCTCCCCTCGGTGGCTTCATCGTCATCTCATCATTTATATTCTTTCTCTTTCTCTTTTCTTTCTCTTTTCTGTCTCTTAACACACACACACACACACTCTCTCTCTCTCCCCCTCTCCCTCTCTCTCCCTCTCTCTCTCTCTCTCTCCCCCCCCTCTCTCTACCACAATGGCTTCATCTATCCCTGAAGAGGCCATTGATGACACCGAGTTCCACGAGGAGCACAATGGCCACCACCAGGACTCGGTTCATCGCCGTCTGCGCGCAAACTCCACCATCATGCAATTCCAGAAGATCCTCGTCGCCAATCGCGGCGAGATCCCCATCCGTATCTTCCGTACCGCCCACGAACTCTCCCTCCAGACCGTCGCCGTCTACTCCCACGAAGACCGGCTGTCCATGCACCGACAGAAGGCCGACGAGGCCTATATGATCGGCCACCGTGGCCAATATACCCCCGTCGGGGCCTACCTGGCGGGCGACGAGATCATCCGCATCGCCCAGCAGCACGGCGTCCACCTCATCCACCCGGGCTATGGCTTCCTGTCCGAGAACGCCGAGTTCGCTCGCAACGTCGAAAAGGCCGGCATCGTCTTCGTCGGTCCCACCCCGGACACCATCGATGCTCTCGGTGACAAGGTCTCCGCTCGCCAGCTGGCCATCAAGTGCAACGTCCCCGTCGTCCCGGGAACCCCGGGCCCCGTCGAGCGCTACGAGGAGGTCAAGGCCTTCACCGATGAGTATGGCTTCCCCATCATCATCAAGGCCGCCTTTGGCGGTGGTGGCCGTGGCATGCGTGTCGTCCGTGACCAGGCCGAACTGCGTGATGCCTTTGAGCGTGCCACCTCCGAGGCTCGCTCTGCCTTTGGCAACGGCACCGTCTTTGTCGAGCGCTTCCTCGACCGCCCCAAGCACATCGAGGTCCAGCTGCTGGGCGACAATCACGGCAACGTCGTCCACCTCTACGAGCGCGACTGCTCCGTCCAGCGCCGCCACCAGAAGGTCGTCGAGATCGCCCCGGCCAAGGACCTGCCCGTCGACGTCCGCGACCGCATCCTCGCCGACGCCGTCCGCCTGGCCCGCTCCGTCAACTACCGCAACGCCGGCACCGCCGAGTTCCTCGTCGACCAGCAGAACCGCTACTACTTCATCGAGATCAACCCCCGGATCCAGGTCGAGCACACCATCACCGAGGAGATCACGGGAATCGACATCGTCGCCGCCCAGATCCAGATCGCCGCCGGCGCCACCCTCGAGCAGCTCGGCCTCACCCAGGACCGCATCTCCACCCGCGGCTTCGCCATCCAGTGCCGCATCACCACCGAGGACCCCGCCAAGGGCTTCTCCCCGGACACCGGCAAGATCGAGGTCTACCGGTCCGCCGGTGGCAACGGCGTGCGTCTCGACGGCGGTAACGGCTTCGCCGGCGCCATCATCACCCCGCACTACGACTCCATGCTGGTCAAGTGCAGCTGCCGCGGCTCCACCTACGAGATCGTCCGCCGCAAGATGCTGCGTGCCCTCGTCGAGTTCCGCATCCGCGGCGTCAAGACCAACATCCCCTTCCTCGCCTCCCTGCTCTCCCACCCCACTTTCATCGACGGCACCTGCTGGACCACCTTCATCGACGATACCCCGGAGCTGTTCGCCCTGATCGGCAGCCAGAACCGGGCCCAGAAGCTGCTCGCCTACCTCGGTGACGTCGCCGTCAACGGCAGCAGCATCAAGGGTCAGGTCGGCGAGCCCAAGTTCAAGGGCGAGATCATCAAACCCATCCTCACCGACTCCGCCACGGGCAAACCCCTCGACGTCTCCACCCCGTGCACCACGGGATGGAAGCAGATCATCGACCGCGAGGGTCCCGTCGCCTTTGCCCGCGCCGTCCGCGCCAACAAGGGCTGCCTCATCATGGATACCACCTGGCGCGACGCCCACCAGTCCCTGCTGGCCACCCGGGTACGCACCATCGACATGGTCAACATCGGCCACGAGACCAGCTACGCCCTCAGCAACGCCTACAGTCTGGAGTGCTGGGGTGGCGCCACCTTTGACGTCGCCATGCGCTTCCTCTACGAGGACCCCTGGGACCGTCTGCGCAAGCTGCGCAAGGCCGTGCCCAACATCCCCTTCCAGATGCTGCTGCGCGGCGCCAACGGGGTCGCCTACTCCTCCCTGCCCGACAACGCCATCTACCACTTCTGCAAGCAGGCCAAACGCTACGGTGTCGACATCTTCCGCGTCTTCGACGCCCTCAACGACGTCGACCAGCTCGAGGTCGGCATCAAGGCCGTCCAGGCCGCCGGCGGTGTCGTCGAGGCCACCATCTGCTACAGCGGTGACATGCTCAACCCCAAGAAGAAGTACAACCTCGCCTACTACCTGTCGCTGGTCGAGAAGGTCGTCGCCCTCGGCACCCACGTCCTGGGCATCAAGGATATGGCCGGTGTGCTCAAGCCCCAGGCCGCCCGCCTGCTCATCGGCGCCATCCGCGAACGCTACCCGGACCTGCCCATCCACGTGCACACCCACGACTCGGCAGGCACGGGTGTGGCCTCCATGATCGCCTGCGCCCAGGCGGGCGCCGACGCCGTCGACGCCGCCACCGACAGTCTGTCGGGCATGACCTCGCAGCCCAGCATCGGCGCCATCCTGGCCTCGCTCCAGGGCACCGAGTACGACCCCAAGCTGGACCTCGCCCACGTCCGCGCCCTCGACGCCTACTGGGCCCAGCTGCGCCTGCTGTACTCGCCCTTCGAGGCCGGCCTCACCGGCCCGGACCCGGAGGTCTACGAGCACGAGATCCCCGGCGGCCAGCTGACCAACCTGATCTTCCAGGCCCACCAGCTGGGTCTGGGCAAGCAGTGGGCCGAGACCAAGAAGGCCTACGAGGCCGCCAACGACCTGCTAGGCGACATCGTCAAGGTCACCCCGACCTCCAAGGTGGTCGGCGACCTGGCCCAGTTCATGGTCTCCAACAAGCTCTCCGAGGAGGACGTGGTGGCCCGCGCGGCCGAGCTCGATTTCCCGGCCTCGGTGCTCGAGTTCCTCGAGGGCCTCATGGGCCAGCCCTACGGCGGATTCCCCGAACCCCTGCGGTCCCGCGCCCTGCGGAACCGGCGCAAACTGGACCAGCGGCCCGGTCTGTTCCTCGAACCGCTCGATCTCGCTTCCATCAAGAACTCCATCCGCGAGCAATTCGGCACCGCCACCGAATGCGACGTCGCCAGTTACGCAATGTACCCCAAGGTGTTTGAAGATTACCGCAAGTTCGTCAGCAAGTTCGGCGATCTCTCCGTCCTCCCCACCCGTTACTTCCTCTCCCGCCCGGAGATCGGCGAGGAGTTCCACGTCGAGCTCGAAAAGGGTAAAGTCCTTATCCTCAAGTTGCTCGCTATCGGACCCCTCTCCGAACAGACCGGCCAGCGCGAAGTCTTCTACGAGGTCAACGGCGAGGTCCGCCAGGTCAGCGTCGAGGATAAGAAGGCTTCCGTCGAGAACACCGCCCGCGTCAAGGCAGACGTCGGTGATAGCAGCCAGGTCGGCGCCCCCATGAGCGGTGTCGTCGTCGAGATCCGTGTCCATGAGGGCTCCGATGTCAAGAAGGGTGATCCTGTTGCTGTCCTTAGTGCTATGAAGATGGTATGTCCCTTTTCTACCCTTTCCTACCTCTATTATATGTATATGCTGACTGTCTAGGAAATGGTCATTTCCGCCCCTCACAGCGGCAAGGTGTCCGGTCTGCTCGTCAAGGAAGGCGACTCGGTCGACGGACAAGATTTGATCTGCAAGATTGTTAAGGCTTAAATGATTGATGATAGTTAATGATTTGTACAAGAATATCCTATTGAGTAGAGTATCATTCTACAAGTGCGTAGTTATAGTCTAGGTCTAACGCTCGATAAAGCAGTCCACACCCGCATGGCATCCTCCCACAGCTCGTCCTCCCAAATATCGACCCTTCCATCACTTCGCAGCCGGCGAAGCTGTCGATGACCACTAGTCCCCCATGTCGCACGAATATCCTCCCCGCGAACGAACCGTACCAACGGACCAATCAACGCCTCGCTGATCGTTTTCTTTTCCTGCTCGGAGATGGAAAACCCATTCCCCCAGAACCAGATGTACTGGTCTGTGGAGTGCGTGACCCCGTATTCGGGCGGGTATACCTCGTCCACGCAGCGCAGGCGGTACTCGATTCGATACCGGTGGAGTAGGTGGGAGGCGCCCGCGCGGGCGAGAGAAGCGACCAGCCCGCGCTGCACGGTGTGCACTTGCATGTCGGCGTAGATGCGGCCGAACCCTTGGCTCCTCCAGTCGGCACAGAGCGGGGGCAGCCTGTTATCCGGGTAGTAGAGGGGTATGAGTTTGTCGACATTTTCGGCTGGGTAGTCTGCTAGTAGGCGTTCGCGGAGGGCGGGCAGCGAGTCCGCCCGCGGCGGGAACCAGAGGGCATACAGGGCGTGTTCGTCGCGACATTCGCCCAGGAGGAGGCGGATGTTGCGGGCGGCAAGGGCGCGGCCGAACTCGCCGCTGTTAAGGGTGGCGAACAGGCCCCGCGACACAAAGCACGAGTCTGTCGCCGGCCGGAACTGGTGCAGGGGAATGCTTGCGGCGGCGGCGAGGAGCTTTTTCGCGGGGATGCTCCGGAGCTGTGCCATCTTCTCTGTTGGGGTGAGATGGACAGGGATCTCGAGCGCGGAGACCAGCTGGTCGAACTGCTTTTGGGTTTCTGGGAGTGATTTCGGCTGCATCCCGGGGCCGTTTGACCAGATACAGGCCTGCTTGATGATAGCCTGCGATTCAGGGAGGCGCACCTCGTACGCTATTTGGTAGAAGACAGAGTAGGCTCCTGTCTGAATGTCAGCAATGCCCCATCGTATTATTTTGGTTTTCATACCCGCTGAATATCCGGCCAAAGTGACGTTGTCTGGATTCCCTCCGAAGAGGCTGATGTTCTCCTTGATCCATTCTAAGGCTAACCGTTGGTCCCAAAAGCCAAAGTTGCCCACCGTCTCTCCTGCAGCAGATGCATCATCCTGTACTTCGGCTGAATACAGGAATCCAAACACGTTCAGGCGATATGCAGGCATCACCATCACACATTTGAACTCGGTTTCGCCCAGTAGTGAGGAGACAGATACCGTATTCGGGGTGCCAAATTGCAACCATCCGCCATCTAATCGTTAGTACATATATCGAGGGAGATGGAAAACAGTGCAAAAAGGAAAAGCCATATACATACGGATAAAGACAAAGACAGGCCAGCCTGGATTGTTAGCAAATGCAATGTAACAAAATTGGAAGAGTAGCCCTTACCCTCTTTTGGAGGCTCTCCAATTGGCACCCAGACATTGCATTGGAAGCAATCCTCGTTCCATCGGCTTTCATCTGCAGGACCTCGGAATCCCGGTTGGGGACAGACGCTGGCCCCTTCCTCACAGAGGCCCGGTTGGTCCTTTGTTCCGTAAGTGAAGGTCGAGGGCAATGCATGAGCTCTCCTCCAGCGGCTGGCTGGAGCTAGCGCATAACGCACTCCTCCGTAGAAATGGCAGAGCGGGGTCCCCGTTTGCTTGGAGGAGATCGTGGCGCCTTGTATGTACCCACGGTGGGAGAGGGACAGCACGTGGGGGTGCCGGCAGGTACTCATGGCTGTTTAAATGATCTGGGGTCCGAAATATGAAGTGTGATGTGTAGTGAGGAGGATGCCTTCAGGATCATAGTTAGCTATGAGCTATTGTTAGATACAGTAGAAACACACTGGCGGAGCCACATTTGAAGCCGGACTTAAATAAGCAATTGATATCGGATGATATCGACTTATCAAGCTTCTTTATGAAGCGATCGGCCTATCTGGTATTGCCGCGGTTAATGTTCGGCAGTGGAAGTAGTTCTATTCTTATCAGCACTCGGAAAGTAGCACTCTCATGATAGCAGTACCTCCTTAATTTGACACTGCTATTCCAAAAGGGCAGGTTGTGAGAACACGTCGCAGACCCAACTGGAAGAATCGGTTCCGTTAGGATTCCAGCCGGCCCTCATCGAAGAACTCGCTGTCTATGCCTTGGTCAACTCGACGTCGTGCATACACCGAACATGATATCTCGGTCTTTGTGATAGGCCACAATGACTCTTGGTACTAGTCGATGAGACTCTCTAGTCGAGGTAGCCAAAGGGCAGCTTTATGATCGACAATTAACCGTTCTTATACAGAAATCATGCAATCTTCTGTTAGCTAGTTTCTGAAGTGCAAGGCATAAGTACTGACCATAGGCGTGGGGATTAGCCAATTCATTGATGGAGAGTTGATACAGCTATTATGCACAGTCATCGCTTTGACCTGTATCAGTCAGCTTTGATAAATAATATGGCATAATACTACCGCAGGGATTCGTTCGTTACTTTGAGCTTCCCCGCATTCGTGGAGAGTGATGGTTACGTCAGGGATCCAGGATCCAGCACCAAATTCCACGCATCGACGGATTGGGAGACTCTGGGCATTCCCACGAGCCTGAAACTTCACAGCCATGGATAAGTGCTCGTATCCCATAGGAGGAGTCCTCCTTGTCAGGTGGTCCGCGAGAATCTGGACTGGACAGCAGTGATTCTCGGTTGTCCCCCCAATCACCAGAACTCCCCAAAGAGACGCACTTTCGTCCGATTTGCAACGAGCAATGGTTGTTTGCCACTTGATTCCGCTGATTGAACGTCAGAGATGGTGGGGGGATCTGCGTAATGAAACGTGAGCCCTTCATATATACTCGCAGACAGCTCTCTCCGGACCAACCGACCTGTTCTGTATCCCATCCAAGAAATCACGAGCAAATAATCATCTGGGTAAGTCAGTACTCTGCACCTTTTGGGACATTGATACCTCCTTCTGAGCGCGTTTTTCCCCTGGGTCTTTGTATGAGGGTGTATCAAGACGAGTTGTGTGTGTCTCCTTCGAGAAAGGGCCCCGGCTCACATGACGTCCTCGACTTGCCAGTTACTGGCAAAAGGCTCTGTGCCAACACCACATCCCACTATCCCTCACTGGCAGTGATTTAAGCCTTTGGAATGCTTTCCAAATCCTTTTTAAAGAGGCCTTTAGTCTTGAGAGTGGTACACTGACCTATCGAGCAGCCTATTTACCTTTCTGTGAACAAGAAGACTCGTTCACTTGACAACATGACTGACGACTCCCGTCGACACTGGCACGGCGATATCGGAAACCGCCATGAGCACCAGAATGCCTGGGTGCGAGGCGGTATCATGCAGAATATCTTGCGTCCGGTGTGGGCTCCAAATGAACCCGAGAAGGACCGCCGAGTACGAATCCCCCTTCTTTACCTTGTTACCCTGCCACCAGTATCTTCCAGTTTAGTAGATAGTATGAATGACTGATATTTTCTAGGGCTCTGATTCCTCAACCATGTCTGCCGTGTCTTCTGCCTCTGCTGCCAATGAGAGCAGCAACAGCCCCCCAAGCGTTGCGGACAAGAGAAGACGCTCCAGCGTCCATGGCTCGGGCCCTCTCTTCCAGAATCTCTCGAATCAGAAGCGTAACTCCACTGATGCTGACGCTGCATCGCGCAGAGCCAGTTTCATGGAGCAGTCGGAGAAAGGCGGCATGCTTTCCAAGTGGTGGGAGGGCTATACTAGAGGTCATTAACTCGTACGTGAACTCTCACCTGTAGCGGAAGGGAGATGAATTCCACAGGTAAATTGCAGAATTGGGATTTGAGCATATTTATTCAATAATGGAGTTCTGTCGGACATAATTTGATTTTGGTTTCATGTCCACCATTTGGGAAATTCATGAATCGAGACTGCTGTACCTACGTTGAGGATATGACAATTATGTTGAATAGTACTGTCACTTGGTTATAATCTATTCCTTGAAAATAGACTAGTGTATGTAGACCATAGGCCTATAGTAAGTCTGAAAGAAATGATTCTTGAGTCTCTCCCACAGTGAGAGTGATGAGATTGATGCTCGAAACAAGATCTTCGACATACACTATCCAGAAAGCTAAACTGCCTATCCCCCTGCAAGCGAATATCGATTGGCAAGGATTAATGCTTGCAACTGCAAAGTGAGGTCGAAACTACGTATCTACAGGACCTCCGAGTGACGGCTACTATATATGTCGATGGGCTGGGCAGATAGGACCTCAACTTACCTTCCATAGCCCAAGGGTGCTGGGTCAGAGACCTCTTCTACGACCAAGGCGAGAAATGAATCTCAGAGCCAGCATGATCTGTTCTTAGATCCAGCTAGCAGCCGAGACTCAAGGCCACAAAAATAGGGTCTCGTTGAAGAGAATCCCATAGGAACCAGTAGCCCAGTGAGCCGAAGCACAGAGAGCACTCAGATGGGTAGCGTGGCCTCGCAGAGAGGACCCAGCAGCCGCATCATGGTTCATGACTTTTCAAGCAATGGTTATGCGGAAACAACACCTTATGTGAAGCCTTCATTGTGAAAAGTAGATGCATTTTCTGAACAAAAAAATATTTGTAGGTTTTGATATCTCTCTAGCATGCCCTAGTCGCATTGCCGTGGTAGAAAAGCAGAACGAGACAGAAATACAGAGTCGATGTCTGCCTTTGGAAGATTTTTTTCGTTCGATCTCATCGTAACGCGAACCCAACCTTTTCCCCGCTAAAGACTCAAAGTTTGTTTGTTGGAAAGAAGAGGTGTTCACCTGACGATGCCGTCGAAGCGGTTCTTGAACCACTTGATGGTCTCGGTCTGGTTGATCTTGTGGTTGGTACCGATGCTGGACTTGCAGCGGCGGCGCTTAGCAACACGCTCACCAGGGCGGGTCCTGTAGAGAGAATCGTTGTCAGTTCTAGATCATTTGGCAACCAAATATCCTTGGGGAAGAGGGGTGGGGGGGGGCTTTTTGCTTCTTGCTCTGCCCTCTTCCATGGAAAAATAATGGTCGGTTACTTACATGCAGCAGTAGAAGTCCATGCCGTAGATACCAATACCGGGGTCGTACTTGATACCCAGATCGATGTGCTCGCTGATACCGAAGCCGAAGTTACCGGTCTCGGAGAAGTTCTTCTTGCGGAGCTCGTACTCCTTGACCTTGAGACCACGCTCGAGGATCTCCTCAGCCTTGGGGCCACGGACGGTAACGTGGACGGCGATCTTCTCGTTACGACGGATACCGAAGGTACGGACGGTGTAGCGGGCCTTGCCTATAATTCGGAGGAAGAAAAACCTCTGATTAGCTTTGTCCAAACTTTCTTGCACAATTTTTCTTCTTCGCTCTCCTCCCTCAACATCATCGAAATAAAAGATGGCGTCCTTACTGTAGACAGGAGTCTGACCGCTCAGCTGCTCGAGCACCTTAGCAGCACGAGTAAGTCTGTCACCAGACTCGCCGACACTGATGTTCAGCACGAGCTTCTGGATGCGCAGCTCGCGCATGGGGTTTGCGCTCTTGTCCTTTCCGTCCGACTGTGAAGAAAAAGCCATATTAGATATTTGCTTTCGACTTCTCGATAAATCTTCTCAATAGAACTGCAGGGTGGCATACCATGGCGAATCCTTTGGCGTGATCTGGTCGACTTGATGGATTAGTATCGAGAAATCAAAAGAGCGGTTGTGCAAAAGGATGTGTGGGTTGGAAGTGGAAGCGAGAGCCCTTAGCGGCTTGGCGCGTCGGTTGGCGCTAAGCGCAGAGCCGCGCCCGCTATCAGAGTTGGTTGCAAACCGCAGGCGCGCCTCACCAGAAGAGCTCCTCGCAATCCCCACACCCTCTCGATCAGACGCAGTGCTGGTTCAGAGGTGCGAGCGAGGAAAAGGGACAGAGAGATCTGTCTGTTGATTGTTGCATTTTTTGGTCATACTCTCGAAGTCGCATTCGTGCGCAACTTCAAACGCCATGGCGAACAAACAGGGCAAGATGGTAAGTGACGGTCGTTCCAGTGACGTTTTCGGAGCTCGATCTCATGCCTGGTGATATAGAAGCTAACGAGTCTTTCTAGCAAAACCTCGTGCGTATATTCCCGTGTTGTCGAGACCTGATCGCGCCTCTTACTGATTAATTAGATTAACTACCGGATGCGAGTCACCCTCAACGATGGCCGACAGATGACCGGTCAGATGCTTGCTTTCGACAAGGTAAATATCATCGCAGCTGTTGGGGACTGTGATACTTTAACCATGTTTGCCCAATCATATGCTGATTGAAAACTTTAGCACATGAACCTCGTCCTTGCCGATACCGAAGAATTCCGTCGTGTGAAGAGGAAATCCAAGCCGGCTGCTGGCCCTGCGAATGCCCCCTTGGTGGAGGCCGAGGAAAAGAGAACCCTCGGACTTACAATTGTGCGCGGTACTCAGGTCGTTTCTTGCTCGGTTGACGGGCCTCCTCCCGCCGATCCCTCCGCTCGATTGGGAACCGCCGGCCCCGGTGCTGCGGCTGCAGCAGCCACCCTTGCGGCTGGTCCTGGAATCAGCAAGCCTGCTGGCCGTGGTCTGCCAGTTGGGCTTGGAGGCCCTGCAGCGGGTGTTGGAGGACCCCCGCCTCCGCCTGGCGGATTCGGAGGTTTCCCTCCTGGCGGCTTCCCTGGAGCACCTCCGGGCTTTGGTGGTCGCGGAGGCGCACCTGGTGGACCTGGTGGACCTCGTAAGTTTTTCATTTGATGCTTTTTTTCATCTTAGTGTCTCCAAGAACGATCAGGTCTGACATTTCTGTTACTAGCTGGATTTGCTCCGCCTCCAGGTTTCGCACCCCAGGGTGGACCTCGTAAGTACACCCTTCGCCATGGATGATGACTAAGGTACAAGTACTAATTGCTCTATACAGCTGGTGGCTTCCAGCCCCCACCAGGCTTCCAGCCTCCTGGGCAAGGCCGCGGATATCCTCCCCCCGGATTTGGAGGAAGATGATGGAGCATATGACGCTCAAAGAAAGAGACAACACGATTCTATCCATAATTCTACCTACAGAGGGATGCATAGGCGATTTAAGACTCCCTCTCATTATACAAGCCAACAAACAAATGGGGTAGAACAAAACGCAAAATCTACCTAGCAATGGCGTTGCGGCGCGTGCGGATGGCGGTCAAGTCCTCCAAGAGACATCACAATGGTATTTGAAAACCGAAAGAATAGCAATAGATACCACATTACCATAATTACTAGCAAACCCATATGTATGACTTGTTATTCTTCACTTTGCCAATGCCAATAGTAAACTACCTATTGTATGGCTCCGAAGTAATTGTTCAATTAATTCAAAATTGGACGGAGAACACGTGACCGCTATCCGTTATTGATCAGTCATAGGCTCATAGCAGCTTTGGAGCGCGCTCTCAACATTCCTCCCGATAGCCTCCGTGAGAACCTCTCCTCTCTACATCATCTTCTTCCAGACAAAATGGCGGCTGTTATCAAGGCGATTAACGCCAAAATCCGTTCCAACAAGGTCCTGGACTATGTCTGCTCAACACGTGTGTTTTATCCCAACCGAGTACTTTCTTATCCAGTCACCGGCATCGGTCCAGTCATTGCGAGCTTGAGATCTTGCAGTGGAAAGGGTCGACAGTGACTGGGCCAAATCTAAACTCCTCAACCCTCTATGAAGCAGTAAAATGTTGAAGACTAATTCTTCATCTGCGTATAGATTTCTGGGGCCCTGTCTCAAACTTCGGCATCCCCATCGCTGCCGTGATGGATACCCAGAAGGATCCTGAGATGTACGTTAACGAATCCTCACCATCGCATGTGTTGAATCCTCTGAACCCCCTCTGCCTCTGGATGTGCTACCTTCCACCCGAATGAGGGCACGACGAGTTTTTCCGATACAGATATCTGTGACGATCCCTTTGCTTACCATTATCTTGAATACTGATAGTATCTCCGGACAAATGACCGGCGCCCTGATCATCTACGCCGGTACTTTCATGCGCTACGCTCTCGCTGTTACGCCGAGGAACTACCTTCTTTTTGCCTGCCACGCCATCAACTTCACTGCGCAGACGACCCAAGGATACCGGTATCTGGCTTACTGGAAGTACGTCTGCTACACCTCTTTATCTAGACCCTACCCTTTTTTTTCATTTGATAAGTTGGAAACGGTCGTTATCTCGGGGTTGATTGATACTGACATGCTTTCTTTGCTAGGTGGGGAGGACGGGAAGCCAAGCTCGCCGCCCAGGCTGCGGAGGAGGGCAAAGCGGCTGCTCAAGCATAGATGTGTGCTCGAACTTGGTTATAGTCATATCTACACCCCTGTATACCAGCCAATGTGGGAAAATAGTAATCGAAACATCGCGTGTCACAATCTCTGGAATATATAGTATATTTCGAAGATAAGTGGGTGAGTCCTTGCGCAAGGCGTATCTGTAAGGGGTGGAAATGAGATTCATCACTTATCATTTCACATCCTCGGGTCATGTTGATTGAAACTACTAGACAGGTAGTGTGTTATTTCTATTTTCTTTTTCGTTTTCGGGTATCCTTGATATATGAATATTCCTGAATGTGCTATGTATTAAGTAGACTTCAATTTCAGGATTACCATTTATATCCAATTGATTCCAATCTGCTGAGAAACTAGTACATCACAATTTCAACCTCTGGAGCATATACATTCTATTGCTCTATTCCATAAAAGACAAGTAGGAAAACATATACCAGGATAGACAAGAAGGACAGAATAACAGGTTCCGAATATGACGAAACGAGTTTATGATAAGCGGACAGAAAGGGAAGGACGGTGAATCGAAGTACACCCAATGAAGGTTCAAAGCCAATTTCCTCTCTTCTCAGACTAGTAAGAATCGCAGTATCCCGGAGGCTTGGTGTTGTCTCCGCCAACCCAATTGGTGATGGTCAATGTGGTGGTGTAAATACAAGAGATTACACCAAAAACAGCGAGGGCAATGTCCGCAATCTGCTGCTTTCTAGACTGGGCACATGCTTTGAGATGGAGCAAAGGCTTTAAATATGATGTTAGAATCGAGAGCCAATAGATAAAACGGGATGAGATTTATTATATAGAAAGGACTTACCGGGTAAACATAGACGAGCGGAACGCAGGCGAAGCTTCCTACCAGGGAGACAAACTTGTCCAAATCTTCTGCTCCTCCCCAAGCAACAAAGGCGCAGAGCATGACGAGGAAAAAGCGGAAACAGTTCTTCTTCCACTTGATGCCAGGGTTGTACTTGCCGCTGCGTGTGAAGAGCTCATTCTCCATGATCCGAATGGCGGGGAAGAGCTGTAGCGGAGTGCTGAGCAGGATGGCCAGAGAGTAGAGGAACTGGACTGCGTTGACAAATTTGTCGTCCTGGGGGAGGTTCAAGAGGATGACGGTCTTGGTCGCAGAACCGTAGGCAGCATAGCTGAGGGCGCCGGCGGAGAGGAAGATGACTGTGATGATGACCATTACAAATGCAAGGACAGCGGGAAACTTCTGTGGGTGCTTCATCGATTCCTGAATAGGAATAATCAGACCGATTCCCTCAAAAGTGAAGATAGCTGTTCCGATAAAGAGTGTCCAGTCCGAAGGATTGAATGATTTGACGTCTGAAATACCACCTAGATCAACAATGGTGCTGATGTCGTAGTAATAGAGATAGATCAAGCCGAGCATAATGAACGCGTCGGCAATGAGAGCGGTAAACCCGAGTTTGCTGATATCCCGGATGAGAGACAGAGGGAGGAAGATGATCAGCTGGATCAGGACCATAAACTTGATGTCGATGAAGGATTTGCACTTGCTCACAGCAAGGACAAAGGCCTGCAGATTTTCCGATGTGAAGACGATATAAGCCGAGACAAATCCAAGCTGACTCAGGACAATAGACCCAAGGATAATTATGCGCATGTATTTTCCAAAAAGAATACCACCCATATCACCGAAGGAGGCCTCGATCCTCGTTCGAACACTCACGAGCTGAATGAAGCAATAGTAACTTAAGATGGACACAAAAAGAAGAACGAGGGTGCTGAACAGCATGCCTCCATTCAGAAAGGCCCTCGGCAGAAACAGTACACCTGTCCCGACAAATGACTTGAGCAGTAGGAGAGCAGCCCCGGTTGTTGTATTTGTTCCCGTGCCTCCACGCGGCTTAGGCTTACGCTTTTTGCGGCCAGGAGTTTCCGGACGTAGTAGAGCAGACTCCTCACTCACTTCACGGCTTTCGCCCTCGTCATAGGTATCGGACGAAAAGTATTCATCGGGCCCCAGCACCTCATCATCTTCCTCGAGCTGCTCGCCTGCGAAATGGCCGTAGAGCGTCAAAAACTCAAGGAAGCTGGTGGTAGGTAGGTGTGGTTGAGTTGGCATCGGATTCCTCGAGCCATTGGCACTGGGGTGAGGACTGCCAGCGGTTCGTCTAATATAGTCTCGACGGAAACCACCAGGAACTCTGATGGTATTGATGTCCATTGTTTGACTTTCTGGCTGTGGCCGACTGATGCTGAAGCTTTTACTCCGCAGAGGTTTCCGCCCCGAGGCCTCGGCCTCCGCATCCTCGGCCCATCGGTAGACCTGCCTCGTGATGTCGCCCCCCTGAAGTTGCAAGCTCGAAAACTCGTCGTCCGCAAGGCTGGGTTCAACATCAGCCGAAGCAGTGGGGTCAAGACCATCAGTCACATTCTGTGGCTGAACCAAATGCCGTTTCACAATCTCAGGATCCTCATACGGGCCAACACTCGAATATTCAGAGCCCTCCCTTCCTCCCTTGTTATCGAACGACCCATAAATCGACCCAACCGGCTTGTCCAAGTGCGACAGCATCGCAGGAGAGTCGGCCCGTCTTGGCGGCGTTCCAAACCTGGGCGGAGAGCGACCGAGGTTGTCCTGAAGAGCGGAAGCAATCATGGAATTTCCAGGACCTGGCAGAGACGACGGATTATCGACTCTACGCAGGTCCTGCCCGGATCCTGCTCCTGATCCCGGTATCGAGTGACTTGGAGGAGCTAGGCCCTGTCTCGACGTGAAAGAGGTGCCGGTGTTCGACGGTGAAGGTATCGGTGAAGCCAGACGAGCAATTGAGGCTCGTCTTGAATATGAATCTGCGGCTGGTGACCCTGACCGTCCCAGAGAGGTCGCTATCGGCACCGCCAAAGAAGCCTGGGAGGACGATCCTTCCCCATTGTCCGCCATTTTATTCCCCTGTTCTGCTCTTTACTCAGATCCCGAAAAGCGAATAGCGATATCCAAGCCAAGCTCCTGTAGATGCGAGGTGGGCTTATTCTAGCAGTCTTCCCTGGTTCAGGATAGACCGACCGACTGACTGATAGCGATCAATTGGAGGCTCGCTTGATCAAGGCAGGATCGAGACTCGCGTAAGTATCCACGCAGAGACGATATGTCCGCAGAAGTCAGATAGGATATGTAGAACGTTCTTTCGGCGTTTCAGGGCAAGCGAGAGCGACTCTTCCCCCTGGGAGAAGCGTGATGACCAAAAGGGTGTGCAACTGCCGCCCGAGATGCAACTTGGGAGCGCGAGTCACCTGTATGTTTGCACTGTTTGTCTTGCCCTCGCTTCTGCGGTGAGGTCATCCAACAGGGATTCGTTTGGTTAGCTATACACCTGACCCTGCAACAATTACTGGAATTGGAGCGAACTGACGACACGATGCATCTTGGGGGTTGACAGCTAGACCGCATGTCGTTATTATAGAGCTCCAGGCGCCGGCCATCGTTCTCTGTGTTTGATCCAGGCTGTCGACGCAGTTGCTTAATAAGATAAGCCTGTCTTCACGTTGAGCGGGCAACTCCGCTCTGTCCTACACTTCTTCGAAACGCCCAGTGGCCAGTCTCTAGCGGCGTGGTCAAGTCATTTTTGGATCAATTGGATAGAGAATTTCGGATTCGAAACATTATGAGGTGCTATTGACAAACAGTCAGACATGATGGACGAACGGGGTATTGGCACCTCGTCGCCTGTTCCTCGAAAACGACCCAACTTCTCCGCGCGAACAGCGGCGGAAGATGTTGCTAGGTTGGCACCGAGCGAGTCGCCGGATGCATCCCCAGAGCGAAAGCACAGGTCATTGCGTCAAGGTTCTGCTGCATCAGATCAGCCTTACGAGCCGGCGGCGTCCGCATCCCAGACGTCTTATCGCCATGATCCCCTACCGTTACCGTCGAGTTTCTGGGGCCGAGTGTCTCGTTGGTTACACAATCGTGGTGAGCGTGATAGTCAGGGACGATGTCAAGGTGACATGCAACCACACTCGTCACTAGACACTGCGCTCGCTCGAGAATCGAACTATGGCAAAAGAGACAGGAATAGGCACAAGCACCAGTCGGTTGATGACAGTGGCAAATTGGGGACATTCTCGGGCGTTTTTGTGCCCACCACTTTGAACGTCCTGAGTATTCTGATGTTCCTGAGATTTGGGTTTATTCTGGGCCAGGGGGGAGTGCTGGGAATGATGGGTGAGGCTTATCTTACGATTGCTTATATTTGGCGGCCATGGCAAATTGCTGATTACCAACTCAGGATTACTCATTGTCTCATATGCCATCAATTTGGTGACAACGATGTCTCTTTCGGCAATTGCTACCAATGGTACTGTGAGAGGAGGCGGAGCCTACTATTTGATATCTCGATCTCTTGGACCGGAGTTCGGTGGCTCTATCGGCATGGTCTTTTACCTGGGCTATGTTTTCAATACAGGCATGAATGCTGTTGGCCTAGTTGACTGTTTTACCCAGAACTTCGGTACCGAAACTGGAACCTGGGCGAATTTTCTCGAGGAGGGGTTCTGGTGGCAATACCTCTGGAGCACTATCATCTTGATCATCTGTACCGGGATCTGCTTGGCTGGTAGCTCCATTTTTGCGCGGGCCAGCAATGGTTTGCTGGTAATTCTCCTTATTGCAACCTTCAGCATCCCATTCTCTGCATTGTTTATGAGACCTTTCAGCATTCCACGTCTGGGTGTGGAGTTTACCGGAGTCCGTCTCCAGACATTTATGCAGAACCTCAAACCAAAGCTTACAAAAGGGGCTGCTGGAAGTCAAGTTCATGGAAGGGAAAACTTTCAAGACCTTTTCGGAATTCTTTTCCCTGCCACGGGTGGCATTTTTGCGTAAGTCCTGCTGATTTGCATTGTCTTCACACAGAACACATCGCTTATAAACAGATAGTGGTGCGAGTATGTCCGGAGATCTGAAGAATCCGAGTAAATCCATTCCTAAGGGTACACTCTCCGGCTTAGCTTTAACCTTTGTGACTTATACCCTGGTGATTTTCGCAATGGCTGCCTCAATTACCAGGGAGTCGTTCTATAATAATCTGAATGTCATTCAAGTTGTGAGTTTGGCATCTAGCATAGACTCGTAAAACAGCAGACTGATCACCCCCAGGCCAATTTGTCAGGTACGATTGTGCTTCTAGGAGAATTTGCCTCGACATTCTTCTCAGCCCTTATGGGAGTCATTGGATCAGCCAAACTGCTCCAAGCAATCGCTCGAGACAATCTTCTTCCGGGGTTAGAGATCTTTGGCAGAGGCACGCGGAAAAGTGATGAGCCTGTCAATGCAATTATAATCACCTTCGTTGTTGCCCAATTGACGATGCTCTTTGATATCAATCGAATTGCGTCTTTTGTTACGATGACTTATCTCATGACCTTTTTGGTGACCAATCTCGCCTGTTTTCTTCTCAAGATCGGATCGGCCCCCAATTTTCGACCGTCATTTCATTATTTCAATTGGCAAACTGCTGCTGCTGGCACCCTCATCAGCGGACTCAGCATGTTCTTCGTGGACGGCCTGTATGCAACAGGCTGCGTTGGGATACTAGTTATGATATTCCTCCTGATACACTACACTTCGCCCCCGAAGTCTTGGGGCGATGTCAGCCAAAGCCTGATCTACCATCAAGTGCGGAAGTATTTACTTCGACTGCGGCAGGAGCACGTGAAATTCTGGCGCCCGCAGATTCTACTGTTTGTGAACGATTTTGAAACGCAGTACAAAATGGTATCTTTCTGCAACTCCCTGAAGAAAGGTGCGCTGTTTGTTCTAGGCCATGTCATCGTGACAGATGATTTTTCCGGTGCAGTCCCGGAGGCGCGTCGCAAGCAGATCTCTTGGACGAAAATAATCGAGTATTCTAAGATCAAGGCCTTTGTGAATCTGGCCGTGTCGCCAAGTGTTGAATGGGGTGTGCGAAATATCGTCTTGAATTCAGGGCTTGGAGGAATGCGGCCAAATATTGTTGTAATCGACCAATATCGAAAGGCCCAGAATATTGCTGGGACCTGGCAAGGGGGTTTTCACGGACGCGATTCGAGAAGCCGGCGGCTCTCGTCTCAATGGTCAGCAGGGTTCGAGGACTCGCAGGAGACCGGTCCAAGCCATTCAGAAATGAATTGCAAGAGCTATGTTACGATTCTGGAAGACCTCCTTTTCAAGTTGCGCATCAATGTTGCTGTCGCCAAAGGATTCGAAGATTTGGTGCTCCCAGGTTCTGAAAACCAACACACGAAGAAATACATCGACCTGTGGCCCATTCAGATGTCCGCAGAATTCGGCGATGACAATGCCAGCAAGCAGAGTGTGCTGACAACAAATTTCGACACCTACACTTTGATCTTACAGCTAGGTTGTATTCTCCACACCGTACCCTCCTGGAGAAAGGTGTACACCTTACGCGTGGCAGTCTTTGTGGAGTATGAAACGGATGTCGACGATGAACGTGGACGCGTTGAAGCATTACTTGAGAAGTTGCGGATTGAGGCGGAAGTGGTAGTTTTCTGGCTTGCCTGCGGCGAATTGAAAGCCTACAAGATCATCGTCAATGGAGACACAACGGGAATGGATGCAGATGCACTGGCCATGGTCGATACGGCGTTGAAAGGAGAGAGCTGGTGGCAAGACACCAAGAAATTTAGGGAGAACACCCACCGAGATTCGCAGAGCGAAGATAGAGGCAGGGCTGCCAAACTGCGGGCGGCCATGTTGGACTGGCAAGGCTCCACAAGCGAAGGCAGCGTGATGCGACTCAACAGCCCCCGGATCGGCGGTTTGAGAAAGCTGCTGCGGTCTCCGAAACGCCGGCGATCTGTTTCTAGCTACCGGACTCTCGGAGGAGTGAATCTTGGCATGCAAACACATCGTCTGCTGGATGCATTGGTCGACTATGATGCAACCGATCGCACAAGCAGCTCCTCTAGCAGCGACAGCGAGTTTGATCCTTACATAAGTGAAAATGATTATGAAGACGATGACGATGACGATGAAGAAAACTATGGCAACGATTACCACAATGGCGGCAGTGGACGGCCTGGACAACAAGGCCAGGGTAACCTCTCGCTCTCGAACGAGAGGCTCAATTCAACCACCACCACCATTCCAGCTATTGTTACACCGGATGAGGGCACGTCCCCAAAGACCAACTTGACCGCCGACCGGCCTTCAATCGCACGGTCACCATCAAGCAACCGCTTCAGCTCCGCCCCAATCCCCGAGGCGCGAGTCAATTTGGAGGAAGAGTCTGGGCCGTCCATCATGTTCGCACCTAGCCCCTCATCGTCACCCCCCAGCAGGCATCATTCCATTTATCAGCACCGCTCACATTCCGGAGGCCTCGGAAGTGGTGCCAAACCCCCTGCAAGTGGTTACCCTGGCCATGCTGCGCTGCCACTTTCGTTCAATGATCTACCCAGCCGCGCACAACATTTGATTCTGAACGAGCTGATGGTCAAGCACAGCAGTGAGACTGCGGTTGCCTTCACAACCTTGCCGCCGCCATTGCAAGGCACCTCCCAGAGCGAGGAGCTGAGCGAGTCCTATCTCAGCGATTTGGAGGTGCTGTGGCAAGGCCTGCCGCCGTGTCTGCTAGTCCACAGCAACAGTATGACGGTGACGATGAACCTGTAACGAGCGACGACGAGTGTTTTTTTTTTTTTTTCTTTTACAGCAGCAGCAACAGCAGCAGTAGACAGTGTTTATTGAAGAAAATTCGGGTATTCAAATAAATGTCCCCATGATACGAGTACAGCCATAACAGAGAGTGAGTTATAACAGGGTACCCTAGTTAAAGCCCTTGGAAGTCAGACTACGGAGTAGGAACGGTCATGTGAGGGTCCGTCTTGATTAGGAAAGGGGGGTAATTTCAAGGTCGGGTTTCTTTTCGATACGCCTGGTTTACTATTTCCGCAGCGCTGATTGGCCCGATATCAAAACCACCCGAAACAACGAAACAGCGGCCCCGGCCCCCAGTAAAGTACTAACCTGATCTTCCTTCCCTATTATTCTTCGCGCCAGGTAGAATTGTTATTCTTCTGTGGCAGTGTGTCCTCATCCCACCCCTCCTTCCGCCCTTTCTATTTGGATTTTCGAAGGGGAATTCTGTTCCAACGGCATCTGGACCCCGCAATGCATGGTGTTTCCTTGCTGTGACCCTTGATACCGCCACATTTCCTTTGTCTCCAACCGCTGGGAGAGAGAGTCCGTCCCCCTCTCCTGATCGCAATTGACGACCCGCACCCGCGCCTGCTGTCATGCAGAACGGCCGCGGTCGTAGAAAGAACGGCAGTCTGAAGCTCTCGAAAAACAAATCCCCACGTCCGCCGGTATCTCAATCGTTTGCCCAAAGCTCTGACGGTGAGATTCCCGTCCGCCCCAAGGTCTCGATGGCTCCCGTCGCTCTTGCGAACGACCCCTTCACTCATGAGATCTCCACCCCTGCCACTACTACCACCACCGCCGCTACGAACCCCCTGACGACGAACGGAGTCCATACAACGAAGAAGTTGATGGCGCGGAAGCAGTCATCGCCCATGGCGCCGACATTTATGGTGTCGGCGCCGGGCAAGGTCATCGTGTTTGGAGAACACGCCGTGGTGCACGGCAAGGCAGCCATGGCCGCAGCCATTTCTCTACGATCATACCTCTTGGTGACCACGCTATCGAAATCCCAGCGAACGGTGACGCTAAACTTTCGAGACATTGGGCTGGATCATACCTGGGACATTGACGAACTGCCATGGAACGTTTTCCAGCAACCATCCAAAAAAAAGTTCTACTACGATCTTGTTACCAGTCTTGATCCGGAACTTTTTGAATCCATTCAGCCTCACCTTGAATCAGTGGGGAAGGGTATCCCCGAAGAGCAGCGCAAGATCCAGCAACGATCGGCCTCGGCTTTCCTATACCTCTTCCTATCGCTCGGCTCACCGCAGAGTCCCGGCGCCATCTACACCCTCCGATCTACCATTCCTGTCAGCGCGGGTTTAGGGAGCAGTGCGACCGTCTGTGTGTGTATCAGCACAGCGCTGCTGCTCCAAATCCGCACCCTTGCTGGCCCTCACCCGGACCAACCTCCCGAGGAGTCAGAGGTGCAGATCGAGCGCATTAACCGTTGGGCGTTTGTTGGAGAAATGTGCATGCATGGGAACCCCAGTGGTGTGGATAATACGGTCTCCGCGGGCGGCAAGGCAGTGGTGTTCCGCCGAACGGATTACTCGAAGCCGCCCGTCGTCACTCGGCTTCCAAACTTCCCAGAGTTACGTCTCCTTCTAGTCAACACGCGACAATCACGGTCTACGGCAGTTGAGGTTGCTAAAGTTGGCACACTGAAGAAGGAACATCCCAGGGTGACCGAGACTATTCTTAATGCCATTGATGACGTCTCGGTGTCGGCACAAGAACTTGTTGAGTCTCTCGGCAACGGTGAGTGTTCGAAGGAGACACTTGAGCATCTTGGCACCCTCATTCGCCTGAACCACGGCCTCTTGGTCTCCTTGGGTGTTTCGCATCCCCGTCTGGAGCGGATTCGGGAGCTGGTCGATCATGCCAACATCGGCTGGACGAAGCTCACAGGCGCTGGAGGCGGCGGTTGCGCGATCACGCTCCTACGACCCGACATCAAGGAGGAGGCGGTGCGGGAGCTGGAGCAAAAGTTGACTGATGAAGGATATGCTAAGTACGAGACCACCCTTGGTGGCGACGGTGTCGGAGTCCTTTGGCCCGCGGTACTCCGCAACGGTTCCGATGAGGAGGGAGGCGAAGAGATCGACCAGCAGAAATTTGAAAATGCCGACGGACCGGAGGGCATTGAACGGTTGGTCGGTGTTGGGGTTCAGGAGAAACGCGAAGGTTGGAAGTTCTGGAAACGAACGGCCCCCTAACCTTGGGATCTCGATATGGAGACACACACACACGCGCGCGCGCGCACACACACACACACACACACACACCTTATACTCACCGAGTCATCTTCTTGGCTCTGCTCGCCGCTCTGGATTAGACCATCTGCCATGCATAATATCAATCTCAGTCGATAGAGAATGACTTGTTGGTGCAGAAGATGACGCCAGCATGGAGCATGTCTTGCCTACTTTAAACCATGGATTCCGGTAACCTCACTTTCTTCTTTTCTATTATGTCTTTTATCTATTTTATTGCTTTTCATGATTGCCGTTCCACTCTGGGGTGCCTTCCACTTTTTTTTTTTAATCGAACATATGTCTATAATCCTTACAGTCTGCCATGTGGTCCTTTCTTTCTTTCTTTCTTTCTTTCTTTCTCTTAATTCTTCCCCCTTGGCACTCCTTATTTTCCATGCATTCTTTAATAATCTCGAGCCCTTTTTATGTCCTTTCCATTTCTATTCTTTCGATATGAAGAGTGAGGTACCGCAGTATTCGATTAATGGCCCGGTATAATAGGAACGGCGAGAGCATTTAGAGCTGGAAGCGATGTGTATGTCTAATATGATTTGCTATCATGCAAAGCATTATCATTAGTAATAGAGGAGTAAAAAAAAAAAAGAAGTAACCAACTCGATGCGTATGTATAGCTTGTTATATATAACTATGTACGGATGTACACCCATGATCATGAATGAATGAATTAGGTACAAGCCCATTTGCAGTTATCTTAGCTTCCCCTACTTTTAGCCCATGGTAGTCTCCCACCCTTTCTCCATCATAACATCAACCCAGTACGTGTTGGGCAGGCCGGCGTCCATGCGTCTCCACACCTCCTGGACGAGGAGCAGACAGACCCTGATTGGTTTCGGGGGCAGGACGTGCAGGAAGGAGGTGAGTCTGGCGAGGACGAACTTGCGGGTGCGCGACACCTCCACGGCGTGCGGGGAGATGGTTCCCGGGTCGGAGAGAAGCGGGGAGGGAAGGCGGAGCTCGCTGCTGGCGGCGACGAGGAGGAAAGGTTGGAGGCAGCGAGTGCGGGATTCGAGGGGGATGGTTTTCAGGCGGGAGAGAGTTGTTAATGCGAAGGTTGTAAGCCAATTGTCGTGGTGGGATGTTTGGTCTGAAGAGGAGGCGGAGGGAGGGGAGGAAGTAGAAGTAGAAGTAGACGTCGATGTGGAAGAAGTAGAAGCAGAAGAGGAAGAGGAAGAAGAGGCATTCTGGGCATTGTTGAACATGAGGTTTTCTGCCAGGTTGTCGAAAATAGAAGCGGTGCATGGATCGAAAAACGAGGCTGCGTCATTGTTCATCATCATCATCATGTGTGGCTGGGCATGGACGGCGTGGACGGAGTGAAGAGGTAATCGCAGGCGAAGCAGGTCGGGGAACGCCCGGTAGAGCTGCATAAGGCCGGTGCAACGATACACTTCCGCCATGGTCAGCAGATGCCAGACGGGGGTGTCGTCGTCGCCGGGACTGACGATATCTGCTTCGCTGGGGTGTGAGAGGCTCAGGAGTCGTTCCTCGAGTTCTTGGGCTTTAGATATAGCCTGCTGCGCCTGCGTGATGTCCTCCTGGGACGTGAACCGACAGGTTCGGAACCGCCGCCGCTCTTTGCGAACGAGCCGCCCGATTTCATGGACCGTGAATTGGGTGTCTCGGGCAATCCCCGTCCATGGGTGTGGAACACGCTGCAAGACGAGGGTGCCACCACTGTTGAACCCGGAGGTCAACGTGTCAGAGGTTGCAATGCTATCGGTGTCCGTCACGAAGGAAAGGAGCATTTCCCAGTAGATAAGAGCCTCCTCGAAGAACCGGTAGTTGTTACTGGTTTTTTTCATACTGCCACCGGATTCTTCCGCAGTGAGAGTGTTGAGATGCTTGCGTAGGGTGTTGAAGAACGAAACGCCCAAATCATTAGAATCATGCCAACTGGCGGTCTGTCCGAGCATGAGCAATGCCAAAAGCGACTTGTCGTCAATGACGGGCTCGTTTGTAATAGCTTCGATGGCTTCGTCTCGCATTTTTCGGCCAATCGGTCCAAATTGGGGAAAATCATTCACCAGAGATGCCGCAGCCATGCTTTGCATGGTGCGACACATGGCGAGCGAAGAGCCCCAGAGACGTGAGACTGTCGTTCTAAAGGGATTCATCTGGCTGTCATAACTGGAAAACAAGGCCGCAACCTCTTTGAAGTAATACTCGATCAAGGTCCATGACGGGTTGTTCAAAGGCTGATGGATAGATACCCGGGCTGACATCTGCTGAGCCGCTGGAGCGTAGTTGCGCACAATAGCCGTAGGAGAGAATTCCGGGAAAACAGGATCTTCGTCATGATTCAATGACTCTGCGAATGTGAACAACTGGGACAGATCCGTGATATCGTCGGGGGAAGAGCCGTCGCCGACGGGCAAGTCAATACCCCCTCCTCCTACTGTCGACGCTGCATCCGAGGCCGACACAAAGAGATCCGTGAGTTCGTCAACCGGGTGGATTCCTTGTTGCTCCCACAAGCCGTCACACACAATGTTGGCGCCATCTAGATCGATGCCTATCCTTTCCAGAGTCGAGCTGTTTGCATCAAGTCCCAAGTCTTTTGGGGTCTGAGACAGCAGATCGATCGAGCTCGTTCGTTCGGAAACTGATGCTGTCGGTACCAGCTCTTTCTGGACTGTTTTGTGAAGCTTGATCTCGTGTTCTTCCAGCTTGCCATTCTCAGTGACCCAGCGGAGCGGTTGCACATATCCAGGGCATCGGACGCCCAACCGAGTGCAGCGATGACAAGCAGGCGATTCCTCACCACATTTGACCTGCATCCAGCTTCGTTAGCCCGCCTCCAAAAGTGGAGACAATAATAAAGTCTGCTGGTGAAGCCCAAGGATCTCTTTTCAATCATCACGCAGGCCGTTGGGTACTAACCCGTTTACTCTTGCACCGCGCACAGCCGTTGCGGGACTTTTTAACCCGCCGCATTGATAAAATCTCGTGGAAGCCCGAAGCTGTCTATAGAGCCTTTGATTCAGAACATCTCAAGCAGGGTTTTCGCCTGCGTGCTAGAGCAGGTTGCCAGGATATGAGCATTGTTATCTCTGGCTAGTAGTATCTCGTGCGGGGGATTCTCGCTGGCCAATCATATAGGAGCGATTCTTCCCCGAGGTTCGTGACAGGCGGTGAAGAAAAGATCCGGCAGTATCGGGCGGTGTGTATCTATTTATAAGCAGGTATTGGGCTAACTTGACATGGTTAGTGCACTCCTGTCGGTGAATACGAGCCTGAGTCAAGACTCGAGTTTTTCTAGGTGTCAACAACTACCTCTAGAGCAGTACCATCAATTATATCAGACAGATAGACTCCAGAGTAATAACAATTTAGGAAATTAAATACAGAGGCTAAAATCCTTTAATCTCTCCTTTAGATCCATCATCGGCTCGTCTTGCTGTGCAAAATCGACCCACCAACGCTGGAATGTCGGTTGAAAGCGAGTCTTCCGGATTGGGCAGGACGGCACACGACTAGTAGGTACTTGTTTGCTTGGTTTGACAGGCCAAGTCTCATTCCTTCCACTCGTCCCCTTTTCCCCTCTCCGTGACTTGCTCGACTCTCCCAAATGTGATCTCTGTGTGGTATGCCTGGTCGAGGAACGCTCCACTCTGGAATCTCCGCTGGCCAACTCTTGGTTGCAGTTGGTTCCAGCTGGGAAGTTCGTCTGCTCTTGGAAATGGGTCGCATGCTCATTGCTCACCACTACTCAAGCCTCCTGCAGGGCTGGACCCTAGGAAGCTCCCTGAGTCCCTAGCCTCTACCACCCAGCTAAGTAGTTGTGGGGAGATCCTTGCTTATTGGGCTTGTTTCAGCCACTGATCTTGTGTGTTCTTCTAGTGCCTGGTCATTTCTTTTTTGAAGACTCGATGACTGGATGTCCACAGGTGAGACAATCTCTCCGTCAGCATATGGCCAGTTGTGATTAACGTGTTGGGATGCGTACAGAGTAGAGAGAACCTTCGCCCACCCCACACCGAATATCATGAATCTTGACCCCAGAAAGAGGTCATGCATCATGTAATGCCAAGTCACTGAGCTGCGATCCATGACTAGTACTCGGAGTACACCGCGGCTACACGAACCGATCTGGTTCGGGGGTCATCATGACATGTCTCCACCAATGGTGCCCTGGACCCTGCTCGTGTTAAAGTCAAGCTATTGACTTTCCATGCTGCTTGGCAGAGGCGATTCCCGCCTATTCCAGCAGTCAGCTCCCAGAACTCGACGGATTCAGCGTACTGAAGCATAATACCCGAGTCTTGCTTCTGTGTGGCCCGGTTTCTGGCAACCGTTACTGTGCTCATTCCGGTAGTTCAACGTAGTACGCAGTAGTAGTAGGAGGACTTATAATATGTACGTTGCCCTCCGCCTCAGGGCGCTTCTCTACCTGTTCCCTGCTTGTACCATCAGCTCGTCCCCCTGTCTCGTGTCAGGTTATACACTCGTTTTGTGGGCATTAGATGAGCTTGATCTGAAGGGAAAAGCCATGGGAAGGTACCCGCGACGCTTGGAATCCGCTTGCCTGTCATGATGATCTCTCGCTCACATCTCCTACGTCCGTTTTTGTTCTCTTTACTTGTGGTCTCTTCTCTCGCTTCCAAGACCCTTCATCTATTTCAACATTCACACTCCGTCAGGCAATCGTCCTTGATCCTCTACTTTCCTACGTTCTTTATAAATGAGACTCTTCTCTGTATAGCGGTCTGGTTCTTATTACATACGACGTCCGGGTCGCAATCCCTTGTTGGTGTCGCCATTACTGGATTATTGGCGTAAGTTCATTCTCAAGTGGCCTTATTAGGGCCAATGAATAACCAGAACCCTTTTTTCTCTCTAGATTTATCACTCTTTTCGCGTCCGCCTCTCAGATCGGTTTTTATTTTGTGACGGGCAGTGAGGTTCGGTGGGATGCAGCTAAAAATGTCGGCAATGATCCAGAGGGCAGGAAGCTGATCCTGAGCGGTCTCAAACCCGTTCTCGCAGCAGCGTTGATTCTCCTAACAGCCTCGTGGCTACTCACGCCAGGGATCTTTGTGGTATTTGGTCGATGGGTTTCTAGTCTCTCTGCCCTGATTCCTACCGACGAGCCGAGCGTGCAACTGCCCATATCAAACCGAAGGAGAAGAAGGCTATCAAGGTGGTCTAGGATTTGGACATTATGCGTGGCCTTGGTGACGGTTGGCTTATGGATCATTCGGCCTGCAGTGCCCTTCAACCACATGTCTGGGGCAGTCCCCTTCACCTTGTTTATGGCTCTCCGTTCGCAGCCTCCGAAATATCGCCAGGCCGATACCGAGCCCTTTCCATTGCCAGACCTCTTACAGGAACAGTTCTGGGAGCCGGCGGATGGCCATTTCAAGGGATGGGCGCCTGGCATGGGTGAATTTATCTATGCTGGAGATTCTAATTCGAAGCCTGACTGGGCGCCCGAGATGTTGCCTCCTGGATTTCACCGATGGAGTAGCCCGTTGGAGACCGTCATAGAGAATCCGGAGACAGACAATACGACTGAAAGAGAAAAAGACGGGATCAACCCGGACACCCCCCAGGACAATCGCCCCGCCGCAGTCCCTCTACAAAACTACTATGATCCGATCACAGACCCTCTTCGAATCACGAATTTGGATCAAGACGTGTTGGAACCGCTGAAGACTGCGCTGAAAGAGCGTGATGTCCCGATAACTCATGTCATGTTGGTGCTGATGGAAAGCGCACGGAAAGATATCTTTCCGTTCAAATCGGAGTCTCACCTCCACCGCAGTATCATCGAGTCCTATAACACTGATGACCTCGGATCTATCGAAGAAGTCAATCGGAAACTCGCACATATGACTCCTATTGCCGAACTGCTCACCGGCGAATCTTCCGGCTTTACCCCGTTGGACGAGACGGTGGGCGAACTGTGGAGCGATCCGGCGGAACCTGGAATGGGAGGCATCAATGTTGAAGGGATCTTGACTGGCAGCAGCCTCTCGTTCAAGAGTGCCCTGGTGAACTACTGCGGGGTGGGTCCGTTGCCTGTCGATTTCATGAACGAGATCCAGGCAGAGATATACCAGCCGTGCATAATGCACATTCTGGAGCTCTTTAACCGGTTGAAGGAAACCACATCCAAGGAACCAAGTCAGGATTCCGGAAATTCTATGCAATCGATTCGGGAGCGAAAATGGAAGTCGGTTTTTGCGCAATCAATTACTGGATTATACGATGACCAAGATGTGTTGAATGAGCAAATGGGCTTCAACATGTCCATCTACCGGGAAGATATCGCCGAACCCGATGCCAAGTACTACCATGAGGACATGGAAGAGATCAATTATTTCGGGTAGGCGGTGCCCTTAACTTCGAGCTGGTTACGTATTCTGACCTTTGTCATGATAGATTTGCTGAATCCGAAATCCTCCCCTACATGAGAGATGTCATCAATGAAGCGGTGGAGAGCAATACACGACTCTTTCTCTCGCACTTTACAAGCACGACTCACCATCCGTGGGGCACCCCAGAGGCCTATCCCAATGAACAGTATTTCGCGGGCGACAGCCTTCTTTCCAACCATGAAGATATGAACAATTATCTGAACACAGTCCGCTACGTGGACACCTGGCTTGGAGATATTATGGAGCTCCTTGAAGAGACCGGAATCGCCAATGAGACCTTGGTTGTGCTTGTCGGAGACCAGTGAGCCTTTCTATCCGAAAAAGTATCTGGATCTGATGAACTCAAAATGCTAATGTTACCCTCCAGTGGACAAGCATTCAACGAGGATAGCCGCATCTCTGGAACCTACGAGAACGGCCATATTAGCAATTTCCGTATACCGCTGGTCTTCCGGCACCCGAAACTGCCCCGGATGCAGGTCTCTGCGAACGCGACGACCATGTCGATTCTCCCAACAATTCTCGACCTGCTAGTCCAGACCACGTCTCTCGACGAGAAGGATTCCGAGGTGGCCCTGGACCTAATGAATGAATACGAGGGCCAGTCTCTAATTAGACCCTACAAGGCGAGTCAGAACGGTAGACAGGCGTGGAATTTCGGCATCATCAACGCCGGCGGTACCATGCTAAGCGTCGGATCCGCCGCTGTGCCATACCGTCTCATCCTCCCCCTGACAGAAGACTACGAATACATCTTCTCTAACCTCGACGAGGACCCGGACGAGCTCTCGTCGATATGGGAGTGGCAGCTGGGTCCATTGGTTGACCGTGTCCGTGATAGGCATGGCGACGAAGCCGCGATCTGGCTGGTCGATGCGGAGAAAATCGGGCGATGGTGGGTGGACGAGCGAAAGCGACTGTGGAATTACCATGAGACGGCCTAAAAGGTCCTAATAATGTATAATTGTCATGAAGAATAATAGATGTTATCAAGATACTTTGTCCACACTACTTACTACACTTCCCTGCTCCTTCTAGACCATTTGAAACACAACTGGTAATGAAAGGACACAACCTGCCTACCCTGTATCTGTGGAGACCATTAGAGCTACAGCACATCCAACCGATTCTCTGCAATGAGTCTGATGAATAGAAGCTGGGCTTGATATTGTTCTTGGTTTCTTTGTTTATGCCTCAGGCGTCCAGATGCCCCACTCCGTCCCGCCATGATATAATCTCAGGGATTGAAGAACTACCGTCCATCAGCCAACATCACTCTCTACAATTCAGACCAGAGAAGCCTACCTCGTTGCTCGAGATCTGACGCTGTGAGCAGCGTGTGTGGGTGTGTGTGTGTGGATTCTGTCAAGAGTTCTTGTCTCTTGCCTTGCTCGCTCTTTGCCGGTCCGACGGCTTAACATCTGTGCTTCTTACTTGATTCTTACGAGGGACAATATGACGGGGAAGTACGCTTCAGATCCGGAATGGGCGTCTATCGAACCCATCCCGCTGAATGACGGCTCAGACTCTGGTGCGTTGCCTCTTGCAACCATCGCCTACACAGACGATTACATCGAGGCGACGTCGTATCTGCGAGCCGTGATGGCTGCGAATGAGATGTCGGACAGGGCGTTGAAGCTGACGGAGGACATCATCTCAATGAATCCGGCTCATTACACGGTTTGGTATGAATCATCGCCATTGTCCTCTTGGTTTTCCTCTTCCTTCTGACATATTCTCCAGGATCTACCGTGCGAAGATCCTGTTCGCACTGAAGAAGGACCTAAAGGAGGAGTTTGAATGGCTGAATAGAGTCTCGCTCAAGTATTTGAAAAACTACCAGATTTGGTATGTTTTCTCAAGTGAATTTTTATCTTTTTTTTTTAAAAAGAAAAGAAAAGAAAAACAATCCCCTGCTGACCTTCTTCCAGGCAACATAGAGAAGTCATTGTGTCTTGCAGAGACCAATTTCCTACTCTACCAGACAGAGAGCTTGATTTCTTGATGGAAATGTTTGCCCAAGATTCCAAGAACTACCATGTCTGGAAGTATCGCCACTGGCTCGTGCGCCACTTCAAGCTCTGGGACCTGCCGCGCGAAATCGAGGATGTTGAAGCCCTGCTCAAAGCCGATGTGCGCAACAACTCGGCGTGGAACCATCGCTTTGTGCTCCGCTTCGGACCCCGTGGGGATGACGAGCCGGACGCCGGCATGCCGAATGGTGGAGCAATGGGAGCGGACAAAGGCCGCCTGGCCGTTGCGGACGAAGACGTGATCGACGCCGAACTGCAGTATGCGCAGGCCAAGATCCTGTTGGCGCCCGAGAACCGCAGTCCCTGGTCCTATGCTCGTGGCGTGTTGCGCGCAGCCGGCCGACCGCTATCCGAATGGAAAGACTTTGCGAGTAAATTCGTCACGGAGAAGAAGAAGCACGATGCCGAGGACGGCGAGGACGAAATCGAGGTCGAAGTCAAGAGCAGCCATGCGGTCGAATGGCTGGCTGATGTGCTTGCCGAGCAGGTCTCAGGCTCAGAGACAGACAAGTCGGAAGCCGTCAAGATGCTCACCCTACTCAAGGAGAAGTATGACCCTATCCGCAAGAACTACTGGGACTACCGGATCAAGATGCTGGATTCTTTCGCAGTGCCTTACGGGGTCTCTGCTTCAGCATAAGATCTGGCTTGAACCGACGTCTAAATGTACATAAAAACTTGTCTTTTATTATCCATATGAAAGAGTCTAGCGGGAGTTATTCAGCAAGAAGGTCAACGAGTAAAAAGAAAACCCAACATCAATCATTATCTGGTACATCAGAATCAAAGCTATAAACCGGAGCCAGGAATAGCATTATCAAATTAAAAGTAATCTTTCATTGCCAGCCCTGTTCGAGCATCTGTCTCCACTCCGCCGCCATCTCGATCGTGATATTGCTCCCTCCACAGACAATGATGACCACTCTGCTTTGCGGGCCCAGACCAGGCACCAGCTGCCTCAGCTTCGACGTGAGTGCCACCGCATCAGCAGCTGGCAGGGGATCCTGTGCGTCCAGGTCTGACTCGATCTCGTTCTCCGTAGAGGAGGACCGGTCGTCGCCGTATCCCTCGTCGGGAGGTGCACGACGGCCTGCCGACATGGGTGCTGCTGCTGACTGGGTTGTTGTTCTCCTCTTGCGTTTTCTGTTGCTCTGGTCTGCCGCCGTGGCAGCATCGCCGATCGCGGCTTCTACGCAGACGCCGCATGCAAGTTCAACAAGCGTCCTTTCGCTGTCGGCCAGTCTGAGAACCCCCCTGGCGGCGTCTGCATCCGACAAGACGGTACTATGGACTCGAATCCCCGCCGGAGGTGACAGGGCATATGAGAAGGTCCGCTCCGAGACGCAGACGGCACCAAGCGAAGTGGCCTGGGAGGTGATTTTCGGTAAAGAGACGAGGGACTTCTGGGCCAGAGCGAGAGCCAGCGAGTCGGTGCCTACCGTCTCGATGGCGAGGATATTAATAGCGGAGTCGTATGAGGTACTCGTCGGAGCCTTTGGTGTTGATTTTGTCTGTGCATGTGTGATCCTCTCGAGACCCATGATCAACCCGTTTAGAAGACCCCCGCCGCCCACGCTGCAGATTATAGCATCGGCAGCCATTGCACGATCGCTGTAAGCGGCTCTCTCCTCTTCCCCGAGGGGCGGTGGCAGCTGTTTCTCCAGCTCGTCGATGATCGTGCTGTTTCCTTCCCAGATGGACTCCTTGTCGAACGGATGGAGGGCGATCTTGACCACTGCTTCCGCTTCCTCTTCCTCCCCCTCTTCATCGGTGGAGGCATGCCTATATTTATTCATCATCACCACCTCCTTCATGTATTTTCCGGCTTCCGCGAACGTCTCTCCGTGTCGAATCACGTCCACAGCACCGGCTGACCGTAGCTTTTCCACCATGAGCGGCTTGGTAGAGACCGGAACGACCACCGTGCATGGGTATCCCAGGCTCCGTGCCGCACACACAGCAGCTAGCCCTGCGTTTCCACCGGACGAAGCATAGAAGTGAATCGGTCTGCCCCGGTACGCCGGGTTGGCCAGGTGGGAGAGGATCTGGTTGCCCATGGCGCGGGACTTGAACGATCCGCTCGGCTGGGTATTCTCCAGCTTGAGAAACATCCTACACCCGGCTAAGCGGGAGAGGGCGGCCGATTCGACCAGCGGCGTCTCGATCCATGGCTTCTTGAGAGCCGGGAGCGTGTCGGCTGGATAGGCAGAAATGCTTCCCATTTTGAGAGTTGAATCCAGTGGGTAGGTTTTGTTGAAGTGAGAAAAAGAGTTATCGAGTCTACCAAGAGTCAACTGAATAAAAAAAAGACGGGAGGATGTCCAAATAAAGAGATTTATATTCGAGAAGAGGTATATAGATAGCTGGTGTTGATACAGATGTATAGGGCATGGGCCAATAAACGAAGTCCAACGGGGATCCTTGACCTCTCGGAGAGATGCCACCGGACGGAGAAGAAAGAGAAAAGACCGAATTAGAAACAATGCATAGCCAGTCACCGTCAATTTCCATTATCCATATGAACACATCATGACGAATTGCACTGTTTTGATATACAAATCGAAACTCCTTGGCTGGTCATCGATAGAGTTTGCCGCGGGAAACACCTTCTAGGCCCCCAAGCTTTCCCGACCCGACAAGGCCGTCTGACCTGGACATGATAGCAAAACAACAAGAAGATCCGGTGCAGATGCGTTACTCCAATGATGATTAGTGCATCACACCGTCTGTGCTCGTGTCTCCAATTCCAGATTTCATTCCGTTGATAGCCTTGCCTGCTTGAAGGAACCCGTGAGCCCGATAAGACGTGGCAAGGGGCATCTCGGTGGAAGAGTGGTCGAATAGTATGTAAGAATTGATAATATAGTCGTACATCGCATGGAATACCCTGTCACGAATCCCATGAAGCGAAAAGGTAGTGGTGACCATTGCAGGCTTTGTGGCGTATGTCTTATCACATGGCTCAATCTTCCGCTATAAGAGGATGGAAGAGGATGTGTTTCTTGACACCTTGGCCGTAGTCTGCATCAAAGCCATACTTTGCGGCCGAAAACCTACACTTGGCGGGGTCTGATATGTCTACTCGGAGCGTCTCGAGAAGTTCCTTGGACTTGCTGGGGATAAATGGCTGGAGGAGAATGGCGCCAATCCGCAGGGACTCGCAGACGTTGTAGAGGACCCGCTGGGATTCCGAGGGAGTTTTCCACGGTTCCGCCGCATGGAAGTATTTGTTTGTCTAATGAGGAGAAGTGGAGTCAGCGTGAGGGGTAAGAAGAAGAAGAAGAAGAAGAAGAAGAAGAAGAAGGAAAGATGGGGAAGGGGGTCTCCGGACCTTATCTATCATGTCCATAATCTGCTGGAGAGCATTGCGCGAGTTCAGACTCTCCATGCTCTCGGCCACTTTAAGAGGAAGCTCTTCTAATAGAGCCTGGTGCTTGGTGTCCGAAGCAGTCGCTTTGGGAAGCTGATCCAATGCGGCATCGACGATATGAGACCGCAGATTGCCTTTGGCGCACCCTATGGCTCGGTGTGCCAAGTTGCCAAGTCCTGATTGGAGGTGCTTCTTGTAGTCGCGGACAATATACGAGTTATCGTAATCAGCGTCTCCGGAAAGGGAGCCCTGATAAGCCAGGAAGAAACGCATGGTGTCCACGCCAAAGCGGTCAATCGCGAAGAACGGGTTCACCACGTTACCAGTGGACTTGGACATCTTCTCGTGATTCATGGTCCAATGGCCGTGGACAAGAACGTTACGTGGAAGAGGAAGATCCAGCGCCATGAGAAATGCCGGCCAGTAGACGCAATGAAAACTGTCCTGGGGTTAGCAAGGGATTTGGCCCAGACGGTGTGCTAGACAGAAGAAGTACCGAACTATATCCTTTCCAACTACATGGACATCCGCTGGCCATCCGAATTTGCCTTCCTGACCGGGTGGAAAGGGATATCCCGCCTTAGTCAAGTAGTTTATCAACGCATCCAGCCAAACATAAATTGTTTGTGTCTCATCACCAGGAACTCGAATGCCCCAGTTTAATCGTTCCACCGGTCTGGATATCGAAAGGTCAGACAGTCCCGAGGACACAGATTTGACAATCTCAGTCATGTAACTTGTCGGTTTCATAAACGTCCCCTTGCTGTACAATTCGAGAAGACGATCTCGGAAAGCAGACAGACGAAAGTGATAGTTGGTTTCCGATGACCATTCCACTTCCTTGCCAGTCTCTATTGACACCTAGAAGGATCTCAGCAAAATGACTGGATCTAGGTATCAAAAATCCCATACGTACCATCCGCTTTCTTCCTGTGGATGGATCTAAAGAAAGCTGAACCTGGGACTGCGGGTAAAAGGTTTCGTCACTGACACAATACCACCCCTCGTGTTTTGCTGTATAAATATGCCCACGGTGCTGTAGCATTTCCTGTGCATGGTGTGTCAGCTTCGTCCATTCGATTTTGTCAGAGTAGTCCTACCCAAAAATACTGCACCGCCTCCTTATGTTCAGGATCTGTTGTCCGAATAAAATGGTCATTGTTGAGATTTGCAGCCTTTGCGAGATCCTAACACCAATATTAGACATTGAAAATATTGTCAATTTTCGTCGACAAACCTGAAAGGTCTTGCAGTTCATGTCGCAAAAAGCCTGGGTGTCCATTCCCGCTGCGAGTGCTGCTTGTTGAATCTAACCCACACAGTCAACACCGACAGCCATTTCAATACCATTTTATGTGTATATGTACCTTCATTCCATGCTCATCTGTTCCCGTTAGGAATTGAGCATCCTCGTTACCCAGTAGTACCTGCCATCTCTTCAAGATATCGGCGACGATCATCGAATACAGATGGCCGACATGGGGAGCTGACAAAAACACTGATTAGCACAGATCCCCTGAGCTTTGAACCAGCCTAGATTACCAGCATTGACATAGAAAATGGGCGTCGTCACGTAGTACGGCTTCCGCGACTCTTTCCCCGTCGCAGATGTCGCCAGTGTCCGCGACAGGCGCGTCGTTCTGCAAGAGGCACATTTCCAGGTCGGTCTCTTGTAGGCTAGAAACTGCGTGGCCCACGAAAGAGCGCGAAACTCGCCCCGTGGAATGGCCATTGGCATGGTGCTGGCGGTGTCAACCTGATCGAAGAGAGAATCCGGGCGGAGTCGAGGCCATCCATATCATGTTGCTCCGCGGGTGGTCCAAGCTTCCTCCAATCTTTTCTGGCTTCAGCATCAACTCAACTAGACTCAACGTTTCACGCCTCTGTTTTCATCTAGACCAATCTACCTCTCGGGTTTTCTTTCTTTAATTTTTCTTGGATACGCTCTACTTTCTTTTGCATTCAAAAGTATTCTTGACATATCCATCTCACAAAATCGTCCCTATGGCTGTTCCATCCGAGGATACTCTGACCAAGGTGTCTACTGGGGGTACAGTGAAATGCATTCTCTGAGTTAAAGACCATACGGTTGCTAATTTCTCCTATTTTACAGCTGCGACCGAGTTTGTGCAGTCGTTCTACCCCGCCCTTCAATCCAACCGCGCGACCATTTCCTCCTTCTATAACCCCGCCATATCCACCATCTTATTCAATGGTAATCCAGTCGCAGATGGGAGCGCGGTACAAGAGATATTTGTCAATCAGATGCCGCCGGCGCACTACGAAGTGCAGTCGTTTGATTGCCAGGTCATCAACCGGAACTTCCCTACCCCTACCGCAGCCGGCGGGGTCAAGCCTCTGAGCCAGGCTACAGTCAAGGACATGTCGATTCTGGTGGTAGTCAGTGGCTATGTGAGATTTGGCGAATCCAAGGATATGCCTCAGCGAGGGTTTAGCGAAACATTTGTTTTAGTGCCCAACCCTGCAGAAGGACAGAAGGGCAAGCGGCAAAAGGACTGGCTTATCCAAAGCCAGAATTTTCGACTGGTGGTTTGAAAAAAAAAAAAAAAAGAGAGAGAAGATTGTGGAAGGCAAAACAAGGGGGTATCTTTTCTTGGATGTGGTTGCTATTGCTGAAGATAAGGCTTCAACGAAGCTTGATGGCACACCGCACAGAAGCCAAAGATAATACGCTAGCCACCGGGTTATAAACAGAGAAAAAAAAAAAGGAAACAACTGAGACTAGGAAAAAACGCTGTCGACTATTTACTTCCGGACGATGATCCAGGTGAAGACGTTTGCCTCGGTGGCGGACGTAGGTTGGCCCTAACTCGCTCTAGAAGCTCTGTCCTTGTGGCTGTCTCGCTCGGGAGGAGCCCTCTCTGCCATGGGGAATCAGGATCAGGACTGAAATTCTCACAAAACACCGAAGAGATGAATGGGATGGAATCACATACAACACGAAGCCATCTGCGCATCTCGTCCGCCGTCCAGGTTTCCGGGTCTTGGTTCCACATCAGCTTGACAACCTCCAACTGGCAGAAAGTTGGAAACAATGACAGAAGGTAGCCTTACCTCCCGTCGGTTCAGGCTCGGCCGGCAATATCTCGTTGCCCCATATCGCCCATGCGGTCGCGGCCGTGACCATTCCCGCGAAGCCTGCTAGATTAGACTAAATATTGCTGCAAAGCTTATGCTATATAACACACCTAATAGGAGGTTCTACATAGCCGTATGTATCAGTGGAAATAGATTAGAAAGTAATTGGAAGTTATCACGTCGACACACCTTGGAGTTCAACGCTCGGTCCAACGGGGTCGGCGCCATATTGTATCAAGACCACGAAAGGATTTGCTCAAAATATAAACCGAGGGTAAGATTCAGTGTTTTTCTTAGAGAAGATGACAGGTTATATATGAATGGGATAAGGTCATGCCATGTGTCCTGTCCTGTGCTATGCTGTCCTGTGCTGTGCTGTCCTGCAATTGACGGGAGCCTGGGTGGCACCGCCACAGTAGGAAAGGTAAGGACCTGTGGCTTTCCCTTTTGCGTTAGTTTAACCCCCAATAAGATATATTTAACTATATATATACAACTTTGTCTACATTAATTTCATTCTCGAATAGGAATAACAGTGTGTTAGTGTTCCTAGGGAACACCGAAAAAAATGACTCTACGTGGTTTGGTTGTGGAAATATATACAGAGTAAGCGATAGTATATAGTTACTTCAATGGTCAGAGGAGACTCAATTGAGCTGTTATAAAGACTTATGTCAGTGATAGTAGCTTATATAGTCTATATTTTCAATCATTGATTTTCCTATATTTCTACCTTCGATGGAGGCCTTCCTCGCAATCAATATCCTCAAGATATCCAGTGCATGCTTCTGGTTGAGGGCTTGACACTGGAAACATAAGTGCTACCTTGAAGCTTTATTTTAAGGATCTCAGTAGGTTCAGAGTAGCGAAGAGACGACCAGTTAGTCCTTAGAATCCCATAGGAGCCAATAGAGATGGACATTGAGTAATATCATGATGATCTCGGCAGTACTAGGATAGATGATGTTGTTGGGGTATAAGTTGAGGTTTTCGAACCTGCAGCATACGGAATCAATGTCAAACCAATTTTTTTTTTTTTAAAAAAATAAACAACATAGAGTGAATAATAGAAACTTCGTTGTTGAAACAATAAAAATCGAGAATTGTATCGAGTAGCTGTTTGTCTCCTACAATAATAACTACTCTATAGTAGGGATGCTCCCAACAAGGCTAGCGCGCAGGGCTTCCACAGTCGCCAGCCCTAATTCGAGAACCCACACAGAACTTTGTCATCCAAGAGGAGCCGTTGGACAGCGCGTCGCGAGTCTTTCCTGTTGAACGAACCTCCAACCGTCGTCAGTCTCCAGTCACCCGCCAAAATGCCTCGTGAAGTCTCCGATATCAAGCAGTTCATTGAGATCTGCCGCCGCAAGGATGCCTCCTGTACGTCTTCCCAAGTCTGGCCTCGGATCTGTGGCACAAGCACCGAGCTTGATTGATGATCGATGGAGCTCGGTGTCTATCGCTGAAGGGGATCTTTACAATGGATGAAGAAATACCGCATGCTCTACTTTTTACATGTCAATATTATAGTAGTATAATGTTTGGCGTTGTAAACGTGGATGTGCGAAATGATTTGGCGATGATCAAGGCTGACTTGAAGAATAGCGGCCCGCATCAAGCGCAACCGCAGCACCCAGCAGATCAAGTTCAAGGTCCGCTGCGAGCGCTTCATCTACACCCTCGTCCTGAAGGATTCCGACAAGGCCGACAAGCTCAAGCAGAGCCTGCCCCCTGGTGCGTTAGGAATAGAAAGCCGATCGGGACTTATCGAAGACTTATTTGAATACTAACATATCTTTCTATAGCCCTCAAGGTCGTCGATGTCTCCAAGGGTGTCAAGAAGAACTAGATGCTCTTCTTCTTGAAAAGAGAACGATGAAAAGGTGATGGAGGTGGGAATGCGGGAATTGCAGTCATCGACGAGATCACACGACGACGTCAGTGGGCATAATTCCGTGGACGGGAGAGGAGAATCAGACCGGTTCTTCCTGCACCGATGCTGGATGCCGTTTCCTAGCCAAGCCAGGCCATCCGGTGAATCATACATAGTCAGATAGATGCTTTTGCATCATCTGATGCAGGCCCAGAGTGGCCGAAGCCTCTGGATCCTACACAATAAGAAAAAAAAAGTTGAAACTTCCTGCAAGTTTATACACATCATATATAGAAGATACACACACACCTACATCATCATAGATTTTATCAAAATCAACCGCTCCGTTGATACTTCAACTCGACATAATCTGTAATCCCAGCCCGTCCAAGCAACTCATCCACCGACCCCCGACTCAGATCCGTCCGTCTGAGCTCAAACTCACCGAAAAAGTTCGGCTCCGTCGAGACCTTCTCAAACGACACACTCTCGAATAGGGCAAGGCTGCGCGCATTCACTTGCCCGATCTTCACGCTCAAACACGACAACTGTAGCGGGTTCGGTAGCTTTTCCCTCGCTGCGGGATCGCTCCCCCGCGCGACGAACTCGTCTAGAATCGCCCTCTCGTTATCGGCAATATACCGTAGAAAGACCAGCAGACTGGCCCGTCCAAACCCCCTGCGCTGGTTTCGCTTCTCGGCAACCATCAACTCGACCTCCCCGATGATCTGGGGCGGCGAGGTACCCTCTTCGCCATCGTCGATTCGCAGGAAGAGATTGATATCCCCTACCATCCTGTCAGGGCTGTCATGGTAATCAGTGAGCGGTTGCTGCTGCTGGGACGGTTCAACAGGGTGACAAGTGATAAAGGTCAACTTGTCTGCGTCACTGCGCCAACTCTGCTGCATCGCGTATTCCTCTTCAAGTGTCAGAGGCTCTGAAGCGGTTGCTTCTTGTATTTCCTGCCAGCATTTAATTAGCTCTTGAGACTATGGTACTGCTCGTTTTAGACTTATGTATTCTAGTCTGCTTGCCTCATCTTTCATCCATTCGTGGTACTGCGGAACGTGCCATTTCGAATATGGGACTAGCAGGACGGCAGACGTCGAGATAGCTAGGCTAGTTAGCTTGGTTTTGGGTGTAGCCTGCGACTTGTACGTACCAGTCGTAGCGTTAATTAGCATGGTTGTGTTATATTTTCCTAATGATGTCTTGGTTGATATGTAGTTACTACCTGGTTACGGAGTAAATGTGGATGGTTAGATCGTGAGTCTTGGCATCGTTCTATATTTACTATGCTTGAACCCATTACTTGAGTGTAAAGATGGGAAAAAACAACCTTTGAATTAACAACCCAGATGGTTACTAAGGTCTCCATTTTGATTAGAACGAACGAGCTACTTTTTTTCTTCCTGCCCTGCAAATCCTGCAAATCGAACGACTTCGACTTCTAAAGTATCCGTGTCCACCAATATCAGTTCCCCGGTCTCGCTGAACTTTGGAATGGTCAAAAGGCGGACACGCGGTATTGACGAATCGTCAGCCTCGGCCATGCTCGCATCTGGACCGTCTAGACGCAGAGGGGAATCCCCTTCGATGACTGCTGTCTTGAACTGCGGCTGGTTCCCTGTAAAGAAGATGTGCGGACACGATTGAATAACAAATGGGTCATTGGTTTGGAATGGGTAGCACCCTGCAACCAGATTAGTTGATGGAAATAGTCGCAAAAAGTATAAAAGAACATACAGATTGTGTCCGGCGCGGTAGGGACTAAACACCGCCAGCGAAGCATTGCTTCCATTACCCTTATCCGCGCCTCGGCGTCTTCGTTGTTCTCCGAGGTCCCATCCTCACCTGCAAAATCCAAGTATCGCAGGACATCATCCACATTCTGGCCACTGGTCCCCAACATACGCAAACCCTCCACTTCGCCTTCCCACGGGTTCGTCACGGAATCGAACCAGCCAGGTTCCGGTTGTTGGTCCCCGGAAGGTGGCGCAGAGCAGTATGCCCTGGACTTGAGGAACATAGCTCGATGTACGCCTTGCTGAGGTAGTGAGACGTTGGCCGGGTCGTGCTCGCCCGGCATGAGGGTGACAGGTATACTGGGAAGAATTTCGGATAGAAACGAATCGAGCTGGGTAATGGGCGAAGAGTTATATGTGGAAGCGTCATATCCATACTTTTTCGAGGCATTCTTCTTTTTAGCACTCTCTGCTGATGCAGCTGTAGTTGCAGCCTCTAACGTGGCTCCCGAGCCCAGGGAGTTCCCTGCAATGATAAGACGGGTGATCTTAGATGCATCTTCGTCCCCTGAGGGACTAGTGTACCCCAGGAGATAATCGGTGAGAAGTTCTAGAGCCAGCGTATCGCTCGAAGTTCCCGTGATACCAAGCCCACTGACAAAGGCAATCTTTCCTTTACCGCCGTCTTTCTTGTCTTCAGTCTTATTCCACCGGCGAGGCTGACTGGGTAAATCGGGGACCTTGACGTCGACGACCTCAAAGTCGCCGTTGGCGTTCTCTGTCCCTAAAACCGCGACGACCGCCCCCGTGACCAACTGGGTTGACGAGAGAAGTGAGCCTGTGAGTCGTAGCCGGCCCGACTCATCCTCCAACATGACTTGTGTGAGTTCCGGTTTCGAAGGGTCGAGGTAGGTACGGCGAGGCGGAGGGGCCGAAGTGAAGTGCTGCAACGGACTGTCAGGACTCTAGCTGGTAGAACAGAGAGTAAAACAGAGTAAAAACTCTTACCTCCTTGGTCAAGTCGTCTAAGATGTTGGGTTTGAGCGGCAAATCCATGTATACCGTTCCAGCCACCCAACACAGATCTCCCTGTCGCACATCCAGTACTCTGTCCACTCGACGGGCGTGCTCCCCAGCAATCTATCGCGTGGCGCTGATCAGCTTGACCCTTCCATTCCTTCCATTGCGACCGATTTCCTTTTCACTGTGCTTACATTGAATCCTTCCCAAGCCTCTGTCGCAACCTGCTCCACTGCCGGCTTCAGCTTCGCCAACCGCAAGAAATACATATCTCCATATTGTTGCTGGTAATGCCTCTCTGATCCGACCGGCAAGGCAAATGTATGAAGGGGATGATAATGGGAGGGCTCGCGGTAGACCGACTCATATTGCTCATCACTGTCTTGTCAATAACAGGTCACGATAAACTGGTATAGGTTGGGAGGGGTAGCTAGCACTGACCTTGGAGGCCGCAGAAAGCCGTAGTCTTTATCATTGGTAGACATTTTTATCTTAAATTGCAGAATAAACAATAAAAAAACACCAAACAAAATCAGTAGACCGCGAGACGCCGCTGAGCAGTCAAATGTGCCGTCATTAGTTTGGCAAACGAACGATTTGTCGGAAGACGCGTCGATTCGCGTCTGGCTTCGCTCCACCGCAGAATCAATAGCGTTACCGCTTTGGGACTCAATAACCTTCAACCTCCATCTAACTGACTTGAAACATCTGGCAGATTCTGCAACTGCGTGTTATAACCTACGGAGTGTTATTTCGAAAGAGCCGTCCTATATGAGGTCACCTCCTAATGCTAATGTGTTTTTTTGCCATTCGCAACGAATCCATCATTCTAGAAGATGACTACTACTGATTCCAGTCCTGAATCGATACACTTTATGACGGGATTCTCTTTCGCATATCTCAATCACTGCTGATCTTTGGTCTGACTGAGTTTCCAAGCTGAGGGAATGGCATTTAAAAGTATAATTCATTCTGCGGTAATGCTGGCTAACAAAATATTTACTCGCTCTGGCTATAGCCTGGACTGTAGGAATGCGCGCCGATAACAATACCAAATACATTGATAACACCTGAATGATGAGATAGATCCACGAGGCAAGACTCATACGTATGCTGGGAATGTGGCCGCTAGATGTGCGATACAGATCCAATCAAGGGGTAGTCATGCCCCTCTATCAATGTCGAGAGCATTCCATATGCCCTGTCCACATGCCGTGGCTGGAGGCCCAAACGAATCCCTTCATATCTGACAGAGTGCCGTGCACCATACAACATGGTACACAGAGAGCTATTGCAGTCTCATTTGGACCAGTCTGTGTTCTGGAACACATTCGCCGATAAGAATGGGCCAAAACACATCAGGCTTAGGACAGCCATGCTGCTGTAATTCTCGATCAACGCATGTCTCTCATATCATTCTTAACGATTGATCTAGTCTTTTCTGAATGCTTAATATGCCTGACCTTCCCGAGTGACTGAGAGAGACAGTCTACTACGCTCCTGACACAGTAGCTAGCTACCTTCCTACCAAGCTCATGATGAGGCATCCTACATACAAGAGCCTGTTGGCCAGGTTGGCGATCCTCACGTTTCTGATATGCATGCTGGTGACTGCCTTCAGCGCCGACTTCTCCCTCCCACGCAGCTCTCCGCCGGCACTCTTCCGCCGCAGTCTCCCTGGGTCTCTCGCCACAGCCCCCAAGGGTGCAGTGGGATACTACCAGCCACCGCCGGGCCCTGTCAACGAAGATGAAGACCCGGTGCCACTGACCAGAACACATATCTCGCCTACTCACGAGGCGGCACACGAACTGCGAGGGGTGGCCTCAGCAACAGGAGAGGCAGAATCTGGGTAAGTTGAGACTAGTCTGTGTTCTTCTGCCCATGTGCTTGTCCTAATCAATCGATCTTCTCAAATAGCAATAACCCCACCAAGACGCAATCTGTGGTGGAAGCGACCTCGTCCGGTATAGCAAGCAAGAAGGCTGTGCTGGGAGGAGGCCTCGGCCTTACCATACTTCTTTCTAGTCTACATCTTTAAGACTCCTCGAATTCTGCATGCATCCTGTTTTCAGCTCAGTATATTTAGAAACAATTGGACATTCTTCATCCTGATAAATCATAAGCATTATTGTGCTATGTGTAATATCCTTGCTTGTTAGCCTCGGCTCCGCTTCCCCGCATACTATCAGCCACCTCCTAACATCAGTATAACTACCTACGCAGTACCTGGTTGTACAATGATGAAAACCAGAACAAAGCCATCTATTGACTGAGTAATTACATATACAGAAACACTCGAAGATAGCTTTCTATTGAATCAACTCTTAACCATGTCCCTCCATACCCCCCTCTGCTCCCTCCTTCACATCCAACACCCCATCCTGCTGGCCGGGATGGCACGCACTTCAGGCGCCGCTCTCGCTGCCGCAGTTTCCAACGCTGGAGGTCTAGGCACCATCGGTGGACTCGGATACAAGCCGTCCCAGCTGCGAGAGATGCTGACCGAACTGAAGAGTCTGCTGCGTGACCCGTCACTGCCCTTTGCGGTTGACCTTGCTCTCCCGCAGGTCGGCGGTGGCGCGCGTGCGACCAACCACGATTACACGGAGGGCCATCTGGACGAACTGATCGAAGAAGTTATCTCGGCAGGAGCCAAGCTGTTTGTCTCTGCCGTCGGGGTACCGCCGGCACGCACGATCCGGCGCTTACACGAGGCCGGAATCCTGGTGATGAACATGGTGGGCGCGCCACGGCATGCAGAGAAGGCGCTGGAGGCGGGCGTCGACATTGTGTGTGCGCAGGGCGGGGAAGGCGGCGGCCATACGGGAGATGTCCCATTCTCAGTGCTGGTGCCTGCTGTCGTGGATGTGGCGAGCCGGTACACGAGCCCGCTGACAGGGCAGAAGGTGCTGGTGGTGGCCGCGGGGGGGATCAATGACGGACGCAGTCTGGCGGCTTCGCTGATGCTGGGCGCAGCGGGTGTTTGGGTCGGCACGCGGTTTGTGGCCACTGTTGAAAGCGGCGCCAGCAAGCTTCATAAGGAGGCTGTCGTCGCCGCGCGCTTCGGCCAGACGAGACGCACCCTGGTCGTCTCCGGGCGACCGCTGCGTATGCTGCCCAACCAGTATATTGACGAGTGGGAAAAGAAACCGGAGGAGATTGCGCGCCTGACAGCTCGTGGGGTCGTACCGTTGGAAGACGATCTCGAACATGGTAGGGAGATCGACCTGCCCTTCCTCATGGGCGACGTCGCGGCTGTTATCCGTGAGATCAAGCCAGCGGCCATTATCGTGCAAGAAATGGTTCAACAGGCGACGGAGGTATTGACGCGGGGGGCGTCCTATGTCCAGGGGCCGACAAGCAAGCTATAGTATGTAGAGGACCGAGGTAGACGAAACATAGCTCTTGATCTTCTACAATCATGATATGGCAAGAGAACGATAGATATCCTTGTCTTTGCACTCGACGAGAAAAAGTGACGGTGGAGGCACGAGGGCGCTACGACGTATATTCAGATATGTATTCACACTGGATCCCGCAAAACACCAAGGGCTGCGGTCATCAACAGAACGATCATGAGAATAATAATGTCAAAACATGGGTGTCAATTGATTGGACAGACAGCCCGTAGCCAGCAGAAACCAAGTGACTACGGCCTGCAAGAGGATTCATCAATGGCATCCATTGACCATGGCCTTGTTCCCGTTTGCCCTAGCTTCTGCCAGGTTGGGGGGAGGGGGTGGCCCGAAGACGGGCTTTTCCGGTTGATGGTGGTGCTCCATGCCGTTTACCTCATGTCCTGTGCTGTCCAGTTCGTATTCGTCATCATCACTGATCCCCTCTTCGTCTTCCTCATCTTCATAGTCTTCTTCGTCGTACTCGCTTTCCGTGCCCTCGTCGTCGCCGTCTAATTCCGCAGCGAGCGCTTGGCCCCGTCCTTGCGCCTGCATCCGCCTGCAAAGTGCCTCGAGATGGTGACTTTTCTTGCGCCATTTTTCCAGCTCTTCATGGTTTCGCGTTCGCTCCTCGGCCATTTCTAAAATGTTGCGATTCGTTTGATCGTGCTTGCGGGTCAGTGTAAGGTTCTCCTTTTCCAGGCGCTTGGTTTTCTTGGACATCTCTTCCATCTCTTTTCGAAATGTGAGAAAGAGTTCGTTGCTGTTGTTAAGCGTGTCTTCCACCTGTACATCCATTGTTACCATCGCAGTCCCCATCGAGCCGATTTATACAACCCAGAGCCGAGACCTACCTGCTTGAACTTCTCCACGTAGATGTTGAGCTGACTGCGTAACTCGGCCTCGGTGTGAGAAAACGTTGAAACCTGCGAGCTGAGAGCACGGCAGCGGGCAGTCTCGTTGTCCGAGGTGCGCCGTTGCTCTTCGCATTTGGCAGTAAGACATTGTATCTCGGCGTCCTTGCTGCGCAAGAGAGCCTTGTAGTGTAACTCGCGCATCTCGAACTTTTCCCCAATGGTCTTGATCTTTGCACGGAGACTAGATCCCGCTTGAGTCAGCACGCGCACATGTAGGGGGAGCGCCACCAGCCTCTGTATATCAACACTCACGCTTCGTCCAGATCAATATCCAATCTTTCGCTGCGAGGTGCACCCTTGGATGCCATCACATCCTGGATGTCATATAGAAGCGAATCCAGCCGTTCATTTACAATCATTCGCGCCTTTTTCTCCGTATCCTCGAGTTTCTTGTTTTCGTCCTGTTAGGAGAAAGGCCACTGCGTTAGCATCACTCCCACACAGACAGACATTTAATCCTCCCCCCAATCACGCCTGGCCTGCTCACTTTGACTTTCTTATTTTCTTTGGTCAACTCTCGACACAGCTTCTCCAGCTTATCCTTCATCGTGATGGTCTTGCTCAATTCCGATTTCCCCTTATCCTGGTCCTTCTGTAGCTGATCGGCCCGCTTCTTGCTCTTCGTGTAATCGCGATCCAACTTCTTCATGTCGGCTAGCAATTCCGTGTACTTCTTATGGACCGTCTCCAGGCGGGTCATCGGCGATTCGATATTACTGAGCAGTTGGTTGAGATCCCGAGTTGCCTTCTTGACTTCCCGCTCTGTCACGACCACCAACGAAACCCCTCGTTAGCAAGTTGTACCCCACAGTCCGAACACACCAATGGCTTCACGCACCGATCTCAGCCTCCTGATCTTTCTCCCCAGCGGCATCTTGTTCTAGCTGGGAGATCTTGGCAGCCAGCAGCTTCGACGTCTCGTTGGGATCTGCAAACTTTTTCCCCTGCTTCTTCTTTGACATTGCCGCGGCAGACATCTTCGGTGTCTCGGAAACGTGAAATCCCAGTCACTCCGGGGTGGTGTTGTCGTAGATAACGATCCTCAATAGTCGCGTGGTCAAGCCACAAAACGGCACAAAAAATCTGGAAACCGCAGCGGCGGCAGCCACGAGCGGTCAATCGATGGCCACAGCGCCCGAACAAAGACAGCAGAGTCCCCAAGGCCCCTGCGACTCCTGTCGTATCGGCCTCCTTCTACGCTGGGCAGACGTAATATATGCCGGCGGCGGACGGCGTAACGGCTCGCAGGTGATTTGTGAGCTTCCTCTTCTCTTTTCATTCAGCACGGACCGAGCAGAGCGTAGGGCGGCCAGGTTCGATACATACGAGCCCCCGGAACCCAACAACAGTCTGGCAGGCGACAGAACTAGAGTGTCTCGGTGGATTCAACGCAACAGAGGCCAACGCACGACGGAGAGGAAACTTCGAGGGTCCTGCCGGGGGAGGATCGAATCCAGTTCGCAAGAGGGGATGTGCGCTTGACCCGACTAGGGCTAGCGCTGCTGCCGGTCTTGGCGGCCCTGCGAAAAAACAGACGCGGGCGATTTGCGGTGCGGAGAGAGCAAACAACGCTCTGGCGACGGGACTTGACGGTGCGGCTTTGAGAGTCTCTACGCATCTGAGAACTCCGAGACTGGGTGTCGGGGTGGACTGTGACGTCTGTGACTGCTGAAGAATTCGAGGCTCCGCTGTATTGGTGCTGCCGCGCCTCCGGTGGACCTTCTCTCTGCGGATCAGGCGGGTGAGAGAGTCTTCTGCTGACAAGTGAAAGCCTCTGTGTGGCTACTGGCATCGACAGTCTACAATATGTTGCGATCGTACGTGGGATCGAGCGGGCGGGCTGTCGGGTTGCGGCAGCCTCGTCTGGCGAAGCCGTTGTACTGTTCGACGCGTCTGGAATTTCTACGAAGAGCCGCTTCGACGGTGACCAGCCTCGACAGCTTCCCCAACATCGGGGAGAAGATCCAGGGCTTCACGGTGCAGGAGAAGAAGCACGTTCCGGAGTTGCACCTCACTGCCGTTCGGTTAAAGCACGACAGAACCGATGCAGATTACTTGCACGTGGCGAGGGAAGACAAGAACAATGTGTTTGGGATTGGGTTCAAGACGAACCCTCCGGATGCCACAGGTGTGCCGCACATCCTGGAGCATACGACACTGTGTGGGAGTGAGAAGTACCCCATCCGGGACCCCTTCTTCAAGATGCTTCCGCGGTCTCTCTCCAACTTCATGAACGCCTTCACTTCGTCAGACCACACGACGTATCCGTTTGCCACGACGAACCAACAGGACTTCCAGAACCTCCTATCGGTATATCTCGATGCCACGCTGCACCCGCTGCTCAAGGAGGAAGACTTTCGGCAAGAGGGGTGGAGATTGGGGCCGGAAGACCCTCGTGCGTTGCTGGCCTCGGACGGCCCGGCGGAGGGCAGTCGCCAACCGGACGACGTCGTGTTCAAGGGTGTCGTCTACAATGAAATGAAGGGACAGATGTCAGATGCAAACTATTTGTATTACATCCGATTCAAGGAGAATATCTTTCCGGCGATCAACAACTCTGGGGGAGACCCAGAGTATATAACCGATCTGACCCACCAGCAGCTTGTCGACTTTTCGAAACGCAACTACCACCCGAGCAACGCCAAGATTGTGACGTACGGTGATATGCCGCTTGAGGGTCACCTGAAGCAGATCGGTGCGGTTTTGGACGGGTTCGAAAAGGGAATGGCCGATACAGATGTGAAGACCCCTCTGGACCTAAGCCAAGGTCCGGTGAATATCACTGTCAGCGGTCCAGTCGACACTTTTGCCCCCGAAGACAAACAATTCAAAACCTCAACCTCCTGGTATATGGGTAACTCCACCGACGTCGTCGAAACCTTTTCGGTCGGAATTCTATCCTCCTTGCTTCTAGATGGCTATGGTTCTCCTATGTACCGGGCCTTGATCGAGAGCGGATTAGGGTCATCTTTCACTCCCAACACTGGGCTCGACTCCTCCGCAAAGATCCCAATCTTCTCTGTCGGGTTGAATGGCGTGAGCGAGGCGGAGGTACCTGCTGTCAAAGCGGCCATCCAGGAAGTCTTTGAAGAATCCCTCGCCACCGGGTTTAGCGATGAGAAGGTGCAGGGCTTCCTTCACCAGTTGGAGCTTGCGTTGAGACACAAAACATCGAACTTTGGAATCGGTGTCATGGAGAAGACGATCTCCACATGGTTCAATGGCACGGACCCCATGAAAGAACTTTCCTGGAACGAGGTTGTCGACGAGTTCAAAAGCCGATACAGCCAGGGTGGATACCTGGAATCTTTGATGCACAAGTATCTGATGAACGACCATTCCCTGACCTTCACCATGGCTGGATCACCCACTTTCAACAAAGAGCTGGATGAGAAAGAGATGATCCGTAAGGACAAGAAGATGGCTCAGCTCATCGAGCAGCATGGGTCTGCGGAACAGGCAATCGCAAAGCTTCAAGAGGAAGAACTGCAGCTTCTCAAGATCCAGGAAGACGCGCACAATGCCGATCTGAGCTGTCTTCCCTCCTTGAAAGTGAAGGATATTAGCAGAGAGAAGGAACGCAAGCAGGTGAGGGAATCGAAGGTCGACGATGTTGATGTCGTTTGGCGCGAAGCACCCACCAACGGCCTCACCTACTTCCAAGCCTTGAATGTTTTCAAGGATCTGCCCGATGACCTCCGGTTGCTCATGCCATTGTTCAACGACTGTGTGATGCGGCTTGGCACTGCGAATCGGTCCATGGAGCAATGGGAGGATCTCATCAAGCTCAAGACTGGCGGGGTCTCCAGCTCATCCTTCCATATTTCATCACCGACTGAGGTGGGCCAATTCAGCGAGGGTCTTCAGTTTTCGGGATATGCCTTAGATAAGAACATCCCCGAAATGCTGGACATCTTGTCCGCCCTGATCACTGAGACCGATTTCACTGGCCCCTCTGCTCCAGGGATGATTCAGGAGCTGCTCCGACTAACCACCAACGGGGCGCTTGACGCAGTGGCCGGCACAGGGCACCGATATGCCGTCAACGCTGCGGCCGCCAACCTATCCCGTAGTTTCTGGGTGCAGGAACAACAGGCTGGTCTGGCGCAGCTGCAGGCGACGGCCAATCTTCTCCGTGACGCGGAGTCTTCGCCGGAACGTCTCCAAGAACTGATTGAAAAACTTCGTGTGATCCAGTCGTTTGCCATCTCGAAGGCGTCTAGCCTGCGTGTCCGTTTTGTTTGTGAAGCGAGCAGCGCTTCGCAGAATGAGTCGGTGCTCCAAAAGTGGCTTGTGGGACTGCCACGGTCCTCGCTGCCAACACCATCCAGCTCTAGTCCCTTCCAGGCCAATGCCCTCTCTGATCGATTCTTTTATGATCTGCCTTACAAGGTGTACTACTCCGGCCTTGCAATGCAGACGGTTCCGTTCGTCGACCCATCCAGCGCGCGCCTCAGCGTCCTCTCCCAACTCCTCACGCACAACTACCTTCACCCGGAAATCCGCGAAAAGGGAGGCGCATATGGTGCCAGCGCTAGCAATGGCCCTATCAAGGGAATTTTCACCCTTTCCAGCTACAGAGATCCAAACCCGCTCAACACGCTCAAGGTTTTCAGTAATTCGGGCGTGTTTGCTAGAGATCGTGCCTGGTCGGAGCGGGAGTTGGATGAGGCAAAGCTGGGCATCTTCCAGGCCCTGGACGCCCCGATGAGCGTGGACGAAGAAGGCTCACGCTACTTCATGAGCGGTGTTACCCATGAAATGGATCAGCGCTGGAGAGAACAAGTGCTTGACGTCACCGCCAAAGATGTCAACGAGGTCGCCCAGAAGTTCCTGGTTGAGAGTTCTCGCCAGGCCATCTGTATCCTCGGCGAAAGAAAAGAATGGACCGATTCTGACGGTTGGGATGTGCGCAAGCTTTCGATGAATCCCACGGAGGCTAGCCCAGAACCTGCCGACATGGCTGCCACTGCTTGAGGGCAGGCCGTGGAAACGCTGTACGATAGATGGTATACCCGTGGATTTTGGCATAAACGTTGTACAATATGATATGGCAGGGATACATAGACGGCTGTACAATAATTTCCCCCCCCCCCCCTCTTCCCCCCCCCCCCCCCTTTTTCTTCATCATCTTCTCCCCGTTACTTTTGCCCCGGCAATTTATCAGCGCGACCAGAACAGTCATCGCTCATCTCAACCGTCATCCCCATGGTTAATTGATGGGTTGCAGTCTACTCCATAGACTCTCAGCGCAAGATCAAAGTGTTAGGAATGTGAACCCACCCTAGGGTCAGCCCCTGGGAGTAAGGTACACTTCCCTCAAAACCTCCGTTTTTCAGACTCGGCCTGGCGTTCCTCGGAACATCTGTCAGCCTACGCAGGACGGACTAAAAACGTGAGAACAAAGACATACTGTAATGTGTGAATATGTAGTATATCGAGGTGTGCAGGTATATCCTGTAAGTACCTCCGTGGATAAGAAAAGCCTTCAGAGCATGCCAGACTCGGGCTTTTGAAGTGAAAATATATATTATGTACAAATGAATGCACCACCCGAGAGCGTGATAAACCCCCCCAAGTACCAGTATTAGAGGAGAAGGAGGAGGTGCAACGGGGCGAAGCGAAATGATCAAAAGAAAGCAAAAATGATGGAACAGACGAAGAGGAAGAGAAACACATGGATAGGGTATAAAGCACGGGCGTGGAAAACGCTCATCAATCATATCATACAAGGTCTATTAGGCCTAGATTTTTATTTTCGGGGTTTGAGAGGATGGAAATCATTGTCTCGGACCAAAGAGAAGGAAAATAAAACCTCTCTCGCTGGAAGGAGAGTAAAGTGAGTCGGCATGTTTTTAGTCTTCATCCGGGTCTGAGGGTAAATCATCTTCGGCCGAGACCATGGGTGCCGAATCTGACTGAGATGAAGGTGAGGGTGGTTCGGGAGCTTCATCGCTTTGCACGTTTGAAGGAGGGGTTTGTGGTAAAGGTGGGAAGGGCTCTGTTTGATCTTTCATGGATTGCCAATCCGACGACTGGCTGAATGACCTGACCATGCCGATAGCCGTATGAGGACCCCCATTTGCTGATGCCGCGGATGAGCCCACATTGGTGTCCCAGGGAGCGTTCTGTGTACGAGTGAGCTTCGAGAAATACAGAGAGAGCAAATGAGAGATAAAAAGGAAGGATTTCTTTCTTACCTTGCCATCTCGCTGGTCCAGACCCTTGGAGACTGCTAGCTTCTGAGCAGCGACCCTTTTCCTCGAGACTTCTGACTCCTCTTCGAGAGCGACTCGCTTGTCTTCCAGCTTCAGATCCTCTATGGACGGGGTCACAACCTCGTGAACCATCTCGGCTGCCTCTGAGACTCGTTTCGATCGATTGGTGTTTCTTCGGTCCTTCTTCCGCGAACCCTTGGACGACATCGTCCGTTGACTGAGTGTGCCAGATATCGACCGCTTCATAGACGCCGGTTTCCCTCCGGGCGTCTCATCGGTCTCGATACCGGTGTTGCGACGCCCTAACGTCAAAGCAAATTCATCGTCCAACGGAACCGCATCCTCTTCCTCATCACTCAGAATAAGATCGCCTCGTGAGCTGAGGGAATTACTTGTTCCCCGCGACGAGTGAGTCCCACTGCGCTCCCGCCCATGTACCAAATGCCTCTGGTACGACGGACCGTCTTCCGCCTCTTCAGCCGCCTCCATGAGGGGCTCATCTTCTGGGAGGTGCTTTCGCAGCCCCCCAGGATTATCTTGAAGGTCAGCAGCCGAGGGCCGGTACTTGAGACCGCGCGCACCCACCCGCCACGGGAAGCGCTCCAGGAAGCCGAGAAAGGAGGAGCTCGGAATGACCGTCGGATCGTTGCGCTCATCTGGAACCAAGAGACTGCTTTTCCTGCGCACGTTCCGAGTCCCGTAGCTCATCTTGCGCTGCTTGCGCGGCTGCTCCGAGCCTCCTCCGCGCGCCAGCCCGCTGCCAGCCAGCAGCCGATCGAGCTCATCGTGTCCCCACCCCAGAATCCCATCCCCGGTAGCCTCGTTGTCCCAGTCGTCGTAGAAGTCAAAGACGGACTCCGCGCGGCCTCGTCGCCGGCGGCGTAGTTGGTCTTCCCGACTGGGAAGACAGGGCGCAGCACATGCGTGGACACAGTTTCCGATCGCAGCGACGCAGGGAGTGATGTAGTGATGAGAGAAGGCATAGAGGCCTTCCTGGGCCGACTCGTTCGCCGACTCAAGATTGTGAGAGAATCGATTGATCGTTTGGCGGATCCGCGGGTCACTGGGGCGCATCATTATGGCTCTCTCCGACGTGCTGCTTGGTGCAGCCGGCGGAGGAGGGGGAAGTGGTGTGAGTGAGGAGGTAGTCAACTACTAGGTAACTAGGTGCTAGGTAGCGGTGAAACGTCTGCGCGGGTGACCTCACCCGAGAGTCGTAGGCATCGGGAGGACAGATGGGATTGTTGATCGATGGATCCAGCGTTTGAATCGCAGATCGACAGCCCACAGTCTTGTTGAACCGACAAAGGGGTTGCGACTGCAACTTGGCTCAGCTGCGTTGTCGTAGGAAGATGTCATTTGGCCTCAGGCTGACATTCTTCGCTGACTCAGCACACGTGAGCTCGTCGACAGATCGGGAAAGGTGCACAATGATCCATTTGGAACTTGACGGGGGTAAAACAAAAAAAAAAAAATATACAGGAAGGCCTGCATCTGCTATTGACGACTCCGAGGCTTGCAGAAGGGCTCTGTGAAGTATCTGCCTGGCCATGGTATACTACGTGCGTTTTCTAAAGACACCACGCATCCAGAAACAGCAGGCAGGCGCGCTGTCTGTCAATGCCCTCGTCTGCATCACGACAGATCTGGGCGACGCATTTCTCGCCCAGGATGTGGATTTACTCGCGGTATTGACGGTCGAGGACTCTGATGTGCCTCTCTACCAGGAGTCGCTAGCATGGAAGGCCGGCAAGAGGGAGCTTTCGGTCTCTCTAGGCCCCTTCTCCAAGGACCTGTCCAGATCACCGATTGTCCTAGGCGTTAGGGCGATTGAGAAGAGAGGGAAGCCATTTCTGAATCCAGCAGATAACCTTCAAGATGCATCCAGTATACCTCTTGTAATATCCGGGTGGAGTGCGCCATTTGGAGGACCGCAGCTCTCCGCCGCAGAGAGGGTGATAGAGCGACGTCTTTTTCTACAGGACGGCCGGCCAGCGGTGAGGATCTGGGAGGAGACCGGGAACAGTATCGCCCGGCACATTTGGTGAGCCTTTATTTGTCCTCTTCCGAGAAATCTACGATGTTCTTCTATTAAGACGGGGGGTCTCCACAGGGATGCAGCCCTCGCTTCCATGTTATATCTCCAGAGTGGAATCAGTAGTAGCAGTCGCAGCTTGTCGATGCAGTCTCTCCAGGAGCGTATATCTCAAAACGACAACCTGCTGCACGTACTCGAATTGGGAGCCGGGTGTGGGATAGTCGGAATATCTCTCGCTCACCTGCGCTCGCAGACCTCGGTGGTCCTTACAGACTTGCCCGAGGTTGAGGAGATTGTCATGCGCAATATCTCTGTATCTAGTCCGGCAAAAGCGTCTGGAGTTAAGTTCGAAACGCTGGACTGGGACGAGGAACCCCCGAAGCGTATACGTGATACGGAGATTGATCTGATCCTAGTATCTGACTGCACATACAATGCGGACAGTCTTCCATCGCTGGTTTCTGTACTCAAGCATTTGACTGCCCTTTCCCCTCGAGCGCTCATTCTTGTTGCGCTCAAGAGAAGACACGACAGCGAAGCCATCTTCTTCGACCTAATGCAATCTGCCGACCTGCAAGCCTTGCAGCAAGATTCCGTCCTGCTGCCTGCAGCACACGGGCAAGCCGACCGCATCGAACTGCATGCCTACGGACGACAACCCCGGTAGGCAGCAAACCGGCTGGTCTCGAGTGATCATTCTTCCATATACGGTCCGTGCGATTTGTCTACGTTGGGCAGATGTCTATCGCCCAACGCACTGGGTGGGTATACGAAACACGGAGGACCGAGGGGGGACTCCGTAACTAGTTATGAGTGATATAACTCACAGCTAACTACCATTGAAGTATAGCTACTTTTTGTAGTATATTAGCGACGTCATGGCCGGGATTCGGCTTACGAACATCATTGGACAACCGGACACTTGTCAGTGGTCACACATATGAGCTATTGTTCCTTGGCAGCAAAGGGCAGATCTTTGTTTCGGAGACTTTCGCTAGAGCTGCCTATGATTGAGGGAAATCACATTGCACCTGCAGGGTGGGCACTGGGCACTGGGCACTCAGAAAGCCAGGGCACATAGCATCCAGCATGAGATGCTTTCGCGTACCACGGCTGCTGCTTGGGGCCAGGCCAGGAGGCACCGAATTTTCTGAACACTGAAAAGTACTGCTTATGAAAAAAAAAAAAAAAAAATCAAATCATTACGTGCAAAGAACTTGCGGCGCTCAGGCCTGTTCTAATAATACCCCACTAGTTGACGAAGAGACACGGTGAGTGTGGTTGGACCCTGTTTTTTTTTTCTTTGCTGGAGCCTGAGCGAGTCTCGATTCCCCATGGAGTGCCTCCCTCCCCCCTCTATCCGCCGAAGCAGAGCTGCTTCTCTTCCTGATTACCACCACCACCACCACTTCAACTTCTCTGCTGACCCAGGAGAAAAACACCTCATTCACAGGTGTTTGGTGAGTCTCTGCCCTGTTAACTGCTCACTCTTGGTTCAAGAGGTTCCCCTGTTAATCCCTCTGGTTGCCTGTCTTTACCCCTCATTCCCTGCGCGCGATTTTTTGGAGCCCTTTACCCTAAGAACTGATCCTGGACGCAAAATTTCAAAAAGTCCGCACGCACATCCCTCCTACCCCCCTTAACTCTTCTTTTGTGTCTGTTACAAACACCTCATAAGATTGACTGGCTGACCGCTTCATTGATTTTTGAACGCAGCAGACGCTCTGTCGATTTTTTAAATCGCTCATCATCCCGTCCCAGCCTTTGGAGTCCCCAAAGGCCGACTGCTCACCACGGCTCTTGTAGCCGCGTTCCTGCTTCCCGATCAAATTGTATCCCCTCGACGTCTTCGACACACTCTTAACAACATTCCCCCTCCTTCTGCTGACTCCGCCTAACCTCCCTCCGACCGGCGTGCCCTTTTTTAACCCGCCCCCGCCTTCGAACTTCTCCCTTGACTTTGAGCTGCCGCATAGGACTTCTCTGAAGGTTCTTCCTCTCCAGGAGGAAGGGTCTAGGAGGCTTGGTCCAGCCAACTTTGATTGCGAAACCTTTCGCCCTCCATAACACGCAGTCGCGTTGATACTCTCTTTCACACACTATCTTTTTTTAAACCCGTAATCCGTGCTCGTCGCAGCCGCATGGTTATGGCACCGACTGCTTGTGCACCTGCTGAAATATGTGTCTCTAAACACTATCAAGACAAACATGAATTGTATCCCAGTCATGCTGGCGATTATGGAGGGGACGAGGTATCGCAGTCCAAGTTGGCTGCGAAAGACCTGGTCTTTGAGATTTTGAAGAAGCGGGCGGCCGATGTTGATATCGATCGCTGTGGACCTGGGGAGGAGGATCCGTTTTATGTCGCCGACATGGGCGAAATTTACCGCCAGCATCTGCGCTGGAAAATGAACCTCGGCCGCGTCAAGCCCTTTTATGGTACGTCCTCGCTGCCATGCATAAAAAAAATATCAGACGAGTACCCTGTTGCTGACCACCGCATAGCGGTCAAGTGTAACCCCGATCCGGAGATTCTCCGCCTGATGGCTCGTCTTGGCAACGGTTTCGACTGTGCCTCCAAGGCGGAGATCGACCTGGCTCTCGAGTCCGGAGTCGACCCCAGCCGCATCATCTACGCGCAGCCGTGCAAGACTAAATCCTACCTGCGCTATGCGGCCCAGATGGGCGTGAGACAGATGACCTTTGACAATGCCGACGAGCTGTACAAGATCAAGGCTAATTTCCCGGACGCCGAGCTCTACCTGCGCATCCTGACCGACGACTCCACTAGTCTCTGCCGGCTGAGCATGAAATTCGGTGCCTCTCTGGACGTTGCGCCTCAGCTCCTCGAACTGGCGCACCGGCTCGAGCTCAATGTCGTCGGCGTCAGCTTCCACGTCGGCTCCGGCGCTGAGGACCCCAAGGCCTTCCTCAAGGCGGTCCAGGACGCGCGCCTCATCTTCGACCAGGCGGCCGAGATCGGCTACGAACTGCACACTCTTGATGTTGGGGGCGGTTTCAGCCAGGACACCTTTGAGAAGTTCTCGGCCATTTTGAGTGATGCCCTGGATACTTATTTCCCGCCTAACATCCGCATCATCGCCGAGCCCGGTCGCTACTACGTTGCCAGCGCCTTCACCCTTGCGGCCAACGTCATTGCCCGCCGCGACGTCCCCGACCCGCTTGACCCTTCTCGTGATGCTTACATGCTGTACCTCAACGACGGTGTGTACGGAAATTTCTCCAACATCATCTTCGACCACCAGCACCCCGTCGCGCAGATCCTTAGCTGCGAGAACCGGTCCCGGGCCTCCTCTCCGGATGCTGCGACTCCGGAGGGATTCGCCTACTCCATCTGGGGCCCGACCTGCGACGGCATCGATGTCATCTCCGAGCGCATCAACCTTCCGGGCCTCCTGGATGTCGGCGACTGGCTTTATTTCGAGGATATGGGTGCCTACACCCGCTGCAGCGCCACCCGGTTCAACGGCTTCTCCGACACTCACGAGGTGATCTACATCTCCAGTGAGGCCGGAGCCTCAGCCCTCCTCGACTACTAGTCGTCTCTTCCTTTGACTTCTTGACCGTTATGTCCTTAAATTGTTGTTGTTTTTCCCCTTGTATTTCTGCCCTGCTGGTTGCTTGTATTCAAGGGGCCGAAGGGCTGAAATGTAATCGCAGATTCACTTCTTGTTTTTCATCTTTGTCCTGTTCCTCTTTAGATCCCACCTAGTACATTCCTTGAAGAAAGAGAATATATTTGTTGTTGCGCTTAGAAAGACTTTTTTCTTTTCTCAAGTCCAGTCCAGTTTATGATACTTGCTACCTGCACTTGACTCGCTAGACACTGCCCTTGACATGAGCCGATCTTATATCTAGAGCACTTGATAGATTTTCATATTCTTCTAACCTTGAAGGCTTCTCATATTGACGTTGCAGGAATTATACCCAAGTTACTAATGGGACATGGATCAAATGATCTATTCTATTCTTCTTTAAATCTGGTGTTGTTGAGAGCCAGCTCCGTAACGCAACACATATGAAAGGGGTTATCCGTCTAAAGCAATCTCTCGACGGTTAGCTCCGCCCCTTGCTTCAGATCACTCGCTTCGATCAGGCCACCGGCTTCAAGTCTTTTCTTCCATTTAGCAGATTCGTAGCGGGCGAGAATGAAGGTGATACGAGCCACTGCCGAGGGGTCGGTGGTCTCCGCCGCCGCGGCGGAGGGCGTGAAGGTCCATCGGCCAAAGGCCCAATTGAGGATATAGGACTGGGGAGAATCAGAGGCAGACTGCGGGGCCACTACCTTCTCCTCTGTGTCTGGGGATGAAGAGGTCGGCGGCGTGGTGGGCGAGCAGCGGATGATTCCCTTTATGCGATATACCTCTTCTCTGGATGCGGAGCGGAGGAGGTTCTCGAATGCAGGGATGTCGATGGTTGTGGCAGGGGAGGAAGCCTTCAATTTGACGGACAGCACTTCCACTTCGGATTGATGGTCATGTTTATGGTCGTGGTCGTGGTCGTGGGGATGGGTATGCTCATGCTGGTGTTTCTCTTCCTCCTGGTTGGAGAATAGCGCTCCATCGATCCCCAGCAAGACGTCCTTGTCTACTCTCCCCTTATCGGACTTGACCCAAGGCGTCTGCACGTCCAAATCTCCCAGACGGTCTAGGCAGATATCGAACCGCATCTCCGGCACGTCCTCCCACTTGTTGAAAATGATCAGATCCGTATATTTGGCCTGCAGTTTCGCCGTGTAGCTTGTATCCTCGTACCCCTGCCAGTTCTCCACATCGATGACACTGATCACGCCGTCCAGCATGAAACTGCCCCCTTGCTCGCGCGACAGCCGGTTCACCTCCATCGCTAGCGTGGCGGGGAACGCGCTCCCGGAGGTTTCGATCACGATCCGGTCGGGCTGGACGGTATCACGGAGCTGGTCGAGCGCATCGCTGAGCTGACCGACCAGATTACAACATATGCATCCGTTGAGCAGCTCGCGCACCCCGGAGATGGCGTTGGCGGAGGCGAGCTGCGAGTCGACCGCAACATCGCCGAATTCGTTCTTCAGAAGCGCGAGGCGATAGTCTGGCGGCAGTTGGGGAATGAGGTTGAGCAGGAGCGTCGTCTTGCCGGAGCCGAGGAAACCGGTCACGATCGTCACAGGTATGGCAGGCATGTTGGTTTAGTGACCTGGATGGATTGAAAGTTCTCAAAGGGTTCGCCAGGTATGATAGCGGGGGTAATCAGGGCGGGGTATCACCGCAATCGAGATCGTTGTAAAGCGATCAATAAAACCTCGAGTATGAGAGAAAAGAAAAAGCCGCCTCAGCAAAGAGATATAAATCTATATTTTTAATTATCCAAAATGGAAAAAGGAGCGTTGATGCGCGAGTGACGCCGAATGTCGAGACGCCGAAGGGAAAAAAAAAACTTGCTCGAAGCCCTAAAAGAAGCCCTAATTCCCTTTTGGGCTGCGCGAGTTCTTTCTCAGGCTTCTCTCGTAACAATTACCCTCATCCGAATCCACGGACAACAGTTCATGTTCCAATGGCTCTCCCGGCGACGATCTGCGTCTCCACCGTCTGACTGGATACGTTCACTGTACCTGGTCTATAGCCCTCATGCAAGGCATCCGATGGCAGGGCCCATCTGGCGACGTCATTCATTTGATCATGGACCCAGCCAGGGACACCAAAACCAAGGAGTCGATGATCGAATTGATTCCACGATTCTATTTCACTGGTACCCGTGCTGGATGGTTTATTAATTGTCTAGTCAACGTTATTTCTGTACAGTTTCTTTCCTAATACTATAAAGTATTACCTTAAAACTCCGCCAATTCAGCAAAGCCGGACAGCCGACGGAAAGTCGATAACCGATGACGCTTGGATAATAATATACTTTTCTATACTGTCTCCGGAATCCCTATCTATGGCTATGGACTCATCTAAGGACCCAGTCGAAACCACCTCAAACGGATCAGTCGGAACCGAGAGCTATCTGGACATAGTGAAGCGTCAAGCCAGGAACCTCACCAACGGAGAAACTATCGAAGACCTTCAACAGAATATCAGCTCGCTCGCAGATGAGTCCGTTGCCCGGTTCAAACAATCCGTAGGCACCAGTGACCCAGGAGAAATGGTCAAGCAGCTCGGAGAAAAAATCCACTCCGCTGCAGTCGGGTCAATGGAAACCATTGAGAAAGAAACAGGTATGTATGCCTCCTATTACAAGGACTCTGCAAACTTCCCCCATATCACTGTGATAGCATGCGATTGATCGAGATTTGTTGCTTTAGGTATCTACTCTGAGGACCATGAACGTATTGATAAACTAGAGGATGAGAAAGTCGAGGATTTTCTTAAAGAGAATCATAAGAGCACCAGTGGAGTAAACCATAAGAAATGAGTTGATTAGTATGGATCTTTCTCCATAAAATCGCCAGTTTCGCTTCGAGACACATCGGATATGAAGGAATCTCAGTCAATAAGCATCAAATATCAGTTTTCATCAAAACCACGACCCAGGAAATACTGGTTCCCTTGAAGGAATTCTCAATTACATCATGGCCTTAAATCCCTTGTCCCAGCTCTGCTCTAATCCTAAAAAGTCAGCCACATGGCTCAAGCGATCAATACCCCAGAAACACTCGGTTTCACCGTGGGAATTGGTACACTCGAACCACGGCAACCCAAAAGCACCTGCTTTGAAAGCCTGCCCGGTATTGGCAGAGAGTAGGTTCTTTGTATCTTGTTGATTGGACTGAGTATCGGATTCATTACTGTCAGCCGATCCCATATGCGACATGCCGTGAAGAGAGAACAAGCATAGACATACAGCTTTCAGGACCTCATGCGCGACCTCTGTTCCAAGAACCTTCTCGAGCACTGGAAGGAACCCCTCTGGCTGGCCTATTCTCGCGTTTCCTTCGACCCAGTAGGATTGATACAGTTCTTCAATAGTCTGAGCGAAATGCGCGGGATGACGCTTGGACACAGCGCAGAGGGCACGTTGCACACTTAGCGTGGGAGTTGGAAAGCCATCTGGTGTTTTCTCTGCGATAGGGACAGAGCACCGCTTAGCCCAGCGAATTCTCTCCTTATTGATCCAGGAAGCTTTATCTGAGAAAAGTATCAACTGTCAAGTTTCGTGAGAGCAGACAAAACCAGAGTATAAAACTTGACAATAACGCATACTCTTGACCTGGATGGGAGGCGTGTTGGAACACATGTTCATCAACCCCCCCAAAAAGATGGGTACATAGGTTATATCGCATCTCGAGAAAGCAGCAGACTTCTATTCACATTCTCGGGTCAAATTCTCAGTTCAGATCTTCGAGGTGTAACATATGGAGTGTACAGACCCTTAGCACGTGGAAGGCTATGTATGCGAATGGACTCACAATGTCCAGGTACAAAGTGATTTTGCGAGTAGCCATGGCGATAGGATAACACTGATAGTTATAGACAAATCTGATGACGCAAGCAGATCGAATGATGAACTTATAGAAAGACTCCCTCTCTCTATGTAGGAGCCCCTCTAGAGAAACCGTCAACGCCGCTAACTCAAGTCCCGATAGCCGAGGTTGGATAGTATTAGTACCTACATATGAATATCTGGAGATCGGAGCAGTCCTGTTCGCTATTAGGAACGTTGGAGCCTGGATCCTGTTATCCACAGACCAGGAAGCTTCCACTCACGTGTTGATAAACGCCAAAATGATGTATTGTCGTCCAAATAGACCTTGAGGCGCTGTTGATCCTGCCAATGATGCTCTCTCGGTGGGTCGTGATACAGGATGTGCTTGGGACAGGCAGTTGGAGCAGAATTAAATACCAAAAGACATTATTGGGCTCCAAAAATAGTTGCCGATGACTGAATGTGATACTGCCAGTAAGTGCCCTTAGTATCTCCCAGCCAGGCACGTGCAGGCTGAGGTTTCCTGCTCTCCCCTGCTCCTTCTTCATCTGTCATTGTCCGAAATGGAAGGCGCGATGGGCTTTTCTTCACACCCATGTCGTCTTTCGAGGTTGATACTCCAGGCTCCTTTTTATCGCTGCAGAGACTACCTACTGCCTCTAATGAATTTGACCATTTACCACGTTTACGTACCCTATCATAGTACCGAATAGCAACAAATACGAGCTGTATACCTATCCAGAGCATTGAAACTGGCTGGAAGAATGTCGAGTACCTCGGAGCTTTCTCTCTCCACTAATACTTCCTCCGAAGAATCTGATCGCGAGTGTTTCCAGGACTCCATCACCAAGAGGCGTCGCCATGCAGTGTACCTGCATCGTCCTCCTGTCTGGTACCCGGGTCCTTGTTCCCATGACGACTCTCCAGGAAATACTGAAAGTCATGGTATACCTTACGCTTACGACATACGGGATCTTCAAGAAAATTGCCAACACCTTGACGTCTTAGAAGGCCCATTGCCAGTATGCCAGGAGTGTCACAAAGACCTGGGGACAGATAAGGAGCTCGGGATTTTCTCAACCATCCCGGATTTTTCACTGGAAGATGAACGGTGGAAACTTCGGGCTGCGAGTTGGCTACAGGAGCCTGTTTCTGAGGCTACAGCCCCAAGTGATGACAATGTCATTCCAGCTGTTGGCCAGAATTCTGTGAGTAGTACTTCTCTCTTTTGCTAGAAGCTTACTATACGTATAGTCTAACGTATTAGCCACCACTCTATCAAAGGCATGCCGGCCTTTGCACACGCTTGCGGTCATGCAGAGATGTCCGCGTTGGATCGGACGAAAACTGGGCGATTAAGGAAGGCTCTCTTGTGGTCTGCATTGACCCTGAATACACCATTCTGCGGGACCAGAAGCGGTCGAATGATGAATTTGAACTAGTATACGGGGATTTTTATGTAATTTGCCAATTATATGCCGACTTCTGGGCTTTATGCACCAAGGTTTCATTGAATGACTCTCCAAAGAGCGACTGGTATGGAGCCGAGCGAGATGATCTCGACAGGAGTTTCTTACGGCTTGGTTTTCTTCCTCTTTGTGCAGTCACACTTGCAGCAAACTTCAGTGCCTTTATCGATCGATGCACTAGAGACAGAAATTGCTTGTACCTGACCAAGTATCCCGGTAATGGCCTTCCCGTGGCTCCCCCGGAGCGCTCGCATAGTCTCCGGGTGGACAAGAAGTCCCTTGAAGAGACCTACAAGAACACTGGCGTTCCTGCTACACTGTGTGATTCTCTTGGGCCAGAACCACTGCTAGGTGTATCGGATGATTTTGTGCCCCTGGACTCAACAATTCGTTCGCTGTTTGCCGACAGACGATTTGGCAGAGACGAGACATCGGCACTACGCAGGCAGTTATCACTGAAGAAGTTCTGGCAGAATCTGAGAAACCCAGAAGCAACCACGGATTACGGATCCTCCGCCGGGTGGTCATCGGCATCGCACAGTCGTAACCCTTCATCTGAAAGCGATAAGCCAGCCACGCAGCCATGTCAGGGGCCACGCAGGACCCGTGGTAGCTTTGCTGCCGCCAGCGAGAATCTGAAACGACTTATCCGGATGTCTGCCGGCTAAAGGAGATTAAGCTCAAATAGTTCCAAAGCACGCTCGACCCTCGACCCTGGGCTATTCTTGGTTGACACGGGTGTCCGTTTCTATGTAATAAATGAGGCTATTCCCATTCTTTTATTTGCTAACAAAGGTGGCATACCTTACTTACTGGTTTATGAATAAATGAAATAAATTATCCGGAATATGTGATTTTTTTTTCTCTTTATATGTTGCGTCACCTTTGATATAAGATGAAGTCACCGCGAGTTGCCCCCCGGATGGTTTACCCTTACATGAATAAACAGTGTTGAATCCCAAATATTCTTCTCGAACACATAGCTACCTTGTTGAACAAAAGAAAGACGAATCACAAATATAAGGAGCGACAACAGGAATTGTAATTATAAAAGGAGCGACTGTCTGAGGGAATACTTACCGAATCTTTTTTTTTGTCCTCCTCACCATGTCCACAGCCCGATCAGCCAGCCTCCCTAGCGAAGAGGCTGATTTTCCTTCCGACCAAGAGACTGAGAAGCAGCAGCAGCAGCAGCAGCAGCAGCAGCAACAACAGACTCTGCAGCCCGTGAGCGAGAGCGGTAATCCGTGGGTGACGACCCGGGGAACGCTGCCGCGGGCGTCTCGTCGACTGCGCGCCGAGTACCGGTCAAGATCACAGCCGCGCAAGGGGCGGACGGGGTCGAAGTATCGGTCGAGGTCGAGGCATTGAAATAGTTGCGTATTCTCGCCTGGGAAGGAGGTGGGCTTTGATTTGTGCCATGGCGTTAATGGGGGTTTTCTGTGGAATGTTCCTGTTTTATCAATAGAATGACCTGACCATGATATAGAAAGAGGGGGAGAAAAGAAAATAAAAAGATACCTAATACTCAACTTGACGTTTAGTACTGAAAAAAGAAAAAGAAAATTGATCCTCCATCTGGCGTAGAACCAAGGTAAACCACGCTTTCTAGACAGGTCGTCCAGGCGTCGAGCCTTGTCGTGGAGTCATCAACGTGTTTCCGCGGCGAAGTTCAGGCAGGCCCTCGGTGAGACGGGCGATACCGTAGCCAGCCTTGAGGTGAGCGATGAAACACTCTGCGACCCAGTAGTATTCGACGCCGTTGTCGATTAACGCCGTGACATATCCGTCGAGAAGCGCATCGCGGCCGTACAGGACGGTCTCGAGGAAGACCCCCAGCTCGCACAGGGTCACCCCGTTGGCCAGTTTCGCCCGGATGGTGTCCGGCAGCGTGTGCAAGCCTGCGACCCCTTGGTTGTTGTTGCCGTCCGCGTGGAAGGGCCACTGGCGCACTCTAGCATGTGCCGTGTCCTGCGAGATACCCTCGTTGGTCTTGTCTTCGGGATCTGCCAGCTCGTTCCAGGAGGGGGAGGGGAGCTGGCGACGCTGTGCCAAGGGGTTTGTCTGTCGACGGATTGCACCAGAGCGCCGGATAGAGTTAGTAGATGATACAGAGTCGGCCGTTGAGGCTCGGGAGAGGCCGAACTCTGTGGGTGCTGCACCTGCTGCAGGCACCGACGTAGGCGGACGAGATGCCTTGCCCTGGGCACCGGCCTTGCCAAAGAGACGGGGGATCATTGTGCTAGCTTGGGGGGTATTGAGAGATTGTGAGTCCAGCGCAAGTCAGATGTGTTGGATGTCGGTATGCCCTTTTCTGGGAAATTGTCGAGGTGCAGAGCCGTCGAGAGGTATGGAGAAGAAAAGGGCATCAAGAAGCTGGAGCTTAGCAAGGGTTATTTATACCTTTCGGGAGTCCATGACCTTGTTTGTTTGAAAATCATTGAATCGTCCTTTATCCTGCCGATTGACAATTCCATTGTTCGAGGACAAGTTGTTGGCCTCTAACTCATATATCATGTTCTTGAAACTGTATCCCTTGCTCAAAGAGCATTGTTTGAACAAAGACATTCTTGAAGGCAGTTAAAGAAAGACTAGCGTAGACAATGTCCACGGATTCTTCTTTGTTCACTTTGTATTCGAATAATGCTGCATATTAGTGGTGGCAGTGTAGGACTGTCTCAACAGGGATATCCTCAATGGAAATAGTGGTAGTGGCAAGGATATACATATTTAACATTAGAATAGGGTATATACATTCGTTTAGGTCGGCAGAAAGGCAGAAACTCCAGTGTAATGATATAGCTGTCAGGCTTAAAACACTTGAGAAGACACTGGATTAAAATCCGTACTAAGGGTATATGCGCAAGAAGAGAGAGAGAGAGAGAGAAAAAAAAAAAAAAAGGGAAAAACTTGTACTCTTGGCTTGTAAAAGAGGGGAACTTCGGACGTCTTTTGAATAGGTATAACCATAGCGTCAAAGCCATAATACCCACCTGATACTGGAGATAACACCTCGGAGTATAGCCCGTAGGACTCTGAAGACCATGACGAGGAGCCACACCCACCACAGGACAGCGACGAGGGTCCACTCGAGCATGACGAAGCCAGCGTGTCGGACGGAGCGGAAGCGCCGATTACGCTTCCGAACACCCTGTTCGAGAACGTCGCTGAGCTGCTTGACGGCGAGCGTGCTCGTCGTGTTGAGATGGAGACTCAGACTCTCCGCATCGGACGCGGCGGCACGAACTCGAGGCGTTAGCGATTGGTTGACCAAATCTTCCAGGCTATGCAATTGTTCTCGCAGTGGCGAGGCCACTGCGCTTGAGAACCGATCCATGGACTGCTCGAGCGTCGAGCGGGAAGTCTCAAATTGATGAAGCATTTCTTCCGCCGCAAGCTCAAAAACTTGCATGCGGGACACCTTAGGATTGGCATTGCTAATGTCAAGAATGCTCTTGGTCAAAAGCTTGTTCCGCGCACTGCACGATTCAGCCCGGCGGGTAATCTCTCGGGCTTTGATACCGGATGATAAGAGAAGCGCCCTGGTGCGCCCAACCTCACGCCTGCTGGGAAGGCCATAATCGGCCAAGGTCGTTATACTGCGATTCGAGATGCTCCAGGACCGTGTGTTCTCGGCCAACCGGGGTCGTTTCTTCACAGAAGCCGCGGCGCCAACAGAAGCTTCAAGCTTTGCAAGTCCAGTCACAGGTGGGTTATTGAGACTGAAAGGCTGAGGGTGAGGAATATTTTGTATTCTACCGTGTCCTTTGTGCTGGAGGGGGCTACCGACAGCGTCTCTAGCCTCATGCGTATTACCTTGCACCCCGATCAGACCAGAGGAACCGAGAGGCCGAGATGTTGATGAAACATCTCTGACCTGCTGATCGCCGAGATAAGAAGGCTCTCGTTCTTCACCGGACTCCTCGTTCAGAGGGCGCTGGGGTGTAAAGATTGGCAAATGCGGGATGAAGTTCTTCGACGGACCTTTCTCGGCCCCTGCGCGAGACACACGTATGTTGTCGTCCGTGAAGGTTGGCAGGCGGCGCAAAAGAGCTCTCGGTCCAGACTTGCCACCATTCTTGGTCTCCTCACCGCCATCCGAGTCGCACTCATCCGATTCAAGGCTGCTAGATGCTGAAGATGAACGCCGCGAAGTAGGGAAACCATCTTTCTTCAGGATCCGGTCTCCCACTTTGGAGACTTCATAACCAACAATCTCGGCAATGCGTCCGCGGTTCTTGAAAATTCCGCGGAGTTTTGACTCTGGGTGCCCAGCCTTGTTGTGATTCTTGAGACTTTCTTGACGTGAGACACCTTCGAAAGCATGGTCGTCGGGATAGCTAGTAGCCACCCGGTCCGGCAGAGGGCTGGGTTCAAGTTGCCCAGGACGCTCCGCCAAGTCTGAAGGGCCCAGCGTCTCTTTTCGGCGCAGCGCATCCGACTCAGACGCACCGGTCTCACCAGCTCGTTCGCGGAGATCTTTGATTCGATGTTTGCTCTTGTTTCGCTCGTGGAGTGGGCCGACCACCCGGGGGAACGGCATCTTGGATGGTGAGGGCGAGCGGCTGGATGGAGGGGAGTCAAGATTCACCGCGATGCTGGGGAAGAGACCTGCTTGGACGGGGGAGTTGGGGGCTGTGCTGTCCTTCTCCTCTAATGACATGCGGCGGATATTTCTATCTTCCATGCTGGTCGCGGAGGAGATAGAGGCTCTCTTTTGAGGATATGTTCTCATCCAGCCGTAGTTGCGACCGGACTGTAAAGGCGAGAAATGCGAACTCGTAGAAAGAGCAGCTCTCGTGTGGGTGAAAGTGTTCAACATCGGTAGGCGCTTCTCGGGCTTCTTCGTGCGAGAATGTTTATCGATATTGCTGTCCTCCACGGAAGAGGCACTTGAGGTGCTGTGAGACCGTATTATCGGTCGTTGCCACTTCGGCCGTCTTGTTTTCTTGCGGTCACTGCGGCTTTGCTCTTCGCTCGAGGGGCTGTTGAATCGATGTTTGCGACGTCCACGACTGGTCTGGGTTGATTCACGCGACAGGTACTTCCGGGCGCTGGAGATCGACTCCCTGGGCTCGGGAACCGTGGTATCCTTATTTTCCGAAATATCTTCCTGACCAGCATTGTCCGGGTCCGCCTGGTCACCATAACGGACCAACTCGGATGTATCTGGATAGAGCTTTATACCATCTTTATTGACAATCTTTGTCTTGTTGATCCCTTCTTCCAGCCAGGCAGCGTCACAGAGAAGCTCTGCGGGTGAGATGATCCAATCGAATCGAGGCCTCGAGACCTTGACACTGCTGGTGTGACTAGCGCGTCTCAAGCTGGCCGAAGGAGAGACAGTCGACATGTCGAACTCCTCAAAGTCATTCTGTTTTGCAGGCTGGCCCGGGCGCGCCTGGAAGGTGGGAAGATTCAGGCATTCGGTGGTCGGATGGGCCTGTTTTCCGTATCGCTGCTCAATTGCACCTATCCAGTCATGGATTTTGGCGGCATCATTCCAACCATCCGCATTTGGGTCGATGGGGCATTTCTCCCGAAATCTGATCTTTCGATTCCGAATCGCCTGCAGAGGATTATAGACTCTGTTATGTTTCAAGTCCTCATCAACTCTGGGTGAGGTTTCCGATGCACCCTCTACCATAGGATCACGCAAAGGGGGCAGGCAATCAAGCAAGCGTAAGTATTCGGACAGGAGCTCGAAATACTGACGGGTTTTCTCAACACGAGCCAGCGTGCTACTGGAGACGGCATACGGTAGCGAGCCTGCTTCTTCAGTAGCGTAAGACGGTAGAAACTCGCGCAGTGGATATCCGTCTTTTGGCGTGTAGCTGGTGCGAAATTCTGGGCCTGGTGATGCCCATTCTGGTAACTTATTTACCGAGCCGTGGCGGGCCTGGAAAATGGCAGGCCCGGTCGTGCTCCCCAGCCCCGAAACCCCGTGGACATCAGAGTAAGAAGTAGAACTCTGACCCGCAGAGGCTACTCTTCTCCCTCCCGAGACCTGGCCGATGGTTGGACGGCTCGAGGCTGTCCTCTTCCTTGACTCGCTAAGATTCAACGCGAGATTCACGATTTGTAGGGAGTCGTTGTCAAGCCCTACCGCCGCCGGCGGTGGTTCATTATCTCCTCGAAGCCCTGCCTCCTGCAACGGATTGTCCCCCGCTGGCTCCTCCTCCATTCTTGGGGCTGGAAGCAGCAACCCATTCTGAGAATCCGTCGCAGCACTCGCAGGGTCCTGTAGCGTAGGAGAGTCGACTGCCCGTTTCTGTCGACTGCCCCAGGGAAAATGCGATCGCTTTTTAGGCATGACAAGATCGCCGTCTGGTGCGGCCACACGCTTCTCGACAGGGTGCTTCTCAACAACAACCGCAGGGCGTCTTTCAACCGTCTGGGTATCCAAGCGGCGGGGGTTACGAATCGACCCGGATCGAGCGAACTTGGACCCGGAACGAAGGAGGAACGACGAGTCGAGGAGAAAGCCACCACCAGAGCTCAGCATCCGCCGGTGGCGCTGGCTGTCGCCGCCTCTGTCTCCATCGCGAGAGCTAGTCCCCAGCGTGCTGCCTTCTAGCTCTCCGCTGGCTCGGCCGTCTGTCATCAGGGGCTCCTCCGCCGCGAACGCCCGCGACACCTGCGCCTGGGAACCCACAGGTTGTTTAACATCCACGGACGAGGCTACCGCCGCCTGCGATTCATTGGACCCGTAGATCTGCTGCGGCATCCAGGCTTTGCGGGAGGGGGGGGGAGGGACAGTCAATCAGTGAGAGAGCCCCTCTCTAGCATCTGGCTGAGAGGAAGGGATGCTGCGGCGCGTCGACCCGAATCATGGAGAGTATTCCGTCGCGGCTTTCTTCAGTCCGTCATGGATGGTGATTCAGGGAAGCCAGCAAAATGAACCAGACGCAGTCAGGGGAATGGAGAATGGTAAAACACGAATCCTGGACCTGGTCGAAAAGGTGACGTTGGGATCAACAACCAAGAAGTTGAAACGTCCATGTGTGCAAACAGAGCAAACACGTTCCCGCCAACCGCCAACTGGCGACGCTTGGTTATTAACGGGTAGTTGTTTTGCGTAGATTAAGACAAGGGGATTATTATTATGCTAGAAATCGACCGACATTCGGACAAAGAAGATCTAGCATTGGTCTAAGAGCCAGAGAGGTACAACTAGAGGTACATTTCCTAGAAATAACAGGAGCCTGTGCGAAGTAACAAAGAAAAAACAGACCAGTGATTACAGGGAAAAGGCGGTTCTACTCGACCCTTAAGCACTGCAAACGGGCCTCGGTCTCCATCACCTATAGAAGAACAAGTTAGTTCTGGATAAAGCCAGATTGTGGAATGGAAGGGGGTGTATAAAGGGCACTTACCTCCAGAGCTTGCTTCACCTCAAGAACGCGGCGAACATCGGCCAGCCAGTCCTTGCTCAGAATTTTGGCCCATCCTTGGAGGGCGTTCATCTCACGGGCAGCTGCATCGAGGTTGCCCTCTTCCAGCAGACTCTCTGTGCGGAGGAGGACGCTCTCCACGTCATCTCCGTCAGCCAGACCGTCCTTCTTGAACATCACCTTGCTCAGAACAAAGCTAGCCGCGTGGCTTGCGATACCGGCGTCCTCGGGCAGGAGGCTAGCCTTGCGGACTTCCGAGGCCACACGGCGGAAGCGGTCGATGACCTGAGGCGTGGAGGGGATGCCGCGCTGGTACGCCGTGGGGTTGATGGAGGCAATGGCGGCGTCGACGACCGGGTCGTCAGCAGCCAGTTCCTTGACGGCCACCAGCTCGCGGACGAAGGGACGGGCGGTCTCTGCACGCTCCAGCACGCTGCGAACAGCATCCACGGCGACCTGGAGTTGCTGGGTCTTCAGGTTGGCGTCGATGACCTCCTTCCAGTCCGTGGTTAGCTTCTCAAGCTCGCTGACGTTCGCCGTGAGCTCGCCCAGCTTGCTCAGGCGTCCCTCACGCTCTCTTTCGACCAGGTCCTGGACGTCGTGGAGATACTTGCGGTTCAGTTCAATCGCCTGCTCCACAAGCTCATTCTGGAGGCGCTGTTCCGCGATCTCCTGGGCACGCAGAAGCTCGGTCTTGATCTTCTCCTGGTACGAGAGGGCCAGCTTCTCACGCTCCGCCTCAAACTCTTCCCGGAAGCGGGCAACATCGTCGGTGCGCGTCTCCTCGAAACGGCGGATCAGCTCCCGGGCGGATTCGTCGAAGGTGGAGTGGGCCTTTTTGATTTCCTCCTGAGCCGCACTGCGGGCCTCCTCTCCGATCTTGTTGATCTTCTCACCGATCGCCTGGAGCTCTTCCTTGGCCTTGGAGACCGGGCCCGAGAACCTGTTGGCGCTCTCATCCGCGCTGATCACCGTGATGATATCGTTGAAGGTCTTGACCAGCTCCTGCACGAGGGGCTCGTCACCATCCTGGATCTTCAGCAGTTCAATGGTAGTGATGGGAGACAGGACGGGTTTCCTGGGCTCCTCTTTAGGCTGTTCCTTGGGGGCGGGCTCCTTTTTCTCCGGAGCAGACTCCTTCTTGGCCTGCTCCTTGGCCTTGGCGACGGTCGCGGTCTTCTCCTCCTTAGACTTGGCGTCTTCCAACTCCGCCTTCTTGATAGCACTCATGTGAGGGCCCTTCTGTGAGAGATCGGTACCAACAGGCTCATCGTTGGCAACCTTCCACGAAAGGCCGCTCTTGCTAGGAATCGTGACCTTGTTTCCTCCATCCTTGGCCGCCGGAGGCAGACGGTTAGGGTGGCTCAACGCATTGGGAAACCGACGGTAAAAGTCCCGCTCTTCGAAGTAGAGCACACTCTCCTCGCCATAAGGAACATACTCCGTAAAGAAGTCGTGGAAGTTGTCGAACTTCAAGGCCAGGAAGACACCACCGCCGTACGCAATGCCGGAAGTGAGGATCAGGTACAGAAGGAATCGACGGAATCGCCCAGTCTTGCGTACAGGAGCCGAGGGAGGAGCCGGGGGAGGAGGAACCGAGCCTTGCCTAGCGTTAGAAACAAACCCAACCTCTCTAATAAATCATCTGTAAAGTGGAATGCCTCACCCTTTTCAGCTGTCTCCGGCTTGGGTTTGGGCACCGTCTCGGGAGGAACGACTGTTTCTGATGCAGGAGACGCCGGTGTGGGCGCGGCAGGAGCAGGAGGCGCAGGCGGCTTAATATCGGCAAAGAATCTCTAGAGATGAGGAAAAAAAAAAGAAACCACATTAGTCAAATTGACATCTCCCAAACAATGGACCATTGCGCCTCGTACCTGGCCTGCGAGCCGGTTGCTGGCTCCGGCTCTGGACAGCCATTGCGTCGCGGTCCGTTGGCGAACGGGCAGCGACAGCAGTTGCCGACTTGGTGCAATAGAGGAGCGCAGCATGGCGAGCTGCACTACCGCCAGATGGAGGATTGGGGGGGGGGGGGGGGGGGGGGGCGGAGGTTGGAGGGGGGATGAGGATGGTTGGAGAGGGAAAACGCGGACCAAGATTTGATGATGCTTTTAGCCATCCGCTCCGACGGTTGGCCCGACCGGGCGTGCTCGGCACGCACCCACACGAGCAGATGCCAGATGGACGTCACAATTGACGTCGAGGTTTGATTGAGAGAAAAATTGTATTTAAAAACTCGGATGAGTATTAGAGAGGGAAAACTTGGCGATATTTCTATAATTTTTCAACGCATATTGTTCTAGTGGTAGTACGATGTGTGCCGCCATGACTAGGAACTTATAGGATAGTACTAGACAATGCTCGTAACAGATCAATTTCTAGCGAGGTGTTGAAAAAAAGAAAAGCTATTATATGTAAATATCATACGGGAGGGTTCTGCAAAAGTAGACAGGAAGGATGAAAAGAGTCACACGAGATCAACCCAAGAGTGAGACGGAAAACGGACGCCGAGGGATAGGAGACAGAAACGTTATGAAAGAGATAGGAAAGAGGGCAGAGGATCGAATCCGCCGCCAGTACGTCTAGAGTGAATCCGGTGAGTTTCCCCGAGCGAGGAGGAGCAGTTTGACCGGAGACGACTGGAGAGGGGTGGTGTAGCCCGACCCCAAGGGCGTCACGGAAGAAGAGCAAGCAAACTCTCCTTTGGTTCTTGACAATGGCGGCGCCACGTTTCCAAATCCCGGCGATAACTGTGTCCAGACTCGAAGAGAGAGCACCTTTCATATGTAGAAGAACAGAGTGATTGAGAGATATCGAGGGCAGGAAGGGGGAGAACGGGGAAGGGAACACAAATTATCGACGACGGGTAACGATGACAGAACAAGCCCGGGCAAAGTTCAGCAGTTGCAGGAGCCGGCTCCTTGGGTGCCTGACGCCTCGGGTCGCAGATCGACGCCTGGACGAGGGGCTGTCCGGAGGTTCCGCGGGCCGGCCTGGTCAAGAGGAAGCTTCTTGGCGATGGCGGAGAAGAGTTCTTTCACATTCGTCGAGGTCTTGGCCGAAGTTTCGAAGAAGAGCAGGCCGGCTTCGCGGGCGTAGGCTTCGGCATCGGCGGTGGCGATGGCCCGCTTGTCGGGGCTGTCGGTTACCAGGTCAAGCTTGTTACCGGCGAGAGCAATGACGATATTCTCGTTCGCTTGGCGTTGTAGTTCCTTCACCCACGACTTGGCCTTGTCGAGCGATGCCTGTGCATGATTATCATCATCATTTAGCGGACCCGGGCGGAAAGAGAAAAAAACGACGTCAGGTGACACGTACAGCTTGGGTGATATCATAGACAACGACGGCGCAGTTGGCATTTCGATAGTACATGGGGGCAAGAGACTTGTATCGTTCCTGTCCGGCGGTATCCCAGATCTCGAACTTGACGGTTGTGCTCTCATCCAGCGAAATGGTCTGGGTTAGAAACGCCGCGCCGATCGTGGATTCCCGGTAGTCATCGAATTGATCCTGTCGCCCGTCAACCAACGTCCATATCCAGATAGTTCTCTCTCGCACCGCTTACTTTGACGAATCGTAGAACCAGCGAACTCTGCAGACCGGTCACGCAGGTTAGTGGGCTATCCTTCCAGGCACCGACGATGTCACGAGAGGGCATCAAACCTTTCCAACGGCAGACTCTCCTATAACCAGGTCATCAGCCTGAGTTCGAGACAACCCACATAGCAGAAATATAGGATCCGGAAAAGATGATCAGTGTGGCACTCACCAAGCAGCACCAGCTTAAACTGGGCGAATCTGGCACCCGGGCGGCCTCCTGCCGGTGCTCGAGCAGCCATGGTCTCTTCGAAAATTGCGGAATAAAAATTTCTCGGTGAAGAAAAACCCCAGAGAAAGACACGGTCAGCAGAAGAGCAGAATAACGGCGATTGCTGTAGTCGAGAACTCGTCCTTTGGCGTTGAGAGGCGACGGATGCGGTCGTTTCTTGGGCGAGGTTTGAGCTGCTGAGGGCAGTTGCTGGGATGACGGAAGGGCCTCCCAGCCACAGGCTGCGGGGCGGTGCCGGGCACGTTGTCCATATGTGAAGATCCCTTTAACATTCACCAGCAACACCCTGTTTGTTTCATTCTTGTTCGTTTTATTTTTCTGTTTATCCCCTCATTGTGTATTGAGGCCTGTCGCTCCTTTGAAAAAATAACTAAAATATTGAAGGAGACTTTGTCTGTGAGCTGGATCGATCGACTGACCTGACTGTTGCCTGCCATGTCGCCTCCTATTCTGCCATACCGGGATATCAACCTGCACGCTTCAGCCTCGCATTATGCGTTCACCTCGCCGTCGTCGCCAGACTCGCCGACGCTGGTGGTAGATCGTCCGACGGGGGACCTGCGGTTGAATAATGGCGTTCTGCCGGGTGCGAAACGCATTTCCAGCATTGCCGGGATCCTTGGCATCCTCAAGCTGAAACTGGGTATGGCGAGAGCCGGGGAAAATGGGAGATGAATGGAAGAATCAATGGCTGATGGAAAGTAGACAAGTATATCGTGGTGATCACCAAGGCGCAGCCGATGGGGCGGCTCCGGGGCCATATGGTGTACAAGGTTGCAGGCACCGAGTTCCTTCCGCTGCGTGAACGGCCGCTGCACGATACGGACGAAGACACCTACTTGGCGCTGGTTAAAGACCTCCTGCGCACGGGGCCGATGTATTTCTCGTACTCGCTCGACCTGACCAACAGCTTCCAGCGCCAATCGCAGAGCGACATGGCCCTCCCCCTGTGGCAGCGGGCGGACGACCGGTTCTTCTGGAATCGTTTCCTCCAGTCCGACCTCATTGATTTCAGCCTCGGCGGACATAATACGGCGGCGGTGCGGTATGGCCCACAGCCAGGGGCGGATCCGTTTATCCTGCCGGTGATGTTTGGCATGCTGCGCATCACGCCGGCCAAGGTCAAGGGGACCTCGTTCACCTTCGCGCTCATCACCCGGCGGTCAAGACACCGCGGCGGTACACGGTACTTTTCGCGGGGAATCGACGAACAGGGGAATGTTTCCAATTACAATGAGACGGAACAGGTTGTCATCCTGAATGACGCTGCTGGAGGTCTTGCAGGCTTTGCTGGGGGACAGAGTATAACGCACGAAGGCAAGACCGGCAAAGACCTCCAGGTAATGGCCTTTGTGCAGACCAGAGGCAGTGTCCCCGTGTACTGGACCGAAGTGAATAATCTGAAATATACCCCGAAACTCCAAGTCCGCGGGGTGGAGACGGCAGTGGACGCTTCGCGCAAACATTTTGCAGAGCAGATTCGGATCTACGGAGAGAACTACCTGGTGAACCTGGTCAACCAGAAGGGCAGAGAAGAACGGGTCAAGAATGCCTACGAACAACTGGTTCGCACACTGCTTACGGCGCCCACGGAAAACACTGATGCAGATGAGCAAACCAATGAAAAGACCCATTTGGTCGATCCCAGCAAGCGGCAGAACGAGATGGATCGTCTCCACTACGTCTACTTTGACTTCCACAACGAAACGAAAGGTCTCAAATGGCACCGTGCAGAGTTGCTCATGGATCGCTTGACGGATGGGCTGAGCCGGGGCGGCTACTTCCGCGGTATTGAAAGCCCTGGAGCCCCGGGGGGCCAGCTCGATGCTCGCTCGGTCCAGTCAAGCGTTGTCCGGACCAACTGTATGGACTGTCTGGATCGCACCAATGTCGTCCAGAGTATGCTAGGCCGCTGGGCTGTCACTCGCCAACTGATTGACGCCGGCGTCCTGCACCAAGGAGAAGCCGCCAGCGACGACGCCGACTTCGAGAACCTGTTCCGGAACATCTGGGCAGACAATGCCGACGTGGTCTCCAAGGCTTATTCGGGTACGGGGGCCCTCAAGACGGACTTCACCCGCACAGGGAAGCGCACGCGTGTCGGCATGCTGCAAGACCTGAACAACTCCATTACTCGGTACCTGCGCAACAATTTCCTGGACGGGCCCCGACAGGACGGATTCGACGTGTTTCTCGGCACCTATCTGCCGCCCGACTCGACGTTCGACACCTATAAGCTGTTTGTCGACCGCCGCCCTCTGATCATCCAGGCCATCCCGTACATCTTTGCCGCCAGTCTTTTCATGATCTTTGTTGCCTCCTTCACGAGACGTCTGCCCGATGCTGCCGTGTGGCCTCTCCGCCTGTTCGTCGTCTTCTGGCTGGTCGTTGGTGCCTGGTGTATACGCTTCATCATCGAACACGGGATGCTCTACGTAGGCTTTCCCCTCCCCCCTCTCGTCTTCTGACTTCCCTTTGCTAATTATGACTGCTAATCGTGAATAGGTAAATTGGCCCAAGTTGAACACTCCTCCGGCTGGCTCTGAAGGTTATCAAGATGCACTCATCAAGGCACGAACGGACCCGATCATTGGCAAGTGGCTCCCACTCCGACGACACCAGAGAGGATACAGCAATGCCCGGCTGGTCTTCCTGGAGGAAGGCAAGACAAGGATTGAATGAATGTTCCGGATTTTTGTTCGTATTGTCTTGAGATATTCATTCTTCTCGAGACATTTCTTCTTAGACTCCTTTCCTCCTGACCGTCTTTTCGACTTTTTCTTTCATATTGCCATTTACTAACCTTTCACTTGCCAACGCTTCTTCCGCCCTTTTCCCCCCATTTTTTTTTTTTTAATTCTTGAGACGCATATCTGTTTCTAATCCCGCGTTGCATTTGTGTACTAGATAGAGTCAATAGCAACCGTCTTGATCATTCATTGCTCTTTTTTTTTCTCTTTTGAAATGTCCATGGGTAAGCTTATAGTATCGATTTGAGTCTGTAAAGCCTGGAGAATTGACTATTGTAGAAGCTTCAGTCGGTATAATTGTCTCTTATGTCTTGGTCAACGTAAGAAGATTAGCCGAGGATCTCCCGGCAAAGACAACTCCCAGGCTTCAAGTTGTTTTCTTTCCTCGCTACCCTTCTCTCTAGCATCTTCTCTTCAGCCCGAGACCCCTACTCAGTGGAGCTGGGAAGGTTCGCAAGATCAGCTAACTAGGTAGTCAATATAGGTACTGACTTTCCCATTCTACTTGGCCAACTTCGAGGGGGAAGGGGAAAGTCGTCCTACCACCATGACACTCCACGACCATCTGACGTGGAAACAGACCGAACCCGGCCGTTGGGAACGAGAGATCGATGAGGTGGAACAGTGCTACACCTCGCTCGCCCGGACGTACGCCGGGAGCGGCCGGACACTCTTCGCCATAACGGGGCACATCTCGTTCTCTGTGGCAGCAGGAAGGCTGGAAGATGCCATTGAAGCTTTACGAAATGCCTGGCTACGGCTACGTTACGACCATCCCACTCTGGCGTCGTGGGTTGAATATGACCGCGGCAGTCAGAAATGCAAAAAGGTCTACGAGACCTTCGAAAAGGCAGGGAACTCCTCCGCAGCCCAGACTGCCTGGCTGCAGGAGACGTTCCGTGTGGTCGAGACGGAGGGCCTCACGGGTGAGCAGTGGTGTAACGATGATCCTCCTGTTCCGAAGTTGCCGACGCTGTTCGTGATCAAACGGGATCAAAGCATCACCACGGGGGGGGAGATGGTGGCGGCAGCAGACCTGGTGCTTCGCGCGCACCATGACATTATCGACGGGATTGGAACGCTCCACCTGTTCGACAATCTGTTCCGCCATGCCTCGCAGGTGTACGAGAACTGGCCGGGACTGCCCAGCCCCGCGTTTGGGGGCGAGTGGGTGAACCTCAGCCCCCCGCTTCGTGTGGCTGCATCGATCCCAGACAGTCTGACGGTTGAGCAGAAGGAGCGCTTCCACCGGATCATCGCGCACAACGCCGCGCTCCGGGACGGGGCACGGCTAGCAACCGTGCCCTTTCGGCCGGGGGAGAAGATCCCCAAGCGCCACCAGCGAGTCGCGCTGACGCTGTCACCGGAGCAAAGCCACCGACTGCTGGTGACGTGCAAGACGCTTGGGTTCAGTGTGACGCACGTGTACCATGCGGCCATCGCACTGACGGTGCGTGATGCGCAGAAGCGACTCGCCCAGGACCGCCAGGTGCGGTATATCAGCTACTCGTTGATCAACGAGCGCGCGCACTGCACACAGCCTTTCAGTACCGCGCAGCACGCCGTTTCCGTGTACCACTCTGTCTCTGGTCAGAGTATGGCAATCGACCTGTCGGTTCCGGCTGCGGCCAGCCCGCCCCCCACGCAGGTTCATGCCCGGGCGGAGTTCATGAAGGTCGCCGAGCAGGTCAAAGCGTACTATCTCGAGATCCGCAACGATACAGAGCACATCGCCATGGTTCCCTCGTATTGGACGCTCTCCACCCTCCCATATCCGCCAGAGACGCCGTCTGTGCCGCAACCTAACCTAGCGCCTTCGGCGTCCATCTCGAGCATGGGTGTCATTGACCAGATCATTCGCGCCCACAGGGGCCCCTTCGAGCTGACAAACCCATGGGTCACGGGTGAGGAGCTGGGGACAGGACTTGGGCTATTTCTCGGCACTTTCAAGGGGCAAATCTGCCTGAGTGCGGCGTATAACGATGCGTGGCATGACATGGATGAGGTGATGGGGCTTGTCACCCGGTGCAACGCATTAGTCTGCCAGTCTCTGGGTGTATGACATAGTCTTTACACCAGCTTTCATCTGTCAACTGTACTCCGTACTCATTCGTCTCAAATGTCATTTCATGGTCTAGTAGTATCTTGCTTGCAGCTGCTTCAGCTGCTTCATCGTCCCTACGGAGTATCGTGCCGACACTCCGCGACTGCAGATCATCCATCGCCCGAAGATTTCCATCACCTGCAGGCAATCAGTACTAAGATACGATCCCGGAAGAATTCTCCAAAGTACGCGGACTACTCCGTCCAGCATCAAATACCGTATCGTATTCCGTGTCTCTGTATCCACCGAGGAGTTGTACTCCGTGCCCCGGTTGTATCCAAGGACTGGACTGGGCTCAAGCCTTAAGCTCTGGTGGCGCGAGGCTGGAAAAGGAGCATGGACCAACAGCTATAGCGTTCGAAATAGCGTTCGTCTTGGCAATAAGATATCAAGGAAACGGTCTAGGCTGCTGTGATCCCTGTACAGACTCACAGTGTTTGTAGAGCATTCAAAGGTGGTTTCCTGCCATAAACGCCGAACGAACGCCGGACGGCCTAAATAACCACGTGATTGCCTCTATTATTCTCAGCAGCTCCGACTCCCTTCTTTGTTATACCTTGCCATAAGCCTGGAATTGCCTGGCAAGGACTCAAATTCTCGAAAAACAGGATACATTGAATGACAAATATTTGAAATCTAAGCCTAACCGTCTATTTGCTTCTAGAGACATGCCAGCAAACGCCCAACGACCAATAATACAAAGGACTGACTCGTCGCCTCAACAGCGCCCCTCTCTGCCCCTCTCGGCCTCAGCATCTGGGAGACTCCCCTAGTTGCCGAGCAATTTCCGAAGCCAGTCCACGCGAGTGGCCATCGCTCGTCGACTGATAGGGGCATCTGGCACGAACAGGTCGAAGCCATGCCAGCTACCGGGCCATACGTGGAGCTCGGTCGAGACCCCGTCCCTCCACAAGGCCGAAGCATAGGCAACGTCTTGGTCACGGAAGACATCCGCCTCGCCGACGTCGATGAATGTCGGCGGCAGGCCGGACAGATCCTTTGCCCGTGACGGGGCGGTATACATGTCGGCATGCTCGTGGTGCTCGCCGAAAGCGAAGTTGGTGACCGTAAGCAGATCCGCCTTGCTCACGGGGGCGATATCGCCAAATTGCTGCACTGATAGAGAGTCCGCCCTGTCGTCGAGCCATGGGTACATGAGAACCTGTCCTCGGATTTCTGGACCTGAACGGTCGCGGGCGAGCAGGGTGACACCGGCGGTAAGGTTGCCCCCCGCTGAGCCGCCACAGACGATCAGCTTGTGTGGATTGAAGCCGAGCTCTGTTGCGTGCTCGCTCATCCACTGCAGGGCCGCATAGCTGTCTTCCAGGGCAGCTGGCTGGGGATGCTCGGGAGCGAGACGGTACTCGGCAGTCATACCGACGGCGCCAAGAGACTCCACCCAGTCAATCATGGTGAACCCTAGGAAGCGGTTTCCAGTGGAGGGGCCACCGCCGTGGATATGCAGGAATCCGGGGGTGTCTTCGACTTGGCGGGTTGGGTTCTTGGGACGGAAGATTGTCACTCTCATGGCTCCTGCCGGACCCGGGATGTCACGCTCTTCATATCCAATCACGTCCTCTTTACCCTTGATGGTACCCTCCACCGTGAAGAGTGAATTGACGAATTGGCGGTACGAGCTCCTCTTTTCCGGAGTATCGACATCCAGCGATGGGATCTTCTGATGCGCCTCGGCAAGCTCCGAGTTCAGCGCTGGCCGCAGCATTTGAACAGACATCTTCAAGAGAAATCAATGGGTGATAATCAATAAGGTCAGTGAGCTGCGTATATTTGCGAACGAATCAAGAGTAGATCACAGTTAACACTTTGTTCTAGATGATCTCTCATCGTGGTCTCCTTCCTACGCTTTATATACATAGAGCCTACCCGTGGAATTGGACCGACTGTCCTCCTGTTCGGATATATTGTCGTCATCTCAATTACAAAGAACCTCCGTATACTCCTACACACTCTGGAGTCACAGTGAAGATGGTGAACTGGCAAACTGGCCAATCAAGATGATATGCTTATATCATCAACTTCAATCTGTATGGAACGGTGAACCATGTAGTAAGCACTGACTACTCCGTGGAGCAGCACATTCATTGATTGGTATACCCCATACCATGATTGGTCTATGCAAGCACAGATCTCGGCATTTCAATCTTTACTATCCGACAAATGTGCCCGAAAATCAAATGAGTCGGAGCAAAAAGCCTCCGCTGCTAGTAATTCGGAGGAATCGGTGATCACATTGCGTACTACTAACTAGTTACTACTAACTAACTAACCAGATGGTTAACTAAGGTGCTGATTCACTCTGCTAGTATTAGAACAGGATAATGAGTCGAACTTGAGGCTGCAAACCTGTCGCACGTCGAATAGAATAGAAGTTTAGAGATTCTTATGGATGAAGAAGTAGGCGCCCGTTCAAACACGGGTATCTCAAAGGATAGGTATTGTTGACAGAGAGAACTTGGAACAAGGTGGATTGTCTATTGAAAATCGAGTTCATTTCTCAATCATTTGTATCATGATGTTTCTCTATTTCTATATAAGTTACCGTGGAAAGAGAATGTCACGTGATGCTAAGCTATCTCTCAAGGCTCACTGGAGATTCTTTTGCGAGATCAACTCTCGGCCCTGATCCACGCTTGTGCCTTTGGATTGTCCATGCAAAGTCTGTGGAAGCTGCAGAGTGTCTGGAAGCACCGTCCTGGACTCCGGTTCTTATCGTCGCCATCCGCAATGTCTCGGAATTACGAGGTGCGTTGAAACGAAACCCCTCACCTCCGCCAGATAACCCCCCTCCCTCGCTGACGGTTTCATTCTGCTTGGATAGGCTGCGATTGCAGCTCTCAACTCACTACAGTCCAACTTTGCAATCATCGACAAGCTGAGGAAGTCGGGGAAAGTCCTGAATGAACAGTCTATCCCGGAAACAGTGGAGTGGCTGCGTCGCATCGGATACCAGGTATGCCTAGCCCCAGCCCAGCCTCGACCAAGATGAATAGCAGCTCATTTCGTGCCGGAATTATGACAGCCCTCCGACCTGAACCGACTCCATCCCGTCCATGTAGCGGGTACAAAGGGGAAAGGGTCGACGTCGGCATTTATTGCCTCCATTCTCTCGCAGTACACCGTTCCCTCTTCGAAGATTCACAAGACGGGTCTGTATTCATCGCCTCACCTGCGGTTTGCGCGTGAACGGATTAAGATCGACAACAGCCCCCTGTCTGAGGAGCAATTTGCGCGGTATTTCTTCGAAGTATGGGATCGACTGGAAGAGGCTGCCAGGGTGGAAGGCAAAGACCCGGCCGATCCGACGGTCAAGCCGCAGTATTTCCGCTACCTGACCCTGATGGCGTTTCATGCGTACATCAGTGAGGGTGTGGACACCGCTGTGATCGAGTGTGGGATTGGCGGCGAGTATGACTGCACCAACGTCATCGAGAAGCCGGCGGTGTCGGCGATCACCAGCCTCGGCATCGACCACGTCGCCTTGCTGGGGTCGACGATCGAGGAGATTGCCTGGCACAAAGGCGGGATCATCAAGTCGGGGGTCAGGGCGTTTTCGGCGCCGCAGCCGGAAAGTGCTGAACAAGTCCTGCTGCAGCGCGCGGCGGAGAAGGGAACCGAGCTACAGATCGTGAGAGGCCATCCGGAGCTGACGCCAGGTGGTAACCTCAAGCTCGGCCTGGCGGGCGACTTCCAATACTCCAATGCGGCCGTGGCCGTTGCTGCAGCAGCAGAGGTTCTGCGGAACCGCGGGGTTGAAGGGATTCCCAAGGAGATCCTGACGGAACCCCTGCCCGTGGAATTCAGAAAGGGTCTGGAGCTCACTCGCCTCGGCGGGCGATGCGAGACCAGGCAGGAAGCCAATGTGGAATGGTACATTGACGGAGGACACACGCTGGAGAGTATACGCCTGGCTGGGCAGTGGTTCGCGTCTCAGATCCAAGCCCACATGGCTTCTTCCGGCGCTTCGTGCAAGAAGAAGCCGCGCGTCCTCATCTTCAACCAGCAGACGCGGGACAGTACCGCGCTGGCTCGCGCTCTATACGAGACTCTGGCGGCAGCCCTGGGGTCCGAAAAGCCCTTCACTCACGCCATCTTCTGCACCAACGTCACCTACAAGGACGCCGGGTATCGGCCTGACCTGGTCAGCGTCAACACCAACGCCACCGATGTCGAGAAACTGCTCGTTCAACGGACCCTGGCGGAGGCCTGGCAGGCCATTGACCCCAGCGCAGAGACCCAGGTCTTCAGTACGATCGAAGAAGCAGTCGACTTTACAAGAGACCTTGCCGCCCAAGCCAGGGACACGGCCAGTGACAACAACACCCCTGTGATGACTTTTGTCACGGGCAGCTTACACCTTGTCGGCGGGTTCCTCGATGTCATTGAAACCAAGCCACCCACCCAGTCCTGAGTGTCATCGATATGGCCAAAACTTTCACTCTCAAGCCAGCAGCTTTCTTGATCCAGTCTTTCAACAGATTTCGCAGCATATTTGGTCGGATCAGGCGTTCTTGGTTTCAACAAACCTAGCTTATGATAGATGACGGTGTTTCTCTTCCAATGTACATAGCGCCACCCAACATGAATCAACAGTCCAATGGATCCCGTATTAAATAATCATAGTCAATACATAAGCTAGCACGATGGTCTAAAATAAATCCATCATCAAAATCTCCCAATTAAAAGCCTTTCTCAGCTCCCTTGGGCTCATCTCCCCGCGCAACCCTTCAGCCTACGTGGGGCTTGCTTTTCATAGGCGCCGAAAAGCCTCCGCTGCCCCTCACGCCGACACCTGTTCATTCTTCCTTCCTCTCATCTTTCTCACCTTTTTTTCTTCTTCTTCTTCTTCTTCTTCTTCTTCTCTTTTTTTATTATTTCCAGTGTATCACCCTGAACCTGCCATGTCGGATTCCAAGGACGTCAAGGGCAAGGGTCCCAGCAGCAACGAGCCCGCGCAGACGAACGAGACGCCGACGGACGAGACCCCCGCGGCGGCCGAACCCTCGTCGAAGAAGCACAAGCTGTTTGGCAGCAAGAAGGAGCAGGATGGGGCGGACGAAGGTGCATCCGGGACGAAGAACAAGATGAGCGAGAAGGCGGCAGAGATGTTGTTGGAGAAGAACCCGGCGCTGAAGAACGAGATGGCCGGGCTGGACCGCGAGCAGGCAGCGGCGGCGTTGCGCAAGATGGGACTGGAGGAGCTGCTGACGGGCCTGTCGCTCAAGGGTAAGAACCAAAAGGACATGGCCTCGTACAAGTTCTGGCAGACGCAGCCGGTGCCGCACTTCAACGAGAAGGGCAAAGGCGAGGTCGCCGACGGACCCATCAAGATCATCGATCCGGAGCGTGTCTCGCGAGAGCCCGACGCGTTGATTGAGGGGTTCGAGTGGGCGACTCTCGACCTGAGCGATGAGAAGGAGCTGTCCGAGCTGTGGGATCTTTTGACAAATCACTACGTGGAGGATGACAATGCTATGTTCCGGCTTCGCTACTCGCAGGAGTTTCTGCACTGGTGTGTACTCCTTTTTCTGTTCCCCCCCCCCCCCCCCCCCCGCCCTTTGATGATCGTTCTGACAATACAGGGCGTTGATGTCGCCCGGGTGGAAGAAGGAATGGCATGTCGGCGTGCGGGCGACCAAGTCCCGCAAACTGGTCGCTTCCATCTGTGGTGTGCCTACGGAGATCCGGGTGCGCGACCAGAAGCTGAAGGTCATTGAAATCAACTTCCTCTGCGTGCACAAGAAGCTGCGATCAAAGCGTCTGGCGCCCGTGCTGATCAAGGAGGTTACACGCCGCTGTTACCTGAACGGCATCTACCAGGCTGTCTACACGGCGGGAGTTATCCTGCCCACCCCGGTCAGCTCGTGCCGGTACTACCACCGCGCACTGGACTGGCTGAAGCTGTACGAGGTCGGATTCTCGCCCATGCCGACGGGCTCGACCAAGGCCCGTCAGATCGCCCGGAACCAGCTGCCCAGCGCGACCTCGACGCCGGGCCTGCGGCCGATGGAAGCCAAAGATATCGACGCCGTGCGCGACCTGCTCGACCGGTACCTCCAGCGGTTCCAGCTGAATCAGGCCTTCAGTAGGGAGGAGATTCAGCACTGGCTGGTTAACCAGGTCCCCACCGAAGCGGAGCAGGTTGTCTTCTCCTACGTGGCCGAAGACTCGGAAACCCACAAGATCACCGATTTTGTCTCCTTCTACAGCCTCGAGTCGACCGTCATTCAAAACGCCAAGCACAAGGGTGTCCGTACGGCATACATGTACTACTACGCCACCGAGACGGCCTTCAACGCAGATGAAAAGGCGTACAAGGAGCGGCTGCTGATGCTCATCAACGACGCCTTAATCTTGGCCAAAAAGGTCGGTTTTTTTCTTTTTTTCTTCTCTTTTTTTCTTTTTTTTTCTGAATTACCATTCCATTCCATTCAAATACTAATCCATTCTAGGCTCGTTTCGATGTCTTCAACGCCCTAACCATTCATGACAACCCTCTCTTCCTGGAACAGCTCAAATTCGGTGCCGGCGACGGGCAGCTGCACTACTACCTGTACAATTACCGGGCGAGTCCCGTGCCTGGCGGCGTCAACGAGAGGAATCTCCCCGATGAATCGAAGACGGGCGGCGTTGGAATCGTCATGTTATAGATGTATACAAGGATGTGCATGTGCATCATCGTAGAGACTCTGTGTTTGTTTCTCTACCCGATACCCACCCGGTGTATTAAGTCAGATCAATATCAAATGTATTAAGTATACTCTATCTGAGTAGTATAAGTGTTTCCCATTGTTCAACAGTAGCATTGAATCCCTAGTTCTTATTCAATTTCTTTTCCTCAGGTTATCGGACGATAAGCGGGGATCTGTCACTTCCGCATGCGTTCGTCATCTTCATGACATCCACTTCCGACGAACACAAAACATCCCCCCCTTAGCTCGTACATGGGACCAAGCAGCTGATTACATCGGATTTCATGGCCTGAATGTGTTTCTCCATCCATTCCACTCCTCTCAGAGTCGCTGTCGATGGATTAGAGGGGCAACTAATGCTACTGACTGCTTGATCACAGCTACTAGTATCTCCCTCCCCTGGAGAGCTTATCCGGCCAGCAGTGCAGCCAGCAGCTTATCGCTTGAGTCGACTGCTTTAAGACTGTGAATTTTTATAATCCATCCTGTGGAAAGCGGTTGGATCTATTCTCAGCTGCTTCAGCTTTATATTATTCCAAAAATGGGTGTTGGTCAATCTACAGAGGCGGGCGCCGTATCCTCGCCAGGTCCGTCAACAGCCTACGCTTCAGCTTGCTTTTAATATTATGTATGTATGAAGAAGGCTAATGAAGAATAGAACAGCTGAGTTATCTTCTGGCGGAACGGTTCGCGATGAAATGCTTCACCCCCCTCGAACTCACCCACTTCAAAGACAACTTCTTCTCCCGCGCAAACGACCAAGGTGGCCTGAGATACTGGAATGAGAAGATCTTGTCCGACTTCCTCGGCGTACCTGATGGGGACGACTCACCCGGCTCGTCGGCGCATACCTCTCCTCTAGATGCAGGGCCCGTGGTGTTTCGCATGGTTTCCTACCTGGGCGCGTTCCCGTTCCAGACCACCCTGGCGCCTAGTGTCCTCACCTTCGAAGCGATGGTCAAAGTGGCGGTTCTTCTGACTGAGCGGTATGGAAAGGTGCTGCGACGGGGCCGGAGAGATCGGATTCGGCTGCTTTTCGGGAGTCTGGCAGACGTGGGTAGAAAAGAATCCACCAGTCAGGCGGGGGAGAGGAAGACGGATGATCAACAACCTGATACGTTTGAAAGGTCGCATGCTGCCGGGTTTGCCATCGATGGTGCATTGAACGATGAAGACCCCGACGGCGATGATGATGATGATGACGATGACCTGGCGCTTGCTGCCCTGGAGTCGCTCGATGCCATCGAGGTGTTCAAGCATGACCACCGCATCGACAAGACGGTTTACGAAGCGCGCATTTCTCTCGACACGTTTCGTCGTTTGCTAATGCTGCTCTTAGTCATTGCTCCGTTGAAATCACTGGATGATGTCTCCAAGTACACCGTTGATCTGAGTCCAGAGCACATGGAAGAGATCACAGCCGACGCGGAATGCATCTTGAGGTCGTTCACAGTTGGAGACGGGAAGACTGGCATTGGCTATAAGGCCTTTGCGAACATCATCTCTTCTTCCCTGCCCTACCTGTTCAATCCCTTGACCCCACTCTTTGAGCATCTGCTCTTCAGTAAAAACTTAGATCTCTCGCAGCGACGAGGCCGGGTGGATTCGGCCGTTGCGACCTCCCCAGAACCGGCTGAGATCAAGGTCGTCGAACCTCCTTCTCCGTCGGTGTTAGCCACCGTCATGCTCCCTGGTAGCTTTGAATCTACAATCCTCAACTCGAGCATCCTGGCGCATCTATCATTCTTCCTGGACTTCGGCCCATCAGAGCGGAACTTGTTCCTCGGCGGTGTGCGCTTGCATCCAGTCTTTTCAACCTCCGCGCATGGTTCCTCCTTGACCAATTTCTCGCATCATGTCGTCACCTGGAAAGCAGCTACTCTTCTCCTGCTAAGAGGAGTACCTGTTGGAGGATCCTCGTCCGAATCAGCTACAGCAGACGACACTATCACGATAGGAGCGTACCTCCCTCACGCATGGGAAACATCATCCACACATACTCCCTCGAAATCCCTTGACAAATCAGCCCCATTGCCCTGTCTTTTCCAACTATCTCCCACCCACATCCTTCTCCCAGGCAACCCATCGCCGTCCTCTTCCTCCTCGAATCTGCATATTTCTACCGCCTATTTCTCCAACCACACGGGGATATCCATCGGCTGTGCCATCCCCCCAGCCTCGCGCAGCAAGCATACCCCCCCCACAGCCCATGGCGCGGGCAGTCTCCTCATCGACACGAGCCTCGAGTCCGCCGAGTTCCACGTCGCCCCCGTGGGCCACAACGGTGTCTTCCTCCCCCCCGCCACTGCTTCCCCTACCGTCACCATGGACAGGCCCACAAAAATCAAACTAGATATCTACGACCTTGAGATCTGGGGTCTCGTTCCCAGCCCAGAAGCCGCTAAAGCCGCAGATACACCCCTGAGTGCCATCGACGCCCAGCGTGCAAATTGGGATTTCGAAGCCCGTGAGGCCGAGCGCAGACGGAGCGTCAACCTCAAGCTCGGCGGAGGCGGGGACTCGGCCTTGCAGAATGCAAGATGGTTATTGGAGACAGCGGGGTTGGTGGGTGATAACGCTGGAGGGAGGAGTGGGGGAAGCACTTGAATATTGATTCTTCAAAGGATCTCTCATCTTTTCCCTTTCTTAATTTGGTGTTGGCGTTGTTGCATGTACAGACTGATCTCAAGTATCAACCAAACCCTATCGAGGGACAGCTTTTTTTTCCAATCATCTCATATGCAAATATGCAAATATGGAACAAATTATCTTCGAGGTAGCGTACTCGATAGGGAAACCCCTACAGCCGAGGAAATTTATAAAGATCCTCTCTATTTAACAACTGGTCAGCTAAGAAGCTGAAGCAAACTTACTAATTCTGAATATTCATGATGGATCACCGTAAGGAGGTGCTTGAACTTATGATCATTATTTATCATACACTGAGAGGATGCGTTATACAGAACTACACTCCCAAGGGAACAAGCCCCGTGACCGGACCGTAGAAATCTTTCAATTCCTCCTCTTCTTCCTCTTTCTCATCCAAAACCCCGGGAGTACTGTTGTTTTCCACCCCCGAGTCTTCGTCGGCAGCCACGCTTTTCCCTCTAGACCGGTTCGTACGCACAGCCGGCACGGGTGTGCCGGCTTTCTTCTCTTCCGTCTCTGTATCTAGTCCGGGAGTCTCGCGCGGAAGCCGGAAGGCGAGAAATCCGTCCGGTGCGCGCTCGGCACGGTCCATGATCTCGTTCATGTACCGGCGTACCTCGTCAGGCGGCTTCACAACACGGGTAAGCGGCTCGAGAACTTTGGGGTTATTGGAGATGATGCGGAACGTGACCGGTTGGTAGTACTCCTTCAAGGTTGGTTGGGGCTCTGCCGTTCTGCTGCCTTCTTTGGCGGAGTTGTCCTTGGCATCACCACTGCCTGGAGTTGCTGGCGGTGGTTGCTGGGTATCATTCTTGTCACTGTCCGCGTCACCAGGCTTCTGCTGAGAAGGTTCCCCTGCTTCAGGGTTCGCGGTGGACTGCTCGTTGCTCTTCTCCTTGTCCTTGCCTTTGCCTTTGTCCGCCTTTTTTGACTTACTTGCCTTGCCCTTGGCTCTGGCAGTCGTCAGATCCGAGACGGTTTCAATGGGAAAAGGTTTGCTCGGATCTACCTTGCGCACGAGCAAGAACGAGGCGATAAGAGTGGTGCCGCCGGGTAGCCATTCAAGAATACTGTACTCTGGGAAGAGATACCTATCTCCGGAGCCGGCGTGGCCCGAGGTACTACTTCCATACGGTGTCAGAGGGGATGTGAATTCAAAAACCACAGACTTGTAGTTAATCCGTGGAGGTGGCGGAGGTGCTGCCGGACGATAGTACGGAGCCGGGGAGCCGTACTGCGGTGGGCGAGACTGAATAGGCGGCGGTGTACCCTGATAGGGATTTTGCGGAAACTGCTGATATTGAGGGCCTGGGGTTGATTGCGGATGCGCATTTGGGGGGGGTCGCATAGCAGGGCTGGGCTGTGCAGGAGTCGAAGTTGGGGCAGGGCTGGGTGCCACCGCAGGACTAGACTCCGAAACTCGTGTAGGCTCCGCCGACGGCTTCTTCTGGACTGGGGTGTCAGGGACATTCGTGTTGTTGCCAGGTTCTTTCTTGATCTGTGCGGGCTGCGGGGGATTCGGCGCGGATGTCGATTGTGGAGACTGTGCTGGTGGCGGCTGCGCTGACTTTTTGGTGGTCGGTTTATGAGCCGGTATTTGTACCTCAACCTCGTGCTGTTGCTCTTTCGGTTGCTGCTTCTGAGAGACCTTCTGAGAGGCCTTTTGGGGTGGTGTTTGAGCTGCTTGCTGGGGTCCCTGCTGGGGTTTCGCGGGTTGCTGTCGTTGCTGCTGCTGCTCCCTCGCCTTGATGATGGCGTTCAGTTCATCGATGTGAGCTTGGAAAGCTCGGAGCTGTTCCTGTGACGCCTTGCTGGACGCCACGATCCGCATCAAGGCCTTCAACTCGGGATCCGCGGCCGCACGAGTGGCCAACATCTGAATGACCGGATCCGGGCTTGGTTTTGGAGGCTGAGGCGGCTGTGAGGGAGTCCCCTGGTGCTGCTGCATAGGTTGCTGTGCCGGCGGTGGAGGGCGATTGTTCGGCTGGGGAGCCCGGGGTTGTTGGTTCGGGATGGGAGTTTGGCTCCCGCCGGGCGGATACCCAGGCTGACGAGGCCCATTCTGCGTGGGAGGATACTGGGAAGCAGGGCGTGCATGCGGAGGAGGCGGCGGTGTTGGGTATGGCTGGTACGGTTGGAAATTTCCAGGATGGCCATAATGGACCATTGGCCGCTGTGGTGGCGTATATTGGATGGGTGGAGCAGCATTTGGGTCTTTGACAGTATAGATCATCGCATCGAACAGATGCGGCCCGACAACGATATTGCAGGGCCCAACCTTGGACATCGACTCCTTGGGGGGGTTCTTCCCTTCGATCTGGTCTCTCTTCGTTTTTTTCGGCTTCGTCCAGTACTTGACCAGGATCCCGTCACTCAGCCATTTCTTCTTCGACCGTTCCAGAGAAGCGAGCAACACAGCACTGTAGCACAACCAAAACGAGACATTAGCTCTTTCGTATCTTTTACTTGTGCATTCTCGTGCTCCCCTCCCAGTTGTTCTCTCTCACCTTTCTGCGACCGACTGATACTCCTTGTCGGAGAGTTCCGATGGCTGCGGCTTGCGCAAGGTGGGCAGCCCCTCTCCATCCTTGATCTTCGTAGGCAAAGGCTCCTCCGCTGGTTCCGGTGTAGGAGGAGGCAAAACGACCGGCGTCGAGCCCTTTTTCCTGGCTGGTGGCTGGTTCTGAGCCGGTGCTTCAGAGGCTCGTCGTTTCGCGGCAGGTTCGCGTCGTTCGCGTGTCGACAGTCTGCGTTTCTCGGCCATGGCAACCTCCACGCAAATTAGAATTACCGTGGTCTCCAATAACGCATTATAGACCCTCTGGCGGGTGATGGATCTGGCCACGAGGTAACAGGGGCTGCAGTAGGGAGAGATGCGGAGGAGGGAAAAAAGGACGTGACCGCCCGAGAAGGCGACAAAAAGCAGCCGCTGCTTATCGAGATCTGGTTATCGTCATCAACAACCACCTCCAGTAAGTAACTACTACACCGTGAGCCTTGGTAAATAACCGGTGTGTAGTTGAGCATTTTATCTATTTGACATCTTTCAAATAAAATGCCTGGTTGATACTGACTACGTTGATACTAAGGCATGGTCGAGCTCCAGTCGATCTTCCAAAAGGCCTACTGGTCCCTGATGGCCGGTGGCCTGGCCTATGTTGCTTTCGTTCTTGCATCGACATCTCCAAAAGTTCAAAGATTGTATGGAAAAGGCAGAAGTATGATTCTGGGCTGATGCTGATGGCGTTGACGGCAGTGCTCTGTACGCCAATAGGGTCAATCCAACTGCCTGGCAGGACATCAATGATGTCGAGAGCTTTGGCTTCCTGAGTATGTTTTACAGTCATAGGGAGAGGAATAGAAAGCTGGCTAATCTGAGTAGGGACACAAGTCCAGCCGTTCAGTCTGAGAACACCCGACAACGAGACGGTATATGGCTGGCACATCCTGCCTCTCCACCTCTGCCGGGAACATGAGGAGGTCCTTTCAGCGAGTGAACTATCAGGCCCGGCAGAGGACTATAGCAAGACTGCTGCATTTAAGCTTCTTGCGGAAGACCCGAATGCGAGAGTCGTCATAAGCTGTTAGTCACTGTTCATATTACGCCCTGGATAAAGAAAGCTGAAACCAGAGGACACACAGTCCATGGAAATGCAGCACACCTTGCTAGCGCTCAGCGACCGGAGACGCATCGAATGCTCCTGGGACTATCGACTCCTTTGGATCCTGTCCATGTGTTTACCATTGACTATCGCGGATTTGGTCTCTCGACGGGATCACCCACGGAAGAAGGACTAATCACCGACGGGGTTTCCTTACTGAACTTCCTCACTTCATCTCCTCTAAACGTACCTCCCTCTCGAATTGCCATCATCGGGCAGAGTCTGGGGACAGCCGTCAGTGCCGCGGTGACGGAACGATTCTACTTTGGTCACCCCGACCCAACGCTCATCCAGCCCGCCATCTCGGACCCGGAGCCCTTTGCTGGCGTCGTGCTGGTCGCCTCCTTCAGCAAAATTTCAAGTCTGATCAAGACGTACAGCCTCAAGGGTCTAACCCCGCCGCTGTACGGCCCGCTCCTCCGATATCCCCGCTTAGAAAGCTGGATCTCCAGCCTCATCGTCGACACCTGGGACACGGCTGCACGCGTGGCACGGCTGACGGGCATAGGCCCGACCGCCGAGAAGGACTCGAAGACATCGTACGCCCACAAGGGGCTCGACCTCACCATAATCCACGCCTTGAACGATGCAGATATCCCGTGGTTCGAGGGCCACGCCGTCTGGAAAGCAGCAACTAATGAAGGCGGCAACGGATCTATCATCTACGAGAAAGACCAGGATAACGGCCCTGGCCAGGTGAGGATTTGGGAGAGAGATGTTGGGACGGGAAAGAAGAGAGTCAGATGGGAACGGGTCGGATACGGTGGTGAGTAGAGCAATCACTGGTTCCTGGTTGTTTAAATTTACTAATCTGTCCAGGCCACAATCGAGTCGCGACATTCTCGGTTGCAAGCCTTGCTGTTTTGAGGGCATTCGAGGAATAGACTTGGGAAATATAAATATATACCCCTTATACTGGGCAGAAATTGAATATCATTCTTCCATATAGACTCTGTATGTAAAGACTGTCGCACAGAACATAGGTATCCTGATGACCCATCCTACTGTAGAGGGAAATACTTCAAGTTCAACGTTGGATAATCGTCGATTCTATTCTATGAGAGGAGTAAACCAGGAACCTTCAAAAAAAAGAGAAAAAAAAAAGAATATAAACCCAAGTCCAAACAAGAAGACCCCTTGACATATAACACTATCATACATGTGCAGACCTTGTCTGCCGACTCGCTGAAATGCAGCCCTTAAACACAGTGCAATCCTTGAAGCACATAAGTAACAGATTTTAGCCAGCAATTCTATTTGACGGGTTCAAAAAGGAATGCATGGGCTGAAGATTAGACAGGTGTGGTGTGAATACAGAGAAGAAGAAGAAGAAGAAACAAAACCCCCTAGGGCGAGGGCAAAATCATCGGAATGGGCGAGTCTATTTCTTGTTCCTCTCGGCCTGAGCCTTGGCGTACTTCTGGATAAGTTCTTTCCTGTAGGGTAAATTCACGTTAGCGACTGGAATTCTTTGAGTCGTGGGAGGGAAAAAAGAAAAGACAAAAAGACATACTGTAATTGCGGAGGAGCCTTCTCGTAGTGGCTGAACTCCATCGTGTATTCACCCTTGCCCTGAGTGGCGGCGCGCAGGTTGGAAGAGAAGCCGAACATGGCGTTGAGACTGCAGTCGGCATAGAGGGTGAACTCGTCGACGCCCGTCTCGGTGTCGTTGATGGTGGCGTTGCGCTTGTTCAGCAGGGCGATCACATCACCCTGGAACTCCGACGGGGCAGTCACTACCGTCTTCATCAGGGGCTCCAGGATCATGGGCTGACTCTCCTGGAAAGCCTTGCGGAAGGCCTGCTGCGTGGCGATCTTGAAGGCCATTTCGGACGAATCGGTCATATGGGTGGCACCGTCGTTGATGACCATCTTCGTGCCCAGAACCTTGTGCCCGACAAGAGGACCCTTGTCGCAGGACAGGTGGAATCCCTTTTCACAGGCGAAGAGGAACTTCTCGGAAATGCTGCCTCCCACAATCTGCTCCTCGAATACGTTCTCCTCCAGTTTGCCAGTAGGCTCCAGCCAGCCCATCACGCGGGCATAGTCACCGGCACCACCGGTCTGCTTCTTGAGCAAGTGGTCGAATTCGACCCGGCCGCCCAGAGTCTCACGGTAGGCAACCTGGGGCTGGCCAGTCACACAGTCGACACGGTACTCACGGCGCATCCGCTCCACGTAGATATCCAGGTGCAGCTCGCCCATGCCGGAGATGATGGTCTCGGAGCTCTCGGCATCGTGGGTCACGCGGAAAGTCGGGTCCTCTCTCTGGAAACGGGCCATGGCCTTGGAGAAGTTGGCCGAGTCCTTGTTGTCCTTGGGCTTAATCGAGAGCGAAATGACGGGCTCGGGAACAAACATCGACGACATGGTGTAGCTCAGCTGTCCGTCGGTGAAGGTATCACCCGAGGCACATTCCACACCGAACACGGCGCAGATTTCACCGGCGCCGATCTCGCTCACTTCCTCCATCTCGTTGGAGTGCATCCGGACGATACGGGGCACCTTGACCTTCTTGTTGTTGCGGGCATTGAAGACGTTGGACCCCTTGCGCAGCGTTCCTTGGTACACACGAATATAGGTCAACTGGCCGAAATTGCTCTCCTCGAGCTTGAAAGCAAGGCCGACAAATGGCTGAGATCCATAGGGCACCAGCTTCACGGAGGCCTCCTTGCGCTTCTGGTCGAGGGCAAGATTTTCGACCTCCGAGGGGTTGGGCAGGTAATCGCAGACGCCATCCAGCATGGGCTGGACGGACTTGTTGGCAAGCGCAGAGCCCATAAAGACCGGGGTGAACTTCAAAGCGATGGTGGCCCGGCGGATGGCGTCCTTGAGCTGCTGCTCAGTCGGCTCAAGCTCTTCCAGGAACAGCTCTGCAATTTCATCATCCACATCGGCCAGGGTCTCGATCAGCATGCGTCTCCTCTCCTCAGCGATGGCCTTGACCTTGTCGGGGATCTCGTCCTTCTCCACGATGTTCTCACCGCTGGAACCCTCGTTGTAGATGGCCTTCATGCGGATCAGGTCGACCACACCCTCGAACTCGTCTTCGGCGCCAATGGGGACCTGCACGGCGGCGGCAGGAATCCTCAACTTGGTGTTGATCTGATCGATAGCCTTGAACGGATTGGCGCCCATACGGTCCATCTTGTTGATGAAGGAAATGCGAGGCACATTGTACCGTCTCATCTGCCGATCGACCGTGATGGTCTGGGACTGCACACCGGACACGGCACACAGGATCATGACGGCGCCGTCGAGCACACGAAGAGCACGCTCGACCTCGATCGTGAAGTCAATATGACCGGGTGTGTCAATCAAGTTGATGTGATACTTGTTCTCTGCGCCATCCTCCCCGGTCTTGATCCAGTCGCAGAAGGTCGCGGCCGACTGGATGGTGATACCCTTCTCACGCTCGAGTTCCATGGAATCCATCTTGGCTCCAACGGCGTCGCGCCCACGGACTTCATGGATCGCTCCGATACGGCCGGTATAGTAGAGCACGCGCTCGGTACAGGTCGTCTTACCACTGTCGATGTGGGCCTAGTAACACGGCAAGTTAGACAGGGAAACTTGACTTTGATCGACAGAAGACGTAAACGTACTGCAATACCAATGTTCCGCACTCTGGCCAGGCGCTTTGCCTCGGCAGGGTCGAGATTCTCAATGATGGTCTGCTGCGAGAGCGCCTCCGGATTCACTGCAGCGGCTTCGAGACTATAGGCAAAAAGTCAGCAACAAAGATCAACAACAACAACTCTGTAATCTCAAAATCCACTAGAAAAAAAAAAAAAAAAAGACGTACACCTCCGCAGCAGCGGACGCATTCCGTCTCTGCTGCCATTGTCTGCCGACAGGAGTCTGGTTCAGCGACGAAGGGACACGGAGGGCAACCGTCGAAGCGCAGCGCTGGTAGAGGAAGTTCTGCGACTGGAGACGGACGGACGATCTCGCCAGGCCAGAAACAGCGCGGGAGGGCAGACGAGCCAGAGAAAAGGCCCTCATGACTGTCAATTCACCGGGAAGCGACAGTTGAAGGTGAAGAAAGAAAAAGAAAACAAAGAAAGCGAGACAGGGAACGGACAGGGCTGGCGATCCAAAGTCGGCCTGTTGATTTTCTTTGCTCGAAAAAAGTTCGGGGAAGCCAGGCACGCTGCACGTGATCGTCCGGCGTTTTCGCGGGCCTGTTATCGTGCAGTTATTTTCAATGGAGTCTACATTGGACGGGTGCTTCTGGATTGCGAGACGAGGCCGTCCATTTCGTTTTAAGGAGATGTGGGCTTGAAGCTCTATCATCAGAGATGGAGTGTATTGTGTCAAATCCTGAGAAACCGATGTACTGTACAATGAAGCGCCATGCCGACTAGCTAGAAGAACAAGAGACAAGAGTATAAGACAAAGTCTGGTACACGATAAGTACGACCGAGTTCGAGAGCGATTGGAAGCGAGTAAAAGAGTCAATAGACGTCTTGGAGTGACCACTGTCGACGAGCGTCTTTGGATCCCTCAAAATGCCGTGGTGGTGACTCGACTCTAATCGCCTCATCTATGGGTATCTATTTTCCTTGCCGTTGCTTGTGCTTGGGGTTCTTCGAGCTACAAACAAGCATATTGTCAGCAGAGTGAAATCTAGATCGTAGTTATTCCAAGACAGCTTACCAGATGATGTATACCCGGTTCTTCCTCTTAACAGCCTATACACACATCAGTACAGTTTCAAGCGGTGGCATGTTTCCCCTCGCATTTCTTCTCTAGATATGCAAAGAGGCCTCATCGGCCACAAAATTCAACTGCATACCTTGCATCCCTCGCACAGTCGCTTAACCGATGATCGCGTCTTCATTCCCCGGACCTGCTCGAGCTGCCGAACCGTAGCGCCCACCCGAGCAATGGCGGTCTGCTGGTTTTGTGACGGCGATGGCTGCTGTGACTGTGCTCGCAGACTCCTCAGGCTGTTGCTAGCGGACACGCCCATCAATTGCGAGAAAGATCGGGAGAAGAACGAAGGGCGAGAGGAGGGGAGGAGCCGGCGGAGGAGACCGGTCGAGGCTCCGACGGCGGAGCGGAGGGAGTACATGATTGCTGCTTGAATGACAAAAATTCCAGGTATAAAGCAGATCAGTAGATCGATCCCTCGATGATTAGAATAGCTGGTGGCTAGTCTTGCGTCCGGCTCACAAGGTCGTCGGGGATCTTTCTCTGAGGCTCCAAAAAGCGCGGAGCAAATATGGCCGGAATAATGAAACGCCGCCCCGGTCTATATTAACTATTTACTGAAGACGTAAATTGTATTTTTCAAAATAAAATATTATTCAAGGTATTTATGTTTTATTCTATATGTCCAGAGCGTAAGCAAGAATATAAATCAGAGAGCCGGGTCTATAAACTGATACGTCAAAGTCAATCGCTGAGCCATGTCTTGTTTTCAAATATCCCGAAATCATTCCGAACAGCCGCTGTCTTCGAGAACAAGGCCCGAATCTTAGGCCTGAGAGCCTCGCAGGAAAGTCTTGTAGGTAGCCGAGTCGGTCTCCTCCTTGAACGGATACCCGACGTCTTGAAGGAAGGCCTCGAGCTCGGGCTTCTCGGCCTCGGGGCACTGGATACCGGCGAGAACCTTGCCGACATCGCCGCCGTAGTTGCGGTAGTGGAAGAGGGAGATGTTCTGGTTGGGCCGCAGCGTGGTGAGGAAGTTGGCGAGCGCGCCCGGCCGTTCGGGGAATTCGAACATGAAGAGACGCTCGTCGTTGACAGAGCTGCGCCCGCCGACGAGGAAGCGCAGGTGCCGCTTGGCGAGTTCGTCGTCGCTCAAGTCCTGGGCAGCCATGCCCGCCCGGGCAAGCTGCGCGATGATGTTGGCCAGATCCTCGCGGCCGGTCAGCGCCGACAGCGAGATACCCATGAGCACGTCGGCGGACTCCGGGCAGGCGTAGCGGTAGCTGAACGCGGTGACGGCGTGCGGGAGGACGAAGTCGACCAGCTGGGCGAAGGCGCCCGGCCGTTCGGGGATGTTGACGCTCAGCAGGGCCTCCTTGCGCTCGCCCAGAGCGGCGCGCTCGGCAACGAACCGCAGCCGGTCAAAGTCCATGTTGGCCCCCGAGGTGATGGCAATCAGTTCCCGGTTGGTGTCCGGGCTCGGGTTCTGCTGCACGTATTTCTTTAGACCCGCCAGGGCCAGCGCGGCGGCCGGTTCGATGACCGACCGGGTGTCCTCGAAGGTGTCCTTGATGGCGGCACAGGTCTCGTCGGTCGACACCTGGATGATGTCGTCGACGACATCCTGGCACAGCCGGTACGTCTCCTCGCCGACGATCTTGACCGCCGCGCCGTCGGCGAACAGGCCAACCTCCTTCAGTTGGACGCGAGATCCGTTGCTAAGCGACTGGGCCATGGCGTTGGCGTCGTACGCCTCGACGCCGATGATCTTGACCTGCGGTGCAATGCGCTTCAGGTACACGCCAATGCCTGCGATCAAGCCACCGCCGCCGACCGCACAGAAGACCGCCTCCAGCTTCTCCAGGTTGGCCTGCCGCAGGATCTCCATGCCGATGGTACCCTGGCCGGCAATCACGTAGGGGTCGTCAAAGGGCGGGATGCTCGTCAGCCCATGTTGCTTCTCCAGCCGGTGGGCTTCCTCCTTGGCGGCATCGAAGTCGCTTCCGTGCAGAATGACACTGCCGCCCAGCCGCGCCACGTTGCGATGCTTAATCGCCGGCGTTCCCGACGGCATCACGATGGTAGCGGGGATCTTCAACTTTCGTGCCGAATAGGCAACTCCTTGCGCATGGTTTCCTACCACATTAATATATATCTAGATATATATATATATATGGCTTCTTACCTGCCGAACAGGCGACAACACCCTTCCACCGTTGATCTGGCCTCAAATGAGCCATTTTATTGTACGCGCCGCGCAACTTGAAGCTGAAGACCGGCAGCAGGTCCTCCCGTTTAAGCAAAACTCGGCATTCCAGTCGGTTGCTCAGGTTGACGGCGTGGTGAAGCGGTGTCTCGTTGATGATATCATATACTCGCGACGTCAAGATCAATCGCATGTACTAGAAGACATTAGCTTGCAAACAATAGGATGTTTGATTTCTTTTCTTTTTCTTCTCTCCTCTCTTCTTTTCTTTACTCTTAACATACATCTGGATATCCATTAGGGAGCAGGTACCCATCTGGGATGTCCCATTTCCGAAGCAATCCGGCCCCCTGGCGCTCAGAGGGCGGCGTACGAGCAGCGACGTACTCGGTGAGCGCAAAGCTGCTGGGTCTGGGTGTGGATGGCGTTACGAAGCCACTTGGAGGCGACTCGTCGGACATTGTGATGAAACGGGAGGTACGGTAAAGGATTGACTGCGATTGAGCGGTGTAACAGCAAGACTGGGTCTCCAAACAGATAAAAAAAAGTGAGAGATTAGGAATGACGATCTTTTTAGACGTGGAACTCTCCGGCTCGGATCCCCCGCACTCGGAGACGGTCGCTTATGTCATCTATCAGCACCTCCTATATCGGTATTTCCTATACATTGCAGGAGAAGAATAATATACACGTAGTTAGTTACTTTGTACTGCCGGGGGGATTTTAATTATGTGTAGTATGGATTATATTGCAGAAGATCAAGTCATAAATCAGCCATCAACTCGGCCAAAACCCCCAGCCGGTCTCGCGCATCGCTTACCTCTGCCTCCCAGAAACGCAGCATGTCCATGGCGTCCATTACAGCCTCTCGCCACCCGGTGGGCACTAGATCGCCGACATGGTTGCTGTGCGATGCCGCGAGGAGGATGAGAGCGCTGCGCGTGCAGGTGCGCAGCATCAGCCATGCTCCGTGGTGGCGGTGGTAGAAGCCCGCTTTGTTCTTTGCGATGCGCTCGACAGACATGCGGAGGCCCTTGCGAGTGTACTCGTCCAGCACGGGGTCGCGGCGGCCGTAGTTGATGGTTTCAAGCATGAAGGGAAAGTACATCCATTCGCAGCAGTCGAGGAGGTGGCCGCGCAGTACGAATTTGAGGACATCGTCTTCGGATTCGGGGGTTGAGAGCGAGAACATGGGAGGAAGGGAAACCATCCTGGAAGAAGTGTCAATATTTAATCTTTTTCTATTTTTTGAGATTCAAAGGTTATACCAATCTGTTGCTTGGTCTTCAAAAGCTGCGATCGAATCCACCATCTGTGATATTCGAAAAAACCGCCCTTCTTCCTGGTGGCGGAAGAGGTGATGGAGGATCCGGTTCGCGAGCCGTCGCAACGCAATCTCTGCAAGATAGTAGTACCACGCGCGAGCAGTCTCGTCTTCAAGGTTCTCCGATGGGGGACTGGGAAAGGCGGACGGATACGAGAAATCCTGCAGCCCAAAGCCTGGGAGCGAAAGCTCCATGCGGACTTCCCTGTATAGATCAGAATAGGCTTCAGAAAGAAAGTGAAGTAAGACGTACAATTCCGATTTAAGGCATGTCCAGTATAGACTCTCCTGAGAGACCCGGTCACGCCTCGCCGCTGGACTGACCAACTCCGGCTGCGGAGTCCGCCTGGGGAATCCGAACCCTTGTGATGTGGCGGCGGCCTGGACAAAGAATTTCCAGGCGGCCATGGGCTGCTGGAGGGTCATGAGGTAGACACCGGCGTAGAAGAAACACTGCGTCTCGAGCACGCCGGAGTGGCTGAGAAGCGATCCGATGCGCTTCTGTGCGGCGGTGAAGTAGGACTTTGCGATCACGAAACTGGGCGAGTTTCGCGCAGAAATCGACTCGCTGAGATGTTGGGCATGGAAGGCTTCTGCGGTCGATCCGAGAGCACAGACAAGAAGCTACCGACCATGAACAGTTAAGGGCGACAGTCAATGAATGGAATAGAATAGTAGGTACGCAGGCATTTGAGTAGGAAATAATCCTTTCGTTTTGCACCTACCACGAGACAGGATTTCGCATCCCACGCAATCCCGTTGATTCGGACGTACTGGACATACTGCAGGAGCAGAGGTACATCCAAGATGGGATTGGCAGGATGCACGTAGTTCAGAAAGCTACTGACCAACCGATCGCAGGCGCCAGTTTCCACCTGCTTAGCCAAGAAGTCCTCGGTCGGCAGCAGGTCTGCCGACTCTTGATAGTCGGACATGGTACCCCCCCGATTGAGGAGAGCCTGGAGGTCTGGCCGGGAGTCGAAGCGGCCGGCAAACACCGGCCATGACATAACGGCCTCGATGGTGAAAATGCCAAAATCCAGCCCGTTCGGCGGGTTCGAGAGCGGAGAAGCATGCTCAGATGGCTCCCTGTTCTGCTCCGTCGTCGACGGGGGGACCTGCTGTATGACTGGTGGTTCATCGTGTTGCAGTCGAGAAGGGGAAGAAGACTGGAGCAGCTGTTCAAGTCGGTCCAGTCGTTCGATGATGACGAGGCTGGCTGGATCGAAGCTGGGGAGTTAGTCTAGGAGAATTCATTCATCTTCTGGAACTACATACGACGAATACCCCGCGGGATTTGTAATGCACTGCGCGCCGACCTTCTCGCAGAACGAACACACGGGCTTCTTATTGTCACATCGGGTGCGTCTGGACCTGCAGGTTTCACATGCCCGGATGGCTCTCCGACGCGGATACGCTGCAGTGCCTCGAGCCACGGGCCGTCGCCGACCAGACACCGGCTGTGTCTCCTGCGTGGGTGCTTCGGGGGTCTCTTCTGAAGCAGCCGAGTCAGCGGGCAGTCTGCTTTTCGTCGGGTCTGCAGCAGCGCTGGACGGTTCGGGCTCGGGGAGCTGGAGGAGGTGCTGGATCGAGGTGGTCATGGGGCGATAAGATGTCTCCTAGACAGTGGGAGGGTAAGACGAGAGATCGACAGACGTGGGGAGGGGTAATGTCGCGGAGTGTCGGCTGAGAGTTATCATGTTAGCAGTGACTAAGGTAGTCAACATATCCTCGAATGGGGGAGAGGGGAAAGGTTGCAGTTTAGTGGTTGTTTGGTGGTTATTGTCAGACGGCGACTGCATACTCTCTTTCCTATTAGGAAGGATTTGACATTATGACAGCAGAACACGTTCGCCGACCTACTTTCTTCTAAAATACTAGACAAGATACCTGGCAGTTCAAGCAGCTGTTAAATTCTTCATTTAACTACCCACGATCCTTCTCTCAATTAAGGGTACTATGTACGATGTAGTACTGGCAGCGGGGCATACGACAAGCTTCATAAGAGGAGGCTCTAGCCAACTGATTCGTAGCTAATTTATGACTTATCGAATGGGAGTATTGTTGCCTTGTTCCTGTCATACGACTGCCGATAGATATCTCGCACAGCTTAGGAGTCAGTGAAATGAGCGATGTTTAATGCTATATATCAAGCTGAGCTTGAACGACTACCATTGACTTGAATGCTTCTGGTGTATCACTCAGGGGTTCCACCGAGGAATCTCAGCAAGAAACCATTCAACTGCGGTCTATATTTAATAAACCAGCTCAAGATAGTGATTATCAAGGAAAGCTGTCGAGATAGAATATGGTGTTCGGCTTCACTGTTGCACTCCGTAGAGTGTCGATGGAACGCGAAATCTAATTGAATTAGAATGAATTATCATGTGTCAATCCATCCCATCATGCTCACCATAGAATTAGAGCTGTGTTCTGTGATAAACAGTCCCCGACGTTGTTGTGGTGAGTTGTGGATATCAAAGCCCGAGGAAAATACAGGCGGAAAGAAAAGGACTGGAACCTCGTCATACTCTCTCTCTCTCTCTCTCTCTTTTCAAGCTCATTCCACCTCAACTACCTCCGGATACATACCGCGTACATTATTTATTTCATTAAGTGATCTATCTATATTATCGTCTAGATTATATCAATATGAGCGAAGATCCCATCCCCTCGTCCTTTGACAGCTCACCGTACGTTCTCCGCGTTTCCTCTTGTTCGCCCCCTCGCCTCCAGCTAACAGAACCAGCCAATTTAAAGAAGAGACCGATTTCCAAAAGTTCCGTCGCCGGTTGACGGAGGAGCCATTAATTCCATTAGGTAAGTGACACATCGGAATAACGCACGATAAACTTATTCTAATTATTATTTTTTTTCTTTTCTAGGATGCGTCGCAACCTCTTACGCCCTGTTCCGCGCCTACCGGTCGATGAAAGCCGGCGATTCCGTGGAGATGAACCGGATGTTCCGGGCGCGAATCTATGCGCAGGCGTTTACGCTGGTGGCCATTGTGGCGGGCGGGATGTACTTCAAGACGGAACGACAGCAGCGGCGCGAGTTCGAGAAGGTGGTCGAGGCACGGAAGAGCCAGGAGAAGCGTGACGCCTGGTTACGCGAGCTGGAGATCCGCGATCGGGAGGATAAGAACTGGAGAGAGAGGCATGCGGCCATCGAGGCGGCGGCAAATGAGGCGGGCAAGGCTTCGGTTCCTACTGCTTCCACTGTTTCTGTGTCGGAACCTTTGCTGCAGGATACACCCGAGCCAGAGCTACAGCCGACAGCGGAGAAGAAGCCCGGGGTGTTGGATGCGGTGAAATCATTGGTATGGGGGAAAGGGAACTGATGGGATTGCAACAAAAGGTTCTATCTCAAGTTATTGTACATATGTAGTATTAGTGATGAAAAAAAAAAAGTCTTCTCTCTACGCAGTCAAACCATCTGCTCATCGATGTATCGTCTCATCGTATCGAATTCCGCTTTTCCTGTCTGCAGAGCATTAGAGTAGAGACCTGTATGGACCCAGGGCAATACCCACCGAGATTAAATAACGAATATGTTGCTAGAAGGTTAGCAGATCTGTATAGCTAGCATGCTTGATAGACGAGCCAACTTACCAAATCAGTCACGGCGCGATGTCTCTCGAATTCCCTCCGGGCGTAATCGTGGAGTTCGACTCGAGTAGGCGACGAGGGGATTTCTAAACTATCAATATTGAAATAACGCTAGAAGAAGAATAAAATAGAGGTTCATGTGGGGGAGCCTGGGAGGACTCACTGTGTAACGCTCTGATGATCTCGCGGTATAAACCCAAGACTCGCTGTCTTTGAATGAACTAGACAGGATTTAAGAATAATTAATTAGTCAGAGCACCTATCTAAATTGAATTCTAGATGGCAAGAGGCTACTTACATGGTCAAGACTCACGGCGGGCTTTTTCAACTTGGAAGGCCGAGCCAGTAGATGGACAGTCGGTCTCATCCTATATGTACATGGATGGATAGTGGGTACTCGAATCAAAGATAATTACTGGGTAATTGAAGTACTGTACCTAGATGTGCATGTTGATGTTGTCATGGATCTCGGTATACGAAATAAAAGCGGTGAGATACTGCCGGATATGGAATGACCAAGATACATCATTGGTTTAAATAAATAAATAAATAAATAAATCAATCAATCAATCAATCAATAAATTAGTAAAATAAGTAATAAGAATAGTTAATAAGAATAAGTAAAAAGAATAAGTAGAGGAATAAGTAATAAGAATGTTAAAAAAAACCATTTATCGAGGAAATATGTCTGTAGTATTGTCGAGATATCGTCCCATAGAGCTATATGCAGTAGTAGGAGCTATTATAAGCTTGCTCATTCTTTGCAGTATCAGTTGTCATGCTATAACTAAATACCTAGGCTAGTTACCTACTAACTAAATACTAGGTACAGGTAGTCAGTCACCTGTAACCCTACTATCTAAGCCTTGTATATAAGCAGATGCCCGGGCAGTCCCAGCACAACCTAAGCTACTCTTGAGGCAAATACTACAGACAGATAAGAATACTAGTTATAAGCGAGTGATATCAATACTATTACTATATTTAGACTTGTAGACTATCAATTCTGTACTTCCACTCAACCCTAACCCTAACCCTAAACAGGTGGACCCGTGGTCTGTGCTGATTGATCTAATGCAACCTTATCCGATTAGAAGACAAGATAATAAGCCTAAGGAGGGAGACAATGTCAAGGTACATTGTATCAATGTTATCCTCCATCAAGTTAATATGATGAATTCTAAGGAGTCTCAGTACAGTACTACATATGTCTTAGGTACTATACTACATACATATAGGCAACCAGTAACTCGAGCCTACAACTACTAACTAACTACTAAATAACAAGGTACCTAGTTACAAGATATAACTAGTTATAACTACCTAGTAGGAAAGCACTAGCCAAAATGAGACACGGGCTGAAGTTCGCCCGCCAAGTGGAGATAGAAGCTTAACTCCGTAGAATTGGATAGTATAAAAGTAAAGACAATAATAGTAGGATCTTCATCATATATTCATCAATTGATCCCAAGCAGTTCTTATTATATCCAGTGTACAGCTAACATGCCCTCTTATCGCAGCATTCAGGCCTACCTGACTGCCTGCCAGAGCGACGAGTCCAAACTGCTCGGTCTGACGCTCGGAGATAAGGTCGTCACTCCAGGCCTTTACATCCCTAGAGCAGGTAAGACAATAGAATAATTATAGTTAACTAGCAACTACCATTTGGAGACATCTGACTATCGATAGAAGCACAAAAAGCACCCTCCCTCACTTTCACAGGCACGCCGTCAAATACCTACCTCGTGATAGCCCTCGACATTGACGCTCCCTTCCCCTCCCTGAACATCCTGGGCCCAATTCTTCACTGGAAACAGCCCGGTCTGAAGCTCCAGGGAAACGGACAATCGGTTTTGAACTCGGGGGATACCCCCTTTGTGGCGAATTATATCGGTCCTGCCCCCCCGCCTGGCAGTGGTCCGCACCGCTACGTCTTCTTCCTGTATGAGCAGCCGGCGGGATTCAACCCGGCCAAATACGCTCCTCCAAATGGCAAGAATCTGAGTAACTGGCTTCGTATGCGGTATGATCTGGAGGCGTTTGAGAAGGAAGTTGGCTTGAAGCCGGCAGTTGCGACGAATTTTTTTACCAGTAACTAGTCTATTGTCTTGTCTCCTATTGTATCTTATTACTTTAGTGATAACTAGTAGTCTCCTTCATTAACAACTACTTATGACTGCAGAGGATCATTCATCCCCCCAAATGTCACCGTCTTGATCGTCAAGAACTCGTCGATACCATACTTGCTGCCTTCCCGGCCGAATCCGCTCTGCTTGACGCCGCCAAACCTGAAGATATTAGAACGATTGGTGAGAGGATAATAAGGAGAAGAAGAAACTTACGGAGATGCGACGTCACTGATGAGACCCGTGTTGACGCCAACCATGCCGACCTCCAACGCTTCGGCGACACGGAAGATGCGGCGGATGTTGCCGCTGAAGAAGTATCCCGCCAGCCCGACCTCGGCGGCATTGGCGAGCTCGACGACCTCCTTCTCCGTGTCAAAGGGGAACAGGCCCGCGACGGGCCCAAAGGTCTCCTCCGAGGCCAGCTGCATGTCGCGCGTCATGCCTGTCAGCACGGTGGGCTCGTAGAAGTTGGCTCCGAGATGCGGGGCCTTGTTGCCGCCGACGGCGACGGCGGCACCCTTGCTCGCCGCATCCTGCACATGGCTGTGGACTTTATCCACGGCGCGGGAATGGATTACGGGCCCATGGGTGATTCCCTCGGTGAACCCGGCGCCGAGCTTGAACTCTTTGACCTTTTCGACGAAGCGAGCGGCGAACTCGTCATACACGCCGCGCTGCACGTAGATGCGATTCGCGCACACACAGGTCTGGCCCGAGCTGCGGAATTTGGACGCAATGGCGCCCGCGACGGCGGCGTCCAGATCGTCGACATCATCAAAGACGATGAAGGGGGCGTTCCCGCCCAGCTCCCACGAGACCTTTTTGATGGTCGAGGCGGCCTGTTTCATGAGCAGGCGGCCGACGTTGGTCGAGCCCGTGAACGAGACCTTGCGCACGTCCTCGTGCGTGGTGATGGCCTCGCCCACCTCGGCCACGTTCTTCGACGCCGTCACAATGTTGACCACTCCCTTGGGGATGCCCGCGCGCCGCGCCAGCTCGGCCAGCGCGTTGGCCGTAAAGGGGGTCTCGCCGGGCGACTTGACCACCACTGTGCAACCCGCAGCCAGGGCCGGGGCGACCTTGCGGGTGATCATCGCTGCGGGAAAGTTCCACGGTGTGATCAAGCCGCACACTCCCACGGGCTCCTTGATGGTCATCACCCGGTTGCCCGCCACCGAGGACGGGATCGTGTCGCCGTACACCCGCGGGGCCTCCTCGCTGAACCACTCGAAGAAATTGGCCGCATACGTCACCTCCCCCTTCGCATCGGCCAGCGGCTTGCCGTTCTCCCATGTGATCAGCGTCGCCAGGTCTTCCGCATTGTCAACCATCAACTGATACCACCGGCGCAGCATCCGGGCACGCTCCCGTCCCAGCGTCCTGCGGAACTCGGGGAGAGCCTCCTTGGCGGCCTGGATGGCCTTTTCCGTGTCCGCAGCCGTGAACTCGGGACATGTTCCAATCAGCTTGCCAGAGGCGGGGTCTATTCATCAGGACACAGGAATAAATCAGTATCTGTCCAGTGACTGACTCACCGTGCACTTCAAACGTCTCGCCTGACTGGGCCGTGACGAATTCGCCATTCACAAACGCCTTCTCGATAAACAGCGAGCTATCTTTGAGCTGTCAAATCAGCACCTCTCTTCCTTTTTGTCCCCTTTCCTCCCCCTTTCTCCCCTTTCAGGATCAGAACCTACCGGAGGAACCGTATGCCCCATCGTATATAATCTCTGAGCGTAAATCGTCGCAGGAATCTTGAACGGATACCTTGGCCTGGGTCTTGACAACTGGCGAGCCACGGGACGGAGAAGGCTTTGCATCGTTGCACTCAGACAACCACAGACAAAAATGCACAGAGGGGTAGCTTTTATATCCCGAGGGAAAACACAAAAAAATCACGAAGGATCCGATCGGAGTAAAGAGGGGAAGAGCTGGAGATTGGCCGTGGTTACCGATCGCTGGGGTCAGATAACAGGTTCCGGGCGTTACGTCAGGGCGATAACGTCGAGTATTGAAAGGCAAGGTCTATGTAATATGTAGTAGGTAGGAACTAGATATAGAGAGGAGATGTTCGACTGGATATAGAGAGCAGAGAGCTGCTAAAGGCTGCCACAGACCCTTGCAAGACACGGAGCTTTATATCAATGCCTGCAGCGACACAAGAAGAAGCAGCTTCAGGTTGGCGATGAGCTTCGGCGGATGCAGCCAATGGGGAGCTGGGATTGAGCTCGGGGAGACTGACCAATGAGAATCAGTAAAGTTTGACTGCCTTATATTTATGGCAGAAAAAATGTACTTCTATTATTCATAGCACATGGTAAAGGTAGTGTCACACCAGGATATAATATAACTGTTATGAATGACTAGTCATATTGATTGATGTTTATCTAGGTTGAGGAAACCCTAGGGTTAGCTCTCGCTGAGAACTCTTATGTACAAAGAGTGTTGGAGGTGCCTGTAATGGTACAATATAAGAACACTATGGCCATATCCTCATGTAGCACTAGCCACAGACCTCGCTCGTTCAGCCTGTCTGTTGACGTAATTCGGATGGACTCGCTTCAGATGAAGGTTGAGATTCCATCGCCGCGAGAAGCCATGTGTATGCCGGTGACACGACCGGATAGGACAGATGATATCCTGCCTGCGGTGTTCGCCTTTGCCTTTCAGCTGTGGCGTGCGTCGTTCTTGTTGTGAATCTTCATCATCTTCATCATCACCATCTTCTTCCTCGTCTTCATCGTCGTATTCATCATCATCGTCGTCGTCGTGGTCATCTTCGTAGTTATCGCTCCCCCCTGCACTAGCAGCAGCGGAACTGATACCCTCAATCGCATGGGAAGGAATAGAATGATATCTCTTTAGATGCTTGTTCAGGTTCCATCTGCGTGAGAAGCCGTCGAGGTGTCGTGGGCATGATGTGATGGGACACAGCAGGCGGGTTTTTCTTTGCTTGCCTTTACTCCCTAGACGGGAGGATGCTGTGGAATTTGCTCGAGAATGGGATTGCCGTCGCCTTACTTTTGATTCTCCTCTGCAGGGTGTCTGGGGGAGCGATAGAGCATCGTCGTCGTCATTGCTATCTCCGTCGTCGTCGTCGTCGTCGTCGTCGTCATCATCGTCTTCGCTCGCGTATTCCCACGCCCATGTCTCCTGTCGTTGCACATGCCGGACCCTTCCCTCGGTTAATGTCCGAAACTCCATGTCTTCCCCAAACAGATCGCTGCAGCGTTTGGCAGCCCGCATCACCACGTCAGCAGGCCAGCCAGTCATCGATGCGAGCCCGAGCACATCGCTCCAGTCTCGTAAACCGTAGCGAAACTGTCTACCTGCCCGACTGGTTGAGCGTCCACGCGAACGGGACGAATGCTGTGATGTAGATCGTGGTCGGGAAGAAGAAACCGAGGCAAGTCTGGTAGACTGGGAATGAACGCTGGCAGTCCGGCGGGAGGAGGACGTGCGGCGGGTACGCTTCCGGCCTCGCGATTGACTCCGTTCGGTCTTGTCCTGCGATATCCCTCTCTTCTGTTTACGTGGTGACGAAGCACCTGATACCACGCTGTCGGTATCAGTGGTGTGTCGTTCGCTCGCGGATCCGTCGTCACCAGCCATGGCCGCCTTGCGAGCCCGATGAAGACTGAGCAGCAGCGTATCGAAGCGCGAGAGCACCCTGCGCGCCAAGGGCCGAAGCTGCTGCGCGGACTTTTCATCGTCCGCCTGCACGACGGGGCGTAGCTCAACTTGTTGTTGTTGTTCTTCATCTCTGCCCATTGGCTCTGGGTCGCTCTTCCCTGCATCGTAACCCGTGCTTTCGCCGCCCCCGTCTTCTGGCTGCGAGGTGCTAATGATCTGTCTGTTTCGTCCCTTGGACGCCGGTATCAACGTTGACTTTCGGGGTTGCCATGTCCTTGATTCAAACCGCTCCTTGGCTGCTTTCTGCATGACAGCCATCAGAGTCTCCTCCAGCTCGGCACTCGGCCGCACATCGGGCTGCATCCGGATCGTCCAGGCGTCGCCCTCCTCTCTTCGCAGGTGCTCGTCTAGCCTGGGCACCTCGCCCGCAGGCATCGGCCAGGCCGTCCACCGCTTCGGAGGGGCAAAGTACTCGGCTTCATTTCGGCGGCGATGGCCATCATCTTCGGCTGCTTTGCGTGCGATGTTCCGCGCCCGCACACGCAAAGCATACGCGTTGTAGAGATGCGCCGCGAGATCCCTGGCGCGGATCGTCTCCAGCGCCTGTGCGTTCTCTCTTTCCTCTCGCGTCAGCTTTCTCCATGTGGATTCCGGGCCCCGGAATCTATTTGGTCGATACGCAGGAGGAGACGGAGACCGATTCATCCCCGCATCCGGCTGTCCTGCAGTAGAGGGATTTGCAATATCTCTTTGCATCTTCTCTTCATGCTCAGAATCATCATTGGAATCCCGATAGCTTGCGTCATCATCATCCTCGCCAACAACGCCATCCATAGCGACATCCTCATCCTCCTCATCCTCACTTCCCACCTGGGAATACGGCTCCAACTCCACTACACCCTGACTGCTCGCTCCACCAAAGATAGATCGATACGGCTGCCCAGACGGAAAGGGATCATACCGTGGAGACTGCGAGGCTGAGCGTCTGGAACTAGGTGATGACATGTCTGGAGCATATATATAGATACTTAATATCTGTAAATTTTCTCCCTTGCAGCTATGGAGCCCGTTAGCACTGGTTACTTGGTGCTCCGTACGAGTAGTAGACATCACGCACCTGCTACAACGGTACAATGCATTCCATTTCGACTGAAGTAATTGATCTTCACTCTCATAGATCCTCGAGAGATAATATAGATAGCCAGACCGTGGTCGCCTTGCTGGAGTTGTTGATAAATTACTGAAGAAAAACGTCAGGGGAGAGAACGCTGGAAAGATTCAAAATAGTTACAGGTCACGTGATTCTGTTTTACGCAGTCGCCGTCAGACTCTTCCAGTCTTGAGAAGTTTCAACCCTCTTTTAATATTTCTGTTGGATGGAAGATGAAGATATTTCTACTTCTTTGCAGTCTTTAGAAAGAAATTTGACAAAAATCCATTACTAATACTATTACCAGACGCCGAATCATATACAAGTCCCTCAAGAGGCAGCAGGGATATCAAATGAAGTCTTCTATAACTTTTATCGTCTTGTTTTTGTTCATGCCTGCGCGGCCTTTTCGATCTTGCGTCTCTTCGACCGCAGCTTGGCCGCCTCGTCGGACGTCTTCTTGTTCGAATAGATCATCTTCTCAAGCAGCTTGCGCTTCTTGCGGCTCATCATCATTTTCTGCCGATCGAGTTCCTCTTCCTCCTTGCGCTTCTTGGCGGCAAGCTTCTTGGCCTGCGAGGACTTCTTCTTGGAGGCACCCCCCGCGGCCCCGTTGGTGGACGAGAAAGGGAGACCCGCAGCCTCAGCCTCAAGTTCCTTCTGGTGCTGGGAGCGGGCGGCCTCTTCCTCATCCTCAGACTCAGAGGCGGCCTCTTCTTCGAACCCGCCAAAGTCTTCTTCCTCTTCTTCCTCCTCCTCTTCGCTGCCGCTCTCGTCATCATCAGTGCCGGCAACATCCATGCCGCCGTTCAGACTCTCATCATCATCGTCTTCTTCGTCGTCATCCTCCTCCTCGGCGGCTTGAATCTTCTTCGTCTCAGCCGCGTCTTCCATCTCCTCGTCACTGTCCTCGTCCCCTTCTTCGTCCTCTAGTTCGGCAGCAAGCTCGGCTTCGCCTTCTTCCTCCTGCTCGGCCAAGCTGGCCCGAGGATCGTAGCCACCCTTGCTAGGCTTGACCCAAGGGCTCAGGTGAGGAGGCAAGGTGGTGCCAGGAGCGTAGAGATCCGCCCGGAGGAGCTTGCCCTCGTTGACGCAGTCCCAGACCCACTGCGGTTGGACGTAGGTGCGGCCGGGAATACGGGTTCCGGGGCGGACCTTCTGGACAGCGCCGGCGCCGTCTTCGGGCTTGGTAGGGATGGCAGGCAGAGAGGACTCGGGAAGTTGAGGACGGTCAACGATCTGGTGGGTGATGCGAGGGTCTGTCTCGTCGTGCGTGAAAGCGCCATCGCCAAGCACGGCATCCCACCCGATCGCCTTGCAACCGAAGGCGCGCAGGATGAACTCGAGCGGCGCGCGAGGGGCCTCGCGGGAGATGTAGAAAATGAAGGGGGAAAACAGCGAGCCGGCTTCATTGCCGCTCAGATCCGGCTGGGGGAGGGTATCGGCTTCGGGCGCGGTAGGCTCAAACCTGTCGATCTCCTCGGTGTTCTCCTCGGTAGTCTTCTCGGTGGATTCACCGTCCTTGACCTGGTCCAAACCCGCCGACTTGATCACCTTGTCAACCTTGGCCTGAATCTCGCGAGACACTTCCTTGTTGGCCGCACCGTTGGTCTTGGTGCCGCTACCGGCTTCGATCGCCTTGGGAGTCTCCCCGATCTTACGGCCCTCAAGGGTGAAGGCTGCCAATTCCGCACCGTTTTCATCGCTGCGGGTGTCGAATTTGGGTGGGTACATGATACCAATCGACGAATACAGTCTGTAGTTGACAAAGCCCAAGAGTGTGGTGTAGAAGTCGACAAACGTGGCCATGATCCGATAATCGACGTCTCCATTGACCCGCTGCACAAACCGATAGGGAACCAGCCACATGATGTCCTGTCCCTGGATTGTCGCCTGGTAGTAGATACCCTTGATCGAGAGAAACGACTTGCGAAGCGAGTTGGTGGTGATGAGGTAGTGCTGGAACTCGTGGCACAAGCGTTGACACAACGCGATCGTCTTGGGCGGCACATGAGCAGTCGACGGGAGGTTCGCAAACAGGAACAGCAGCGACAGTGCATCATCAAGATCTCTCAGAGCATCGATAAACGTCGGGTAGCGCTCCTTGATGACATGATCCAGCGACAGCTTCGGGGCGTGATTCTTCTCCAACCGCGCGGCATCTCCGACTTCTCCACGTCCCAAAGACCGAGCAATCTTCTTCGCAACCGTCTTTTGCTCCCGGAATTTGCGCAGCAGAGGCTCGTGGAGCAGATACTGGATGTCCCTGGTGTAGTAGAAGGTAGTGCTGGGGGTCGCAGTCTTCGAGGCCTTCTTCTTACTCCGAGGCTCGCGGGGGAAGATACCTTAAAAAAAATCAGCCATGCACTATCGCACATACACAAACAGAACCCATTCTTACCCTTGAAAATACACAATCTCCGGAAATCAGGCAGAGAAATCTGGAGTTTGCGCACCGCCTGCGTCCTGGTGATATAGTTTTTGGCCTGGCCAGAAGTTCCTATTCACAAGCAATCAGCATTCTCTTTTTCCCGTCTCCATCTCCCACTCTCTCTAGCCTACCCTTCTTCTTTATTTTCCCCATGTTGGCGATAAATTGCGGTGGTCAGAATCTCCTCTGCTGATAACGCAGGGAAAGAAAAGTTATCGAAACTTTTTTTTTCTCCCGCAGGGAAAAGATGGCGGGTGGCCCGTGCACGGCGGAGACTCCCCATTGGAAAGAACCAACTGTCCTTGGAACAACAAGAGAGAGAGACTCATGGAGGAGCTGGGCGTGGTTCGAACAAACGAGAATGCCTGTGGACCGGAGGAAGACGGCTGTCTTCAGCGCTGCTGTTCTTCTTCGGTTGCTGCTGTTCTTTGTGTTCCCCAGTCTGCCTGACTTGCTGACAGGGCGCGTGGAGGTGTCGACACCAGTCAACAGCTTCAAGCGACGTAAGTGCTTGGGACTTGAGCATCGGGTTTCTTTTTTTTTCTCGGCTGATGAATGGCTTGTTTTAGTACAGGAAGGTCTCTTCTTGTATACGAGGAATGTGTCGCCGTATGATGGGGGGGTGTTCCATCAGGTAAGGATTCCCGCTCGTCTCCCAGAGTAAGGCCGGACTGATTTAGTGATGTGTATAGGCACCTCTGCTGCTACCGTTGTACGCTTTACTACCGAGTGTACGAGACTACAGACTGCCACAGATCGTGTTCTATGCGTTGATCGATATCCTCAATGCCGATGCGCTGATCACGATTGCTGACTCGGGCCAGTCGGTAGTGGGGAGGCTACACTCGACGAGTCGGAAGAATATCAGATGGGACGGTGTGGCCATTGCTGCTTGGTATGCATGGCCAAGAGGATACTGCTATATCCAGAATGAATGCTGACGGTATAGGTACCTGTTTAATCCTTTCACAATTGCAACATGCCTGGGTCGGCCCACGAGCGTCTTGACGAGTTCAGCTATACTGTATGCGGTGTCAAACGCTGTCAGCGGCAATAGCGTCAACGCAATGCTCGCGCTGGGTCTTGCATCGTACCTCTCGCTTTATCCGGCGCTTCTTTTCTTGCCCCTCGTGCTGTTGTGCTACGACCGACATGCAACTGGCAGCAAGGTCGCACCCAGTACTGCTTTATTCGGCTTACAAAATTTCGGAGTCTTTCTAGCGAGTGTGGCCGGCCTCCTCGCTATCTCGTACCTGATTATCGGAGACTTCTGGGAGTTCGTGTCGGCAACGTACGGGTTCCAGCTGCTAGTCCCCGATCTCACTCCGAACATTGGGCTCTGGTGGTACTTTTTCATCGAGATCTTCGATTCCTTCCGGGAATTTTTCCTGGGCGTGTTCTGGCTTCATCTGGCTGGGTACGTTGGTGGCCTGACTGTCCGACTGCGTCGACAGCCGCTCTTTGTCTTGACCTCGCTGCTAGGCATTTTTGCCATCTTCAAGCCCTACCCTAGTATTTCCGACATCTCGCTCTACTTTGCCCTCTTGCCTCTATACCGTCATCTCGTCCCTTGTAAGATTCCTATCCTCGGTAAAAGATTTTTGGCTCCATTTGTTTACTAATCTTCAGTAATGCGATATACCTTCTTCGCCGTGTCCGCTCTACTCTACGCGACCGTCCTGGGCCCTGTCTTCCACCACCTCTGGATCTACGCCGGGTCAGGCAACGCCAACTTTTTCTACGCAATCACTCTTGTCTGGAGCCTGGGGTTGTCGATCCTAGTCGCCGACTCTATGTTTGCTGCCCTCCGCGATGAATGGGAGGAGGAGAATCCCGACATGCGAGGGAAGGACGTAAGACAGATCTAGCTAAAGCATAATTTACCATTTCTCTATTTTTTTCTTTTCAAAAGAACATCATGCGCTTCTCGTTTCCAATCTTTTCGATAAAATTAAATAATCCGCCTCCTTGACAGTGCCATTCCTCAGTATGCGCGGCGGAGGCGAGTACTCGTCAACTCCGTATCCCAGCCGAGCGTAGAACCGTCTCGCCCCCTCGTTAACCCGGAAGACAGTCAACATGCACTTCTTCAGGCCGATGCGTTGGCCGATATCCTCGTACGTCTTCATTAGCATTTCGCCTAGCCCCTTGCCCTGTGCGGCAGGGGAAAGGTGGATCTCGTAGCAGTAGAGGACGTCTTGGCCATCTTCGTACGTGACCATGAAGGAAAGGAAGCCGAAATCACAGTCGTTATCTTTTTCAGAGAGCCCATCTGTCAGTGAACTGGTATCTTGTGAATGCGGCTGTAGGATTATGTATCGCATATCAGGCAGTTTCATTTCCTTGCGTTTCTTCAAAGGAGACCACCCAATGCTGGAGTCGAGGTATGTCTTTGACGAAGTCGACTCGATCAGACGGAAACATTTCTCAAAAATCTCTCCTGGTAGTGTTTCAGAAGTGTATATTTCTGTTCTGTAGTCTTCTTCCCTTTCATTCTTGCTGTCTTCGTCCTTGTGCTTGCTGTCCTTTGGCTTGCTCTCAGAGCAGTAGGTCGAGATGAATTCCTCCAGAGAGAGCTGGTTCGTGCGCTCGACGATTGGGAGTTTATCTAGATAGTTAGACCTTGAATACGATAAAAAAAGGGGTCGAATGGTTTGAATCACAAATCTTGATGTAATAATATACAAACAAGTTTGTTGCTAGACTCACCCTTCTTCCGCGCTCGAGACTTGCTCACTCGGCCTTCTTTTGACATGGAAAATATATGGTACTAGAGTAATTATATTAAACTAAAAGAGTTGCAAGAATACTTTGCATGGGTATGTGCAAGGATAGGTTGTGCGTTATTTCAACTCAGATAATGTTTTGCCGTTCCGCCTTGTTCTCAACCGTCAACTGGCGAACCATGAGTCTAAGCTCGTGCACTTTTACATCAATGTATAGAGAGTAATAATTGTATTATGCCCTCTGCTTGGCAGCCGACTCTTCAGCTCTTCTCTCCGCCTCGTCAGCACCAAGTTCTCCAAAGATATCAATCCCCCAGCGGAATGGGTAGTTGTAACGCTCTGCACGGTCGAGATTGTTCAGGGCCTCGAATTCAGCATCGGGAATGACAAAATCTATAATCCTTAGTTTGAATGGAACAGAAAAAAAAAGAGTATAAGATTTAGAAAGATGATAACCTTGGAAATTACTCTCGATCCGCGAGGGAGTGACGCTCTTGGGTAGCACGGCGGTCCCTCGCTGAATGGCCCAGGAGATGAGCAAGGCAGCTGGATCTCTGTTGAGCTTCTGGGCAATCTGGCTCACTGTCTGGTCATCAACGACACTACCACTGTTAGCTTTGCCCTGATCTTTGCGTCATTATCTCGGGTACTGGAATGTCTCTCTACTAACCGAGGGAGCCCGAAGATATTGTTACCCAAGGGACTGTAGGCCACAGGCAGGATATTCTAGCTAATCAGTATACCCCAGTAGACTCTATTCAAACAAGCCGTACCTTTTCTTTCAAGAACTCGGTTAGTTCTGGTTGCTGGAGGTACGGATGGGCCTCGATCTGGTTGACAGCCGGAGGGATCTTGGCCGTCTTGAGAAGCTCCTTGGTCTTGTCGACGGTGAAGTTGCTGATTCCAATGCTTCGCAGTTTGCCCGATGCAACCAGTTTCTCCAGAGAAGCCCAGGTGTCGGCAATGGGGATATCTACCAGGCGGAACCTCTTAGTATTGGGGTCGATGGGAGTGAGGGTCTCGTTGGTGTGTTCGAATGCGACAGGCCAGTGAATCTAAAGCGACAACTTAGAAATCATTATTATTGTTATTACATTTTCCAGGTACTGACCAGGTAGAGGTCAAGGTAGTCGGTCTGAAGGTCTTGGAGAGTCTTGTCAACGGCCTCTTGGACGTGGTCTGGGTGGTGGTGAGTATTCCATAGCTTGCTGGTGATCTAACAGATTAGCACTTTCCAATCCATTGAGATGTCGTTGAATGAATTTCCTACAAAAATTTCTTCGCGAGGCACGCCAGACTTCTTCCAGCCGTTCCCTACTTCGTTCTCGTTCTGATAGCAAGCAGCCGCGTCGATATGACGGTATCCAGCGCGCAGAGCGACCTCGACGGCATTCTCGACTTCGTGGGGTTTCGAGAGCTAGAGGGGGAGTTAGCTATCATCAGCAACAATGTCAATCCTCGATTTGTGTTAACTTGAAGAAGCGTACCCAAGTTCCCAGTCCAACAGCTGGAATCTCGTACCCCGAGTTGAGCTTGAACTTCCTTCCAAGAGACATGCTTATCGATGATTTGAACACCCAGGGATTGAAAAGAGCAGTTGGTTTGATTGGATTATCAGCATTGTGCGATATCCTTCTTTAATACTACCTCAGAATACTACAGCTACTACTGCCCCTCATTGATTCCTTTACCCCTCATGAGCGTCGACGATCCAGTCGTAAGCCAGCGCGCTTGAATCCACTCGCCCGTCTTGCTGAATCTCGACAATAGGATTGCGTTTGTCTGCCGAGCGAGCAGCTCATGTTGTTGTGAGATGACACCATTCTCCTTGTAGACCCACCGAGAATACCTTGTCTATATGTAGCTAATTTATATGGATTGTTCTGGACATTGTTGGACTTCCATTGGCTAGGTAAATAACTTGTTGCTTTGGATCTTTATTTCTAGGCATTTAGGTGAAGGAGAGACTGGAAGGTCAATACTCTAATATCTATACAGTTAGCATTTGTCAAATATCAAGTCAGAAAGGAGATTCTGTCCTGCTAGCTGACCGTATTCAAGATTTATATGTTGCTAGGTAAGTTGTGGTACTTGGAGCCAAGTAATTCTATTCAGATAAGAAGAAGAAGAAGAAGAAGAAGAAGAAATAGGGTAGAATAAAGTAGGGAAAGAAGACCATATAAACTGCTTCCTGGCCTACCAGGTTGGCTTCCTCAGGCATCCGAATCTATACCAGCTTGTCAGGTGCCATTATTCACATGACTCCCTAATCCGGAAGGTACCCACAGAGTAGCCCTAGTCCTAAAGCTGTATTTCCCTCTCCTTCCCGATTCCATTATTCTACCTGCACTCTTCTTCAGAGTCTGTTTTTGCACTTCAGAATTCACCGTCAGTTACAACTTCAGAAATAGGCAAACCCGAGAAACCTTATCTCTAGTGTCTATTCTCCTGGCTAATTAATAGTGAGAGCAATTTCTAGTGAACAATGGACTGGACACCGTGAGACGATTCGATTCCTACGAGGCATCTTCCTTTCCCAAACTTCCCTTCGAGAAATACGACGACTTGACCTTACTCGAAGAACGGAGGCAGCACCTCAACAAGCCAGCAGACCGCGTGTCAAGAAGGGAAACATACTAGAGAGTAATAGAGGATAGGTAGCCAAGATATCGATAGTAGTGCCTATCTCTATGTCTTTTCAGGCTATTCATTCCAAGAGCATGTTAGCAACTAGAGTAAACCCCTGCGAATATGGTATCAGGGTAGGCAACCAGCAGGCTGCCTCTTTACGCTTAGTAGGGCTTATGAGCACTAAAGGGTCGTCTCTGCGAGACGCCTTTTCGAGTCTGCTCAGACTCTGGTCTTATCCCCATATATAGCCCTGCTCGAGCTCGGTTGATATTGCGCCTTTGTGGCCTATAACCATTGAGGAGACTATAAGAGGCCTTCTCCTTCAGTATCCTGCTACTTCTATTGTTCATGTGTCTTCTTATTGACAATAGAGATTCTCTTTACAATTCTAGGAACGTTTACTGTGGCCAAGTCTACTGTCCTGTAGCACTTATCAATGCTTATAGAATTATCACACTATAACAGCCGCAATTTAAGTATGGGTTTCTTTATCTACTATATAGGTATAGAATAAGTATGATGCCACTATTTATCTTAAATAAAAAATATAGTCTGGAACCATGCTATTGCTATATGCTTGAATAGTATCGAAGTATCAATATCCATTAGAAATATATGAGCCATTTTTAGTATCGAGTCAATTACGACAACTCTTCATCTATTACTATAGATTTATATATTCTACAATCTATATCAAGTAGTTTGAGAGCATGAATGCAATATAATAATAACTTCTACTCGCCAACAAGCGGTCACCGCCTCCGACTGTTGTTCATGCATCATCATCGTGGCAACACTCTAAACCCCCCTTCACTTCTTCTCTGACCGATATTCTGGCTGAATGTAAAGTGTTCTGTTTAATCTATCTCTGCTAACAATATCTGAAGCAGATTCCCTGTTGAGACCTGATCTATTGGCCTGTATCCTATGCCTACCGCATATTACCCCTCATCCAACAATTAGTAGGTACTACGCATATTCTGTCCGATGCAGGTCGCCACAAAAGAGACAAATACTCATCCGATTGCTGGACCGAACCGCGAGGTTCCATCCCAGGTCAAATTCATTCGGCCGGCTCAGATGAGTCTCTTCGCCCGAGTATCCTCTTATCCGCCGTTGGAACAGGTGACGGTTGTTCGCAGGCAGAGGGCTTGCAAGTCAGACGACGACGATAAGGTAAGCCGTCTCTCTCTGTATCTGAATTCTTCCAAAAGGCGACACTACTCTGATAATTCCAGCTGCGCTTTACAGTCGTACTGGAATCAAGTAGCACATTCCCCCAGCAAGAATGGGAGGTTCAGATCTGGCACAATCTGACCACCAGCTCGAGTACGGAGTGGACTGCTCTGCCGTTGAAACCACGCGATGCAGCCCTGGTTCCATTACTGAGTACTTCTGACCCAGAGTACAAATACTGGAGACATGTGTTCGCCGAAGAGATCACCCTGCCTCGTTCTGCAGGCAGTGCGCAGTTCACAGTAAGGTATCGAACGGGTTCAGACGAGAAGTGGCAGTGGGCGAACCAGCAGCGAGCCGTCAAAGATGGTGAGCTGGTGTTCGGGCCTCGGCAACCCCATTTTGAAGAGGCAGTCCTCTCGTCATCGTCGTCTAGACAGGACCTGGCGAAATATATCGACGAGCTTTCGTACGATGTGGAAATCGAGTCCCGCAAGAGCGAAGCGCCGGGGTCTCTTCTCTGGGAATTATCTGGAGCAGTGGATGGGGCGAAAGAAGACGAATCCAGTATCAAAAAGATCTCCCTAGGGGTACCGTCGTCGGTGCATAGGTATTTCGCCTTGGTACGGCTGTGGACGCCCTGGTTGGCGCCGAGACATGGAAAAAAGAAATTCAAACTGTCGGAAGATGCGATTCTGTGCTCGTTCCTCCGCACAGACGGTGTCCATGTGGTTCTTTTGGCGGTTTCAGGCACCGATGATGTTTTGACGCTGTTCCAGTCGGGCGAAAGGGGGGACATCGTCGTCCATGCAAAGAATGACGGTACAGAAGGATCCCGGTTCCAGGTTCTGGTCTCTGTTGCAGAGGACTTTGAAGTCGCACTGGGGGCGGTTATCTATGAGGCCCGAAAACTGGTCAGACCATATGACACGGAGGAAGAAACTCCCTTGCAGATTCAAGTCGAAGAAGAACCCACTATCCCAGACTCGCCGACGAGCGATGATGTTGTAATAGTGGAGAAAGAAGATCCCAGGGCACAATGGATGACGGAATGGTTCGATGGACTGACCTACTGTACGTGGAATGCTCTGGGCCAGCAGCTGACGGAAGAGAAGATCCTGAACGCGTTGGAGGTATTGAACTCCCACGGGATCAAGATCGTTAACCTGATCATTGACGACAATTGGCAATCTCTGGATCGCGACGTAGATGACTCACAGTTCAAACGTGGCTGGATGCGGTTTGAAGCAAACGCTGACGCCTTTCCCCGAGGCCTGAAGCAGCTTGTGCAGTCGATCCGTCAAGTCCAGCCGAGCATTGAGCACGTCGCCGTCTGGCATGCCCTCATGGGATACTGGGGCGGGATTTCCCCGGATGGAGAGCTGGCCACCAATTATAAAACCAAACAGGTCCGAGTGAAAGATCCGGTGGCCGGAGGCGAGATACTGGCCATTGATCCTGACGATGTGTCGCGGTTCTACGACGACTTCTACAGCTACCTTTCGTCTGTCGGGATCGATTCAGTCAAGACAGACGCGCAGTTCTTCCTTGATCTGCTGGAAGACCCAGAAGACCGCAGGAGGTTCACCAAGGCCTATCAGGATGCTTGGACCGTCGCCACCCTGACACACTTCAGCACACGGTCGATCTCCTGCATGTCGCTGTTCCCACAGGCCATCTTCCACTCCCAGCTGCCGATGAACAGACCCAGCATCCTGCTCCGGAACTCTGACGATTTCTTCCCCAACATCCCGGCTTCACACCCCTGGCACGTGTTCTGCAATGCACACAACGCCCTTCTGACCCGGCATCTTAACGTAGTGCCGGACTGGGACATGTTCCAGACCAGCCATGCGTACGCCGCGTTCCACGCCGCGGCGCGGTGTGTCTCGGGCGGGCCAATCTACATCACAGACGAGCCTGGCAACCACGATCTGGACGTCATCCACCAGATGACCGCACAGACAGTGCACGGTAAGGCGGTGACCCTTCGACCCAGCATCGCCGGGAGAACGCTCGACGTGTACCACGGCTACAACGAAGGGAACCTGCTCCGGATCGGCACCTATACAGGCTGGGCCCGGACGGGGAGCGGGATCATGGGGCTGTTCAATATCAACTCGGCCGAGACAGGGTGCATGATCCCCCTGATCGATTTCCCGGGTATCCACGAGAGAACAACGTCGACGGACCAACGCCAGTCGTATATCGTCCGGGCACATACCAGCGGCCGCATCACGCACCGAATGCAACCGCTTGCACCGGACTCGCTAATCGCCGTCTCGCTGGGTACCGGCGCGTGGGAGATCTTGACGGCGTATCCAACCCGCTCGTTCACACTCAAGGGCAGTCGAGGCTGCGGGGACGGCTCCAACACAACAGAAACGGAAACAGAAACAGAAACAAGCAAAGGTAGCTCAACACTAACCCACGTCGCGATCCTAGGTCTACTCGACAAGATGACCGGCGCAGCTGCTCTGGTGAGCTCCGACATCTTTCTGGTCGAGAACGGGCGGCTCCGCTTCGACATCAGCCTCAAGGCAATGGGGAGACTGGGCATCTACTTTTCCGATCTGCAGGACCGCAGCATCGCCAAACAGTTCATGGTCATGATCTCTGGCCAGCCCGTCCCGCGCAAGACGGTCAGCAAGGACGGACAGGTGCTTGCCGTCGATGTCCTGGGGGCGTGGAACGCGCTGGGACTCGATCCTGGGTGGAGCAATGAAGTGTTTGTCCAAGTTTTTGTCGGATAGAAGTAGTACATCTATTATATACTGCAATTAGATGGTTGATTGACTACAATAATAGATTGTCGTACTATTGATAAGATAGCGCTAAACCGATTCGAGAAAAAAGCTTCCACGTAAATTTCCGAAAAATCCAAAGTCCGCAAAGAACCAACAGATCCTTTGACCAGCCATTCCTAGCTGTTTAGCCGGCAATTGAGCGTATCTCTTCTTGGATCTAATTGAAGGTCTAATTATTTGTGAACTCCCAGCTGTTCATGTCGTTACAAGCAGGCAGGCTGCCGCGCGCAGCTTGCCGCCACTCGATCCCATCAATGGCAGCATCCCTGACGACGAGACGCTTACCTTTACTCTTACCGTTACAAGCGGGGGGATACGCAGTCGGTGGTATGGCAGGACTCTTCCAGAAGCGGATGATCACGCAGCAGCACATTCGGAGGACGAAGGAGGCGGAGGAGCAGTGGACGGCGATGGGGAAAGAGATCGAGGCGGGGAAGAGAAAGAGCTTCCTGGAGCATTTGGAGGAGCGGTGCTTGGTTAATAGCGTGGTGGGGTGCGTTGAAATCCTGGGTTTCTGCGATTGATTCAATGCCTAGCTGACTTATCATCAAAGAGAACGCGATGTCCTCCACCAGATGTTTACGAAGAAGCGAGTCGGGATGTACGCTGGTGTTGATCCTACGGCGCCGTCTCTACATGTCGGACACATGCTGCCCTTTATGATTCTCGCGTGGGGATATGTTTGGGGGCTACCGGTTACATTTCTGGTATGTTTGCCTTCGATACCTATCTATTGGAGACGGCAGAGGCTGAGATTCCTTTTTTTTCTTTAGCTCGGTGGCAGTACATCGAAGATCGGCGATCCCTCCGGTCGGATGAAGGGACGAGCGCCAGTGGAATCATCCGTGCGCAAGGCAAACATGATGAGCATGCATATTCAGTTGAAGAAGCTGAGCAGGAGCATCGAGACGTACGGCAGGCGACATGGGTACGTGCGGGAATGGGTGTGGAAACGGGCGTTGATGAACAATAACACGTGGTGGAACAAGACGCCCTTTGTCGAGGTTCTGCGAGAACTCGGTCAATTTATCAGGATCGGTCCGATGCTGGGCAGAGACACGTCAGTTCAAAACCTGTGATATCTTGGAGTGTGTGCGACGGACTAGAGTTGCTGACAGTGGAGAACAGGGTCAAGGCACGACTTACAAAGGGCGACGGCATGGCTTTTTCAGAGTTCTCCTATCCTCTCATGCAGGCATGGGACTGGTGGATTCTATTCCGGAAAGGCTGTCAGGTCCAGGTTGGAGGTTCTGATCAGTTTGGCAACATCCTTTTCGGTATGGACTCGATCAAGGCGATCAGCAAGAACACCATGCATGAGATCAACCGGAATCCCCTGGACGATGATATGGACAAACCTATGGGCATCACTACCCCGTTGCTGACCACTTCCTCCGGCGAGAAGTTTGGCAAGTCTGCCGGGAATGCCATCTGGCTGGATTCGGATCTGACCTCGTCCTTTGAACTTTACCAGGCATGTCTTAATTTCGCTTTTCTCCTTTTCTCCTTTTCTGATAGATGTCTTCAATCTAACATAAGTACAGTTCTTCCATCGTACCTCCGATGATGTCGTGGAGCGCTACTTGAAGATGTTCACTTTCTTGCCTCTGGAAGAAATCAGCAAGATCATGGAGGCACAGAACCAGGACCCTTCCCAACGCGTTGCCCAGCAGGCTCTTGCAGCTGAATTTGTGGAGCTGATCCATGGCAAAAAAGAAGCAGAGGCTGTCGTCATGCAACATCGCTCGCTGTTCCGTCCTCGCAACTCCAAGGCAGAACCGACGCCTCTACCGAAAACACCATCTAGCCCCCCAGCTAGTCACCAAAATTCCCCCGTCTCCGGGTTCACAAATCCCCAATCCGGCAACGAGTACGCCCCTCAGACCAACTTTGCCAACATGCCCGCCCCCCACGTAACTCTCCCTCGCTCTCTGGTCTACAACCAGAACTTCCACAAGATTCTCTACTCCGCCGGCCTGGTCGCGTCGAAGAGCGAAGGCCACCGCATCATCCAGAACAGCGGCGCTTACGTCGGCAGTCGCGCCGGCGACACCGGCCCCATGTCCGACAGCATGTCCTTCACGCCCATCAAGCCATGGGAAGCCTCCAAGACCGAAACCTTCATCGTGGACGACCTGCTACTCCTCCGGATTGGCAAGTGGAAGTACAAGATCGTTAAGATCATCAGCGACGAAGACTTCAAGCAGAAGGGGCTGACGGCTCCTGGATATGAAGAAGCTGAGCCGGAAGAACCGGTGCAGGATGCTGCACAGTAACGAAGAGTGAGACACCCTTTCTTCCTCCCCAATCTTCCTGTATTTTTCCACCATCTATTCCCTGTGTAATATATAGCGAGAAGGCCATAGCATTGTAGAATATCAAGGATTTCTCACCTACAATCTTTTATGTCAACAGAAAAAGTACCTTTCCGAGATTGACGCCTGAGGCACCAATTTCCCCGAAAGGGCGCAAAACCACTAAACGCGTCCGACGCGTATCACGTATCGCCTGGATTGACGTCCCTTTTTCCTCCGATCACCCCGGGCATCTCCACAAAGCACTGCTGTTCTATACAATCAGATTGTCTCTCTTCAAGCCATGCTTCATTGAGTTTCTTTTATTGAGCTGAGCGATTATATTCAAGCACGTCGTGGTTGTCTCGTCACCATGGCCAAAGGAACTGCATCCTCCCCAGCTACCGCGACGGCGACGCCCCCCTCTGCAGCCCTGAAGCGATCCACATCCAGCACGCAGAACATGAAGAACCAAAAGTCTATCCTGGGGTTCTTCCAGAAGTCGTCCCCTGCGACGCCGTCGAACGCAGCTCGCAGCGCGGACCCTGCGTCCTCGCCGGCACAGCGGGTGTCGGAGAACCGGGGCAAGGGAACAACAACAGCATCTTCGGCACAGAAGAAGAAAGGTCCGGCGAAGTTCGCACAGAATCTGACCCCCGTCCCGAGTAGTGACCTAATCATTCCTGAGGAGGAAGAGGAGGGGGAGGGGGAGGAGGAACAAGAGACAGAGACGACGCCCAAGGCTGACGCGGCGTCGACTTCACCTTCTCGCCGAGCCAAGAAGCAGGTCAATTATATTGAGTCGGACTCGGAAGGCGAAGATGATGATGAACAGATATTCCGTCCCGGTCGGAAAAACGCTGCCCGAGGTCAAGCAAACAAGCGAGTGAAACTGTCTGCCGATAGCGATGAGGAATTCGAACAGAAAGATGGAGACGCTGGATACTCCGACGATGGTAAGTTTACCAGCTGAATCCTCAAGGGAGAGGGAACCTGCTCTGATTTGGTGGATAGAAATGGAGGATTTTATTGTTCCGGACGATTCGGATGAGGAAGCCAGACCGTCAAAGAAGCGCAAGAGACCAGCACAGCAGCCTGTTCGCAAGTCGACTTCACTTTCTGACCAGCCTGTCCCTCCATCTCCCGATGGTGATTTGGATCTCGAACTCCCAGAGGCCTCGACTGGAACAGCCTTGAAATGGGCGTACGACCCCGAGAACTCGGAGCCACGCAAGGCCAGACCGGCTGCTCCTGCAGCCCCGAAGACGCCGTCAAGCACTCGCAAGGAGAAAGCACATGTCAGAGAGCCTGAAGACAGGTATCCTTGGCTTGCCAATCTTCGGGACATGGATGGCCACGCTCCTGACCATCCGGATTACGATCCTCGAACCATTTATATCCCACCATTGGCATGGTCTAAGTTCTCTCCCTTCGAGAAGCAGTACTGGGAAATAAAGCAGAAATTCTGGGATACGGTTGTATTCTTCAAGAAGGGAAAATTCTACGAGCTATATGAAAACGATGCCACCATTGGCCACCAGCTATTCGATCTTAAACTCACTGACCGCGTCAACATGCGCATGGTGGGTGTTCCGGAAATGAGTCTGGACCACTGGGCGAACCAATTCGTCGCCAAAGGCTTCAAGATCGCCAGAGTCGACCAGATCGAGTCTGCTCTCGGTAAAGAGATGCGCGAAAGAGATGGTAAGAAGGGCAACGCCAAAGAGGACAAAGTCATCAAACGCGAACTGGCCAGCGTTCTGACAGCGGGAACTCTCGTTGAAGGGTCAATGCTTCAGGATGACATGTCGACCTACTGTGTTGCCATCAAGGAAGCAATTATCGATGAGCTTCCTGCTTTTGGCCTGGCATTTGTCGACACCGCGACAGGCCAGTTCTTCTTGTCTGAGTTTGTTGATGATGTCGACATGACCAAATTCGAAACCTTTGTCGCCCAGACTCGCCCTCAAGAACTGCTCTTGGAAAAGTCTACCGTATCGCAAAAAGCCATGCGTATCCTTAAGAACAACACTGGCCCGACAACCATCTGGAACCATATGAAGCCCGGAAAGGAGTTCTGGGAAGCTGATATCACGGTGAAGGAGCTTGACGCCAGCAAGTATTTTGTCTCCGAAGATGACGAGAACCTCACCGCGTGGCCAGAGGTTCTGCGGGCAGCCCGTGACAAGGAGCTGGTCATGTCCGCCTTCGGAGCCTTGGTGCAGTATCTCAGACTGTTGAAGTTGGACCGTGACCTGATTACCATCGGCAACTTTACCTGGTATGACCCGATCAAGAAGGCCTCCAGCCTGGTCCTCGATGGCCAAACTCTGATCAACCTCGAGGTTTTTGCCAATTCGTTCGACGGTGGCATAGACGGAACTTTGTTCCAGCTTCTGAACCGTTGCATCACGCCCTTTGGAAAGCGAATGTTCAAGCAATGGGTATGCCACCCCCTTATGGACAAACAGAAAATCAATGCCAGGCTCGACGCTGTTGATTCTCTCAACGCCGATTCGAGCATCCGTGATCAGTTTTCCGGATGCCTGGCTAAGATGCCGGACCTCGAAAGACTGATATCGCGAGTCCATGCCGGAAACTGCAGGGCACAGGACTTTGTGCGGGTCTTGGAAGGGTTTGAGCAAATAGACTACACCATGAGCCTGCTCAAGGAAAGTGGCTCTGGTGATGGCGTTATTGGCCAGCTTATCAACGGCATGCCCGACATGAGCTTATTGCTAGAGTATTGGAAGACCGCCTTCGATCGCGCCAAGGCCAAGGAGAACGGCATCTTGGTGCCGGAGCCTGGCGTCGAAGAAGACTTCGACAGCTCCCAGGGGTACATCGAGGAACTTCACCAGGAACTCGATAACTTGTTGAAGAAACACCGTCGAGAGCTCGGCTCAACCGCCATCTGCTACCGCGATAACGGCAAGGAAATCTACCAACTGGAGGTTCCGATCAAGGTGAAAAATGTCCCAAAGCACTGGGACCAAATGTCTGCCACAAAGCAGGTGAAGCGATACTACTTCCCAGAGCTGCGGTCCCTCATCCGCAAGCTGCAAGAGGCCCAGGAAACACACAGTCAGATTGTGAAGGAAGTTGCTGGACGATTCTATGCGCGATTTGACGAGAGTTACATGACCTGGCTTGCTGCTGTGCGGATAGTCGCCCAGCTTGACTGCCTGATCAGCTTGGCCAAAGCTTCATCGTCGCTTGGCCAACCGAGTTGCCGGCCGGTGTTCGTTGAGGACGAACGTAGCGTCCTGGAATTCGAGGAGCTGCGTCACCCTTGTCTGATCACTGCCGTGGAAGACTTCATCCCTAACGATGTGAAGCTGGGCGGGGAGCGGCCCAATATCGACTTGCTCACTGGTGCCAACGCGGCCGGAAAATCCACAGTTCTTCGCATGGTATGTGATCTTTCGCTCTTTCATTGCTCCTGGTTTACTAGCCCAAACTCTCATGCTAACCTTTTTTTCCAGACTTGCGTTGCTGTTATCATGGCGCAGATCGGCTGCTACCTCCCTTGCCAATCGGCACGTCTCACCCCAGTCGACCGTATCATGTCTCGGCTGGGAGCAAACGACAACATCTTTGCCGCGCAGTCGACCTTCTTCGTGGAGTTATCCGAGACGAAGAAGATTCTGTCCGAGGCGACGCCCCGGTCGCTGGTGATTCTCGACGAGCTGGGCCGCGGGACGAGCTCATATGACGGAGTCGCCGTTGCGCAGGCGGTGCTGCACCACGTCGCGACGCACATTGGAGCGCTGGGATTCTTCGCCACGCACTACCACTCCCTCGCGGCGGAATTCGAGGGCCACCCGGAGATCGCCCCGAAACGCATGCGCATCCACGTGGACGACGAGGAGCGGCGCGTGACCTTCTTGTATAAATTGGAGGCCGGCGTGGCGGAGGGCAGCTTCGGCATGCACTGCGCGTCGATGTGCGGCATCTCGAATAAGGTCATCGAGCGGGCCGAGGTCGCCGCCAAGCAGTGGGAGCATACCAGTCGGCTCAAGGAAAGCTTGGAGCGACGCCGCGGCGGCGGACTCATCGGCTTGGGCTGGCTGAGCGATGTTGCCTGGGCGATCCGGGAGTCTCCCGGCGAGACCGGTGCCCAGAGCAATGATGATATAAGTGAGAGGGGGTTAGAAGTGTTGCTCAAGGCGATTGAAGCTCTCTAAGCTTCCTGTGGGAATTCGTGAATGGGGTCTTCTTTTTCTTCTTATAGTTGCATTTCGGCTGCATATGTTGATCTTACTGTACTGATCTAGAGTGACGTGCTAACAGCTATATAGCTTATAGTTATAGCTTCTAATGGCTGAGTCGGTGTTAATGGGCTACTTTTTCTGAATGCAATCGACGTTCTCTCTAAGCATGAAATACCTAGGTGGTTACGAGTAGTACTCCTTGCTCCGTAACAACTTGAAGTCAACGACTTGATTTTCTATGGCCATCTTGTGGCTAGATTAGACGCACTCGTGTGACGCCGTGATTCAATGAAGCAGCCAGGTAACTACCAATTGATAGCGAAGGTCCAGTTCGATGATCGTCAGACCAGCAAATGATCATCACTCCAGTGCCCTTCATCTGACATCCTCGAAGCAATCAATGCAAAAGAGAAGAAGAAGAAAAAAGAAATCCAAATCACAAATCAACGGCCGGTAGTTTACTATCAAAGCAAAGCGTTGTCACGAGGAAGCTTGTATTTTATCCCTGGAGTTCAGCCTTGACGGCAGTCTGGGCAGCTTCCATGGCTTCAAACTCGGCATCGATATCGATTTCTCCCAACAGTTCATTATCCTCGTCGATGTCGTAGTTGAAGAAGGCGGCGCTGGCGGCATTTTCATCGACCATTTTGTCATTCCCTGTGCCAGTAGTATTGCCATTGCCGTTGCTATCCTTGCCGGTACCGGTACTAGAACCTATTAGATTGATAGCTCTGCAAAAACAGTTACAGTGAAATAAACAAGGGAAAGGGAAAAGAATAGAAAAGAAAAATTTACCTGCGTGCGGCTTCCTTGGGAAGAATCTTCTTGGTAGACTTGCGCTGTCGCTTGGGCTTCTGGGTAGGGGTTACAGGCTGGTCGATGGTTGCCTCCTCGCCGCCAGCGGCTATCTCTTTAGGGGTGGATGTAGCGGGGGTCTTGCGCTTGCCTGAGCCTTTCTTAGGAGTGGCTTTGGGTCCTTCAATGTTACCACCGGTGGAAGAAACTTCTCCGTTCACGGCCACGGCAGCGTCAGGGTGCAGCTCGAAGAGCTTGCGCTTGGATTTCAAATACATGACGCTAGCAGAGGAGGCATTCTTGTAGCCACCGCGCTGGGCAAGCTTTTCGTAGTCGACCTGGTGTGAGTGTGTGTTAGTGGGCATCGCGGGGGCATTGATATGGATATAAGGTGCCATACCTTGGCGGCCTGTTCTCCGTTACAGAGAACACCGAGGATGATGAGTTTTGCCTCACTAGCTGAGAGCCCGAGGATGCTGTCAGGCTTCAGCTTGGAAGGAGTCGCCATGGCTTTGTTCTGGCTGACAGTGATAGAAGCTGTGGGGGGAATGACTGAAGGAGAAAAATATTGATGCTCTTTTAGAAATTAATGTTGGGGATAAGAGGTTAGAAAAGGCTGAGCAGGGGTGAAATAAAAAAAAGGATATAAGAAGGAGAAGAAAGGTAGGAGAGAGTGAAGTGAGAGAAAGTTAAACATAACATAACATGTTTAAGAGCATGCTGCAATAGCATACACTCTAGGCAAATTAATGAGGATATAGCGATGAGAAAGCCAGGGACTCCCCAAAACATCATTCACCATAGGGAATTAAAAAGAGAGGGGCAGGAGACATCGGTTTTCTTTTTTTTTTTTTTTATTAGAAGGTATATGTTTGCCTATTTCTTCGAGTTTGCCAGTATTTGCTTGAATACTGGCTCCCACAGCTCAGGATAGAACGCCGAGGAGTGTTTCTCCATCTTGCTCTCCTTCGAGGTATAGAATTGGCTCGTTGGTTTTCCCTGCCACCATTGATACGGCGCTGGGTTCACGTTCCTGAAACTGACGGGTCGCAGCAGGTCGCTGTCCGGGACGAGGTCGGCTAACTTCACATCTGCCCGTCGAGGGTAGGTGGTGAATCTCATTGTATTGATATGCAATATCGCATCTGGGGGCAAGTTCTTCGCGTATCGGAGCATCTGCTCACGAGACCGCCGCGCAGTCATCGGAAGACTGAGATGGATATAGTTGACAAAAGGAACAGCGGTATACCCCACAAAAAGCATCGGTATCGAGCCACAGACAATGACTGATAGGAAGTATTTTTTTTAGTGCTATACAGCAGTTTATACGAAGGGGGGCCTCTTACTCGCCGGAGCCATATACCAGGGGTGGTCGGCAGTCGCAAAGGCCGGCGCAAGAAACAAGCACGCCGCTCCGAAAATGAAGATTGTGGTGATTCGCAATGTCCCCAGCATCACGATCTTCCCTGCCCCTCCGTTATATATCAAAACACGTTCCGGCGGTCCTATAGCATCGTGATATCAGCATGCGGACGGTTCTTCCTACTCCAACCAAGCAGACTCACCTCGTCGTAACGTTGTCTTCGCATAAGTGGCCGGCGACATCTGGGTGATTGTGCCACCTAGAAAACTGGAACCCTCGGTCTTCGGAGGCGTTGACGACGCGCTGGACGCTTTCTCTTTCCCTCCTCGCCCGGCCTTCTGGGTCGTCTTGAAGCGGATAAAGAGTCGATTCACTAAATCACGCTGTGTCCACTGTGGCAGGGACCTCCGCCATTGCGGATGCAGCAGGATTAGTGGTCTCATTAATGGAATAGATCTAAGAAGACAGTTTAATCCACAATTGATTGTAATTAAGCTGTACAGAAGGGTACTACTGTTGTTGAAGCTTCGCGATAAGAAAATCCCCGACGCAGCTGGTTCACCGCCTGGCAGAATCCCGGGCCTGGATTATTATGAGACTCTTTGTTTGCCAACTAGTACTGCCTTGTGTTACATATTCGAGCGTCTACACCTCGAGAAAGGGGGAGAGAAGAGGTATTCTATTGTTTTTGTTCTTCAAAAGACGTAGAAGAAAGACGTTGCGTTCTGTCGAGGAGTGCGTGTCGAGCCCGCCATGACGGGATACCGTGGCCTTGTGCACACGCTGGTGGTGGTGATATACACGGTCTCGGTGTGGCTGGTTTCTCCCGGGGAAGCGTATCAAGAGGTGTCCGACAAGACGCTGCAAGGCCTGGCAGGCCCGCAGGATGATTTCGATATCCACAAGGGGGCGATCTTGTCTCCGATTCTGCGTACGCGGGTTCCCGGGACGGCTGGGTCGACGGCGGTGCTGAACCACTTTGTCGACTTCTTCCGGACGCAGCTACCGGAATGGACGATTGAGTTCCAGAACTCGACATCGACGACGCCCGTGACGGGATCGAAGGAGGTGCCGTTTATCAACTTTATTGCGTCGCGGGACCCGCCGTGGACGGGCAAGGGGGAAGCGGGACGACTGACGCTGGCGGCGCACTACGACAGCAAGTACGAGCCGGAAGGGTTCATCGGGGCGATCGACAGTGCGGCGCCGTGTGCGATGATCATGCATGCGATGCGGAGCATCAACGCGGCGCTGAGTCGGAAGTGGGAGACGATGCAGGCTGCCGCAGGCGGGCCGGACCCGTTGGACGAGCAGACGGGGATCCAGGTGGTGTTTCTCGACGGCGAGGAGGCCTTCCAGACCTGGACGGATACGGACTCGCTGTACGGGGCGCGGTCGCTGGCAGAACACTGGGCGGACGAGGCTCACCCGGCGATGTCGACGTTCCGCACGCCGCTGTCGGCGATCAGCCTGTTCATGCTGCTGGACCTGCTGGGAGCCAAGGACCCGAGCATCCTGTCCTACTTCCCGACCACGCACTGGGCGTACCAACGTCTGGCAAGGCTGGAGCAGCGGTTGCGCGAGGGGAAGAAGTTCAAGTCGCCGCCACCCACGGGTCGGTCCTGGTTCCTCGACGGCAGCAAGACGGAGCACCAGATCGAGCCGTGGCTCAACATCCAGGACGACCATGTGCCCTTCCTGAGGCGCGGGGTGGAGGTGCTGCACGTCATCGATGCCAATCCGCGGACTGGATTCCCCAAGGTGTGGCATACGCTGGACGACGACGGCGAGCACCTGGACACGAACACGGTGGAAGACTGGAGTACCCTGGTGACTGCGTTTGCTGCCGAATGGATGGAGCTGGAGGGGTACTTTGAACCACGCAAGGCGAAGCGATGGGAGAAAACCGAACTGTAAGCCAGGTCCTGTATCAGAATATTTCTATGAACTGATCAAATAGAACGGGTTTATAAGAGTCTATGCTATACAATCTATTTTCTAGAAACATCGAAAAGATGACAGGCTAAAGAGTACACTACCAACTCCCCAACATATACCCCGCCATGGCACACACCCCCCATGAAGGCTGCAGGACGGAGCGCAGAATAGCCGGACCAGGACAGACACCCGACCACCCCCATGCCAGACCGAAGACGGCCGCTCCAGCTACGAAGCGCCAGTCGATATCTTGCACCGTGGCGGTGGGGAGACTCCAGGAGTCCGTCAGGGTGGGAGGGTGATTTTCTTTCTTCACCAGTGTGGATTTATGATAAGAGACCATCAAGGGGAGGATTCCAAAGACGATGACCAGGGCGAGGGAGGGATCGAAGCGCGAAGGATCGGCGAGGAAAGCAAAGAAGGCACGGACTTTGGCTGGATCCGCCATTCCGGTGATGAACAGGCCGAGCCCGAATTCCAGACCGGCAAGAAAGGAGACGAGGGTGGTTGCCGAGCGAGGTTGAGACTTGGTTTGTCTTTTGAATATCCGCGGGACGAGGGCGTTGACGAGCGGGGCAAGAACTGCCGTGACGAGCATAAAGCCCAGCTCCGGACTGGACGGGTAGACGGGTGTATAGCAGGGGAATCCCTTGCAGTGGTTGAATTGGTTCGCGCCCAGTAGATGGCCTATATTTGCCGTGAGGAGTCCGACAGAGAAGAAGATGGCGGTGGCGATCAAGGAGCGAGGAGAGAGACGAGAGACACCGCAAAGCATATGGCCGGAGGTACAACCACGGCCGTTCTGACAGTCAGCTATAGTCAGCTATACTCAATGCTAGATACTGAATACTAAATAAATGAATGTTATTCCCACCTTTGTCCCCCATCCGAGAAGAGCCCCCAATACGACAGCTGAAACGATAGATCCACGAGAGAGGAGCGGGTAGGAGGGGATCAACCCCGGAGCAAACAGATAGACAGGCAAAGCACTCGCCGCCAAACCAGAGATGACAGATAGATTGTCTGCATCTGGGCGATGGAGAGAGCCTGCCAGAAGGGAGGAGATGCCAAACACGCGGCCGGTGTGGGTGAGGAGGGCGTCTGCGCCGGCGTACAGGAGGAGAGCCCCCAGGGAGGTGTGAGGGGTGAACATCACAAGAAATCAATAAGAAATAAGAAACTACTGAAAGATGAAAGATGAAAGAATGAAGATATACTGAAAAGAAAAACTCAATCCAAGCACTCACTCCTAAGTACTTGACGGCTTCCATGGTAAGTTCATCTTGGCCCACTGAAGCCCGAAGCCCGCAGTCGCCGTTTAGAGGTCCCCGAATTCTTGAACATAGAAGTTCTATCTTACTATATCGTATATATATGCTTTATCTTATATTTTTATTATGTCTTTACTATGAGTACTATATGTAGTATGAAGTATGTAGTATTACTAGTAACTACATCGTACTACAAGTGTACCTGCATTAGTGAGACTAAGAATAATTCATTGCTATAACTAGTAACTAGTAATTACTCCGTATACTATATGCTTGATATAATATTCTATATTGATGCCTCGACCGTTATTCAAGAATATATAGAGATGAGGTACTAATAATTCGTCTTGGTCTATTCTATTTATTATAAGTAGAATAGTAGTAGAGGTATAATTAAGTCTATGGTTTTATAGCAGCATATTTCCAGGCTTGAGTGCATGTACCTAATACCTACTTCCCCCATTATTATCTAGCGATTAGGTAGCAGGTACCAGTTAGCAAGTCTACGTACACCTGGATAGCAGGAGTTCACTACAGCACCAAACGTTTATATCGAGGATTATAACCTTACATACTGACCAGAACCCCTTCTATCTCTATACAGGATACTTTCTGCAAGGCATACTCCAAGAAGAGCGGTGAATGCTGCAGGTGATTCTACCTGCTTATCTTCAGGATCGGAGTCCGTGGGAGGCCGAATGAGTCACTGTCTACGAGTATACACGAATTACAGAGTACTACTATTAACTATTACTGAGTATGAGTATGAGTCTAATAAGGAAATATTCTATAGCACTCGTAGTAAAATAAGACATAGTGATGGTAGAGACCGGCTTCAATAACTGCATCTGAACAATAGCTCCGATACTCCGAGCTATGAAGCAATGGATCAATGGATACAATAATATGGATCATTGAATGGATACTAATACTACCTCAGACTCATCATAACCAGTCAAAATCGTCAGATTCTCCTCGCTTTCACTCAACATCGAATAAAATCCCCCCTCTTCGTATCCACCGCTCGATAACGCCAGCTTCCCCGCCTCCCACGAGCTTCTCCTTGACGCTCTCTGGCCCAGCTTCTAATCTCGCCCGTTCGCTGCGTCTCACTCTCACTCTCTCTACGCCATGCTCTCTTCTCTTCACCCTCTCCTTTTCCCTTCTTCTCTTCACCCTCTCCTTGTCAACCCTCGAGGACCATGATCCCCCCCCCGACGGCCTCTCTGCTGACGGGCGTCCTGGGCCTCGTCCTGGTCGCCCTCCCCTCCGTCCCCTCGGTGAAGAGTCTCCTCGTCCGCTGCACGCGTTCCAAGCTGCTCGAGGATGTCTCGCGTCTGGCTCGCGACGAATACAGCGATGAGGACGGTGAGGCCACAGAGGAGTCGCTGCGTGCCTTCTCCGACCGCTGGCAGCGATACTCGATCGCCCTGTTGACCGTCGTCGGTTTGCTGCTGTCCATCGCTCTGGCTGTCCTGCATACCGTCTTTTCTCGCCACTTGCTCGTTCAATTCTGGCTTCTCGCTGCTATCTGGGTGAGTTGAATAGTAATTGTTTTCATTTTCTCCATTTAATGCTGATTTTTTAGATTCTTCTCACGGTTCAGGCCGTCGCTCTACTGACCGAGCCCTTTCCAACCCGTCGCTATGCCCTGGCCGGTTTGTCCTTCTGGGCTTGCGTCTTTGCCATCCTCACCCCATGTGCTGAATTCTATATCTTCTGGAACGCCGGGTTGTCTGTTTCGCTCGACAACCGCTCGACTGCCTTGCTGCTCGCTCAGCTGGGGGTCGTCGTGCTGCGCGCCCTGCTGTGCCTGTGTCTGCCGCGCCGCCCGCAGGTCTACAAGGACGGCGTGGTCGTCGACCAGCAGTTCTCCGGCTCGGCCCTCAGTCGGTATACCTTCTCCTGGGCGACTCCCACCCTCAAGTACGCTGCCGCCCATAGATCGCTGGACATCGACGCCCTGCCCACCCTCAACGCCGACACTCACTCCCACCTCCTCCGTGCCCGCTTCGAGCAGAGCCGCGGCTCCAGGAAGAACCTTTGGATCACCCTCCTCGCTACCCATTCCCCCACCCTGATTCTGCAGCTCTGCCTCACCGTCTTTTCCTGTCTGCTGAGCTTCGCTCCGCAGACCGCCCTCTACGGCATCCTCACCGCTCTCGAGGCCCGTGGAGACAGTCTCTGGGAGACCTGGGCCTGGGCCCTCGCCCTCGGTTTCTCCATGCTGCTCTCCACCTCCGTCGATGCCTGGCTTTTCTGGATCTGCTGGTCCCGTCTGGGTGTCCCCATCTACGCCGAACTCTCGGCCGTCGTCTTTGCCAAGTCCATGCGTCGCAAGGATGTCAAGGGGGCAAAGAAGGGCAAGGGAAACAAGAATGAATCCGACAAGAAGCTAGAGAACGGTACTTCCCGTGAGGAGGAAGACGGCGGCGATGACGATGACGAGGAGCAGATGAAGAAGAGTCGCCAGAGCATCATCAACTTGGCCGCCGTCGATGCCCGTCGCATCGCTGACTTTGCCGCATCCAACTTCATGATTCCCTCCTCGATGCTCAAGATCGTCATCGCCTGTGTCTTCCTCATCCAGATCATCGGCTGGAAAAGTCTATGCGCCGGCCTGGCCGTCTCCCTCATCGTCACTCCCGTCAACGTCCAGCTGGCCAAGCGCTACTCCAACGCCCAGGACAATCTGATGAAGTACCGTGACCTGAAGATGGCCGTCGTCACCGAGGCCCTGCAGGGCATCCGCCAGATCAAGTTCTCCGCCCTCGAGCCCCAGTGGCAGCGCAAGATCGGCGAGACTCGCAACACTGAGCTGAAAGCCCTCTGGGCCTCCTTCTTCTACGACATTGGCCTCATCACCATCTGGATCCTGGGGCCTCTGATGCTCTCCGCCGTCTCCCTCGCCGTCTACGCCACCCTGAACGGCGAGCTCTCCGCCTCCGTCGCCTTCACCGCCATGTCCATCTTCGGTTCCCTCGAGATGTCTCTCGCTTTCCTGCCCGAGCTCATCTCCAACGGTCTCGAGGCCAAGATCAGCTCCGACCGTATCGACAAGTATCTCGACTCTGAGGAGAAGGTCACCACCACCGTTCCCTCCGACTCCATCGCCTTTGAGAATGCCTCAATCGCCTGGCCGGCCGAGGAGGAGTCGGAAGAAACGAAGGATGGCACCAACGAGACTACCACCGAGAATCACAATCACGATGAGGAACGCTTCACCCTGCGCAATCTCAATATTCATTTCCCCCAAAAGGGTCTCAGTATCATCTCCGGCCGTACGGGCGCCGGGAAGAGTCTGCTGCTGGCTTCGATCCTGGGCGAGTGTGATATCCTCGACGGGACCGTCAAAGTGCCCGTGCCCATGCCCCTCGAAGAACGGTTCGACGACCTGGCCAACACCGAAAACTGGATCATTGACCGGGCGATCGCCTACGTTGCGCAGATCCCCTGGATCGAAAACGCGAGCATCAAGGACAACATCCTCTTCGGTCTCCCCTACAACGAGGCTCGCTACCGCAACGTGCTCTTCGCCTGCGCCCTCGAAAAGGATCTCGACATGATGCCCGACGGCGAGCTGACCGACATTGGCGCCAACGGCGTCAACCTGAGTGGCGGCCAGCGCTGGCGTATCTCCTTTGCGCGCGCCCTCTACTCCCGCGCCGGGATCCTCGTCATGGACGACATCTTCAGCGCCCTGGACGCCCACACGGGCCGCCATGTCTACGAGCATGCCCTCACCGGTCCCCTCGGCCAGAACCGTACCCGGGTCCTGGTCACCCACCACGTCGCCCTCTGCCTGCCCCGCACGGATTACTCGGTCCTCCTCGAGGATGGGCGGGTCAAGCACGCCGGCACCATCGAGGACCTCAAGAAAACTAACAGTCTGGCTGACATCCTGCGTCAGGAGGAAGAAGCCGAGCGCGTCGACCACACTGCAGACCAAGACCAGGACTTTATCGACGAGGAAACTACCCTGCAAAAGGTCATCTCAAACCGTTCCCGCCGCCGTAGCTCCGCCATTCACGGCAACGGTACTACCCCCGCGACGACTGTTGATACCGCCGCGCATGCCGCGCCCAAGGACGACTCCAAGCCCAAAAAGTTCACGGAAGACGAGAAGCGTGAGACTGGTGCCATCAAGCTAGCCGTCTACCTGGCCTACCTACGCAAGGGAGGCTCCTGGCCCTACTGGCTCCTGGTCATTTCCGCTTACGTGGCGTACGTGACTTTAATTGTCGGCAGAGTAAGTTGAAGCATTCTACTCTACTTTTTTTTTCTTCCTTTCTTTCTTTCTTTCTGTCTTTCTTTCTGTCTTTCTTGATATGCTAATTTTCAGTCATGGTGGGTCAACATCTGGACCAGCCATTCGCAGACACAGTCTGCCCCGGAGCAGTACCTGACAGTGATGACGGAGGCGATGAACCGCCTGGCCACCGTGGAGACAAGCGACGACTTGCCGCTCTACCTGGGTGTGTATGTTGGCCTATCGATCCTCGCGTGCGGGATGGGCACGGCGCGGTACTACCTGGTACTGTCGGCTGCGGTGCGGGCGGCGCGCAACCTGTTCGAGGGGCTGACGTTTGCGGTGCTGCGTGCGCCGCTACGCTGGCTGGACACGGTGCCGCTGGGCCGCATCCTCAACCGGTTCACCGCCGACTTCCACGCGATCGACTCGCGCATCGGCTACGACATTGGCTTTCTCACCTACAAGACCCTCGAGGTGATGGGCATCATGGTCGCGGGCATGCTGGTCTCGCCGCTGCTGATCATCTTCGCCACCATCCTGCTGGCGGTGTCGTTGAAGCTGGCGCTGACGTACCTGGGCGGAGCGCGCGAGGTGAAACGGTTGGAGAGCACGGCCAAGAGCCCCGTCTTCGAGCAGTTCGGATCCAGTCTCGTCGGCCTGATCACCATTCGCGCCTTCACCAAGGCCGACACCTACATCAACATCATGTACGGCAAGATCAACCGGCACGCGCGGGCCTGGTACAATCTGTGGCTGTTCAACCGGTGGCTGAGCTTCCGGATGAGCGTCATCGGCGCCATCTTCACGGTCGTCACGGCCTCGCTGGTCGTCTACTTGCCGGGAATCAGCGCCTCGTTGGCAGGGTTCGCCCTCAGCTTCTCCCTGCAGTATAGCGGCTCTCTAGCCATGCTGCTGCGCCAGTGTGCCAACATCGAGCTGAACATGAACGCCACCGAGCGAGTGATCGAGTACTCCAACATTGAGATCGAGAGCCAGGACGGCGCCGACGCCCCCGCCGCGTGGCCCACAGAGGGTCGCCTGGAGGTCGAGGACCTGGTCGTGGGATACGCTCCCGATCTGCCCGCCGTCCTGAACGGACTCTCCTTCACGGTGGAGAAGAACCAGCGGGTCGGGGTGGTTGGGCGCACGGGCGCGGGCAAGTCGTCGTTGACCCTCGCCCTGTTCCGGTTTCTCGAGGCCCGCAGCGGCACCATCTCCATCGATGGCATCGACGTGTCCAAGATCAAGCTGCACGACCTGCGCAGCCGGCTGGCGATCATCCCGCAGGACCCCGTGCTCTTCTCCGGCACGGTGCGCTCCAACCTCGACCCGTTCAACGAGTACACGGATTCAGAGCTCTACGATGCCCTCGAGCGCGTGCATCTCATCTCGGCGAGCGAGAACGAAGCCCTCTCGCAGTCTGCTACCCCTGCGCCGGGCTCCGCGACGCCCGTCTCGGGTGCTGCCTCGACAGCAGCACTACTGGTCAAAAACACCAACATCTTCGCGTCGCTGTCGTCCCGCATCTCCGAGGGCGGGCTGAACCTCTCGCAGGGCCAACGGCAACTCCTCTGTCTTGCACGGGCGATCGTCGCCCGCCCCAAAATCATGGTCCTCGACGAGGCCACCTCCGCCGTCGACATGGAGACCGACGCCCTGATCCAGCAGTCTATCCGGGCCGAGTTTGGCCGCAACGCGACCACCCTGCTGGTCATCGCGCACCGCCTCAGCACCATTGCCGACTTTGATCGCATCCTCGTCATGGACGCCGGCCGGGCGGCCGAGTTTGGCTCCCCGCGCGAACTGATGGCCATCCCGGATGGCATCTTTAAAAATCTCGTCGAGAATAGTGGCGAGAAGGCTGCTCTGGAGGAAACCATTCTGAATTGATGTATTAAAATTGTGACCATCCATACTAACTAGAATTATACTATTTATTATCCTCAGTATCCCATACTCCGTATTCACATCCATACTCCGTACTAACATCCATACTAGCCGACATCCATACTAACTAACATACCAACACCCCAAGTAAGTCAGAGACCAAGCGTCCGAATGTAACAAGGTAAGTGCCGAACGCGTCTTTCATCCTCCCCAGTCCAGACCCGCGCGAGCCCTTGAGCCATCCATGGAAGAACGGAGAGCCGCGCGCAGCTCTGGCGGGAATATCAAAAAGAGCACACTGGTTTCATCATCTAGGTGGGTTAGACTCATCATATAAAGGAATGCGAGAGTGGGGGAGGGCAGCAAGGCTTACTTGTGTAAAACTTGGAAGGATGAAGAAGAGAAAATTATTTGTGGTGGTGCGTTTTTTATATGTGTGCTTATGTAATGTTTGTCATGTGATATAGTCACATGATTATTGATATCACATGATATCACATGACTTCATCATCACTATCAGTCTATCAGTCTATCAAATGAATCATGTAGAAGTCTCTCACCGTATCTCAGCATGCTCGCCAGGGTGTTGCAGGCGTCACGCGTTGCCAGGCCTGCGGGCTTCAGAGTCTGCAGCAGACAATGGACTCCTGGCCTTGGGACTGGGTTCCATGCGCTGAGCTGTCGGCAGGATGCTCGCTTGGAGCAGTATAAGAAGGCTGGTACGTTCTCTTTACCATACAGAGATTGTACAGAGATTGTACTACATGGAGACTGTTGCAGATATTAACGATTATAGTTGACTTCCCCTCTGCATCCTCGTTCGAAAGCCTCCGCCAGGCCACCCCCGGCGAACAGATTGTTCTACATGGATATCTTGGCCCACGCGCGGATCTCTCCAAGAAGCTCTCCTTTGTGCGTCTGACGGACCCGAGCATGGCGCAGAGCGTGCAGATTGTCTCGTCGGCGAAGAATGCGGTCGCGTTCGACGCCCTGCGCTCCGTTTCGGCCAACAGCCCGGTCGCGGTGAGGGGGATTGTACAGCAGAAGAAGAGCAAAAATGCAAAGCAAAAAGAAGAAGGAGAAGCAGAGGACACACTGGAACTCGACCTGGTGGATATATACCCGCTGAATTCCTTCCCCAAGGATCTCATCATGACGCCCGAGACGGTGTTCCCCCCCGAGCAGCGCTACCTGCAGCTTCGATCGGACAGCCAGCTGCGGGACGCCCTGCGGTTCCGTGCCCAGGTGCAGAGTCTCTGCCGCGCCGAGCTACAGGCGAGCACGCCGGGGTTTGTTGAGATTGAGACTCCGCTGCTCTTCAAGTCGACGCCCGAGGGGGCGCGAGAGTTCCTCGTTCCCACGCGCCGGAGGGGGCTGGCATACGCCCTGCCCCAGAGCCCGCAGCAGTACAAGCAGATCCTCATGGCCAGCGGTATCCCGCGGTACTTCCAGTTCGCGCGCTGTTTTCGTGACGAGGATCTCCGCGCGGACCGCCAGCCGGAATTCACACAGGTAAGCTACTCCCTCACGTTTTGTCTTGCCGTGTTTCCTTTTCCTTTCTCATTTTCTATTGACAGCTCGATATGGAAATGTCGTTTGCAACCGGGGAGGACGTCATGCGCACCATCGAAGGAGTTATCCGCCGACTCTGGACGACACTCATGCCAGACCCGGTCCCTGCGGGCCCGTTCCGCAGAATGCCTTACCAGGAGGCAATGGCCCGCTACGGCTCTGATAAACCGGATACCAGGTATGGCATGGAGATCTCGCAGATCGACCATCTCCTTCCCGCCGACCTGGTCAGCAAGATCACCTCTCTACCCGTGAGCGACAACCCGGTGGTCGAGGTATTCAAGGTGGAGAGCCACGATAACGACCCGGCGGCCACCCTGGAGTTTGTTCGCGGCTTCTTCGACTCTAGCGCCGGGGGCCCCTTCAACCAGAATCCGGAGGGGGCGCCGGGCATATTCATCTACGATGCTAAAAAGCCCCTCTGCGGCCTGCAGCCATTGGGCTTCGAGGCCGCCGAGCGTATCGAGGACATGCTTGAGCCCGACCATGGCGACCTCCTCGTCCTGCAGGCTCGCCGGCGGGCGCCCTTCGCTGGCGAGGGCGCCACCGTGATCGGCGACCTGCGGCGCGCACTGCACTCCGCCGCCGTGGCCGCGGGACGGGCACCGGCCCCCTCTGGCTTCGACTTCCTCTGGGTGGTCGACTTCCCGCTCTTCTCGCCCGAGTCGGCCGTCGAACCGGGCCAGGGAGGCCGCGCAGGCATCCGCGCCACGCACCACCCCTTCACGGCGCCCAAGACGGCGGCCGACGTCGACCTGCTCCTGACCGACCCCACGGCCGCAACCGCCGACCACTACGATCTGGTAGTCAACGGCGTCGAGCTCGGCGGTGGGAGCCGGCGTATCCATGACGCCGTCGTCCAGGAATTCATCTTCCGGGACATCCTGCAGATGCCGTCTGCTCGGCTGGACGACTTTGCCCACCTGCTCGACGCCCTGCGTGCAGGATGTCCGCCCCACGCGGGCCTGGCACTCGGATTCGACCGGCTGGTCGCCGTCATGCTGGGCAGGGACTCTGTCCGCGACGTGATTGCCTTTCCCAAGACTGGGCGGGGGGAAGACGCGCTCGTCAAGGCGCCGAGCATGATGACCAGCGAGGCTTTGCGGACTTATAATCTGCGATTAGACTAGTGTATCACTGTAGATCATGTATATCAACCATGTATAATAAATAGAACATCTCAGCTGTATAAACTTGTGAACCGTCTGGTGGAGAAGGATTCCAGGTGGCCATAGCTTCTCCGAAAGCACGGTACTTCTCCAATAATTATTCATTCTATCTCTACCTTCCTTCTACTCATCTCTAATTATTTCTAGTACTCATACACCTCATCCATCATGGCAACTCTCACCCAAGACCAAATCAAAACCCTCGAACAAACTCGCCAGCGTCTCACCCAACTTACGCGTTCGTTGGGATCTCTCGTCGCAAGCCTGAACCAAAGCGACCCTCTCCCATCATGGTAATAACCATTCATTCAATAGACGGATATATATATATATATATATATTTACGACTAATTAATAGGACCTCGCTCCAATCCCAAGCAAGCATCATCTCGAATAACCTCCTCTCCGCCTCGGAACAACTAAGCGCGAACCAAGACCTGCTGAGTTCGATCGTCGCCTACCCAGGACCGGAATACCCCGCGTCGACACAAGCGAGAAGCACCCTCGAGCAACTGCTACGAACGAAACTGGACCCACGCGTCGACGACTGGGTAGGGAGAGGTCGGACCCAGGCTTCGGGCGTGGGTGATTCCGAGGCAGCGGATATGGCGGAGCTGTGGGCGTGGGCGCCCATCGAAGCGAACCAGGAAGCCAGACGAAGGAATTGGGGCGGGAACTTCACACTCGAGGAACGGGAGATGGGGATCGAGAATGTGGTGACGGGGTTGAAGAGGGAGTTGGAGGATGACGATGACGAGGAAGACGAGGAAGATGAAGATGAAGACGACGACGAGGATCGGGATGGAGGCAACGCGGCAGAGGGCGAGATGGAGATCGTGGGTGCGCATCGCAGGTCGGGCGGCGGGCTCGAGTTCGATCTTGCGGTGCCTCCGAAGATGATGGCGCCCGAGGTGCCCTTGGACGGTATCTTGAGGTTTATGACTATGGGGCAGGCGCCAAAACAGAGATGATTGCTTGAATCTACACGAGACACCCTGTATACTGATTAATTGTATACTTGTGATTCCGTACTAAAAGTTGGTATAAAGACTAGACTAATACATGGAAGAATGGGACGAATAAAGAGTTGGAAATCACTACCCGCGTCGTCGAGTAGTGGGACTCTTGCCAGACGGTTTGGGAGAAACACCAGTGCTCTCCGCCACAGGGGCCTTCTGGACAGCCTGTTTGACTGGCGCCTTGCCAGTCGGTTTCTTCGGCGCAGGGCTCCTCCAGTAATATACCATCTGCGCGGCCAGGACGACGTTGAGCGTAAAGGCCGTGACGAACGAGTAGAGGATCAGCTTATCATCCACTTCCTGCAGGGTGGTGAAGATACGCGACAGGGAACCGACGAGGTAGTTGAACACCTACCAGTGGATTAGCATGGTCTGAACAAGTGAAAAAAAAAAAAAGAGAGAAAAGAAAAAACATACTGCGAATGCGCTCAACTGTCCGGTTCCACCCTGCTGCCAGATGGTGAGGATCTGAGGCACTTTACTGGCAACGCTGAGCGCGCCCGCTCCAGCCTGCAAGTACGCCATGGTCTGCGCGTCCACAAGGTTCGAGTCGAAGAGCAGAGCATACACGCCCGCCGCAAGGATAGCCACAAAGGTCGCCGCAGCCGCCGGTTTGCCCGCAAAGGTCAGCACCAGCACCGCCACCACCACATCCTGCACGGCAATCAAGGCCGACTCGCCGTACGTGCTGAAGGGGAACTGGTTGCGCACCCCGTACGACAGAGTGATGAGGAGACTGGTCGTCTCCAGGGCGTAGGACACAAACGAAACACCGGCCGACGAGCGAGACTGGACCAGCTTCAGGATCTGCGGCACCTTGACGATCGCACTGGCACCCACGATCGCTATCCCCAGCGCCTTGGAGATCGCCAGCGACGTGCATGCCGGGTCCTCAGTCACATCCAGGTCCAGCAGCAGGGCGCTGTGGCAGGGCGCCCCGATGAGCGAAATCACGGCGTCGTGCACAGGTTCGGGGAGGGCAGACACGATAGGCCGCAGCACCGGCTGCAGGGGATGAATGACAGCCTGCTGAAGGACGTCCATGATGCAGAGAGTCTCCTGTGGTGGTCTGTAGATGGTCGTGGCCTGTAGCACTGCAGGGCTTAATAACAACTGGTATCTCATTTCCTTCCAAAAAGATGCCAGGCCACTTGGGAGCTGCACACCGCCCTGGCCACCGCCCGTGGATTTTCTCCCACGGGATCTGGAAGGGAAAACCGGCCAAAGACAGGCTGGAGAAGCCCAAGTGGGAACGACGACGGACGACTGCTCTTCGACTCGCGGCGTTGTCCATGCCCACGCCGCCATGATGGTCCTGCGGTCCTCGCTCCTGAGGCCAGCGATGGCTTGGGACTCGATGCTGATGAGCTCACGGTCTCGGGTGTGCCGGGTGTCTGCCGCCCGCGGTTTCATCTCCTCGACGGCTCTGCGGTCGGAGTCGCCCTCCTCGGTCCTTTATAAGACATACTTCTCGGCGAACAATTCGGCGGAGGCGCCGTCCGTGAAGAATGGGCTCTTTGCGAAGGTCTCGGCGGGAGGTGATGGCTCCGGTGTGGTCAATGGTACCGCCACCACTACCACTGCGGCTACGACTACGGCTACGGCTACGGCCACGGCTACGGCTACGGAGACACAATCAGTGCAGGAATTGCCTCATCGGCGAAGAAAGCGGTTAAAGGAAGAGGCAGAGAAGAACTCGGAAGAACAGACAATGGCTCCGGACGCCCCGGCGCGGTTGTCGGCGTACTCCTCGGCGCTTCCCACCACCTCCCTACGCCGTACACTGGCGGCGCTGCTTGCCTTGTGCAAGCCGAACCTCTCGTTTCTCATTGTCCTATCGACCACCTCAGCCTATGGGATGTACCCGATCTCCTCACTCCTCACTCTTGACCCAGCAATGACGCCCCTCCCCACCCTCTCGACATCGACCCTGACCCTGTTCTACCTTACCGCCGGCACGTTCCTCTCGTGCTGCAGTGCGAACACGATCAATATGCTTCTCGAGCCCAAGCATGACGCTAAAATGTCGCGCACACGGAACAGGCCACTGGTCCGGGGTCTTCTATCGACCCGCACGGCCATTCTGTTCGCCATAGCCACTGCCGCGTCGGGCCTGGGCCTGCTGTACATCGGAACAAACCCGACGACAACCGGTCTTTCGGCAGCCAACATTCTGTTGTACGGCTTTGTGTACACGCCTCTCAAGCGCGTTCACGCCATCAATACATGGGTTGGCGCCGTGGTCGGCGGAATCCCCCCACTGATGGGCTGGGTCGCCGCCGCCGGCCAGACCGCTACAACCGGCCACGACACATGGCGCGATATGCTGTTCAGCGAAGACAGTATCGGCGGTTGGCTGTTGGCCGGTGTGCTCTTTGCATGGCAGTTCCCGCATTTCAACTCCCTGTCGCATATCATCCGGGAGGAATACAAGGCCGCCGGCCATCAGATGTTATGCTGGAAGAACCCCGCCATGAACGCCCGCGTCGCCCTGCGCTACTCCATCCTCATGTTCCCCATCTCCATCGGTCTGTGGTGGGTCGGAGTGGTTGGCCACGGCTTCCTCGTTAGCAGTACCCTGGCCAACGGCTGGCTAGTCAAAGAAGCGTACAAGTTCTGGAAACACCAGGGTGCCAAGGGAACCGCGCGCGGCCTCTTCTGGGCAAGTGTCTGGCAGCTCCCCATCCTCATGGTCGGCGGCCTGGTGACCAAGAAGGGTCTCTGGGATGGTGTCTGGCAAAATGCCTTTGGTTCCGACCAACCCGATGACGAGGACGACGTCTACCTCGATGACGACGAGGAAGCTATCGAAGATGCTATTGCTGCCTCCATTCACAAACAAAAAGCCCTTTCGGTGGGACCTACGGCATAAACCTGCAGGAAAGCTTTTGCTTTTTTTTATTCTTTTGCTTTTTCTTGGAAAAGGGAGAAAAAAAAAAGAGAGAGAGATGCAATGTATACTCCTGCCGGGAGTATGACCCCACCACGGCGTTCTTTTGTTTCTTCTTCAAGTCTTGTATAACACAGCCGATAATGGAATCCCTGCTATATGTAAATACTTTACTCTACTGAGCATATCAACCAATTGAATCCATCACTTTAACCTATTACCAATGATCTTGGCTATACTCTCTTGTAGAGGCAAATAGACTGTTTTATATAATCAGGAAGGGGTCAACTGGTATTACAGGTAGAAACCATCTTCTCGACCTATGGTTAGCCTTCTATGAGTTGAAGAATACAGAGATGAATTACTAGTATATATCCGGCTATCATAAGGACTATGTTCATATGTCATGCTTCATCAGGAAATAGAATCAACCAGGGAGAAGGAAAGAAGACTGTTTTGAAACGCCAATACGCCTCATCATCTTGATAAATCGGTGGGGGGGTATGATTGCAGAGGCAAGGAGAAGACCGTGCTCGATACTAGCCAAAAAAGGAAAAAATTGATCGAGAAAATTCATAAGAGACTTGCCACAGGATGGGAAAATCGCAGTAAAGTAATAAAGTAAGAGAACAAGCTGCATGACTACTCATGCAGCGGCGGTGGAATCGGCACAGAATCAGGGTATTTGTCCTTCGAGTCGGTTTCCAGAGGAAATGACATCTGTGGTACGTTATCTGAATGAAAGACGGGCTTCATCATCTCAACAACGTCGCCTTTTGAATAGTATTCCGCCATTTGGGCCTGATATTCGCTAGGCTCGCTAGGCTCGGCAAAGTTGAATCCTTGGCTGTACTCGGCCGGCACGTTCCACTGCTCTGCGTTACCCCCGGGAGTCTGCTGGGGCACAAACTGGCCCCAGCTATGGCGCATACCGGGGGTGCTCATGGAAGTATCGTTCCAACGCGCGTACAAATGGCTGGTCTGTCTTCGTGCTCGTATCTTCCTGCGGCGCGAGCGGATGAAGAAGAAGCAGCAGACGGTAGTCGCGCATGCCAAAACAATGAATCCCAGGATGGGCAAGGCGATTAGGAGTGTTAGATCCTTCACACTCGATCCGGAGGTCGAAGTCGAGGTTCCGAGCGCGCTGGTTGTCGTCGGAAGGAGAGACTCCTTGAAGATGCGGCTAGGACTGATAGCAAAGGCTGAGCCGCTGGGGGTTCGGTAGTGGCAGTCATACCGGACAGCTTCAAGGACTAAAATTGCAAAAAAGAAGAAACATGATAGATTAGCTTACATCTCTCATATGATGGGCGGGGAAGAGCCTCGAACTCACAGTTAGCCATATAGATCTGATTAGTGGTTTCGTTGTAGCACGTTTCACACGAGGTGACTACATTATCCGCAAAGGCGGATGTCCCGCAGAAGCTGTCAAAGTTGTTCGCGCTCGGGCTTGTCAAGTCGAAGTCGAGCGCCGTCTTTAGTGAATAACATGTAACCACGCATGGTGTTGAGATATTGACGATTTTCTTTGGGTAATCGAAGATGCATGAGGTAAACGCGTAACGGAGATTATCTGAACGACCGTTAATTCCACCCAGCTGGAGAGAGAGAGAGAGAGTGAGAGTGAGAGAAGAGGGGGGAAAGAAGCATACATAGACCCCACGACACGTCGGCTTCTCCAGTAGTCGAATCGTAGTAAGTGCTATCCAACTGGCAAGAGACACATTCTTTGAAATCCTTGCCGACGGTAGTGGTGTTGAATTGCTTATCCAGACAAACGATCTCAGACCCGGTGGTATTAGTCGAGATCTTGGAGCAGACGTCTGTACACGGCGAGCCGCTTGTCGTTAATAATCCGAAACTTGTTGGTACAAGGCCTAAGAACAGTGTGGCGATGAAGGCGACGAGCCTTGAACGGAAGGCGCCCCAGGCGTCCGGCATTGTTGCGAAATTCCGCACACAGCTAAGGGAGATGGGCCGGGTGCCTCAGTGTGGTGAACAGCTTTGACATCGAAGGAAAACCAGCAGGTGAAGAAGCTGTAGCAATCGAGGCCAGCCAAGATCACCGCTCGTAGATATTGTAGCTCCAGCGACACACCAACAGCCGACACCGCGGATTGTTCTCAGACTGGTAATAAGGTAGTTTAATTAACACTGATCCGACGGATCAAACCACCGCACCATGAACATCTCCCGACTAAGCTTCCATGCACGATAAATCGACTCGGCTTATTCGCAGCGAGGGCCCGTCAACCACGCGCTATCATGTCGAGGGCGGATCCGGGCGCTACGAGAGCAGCTCGTAGAGGACGACGGCAGGCAGGACTACCCCACGGCCAGGGCGCCAAAAGCTCCATACTCCAGGAAGTGGTACGGTGGGTGCTCCATGGCTCGGCAGAGTGTGACGAGTGGGCGCCAGCAGCCCTGGTGATGGGACCGATTGTGACTGTGATACGAGCTGCAGGAAGGAATCTGCAGCGTTTCGCTTCGCGCGACAATGCGACTTTGGCTTCTCATTCGTTGTAGCCCCTCAGACTAGCACCGGTTGCTCTGGGCCAGCCAGAGGCCGAAGGCTGGCAGCACACAGATATACTAGGAATGGGTGGAACAGATCCATGGTAGTTAATAAGGAGGACAGGCTTCCACGCAGTTGAAAGGCGCAGGAGGTGGTTCCAGGCAGACTTCGCTCCTGTCAGGATCAATTAAGGAAGGTGGTGCTGTATGTGGCCTCAGGCACCGACATAAAATGGGATTACTAATATATTATATAATCGTTATATATGTCACGTGGTATGGACCAGCATCACGTGATATAATGGTCCCTTCCTTTCCACTCAGTGTCCACTGGGCCTTCCTTCCCTCTCGAGTCTCAACCACATCTTACGTCTCCTGCTTGTCGGATTGCTCGGCGAGTCTCTGCATTCTCCGCTCGACGTTGGTGACGTGATTGCGGAACTTACGCGCAGGAACCCGGTCGATGAACATCTCATCCAGCTCCTCATATGTCCGTCCGCTGGTCTCCGGCTGGTAGAAATAGAGGTAGATCAGGCAGAGAACAGAGAGGCCACCGTACACGAACGTCGTTTTTGCGCCTAGATTGGCCTCGTCTGGGTTGAAAAGATATGGCATCACAAAGCTGAACATGGTCTGAAGAAAGTACAAAGTATTATGGTTAGCTTGATACATGGCTTCCCAAGAGAGAGAGAGAGAGAGAGAGAGAAACTAGAAACACACGTAAAAGGCGTTCTGGACGGCCAGTCCGATGGAAGCCGTCTTGGCCCGTAGGCGGGAGGTTGATACCTCCGCGAGAAGATTGTACGCGGTGGCGCCGATGGTGATGTTGTAGACGAAGTCGTAAATCATCAACAGTGCAATCACACCCTTGACGTAGGACATATTCCCAGGCTGCGAGCCGAGACCTCCAGCGATCATGAGAATGACAATCATGGTGGTGACGCCGACCATGGTCAAATTACGACGGCCCACCCGGTCGACGAGGAACCAGGAGGTCATGTTGGCGGCCATGCAGATCACCGTGGCGCCGACCTGCATCTTGAAACTGGTTGCGGTGGAGATGCCTGCCAGCTGGATGTAGTAGGTCAGGTAGTTGATGATGAACAGGATGCCTACAAAGGCTTGAATCGACAAGGGAGCGATGCTGATGATCGTGCGGCGCAGATTGGACTTTTTGAAGCATTCCAAAAAAGTAACGCCTTCGGTCTCTTGCCGCACCTTTTCAAGGGTCGCTTTGATGGAAGCAATCTGGGCGTCAGTGCTCGAAGCGGGATGTCCAAGCCGACGCAGGGCATTAGCTGCCTTCTTATCCCTTCCTTGCCCGATGAGCCACCAAGGTGATCTAGACGCCGTTAACATGTTAAAAAGACTCCATCCATAAGATTATCTCTTACTCTGGCATAAACGGCAATCCCATCAGGCCAAGTGTCGTGACTGCGTACTGAGACACAAAAATCCCACGGTACGCCCAGCGGTTTTCCATCTCGCCATAGGCGTTCAGGATCAAACTGACGATGAATGGTCCAAGGGTGTATGACAAGCCCGCTGCCGCCGTAGTCACACCACGAAGTGATTTAGGGGAGATCTATTTATCAAACATCCTTAGCTATACTTCTTCTCTTTTTATCTTCTCTGCGTTTTTTTTGGGGGGGGGGTTTTGATACCTCCGCAAGATAGGTCATGGTTACAGTGCCAAAGGCACCCACCGCAAAGCCGTTGATAAACTTGCCGCCAAAGAACATGGAGTTGGTGGTTGCCACCACCTCAAAAGTGATACCGACGTACATGAAGGCGAAAGCAATCAGGTAGACCAATCTCCGGCCGATTCGATCAGCCAGGTAACTGGCACCTAGGGAGCCGACGGTTGCCCTAGACAGGGAGAATGAACGAGTATTCGAGGAGGACCGTATGTATCAAGGGAACTTTACTCACGATGCATAAGAGCCACCAGTGTAGGCAGACTGCCAGCTGGCTGGGATGACATATTCTCCGTCGTAATAGAATCCGAAATCTTTGCGGAATTGGGGCACTGATAGAAAACTCCCTCCGGCCTGACTGTCATAACTGGAGGCTGTCAGCACCCACAACGCATAGATCCCCCAGAAGACGGTCTTGGGCCGTCTCGTAATCGCCTGCCAGGTCGTCTCCTCGTACTCCCGTCGACCGATGGCATCTCCGGCAGCCTCCAAGTTGACAATGTCAACATGGTCAGTGAAAGATTCATTCTTCTCTGACATTTCGGCCAGGTTCTGTGACTGGTACAGTACAAGTGAGAGCTGGGCCTTGGGCTATTGTTCCCACAGAGATAGAATGGGATGGCGAGAGGAACAGAAGGCATGCCCTGCTGCTTCTTAAATAGACCGGAACACAACAACCTCCTCTCCAAGCAAGCATCTTCGACACCAAGCACAATGAATGAACGCCCCACAAGAAAAGAAACCCGGTAAGGAAAACCTGGGGAGGCTCCGGTTTAACTTCGGCAAAAGGACCTCGCTGTCTTTCCGTGAAAGAAACGAAAAAAAGAAAATAGAGCAAGGGCCATACTCCGTCGAAATCCATGGGCGGCAGCTTCTTAGTCGAAACAAATGACCTCGTCCCCGACCAATGGCGGTGCTGGGCAATCAACCCATGGAGAGACAGACGTCCCCTTTAGTCCACGTACCGCAATAGCCATGATGCTCCCCACACGGGGTAGATAGTACTGCGGAGTACCTGGGGGAATCCGGGGTTTGTGTGGTGGCTGAGAGCTCTCCTCCCCGATGGCAGCAGTCTTTGTCGTAAGTAGTCCAGGTAGGAAAATCTGTCTGTCGTGCATGGATACTGTCTCCAAGTAATTGTATCCTGATTCTGTGATCTCTTCATCTGTGACACACTCTCTCTCCTTGCTTTCGACGTCTCTCACAGTAGAAACGCTCGGACCAGCAGAGAGTCGGCGAATTTGCCCCATGCACAATCGGCTTTATTCTTAGCGTTGAAGCCAACGCGTCCCGGCAGGAATAAGCGTTTAACCCTCCGTACTAGGATCCAGTGTAGGGTTATTGAGGTTTGGTCACTGCTGATTAAGTGACTCGCCAAGAGGGGAACTATTTGACGCCATGTCTGAGGGGCAAGGAGCACCCCCGTTTCTCATCGCCTTGGTTGTTTGTGGGATTCGCATCGCAACGGGCGGAATAACGGAGTGAACCCTGTTGGACTGAGGTAAGTAAGCTTCTTCGTGGCCAATTTATTTGGGGGTGGGTGTTCATTTTTCCTTCTTCTTGACGCTGGTCCCACTATATATCACCCAGGTGACTGTGCCTTTTTCCTTAATTCATCGAGAACAGAGCCATTCGAATTCTTGTTCATCGTCATGGGCAGTATATCAACTCCTCCAGCGGATAACCCAGCAGTGGTCATCTTGGAGACTACAGCCGGTGAACAGAAGATTGTTGGAAGACCGTCGCCGTCATTCCCGTCACTGGTTCAAGAGTTTCGTGGTATCCCCTACGGCACCGTCCCTGGCCGCTGGAGACATTCCACGTTGAGAACCAGCTTGCCATCCGATGACTTTGACGCTACCAAAAATGGGTATTTAAGGCTTCCGTGCCGTTTGTTCGACCCTAAGTGTCATGGATTGAGGCTGACTTTCGAGCCCATGCAAGTCCTCAATGTCCACAACCCGCTGTGTTTGCCAATTCGGAGACCTATCAATCATACTTGCCCTGGCCCACCGACGTTGGGGAATCCGAATTTGAGTGTCTCAACCTATTCATCGTTCGACCTAGTCCCTCGGCTTTGGAAAGGGCTGGCCTTGATGCAAAGAACGCCAGACTGCCCGTGTATTTTATGATCCACGGCGGAGGCTGGGGATTTGGAGCTGGGACAGATCCGATGTGGGGTATTCATCCTTTTTTCCCTTTTCTTTAAAAAGCAAAAGAAGCTGGCGAGAAACACTCTCATGGCTAAATCATTGGTATAGATCCCACACGTCTCGTGGCGCGCTCGGTGGAACAGGGCAAGCCGTTCATAGCCGTCACCATCAACTACCGTCTAGGAATCTTCGGTTTCGGCGTCTCTTCCGATATCATCGCCGCGCAACCACACGAAGACGTCTTGAAAGGGGGGAACTTTGGATTGGGTGATCAGCGAATCGCTCTGCGATGGGTGTCGCAGAATATCTCGGCGTTTGGGGGAGACCCAGCCAAGATCACTATTGCCGGACAATCGGCTGGCAGCATGAGCGTCCAATGCCATGTATTGGAGGCCAAGTTCGGAACACAACCACCTCTCTTCCGCAGAGCTATCATGCAGTCTGGTGGATTGGGCGGCCTCGGACCCACAAGCATTGAACAGTTGGATGGGAAATGGGAGAAGCTCTACCAAGTTCTTGATATCCCAGCGGCATCGAAGGAGGAGAAGGTCCAGGCACTCTTGCAACTCTCCGATTCAGACCTCCTAGCGGCATGTGCGAAACTGCAATGGATTGTCTTCCCCGCCGCCACGGACGGACTGACGATTCATGATCGCCCTGGCGGTCGGTGGTGGGTTCATCTCGGCCGTGGTGAAGAGCCTCGCTCTCCAGAATCTGTTCTGCAGGAGCCTATTGCCGTGTACATAGGCGATTGCGAGGAAGAGGTATATTATCGGAACCAGAAATCCAAGTGTGAGCTATTCGTTCCCTTGCTAATGTTCAATGCTGTAGGGTTTCCTCAGGTCACAAATCGCACACGTCAAGAGCTTTTCGCATCTGGAATCATTGTTGACCTCACTCAGCCCTCCAGTGGCTCGGTCTGTTATTGAAGAGCTTCTATCACAGTACGAAATCACTCCCACAACGCCTCTTCCAGACATCCATAAGAGAATGTTCCAGCTCGCGACAGACTATCAGTTCGGATCGCCCGTTCATGCAGCGCGCAAGGAGCTCAGCTTGGTCGCGTCAGATCAGATACGACCGTTGGACGGCTCCAAGGTATTTCCCATCGAAGTGCGCTCATTTCGGGTTCAGACAGGGAATCCATTCCCTGGCGTGAATCGCAACTTCGCGCACCACTGTGTAGACCTCCTCTACATCTATGACTGCTTTTATGTCGACATGGACAAGACAGACAAGCTTGAGGAGTCTACAGGCACACGCCCACAAGGCTGGGCTTCCAACAGGTCTCTGGTGGCGGACTTCCAGCGGAATTGGACCGATTTCATCGTAGACGAGTCGGTGAACGGTTCAGAGGAGATTGCAACTGTGTATGGAGTTGATCGCAAAACGCATCAAAAAAGAACAACCGAGGACCCGGAATGGATCCGGATGACGGAGAGGTTTGAAGTAGTCCAAAGGAATTTTGAGGATGTTGAATTGATCTGCAACACTCTCAGAAGTCTCTCTGCAAGTCACTTTGGCTAGGAATCTGGCCAGAGGATATCGGTGAAAGGTCTTCTGTGAGCGTTAGCTGGTTGATATATATACCACTAGAACCTCCTATTATATTCGTTCTTTGTCATCCATCCTCAATATCATACTTTCAAGCTCTGAAGGATGAGAGGATGTTTGGTTTTAGCTTCGGCCAGAAAACTCATGTAAATGCCGGAAGAAGGCTAATGTGGTATGATAGTACTAGGCCAGTTTATTCTTGCTCGCAAATCAGAGCGTTATAGTTCAATGCATGATTGACGAGACCTCTGAATACAAGAAAACCAAAAGAGAACAAGAGAAAGCATTCAAGCCCCTCAAAGGTTCTCGAGCAAAAGCAATATAAAACAGGGGGGAGGATGAATAACAGCGTCAACCAGCCACGACGTCATATCAAGAGGATAGCTCTTGATCGAATCCGTGGTGTTGAAAATGATCACCCTTGTCAATTTCTGGACGCGGCGAATTGTTTATGCAGGGGGGAATATTCTCGTGAAGAAACGAATGTCCAGATAGTACTGATGGAGCCGTAAAACTTGTATGTTGAGAACTCGCTCTGCTGGGCGATGATCCTAGACTTGCCATCGTGTTCTCAGTGGAGCTGCTTTGTTGACTCAGTCGCATCTGGGACGTGAGAGATAAAAGGGCAAATTCTGGTTCTCCAGCTACTCGATAGGGACGGGGGCTTTGTATTGAAAAGGAAGACTCTCTGAGAGACTCAACCTCGCTGCCACTATCTTCGTCGGTGCTCCACACGGAGACTGGCTCCTCCCCCTGCAGCCTGTTCTTGCAATATGAGTCCATAGCAGCTCTTTTTTCATGGAGGCACTCCGTTCTTGGGTTGGAGCAACGTGAGTCGTCGGCAGGGTTAGAATTATTGAATGCGAAATTTGATGTTCGGCGATCAGGCCTAGTTTCCTTCAACTGAGACCGCAATGAGGGATTGTAATGACGTGATGGTAGAGAAGATATGGACTTCCTTTGGCCATCCAGTATGCTCGCAGACTGGGTTGCTGTTATTTCTTTTAGTTCTGATAGTTCTCGACTCTCCATAATAGTTTTCCTGCCCCGGATTCTTACCAGATCGGGGCTCAGAGGAAGTGGCTTCGGCTGCATCTGCAATAACCTCGGTCTCTTGATTCCAGTGGCTCCAAGACCCATCACTGGGGGAAGTGATTGAAAGATCACCCCATCGAGAGTGCAAGTCGGTAGAGAGAGGGCGCTTTCGTCTCAAACTCCCGAAAAGCTTGTCCATGGTATCAAGAAGCCATTCCATGGAGGAGCGTGCGTTTCAAAAAATCAGATGGGAGAATGAGAGGAAGACAGCAATCTTGAAAACAGCTTGCATGAGATGCAGTCTTATCTCAGGCTATGAATCTTTAACCAACAGCAAAAGAGGCAGTGGAAACCGGGGAGCCAGAGGTTGTTGATATCAAAGTGTGCTGTAGCCTGGGATATAGGGTAATACCGGAAGACACTCATTAAAAAAATAAAAGCCATTTCCACATGTTCCATCCTTCTTGAGATAAAGAGAAAATGGTATCAATCCTCTTCAAAAGTGAACCAACACTTCTCAGGTGATGTTATTGGTCATGTCATAGTAGGTCTTTATGGATCCGACGAGCTGGTACAAGTCCAATACAGTGAATGGGCCTAGTTGGAGACCAACAGCAAAGGGTATAGCATACAAGTACTATTTTGATTGGATAGAGTAAAGTGCTCTAATCCAAGGAAGAAAGCATTTGGCCACCATACATTGCTGGCCTTCCTTGTCTAGATCAACAAATCATATAGTCGAATGAAGGAAGGTCAAGGAGGCAGAAGTGTTCATGTGGCACACCTTTTTATCTCTTGATCATCTCCTACTCCTTGTCGATCTCTTGCTGATGATCATAGAAATAGTACCCCTCAGAGCATGGGTTGCCTGTAGCCTCAAGTCAAACAGGTTGCAACGCTAATAACTTGGCGCGGGGTTTCTATAGAAAATGCTTTGACTGATAATTTGTAATCCATCGAAGAGAAGGGATCAACCTAGGAGCGTAAGTTTATCCAATTGGCATCGTTAATGGAGGATAAGACAGGCCATTTTGCATGTCTGCATTAGATAGTACTCATACCGTGCAGGAAAAAGCCATACACGTATATAGTACCCCAGAGGTTTGTGAGTTTGAACCTCATGATTCGGACCTGCAATCAGTGCCTTGAGGCAATAGGGTCTGTCTTTCTGGGTATCCTGCATTATTCTGGACCCAACAAGTCCTGAAGCCGACTAGTATCACTAGGCTAATGGACAAGGAAGAGAGAGGGGTTGGAGGTGCACCGGCATGGATTGAGGGGCATTTGGACAGGGACCATCGACCAGGCTGACGCTATCACAGAGTTGGGGGTCTGTCTGTAGAGAGAATTGGTTCACCGGTAGCCAACAGCTTCGTCAGCCACGCGGGCTCTTGCGTTTCCTCCGAGGCTGTAAGCTGCAAGTTGACTTGAAGAAGCAGTCTTCGTGCTGTGGTATCATGTACAGCATGCAACTAAATGTCAACTCGGAGACACTTTCCAATGCAGCTTCGTAAAGAAACGAAGTAAGCGAACACAAGGTGGAGCGAGCGGACGCAGAAGGGCAAGGCCAAGCGAACAGTGGCACTCCCACTTATCTGATTTATTTTATTCCATGAATTCCATAGTCCATAAGCGAAGCATAGCAGGGATAGCAGGAAGCCAGAAAAAAAGGGTAAATACGGAGTAAGAACAAGGTTGATCGACCCGCGCTCGTGGCTAGTCAACTGTAACTGGTCGAGAGAGGGGTCTCAGCAGGATATCGACGGAACACCTCGGGAAGCTGCAAGGATTGCTCTCGCCTTTCCCAGCACTCCAACTAGAATTTAGGCTTGCACTTGAGTCAGTTCATAATGTTTAGATTGTGATGAATCTGCAATGGTTGCGTAAGCATCCTTACTAGAGTCTTATCCGGCGGCTAGCTATGGAGAATCTTTCTGTCGTGTAACCATCAGCATATAGAGAACAGAACCCCGGTCCTAGGTAAAGCCTTTTATATGAGCTTCTTGAATTTCAATTTGGTCACACAATCAGTTTTTCCTCACATGTTATTTGTTCTTGGGTCTCTAAGCCGGAGATTGACTGTCAGCTTAAAATCTAGAGCAGTCCCCTGAATAGAAGCCGTTCAGCGCGCATTTCATGGATTTATCGACAGAAACCCTGGAAATAGTAGTATTGAAAAGGTATGTTTATTGACTCTTTGTGATTTAAATCCTGACTCCATGCGCCGTCGCTGAGCAGTATAATAGTAGTAGCAACAAAGAAAAATCCTCCCACAAGCAGCAGCGGACAGAAAAGAACTCCGGACGACCACGTGCCTTCCCAATACGGAAGGGCTCCCTGGAATGGGATCAGGGGCAGAAAACGAATCCTGCTGGACTTTTACTCTTCCCCCTTCCTCCCTTGGACGGTTTGAGAAATCCCACCGTTGAAACCCCCTTTTTCAAAAGAGGAGGTAAGTAGATAGGTGCATACGTCGTTTGTTGAATGTTTTCCTCGAGGTTGTTTAAAACGCGGTGATTAATGGTGACAGGACAGGCTTTGCCTTCCGAGCAGGTTTCGAGCCCCCCTTTACAGCAGCTGGGGGAGGAGGTTCCAACTGAATCGAGGGCCGTGGATTGCCAGCCACTGATGTGTCAACTACCAAAGGCCGAACGTTGATCTGGGAGTCGTCTGAAGGTCGATATGAAAGAGGTCTAGACTCCGCCATGCGGGATTGCCTGAAGAAAGAGAGCTTCCTCGAGAGTCTGTTCTGGCCGTGTCCCATGAACCGTTCCTGCTGGTATCTGGATGGATCATAGCGAGCCCAGCCGCCGTATGGTGGCGGTTGATCGACCGACCGTGCAGTGTTGTACGAGGGCCGTGGAGTCGCGTACTTGTCCGAGTGTTCAGACATCTTGGAGCGGTAGTGGGATGGCCCAGTCTCGAGGGCTAGCAGTTGGCGTTCGTGTCGCCGAATTCGGTCCCATTTCCTCTTTCTAATGAAGAAAAACATCACTGCGACGGTGACTATTTGTCGCTTGGTTAGTATGACGACGGTGTGATCGCAGGAAGTATTAGCACCATACTCATTATGAAGGCAAACCCCCCGATGACCACGCCGATGATGATCTGATCCTGACTCGACACGTTCACCCCATTGCCCGCAGAACCGGATGCCCCCTCGGCGTTTTCCTCTTCTGTGCTGTAACTTTCCGCTCTGGGTCGCACGAGGTAAGCCCCATAGCGAGACATAGTCACTCTCTAATCCTTGTTCGTTCAAGTCGCTGAGGCTAGAATGCTGGGAAGCAGCAGCAGCAGCAGCAGCAGTAGTAATAGTAGAATTAGTAGGAAGTGGAGATAGAGTATTATGTTGTGGCATAGAAAAGCACCATGCATGGAGTGGAGATTTGAGAGAGGGGAAAAGAAATCAAACAATAGAGCCCACACCTAGGAACATCTCCCAAGCTGGAGTTCAGAAGGAGACAAAGAAAGAAAATCTCCACTCAATGAACGTCAGGGTCGCCGGACAAGGGCTTAAAAAGGAACATGGAAGAGAGTCAGTCTCCCCGGCCCACGAGCGACCCTGTTTCAAGATGGCAGGGACCGCCTCTGAGATCTCTGAATCGGACACTCAGTCCAGCTAGCTGCTGAAACTCGAGCCCGAAATAGCAGTTGCTATCTTGAAAGAGCGCCCGGATGCAAAGATAGACACTGCGCTGCGCAGGTTTCATTGGGTGGTGTTTTGCGCTGCTGCACCTCCAGCGCTTCGCCCTCGTATCACAGCGCGAGAAAAACCACCAACTGCGCAGGGATTGAGAGGGCGTGCTTGAACTTGCCGCCAGCCACTTTTTCTTTTCATCTTGTCAGAGCCATTCGATTCCTGACTCGTAGGTCCAAAAAAAGACCCTTCCCTCTCCTTCCACGGGCATACTCCGTATGGAGTACGAGTATACTGCTATAGTAGTAGTATCACTATTCCCGCGGGTTAGGGCTTAGGTTGCGCTGCGGCGCAACACGAAGATGCTTAGTCTGCCTTGTTGGCGCTTCGATGGGACTGTTGTTCTTATTTAGGGTCTCAATTTGGTTATCGGTATATTGGATGAGGATTCCAAGTAATACCTAGTAGTACTATCTAATCCATATCTGAAAACGATTGCATAGGTTGGACTAACAGTATAGTTAGGTAGATTAACATACTTGTAGTATGTAGTAGTTACATAACTAACTAACTAGTCAACTATGAAGTAGCTATTATAGTTACTTTGTTGCCCTCTATATGGAGACATTCACTCCGTGTAGGCTCTAAAAACAGCCATGCCGGTCTTGGAGTAGAAATCCAAGGGAACGCCCTGCCCGACGAAAAACACATGACCCTCTTTGAGGTGCAGCGTGGTGTCTCCCGGAATATTCACCGTTCCACACCCCTTGGTGACGATCATCAAGCTAGGTCCCAGGATGGACTTGTGAGTCTCGGTCTCGCCGGCCCCGAGACAGGTGGCCAGAACGTTGAACTCGGCGATGGGCGGGGCGTACACGTCTGTGTGTCCCGCGAGGCCCTTGTCGCTTTTGCGACGAGGCAGGAGGGCCTCGGCGGCATTGTGCGGGGCGAAACTCAGGGTCTGCGTGAAGAGAGCGATGTTGTCGCGCTGCGCGCGCGGGCAGAACCCCGTGTTGAGCACGTTGTCGGAGCGAGCCATGCACTCGAAGATATCGCCGCACAGGTACGCATGAATACTGTCGGCGGGGACGTAGACAGCATCACCGGGACCCAGCGTGAGATAGTTCATCAGCAGCGCGGCGACGAGATTGCCGTTGTCGAATTCCGAGTACTCGCGCTGCAGCCGGGCCAGCATCCCGGGGATATACGGGTAGGCTCCAAACTGCGACTCGGGAATGCTTTGCAGCTCATGGATCGTCGACGCAACCGTCTCCGGCGAAGCTGTTAGGAGGGCCTCGCAGATGTCGCAGAGCGTCGCGTCCGTGAACTCCCCGGGCGATCGTACAAACCGTTCCAACGAGTTGAGCTTGAACAGTGCTTGGATGTCTGCCAACGGCTTCCACCCGACGAACAGCTCAAAGTTCGACAAGGCCACCGCAATCTCGGGTTTGTGGTTGCTGTCTGCGAACTTGACGGGGTCCTGCTCGTGCAGTCTGGAGGCCAGCGACTTGTTCGGGTGGATTTGGAGCGGCAGAGCTTTGGCAAACGAGAGGATCTGACGGTTAGTAGACAGCTAAAGTAGACTCAAGCCAAGACAATGAAAAAGGAGAACCTTTGGTAAAAATGGAATATCAGCTCCATATTGATCCAGCACGGCCTTGCCCACAAGCCGCGGGTGCTTCTTGAGATACTCCTGCAGAGGCTCCCCCGTCGAGACAAGGTAGGAGGGAACCTTGGGATAAGTGCCCATCCACATCTGCGAAAGCCGTTAGCTGCAGACCTCCCATCGTGGGTTTCCCAGTGTCCGCCACTCCCCTCGGAGTATTCTTTACTCTCATCGACTGGTCCTGTCCCTGGTGTCTTGGACCAGAGTTGAGCAGCCAGAGAGTCTTTTGCTTTCTTGCCCCAGCCATCGTTCTGGTCGTTAGTGATGAGAAGCTGATGAACTGACAAGATTCTCTCTTACTTTGACGCCGCAGCGCAATTGAACCACTGCTTCTGCCATAGCCTTGAGTGATTATATTCTGTAGTTTATCTAATTCGAATCAAATACTCTGGATCTTTCTATTTTAAACCGGGAGATACGCCTACATATCACACTACATTGACGTTGGCATTTCGTCATAGGTGAGATGAGATGGGATTCTAGTCCCGCCAATAAATTAGATAGTAAGAAGGAACTATATACACTGGTAGAATCCGATATGTCGTCAGACATGTCCCTCAGACAAAAAGGGACAGACAACTATTCCCAAATGTCTTCTGGACTCGGTACCATGATCGCCGTCATCCTCTTCGACGCAAGTGAATTCTTACGGGTCATTCTCTTATCGTACAGGGGAGGCGAGTACATCCGGCCTCCAGCCGAAGCAGAAGCAGAGCGTACCGTTCGTTCGTGATTCTGCTCTCGAGCTTCTCTAGAGCGTGGCTCTCGCCGGTTGGTATCCTCCCTGCCGTTGATATACACGTACTCTCCGCCCTTGTATTCGCTCTCATGGGCTGTTCCGCTGCGAGAGAACCGTTTCGACGACAGGCTCAATCCGCGCAATCGACTGTGTAAGCCGGCGATACCGTGGCTCTCTGCTGCCGAGCTGGCGGTAGAACCGGATGACTGGTTCCGGCTCAGCGGCGGTCTGTTTACCTCCTCCGGGTATTTTCTGCTGCTGGTAGGGATGTATTGAAAGGAAACTTTGTCGTTGTGTCGGTTGGTTGTCACGTATTTCTGCCTGCTGGGTCTTGCAAGCTGGGAGGCAATGGGGTCATGTTGATACCGGTCAGACTGGGAATCAAGACTGTCGAGATCTTCGTCTTCTTCTTCGTCATCGTCGTCTTCACTAGCGTTGCACTGCGTGGCTTGTCGCACGGAAAGACGGTGAGCCGACAATGATCGGATGAGCGATGATTGGCGATGAGACGGCTCGAGACGTTGTTTCGACCGACGACCGTCATGGCTTTCGGAGCGACGACTCTGTTTCAGCCCCGAAAGATCATGCACGTAGTCCGGTCTGTAGTCTCGACGGCCATGACGAACTGAGTAGGTAGCATTGTTGTCGATCTGACACCAGGAGCCTGGGGTAGGCATCGTGATGTGCACGTCTCCCCATCGTGGATGGAGCGGCCTCGACGACTCGGGCTTGAGGGAGCGATTGAACCGACTCTGGACAAGACTCGCCATTTTTTTCAAAGTAGAGAAGGAATATTCTCTAGAAGGAATATTCTTTAGAAGGAATATTCTTTAGATGTATTGTGGACACTCGACACTGACAGAAGAGTTCGTGGCCAAGCCTATATACAGTTGAAACTGGGCGTCGGCTTGAGGAAGCGCCCATATCCTTGTCTAGTCTCGTGCATCAACATGGGGTTACAACAAACATTAGATTAAAAATAACCATAAAGATAAAAATAAAACAAAGAATCATAATAAGTACTTTTTAGAAATACTACATTGTAGCAATAATAATATAATCTATGACCTTATTGAATACTCATACTAGAACCCTCCCCCTGGCTTGTTTACTCTGTAGGCTTCATAGAGTCATGTCTTCGTCAAAAGTAGTTCCAGAGCAAAGCTTAACTGGATATTACGGTAAACCGATAGAGACAGATGGCCTTTATTCAGTATAGAAAGCCTTTATCTGTGAGTTGAAGAATAGAGGAAGAATAAAGCAGTACCAACTCTGTATAGCTGTTGGTTGTTTGTTGTCTCCAACTTGTGATTGGTTGAGACGGAGAAAGTCCAGATTTAGCACAAGCATGCCGCTAACCCAATATGGACTAGATACCTGAGGTACTCCGTTGGTACTCCGTTGGTAGTTACGGAGTACATCCAAACAACAGTGAAGTTGCGTACCTCGAATGGGTGATTATAACCCTTGTCAAATAGAGAAAAGACATGAGACCGTATATCTCAAGCGGCCTTATTCGCCCATTCGCTCATGCAGCATTGTTCTCGAGTCATTCGCGCTGTTCGCGACTCGTTTTGCAGCTTGTTTGCCAACGCAGGAAAATGGCTTCTACACGACAATTTCCGACTTCAGGTTTCACTGTTCTGGATCCCTCTAGGGACTTCGAGGAAGAAACACTACCTGGCTATGTGAAGGAACGCTACTATCCCGTTCGCATCGGCGAAGTTTTCCGGTCTCGCTATCAGGTCGTGACAAAACTGGGCTTTGGCTCATCCTCAACAGTATGGCTATGTCGAGATTTATCGTAAGTAAGCACGCTTGCATTATTGAACAAGAACGGAAGCCTGATATGATGATGAAGTGATGGACAGTTTCTCGTTCTAAAGGTTCATGTCCGTACAATGCGGCAGCCGTCAGAAGTGCAGATTTCGGATCACTTGAAGACAGTCCACGATGCTCAGAGCGTTGGGAGATATGTACGACTTGTTCTTGACTCATTCCAAGTCCCTGGACCGCATGGCGTCCACCCGTGTATTATCTATGAGCCTGCCGGAATCGATATTCGTGATTACATACATTGCCTAGAAGGTGATGCTTTAACAGAGGAACTTCTTCGCCCCGCTCTTCGATTTGTACTTATTGCTCTGAATTATCTCCATCAGCCTCAAGTCATCCATACAGGTGAGAGTCAATATGAATCAATCTACCATTTTAGGCTTATGTTTTATCTCAGATGTTCAACCAAATAACATTCTTTTGGGTATTGACGATGAAACGGTCTTTGCTTACATGGAGGAAGACGAAATGACCAAACCGGCACCTCGAAAAGTTCTTGATGATCGCACGATTTATGCTACACGTGCTATGCCTCTGACGAGCGGAGAGCCGATCCTTGCTGATCTTGGAGAAGCGCGACTGGCTGAGGAGAAACAAACCGGTCTCATAATGCCAGACGTGTATAGAGCGCCAGAAGTCATGCTTGGCATGGACTGGGATAGTAAGGTAGACATATGGGCAATAGGTCAGACTGTAAGATCGTCATCCTTTGACTCTTTATGATTTCCACTGATCTCGCACCTCTTTAGGCATGGACGCTGTTTGAGCAAGGACACCTTTTCAGGAGCCAAAACCTGGACACTCAAAGCGGCCAAGCTCGACGTTTTGCGGAAATGGTTTCGCTTTTGGGGCCACCTCCTGTTGAATTTCTTAGGCGTAGTAAACAGAGCCTTCATTTCTGGGATGAGGATGGTGGGAATTGCTGGCCGTTCAGTGTTATATTATAACTTTGAATCTCGTCCCCTAATTTCTTGCAGGTAATTGGAAGAGCTCCGAAGAGATTCCTCAACAGTCTTTAGAAAGCCGTGAGTCTCGACTACAAGGCGATAATCAGAGGCTTTTCCTCGAGTTTCTACGGAAAACTTTGAGTTGGTTGCCTGAGGAAAGACCAACTGCAAAACAGCTCTTGTTGGATGAGTGGTTAAGAGGAGATGATTATTAAAAAGAAAAAAAAATGACTAACATGAATCATCTTTCATTTTCATCCACTACTGCCCTTGAAAATATGTCTCGCGGCAGATGACTGACAACTCGTTCCAGTGGCTTCCAAGCTCATAAATCGACCAAAGACCTGACTGCTCTTGACCATGTTCAGCAAAAGAATAAGGATTGCAAAGTCCGCATGCAGTATGTGTCCCTAAGTACCTAATATAAAGTACTCTGTTATTCGCTGACGGTCAGCTGCATTAGCGGGCGTCTTTGTTGTCTACTGGGTATTAGTTAAGGTAAGTCATAACTACCTCGGAGTAAGTACCTAGGTAGGTAGTTTATATAGTAGATAGTTATGTAGTAGAACAAGCATACTATCTTTAGTAGTCATAGATTCTATTGGCGTGGATATATATGGAGTCATATTTATCCCCCTGCAAGTCCTGGATAACTAGTATATATACAGTGAGTGTAAATATTTTGGGTCTACATATATTTATAGATGCTGCAATACTACATAATGTCCATTTCTGGATCCTATTGTCTAATAAGATAAAGTAATTGTTTAAGAATTCTATCGTATAAATAAGATAAAGCATAGACTAGGGTATTTCTTCTAGAACAATGGTTTCTTGTTTATACCATCATTCAGCAACTGTAGCAATGGAAACCGGGTTCCGGGGATTGTTCGAGCTCAATGGAGAAGTCAATACAGGATTCATCGGGGGAGACAGAACTTGTTTCGCCAACGACCAGGACCATCGACGGTGGTTCGGGTGATACCTTGCAGAGGACACTTCCCAGGCGGCAGAGAAACCGCCGATGTCATCGTCGCTGTCGGACCCAGACACAAAGGCGCCGTCACCGCCCATCGCAGTGCGATAGGAGTCGCGGTGGTCGAGGCACAGGGTGCTACGTGTCTTGCGAAGAGAGTCCCCCGGGCGACAGCGGTCACAATGGCTTGCGGCGTGCCTAGACTGCTCGATTTCCTGGCTGTACGAGCTCCGCCGCCGGTGGAACCTCCTCTCCTGCTTCCCACCGTTGCTATCAAGGGAGTCAATCGAGTGGGTGTGGGCGTCATGGGCCCGCAAGTCGATTGAGCTTGGGCTGAACGCGACCCGTGCCCGCATCGTCTGGATCGCTGAATCGAGCGCCAACTCAATCGCACAGTGGTTGCGTATGCGGCCTAACTTGGGCCATGTGGCTCGCTCTCCGCTCAGGCATGCCTTCAGCATGAAGTCTGTCGTCGGATTCTTCAGCATCAGCGGAAAGTTGGCGTATGGAATCTCCGGGTATATGGTAATGTCTCCAACATATTTCTGGTTGATGATCGACACGACTTTGGTGAAGGCGGTCGGGAAGATCCCCAGATCCGACATCACTGTCATGCGATGTAGCATTTCATCCTTAGCTAGATGCGTAATAGTCTCTACCCAGCCTGATGTGAGTGACGCGCGGGTCTTCGTCTCTCGAGAGGGGCCATCGTCTTTAGGTAAGAAAGGGACCACATGTGGATTCACTTGTGAAACAATGAAATGGTTAACGTTGAACATCTCTGACAGCTGTGTCATGGGTAGGTCGCCATCGACGGAACCGTCGATGTACTGCCGGTGCATGTCACTCCATGGGACCGCCTCCCCCGTGAGAGGGTCTTTTGCCATGAGAGTAGAAGGGGTGAAGACGAGTGGTACCGAGCAAGATACGGCTCTATATATTGTTAGAAAAAAACCGCTTAAACAAAGTTGTGAGGCAAAACTCACACGGCAGACCAGATGAGAACATTCGGGGCCGTAATATAGTTTAAAAGTCGAGGAAGCTCGTAAATCCCCGCACTGGAGATCCCGATGTTTAATATCCTTCGCGTCCGATTGTAGGCCTCCTGGAATGTGATGTCCCCGAGCCAGCCTCTCATGACCTTGGCAAGATGGGAGATATCCAAAAATGAGCCGTATTTCAAAAAACGAGCAGTCTTCTGTAGAATATTCTCTTCCTTCCCCGGGTCATTGAAGACTGCAAGATCACCATGAGAAAAAGAGCCAAGAAGAGCAGGGATTTCATCATCGGTGCGAGTGCAAAAGACTGCGCAAACGATGCTACCCGCAGAAGCACCGGAGATTATGCGCGGCAGCAGCTTGGCCTCCCAAAGCACCTTCAAGACACCAATATGGTTCATCCCAAATGTGGCACCGCCGGAGAAGAGCAGCGCACTTCTTCCAAACGCCTGGCGCGCCGCCAACAGCTGATCCAGAATATACTTCATCTCCAAGGCATCGCAACGACTTCGGCCCGAGAGATTGACCAGTGTGGATATCGTGTCTAGCGCAGCGGTGATATACCGATCGATCATGTCCTTGGTGCCCACATGAGAATGTTGGTAGAGGTTTGCATGGCTCATGTTCCCGAGATCACGGCTAAATGTAGTGCGAATCAAAAACAGCATCCGACTCCCATCGCAGCTAAGGCGAGCGTCTTCCAGCTGGCGCAACCGTTCTCGTACCAGGTCGGGCTGGTAGTCGAGGCATTCAAACGTGCGTTTCCACTCGTTATTCCCTTCTAGCTCGTCGAGTTCGCAGGCACAATTGCGCCATTCGTCGAATGACACGGCCTGTCCGTTGTCTTAGTACTCAAATTGCAGATAAGGTATGCTTTCTCCCTTCCCCGTATCGTACGTACGTTATCCATCTTAAAGTATAACACCTCCCTGCGATTCTCCGCATCTACCTTCACCTTTTTTTGTTCCTTGGAGAGCCCATTGCGATAGGCGTCCACGGTCTCCTCTGCCCAGTTCAACGACTTGCGAACGACCGACGAGACTGAGGGAAAAGATAACGAGGTCCGCAGGGCACGTTTCGACCGCTGATCCCGGGATCCTGGTGCATCCCCATCCCGGTCATTTGTACCACGATATGCTGTATGGACTATGGTAGAGTCGCGAATAAGGGACATGACAGGGGGGGGGGGGCGGTTAAAAACGACGCTCCAGACACGACAGGGAGAGTAGTAGTAGGCAGTACAGACAGACCATATATACGAAAAGGCTACCTAGGGTACCTTTTGTCCAAAATCAAAAACAAAACACACGCTGAAGAGATGAAGAGAGCTGGCAGTGCAGAAGGCTTTTTGCCCTGGTGTCAGTCAGTCAGTCAGTCCCCGTTCACGAGGGTCGTGCCAGCTGAGGAATGGACGACGACGTCACGAGGGATGGCCCAAGGGTTTTTTCCTCTTCGGGCGGATACCATGCATTGGCTGTTAGATCCGGCCAGTCAGAGTGACCAGTTGGCAGTGATCCCTAAACAGAGTTGCAATGCTTCGAACCACTCCAGAGACAGGATCTGTGGGGTAAAAACCGATGACGACAGACTAATACTAGTAAAAAGGGACGACCAAAATTTAGTTGAATGTCGCCTTTGATGTGGCAGACAATTAATAAAGCAAATAATAGTAGTATAGGTACAATGCTAGGTAGTAACTAACTACCTAGGTACCTTAGTAAGTACCTAAGGTATACCTACGTAACTGCCCAATATTCCATATCCCTTTGGCTCCCTTAGGGAAGGAAGGGACAGGCAGCGAAACCCCAATGAGGCAGGCACGACCAGCCAGCCGGTACCGGCCTGCGCTCTTTCCTTCTGGACAAATTCGATGTCTGCGGGTGTGATTCCCATGTGACAGAGTCGGCCGAGTGTCCGCAGCGCCTGACACGAACAGCATGTGAAACAAGCTGAACAGGAGGGATAATTACAGCTACTAGACTACTCCTAGTTAAGCGCATGGCCTATCATGTGACAGGCATTTCAGATATCTCCTGAACAACGGCAAGAATAATGGCGATCAGATTATAGAACAGCTGGAGCTGTGTGGTCATGAGGTTTTCACTTTCCTGAGATAGGTAGATTGCCAGTGATTATAGTAAGATTATTAATGCCTATAGGATTATGTCTAGTTAACTATAATATATGATAGGGGTTATATGATCTCTTCTAAACCACCCACCCATTCCCTCACTGCACGCCTCGCCTGCCCCTCAACCCCCTCCTCTCGCCAAAAGTGGCCCGCCCCTTCAATTTCACAGTACTGGAACCGACTCTGCGGCGCACTCTCCATCTCAGCCACCCATCTCCGCAGTTTGGTCGCTGACGTGAACGTATCCTGCGTCCCATAGATGGCGAGCGTGGGGTGGGAAGTAAGCTCCAGCTCTCTTGCCGACTTTGTCTGCGCCGACGGGGCCGAGAAGAGAGTCAAGAATCCGCTGACGGGCGGTAACAAGGGGGACACAAGCAGAAACGCTATTCGAACGTGCGTTTCCACTGGTTTCAAGTTTGTAGAAGTCGGGGCGGCAGCAGCAGACATCTCGCATCCACGTATACCCAGCTCCTCGGCTGTCTTGCGGATTTCATGAACGAATTCAACTTTAGACCTTTCTCCATGATCTAGGAGATCTAGTACCCTCATGACAGGAGGCAAATTACAAGCAATCATTGATCCGTACGAATACCCTCCTAGCACGAGGTCAATGCTTGCCGGCGACGCGGATGATGTACTCCGCAGGTAATGGATCATGAATATGTAGAAAGACATATAATCGTCTACCTCCGGCTTAGCAGTCCAGCTTGTCCGACCGTTTCCGGCTCCTCTGCAGAGCTATTAGTACGTTTTAACTACTTTCAATTTTCTTGATGCTTTATCAAAGTCGTGAACACACCGAAAGTTGAATGTCCCCACCACGTATCCCAGACGTAAGAGTTCGGCACCGATGAAACCCACGACAGGGTCATCGTAGCATCCACCTAAGGGGGCGTACGGATGTGCGATGATGGCGCCCTTGATCCGCTGCTCCTTTTTTGATTCTGTCGTTGACGCTGTCGTTGACGCTGGCGCTTGTCCTAAAGCTCCTCCGCTGCCTGGCTCTGGTAGGTAGAGGCGGCAATCTAGAAGCGTTCCGTCGTGGATCGACGGAATGCTGAAGGATAATGTGGGTTTAGGGAGAAGCATTTTAATTTATGTGTGTCAAATCTCTGGACATGCTGGTGGGCACTTGAGCGGTGTTGTTCTTGTTGTCTTTGGTGAGGCTTGTTCCCCAGCCAGTCCCCGCTATATAGCTCCTAGCTAGTTACTACTTAGCTACCGAGGTATTTATGATGGCAACCAAGGTAGAATATCAACTACTAAACAGCAATTATGAAGAACTCAATTGCTACATTGAAAAAATCTTATTGACAATCTATCAATCTAAGTTTCCGGGAGTAGCCATGCAGGATCTGGCTCGTCATCTTCATCCTCGGACCTCGATACCTCATGCGAACGGACTCCAGAATCTCTCAGTAGATCGGCCGGGGGATCCGGGTTGGACTGTGTTTCACTGGACTCGTGGTGTTCCTGCCTCTCTGGAGCCTTGCCCTTGGAAGCAGTGGATGCATCGTCCTCGTATCGGTCAAAGACTCCCAGGAGCATCTCCCGGGCTTCTCGGAGCGCCTCAAGCTCGGCCCCAATACAACAGATCAAAAGCTTCCAGTCCTTTTCTTCCGCATGGTCCAGCTTCTCCTCGACAGCATGGCTAGTGCGCTCGAGATCCTTTATGATGTTTTTCTTCGCTTGGTCTTCCTTTTCTCGTCTTGAGGTATCATCCGCCTCCACTAGGTCCGACTGGTCTCGCATGAGCGTATACATTTCTGCTCGCAGTCGCTTTTCGAAACTCGATACCTGGTTGATGACCTGTTTCCAGAGATTGCCACCTTCGTCGAGTGCTTCAATTTCCAAACCAACCTCTTCCCGCCGTTTATGTAGCCTTTTATGCTCCGCTTGCCAGTGTTCTTTTGCCATTTCAAGGGTGCGGCGTTTCGGGGGCAGGGAATAAAACGTGGTTTCCTTGGTATTTTGAGTCAACGGCTCGACAGGTGGGCTCTGGAGATATGCGCGAATGTTCGAGTCGAGCAGTGCCAGGGATGCTTTGTAAGAAGACAGATTGGCCTCCACTGAATTCTCAACCACCGTGATCTCGTCTAGCACCTGGCGATGCCTCACCTTCATCTCCAGCAGTTTGGTTTCCAGCTCACGGATCTCTGCCTCGAGAGTTCGGGCTTCTTGCTTGAGCTCGGTAGTGTGTTGGCCCTCGCCGCTCTGCTGGATGTCGGTGATCGACTTCTGCAGGCCTAGCCTCTTGCCAATCAGATTGTCCACCTCGCCCAGCGCACCTTCCCGGTCGTCAAGCCTCATGGACAGTATGTCTTGCTCGTCTTCCCGCAGACTCAACAGCTCGTTCATCGATCTCAGTATCCCCTCCCGGGCGCCTCGAAGCCCAATCTTCTTCCTCGTAGGTTGTCGGACCGGTATTGTGCGTGGACCTTGTAAGCCCGTTCGCTCGGAGGAGGTGGGAGTGAGACTGCCATTTGACACGCTTTCCTCCGGATTCTGTCCGCCCAGACCAGCAAGTAGCCCCTCGCTCTGAGCATCAATCAGAGTCTGCAGGTGTCGTTGGATATATTTTGCCTGTCTGTCAATATACAGAAGCCTGTCATCGGGCTTGGGAGCACCTCGGGCGGGCACGGGCGCCCCGTACTTGTTTCTATGCGGAAGGAGGGAAGACATTATCAGGACAGTTAAATTTCTCTTTAACCATCTGCAAGAAAACTGGTAAAAGACCCCCCTGCTGCCTTATCATATACGGCGAACGGAATGGCTGAGGCAGAGCAGAGAGTGACCACTTCAGCGCATGACGTTGCCTCAGCTTTCGACTTGGTCATTCCACACCGTCGGAGCTGCAACTCTGCAAAATAACGGCCTGTATGTAACTCTTCACGAGCTCCCATCACCCGGCCTGCTCGGAAAACCAAGTTCACTGTGCGTTGTGCTGCCTGCAGCCCTCATAGTCGGTGTGTCCTGCCCCGGGCAGCCCCGGCATGAGGTCACATGACCACTACTTTGGTGAACACTGTCACGTGACGGTACTAGGGGCTTCTGCAGGCCAGGACCGCCTTTGGTCAGCATTCGCCGTTGACGTGTGCTCGCGCCTACGGGAAGCTCCCTCAGCCTGCGTCTGCCTCTCGCAACTCGTCTTGTCTTTTTAATCTTCCATTCGTCTCTGTACCTTTCTGTAAATTTTGTTCCATCCGTTATCTTGCTCTAGATTGCCTTCTGCAACCGCTCCGCTTTTTTGAAGCTGCCTCTCGAGCTCGTGACCTAACGGCCATCGCTCCAAGTGCGACAAACAATCGAACTCAACCTCCCCCCCAGTCAGGTCGACTTTGGGCATCCAAAATTCGATCTGAACCAGTATGGTTGGACTTGCGTCGGCTGCCGGCCTTGTCGGCTTTCTTTCTGAGCCTGATGCGGAGCTGAGGGTCTTTGCCCTCAAGACTCTGGACGCTCAGATTGATTTGCTCTGGACAGAGGTTGTTGACGTTGTTCCTCAAATGTACGCTCTTTCCTACCTTTGTCTTGGTTCATCTTTAGCGCGACATCTAGAGTCTGCTATGTGAGGAGAGATGATATAGAGTCTGGGCTAACTAGTCGTGTTTAGAGAAGCACTCTATGAAGATGAAACATTCCCGGAACGCGAGCTTGCGGCGCTCGTTGCAGCCAAGGTATACTACCACCTTCAAGAGTACAACGAGAGCATGGTGTTTGCTCTAGGGGCCGGGAAGCTCTTCAACTTAGACAACGGTGGCGAGTTTGAGGAAACGATAATCGGTAGGTTCTGGTCGGGTGTTTTGATGGCAAGTGACTTGCACTGACTGATTCTTTTTTTTTCCTTTTCACCAGCCAAATGTGTCGATACTTTCATTTCTCTGTCTGCTGCCCAACGACCTACTGTCGGTGAGCTGCCTGCAAACTTGAACACCACATTCCCAACGTCGGCAGAGGGCGCCACCAGCACTTCCGCCAGCCTCCAATCCCCCATCACACCATTTTCCCAGTCCGCCCTGCCTTCCAAGTCCTTGCTTTCGAGACAGGAGGTTCCGGGATCAGATGTCGGTTACACAGCTGGCGATGATGTCAGTGTTGGGCAGGTTGAGACTCCGCTGGTGCTCAAGAGAGGCGTCCAAGGTCAACTGCAAACTGTGGTTGAGCGTCTGTTCGAGCAGTGCTTCAGACAGAAGCGCTACCGCCAGGTAATTGGCATTGCCATTGAGGCCAAGAACCTCGAGGTGCTTCGTACCGCAATCCTGCGCGCCAGCCAAGATGAGAAGAAGCAGCAGGGCGAGTCTCGTCGCAGTGAGGAGCTGATGGAGTACGTCCTGGATATTTGCATGAGCATTGTACAGGAACGGGCATTCAGAAACGAGGTCGGTTCTTCTGCTTTTATTTGGTATGCATCTGTGTGTTGTTTCGTCGTTATCTAACTCGATCGGGTCTGCTCTAGATTCTCAAGCTCATCCTGGACCTTCTGAACGAGATTCCAGCGCCGGATTACTTTTCCATTGCCAAATGTGTCGTGTACCTGAATGAGCACTCGATGGCATCCGTCATCCTCCGCCAACTTGTCGAGAAAGGTGACCCAAGGTCACTCGCTGTCGCTTACCAGATCTCCTTCGATCTCTATGATAACAGCACCCAGGAGTTCCTCAAGAAGGTCCGCGAAGAGATCGCCGCCCTGGTTCCTGAACAGACTGAGTCGAAGGAGACCAAGGAGGGGGCAGATGAGGAGGGAGAAGAAGCCACTGAGTCTGACCCTCTTCTCAACGGACAATCCAGCTCCACAAGGTCCATTGGAGGCTCCACAGATCTGAAGCTCTCAGAGGAGGCCCGGTCAGCGTTCAAGAGCATTCTTGAGATTCTTGACGGCATCAAGACTATTCAGCTGAATCTCGAGTTCCTGTATCGCAGCAACAAGGCCGACATTGCCATTCTCAACAAGATCCGGGACAGCCTTGAAGCTCGCAACTCCATTTTCCACACCGCCGTCACTCTTTCCAACGCCTTTATGCACGCAGGCACGACTCACGACAAATTCTTCCGCGACAACCTCGAATGGCTTGGCAAAGCCATCAATTGGTCCAAGTTCACTGCAACCGCTGCATTGGGTGTGATTCACAAGGGAAATCTGTCCCAGGGCCAGAAGCTCCTCCAGCCATACCTCCCACGGGAGCATATCGCTGGTGTCGGAAGTTCTGGGTCTGTCTACAGCCAGGGCGGATCTCTCTATGCCTTTGGACTGATCTATGCCAACCACGGTGGCATGGCGGTGGACCTGATTCGCGACCATTTCAAGAAGGCAACCGAAGAGGTTGTTCAACATGGTGGTGCTTTGGGCCTGGGTGTTGCAGGTATGGCCACTGGCGATGAGGGCGTTTACGAAGACCTGCGAAATGTTCTGTATTCCGACTCTGCCCTGAACGGTGAGGCCGTGGGTCTTGCCATGGGTCTTGTGATGCTAGGCACTGGCAACATGAAAGCCCTCGAGGACATGATCCAGTATTCCCATGAAACCCAGCACGAGAAAATCGTTCGCGGGTTGGCCATGGGTATGGCCTTGATTATGTACGGCCGCCAAGAAGCAGCCGATGAATTAATCAACGGCCTCCTTGGTGACCCGGACCCGACGATTCGCTACGGTGGTATCATGACTATTGCCCTCGCATACTGTGGAAGCGGTAGCAACAAAGCTGTCCGCAAACTGCTCCACGTGGCCGTGAGCGATGTCAATGATGACGTCCGCCGTGCCGCTGTGTTCAGCTTGGGATTTATCCTGTTCCGCAAGTACCAGAGCGTGCCCCGCATGGTCGAGCTGCTCTCCGAGTCCTACAACCCCCATGTTCGATACGGTGCGGCCATGGCTCTCGGTATCTCTTGCGCCGGCACTGGCTTGGACGAGGCGATCGATCTTCTCGAGCCGATGCTCAAGGACTCCACCGACTTTGTGCGTCAGGGTGCCTTGATCGCTCTCTCCATGGTTTTGGTGCAACAGAACGAAACAATGAACCCTCGCGTTGCTTCCATTCGCAAGATGATGATGAAGATGGTTGGTGACCGCCATGAGGATGCCATCGCCAAGTTCGGCTGTGCGGTTGCTCTTGGTATCATCGATGCCGGCGGCCGCAACTGCACCATCAGCCTCCAGACGCAGACCGGCAACCTCAACATGCCCGGAATTGTCGGAGCAGCCGTGTTCCTTCAGTACTGGTATTGGTTCCCTCTCACCCACTTCCTCTCCCTCAGCTTCACGCCCACTGCCGTCATCGGTGTCGACCAGAAACTCGAGGTTCCTTTCTTCAAGTTCCACAGCAACACCCGGCCGAGCCTGTTCGACTACCCCCCGGAGCAGCAGGTCAAGGCTGAAGAGACCCCCGAAAAGGTCAAGACTGCGGTTCTTTCGACAACAGCGCAGGCCAAGCGTCGGGCGCAGCGTCGGGAGCGACAACAACGCCGGGAGAGCATGGACATCGATCAAACCCCAACAACACCCAAGGTCGTGGAGCAGTTACCGGAGAAGATGGAGACAGACGAAGGGGCTGCCAAGGAGGAGGAAGTCAAAGATGGAGAGAAGGGAGCGGAGGTTCAGAAGAAGAAGGCTGAACGGGAGAAGGTGGGCTATGAACTGGAAAACATGTCTCGAGTTCTTCCGGCTCAGCTGAAATACCTCACCTTCCCCGACCCGCGATATGAGCCTGTCAAGAGGGTATGTTAATCCACCCGCTGCCACTTTGGCATTTACTCTTCAAAAATAGAAAAAAGAGAGAACGAAAGAAATGTATTTGCTAACTACGCTACAGCCCACGGGAGGGGTGGTTGTCGTTCTCGACAAGAACCCTGGCGAGGACCGCGAGATCATCGAACTGAAAGCCAGCAAGGACGTCAAGCAAGCGGCTACTGCCGAGACCCTTCAGGACCGACTCCAGGCTGCCATCGGCGCGGCAGCCCTCCAGACACCTCAGCGGGGCCAAACTCTTTCGCCATCTCTCGACGCCGCTGGCGCCGCGGCGGCGGCAGGCGTGCTCACAGCCGTCGATGAGGATGAGGAAGACGGCGAAGAGGCTCCTGTCCCGGAGGAATTTGACTACGAAACCGATGAAGAGGAGGAGTGAAGAGAGGTCGATGATCGACCGATATACATGGCATCATCTACACACTTTTTTTTCTTAGATGGCGCTTGTTGTATTTCTAGAGCAATCGCAGATCTTTCCATTCAGGTTCTGAGGCGATGACTAGGTAGTAGATGTTATATCACGTTATAATCCTGCTCTATCATCATGGCTCCTCTGAGTATACTGTAGCAATGTAATAAGATACCTTACTATAGACTCTAGAGTATGAATAATGAATTGTAAGGCTTCACGTGGCCATCACGTGCAGTCCCACAGCCTCGGCACTTGCCTGATACGGCCTACGATGACGCTGGTGGTTCTCAGCACCGCCGGCCAATGAGCCGCCACGCATTGCAGACCATGTGAAGAACGCACGACTCGCCAGGGTCTCTGCCCGCCGTTCCGAGGAAAGGGTCTCGTCTGTGTCGGCTCCTTTCCTTTGGTGGTGTTCTTTCTGCTGGCAGGTGACTTGAGTGTCAGACTGCTTTTAAATGCTCCGCATTCCCTGCTTGTCCGGCGTCCTCGGCTGCTCTGGTAGTGCCGAGTTGAAATAGCTCTGCCTGGAGTGTTAAACAGGGTTCTAACGGCTTTGCTTCTTATTCTCCTTCGTTACTCCCTTCATAGCTGCTGATTCCATTATGGCGAAAACGTTCTCCAAGGACGACGTTGCGTCGCACAGTAAAACCGATAGTCTGTGGGTTGTCATCGACGAAGACGTGTACGACCTCACCAAATTCCAGGACGAGCACCCAGGTAAGTGGATATTCTTGCTTATTTTTTATGCTCTTGTATATTCTAACTCTTCTATAGGTGGGAAGAAAAGTAGGTGTTCCCCCCGCTGCTGTTGTCAAGGGATGGGCTGACGATGATACCCCCTCCAGTCCTTCAAAGGGTAGCCGGGAAGGACGCGTCGAAACAGTTCTGGAAATACCACAATGAGGGTATCCTGAAGAAGTTCCAGGGTCGGCTACAGGTGGGATCTTTGAATACCAAGAAGGTTATCGCCCAACCGGCTCCGGCACCTGCGAAGGAAGCCGCCCCCAAGCCCCCGAAGCCCGCTCCCAAGACGACTGCACCGCCGAAAGAAGAGTCTGAGCCCCAGGAGCCATTCGGTGATCTCATTCCGTTTGCGGATCCTTCATGGTATCAAGGTGTAAGTTGCCTCTCTACTATGTACTTTTGGGTGGGGAGAAACAATCCCGGGGCTGACTCGTTGCCGTCTTTCTTGTTCAGTATCACTCGCCGTATTTCAACGAAACTCACGCCGCCCTCCGTGCTGAAGTTCGGCAATGGGTGGAGTCTGAAATTGAACCGTACGTGACCGAATGGGACGAGGCCAAGCAAGTTCCGGATAGGATCTACAAGCAGATGGGCGAGCGAGGCTATCTGGCCGGTCTTCTCGGGGGCAAATTCCCGGTCAACCTGACCCCGCACCGTGTTCAGGCAGTGCCTCCGGAGCAATGGGATCTCTTCCATGAGATGCTGGTCACCGATGAGATCTCGCGTGTGGGGAGCGGCGGGTTTGTGTGGAACCTCATCGGAGGCTTCGGGATCGGTGGCCCGCCGCTGCTCCGGCATGGGAAGAAGGCCCTCGTGGAGAGGATCATGCCGGGGATCCTGGCAGGTGACAAGCGTATCTGTCTTGCAATCACGGAGCCTGATGCGGGAAGCGATGTCGCCAATCTGACGTGTGAGGCCAAGCTTTCCGAGGATGGCAAGCATTACATCGTCAACGGAGAGAAGAAATGGATCACCAACGGCGTGTGGGCCGACTATTTCACCACCGCAGTGCGCACGGGCAAGCCTGGCATGAATGGAATCAGTGTGCTGCTCATCGAGCGCGAGAGTGGCGGTGTCAGTACTAGAAGAATGGACTGCCAGGGAGTCTGGAGCAGTGGCACCACCTACATCACTTTTGAGGATGTCAAGGTGCCGGTCGAAAACTTGATTGGAAAAGAGAACCAGGGATTTAAGGGTGAGCATTTGAAAGAGAACCCTTGTACTAGGACCCTTGTGCGTTTCTTGCTAACAGGTTTCCAGTAATCATGACCAACTTCAACCACGAGCGTGTCGGTATCATCATCCAGTCACTGCGCTTTGCTCGCGTCTGCTATGAAGAGTCGATGAAGTACGCCCACAAACGACGAACATTCGGCAAGAAGCTGATCGACCACCCTGTGATTCGGATGAAGCTGGCCCACATGGCCCGGCAGATCGAGGCATCCTACAATTGGATGGAGAACGTCATCTACCAGTGCCAATGCATGGAGGAAACCGAGGCCATGCTCAAGCTCGGCGGTGCCATCGCCGGTCTCAAGGCGCAGGCAACCACGACCTTTGAATTCTGCGCTCGCGAAGCGAGTCAGATCTTCGGCGGGCTGAGTTACAGCCGCGGCGGGCAGGGTGGAAAGATCGAACGGCTGTATCGCGATGTGCGCGCCTATGCTATCCCTGGAGGAAGCGAGGAGATCATGCTTGACTTGAGCATGCGCCAGAGTCTCCGTGTGCACCAGATGTTTGGCATGAAATTGTGATTTGATATATTTATGGAGATTCTGATAGTAAGATAGTCTATATACTAGGTATTCAACTCGGATTAGGTTAGGGTTATGCAATAAGACAACACCACTGGCCGTATTACTTACTAGATGTGAAGCTTTAGATATTCGTATATTAGGTGCTATCTAGACTGGTTGTCCAGAGGGCGACCCTTTACACGGCCCGTCTGTATGAACCGGGAGTTTGGCACACCATTTAAACACCTCCTTCCTGACATACTGCCAATTGAACCTCTCATAGACTCTGCCCTTCTTGTTTCGGTCTGCTTTCAAATAAAAGTTCCTCTCGATATGCTCCTGCACGGCAGGCATGGCGGTGTTGGTGAACCACTTGCTTTGTGCCTCGTGGGTATTTTTCTGCGCCGACGAGTAAACTGAAGAAGAGAAGGTATAGTCTATGCCGGTCTGTCCGTCTGCATCTGTCCATGGGCAATCATAAGCGTATCGATAGTAGAAGTAGCCGCCACTTTGATGAGACATGATGTGGTTGGAGGCAGGAGGGGGGAGAAAGTGCCAACTTGAAGTGTTTTGGCGGCTGAAAAGCTGAGACGGAGATCATCTCTTTATACTTACAATCAGTTGGACCTTCAGCTGAACTGGATAAGAGCAATGCTGACGTGTTGATTGCCAGGGATATCAAACAACATCAAGGCTACCAATCGTTGGGAAAGGGTGCTGAGCCTTGTCTCTATCAGAACAGTAGTAGGCTGTCACTGGCTATTTCACCGGTCTTCCTTCTCTCCTACAGTCTTTAGCCTTCAGCCTTGTCTCTGGAAAAGCATCTTACGGGCAAGTTTAGCCTTTTATTTGGTCCCTACAGAATTTATATTCCATATATATATATATATATCTGTAGTATACCTTCAAGACCTATAACCTTTCATTTAGCCATATACCTAGGTACTCTCCTATATTATACTACCATGAGCGAGACAGTATCTTTACTGGTTTTATGCAATATTACTTCGCTAGATTGCAAGTCTTTTCCTATTATATCTGGTCTACTAATATATATCTGTGGTACTCTGTATACTTCCTCTTTAAAACAGTATTTGAGAGAAGATAGAAGCAGCACCACAGTAGTTGGTCAATTAATAAGGGCGCCAATCAATCAATAATGCAGTCGAAACTGCCCTAGAATATAAATTGAATTTCTTTCTTTTTTCACTGATATATAGACGGAGAAGGTATATAGTTATAGTATCGGATATCCCGATGGATGATCACGTGACACCACGTGACATAATGGCGAACAGCCTACAGGCGCAGCACGACTTGGACTCTCGACGATCCTCGCTTTCTCTCCGTGAACAACGTGCAAGGGCAGTGGCTGTGTTCCTTTGAGGCCTTGAGCCAGTCGCCAGTTGTTGATTGAAGACCAGCCGATCTGTGTTTTTGTTTTCGTTCTTCTCGTCTTATCCAACGCTTCTGCCGGGCGGCTGACGCCTCAAGCTTGACGCCAGTCTAGCTTCAGCTTTGTCTCGGACAGGGCGCGGAATTTATTCTGAGTTGTCTCCCCCCCCCCAATCTCCGTCTACGACCAGGAACTCCTTTGAAAGACCCAGTGGCTGTTTGCACAGAGGGTCAAGATGTCGCATAATCTTCTGAACCAGGATTTCGGATCCGAGGACGAGGACGACGACTTCAATCCCGCGCCGGCCGAGGACTCTGACAATGAAGATGAGGTGAGTGATATAGAGATGCAGATCTATCTGTTGTAACGGCAAGAAATATTCATTGAGAGGTGGAATAGTCTAGGAATAACGCGAACCGTGGACGCGACCTCGAGGACGAAGACGATGAAGAGCCTGCGAACGGTCGGGCGAACGAGCGACGGAGAGTCCAGATCGAAGACGATGAAGGCGACAACGAAGGGGAAGGTGAGGACGATGAAGGCGACGACGAGGAAGGCGGAGCTCGTGGAGAAGAAAATCAAGACGAGGAAGATGAGGAAGACGAAGAAGAGGATGATGACGATGAAGACGCTGTGTCGGTATGTTTACATCTCTCTTCTACTTCCATGGTCCCGGATACAGAGAGAAAAAAAAACCGGCAATCTGTTTTGATCTGGATAAAACACATTGCTGACTGGAGTGTTCCTTTCTACAGGGTCGTCCTCGCAAGCGTAGAAGGAGGGGTGGTGTGCACTCCTTCTTCGAAGAGGAAGCCGGTGTTGATGAAGATGAGGACGAAGCAGAGGACGAGGAGGATGAACTGGCGGAGTTTGGCGCGGAGATGCACCCGGATGACCTTGACGCCTTGCCTGTTGGTGCAGAGACGGATGACCGCCGACATCGACAACTTGATCGCCAGCGTGAACTCGAGGCGAGCATGGATGCCGAAAAGCAGGCTCAGATGCTCAAGGAAAGATACGGTCGAAACCGGGTAGCTGCCGCCGATGCGGTTGTTGTGCCAAAGCGTCTTTTACTGCCCAGTGTTGACGATCCCAGTATCTGGGGTGTTCGCTGTAAACCGGGCAAGGAACGAGAGGTCGTGTTCGCTATTCAGAAACGCATCGAAGAACGGCCACCGGGTTCGCGCAAGGGTATAAAGATCTTCTCTGCGTTTGAGCGCGGCGGAGCAATGGCAGGCTATATTTACGTCGAGGCACGCAGGCAGGCAGATGTCATGGAAGGCCTGGAGGATATGTCGAACGTCTACCCGCGGACAAAGATGATTCTCGTGCCTGTACGTGAAATGCCGGACCTCTTGAGAGTTCAGAAGTCCGAAGAACTACTCCCGGGTGGCTGGGTGCGCATCAAGCGTGGCAAATACCAGAATGACCTGGCTCAAATCGAGGAAGTTGAGACGAACGGACTCGAGGTGACTGTACGGCTGGTTCCACGTCTGGATTACGGCTTGAACGAAGACACTGGTGCACCGTTGTCGGATCCCAAACGGAAGCGGATAGGCATGAACCCTGCAGTCGCCCGTCCCCCGCAACGCCTGTTCAGCGAATCCGAAGCCAAAAAGAAGCATAGCAAGTACCTGTCTGCCACCTCGGGACTCGGCGGCAAGTCGTGGAGCTACCTCGGCGAGACATATATCGACGGCTTCCTCATCAAGGATATGAAGGTGCAGCATCTCATCACTAAGAGTGTCAATCCTCGCCTGGAAGAAGTTACAATGTTCGCACGGGGTGCCGAGGATGGTACATCGAATCTTGATCTTGCCTCTCTCGCTGAGACACTCAAGCATTCCACAGCGGAAGACTCGTATCTGCCCGGGGATCCAGTGGAGGTGTACCGCGGCGAACAGCAAGGTGTCATCGGTCGGACTGTCTCGACTCGGGGCGAGATCGTATCCTTACTGGTCACAGAAGGTGAGCTGGCTGGACAGACGATCGATGCCCCCATGAAGTCGCTTCGCAAACGATTCAGAGAGGGAGACCATGTCAAGGTCATTGGTGGTAGCAGGTACCAAGATGAACTGGGCATGGTTGTTCAAGTCAAGGACGACACAGTTACCTTGCTTAGCGATATGAGTATGCAGGAAATCACTGTCTTTAGCAAGGATCTTCGGCTCTCTACCGAGTCCGGGGTTGACGGTAAGCTGGGTATCTTTGACGTTCACGATTTGGTGCAACTTGAGTAAGTCGTCCGTCATTTTTCATTTCTTTTATTTTGTTTACCCCCCCCCCCCCCATCTCTCTGTGGTATATGGTGCCTGTACTGACTTGGTGAAGTGCCTCTACTGTCGCCTGCATCATCAAAGTAGATCGTGAGTCTCTTCGGGTTCTTGATCAGAACGGCTCTATCAGGACAATCCTTCCTTCTCAGGTCACCAACAAGATCACCCCTCGCCGCGATGCTGTCGCTACCGATCGCAATGGCGCAGAGATTCGACACGGGGATACCGTCCGAGAGGTCTACGGCGAGCAGAGGAACGGCGTGATTATTCACATCTACCGTTCGTTCTTATTCTTGCATAACAAAGCCCAAGCAGAGAATGCCGGCATCGTGGTCGTCCGTACAACCAATATCGTTACCGTGTCTGCTAAGGGTGGACGAGCCACAGGGCCTGATCTTACCAAGATGAACCCTGCCCTCATGCGGAACGGCATGCCTGGCGCGTCAATGCCACCTCCCAAGTCCTTTGGACGTGATCGACTCATTGGCAAGACTGTCATGGTCAGGAAGGGGCCCTTCAAGGGTCTCGTTGGTATTGTCAAGGACTCAACAGACGACCAGGCCCGTGTCGAGCTTCATTCCAAGAACAAACTAATCACCATTCCTAAGGAGATTCTCGTCATCAAAGAGTACGTTCATATATATCCATGTTTCCAGCCGCTTCTTGCTAATGTCATTTTTCTTTCTAGCCCCATCACAGGTGCAACAGTAGAGCCAGGCCGCGGACGGGGCGGTGGCCGTGTGCCTTCTGGTGCCGGAGCACCCCCGTCGAGAGACGGTGGTTGGCATGGTGGACGCACTCCCATGGCTGCCGACTCGTCGAGGACACCTGCTTGGGGCGGTGCATCGTCATCACGCAGTAAGTTCCATTTTGTCTTCCTTGGTATCTCATATGCTAACGACGAAATTCAATAGCTCCCGCCTGGGGTGGTGTCGGTGGCGGTTCGCGCACTCCAGCCTGGAGGAATGACGGATCTCGCACATCAAACCCTTACGATGGTAGTCGGACTGCCTACGGGGGAGGAGCGGGCGGGCGTACCCCGGCATGGAACGCTGGCGCCCGTACTCCGTATGACTCCGGCTCTGGATCAAGTGGATTCGACGCCTTTGCGGCCGGTTCCAGGACGCCTGCCTGGGGCGCCTCCAACACCGGCAACCGCACTCCTGCCTGGTCCGGGGGCGCCTCGTCATCAGCGGGGGGTGGCAGCAAAGACCATCTCTCTCACCGCGGCTACGATGCACCCACGCCGGGAGACGTGTACTCAGCTCCTACCCCAGGAGGGTACGCCAGCGCGCCTACACCGGGCATCTCTGCGCCCACTCCGGGTGCGTGGCCGGACAGCGCCCCGACTCCAGGTGCGCTTAACGTGCCGACGCCTGGTGGCCGACCCTACGACGCGCCCACCCCAGCAATGGGTGGAATGGCTGCTACTCCCGGGGCGGGCGTCTACGGGGATGATGACGGAGCGCCGCGGTACGATGAAGGCACACCAAGTCCTTGATTCTTTCTTCCTCCCCTTTTTCTCGACAAATCCAGATCGGAAGAAAAAAAAATTAAAAAAGTTGGACAGTCTTAGATTACGCGTTGTGTATCTATTTGCCTGCTTGATATTTTTTTTTTTTTTTTTCGCAGCAGCACTGATATTCTATCTAATCATGTATCATAGCCCTATGAATCTGTCCGGTTTATCTATTCTATCTCATCCGTAAGCCTAAACAGAATTACCAAAAGAAGACAATGAATACATCTGTCTACAATGATATTCTTAGAGAATAGAACTAGTTTTACTATCCCCAGATAGAGGTCTTGATACATCGGAAAGGGACTCAATAGATAGATAGATCACCTAAGCGGCATTGAGCCGCGAAGTCAATGAAATTGGAAACCTATGCATTGACCTTTCCCTCTATTTTGAAGAAATGAAGGGGAAAAAGGGTCGAAATATGGGGAGGGGGAAACGAGAATGTATCAAAAAAGAAGAAAAGAAAGTAAGAAGACACGGTTTTTGAAATTGAAAAATAAAAAAATAAAAATAAAAATAAACAGGTTACGGAGGTACAGCACGGGCAAGGGTGCGGATGTTATCCACGAAACCCTTGATGAGGTCCGGATACTGGTTATCTGGATCGCCGTCTATAGCGAGTTGACCCTGGCGACGGATTTCGGCGCCGGAGATTTCGATTTCGAGCTCGTGGTCGAAATCTGGCTTGGGGTTCTAGAATAGTTAGACAAGAATTCATGAAAGGTATAGAATTCAAGAAAGAGAGAGATAGAGAGAGAGAGAAAATGGCTTACTTCTGATCTGGCGACTTGGGTAAGGTCGATCTGGTAGGCAAGATGGCGATAGCTCATGCGGTCTTTGTTGCGGGCGCCACGGGCGCCCTTCATGGTGTCGGCGACGACGAGGCTGCGCACGTCGCCGTCATACTCCATCTCCAGGTTGACGCTGACGCGCCAGTCCACGCACGTCGTTGGGCTGTAGACGTCCATGTCTGCCAGACGGCATTTGACGATCTTGGCGAGCACTTCACCGGTGCGCTGGTCGGTTGTGACGCGCACTCGCGGCTTGTGACGTGGGTTGAGGTTCTGGCGGATGATGGGAGGGAGGTCCGAGGCTTGTACCTCATAGAATGTGTCGCGTTCCTTCTTGTGGGCATACGAGAGGGGTATCCGGCCGGGATTGGATTGGGGCATGCTTGCCTTGACGGCGTCGTTTAAGAAGTTGTTCATTGCCCGATGTTGTGCCTGTTTATTCATATCATTAGAAGATAAGAAGGAAGAGGAGACAGAGGGAAGCTCACTTGACTCATGGAGCTTTCAAACGAAGTACGTAGTCGAGGATCCTCTCGGTTCAGAACGCTTTCCGTCAGCACCGGCAAGCGTAGCCTCTCCCCACGGTCCATGTCAATGATGTGTCCCAGCTTCGCTTCCACCTCGATGATCGCCCCCTGGCCAGCCGCCGCGGCGCCGGCGGGCCCAGTAGCAATGTCCTTGCGGAGAACGACGTGCTGGAATAAGAAGTCGCAGATCTGCTTGGTGATCTCCTCGTGGGGGATGAACCCAGTTATCGAGGGCTCCCACTGGCCTAGAGATCCCTCGGGCTTGGACACCTCAAGAGGGGGTGGTTGGGACGATTGCCCGTTTATTGAAACTGTGCTATTAATACGGTTTCTCGCCACTGGTGGTGCAGCCGGTGCCGCGGACGTAGCTCGTACAGCAGGGGCAGTGGCAGTGGTAGTGTTGGTGGTGGTGGCGGTGGTGACTGTTGTAGCTGTAGCTGTAGCCGCTGCTGGAGGTGCTGCTGCTGGAGGTGCTGCTGCTGCTGCTGCGGCTGCGGCTCGCTGTCGAGATGCCCATGGATCTTGGGGCGTATCTCTTAGGTGTTTAGGAATGGGGGGTTGGCAGTGAGGGATGACGGGGCATTTTGCATTGGGTCGAGGAGTTCTCTGAGCATAGATAGGTGGGTCAGTGTACCTGAGCTTCTTCCTTTTGGAAGGACGAGGACTCGAATTCGCCTGGAGGGTCTCCCTAGGTGGAAGAGACTGTCGAGGCACTGCCATTGATGGATCGCTGGACGATAGGAGTCGTGATGAGACCGGCGAGCTCACGGTCTGCGGGGCTCCGGGTGTGGTGGTGGTGGAGGAGGAGGAACGATTGGGAACCTTCGGGCGCGATGAGCGGTTGGATCCTGGGGAGTCTTCTTTCCACATCTCATCCTCGGGCTGGACGCGGTACGAGGTAGTGATCAGTACACGGCTTCCTGGAACATGGACCTGGTTTGCAACGGGCCGAACAATGGTTTTGGGACTCACACTGACACTCCTTTCTTTATCAGTCTCGGCGGCGGAATAGAGTCGGTCCAGGGAGGCTGAATCCTGAAGGGAGCCACGGGGCTGTGCGGACGGGGACAGAATCAGATTCCTGTGGTCTTGGCCGGGGGTATCCTGACCGATCCATGGACTAGACAAGGGGTTCTGGAGCGAGTCTTGACCCGAGGAGAGCGGCCGGGCGGACTGGGGTGACGGACGCGAGTAGGTGGCCGAGGGAGGGCCGAGAGGAGTGCCTGGGAGGGAGCGTTGGGCGCCGGAGGCAAACTGCTGCGCGTGCAGGGGCTGCGACGCGGTGGACGTTGGGCTGTCCCTGGGATAGAATGAGTAACTGGGAAGGGCAGAGGGGGATAGGACCGACTGGATGGAGTGCGACCGCTGCTGCGAGAAGTACGAGGGTGCTTCCTGGTGCGAGATACCCGCACTAATGGGCTGCTGCGGCGTGTAGGGCGAGGCCAGCGGTGCGGCAGGCAGCGCCTGATTCTTCTGGTGCGGGCTGAAGACGGCCGAGGCGGGCGCGGTCGTCGAGAAGGAGTCTCGCGAGCCACTCCGCAGGGCCGTCGGCGACCCATACTGGAGCGAGCTGTAGGAGGCCGACCGTTCTGGCGAGCCATGGGGCGGCGGCTGTATCGGCGGAGGCTGCGGCGGGTGGCCTGGATAGGCGGCGGCGGGCTGGTATGATGAGGGCGTAGCGGCGGCCTGTGGTGACGGGCGAGGGAAGCCAGTCTCGGGCAGCGACGACTGGCGCACGGGGGGGGCATTGGAGGAGGCGCCCGCGGCGTCAGTATTCATGATCGTGCGCAGGTCCATGGCGACAGCGAAGCCACGAATCGAACAGGTGGGATAGAATGGACAGGGAGCGAGAGTGCGGAGGGCGAGCAGCAGCCAGCGCGGCGGAGTGCTTGTACACGAGGACCAGGCGAACCGGGGATCAGACGGCGATCAGAGACCCTTCAAGCAACGGCCGAAGCCGACATCGATCTCGAAAGCGGCGCACGAGGGCGTCGAGGGGGGCCGTGAAGCTCTGGTGGTGGGCGGCGAGGGCGCAGGGTGCAGGGTGCAGGGTGGAGGGATAGCAGAGAAAAAGAGAGCTCCGGATTCAGGGAGCTCACGATACCACCGCCTCCGCAGGGCTGGCCGACCGTCGACGACGAGGACGTTTTCTTTCCCCCCTCCCCCGGTTCTTTGTCTTTATCTCTGAGAACTGCGAAATCTGTTCTTTGTCTCTGGGCAGGGCATCTTCAGGTTTACAAAATATACCATGCTGCCTGGAGTGGGCTGGGGGAATACGCCTTTGTTGGCCTCCGCCGCCAGCTGGACCAAGGTGTCTGCAGATGCAGCCCTGACGCAAGGAATCGGATCGGCAGCCTCCCTGGAGACTTCCTGTAGGGCTTGGGAACTGGCTCTGTGCTCGTCAGATCGCGAAAGACGGGCGTCCTGGGCGTCTGGCAGGGACATCGCTGTCCGCTGCACCTCGCAGCCAGCCGTCACGTGATATCATAATAGACGGGAATAATCAACGCCTGAGGCAGCAACATTTGATGCCTGATGTCTGGGGCAAAATTACGTGTTTCATCGCCTTACAGCCTGACACTCGTTCTCTGTATTATTACTCACTCCGTACCTACCTAGGTAGCTACTCCGTAATCAATAGTTAACGACCACAAACTCCCAAGAGAACGCATCCAACTCCTCTCGATACCATGACCTCCACATTTACTAGACATTATTGACACAGCTAGTCCCTAAAGTCCTGCAATGGCTTTGGTTTAATGCCACAAATGCTGCTAGACGCCACGAGTTGCGTACTCAGGAGCGGTGCATTGCGTCACCTCGTTGAAGACCAGGCAGACAACCCCCCTCGAACCTCCATGGTCTCGGGCTACTTTCTCAATACTACACCTTGATCGTTACGGGGGTACGGTATTTGAATGGCATCGCTGACTATTTGATGGCGTTTTCTCCGGCCAGACTGTAATAAGTCGTGCAGAATAAGTTGCACGAAGGCCTCTTGTTCCACGGCTTCGGCATGACGACACACGGGACAGGGGTGGGTCGGCACATTTCTGATTGCTACGCAAGCCCCAGCGTCAACTCGTCGACTCTCCTTTTGCCATCTGGACTCTCTCAGCTCAAGCCCCGACCGACTGATCGACTCTGGTGTCGCTCGCTCGCAGGATCTGACAAAAAGCACGTCAACTGAGCTGAGCATCACTACCTCCAGGTATGGTTCTGGTTTGATTTAGCCTCTCGGCATTGCCCCCTTGGCCTGTCCCCGCTTGACCCGCTAACGGTGTTGATTCTCCAGGAATAGATGCGCAAGACGTGCCTCGAGGTGAAGGGCGCCGGTAATCGAGACGAGACCTAGACTCCTCGCTATGATAGCTGTCACTCGGGGGGATCCTTCAATGAGTGATTGAGCACCCTGGCTACCGCGATATATTGGAAAAAAAAACCCCCGAGGGTGGATAGGCACGAGACCATATCATTATTGTCTGGTTTTGGTCGCAAATTATCGCCATCAGTCGTTCAGCAGATTACCTGAATACTTTATTTTGGGGTGGGGGGGGCTTTTTTTTCTATTTTTTTGTTTGCAGAGCATGGGTAGGAGTGCAGACACAGCTTTGACGAATCCCCTTGTGTCCACTGCCTGTGAAAAATAGTCGACGACTGAATATCTTCGACATGCCGTGGGCGGAGTCAGAGTCATCTCCCTCCTCCAACGCAGACAGTCCTTTGAACGACCTGGAGGCGGGCACACAGACGCCCTCCTCCCTTCCGAGCTGGGATGACCTCTCCAACTACACTCGATCCAGCCTTCTCTGGCATTCGCAACGGCTAGCGCCGCCTCTGCAGGAGTACCCGAACAACTGGTCTACCAGCTCTGGAAGCTGGTTGTCAAACCTGCCGATCTTAATCGTCCCAAGCTTTCTCCAAAAATACGTGGGTGGCAGGCCGTCCCCAGACCACAAGCTACATAAGATTGCCGCTTTGGACGGGCTGCGCGGCTGGGCCTGTCTGCTCGTCTTCAACTTTCACTTTCTCTTCACCTACACATGGAAGGTCGCGATTGGATGGGGGTTTGCAAAGGAGAATTTCAGTATCTTCCAATTACCCATCATTCACCTCCTCACCTCCGGCCATATCATGGTCGCTATCTTCTTTGTCATCTCCGGCTATGTTCTGTCGTACAAGCCCCTGAAAACCATCCGCAGCCGGTCCTGGGATCAGACGTTTGTGGTCTTGGCCTCATCCACCTTTCGTCGCGGATTGCGTCTGTACATCCCCTCGATCATCGGCATTGCCATTGTCATGGCAGCGGTCCGTATGGGGGTCTACAACTACTCCCACGTGGTCGTCAATGAGGGTCAGACGATACTCGGCACCAACGAACAGCACCCAATCATCCTGCCTACTTTCTATATGCAGCTCTGGGACTGGTATCGCACAGTGGTTCATCTCACAGACCCTTGGAACTGGGGGCTGTACTACAACTACTATAATCCTCATCTGTGGACGATCCCCGTCGAATTCCGCTGCTCGATCGTTCTGTTCCTCACAATTCTCGCGACCTCCCGCCTGCGCAGCTCGGTGAGGATAGGCCTTGTGGCCTGTCTACTCTGGTTCTGTGTTCGGTGGGGGCGCTGGGACGTCGTTCTCTTCCTCTCAGGCATGTTAATGGCAGAGGTTGATCTCATCCACGGTATCTGGGAGAATCCGGCACCGGCACCCACTACTGCATCTTCAGTAGACTCTACACCAACAACCACTAAACCATTCTGGAATGAAAAAGCCCCCTCTCTCCCGATTCAACTGCCCCCAGCCGTCCACCGTGCCATCCGCGTGTGCCACCGCAACCGGTGGCTCGGTGTGTTTGTCACGGGTCTATACATCGGCTCATCGCCCAACAACGGCTTCAAATGGACACCCGGGTACATCTGGCTAGCCCGGCTCACGCCCAAGACGTACCCGGAGCCACACCGCTTCCCACAGACCATCGGGGCCGTCCTAATCGTGTTGGCAATCAACCGATCCCCTGCCATCCAGCGGCTCTTCACCAACCCGTTCTCGCAGTATCTCGGCCGCATCTCCTTCGCCTTCTACATCGTTCACGGCCCTATCCTGCACTCCCTGGGTTACTCCATCATGCCCTCCATTTGGGCCGTTGTCGGCCGCCAGACAGACTTCCAGGCCGGCCTGGGGTTTCTCCTCGGCTGGCTCGTCTGCCTCCCCATCTCCATCTGCGTGGCCGATCTCTTCTGGCGAGCTGTCGATATTCCCAGCGTGCGGTTTGCCCGCTGGCTGGAGGAGAAACTTGTCGTCCAGGCCGGGTGGACCAATGACCTGCCGACTTCCATGAAAGGTAGAGGGTCCCTCCATAGCCGTACTCAATAACAATTCCCATTAATAACCCATCACCAATGCCAAGTCCTTTGTTTAAAGGGAAAAAATAGAAATACAAATTGCCGTTGATTTCGAAAAGGAGAAGAAGAAGAAGAAGGGAAAAAAGTCTACACGTGTATTCAGCGTACTATAAAACCAAGCTAATGCAATTCATCATCATTCACTCATAAAAACCAATGTGCTGTTTTTGCAAGAATATGAAAAGAAGAAGAAGAAGAATATAGAGACCATGGAAAAAAAAAAAAGAAAAAAAAAACAAGCAATTTAAAGACCCACCCCCCAGATCCCCCGCCCACCACACACACCCAGCCAGTCTCGAGGATGGCCAGCAGGATTGGTGCCCCCCTGCGGCGACCAGCTGATATTCGAGACTTCATAATCACATTGCCAGGCGGCGGCGGGCCCGCGCTCCGAGGGTGTAGAGTGGGCGCCCGATCCGGTGGCAGCGGCAGGGTTGGCGGCGGAGGGATTGTGGCTCGGGGCGATGGGCGCTGCGTGGTGGTGATTGATCAGGTCCCAGAGAAGAACGAGGCAGTCGTCTGCACCCGAGGCCAGGACACCGCGCCGGTTGGGCGACCATTCAACGCAGTTGATGGCGGAGCCGTGCCCCTTGAGTTCGAGAAGAGCTTGACCTGGCTGTCGGACGTCGAGCACGCGCACGACGTTCGAGTCCTGAGAGAAGGTTGCAAGGAGATGGGCGTCGTGAGGTGAGGCTATCGTGATCCTTGTTGTGAGTACTATGTTCATTCCTTCCCCCCCAAAAAAAAAAAAATAAAAAAAAAAGAGAACCACTTACCGGCAATGCGAAGGAGCGGGGGAGGCCATGCAGCCCCTTGGTGAGTTGCCGACGGGCTGGAGTTCCCAGGACTCATCACTGCAGCCATGTCAGATCTCGGAAGTGTTGTGTCATTGAAAAGCAGGGAGATGAAACGTACCTTTATCATTCTTCTCAGATGGTTCATAGATGATTGTGCTGTGCTCCAGGCTGCGAAGGTCGAACATGCGCACACTACCGTCCGCACCACAGCTTACAAAAACGTCGACGCTGTTGGCGCAGAACCGGACGTCGTAAACTTCCTTGTCATGGGCAATGAGCTGGGTTTTGGCCGTCAAGGTCGGAATGTCCCAGATCGTGCAGGTGGTATCGATACTGGACGTGATAATCAGACTCGGGGAGATTGTGTTCCAATCCAGCGACGTGATGGGTGCCGTGTGCTCTGGGGATTTGGAGTTGGACAACAAAGCCAGTGGCGAGAGCTTGGTAACCGGAGTGTTTGAGGGCCGCGTGATAAAGTTGGAGCTTTGCAGCGTCGGGCTCGTCGGGAGCGACCATAACCGCAGATGATCGCCCGATGTCGCCAGTAAGTCGGTTGACTGCTTCTGGGAAGATGGTGGCTCCCAGAGGATGCGAGTGACAGGGTACGAGTGCGTCGCTTCGGCGGTTTTGACGTAGTCCAATTTGATCTCTCCCGCAGCGGCGTCCGGCGTGTCGGGGTCGGGCTGCGTCCAATGCGTGTCAATGATTTGAATCTGCGTAGGAATCGTCAGTATGTATGCAACATAGATGGCCAGTTTCAAGGCATACGTAATTGTGATTGTCCTCCAAGTAGCTTCCAATGGCAATCTTCCCCCCGAAGGAACCCCCAGAGCCCGATGTTGGCCACTTGCACCAATCCACCGCATAGATCGGCCACGGAGCTAGATAGTTGCTGTTTGTGGGTACCTGAGGCTCACGGTTGAGCTGTGCAAGATTAGGACTGCTGTTCATATCCGGCAGAAGCAATTCCCCCGACGGTCGGATGTCGGCCAGGCCAAGAGGCGAGTATTTCGATCCCTGTGGAGTATGGGGAGGGAATCCAACACTGGGAGACGAATTATACTTGGAGCTCTCTCCCACACCCTGTGGCTTGTATTTCGGTTGCTCGAATCCGGCCGGACTGGACCGGGAGTGACTGTGCGAATTGACCGCGCCCGAACGAGGCGTCGTCGGCTGCTGCTGCTGAGGTTGTAATTGAGTGGTCAGCTGGGGTAGTGTAGGAACTGCCGAGGGCGCAGTATTGACAGCCATGGGTGGCGGTCTATTCGTATTTCCTGGCTGCAGCGCACCAGGGAGGGCAGCCTGGTTGCTGTTGCTGCCCCCGCTGCCCCCGCTATACAATCCCGGCTGCGAGCTGCTGGACTGCACATTGATGGACGGCACACCCCCAGTCACCGTCTCTGCTGCCGCGGAGTAGTCGTGAGAAGAGAGCTGACGAGTCATATTTGAGCCAACAGTGCCCCCAGCCCCCGGGATATGGAGCTCCTCCGGTTGGCGACTGAACCCAGCGCCCCGGCGCGGGGAGTCAAAAGGCGGCGGTATCGGGTTGGACATGGCGGCAAGCTGGGCAGTGGTGAGGTATTCTACCCTCTTTCAGGGCTTCGCGGAGAGCTTTACGGGGTTCTTGATCGAATGACTGCGCCAGAGTCAGCACCAAGACACTCAACCAGCCCCCCCCCTCCCCCATGAGAGCAGCAGCTCTCGACTTACCGCACGGCGTCCGAGGAGCTCCGACAAGCACCGAGACCTTGCGCAACCTGTTTCATACCATCAGATGCTCCATCCGACTCTCTCACAGCGGCAGTCCCAAGCTCAACAGAGGCGCCTAGCAGCTGGTCAGAGTCGAGGCGGGGGATGGAGTGTTTCGCATCCCATTCACTTTGGGCGTCTGGCGGGCGGCTGGCGCTGACTCAGCATCACCACGCCGCCTTCTGCACACCCAGCAATTGTTCCCCCCCCCCCCCTCACTCTCTGTGCTTTGCGAGTGTCTTCCAACCAGTTCGGCCTGCTGTGGGTTAAGCTGTGTCTCATTATCGAGCGTGTGTCTTGCTCCTCATTGGTTATCTGTTGATAGTGTGCAGGCTAGGCTGCTGGTCCAGAATGGCGTCTCCGTATGCTCTGCTCCTGCTGCCTTCTCCACCAGCGATAGTGGAGGAGGAGGTGAGAGACGCGTACGAGGAGGCTCTAGCATCGGTTTTCTCGACTCTGTCGCAGTCTCTGGACGGTACCAGTTGCACTGCCACGCTGGATATTGCGTTAGCCATCTCCGGCCTGGAGCCAGCTTCCCGTCAGCCCAGAGCCCGGGTGTTCCAGCCGCTTCAACACGTGCTGACCAACGTTTACAAGCTCATCATTGCTGTGTGTGCGTCAAGGAGCATTGAGCTCGATGGTCCGGGGGGTATTGATGCTCGGGTGGTGTTTGTCGGTGATGTTGATGAGGGTGCAGATGGTGACAGAGCTCAACGGCTGGGACCTATCCTCAGTCTCCAAACACTGGCGACATCCGCTCGTTCCTGGAATTCCATCTTCTTCGTGGATACAGCATCCGGCCGGAAACTCCTGAACGCATTCACTGGTAGTCTGCAGTCTCCGGTGCATACGTACGGAGTTCCCGGAGGCAAGTCGGATGAGGCCTCTTCGAACACTCTTCTCCTGGCATCTGAAGGACCACAGGGAGTGGCTCGACACTATTCTGTCGCTGTGGGAGGCACCTTTGACCATCTTCATATTGGACACAAACTATTACTCACCGCCACGGCACTGGCTTTGGATCGGGTAGTAGAGACAGATACGGGCCGAGATCGATCGATCACAGTCGGGGTGGCAGCGGACGAGCTACTGGCGAAGAAGAAGTATATCGAATTCTTGGAGAGCTGGGATCAGCGGTACAGACGTACTGCTTCGTTTCTAACGAGTATCATCGACTTCTCCCCCCCACAGGACAGCGCTCCGCGGGTTCAAGAGGTGTTGGAGCCCGGTCCCAACGGCAAATACGTCCTACTCCGGCTACGGACCGATCTCGTCTTGAAGCTAGTCCAGTTCTCAGACATCTATGGTCCAACAATCACGGACCAGCAAATCAGCGCACTTGTTGTGTCCAGAGAGACTCGCGCCGGCGGCCAGGCGGTCAATACTGAAAGAGCTAAGCAGGGTTGGCAAGAGCTTGAGATCTTCGAGGTCGACGTGCTCAATTCGGGGACAGCGGCAGCTCTCGCAGCCTCGAGACCCGACAGCTTCGAGACCAAGATCAGCAGCACGGAGATCAGGCGGCGTCGAATGGAACAGGCCCAAGCACCACCACGGTCAACCTGACTTGCGAGGATTGGAACCCGGACACCTCGTCACCAGTCATTCATATTTTTCATCCGACAAAAATGCCTCGGTCAGTCAGCCACGCAATCCAGACAGTACACACACAGAACGATACCATGAAGCTCTAGTCCAAACAACCGCTCCCTTTTCAATCACGCATAATCCGTGCGCATATGGGCTCAGCTCCCGACCTGTAGATAGTCCAAAATCTCCGGTGACTGGGGCAGCCAGAGCACTACGGGTTTATCCTGGTAGTTATCGGGCAAATACTTGGTTCGCCGCCCGAGTCTCTTCGTAAAAACATATGCTGCTCGTGCGACGCTTTCTCGATCATGCAGCCTCATTTAACGTGTGTGGACATCGGCCTTCCACGATTTGTTGGATCAGTCTGTGTGCTGTTGGTGATTCAGATTCAGTTCTGCATTAACGCACTGAAACAACCCCTGCAGCACTAACCACCACCGCCAGTTCCGGCCGAGTATTCACCAACCACCACCGCGCAATTTATATGTCATGACACACTGGGGCGGAGAGAACCTGATTCCCTACCGGCCAACCGAATCGATGTCGCTCAGTCTCGCCTGCTTAGCGGGGTTGTGCTCCTGCGCGCCGAGCCTGCAGCGCGTGTCGGACAAATCCAACTCGTCCTCGCCTGCTGGCCTGTCGCCCCCCCCTTTCGCTGCTCGACCTCGACGATATCTTCCCATTGCACACCACCAGGCTGGTTCACACGGGATGGCCGCATGCACCTTCAATCATGTGATATTCTGGAGGGTAACTGTCTCTCCAATCAATACCTTCATCATCCCCCAACTCGCAACATCGCGGCTTGGGGTCGGCAGCTCGACAGCTCAAACATGCACGCTCACCCTCCGGGCTCTGGCTTGAGATAGAGCATCCCGGACGAACGACTTGGCAGGAAGCGTCGAGGGATTGAGTTTTTTTCCCTTTTTTTTCTTCTTTTCCCTAATGGCGCTCGTTCATTAGTTCCCTTCATGCTTGCTTGTTGGCTCCGCCGCTACTCTCGGAGGCAGATCACATCATAAACTATATTATCTTCCCCGAACCTCGATCGTTTTCTTCTGGCATTGCCTTATTACTAGTTCATGCCGTTTTGCCATCTATTCACGGCAGCCGAACTGTTGGCGCAGGCTGTACGTTGCAGCCATCATGGACCACCCGCGATACATTGATGACCTGGCGGATGAGCTGCTCAGCGATATCCTGTCCTTCCTGACAGGCGCAGAGCAACCGTGGATCGAGCCTCCGTTGGAGAATCCCATGCCGAACACCACATCGGAACGCCCTGGCGAACGGTGCGATCTCGACCGGTTCCGTCTCGTGTGCAAACGATTCATGAGGATCGCCACGCCGCGCAAGTTCTCTCGCTTCGTCTTGCGATTCTCCAAGGAAGGTTTCCAGCGGCTGGAGGACCTTTTGCGCATGGACCGGGCTTGTCATGTCAAATACTTCACGTACATGGTGCGACCCTTCTATCAAGGCAGCGGTACCAGCCCCCCCGTGCAGTATTCCGGGGAAAAAAAAAACCATTTTCAGGGTAGAAGGGAAGGTGGTTGGCTGACTTTTTCTTTCCTGATCCCACGGAAACTTTAGGCTGGACCGCAATCCTCGCGCAGATCGGCACTCATAGTCCCTCGGTCTCTCAGATCCACACTCATCGGTTGTTTACCCAACAGCTGGTGACCGACGGCGGCTGTGACCTAATATTGCTGCGTCGGGCGATGGAAGCATTCTCGTCGCTCCGGCAGATCAAGTTGCTGAGGCTGCAAGATCAGGCGGACGAACAACTTCTGGGGCTGATCAAGGAACGGTCTCTGAATTCGGTGGCGCATCTAAGCTGGGAACCCGCTTGCTCGCGGGCGATCGCAAACCTCGGCGTCGCCTTGCTGGAGTCGAACTGCTGTGCGGTCAAGTTTGTCGGCCCCCAGATCAGTCCGGACACTGGTTCCCGGATGCTTCAGGTCCCGTCGACGACGCTCTCCGCGCTCGGGCAACGATTAACGAGTCTCGACGTGAATTTCTACTCCTCGGCCGACATGACCTCCAGCATTGTCCGTCTGTCGGCTGCCTTCCGCCACTTCTTCCTGGCCGCAACGAGTCTGACAGACCTCCACCTCGGCTTCTCGGGTCGCTCCCCGCTTGATCTCAAACTCGAGCAGGTGCTGCATGGGGCCCACTGGAAACGGCTCCGCGCCTTCAGTCTGCAGGGCTGGCGGCTGGGCGCGGGTGAGATCGTCGGCATGGCGCGACGCCACCGCCGGCAGCTACAGGACCTTCGCCTGAGTCATATTTACCTGCGCGAAGGTGGACGCTGGAGCGACATCCTCCTAGTGTTGCACGACGAGATGGAGCGGCTCGAACGGCTAGACCTGCGCGAGATCGACTACGCAAAGCATCTGGATGCCCCCTCCTCCGATCCGGTTGATACCAGCCTCCTCCCGAGTACTACTACTGCCAGTGCAGATAGGGACACAACCCACGATACAGACCTGCAAGAGATCATCATTGATGACTACCTCCGCCTACCCTGGCAGGACAACCCGCCGCGCACGCTCTCGCCGGCCACCGTGGCTAAGCTGCGGGCCTTGGGGGTGCACGAGCTGGGCGACAACGGTGCGTATGTTCGGCGCGAGCAGCGGGTGTTATGGGAAGCATGGGTGATTGCCAGTCGATAGTGGAATGAAAAAAAATTCTTTAGTAGTGATCACATTATTTTTGAACTCCTTGATTCCATTGAAGGCCTGAAAACACACCAACTATGTAGCTGTAAGAAATAAAAACAGAGAAGAAAGAGAGAAAGAAAGGAAGAAGAAAGAAGATATGGTATCGTTATCTGGAAAAAAAAAAAGTCAAAAAACATTCTGCGTCTCCAGCAGATGAGGGGTGCCCCCCGACGAAAGGCCCGCCGAAACGGTGCTGGTGCTCTGGGGCTTTGCGCTGCGCTCGCGGAGACGACGCCCCTCCATGAGGCCGCGCAGGCCACGCTTCTGCAAGCCGATGACGCTGCTGAGATCGCCGGTCCAGATCTCCCGGACGGGACGTAGCTCGGCGTCGGTGTCGCGGCGGCGGTGGCGCGAGTGCGACGTCGACGTGTTGGTGTTGGTGTCGTACTCCGAGTCGGACTGGCTGAAGCTCGTGCTCGTCGACGCCGAGGCCGTGCTGGCGTTGCTGATCGAGTCTTCACGTTCGCGATCGCTGCGGTGCCGGTGGTGCAGGCGGCCACGGTGCCGGTGGTGATCCGACGAGGAGGAGAAGTCCGTATGGATGCGGAGCGGGACGCCGCGCGATGACGACCCTGCTGCTGTACTGGCTCCTCCAAAGGCCAGTCTCCCGCCATTACTGTTGTTGGTGGTGCCTGTACTGGCGCTGCTGGCGGTGGCCGCCGCGCCGTGTTCCGTGTCGGAGGAGTCCGAGGCCAGCACGCTCTGGTGGCCTGTGGCGTTGGGTTTCGACTGCGTGGCGGGGCCCGTCGCGGCGTGCACGCCGTTGAGGGCTTCGAGAGTGCCGCCGGGCCCGCTGACGAACCCTGTACCGCGGCCACCGCCCGCAGCCATGGCGGCTGCGTTGAAGACCGCCGCGGCGTTGCGGCCGTCGAGGACCTGGTGAAGTCGCTCGACGGTGGCTTCGAGGAGTCCGTCGACCTGGTACGGGCGGGCGATCTGAAGAAGCGAACAGAGAATCTGCGGGGTGCACAGGGAGGAACCCGCGGGGGGTAGGGAGGAGGTATAGAAGTAGTAGACGAGGACTTGGAGGGTCAGATAGGTGTGGGGGAGATAGAGCACGCGTAGGCGCGAGGTGGGCGCCAGCGAGTGCGCCGAGGGGATCTCGAGATTGGCGAGCAGGGATTTGGAGGGCGGTAGCGGGTTGTTGACCAGCGTCGTCGCTGCCGAGTAGTTGCTGGAGTTGCCGACGGACGGGGTGATGGTGATGCTGGAGTTGCGGCTGGGATACGCACCCATGGCACCGCGCAGGGTTGCCGCGTCCGACATGCCACTGTCGGATGATTCGCGCAGCAGCTGGATGAAATAGGGGCCCCATCGGCGGGTCAACAGGCGCGAATTCACGGGAATCCGCTCTCCGCCGACAGCTTGCAGTTCCATATCGGCCATCTCGTGCAAGGACAGCGCCAATTTACCCAGCTCGTTGGACGCGGCAGAGAACGGCCGCCCGCCAGAGGTCAGCTGCGAGAGCTTCTGCTGCAGCGAGGCCGGCACTGCAGGACAACTGTGAGAGATGTAGGCCGAGGTCGGTGAGGTCCGGCACGGGTTGTTGTACAGGCCGAACGCCTCCAGCTCGACCATGCAGACGTGCGAAAAGTTGATCCGGCGATGGTTGTAGTCTTCGACCAGGCTCCGCTTCCGGTGGCCGAGGATCACGAAAGTGTTGCGTCGGGACCACAGGATTCCGCGGTTCCAGCTGCCATGGCCAAAGACAGACCCACCGGCATCGATGCGACCCCAGGTGAGGGTTTTGAGGTCGAGTGCCCACAGGGCGTACTCTTGCTTGGAGGAGGTGAGGTAGGTACCGCTGACAACGAAATGTCCGTTGATGATACCGCCGTTGGGAAATCGGAGACCGGGGGGCGAGGCCTGGCTCTGCATCGGCTTTTCAATCAGCTGGCCGTCGGGCAGTCGCACTTGAAGCTCGAGTTTGACATCCAGGAAGTTGTAGTTGGAATAAATAAGCATCGGGCATCCGTTGTTACCGGACGACTGCTCGATAGGCTCTTGTGCATCGCGGCTCTTGGCGGCCGATCCGATCTCCGACACGTCCATGCCAACCAGAGGAGCTACAACGCTACGGTAAGCACCGCAGCTGCGGCCGAGCGGGCTGGTGTTGGTCCACTCGAGGCTGCGAAGGTTGAAGACGCTAACCTGTTCGATGTAAGTGTTGGAGCTATCCTGACCACCAACGACCACCATCTCGGCTCCGCCAAACCCGTCTATATCGACACCGATGTTGCCCTGATGCGGATTGGACGAGGAAGGGTTGTGATGGATCGCAGACAAGGGCGCGCTGGCCGAGGTGAAGCACGCGCTGGACGGCAGGATGGTGGCGCAGTGGGCGTACCGGCCCTGCGGGGAGTCGTTCGCGGGGACCCGGGTCCAGACGCGCGAGGGGACATCAAATATATGGATGTCGGACATGACGATCACCTCTGGCTGAGCGTCGGCCGCCTGGCTGACGGGCTCCTTGGCGGAGCTGGGTGCAGGCGACATACCGCCATAGCAAACCAGTTTATTGTCGCCCAGAGAGCAGACGCTGTGGAAGTAGCGCGGGGGCGGGATATCGCCCGTCGCCTCGACCTTCGTCCAGTGCCGCCGAATCAGGTCCAACTCGTACAGGTCAGCCGTCAGCTGTGGGCGGCTGCGTGAAAGCACGCGTCCGCCAAAGACGTATAGCTTGTCGCCCAATATTGTGGTCGTCGCTCCAACCAGCGGGTGTGGTTCACGACCGGTTGTTCGGCGCACATTGCAGACGAGCCCGGAGAGGTTGATCGGGCCAGACCCGGCACCCTGTTGCGCTTGTTGCTGCTGCTGCTGCTGCTGCTGCTGTTGGTGGTGAGATTGTTGATGATTTGTGGACGAAACACCCGCGTTTGCGTGTTGACTCAGGTCTTCCCTGCTCGAATCCATATACCCCAGGCTGGATTGACTTCTCGACATCATCTTGACGGGGAAAGTCTGCATCCAGTCTTATCCTTCCACGTATCGGTCACAGTAGCTCTGCAGCCAACAGTTGTCGTATATATATATATGTGTATATAGAGAGAGATATATATATATATCCTCACTGACGACCATCCCAATCACAGCACCAATATCCTTGTTATTATAATTATTATACGGGGTTGCCGAATTCAAAAGTCCTGCGTTCGCAATAATGTGTGGCGGCGTTCAGGGGCGAGCCGAAAGAGCGGTATCGAGGCGTGGGAGGAGGAAAACGACAATAAATAAAGAAAGAAATATATATATATATATATATATCAGGATATGGATTTGCTTTCGGGTGTATAAGCTACTATTATTCAGTCAGCCATGCCATAAACCCTTCAGATAAGACAAGCAGGGAATAAAATAGTTACTCTAGTGATCGTCAGTTCACTTATCAGGCGTCGCCCGACTGCCTTTGGGGTCAGCGGCTTGGAAGAGAAAACGGCCCAGTCAAGTAGCAGACATTTGCAGGCCTTTAAGAAGAGAAACAAATATATATATTTGAGCCAACTAGACACATCGACCAGCCGCACTGGACTTTGAAGAGCGGTGTTGGCAGGGAGTCGAGGTCGAGGGGGGGGGGGAAGCGAGTGAAGGTCGCCCGATGTTCCGTTCCTGGGTTGGGAATTTCGACAGCGGCTAAGAAATAACTAACAATGTGGGGTTGATTTTGTGGTGAGAATAGAAGAACAAGTAATGAATGATGAATTAATAAATAAGTAAATATATAGATATATATATATATCTATCTATCTATCTAGTTACAAAGTCAAGGGAATTTTGGTAGGTGTTAGATGTTCTAGCTTTAAACAATAGTACTATTAGGATTTAGTAGACCAGGCACAATTACCTACTATGCCTGCCTATTCCTATCTCTGCAGACAATCCAGACGAGCCAAGTCCGGTTTTGACTTCTAGTAGCATATGTGGAATTGTGGTGTTTTATTTTTATGTATGCTATCGCTAGCTGGATTAAATTGTGTCATCAAGGTATCAAAGGCTTAAAGCCGGCCGTCCATCATATCACATTTCCTTTTGTTTTCCATTTACTTCTTGTGGGCGATGTTGGTGAAGCGCAGGTAACTGGTTTATAGTCAGTATAGAATACTTCGGATATATGTATATATATATAAGGCACCACGTACGGCTTGACCTCGCGGATCTCGCTAAACTTCTTCTTGGCATCCTCGGTAGAGACGGGAGGAGGGATGATCACATCGTCACCGGGCAGCCAGTTGATAGGGCAGGTAACGCCGTGGTTGTCGGTGGTCTGGAGGGCGTCGACGACACGGAGGACCTCGGCGGTGTTGCGGCCAGTGGAGGCAGGGTAGGTCATGATCAGACGGATCTTCTTCTTGGGGTCGATGATGAAGACGGAGCGGATGGTAAGAGCGGCTCCTGAACGAACAGGTTAGCAAGAAACATAAAGATAGAAGAAACATAAAAATAGAGGGACAGATTCAGGAGAGAGAGAGAGTTATACCCTTGTCATCAATGTTGGTGGCGTCCTGGTAGTCAATCATGTCGTAGAGATGAGCCACCTTGCGCTCCGGGTCGGAGATGATGGGGAACTTGAGGTTGGAGCCGGTGACTTCATCGATGTCCTTGATCCAGCGGTGGTGGGATTCGACGTGGTTGGCGCTGAGGCCGATCAGCTGGACGCCGCGAGCAGTGAACTCGGGCTCCAGCTTGGCGAAAGCGCCCAGCTCGGTGGTGCAGACGGGGGTGAAGTCATCCGGGTGGGAGAAGAGGATAGTCCACTTGTCACCGAGGAAGGTGTGGAAGTTGATGGGACCGGTCGAGGTCTCAGAATCAAAGTCCGGGGCGGTCGAGCCGAGGCGGAGGCTGGAACGAGTATCTGTCAGCATACCAACTAAGTAAGTACTACCTCTCTCCATGCAAGACTTACGGGGCAGCGCGTTCCTGAGCCATTGTGAGGGTATTGGGAAGGGAGTTCGAGTGTAGAATAACAAGAGAAGAGGCAATAGCTAGAGACGACTAGAGACGGCTGAGATGGGAGAGGGGCCCTTCTTATCCTCATGTTTTGGTGGTTCTCCGCGCCAGCAATATACGCTTACAATCACGCAATCTGTCACCGCCCAGCATCCACAACCTTCAATTGGCTTCTGGTGAGGTCATTTAGTGGGCTGTTTAGCGTGGGATGTTTCTAGGCCTGGAGGTGCCTGAGCAGTTACTAATAGTAGTAGGAGTGAATATCCAGGAGACTGTATATAGAAGAGATGATAACTAGTAGACTGCAAGTGACTGACAGACAGCAGTAAGAGAAGTATAGAACAAACCATATGTTAATAGCTCTCTACCTAGGTGGTACTGGTGAACCCTTGCTGTATCTGTACAGTATAGTATCTAGGTACGGCGTAACAGTACTACCTCCCGTCTACTCCGTATAGTTCTAACTGGAGTAACTAACTACCAAGGTGCGTAGTGGCAGTTACCTAAGAAAGGCTATTATGTGGCCACTAAAAGAGACTCTCCACCATTGAATTGAGAGAGATGCATTCCTAGTGGAGGATTCAGTCTCAACAATATATATTATATATGTTCATTATAATATCGACACTGAATCAATAGTAGACATAGACATAGACCAGGATCAGGATCAAAGACCTGCGTTCACTGGGAAGAGATATTGAGTCTAATGAGGATATAATTGTAACTCCGCGAGACTCTTCTCGAGGAAGCCGAGGTTGCCTGCAAATGGGCGAAGATCGTTGCTGGGTTGGAAGGACTTTTTGGAAGAACTTTTTGGGGAGGGTTCCTCAAGGAACCAAAGGAGAACTAATCTAAGTGTTCATTATTTCCTATATACTGTTAGTAAATCGGTCTCTCAGCACAGGTTTGACAGACATACGCTCGCAAACTTGCTTCTTGCGCGGATCCGTGGCCCGTAAAAGATGAGAACCCAGGGGACAAGCGTCAACAGCACTCCCTATTCCATGTAAGTAAGTGGTTAGTAATGGAAAAGAAAAAGAGCTTACAATTCCTCCCAGGAGACTGGACGCAGCAGGGTAGCCCAGGTTTGTAAACATGGAGCGAGTTACTAAAGGGAAAATGCCTCCCAGCACGTTTCGGCCTTAGTTGACCTCTCGTCAGTGATCGTGTCCAGAGTAAAGTAGATCGGGTTATCCCTACAGAAAGACTGTGCTGCAATGGCAGAACTGGCGTATCGATGGTACGTGTCTGCGAGATAGTTGAACGTGGCGAGGTAGATGGAAAAGATCCCCATGGTGGCACAGGAAACTGCAATCGTGGGGACGATCCAGGGAATTGATGGAAAGGAGGTCCAGCCAAACCAGAACATCCCGATGGGCATGAGAGTGGATACGATGCAGGTGAAATGCAGACGCCCTTCGGGAGCGCTGGACATCTTGCCCATCCGAAGAGCAAACTTTTCTTGGTAGATGGCGAGGAAGGTGATAATGATGGAACCAACAGAGATCGCTGTATGGTCAGTATAACTATCCCAGAGACCCTTAGCTGCCAATAGATGATCTCTTACCAGTGAAGACAGCACCGGCTTGTTCGACATTGAATCCGTGGTTTGTTTCAAACACCAGAGGGATGGAACCGAACTGCAGGTAGAGAACAGCCCAGCTGAAGGCGACCCACAAGGAGAAGAAGAAGACAACCGGCTCGGTGAAGAGAAGATCTAAAAGGAAGCGTTCGTCGTGGTTAGCCGGACGGACAGAGGAACGGGCGACAGGTGGCTCGACTTACGGAACGGCCGATAGCAGGAGATTGTAATCATCTTGGCGACTGACTCTCGTTCCTCATCGCTCTTGACCTTCCATCGGATCCGTCGGACAACTTGCTTTTCTTGTCGGTCATCCGAGTTGAAGACCACACCGTGATAGCCCGCCGCCTCGAGCTGGAGGTACCATTTGTTCAATGTCTGTGCTTTCCTGCTTAGAAGGACGCTCCCGCGAGTCTCCTTCAGCAGAAAAACGATGATCAGAAGGAAAACAGCGGCGGCAATGGCTTGCGAGTAGTAGATCCACCGCCAGTTTGTATGCTGCACGATAGCACCGGAGATAATTGGACCCAGACCAGTACCCACGAGCACGGCGCCTGAGAAGGCCGCCATGGGTGCGTTACGATCCTGGGCGTGATAGATATCACTAATGATGCCACCAACCATGGTGGAAAAGGTGGCTGCACCAAGAAGAATCAGTCAGCAAGACAAAAAAAAAAAAAAGAAAAGACGAATTACAGCGTTGTCGAAGGAAACACATACATCCTCCGATACCAAGGAAAAATCTAGCTACAAGCATGCCGTCGAATGAATCAGTGACACCGCAACCGATTAGACACACTGTTTACACATTAGGTCAGCTTTGAATCCTTGATACCATTCAAAATCAGCATTTGCTTACCCATGTACAGAAGCCCGCTGGTGACGAAGATTGGTCTCCTCCCATTGATCTCGGAGAAAGGGGCAAGCACCATCGGGGCGATTGCAAAGCTATCCGAGTTAGATGCGGAGCCAGCAGAAGAACACGTAAAAGACAAACCCAAAGGTGAACAGGGTAATTCCCAGATTATAGACGACATCACTGATGTTCCATTTGGCCGTAAGCTCGGCAGACGGAGGTGTATACTCTCCCGCCGAATAGGCCGCCATGGCCGTGACACAACAAGCAATGGCAGTCGTGAGCGTCTTTCGATACGACGGCCATAGGAAGGGCGAGGTATACTGCTTGAGGTCGGGACATGGTGGCGGAGCTGTCTGACCAGGCTGCTGTTGCGAGCCAAACCCTGCCGGTGATGGCAGTGATGTTTCGAATGTTAAATAAAGATACTCGACGTCCTGTTCGGGGCTCATCGTTTTGGTAGTTTCGGCCTGGTCTGTCGACTCTTGCTCCTCGATTGCCGTCATCTCGGCGGTGAAATAATGGGAGTCAAGACCGTGACGCTAAAGATTCTGTTCGTACTCCGTACACACCACGAGCAATCAGCGGGGTAATGCGAGTCAGGAATGATGGAGGGAATGATGAAGGTGATACCGAATTTCCCTTATCAAGCAATTTTTTGCCCACATACCCTTGCTTTGATAACTTCGGTCATCCATCCGAACAGACTGGGTGGAGAACCGTGAGTGGGACTGGATGATCTTTCCTCAGAGCCTGGTCCGTGGCCACAGTCGCCGGGCTTCCATATCAGATTCAAGCTGAGAGACAAACAATTGCACTATTTGCTGCCGAGTGACGGTCCACAAAGCTCATTCCGAGCCTCCCAGTATTCTAGAAGCGGCCGCAGGAGGCAGTCACGGGGTCGAGGTCGGCACGATATCCGAACTGGTTGCCCGGAGGCTGCACCTTCCTCCCCGGGATCTGCCAGGGTAAGTCACTTGGCCAATGGGAACTTATATCCGGGTTACTAAGCAATGACCGTTGCAGCTTAGGATTGACACCGCTTCCATATTCGTAGTTGGAGTATGCAGTCGGGTATGTACTATGTAGTAGTTACAATAGGTAGTTAAGTATTCACTAGGTAGTTACGGAGTAGATCATCTTGAGAAATAGCCGAGCCAGATAGTAATGCACCAGTTCTACTTAACAGACTGCATACCCTCGCAGAGTATGCCGTAGGTTGTCAGACTACCTAGGTAGTAGTACCCTTCAGAGTCGAGATGAACGAAAGTGCTGGTAGAGTCATGGCCGTGGTTGAGTCGGCCGAGAGAAAAGCTGCGGATACACTTATTGAGCAGTGACTATGGAGCACTAAAGTCTAACAGTATGTAGTAACTAACTAACTAGTCATTACCTACGGTTAGTAGTATGGAGTAGTCCCGCCATCTATTCACCCGAGGAGAAGTCATCAACGTTGGGCAGGAAAAAAAGAGGGACACAGCCCTCACCACCTTATCTGAAACAAGAACAGAAAAAAAAAAGAGCTAGAGTTCAGCGAACACAGCGACGAAACCGGCATAGTTGACTCGACTGGTCAAATCAGATAATTAGTCTGTCTTAGTTATGGAGAGGTGTCTACGGAGTCGAGGGCAGGTAGTAATACGGAATACCGCACTGCTGACAGCTCGTCACGTGACCACGGTACGTACCAAATTCCTAGTCAAGGCCCCCAAAAGAGAGTCGCGTCGGGCTCGCCTCACCTCGACGCACGACGATCATTCGGCAGCTCGCGTCCAGGAGACGTATGTCCTTTGGTATTATTCTCTACTGACGCGTTCATTTGGTTTATTTATTTTTTTCTCATAAAAAAAGAAAGAGAAAGAAAGAAGAAGAAAAAAGGAAAAAAAAAAACAAAAAGGAAAGGCCACTGCCGTTCTTGTTGACGCTGCCGCCGCCCTGGCCTTCTCTCTATCCCGCGCGTTCAACTATCTGGTTTCTCGCCGAAACCCGTCGCCGCCACCCACAATGCCTACCAGAAAGCGTAAGTCCGAGGGTGTGGCCGTTGCTGATGATGTCGACGCGACGCCCGCGAAAAGAGCGCGTAAGCCGTCTTCCGGATCCGCCGAGTCGCAGCCGGAGGAGGCTGTCTCCCAGGTAAGAAGCAGGAGCAAAGACATCTTATGAAACGTGTCCGGTCACGGCGCGATAATGAAATGTCTTTCTTACCATTGGAGGGGTATATGTGCTGATTCGGGCAGCCCACTACCCCCGGTACTGAGAAGAAAGGAAGGGGTCGTCCTCGGAAGTATCCTCCTGCTCCTCCCAAGGATCCCAATGAGCCCAAACGCGGCCGGGGTCGTCCCCGGAAATTCCCTCTACCTGATGGTAAGCGTTTTTTTTCCCCCTTCGTTTTGACGGAATGTATGGGTTAGGGCTAATTTCGTTTTGTTCATCATAGGACAAACCGCGCCAACGCCTAAAGAGAAAAAATACCCAGGCAGAGGAAGACCGAGGAAGAGCATTCAGGCACAAAATGGGGATGAGGCGGGCGGTGGTTCTGCGGCTGAGGAAGCAAACCAGGCAGAGACGGACATCAACGTCGACTCCGATGCGAGTGGCCGTTCATATTGGCTGATGAAGGCTGAGCCTGAATCGCGCTTCGAGAAGGGGGTCGATGTCAAGTTCTCCATTGATGACCTACGCAACGCAACCGAGCCAGAAGCATGGGACGGTGAGTCTTAAGCTTGCATGGTTTAGATCCAGATCAGACTTACTAACATGGCTTTTCAGGTGTGCGCAACCCCGTCGGTATGATTTGTGCCCCTCACTCTAGTGTTTCTACGTAGATGACTGACTGACTGAATGACAGCACGAAATCTCATGAGAAATATGAAGAAGGGCGATCATGCGTTCTTCTATCACTCCAACTGCAAAACCCCCGGTATCGTGGGCTTGATGGAGATTGTCCGTGAACATTCGGTAGACGGTCTGTCTCCCCTTGCAGCCCCCTCCCCCTTCCCCCGCTGACTAGACCCTTGTAGAATCCGCCTTTGACCCCAAGCATCCCTACTACGACGAGAAGTCGAGCCGCGACAAGCCCAAGTGGGACGTCGTGCACGTAGAGTTCCGCCGCAAGTTCGAGGCCACCATCTCGCTAAACGAGCTCAAATCCCACGCACAGTCCGGCGGGCCCCTGGAAGACCTCCAGACCCTGAAACAATCACGCCTGAGTGTCTCGGCCGTGACACCCAAACAATGGGAGTTTATCATGGGGTTAGTTGAAGCCGGCGACAAGAAGAAGTAGAAGAAGGAAGGCGACTCCTCCTAGTTCCCGATGCAAACAATGGCACGACAAGATGCATTGGATTGAGATCTTCGTTTCTTCCCTGTTGTTTCTATTTTCTTTTCTCTTTTTTTTTTTTTTTTTTCTTTCCCTCCCTCCAGTCTCTATTGGCTTTTCGTTATCTATCGTGTACAATCATCCCACGATGTTCTGTATCAAGATCTAAACAATTCATACAAATCAGCCGGTTCCTGAGAATATTCAGATCATACCAGAGAGGTAGTGCTACCAGTCCTTCCATCGAGAAGGATAAATAAACTCTACCAGGTAGTCAATGACGACGAGCGGGCAGTTCCCGACATCCAAGTGGGGAGAAGAGCATGAATAATGCCAATCAAAAGCTTCGTACTTACGTAGCCAGTCCAGATAAGCTCCTTAACTAATCATACCGTACCCTTGACTGTAGAAACCGGAGCTCTGGGTAAGGGGGCAGCTCCAAGTGGGCTTCGACAGACGCGAAGAGCAAGTCTATGCGAACGTGGGGGTTTGGAATGAGCCCCTCACTTTGCCGTGAGGATTTCTCCGATAAGAGAGAGAGAGGGCTCAGCTTCAGGAAGGACAACCCGTCGGAGAAATACAACAGAAGTTATCTATTGCTATTCCCCTCATTTTTGTCTCCCCCTCATCTTCGGGAATTTGCTTCCTAAAAAAAAAGAAAAAACAAACAAGCACCCCCTCCCTCGGTTACATATATAGGTATATATATATGCTCGCTCAAGCTCGACGCCACTTCCTCGCTTCACGATTTCCCACCATTTCGACTCCCTCTCGTCGTCTTTTCCACGCTTCATCCATCATGTCCGGCGTTTCCATCGACTTAACTGCCCCGAATGGGCGCAAGTACACTCAGCCGATCGGCTTGTTCATCAACAATGAGTTCGTGGCGTCCAAGTCGGGAGAGAAGCTGGCGAGCATTAACCCAGCGTAAGAGATACCGTCATCTAGAGCAAGGCAAGGGATAGGGACTTGTTGCTGACGTTTCAAGGGACGAGGCTGAGATTGCTTCTGTCTACGCGGCGGGCGCTGACGACGTCGACCTGGCCGTCGAGGCGGCTCAGAAGGCTTTCAAGCATCCCTCGTGGAAGCAGCTGCCTGGTACAGATCGTGGTGCTTTGCTTTACAAGCTGGCAGACCTGGTCGAAAAGCACGCTGAGACTCTGGCCACCATCGAGACTTGGGATAACGGTGCGAATTTTCTTCTTCTTCTTCTTCTTCTTCAGAGTAGTGTACTGACTCTCTAGGTAAACCGTACTCGGTTTCCCTGAACGATGACGTGGCCGGCGTGTTGGATACCCTGCGGTACTACGCCGGGTGGGCGGACAAGATCCACGGCCAGACTATTGAGACGACCCCGACCAAGTTTGCGTACACGCTGCGCCAGCCGATTGGCGTGGTCGGGCAGATCATCCCTTGGAACTTCCCCTTGCTCATGGCTGCATGGAAGCTGGGCCCCGCACTGGCGTGTGGCAACACGGTCGTGATGAAGCCCGCCGAGCAGACTCCGCTCAGCATCCTCTACCTGGCGAACCTGATCAAGGAGGCCGGATTCCCCCCGGGTGTGGTTAACATCCTCAACGGCCACGGGCGGGTCGCGGGCGCTGCGATTGTGCAGCACCCGGACATTTCCAAGGTGGCCTTCACGGGATCGACGATGACGGGCCGCGAGATCATGAAGATGGCAGCGGGCACGCTGAAGAACATCACGCTTGAGACGGGCGGCAAGTCGCCGATGCTGATCTTTGCCGATGCCGACATCGACCAGGCGGCCAAGTGGGCGCACGAGGGCATCATGTACAACCAGGGCCAGGTGTGCTGCGCAACGTCGCGCATCCTGGTGCACGATTCGGTGTACGATGAGTTTGTGCGGCTCTTCAAGGAGGTCGTTGCCTCGACCAGCAAGGTCGGCGACCCCTTCGCCGACGACACCTTCCAGGGCCCGCAGGTGACCAAGGCGCAGTACGAGCGCGTGCTGTCGTACATTGAGAGTGGTAAGAGCGAGGGCGCGACCCTGGTTACGGGCGGCGAGCCGCACAAGAACGCTGCGGGTGGCAAGGGCTTCTACATCGCCCCGACCATCTTCGCCGACGTCAAGGACAACATGCGCATCTACCGCGAGGAAGTGTTCGGTCCCTTTGTCGTCGTCTCCAGCTTCACCGAGGAGGACGAAGCCATCACCCGCGCCAACGACACGACGTACGGTCTCGGTGCCGCCGTCTTCACGCGCGACATTGAGCGCGCCCATCGCGTCGCCCAGGAGATCGAGGCGGGCATGGTCTGGATCAACAGCAGCAACGACAGCGACTTCCGCGTTCCCTTTGGCGGCTTCAAGCAGAGCGGCATCGGCCGCGAGCTGGGCGAGGCCGGCCTCGAGGCCTACTCGCAGACCAAGGCGATTCACGTCAACCTGGGGAACAGGCGTTAGGTCTTCTCTCAGTGAGTTAATAGTTATATCTAGCCATAGTTAATGAAGTTCGGGACAATTAAAACCTATAGTTAGTAATAAATATGCCAAGTGAACTACCTGTAGACAGAATATAGTTATACTACATAACCTGCAATATTTGTCTATCCATAAGAAAAGGTACTTTGGCAGTACTTATCATAAAGGTACTTTTATTAATACAGCGCCGTCCCTCGGTACAGTGAGGCGAGGCATCGGGAATAAGAAGGAAATGTAATCCGCAGTTACCCCGAAGGCATCCCTCATGCATTACCTTGTACAGAATACGGGACTTTTTAAAAGAACAGAACCAGAATAAAGAACAACAGGAACTACTAACTTACCAACTGAATACTTGGTGCATATATTAGTTACCTACTCTACATGTTGGGATGTATTTTTGACGAATGGAATCCCTGTCTCTTCTGTGATCTGGCGAGTCACACCGCATAGCCATGCTAAATTGTGCATGTTGCCAACGCATATCACTGTGCATGCAGGAATGGTCATGTGAATTCATTCGAGGAAGACATACAAAGTACGAGCTAACAGAGTAGTAAGTATACAGGGTGTAAGTGGTTAGTACCGAGTACTTTGTATAAATTGACTGCTAGATATGTAGTAGTGATACTACATAGTAGTGATAGTATTACGCTCCTGCTAGTGTGGGATACGAGGTAGCTTTCTTGGGGTAACGATCAGCCGTGACTGAGTCGCGTCCTCGTCACATTGTAGATACGAACTAACTAACTAGTTACCTTCTAGGGTAGTAAGTACGAAGTCGACTGCCTGTCCCTGGCACAGAGTGGTTCGGGTTCCGGACTGCGGGAGAGTGGTCAAGGATAGCTTAGGAACGGAGTAGTTAGTTGGCTATCTGCAACAAGCCACTTTTCTTCGTCGTATCCCATCACAATCAAGCAATGTCAGAACGGAAGCTGGAGCCATGCTCCTGTCCATCACCCGAACCCGAGTTTTGAAAGAGTTCTTCCGCGGCCCCGCCTTGCCTTCTTCATGTGGCCTTTTCTCCGTGTTTAGTCTCTATCTCGAGTCAGGAGCGTGGGAGCACGGGGTACTCCAGACTCTAGGATTGGACTGTCTTCTCGGTGCGGTCTGGCGGTCAATTTTGTTGATCGAATAAATGTGGAAAAAGGTATCTTTAATCGAGGAGCTTAGCTTACTGGTTAGTTAGTTAGTCAACTAACTAGCTGGCTAGTAACTACCTACGGCATCCCGCCCCCCCTAGGCAGTACTCCGTAGGCACCCTGCAGGAAAGACCGATGAGCGAATCACTGATCCGATCGTTCCACGGAGGACTCTCCCCGATCTATCCATCGCAACACTCGAGACATGTGGCTGCAGAGGCATTGCTGTTGATTTGCACCGCTCAAAGCCAAGCCGCGTGAGGCGCTCGTAGCGCCCGTATCCTGTTCACTTCATAAGCCGTGTCGAACTAGCCAACCAGTACGAGATCTGATTAGCTGCCATAGCCGGTCTACCGTCGATAACTACTCTTGTTAGCCAGGGACAACCTGAAACTGACGCCGAGGAGGGGAAGGATCCGACGTGATATCTTGATGGATGACTGCTGCTCTCGGCCCATCCTGGCACAGAAGAATCCTTCTGTCGTACCTTATACTACATAGACAGCACATTCCAGGTTTCAGATAGGTACGGAAGAATCATCCGGCAGACCAGCAGAGGAGAAAAGGAGAGGGCGACTTGGTTGCCTGTCATGATGTTGCGAAAGAAAAATACCGCGCTTGCCCAGTTTGGAACAGTGTGCAATGAGTAAGCAACGGTACACGTGACATACCGGGACCAAGAGGCAAGAGGTCTGAGACCCCAAGACGGCGAGGACAACACTCTCCCCGCGAGTGATTTCTCATCAAGAACGAGTTCTCTAAGAGGTACTATACAGTGTCTTGCCCTTTAGGATTGCTGGAAGTTCGCTTCCTCATCCCTGGAGAAAGAGGAGTCTGCCGTAACTGTCTGGTGCGAGACCGACTGAGGGGCTTGTTTTTGGCCCGGCCCTCCAAAGGACGCTATCGAAAGGTCCCAGACAGATCGTCATATACCCCTCCTTTTGGACAGGTAGATTTTCTCGCCCACGAAGACAGACAGCCAGACAGCGGGTGAAAGACGGGAAAGGCAGACTACCTAGTACTATTTTGTCATTCACCATGCCGGAATTCCAGCGGTGGACGATCACCGAGGTATGCCCCTGAATGGGATCTTGCTTGAAGGTTGAAAATCAGCTAACAGCTAGATTCCAGCCATATATTGATATTTCCGGTACCCTGCTGGAAGGCTCTTTCTACGACGAAACCCGGAATGAATACCGGTTCGTCGATATCTGGGAGCACAAGCTCTATTCCATGGACCTGGCCAAGGGTCCTAGCTCGCTGAAGGTCGTGGAAACGCCTACCTCGATTGGGTGTGTTGAGACAGCTTTGAAACTCCTCTAGCCACATTTACCAGGCTTACGGGGCTGACCGTCCGCAATGAAACAGTGTCACGGCGAATCTGGCCAATACAGAAGATGTCTACAAAAACAAGATTGCCGTCGGAGCTAAGCAGGGATTCGCCCTGGCCAACCGCGAGACCGGTGAGCTGACCTTTCTCCGGAAAGCATGGGATGAGAATGACGTGAGGTCGTTCGAAAGGTTGATGACTTTCCCCCCCTTTTCTTCCTTTTTTTTCTTTTTGACTAGTCTTCCCGTAATGTCCTGAATACTAATCACGGTGATAGGATGCGTTTCAATGATGGAGCCGTCGACAGCCATGGGCGGTTCTGGGCCGGAGCGATGAATGACCCGAAAGTACAGCAGCCGAAAGATGAGGGTGTCCTCTTCCGGCTGGACCCCGACCTGAGCTTGCACCGGATGGTGGAGAAATTGACCATTCCGAATGGGATTGGCTGGAACGCAAAGGATGACACGATGTATCTGACCGACTCGCCGACGGCGACCATCTACGCATTCGACTTCGATGCGCGCACGGGGGCGATCAGCAATCGGCGCGTGCACTTCAAGCTGGACGAGCCCCTGGAGCCCGACGGGTTCGCCATTGACGAGGAGGGCTGTATCTGGAGCGCCATCTACGGCGGCGCCAAGGTCATCCGAATTTCACCGACGGGCGAAATCATTGGCGAGATCGTCCTGCCTACACGCAATGTCACCTGCCCGGCGTTCATCGGCACCGAACTTTTCATCACCACCGCCAAGGACGAGCCGACAGACCACTTCCGCCACTCGGCCATGTACGGCGGTAAGGTGTACAAGGTCGACGTCGGTGTCCGGGGGCTCCCCAAGCACAAGTTCCGCCTAGAAGCATGAATTACATACTACTTATTGGGTACTAACTACCTACCTACCTACCTACCTAGTGAGTTGTATTTCATGCAAATACAGATACTACATACACCTAACCTACCTACCTGGTCCTAGTCCTAGATGCTTTGCCTAGGCACTCCGTACTTACTTTGGTACCTAAGAGGTACCTCTGCATACAAAGTACAGAGTACCCAGCATAAAAGTTGACCTGTCATATCGTTCATGCAGAACACATCGCTCGCCTACCTGGTACTCCATACAAGAAGCATAAATTCAAGTTAGTCCAGAGTTTAAAAAAAAAATCAAAACAAAGTGATTGAGGAAGATTTGTCATTGCCTACCTTACCTAGGTTAACTTGACAACTCTGTCTATACACCTATGCAACTAACTAACTAACTGGTTAGTTAAGTGTAGGTGGCTAATTTGATACATCATACAAAATACAGTAAGTACTATGATACTCAGATCAGATCTGAGAGCAGGCGCATGTACAGAAGAACTAGTTTTTGTCTCATTCTTTCCATAAGAGAAAAAAAAAATATTAATATATACTTACCTACTTATATCTACATGTTTTTTGAACTGCTGTCTGTTGTCCCGTCTGATGTGGGAATATTACTTGCCTATCAACCGCACGACAGCAAAGAGTGTGTAACAGCTGGGAGGAATTATCTACACCGCATTGTCTTGGAGTGGATACAGAGTAATTATTAAGGTGACTACCTAAATAGTTGGTTACCTGCTAACTAACTAAGTTACTAGTCATTAGTTGGTGCTTAGGTGCCTAAGATTGATACTGCTCATATGCACTCTGTAATCTGCATGTAGTGTATAGAGTACTGCGTATGGAGGTTATCGGAGGGGTGGCAGTGTTGATCGGAGACGTAGGAGGGAAGTAAATATGTAGAATAGATAATATCATGTCACCAAGGAAGCCCTGAACAGTATAGAGGTTCTAACAGCTGGCTATTCTTGTGTCAATCCAAGTGGTACTCTAAGCGGTGAAGCTCGATATCAATCCAGGCAGTTTTGTATAACTACCTAGTTAGTAGTTCCCTACCTAGCTAGTTACCAAATATAAGCTAAACAGTCTTATCTGATGTCGATCCGCAGAGACGAGCAAAGTTTGAGACCTTGATGGCCCATAGGTGTGCACCGCCATAATGTGCTTGAAGTAGCTATAGAATAGGAGTCGATAAATTCGACGTACTTTATAAGAATGCTAGGCAATTGTATATCTCTCTATCTTTGACGGGACGCGTAGCATTGTCTAGACAATCTGCTGAAGCAACAAGAATTGGTCGTCCTGTGCGGTGGAGGTCCGTTGCTGTCGGCAGGTGGCATCAGGAGTTACTCTGTGATGGTCTAGGAGACGGGTAGGGAGAACAACCTGGTTTCTCACCTGGTCAGTCAGTAACGCTGGCAAGGGTCAAGAAAACTGGGACATTGAACACGTCTTGCTTTGAGAATTCCCCATGCTCTTTCACTCCTGGTGCCTGAAGACCGAGACTCGGCTAAACGGTATCATTATGAACTCAGTCGGGAGTAATAAGAGTAATAACCATGGCTGGACGATGGCTTCGATCTCAGGCAAGAACTCCCAGGTATGGCTTAGCCAACTACGGGAGACTCACATGATTTTTTCCCTAGGCATATTCACCGCCTGTTAAGATGGCTATTATAGGGATTTTCCCGTCTTCTCCAGCTAGTTACTAACTAGTCACCTAGTAGTTACCGATACTCTAGCCTTCAGTCGCCCAAGGGAGTGAATGGACTCTTCTACGAAACTAGACTTTCATCAGAGAAGTCAGCCAGAGCTCTGGGAGATTGGGTTCTTGCCAATGATAAACCAGACGCTGACGCTGAGAGTCGAGGACAACTAAAGGTACTTCCTCCTACCTTGGCAAATCCATCAAACGTTAGTAGCTAACTCCAGTATCGTCACCCTTACTACATAGCAGCTCTCAGTCCTGATCAAGTAATTGACCAAGAGGCGCATCTCCACCCATCGACATCTGCTGTCTACTCCTACGGAGTACTCCGTAATAATCCCCTCATCATCTCAGAACCCCATCAAAGACAAAGGCGAGAGCGGTAAGAGATGGGTGGGCCCGAGGCCACCTCTCATTTGCAGTTGAGCAGCTCAACAGAAGGCGAGCCCATGGCCGGTGTCTCTTAGGACGGTTTTCCACGATATACTATAGAGAGACAACCTGCCCATACAGACCCCAGTCTATAATACTAGTACGCAGGTACCTTAGTGTCAGTCCTAGTTCTTCATTTGTTCATCATTATTGTTCTCCATATGTTTTCTAACAGTATTATTCCTCAGGAATCCTTTTCCAACAACCTCGTAATAGGTCCCACTGTCTAATTGACTAGGTGGTTACCAAATACTTAGGTTGGTACCGATGGACAGGATAAAGCTGGCCGATTGAAATGTGGCTGGGTCACCTGACTTCCCGAACTGGCGTTGACCACGACTCTTCATTTCCCTCTCCTTTCAGGCTTCTCTCCCTCTCGTTTGCCACCTCTGCTTGAATCAAAGCCCCCCCTTTCTACAGAATATTACAGGACTCATTTCCTGGTAAGTAACCATCCGAAATCCTTGGCTTACGGTTTACAATACGAAGGCCGCTAAATCGCTTCGATTGAGCGGGCGGCCTGACGACAGTGACACCCCTGTGTCCACGTTTTACCGGGGTCAAGGCGACAGGAAGTTAGGGAGCAGCTCCACCTGCCGCCACGCTCTCCTGTCCGCTCTCCAAAGGTACTCCGTAGTACTCCGTACTCCGTCACTAAATATCGGAGGAACTAACTAACTACGGAGTACGGACCAGCGTTTCCATGGTCCAGAGTCCAGGGACGGCCGGTAATGAGACTATTGCTCGGACTAAAAGCTCCTAACTGACACGCGATCTATCATAGGCCAAGCCCCATTTCTCCATCCGTCACATTCAACTCGCGCGTTCCAGAACATCGCCCCCATCCACGCCAATCGTTGCCTCCCGCTCGATCTGCGAACTTGTTCCGTCCAATGTCTGTTAATAATAGCGCACATCAAAAGCACACCATCCATGGCTGGTTACCGCTTCCTCGGGGATGCTTGAAATAGCTCCCGCCAGTCCGTCGCTCCATCACCTACGGGGTTTATACTCCGTAGGTGGCAATAATGAGGTAGGTCCAGCTTAGCAGGCCTACCCCTTTTAAGCAGGTCGCCGGCCAATCGCCATGGCAACAGCAAGCTCTGCGAGCTAAGGACCCCAGAACCCAACTCTTGGGTCTCTCGGGCTGTTGAGCTCGCTCACCTCCGATGCCCAAAGGGTCATGGCTGTGGGTTAACTTTCTGCTAAGGATCACACACGCGCAACGTTATTCTGTCCTGCAGCCGAACTCGACGCCTTGAAGTTTCTGCACCCTCAGACCAGATCACAATAGTCTGCTACACTCTTTTCTTCTGCAGATAAGAAAAAAGAACAACAACAACAACAACAAAAAAGAAAACAAATGTTGGATGATGACCCGTAAAAATAAATTGGCTGATGATAGACAGACTCATTTCGAGCCGGCGATATTGTATACCCTGTTACCCACTAGTTTGGTCACGCTTGGTTTAATTAAAGCTTTCCAAAACTGGCATGCCATAGGTGCTGCAATCACAAAACAGCATCGCCACGATAGAGGATCCCCTGCCATTCTCCGCATTCAAGACCCATCGGGAAGCTCCCTCTTTCCAGTGTCCACCAGAGCTCTCTGTCTCTTTCCCGAGTGTCAGGCTCAGGTCTGAGTTCTAACTATTGGATTTTCAGTAACCCAGACAAGACTCAACGGACTAGGAAATCCGTATTCCGCGTTCCCCATTGACCCGCCGAGATGGATCTGTCGCGTCCCTGGCTAGCTTACTGGCTAGAGCCTCGAGCTCGATTCTCCGTATTCCCGTAATTGGCTTTTGGAAGGGGGGGCCCAAGGGCTTCCTTGAGCTTCCTCTGTACGCCGTAAACTTTTACGGGGTCGTTTGTCAGCCCTTTTTTTTTTCTTCCCCCTTCTCAGCACTGGTGACTTTTGGTTAGACACATCATGCTGTGAGAGACAAAGACGTCTCGTCTCGGGTCCCGCAGGTGTTGCCTAGAAGAAAAAAAAAAAAAAACAGAGACAGGAGGCACCGCCCAGGCCCCAGCGGAAGGGCCGTTTTACGATGTTTGTGACCTGCGCCGGCGATTGATGCCCGATGACGTAGCATGCCACTACATGAAGAAAAGGATACCGTGGACCACTCAGGTTGAACCAGACAAGTGATGGAGAAAAGGGCTGTCTGTTCTGTTCCAGATGAGCTGGTCTGCAGCGGAGAGCACTTGCAGCGGACGACAGGCGTGTTCACGTATCGTACTTTTCAGTACGCCGGGGTCATGTCTCGATGATGATACGCAAAACATTCTTTCGTCCTTGTTCCTTCCCCCCCCTCCCGTTTGAGGATACCTAGATAATGGGCCCAAGAAGGGGGGGGGGGGGGGGGGGGGGGGGGGGGGGGGGGGGGGGGGGGGCGATCAAGTACCGAAGTAGATGGGTCTTTTGGCAAGATCCATTTATTGAAGTATTTCTTTCGTCTCTCTGCCTGAAGGGCAGGCTGTTTACAGAGCATGAATCCTGAACACACGTTCATCGCGATCTTTAACTCTTCTGGGGAAATTCACTTGCATCACCTGCTCCCGCTCCTGGCAATCCTCTTTTTCGGGACGATGTTCGGGGGCGGCTCAGATGCCCCTGACGGTGAGGCGCTCGGGGGTGCCGAACTGATCAGGTCCACTGTCTAAATAGGTAGATTTGACTAACAAATTGGCCAGACGCGGAAGAGGCAGAGGAGGAGGAGGATGAGCCACTGTGTGTAGCTGCTCACCTTGCACTCTGGAGTCTGTACACGATTGCTCCCCTCTGGAACCCATTTGAAGTGGAATCGGGCATTCTGACCGAGCAATGAATCGCCGTGCAACACATTTCGCCGGGGTATCGACCGGCAGCAGCGACAGCAGGAGCAGCAGCAGGAGCAGCAGGAGCAGCAGCAACAGCAGCCAAAAAGGAACAGCCAGCAGTGGAGCCCCCTTTGACAAGCAGCTGCTGTGTGCCCGTCGTGGTCCGCATTTTGCAGCCAGCAAGGTCTCCACCAGGGCCTTGGATCCTTGACCCATCGTGACGGCGCAGTTTACACTTGCAGATTGGCTCGGACCCCAAAACAAAAAAGCACACAGAACGCTCGGTACGGCGTGTATACAGCTTGCATACAGCGTGTACACCCGTACCGAGGACACCGTAAGAGGACCCCAAACACCAGAATGACGGTAAAATACCATCAACGCCTCATCATCCATGCGCTAGTCTCCATATTAACTATGCTTTCCGACTCCCCGTCCCACCGCTCGCTGTTAGCGCACCCAAGGCTCAGGATTCGGGGGAAGGATCAAATCGACAAGCAGGTGCCAGGCGATGGGTCGGGCTTCTGGCCCTCGAGCGGTAAGTCGTAACTCACTAACCACGGGGATATTCGCAAGTACCGACCGATAGTACCTGTAAGAAGTAATATACGGAGTATACAGGTACTAGGTACATAGAGTACCTCTTCCATACACATAGTTAGTTACTAACTAACTACTAGGTACTACTATAGTAAGATGTACTGACGGCCAGCACAACAACTTTGGCTAATCGTCGGTAATAAACGATGGGCAAAGGACCTACTACTAAGGTACTAACTACCTAGTAGGGATATACATACGTTCGTAGAATGGGGCGTCATCCTTCACCGCTGGTACTTGAGTACGGAAAACTATACACATCAGCTCATCCACCAGAGGGGGTGTAAAAATAAAAATAATAATAAATAAAATAATAATAATAATAATAATAATAATACTACTACTACTACTCAATTAATAATAAAAAAATTAAAAAAAAAAAAATATACACGGATTTCAAAAGGAAGTCCAATAAAAACCCCCGAAAATTAACACAGGGCGGCCATTGAGAGATCTGTCAAGGGAAGGGAAATAGAATAAAATAAAATCCCAGAGAGAAATGAAGCTGTTGTCTGTCTGTCTTGTCTCTTGTCTGTCTTGTCTGTCTCTCTCTTGTCCTCGTTCGTGGTCACTTCCCCATCGTTGATCTCCATCCTTTTAATTATTTCAATTATTTTAATTGTTTTCATTATTTTAATTCTTATTTTTAAAGATAAATACATATATATATATATATTTTTTTTTTTTTGAAAAAAAGAATACCCGTTTCTTCTCTTCTTATCTCAACCGTCATCCCCTCTACAGTCCATTCCCATACCTACCCTACCTTAAGCTTAGGCAGTCACAATTACTTACTGTCACGGCTTTACAAAGTACCTGCTTTACTTTACATATAGGAAGGACTTCCTTCCCTTTACGCATTGGCCTTCCTTTTTTGTCCTGCCATCCTCCCACTTCTCTTGTTCTTTTCTTTTTCTCTCCCTCTTCTCTTCCTCTCTCTCACTCACACATATTCTCTCTCTCTCTCTCTCTCTCTCTCTCTCTCTCTCTCTCTCTCTCTCTTCTCTCCTCTCCCCCCCCTCACACCGCAAACCTTTACTGGAGGAGACTAGACCGTGCCCCTCGTACGGTGTCTTCCTCTTCGATTCTACCTCGTCATCGTGGCTACCTTAGGGATCAGTGTGCTTGCCGCTCCATACGCCGGCCCTGTACATTCGTCACAGCGGTATCACCCGCTTGCTGCTTACGATCCGGGTCAATCAGCCCCCTCCCTCTCTCGACCGCGACCAGAAGAACGTCCTGGGTCCCGGGGGAGAGGGAGAGATTGGTCATGTACCAGTCCACCTTCGAGGGGAGGAGACGTGCCGCTGCCGCATCAGCATATGTCGCAGACTTCGCTCGAGGATAGGAACAATGCCCAGCGAATTGAAAAGTACGCTCCCGTCGGCGGGGGGGATAACCATCATTCTCTTCCCCTTCCTCCTCCCCCTCCTCTTCCTCCTGCAACCATCGCCACTACTACTACTACTACTACTACTACTACCACTGCTGCTGCTGCTGTTGAAACGGCAAACCAATCCGATGCGCTGCGTGCTCGTCCAGCCTCCTGGCATCCATCGACCCCGGTGGAACCGCCCACTCAACTGCGACCTATCGCAGTTCATGCCATTCTCAATCCGCCGGACAGAGCCTTGATGGACTCTCGGGGGTCCTCTCTCAGTCGGGAACCGCTAGACTTCAAGTTGTCGGCATCTCCTTCCCCGCATCTCCAGCAAGGATCGTCTCCGCTCCCTCATCCAATCCATCCTCCTCCTCCTCCTCATCATCATCACCACCACCACCACCATCACCACCAACATCCACCTTCAATCCTACAGCAGCAGCAGCAGAGAAAGCAGTCGCCACTGTCACCTGGGACTCGTCCCCGCCGTATCATCACTCCTGTGTCCCCTTCAGCAAGACTGGTCGGTGCGGGTGCGAGACACACGGCGTATCCGGGCAAAGTGAGCGTGTCTCAGTCTCCCTTTGTCCAAGAGCAGCTTGGGGGACTGTATCACACGTCGGCGCCGGCGTCGCCATTGCCCATCGAACCCACCATCGCTCCCGCAGTGTCGCTTCCTGCAGTTATTGCTCAGCCATCGCCGGCCTCGTTACACTCCACCCCGACTTTCCATAGTCGGCGGATCAGCGCCGGGCTGGCCACGAACCCGAGTTCGCAGGAGACCAGTCCCAGCACCCCACACTCGGCCTTCAGCCACTTCGGACATTCTTCGCCTGCGGCAGGCAGTGTCCCACCCCCGGGCTTACCGCATCAATCGTTGATCAACTCTTCACCCTATGCCCCGATGGCGGAACCGCTCAGCAGGGTGCCTTCGGTGTTGGGTAGTGTACGGCTTCCTGCCCTTACTGGAGGCGGGGAAGAGCAGCAGCAGCATCATCATCACCATCATCAACAGCAACAACAACAACAACAGCAGCCGGCTACAACACTCCTTCCAGGCCATTCCAACCCGTCATCAGACCAGCCACCAGCAGCGGGGATGATCCCATGCATCCTAGACCTAAAGTCCGGGTCCTCTAGCCAAGCAGAGAAACGCAAGGCCAACAGCGACGCATCGCGGCGGTTCCGGAACCGCAAGAAGAACGAGATGCAGATGGAACAGAAGCTGGCTGCGCAGCAGGATGAATTACGCAGCCAGACGGAGACCATCCAGCAGCAGGGAGACGAAATCCGCGAGCTGCTCAAGGAACGCGATCACTATCGTTCTGAACGAGACTTTTACCGTGAACGCCTCAGCAGGGCTGTGCCCATGCAACAGCTGCCTGCCCGGCCCCCCTCGCCCCGTCGGTACCATTCGGCCCAGGTGTCTCCTGAGATTGGTCATCCAGGGCATGCTCAGTTAGATCGATATCACCACCGGTCTTTATAATCTAAAAAGTTTATATGATATAATGATCGAAGATCATTTGAGAGAAGAAAAAAAAAAGTCACTCGAGGGCTTACAGTATATATACTATACTATATTTTGAAATTGTGGGAAGTCAATCATCGTTTTCCTTTCACTGTTGTATTTTCTTTTCTTTTCATCTTTCACTCCATCATACTGTCTACACTGCCTTTCATGTTTGGGTGGGGATCTGAAAATACTCTCTTGCATTGGTGGACATCTTTTTTTTTTTTCGTTTTTCTTCTTTACACTTGCTGGATCGAGCTTCAAGCAGCGAGCCAAACGACCGCTGGGCCGGGAGTGGCTTCTATCTGCATATCCATCCTCTGCATCCTCATACATTTCTCGGGGGCGGGCGTTGCTGGTTGGGTCATTGCATCAAGCGTCGTAGTCTTGTTTCTTGCTATTTTCTTTCTTCTACCAGCGTCTTATCAAGCTATTCAGGTACTTTTCATGGCAGGCGAGTACATAAAACATCATAATAGTATATAATAATAAATAGACTGTTCATACAATACTGCCCAGTTATTAATGTGACCTGTCGAGTTCCAATTGACCAGTCGATGTAGATATCTGTTTCTGCCTCAGGCACCCATGGACCACCGCTCATGTGAACTCATTGTCCCACGTGCTCAACTCACATTCTTCAACTACAATCATCACAACTCTTAACGGCCTGGAGTCTCTACTATCTACTATCTACTCTATCAGAAGTAGATACAATATGTTATTCACCTAAGGCCATTTTCTATAATCTATCTTCTACGATGAAGGAGCCAGTCCGCGTAGCCTGGCAGGGAACAAAGTCGGCTGGCTGGAATGGACGTCTCCGACGGATGATCTGGGCGGCGGTGGTATTATTGGGCTTATTTTTCTATCTGAGGTGCGTATACTGGAGGAGAGTCTACCGGTATCTCTAGTAGTGGTAGTGGTAGTGGTATTTAACAATTGCAGATTCCCTGTCAACTCCAAGTCGGAATGTCTGACAATAGATGGGTACCGTTGTTTCCCGTCCATCTCACGGCTTTGGGGCCAGTACTCGCCGTACTTTGCCGTACGGGAGGGTGATATCAAAGAGCAGCCGGGCCAGCTCTTGCTCTCTCCCTCGATCCCCGAGGGATGTCAAGTGACGATGGTGAATATACTGTCACGACATGGCGCGCGGTACCCGACGCAGCATAAGAGCGAGATCTACGCGAAACTAGTGCACGACATCCAGCGAAACGTCAGTGCGGGCTCGCTGCGCGGGCGGTATGCCTTTCTAGCCGGATACGAGTACACCCTCGGAGCGGACGACTTGACGGCCCTGGGCGAGCGGCAGATGGTCGATTCCGGCACAAAGTTCTACAAGAGGTACGCCTCTCTTGCGCGGGATGCGGTGCCCTTCATCCGGGCGTCGGGGTCGGAGCGCGTGCTTGTCTCCGGGGAACGGTTCATCGACGGGTTCCAGCAAGCCAAGGAGGACGACCGGGCCGCGAACCACAGCCAGACCAAGCCATTCATCAACGTCATCTTGGGGGAAGGCGAAGGGTTCAACAACTCGCTCGACCATGGGGCCTGTGGGCGGTTCGAGGCCAGCACGCGCGGGGAAGCGGTGCAGACAAACTTCACGCGACTGTTTGCCCCATCCATTCGACGGCGACTCCAGCGGGATCTGGCCGGGGTGAAACTCGAGCTAGACGAGGTTGTTTATCTGATGGATCTCTGTGCGTTTGATACCGTCGCACGCACTTCTGACGGCAGCTTACTGTCCCCGTTTTGCTCGCTCTTCACGCCCGACGAATGGGTGGAATATGATTATTTGCAGTCTCTGGGCAAATATTACGGCTACGGGGCGGGAAACCGGCTCGGCATCGCGCAGGGGATCGGGTTCACCAACGAGCTGATCGCCCGGTTGACGCAGAGTCCTGTCCGCGACGAGACGAGCACAAACCACACGCTCGACCGCGACGAACGCACATTTCCCCTCTCGGCAGCCATTTACGCCGACTTCACGCACGACAACGGTCTGGTCCCCATCTTCTTCGCGCTGGGCCTGTACAACGGCACGCCGCCGCTGGATCCGAGACACGTCCAGGATGTAAAGAGCTTGCACGGCTTCTCGGCGGCGTGGACCGTCCCCTTTGCCGCCAGGGCGTATGTCGAGAAGATGCTCTGCCCTGGCCATGATGACTATCTGGTTAGAGTGCTGGTCAACGACCGGGTCGTGCCCCTGCATGGCTGTTCGGATTCATTGGGACGCTGTCCGCTTGATGCTTTTGTGGGGGGGTTGCATTTTAATGATGTCTGGAAGGAGTGTCTTATTTAATATACAATTTATTTTATTTTTTTCTTTTCTTTTTATCAAACTTTTCATCTCTCCTGCAGATGTTTCTGGCTTTTACTCCCGTACGCTATTCAGTTAGTAGAGTACTAGCTAGAGTGTTATGTGTACTCACTCCGCTCGAATAACATATAACTCGTCACGAAAACAATAGGCAGCGCAACAATCACAGATGTCCATCTAACAATACATCATCAATACACGAGTCAAGCATTCGATTACTGATGGAATATTAATGATGGGACCTACTTCCTCGCAGCAGCTTTGTACTCTTTTGTCTGCCGGATATCCACCTGTCCCTGCGCTGGACGGACTGGACGGGCGGGACGGGGATGCATTGATCGCGGGTCGATAACGCGTTTGGACATTCTTTCTTCGTTTGGGAAATAGTATTATGACTCTGATTGAAAAGTAGATTCTGGGTATGCTGTTCGATTGATGCAGGACAGATTGTAGTGGTAGGGTGAAGTTTCTGCGCTAGTTTCGCTGCCTGAGGCATACATACTTTACTAGTAGTTAACTAACTACTACCTCACTATTAATACTACTATGTCAGTAAGTCTAGATGAAGACGCTAATACGAACTAATTATGATATTAACCATGTCTTGTACAATAGTAGAGCCGTATATCCAGACCAACAGAGAACAACGCCGACGCCAAAGGAATAGAAGCTAGGTATTAACGTTCGTCACTGCTTTTCAAATGCAATTACAAAAGGTAAAGTAAAACAACGAAAGAAATCACCCTCGTTTGATTCGGGTCTAGAGGGATGTTGATTCAATGGGTGTATATAGATGTCAAGGGCTGTTCGACATCTGACCATGTCTTCTAGACTTCATGGATAGATGGTGGTGTTTGGCGAACCTCATTTGACTATTGTCATTCGAGTGATGGGGTTAATCCAAACAAATTCCCTGCCTTAATCTGGTAGGGTCAAGTCGTGTGAGGATTGGTATTGCGTTCTAGCATGCCAGCAGGTCTGTTGGCTAGGCCTGCTACTATCTGCGAGTTACTTGGTAGCAGACCTGGTTGCCTTGCGCGGCAGAGTAGCCCGAGGCGTGGCAGGGTTCTTCGGGTGTGCCCTGTTAGCCGCTTGACTTGTAACGGGCTTGGGCGGCGCCTGATTCTGATTGGCATCCTCGACGGCGGTGGCGGCCGGGGCCTTGGGCGGGTTGAGTTTCAGCCGATAGGTCTTCTTCATGGCTGCAAACTCGGCCGCTTGGGATTTCGCACACGCTGCTTGTCGGGGGTCAAGCTCGACGGGTGGCTGGGTGGGTTGCTGGCGTCGGCGCTTGGACTGAGGTGTACCCTCGGTGGTCTCGGGGGCCAGGCTCGTAGTGGTTGTCTCACGGCGGCGTTTTCGGGTCGTGGTGTCACCCGAGAGACCACCACCACCCCCCCCCCCCCCACCACCACCACCACCACCACCACCCTGCTGGGCCATTTTCTGGGCCGCCGTCTCCCGGGCCCGAATCTTCTCCCGTTCGTGGAAGACGTCCTCCTGGAGAAAGGGAAGATGCGAGTTGCGGGGGAGGTTCCGCTCCCCGATGCGCGGGGGGAACCCAAAGATGCGGTCCCTTTGGATCTGTTGTTGCGTTTTGAAGCGCAGGGGAGGCTGCGGGAGCCCCTGGTCCCCGTAGGTATTGCTGGGCCGGAAGAGCTCGTAGCTTTCTGGCACCACGACCATCTCTTCGTCATGTTCGTTGGTATGACCTGTGTGGGTCCAGCCGTCCCCGTCAGTCCAAGGCTTTCTAGAGTCCACAGGTGCGAGGAAGGATGGCTTGCCCAAGCTTGGCATACTTGATTCGTGCTGGCCGCGAGAGACGGACTGTTTGGCCTGGTACGCATCACGTAGTCTGCGGAGCTCCTCGCTGTCTTGGGTCGACTGGGCATCAGAGGCTAGCAGGGCGTCGGCCACCAGCTGGTACAGATGCTTGCCGAGGGCTTTCAACTCGGATTCGGGCACAGATACTTCGGTCACCTGAACCGAATGAGACGCGAGGGACTCGGGCCCAGACAGATCACCGAGCGTCCCGCCTAGCTTGCCGACCACGGTAGTCTCTAGCTTGGAAACTGGGGCAATAAGTGCCGTCTTGGGTTTCTTAGAGCGAGACTGAGCGGACTGCATGAACTGCAGGCTCTCAAGGGCCTTTATAGTAGGCTTCCGGATCCGACCCGACGCACGATTTCCGGTAGAGGTGGTGGTCCGGCTGCCGGGAGACGACGCGAGGAAATCGGCCTGTCCGTCCAAGCCCATGCTGGTGGCAGAATAGTAATGATCGAAAGACGTATCGTAGTCGTGTATGGGGCTCGTCCGCACGCTATCTGAGGCAGCAGATGCGAGAGGTTTGGGAGTACTCGTTGCAGAGGGGGACATGACGTCTGTAGAGATCGAGAGGTGAAAGGGGTCTTGATAATCACTAGAAGGGTGTGTGGAGAGTCTCTTGGAACGGGTAGAAGAACGAAGACGCGTGGAAGGAGAGTTGTTGGTGGGAGGATGAGGAGGATGAGGTGGGGAGTCGTGGGAGAAGAGGTCAAGAGGGGAGAAATCAAGGGAACTCGTGCCAGTGGATGCATCGCCCACACCATTCATCTGCCCCGCTACCGACTTCTCAGAATTGGTGTTGCGTTTGCCCTGGAGCCCAGACTGTGGTGAGCTTGGATCTGTTTTGCGAACAGCCTTGCTGCCCGGTTCACTACGCAACAATAGTGGTGATGTCCGCAGAGTCACCACCAGTGACCGCCGTCCCCCCTGGGTCGATGTTGTGGTGGCTGCGTCTGCAGGCGTGGAGGCCATTCGGTTGTTACGCGACGCCCTCGAGGCCGGGGTCAGCAGACTCGCTATTATATTGAGACTCGAGCCCTGCTGCTGCTGCTGCTGCTGATTCCCCGAAGATTCCACGACCTTGGGAGGCATCGATTTGCGGTTGTCCAGCGTGCTAGTCTGGGGCTTCCCCGAGCCACGACGGACGGCGTCAGGCAGGCTTTTACGACGTTTCGGAAACCGAATGACTCCAACGCCTGTGTGGCCGTGAGGGGTGGTAATTTCATCGTACACGGCCAGGTCCGCGTCGTCTCTGGGAGGCTTTGTAGCCTTCTGGACCCGTGGCTTCGACTTCACCTTGCCATTGCTGGTTGTTTGTGGAGGGCCAGCATTCGGGGACACCGAGCTGTCCCCCTTCACCTGCACAGGCTGAGCATCATTGGCTAAATTGCGCAAGGTTCGTCGGCGTTTTGCAGAGGGCAAAGCGTCTTCAAACGACGCAGCGTCCATACTGACGAGCTCCGGGTTGAGACCGAGAGCTTTCAGCTCCGAATCGCGGATGGAATTGCGAGAGGGACGAGCAGGCTGCCGACGGCCGTTCTGGAGCACGTTAATATTATATCTCCCGTATCAAACAGTAAACTCTTGGGGGGGTAGGTAACCTACTGGGGTCCCGTCAGTATCCGCCGGCCAACTGGCCCCAGTCATTAGAAAGTTGTCCGTCACTATCTATCATTAGTCCTCCAGACAATCAAATCCGATGCAGGCTCTCTTACTTTCTTTTCTTTTCTTTTTTTGCCCCGCTCTCGTCGTTCTTTATCCGATAGAACCTCCCAACTTGGATTATCTCTCGAGACAGATCACGCAGCAACGCCGACACACGGATAGAACATGGTAGAATTCGAAATCATCGATCGAATCGTCAATCACCAGTTATCATCATCGACTCGACCTGTCTGCAATCAACTGTCAGTCCCTTGCATTGGTTTGGAACGAACTGGCGGTCGAGCAGGCTCTACCGCTACTACTGCCAGCAGCAGACCCGACTGTACTCACCATGGATACAGCACCTCCGTTCTATACCCCGCCTAGCGCTCTCTCGATATCTTCAACAATCGAAATCACCCGAAATACGGTATAACCAACACGGCGACCGGGGGCAAATAGCACAGGCGAAGCCGGGGGTATGGTCCGACGGTCGTCAGGCGAGGGCGAGTCGAACAATTCGCTCACCAAGCACAGAGGGTAGCCGGGAATTAGAAAGCAAAGGCGTAGACCATCGTCGATCGACCAACAATGATAAAACCCGAGTCCTGGAGGCAGCGTCTCTCCGTTGCGAGGGTCGGGGGCGGCCGGTGTCGCTCGAGCTTCGTTCTGGCAGCAAAGGGAAAAGTTCAAGTTCAGATCCGGGAAATTAGGGCTTGTCGGCGGGCGGGCGAGAGTCACTGGACCACGGCGAGCCCCAGCACTCTCTTTCCGTTGACAACACTCTGTCTCCAACACTTTGCTCGAGTCTGCTTTTAATTTTGAGAAGGAAAATGCATCTCTCCTCGGCTCTGCAGCTGTGTCTGCTGGCGTCTGCCCTTCCTGCGCACGCAGCCACTTCTTGGGGGTTTAGTGATGCCACCGTGTCAGTTCAGACCAAGGGTGCTGGAGTCGGAGCCGGTCTCAAAGAGCAGTGAGTTTTTTTTTAATTTATTATTGTTGTTTTTAAATTGAAAAAGCAATTGATATATTGACTGATTTGTTTTCTGAAGAATCGACAGCAGCAAACCCCTGGCGAACCCTGTCTCCCTCGGCGATGCGGATACGTTGAAGCTCACCTTGACGGCCGAGGAGGGAAACACCGCGAAGCGGCCACACCAGGCATTTCTGCTGCTCAAGGATGGAAGCGGGCTGGATATTTCGTTCCCGTTGAGCGTCAAGGATAACGGCAAGGCTAGATTGGAGCTTGTAGGTTTTCCTGCGATGGATTCACCTGTCTGTGATGCGGTAACTGACTGCTACCCAGACCCAGAAAGACCTCCCTCTTCAGTTCCTGGCGGCATCTGAACCCATCGACGCCAATCTGGTCATCGGCTCGTTTGGTTCGGCGGGTGCATACAACGGTCCGGCCTTCCAGCTGGCTGTCGAGCGCAACGCTGATGAGCCGTTGCCCTCGTCCACCGCGGAGCGCTACGGCCAGCTGCCGGAGATCCATCACATCTTCCGGTCGGATGCTCGCAGCCCACCTGTGGTGATCACGCTTGCCTTCGTCGCGATGGCCCTCGCATCGCTTCCTGTTCTTGCAGGCCTGGTACGTCTACATGGTATTCCAAGAACACCTTTTTAAGTATACGTCGCTAATCTAGCTGATATCAGTGGCTCTTCCTCGGCGCCAACCTCAACCACCTCCCCGCCGCCTTCAAGACAGCGCCCATTCCCCACGCCGTCTTTGTCGGAGCCCTGGTTGCCCTCGAGGGCATCTTCTTCCTCTACTACACCTCGTGGAACTTGTTCCAGATGCTGCCTCCCGCGCTGGCTGTCGGTGCCGTCGCCTTTGTCAGCGGCAGCCGTGCGCTGAGTGAAGTGCAGGGTCGCCGCCTTGCCGGCTTGAGATAGGTGCCCTAGCTGTCTGTCAGTTGTCAGCTGGTTAGCAAGCATTCGGCGCCCATGTACTACGTTCGCGGTGGAGTCAAGAGTAGAAATGTAGAATAGTACACAGTACACAGTACACAGTACAACAACAGTACAAGCATAGCAATCACACAACCATATAAGCAAAATACCAAACCACAATAAATTAAAATCAATTCCGATCTATACTCAATTATAATATGTTATCTCGATTTGCTCAGTAAAAACAGCTGTCGACCTCGGTATAACAGCTCCTGTTGGGTTGACGTCACGCTTGGCGCCAAATTTCACAGCGAGAAAAAAAGATAGCAAGAAAGACAAGCTTCACGGCCACGAACAACACAAAACCATGGGCTCCTCCGCGTCCAAACCAGCACGATCAGCTGCTGCGGCAGCCACACGTCGCCAGTATCCCAAGCAAGCGAGTGTTTCACCTCCTACAGCCCCGAAAACGAGATCGAGTCCCCAGCCTCGTCCGGCCACCAGGCCAGGGCCGACGTACCATTCGACCGAGCAGGCCTCGAGCACGAAGTCTAAGGGTATGACGTTCCATTTTATTATTCTTCTTGATCTAATGATTATAGCAATCGATCTTGACGGACGAGACCCTGACTTCGCCGCCTCCCTCCGCTCGATCGGTCCTGTCACGCCCGTCCCGACGCTGTCGAACTCGAGCATCTTCAATCGAGATCCTCATAGCCTGAACCGAAGCCAGAACCAAACCCATAATCACTACCAACCGGCTGTTTTCCCCTCGCCATCGAATCCAGCGTTATTAGTTGTCACGGCGCGGCAACGCCTCACACAAGCGGCTGAGCGCGAGGCCGAAGCCTTCGGCCGACAGAGCCATGCAGGACGAGAGTTCCTAGATATCCTTACCATTCGACAGGCCCTATCAATGCGAGACAGCCAGGGAGTCCCTGAGGCGGAAGTCGAGAAGGTGTTGCGATTGAAGAAGGGGGTACTCTCGCGGTTGGGGAGGGGCGTTGTCTCTGAGATTGGATAAGAGCATCTCAATCTTGTGTATTATATCAATTTCCCTGTAATTTATTTAAATCTCCACATTTTCTATCGTCTACTTCTCTATCATAAAAACTGTAGTATAAGTTTAGAGATCTGCCGTGCTGGGCGAGATTGTATGCCATTTTGTCTTAAGTCACGTTCCGAAAATTCAACCTCAAACACCTGGACTTCACCTCTCCGCACTCCACGCCCTCAAGCAATGGAGGCAGCACCACCAGCGCTTGTATCGCGTCAGCTAGCGTGTGTCTGTGTTTAAATGGACTATCTGCCTACTCCCAGCGGCAGCACGGCCGACGCGAGGCCTCGCCGACCGGCTAGGTCGAAGAATGGCTGTTTGACGTGTCGGTAAGTGACGGCCCAGAGGATTTCCCGGAAGGTCTCCAACAAAAGCAGCAAAGAAGAGACAAATCTAATTCTATAGTCGTCGCAAAGTCCGATGTAATGAGGAGAAGCCGAAGTGTGGGCATTGCTCGCGTCTTGGTCTGGAGTGTAGTTGGCGACAGAGCCACAGCAGGGCCGACAGCACAAGTGCAAGCTCCAGTACAAATGGAAATCCAATTGCATCGGCTACTGCTGCAGAAACAATCGACCCGGCGCCTGGCGCCTTTTTCAACTACGGCGGCTTGTTTGCGGAGGATTCCTCGCTGACGACGTCGTCGTCTGCCAGCTGGCTCGCGGGTGGGATGGCCTCCTTCAGCGACCCGGTCAGTTTCGGCCTGGGCGCCTACTCGCCGCTGTTCGAATATCACCCGTCGCCGTCATCGTCTGGGCCGGTAGCAGCAGCAGGAGCGGCAGCAGCACCGGGCAGCGGTGGCGGCGCTCAGCGTGATTCCATTCGCGATCAGCAGGCGTTTACCCTGTTGGACGTCACATCCTCGACGTCGTCGTCGTCACCGCCGCAGCACCACCCGCCGATCGCCCCAGACGCCAGCGACGACGAGCTGTTTCACGCCTTTCTGAACTCGGGCGTGCCTCCGATCCTCATCTCGGTCGAGACGCGCGTCCGCTGGCCGTGCATGAAACGTACCTTGGCCTCCATGTCGCGCTCGTCGAGCATGGTCCGCTCGGCCATCGTCACCTTTGTCGCCGTGCTGTTTCGTGACTCCGATAGGGAGCCGCATTCGCGCCGCACCGATATCTACGACAAAGCAGCCGCCGAGCTGGCGCGCACGATAGAGGCCGTCTCGGTGGGCACCATGGAGCTCGGCGTCGAGCTGCAGAACATCCTTGCCACGGCATTTCTCCTCTCGTACAGTGATGTATGTTATATGTTATGATCTCCATACCTCACCACTATTTCTATCAATACTAACAGCAACAGCTTGTCACTTCGCGGGTCGACCAGGCCAATGCATACTTGAGAGAAGCGTTCAAAATGTTGCAAATGCGAAAGTTATCAGAATTGAACATGACTGGTAGGGCCCTCTTTCTATTTAGTGTGTATGAACTATGTAGTATGTGCTAATTTTTTCCTTTCAAGAAAAACGGCTAATATCGTGGATTCGCTTGATTGATGCGCGTGCCGCCTCAGCAGGCGGAGAGGGCTTTTTTGTCACCAATGATAATGAAAATCTGTACGCTTCCGATACGCTCGAGTCTCGGTCCGGGGCCCTCGACTATGCAAGTGATCCTGGATACGACGATCTTGCCATCGAGGAGATCCTCTCAGATATGCTCCATCGACCGGGCACCGTCTTCTTCCAGAAGGTGCTCTCCTTCATGGGCCGGATCGCGAAGATTGATCCGTGGCATCGCAGCCGGGGTACCGTCAAGGACGAAACGGAAGTCATGTCGCTCGCGAACCAGATCACCCGAGACCTCCAGAAGCTGTACTCGCAGCGCCCGCCGCTGATGGACTACGCGATTGCGGGCCACCTGAACCGGACGCATGTCATCCAGACGCTGGCGGCCGCGCTGACGCAGAACTTCCGCGCGTACGCCGCCAACTACTACGCATGTTTCATCCACCTGCACCGCGTGGCGTACAAGACGTTTCCCAAGACGCCCGAGGTGCTCGAGGCGCAGGCGAAAATCAAGAGCTTGAGTCGGTGCATGGCTAACGCGCTCGATCCATCCGAGCCCATGCCCGGCCAGATGCTCTGGGCCTTGTGCATGTGGGCCAGCGAGGAAGACGACCCCGCCGAACGGCTGTGGATCCTGAGCACCATCCGCGGCATGAAAAGCAGCGCCAGCAATGCCCACATCCTCGCCGACGTGCTTGAGGAGGTCCTTCGCCGGCAAGACGAACAGCACCAGCGCGTTGATATCCGTTCGGTCATGCAGGACACTTTTCACCAAAGCTTTGCCGTACTCTAATATTTTTTCTTTTTCATTCATGATCTATGTACAAGGTATCGAACATTTCTTTTTTTTTTTAAAAAAAAAAAAACAACCCCTTCCCCGTTCCACATCGAAGGGGGGGGGGGGTCACTACTGCTTCTGCTTGGCGAGAGCCTCTTCGACCGGTCGCAGCCTCTCCGACAGTTCCACGATCCATTCCTGCTTGCTGGGGTCGGAGAAGAGCGGGTACGGACGACGGCAGGCAGCGCTGGTGGCGGGGTATCCCAGCAGGTGGGCAACAACCCATTTGCTACCGTTGATGCCGCCCTTGGCAAAGGCCCATTCCGAGGTGGCCGCCTTGAGCTGCAGCTCGGTGGCTTCCTGTGTCTTACCGGCAAGGGCGAGCTCGTACAGTTCAACGCAAGCCTATATATATTAGCAAAGCTCATGCTATAAATGGCAAAAGAGGAGGGAGGAGGTATACCCTAGGCCACAAGTTTGCCATGCCGGTGATGGCCCCGATGCCGCCGACGGACATGGCAGGGATAAGCCAGTCGATCTGGCCGCCGAGCACGCTGAACTGCGAGGTAGCGGCGGTGACGCGGGGCACCTTACCGATACCGCCGCAGGTGAGCTTCACACCGGAGATGTTCGGGTGCTCGCTGAGGGTGATGAGCATCTCGGAGTTGACGTCGAGGCCCGCGGCGACACCGGGGAAGTTATAGACCATGATGGGCACGGGGCTGTTGTCGGCGACCTCCTGGAAGAAGGCGATGATGGCGGCGGAATCCATGGCGAAGTGGAAGTAGCTGGGGACCAGGACCATGGCGAAATCGGCCCCCGCGGTCTTCGCCGCAACGCACTCGTCGATCACCTGGCGCGTGGCCTGTCCGCTCGCCCCGAGGGTGATGGTGATATCGGGCCGGCCGAGCTGGGTGGCAACGGCGCGAGCGCGGCGCACCAGCTCGACTTTCTCTTCCGTCGACAGGGTGACGGCCTCGCCGTTGGTTCCTGCAAGAACCACTAAAATAGTCAGCTCTAGACTTTCTTCAAATATCCTCTCTCTCTCTCTCTCTCTCTCTCTCTCTTACATCCATGCATCCCCGACTCAACCATGTACTTGAAATGTTGCTCCTGGACCTCCCAATCGATCTCCTGGCGGGGACCATCCTTGAACCAGGTCAGGATGGGGACGTGGATGCCACCGGGGAAAACGTGGTTTCTCATTTTGAATGAAGTAGATTGTTGAACGAGAAGAAGAAGTAATTGGTACTCAGAATTAATTCAAGATGGAAATCAGTTGTTCGAGGAAGAAGAAGAACAAGAAGATAAATATTCCCCGCACAGATGCGGGGACGCCATCCCGATCGGATGTCGGCTCGCGTCGGGTAAGGGCATAGCCGAGCAGGCAACTTACGATTAATGGACATGGAGGGCTCGCTTTACTTAGTCAGTTGGTATATTATTCATTAACTACCTACACAGACGAGGTCTTCTTCAGTCAATAGACTATATAAGTGGTTCAGCTCTCACTACAGAGTACGGAGTGCTAGCATCGAATAATACATTATCTACGAACTTGCTATGGAGTATTTCATAGACGATACTCGAACATCAGTTATTGAAATTTATGGTATGCATAATGCTCCTTCCTGCAGAGAAATGGGTCTTGTATTCTGTCGAGGACAGATAGTCAGAGCACACTAGATTTTTGGTGGCATTGATAAGTATCTCGGGGTCTTCTACTGGTTAGAATATAAGTAGAGTACTTCACTTGTGTTACTTACTCCCAAGTAAGCATGGAACAACCCTTTGCTAATAATATCTCGTATCCGTCAACATCATATACTACATACACTGCCACCGACTCCACAAGGATCATATACTCCGTATACTCCGTACTGGACCCTATCTAGGTACAGAGTGGATGTGGAGTCAATATTATGGATCCTAGAAAAACATTTTATAATCAATGACGTTGATTTGATGGGTATTTTGAATGCTCTTAAATTAGCATTACTAGTCATCCATCCTATAAAGCTATCTCTGTACCCAGTATCCGTACTCCGTACTCCGAGTCGGTGAAGAGACCCTGCGTTCATCTGTGTATCGGTGGATCTTATTATCTATTATTGATATCTAAAGCTTAAATACTATCCCAACCACTATGCTAGAGTCATTACTACCTCACTCTATCCCTGTTGCCTGTTGGACCCTGTACTCCGTAATGGGAACCTTGAAGAATGGGTCGGGTCGTGTGCGCTCCTTCCTAAGACGCGTCTAGCGCGATTCTCCCCCCCCCCCCCCCCCTGAAACAAACAAGCCTTTTCTTTTTTTAATCGCTGGAGTAAGCCTTGGATGGCCTGATGGGGCATAGCTCTGCCCCACAGTCATCCCGTTTAGGCAGGATGTGGGCATTAAGGTCCACTTACGTCCCCGATGGGGAATAGTCAGGGTCTGGCCTGTATCACAGAGGGCATACAGTACATACTTATTACTTACTCCATGTACTCTGCCATTACTCTGATGTTACTCTGTTACTTTGTTCTCTATCTCCAAACCTGCTTCTGCCTGAGACACTCGTTTTTGATTTATATATATATTTTTTTTAGTGATCACTGTACTCATTCTCTCTCTCTCGCTCTTCTTCTTCTTCTTCTTCTTTTCCTCTCTATTCATTGATTTAATATAACCTATTGCTATTGTTGTATATTATAATGATTCTGTCATGGCATTCTCAAATATTTCCACCCCTCCCTTGCTCTTTGCCCTGCTCGTCGTGAGCGGTCTGGCTTCCAAAACATTGCACATCTTTCAGCATCTCGAGTCTTTACCACTGCTCTATCTTGTCATCTACCTGCCCACGCTCTACCTGCCAGATGTGTTGGTTATCTGTCTGGGACGGGTCTTGCTGTTGTGGCCGGAGAGGCGCTGGCAATGGCTTGTTTGTGCCGCTGGGGCAGTACTCGCGTAAGTCCACAGTTCTTTTTGATGCCTTTCTCAAGAAATGAGACAAGGAAGAAGCTAATAGAGGGTTTCCAGTCTCCTCACATGGGGTGCCTCCGCCATCGTGTTCGGGTTCTTCCTCCAGACAGGCGCCGAAGTCGAATGGACCGCCACCGACAGCTTCGTCCGCGACCCTGCCGCCATGAAATTGCTTATGAGTGGCATCTCGACCGTCTGTGCCGCCGCAACAGTGCTGCTGCTCGTCGCCTGGCTCATTGCGCCACGGCTATACTCGCTCACGGGCTCGTGGATGGACACACTCGGGGGAATCTGCCGCTTGGGCGTCAAGGAATCCTACACACTGCTGCCAGGCAATGCCACGAAGGCTAGACGCTGGCGGTGCTCGCTGAAATGGCTGATTCCCGTGTCCGTCATGACGGTGTCGTTGACCTTCCTGGAGTGTACGCGGCCGGCGGTCCCCTGGGACCATCTGTCACGTGCTCTCCCGTGGACGCTGCTGGACGCCTTCCACACTCCGTCGACGGAACACTGTCGCCCGCCTCGGATTCCCTTCCCCTTGGACACAGACAAGGACGGGAAAGGCCATCATGGCCATCACGGGCATCATCCGCATCACTGGGTGCCTGACTTCCGACCTGCGACGACCGACGAAGGCCCTCTCCAGCGCCCTGTCTGGCTGCCAGACCCTTCTCCGCCGGGGTTTCACCGCTGGGATCAACAGCATGGCGCCGACTTTGGATACCAGCCGCGGTGTCCCGGGAACGACCAGGTCTACCGCCCGTACAACGCCCTGACCGATCCGCTGAAAGTGTCGAATCTCGGTGAAGACCTACTCGAGCCCCTCCAGCAGGTCTTGAACCGGTCCGAGGTCAGCATTCAGCACGTCGTGATCCTCACGATGGAGAGCGGCCGCAAGGAGCTGTTTCCCATGCAGTCTGGAACGCCACTTTACGATGCTTTGTTGGAATCCTACCGTCCTGCAGACCGCGACATGGCTATCGACCAGCTGTCGCGCATGACGCCTGTCGCGCAGATGGTCACGGGGGAGTACGCAGTGGACAGCCACGGCCAGCGGAATGTGTTCAACGATTCGTCGACGGTCTGGCAAGATACGGCGGAAGAGGGGATGGGCGGGATCAACGTCAAGGGCGCCCTGACGGGCAGCACGCTGACCTTCAAAAGCCTGCTGAGCAGCCACTGCGGCGTGAGTCCGCTGCCAGTAGATCTGTTGGAAGAGGTCAACCACCAGATCTACCAGCCGTGTCTGCCGCAGATCTTTGACCTATTCAATTCTTTCAAGGGGGAGACAGACCGGATGACAGGGTTTCAAGCCCAAAAGTGGGAGTCTGTCTTTGTCCAGGCCGTCACTGACACTTATGACCGCCAGCATCGACTCAACGAGATGATGGGCTTCCGGCATGTGGTGACCAAGGAGACCATGAGGAACAAAAAGGCCAAATACTTTCCTCCCAAGACGGAAGAAATCAACTACTTTGGGTACCTCTCATTTCTATCCGACCTGTGGACGATCGACTGACTCTCTAGGTACGCCGAAAACGAAACATGGCCGTATTTAGCGGATATCATCCACGGCGCCGTCGAGAAGAAGAATCGACTCTTCCTCTCGCACATCACAAGCTCGACACACCACCCCTGGCATACACCCGAGGATTTCCCTCAGAAGCAGTATACAGGCCCCCGCGGCAAGCACAACTACATGAACGATTACCTCAACACGATCGCGTATGCGGACGAGTGGCTGGGAAGAGTGTTGCTCTTGCTCGACGAAGCAGGCATCGCGAATGAGACTTTGGTAGTCATCGTAGGCGACCAGTAAGTTTTCCCTTGCTTCAACTCTTTCTAGTTCTTTCTGACTACGTAGTGGTCAAGCATTCAGTGAAGACAGTAAAATGACAGGGACGTTCGAAAACCCACACATCAGCAACTTTCGCGTCCCGCTGGTCTTCCGGCACCCTCATCTCCCCGCCTTGACTGTTTCGGCGAATGTCACCTCCCTGTCCATCGTCCCAACTATCCTCGATTTATTAGTGGAAAGTGGCTCGCTGGACGCAAGAGATAGAAGCGTGGCGTCCGGTTTGGTAAACGAGTATCAAGGGCAATCGCTTCTCCGCCCCTACCAGACAGAAAGAAAGAATACGAAGCATAGTAAGGGTAAAGGTAAAGATAAAGATGATAATGAGGTTTCTTTGTGGAATTTCGGTCTCATCAACGCCGGCGGGGCCATGATCTCCGTGACAGCCTCGAACAGCGCGTACAGGGTTATCCTCCCCCTGTCGTCGAAATTCGAGTACTCCTTCTCCAACCTTGAAACAGACCCTGGCGAGAAACATCCATTACACGACTGGACGGCAGACGGACTACTCGCCTCTGTGGCTAGTAAGTACGGCGACGGGGCCGCGGAATGGGCTATCGATGCCATACGGGTGGGTGGGTGGTGGGCCCATGAGCAGAAACGGATATGGGATTATAGAGGGTAGCGATGTAGCGTACATAAATTCTTTTTATTACTAAACTGATAGATAGTTAAGTAGGAACTGGTAGGCTCTACAAAGTAAGAGCATCTTCATCATCCAACCCCCGAAACTGAACCATAAAGCCACACCCACCGACAAAAGCCAGGACTGCGAAAACCGAGTAATTCCAGACCAGCAGCGGATCACCCGACAGTCGATTGAGGGCCTCCCCAAGAGCAGCGGAGATGGCGTTTGTGAACAAGGCTAGAGCCTGGATCAGCGAGCGCAGACCGGGGGGGGCCTTGGAGTAAGCGTATTCCATGGAGGTGATGGAGGCGAAGATCTCAGACAAGGCGATGAGCACGTAGCAGCCTGTCTGTGCCCAGACGGAGATTGGGGACGGACGCACGCTTCCATCATGTGGATCGATACAGTTGTCTGCTTGGTCGCCGCAGGGGGATGTTCTGTAGATGTATACCTGTAGCACGGCGGCCCAGACCATCGCCCCGGCTGCGAGCCAGAATCCCACGGCAATCTTGCGGATGGGAGTGACGCGTACACCGATCTGGCGCAGGAACGGGTAAAAAAACGAGTCGCAGATGGGGATGAAGATGATTAGCACGAGCGGGTCGAGGTTGTTGACTATATCGTTGGGCACGCCGTGCAGGCTCATCGTGCCGGCTTGGTTGGTCAGGTTGTTGGTTAGCTGGTTGTACGCGAGCCAGTACAGCGGTAACCAGGCGAACACGGCGCAGGCGGCAAATGCGCGTCGGACCTGGTCGACCCAGGCGTCGTCGAAGGTCATCCATGCTGGCCGTAGAGAAGGGTCGATGTTTGACGGCCGGGCGGAGTCCCAGAAGGTGGTAGAGGTACTGCTACTGCCTGTATCATTAGGGGTGTTCCGCCACATCTTGACAGGATTCCAGAGCCAGTGAGCCCGGAGAGCAAAGAAAAAGGTCCGTACGGCTTGCAAGGAGGCGGACCCCTGCGGCGGAGCCTGGCGGTAGCGGCGACGGCCCCAGAACAGCACGGCCGGGGTGGTCAGGAACAAGACGGTGGGCAGCAGGAAGGCCAGCCAGAAGCCGACGTATTTTTCCGCGTAGCTCATCCCGATCTGGCCGATCAGCGCGCCCACGTTCACAAACAAGTAGAAGTAGTGGTAGATCCGGCTCTGGGTGATGGTTGGATCGAGGATGACCCGCTCGCCAGAGGGGAGGGTCTGGATCTGGGGCGTCGTCAAGCCGATCTGCTCGACGATCAGGGGTGAGATGTTGGGCTTGAAGCCGCCCGTGCCGACGCCCATGATGACCACTCCGACGAGGAAGACGGCAAAACACGTAGTCGTATGCGTGATGACGGCCGGCAACGCCGAGATCACCAGCACAATGTGGCCTAGGATGGCGATTGCCACGGCCACGCAGATCGTCCGGTACCGGCCCCAATGCTCGTCGGCTACCCAGGCTGCCACCAGAGGCACACAGTACATCCAGAAGGTGTTGAACGTGTTGATCGCGCTGGCGATCTCGGCCCCCTGGCCCAACGCGCCGGAGATCCCCTGCGCACTGCCGCCGCCAGCGCCAGTGTTGTGGTTCGAACCGGGGGGGCCGTTCACCTGGGGAAGCGAGTGATTGACAAAGTTGGCATCTATCAGTCAGTCAGTCAGTTAGTTGGTTGGGGAAGTTGGCTAATTCTAGGATTCCGCATGGAAATATGACGTACACAAGACTTGAGTGCCGTAGTAGGAGAAACGCTCGCACAACTCAACAAAAGCAACAGTGTACACAGTCCAGGGGATGGGAGCAGAGACACGACGAAGGGCATTCGGACCATGCAGTTCGTCTTCGGTGGGAGAGTCTTTTTCCACGACAGAGACGGCCTTCTCTGAGACAAGATCTGGCTGCTTCTCCAAGTCCTCGACCTGGAGAGCGTGGGGGGAGATCTCCATGGAAGTAACGCTGTCCATGACAGAGGCTGTGGTAATGAAGAGAAAAGAACAAGGAGAGAAGGAGAGGGAAAAGAAGAAGGAAAAGAAGAGGGAAAAGAAGAGGAAAAGGCAGACGTGAAGTGAGAGAATCAGAGAACAAACAAATAAACGACAGACATATTCATCTCTCACTTCTTAGCTGATGGTAAATTGCTATTTCCATGCCATAGCACCTGAGCTGTACTAAGTGCGATATTACTATGTACTTCCTATTCTCTTCTATCTGATAATATGTACTGTCTATTCAGTGGTGGTTATTCAGTACTTGGTTTCTGCCTCAGGCCTAATAACTGCCTCAGGCATAAAAGTGTCTGCCTGATGATATAGCACTAGTCTGTATTGGGATGACACTAAGCCCTATCAGAAAGACTATGCCTAAATAGGCAGTATGCAATAGGCACCTGCTGTTTAACCTCTTCGCTTCTTTCACTTCTCTTCTTTCACTTCTCTTCTTTCACTTCTATTCCTTACTCCAATTCTCTCGCTTAAATCCTTAGCTTGACATATTGCTAGCTTCTCCCCCTCAACTTCTTTTCAGCTTCTTCTCCCTGACTTCTCTTTCTCGCCTTTTCCCTCTTCAACTTGTCGTCTTTGACGTCTCGTCTCCAATTTCTCGTCTTCAGTTCTGAAAGAGAGAGAGATCCTCTTCGGCTTTTCCTCTCAGACCTCGCGCGTTCAATCAGCCTTCTTGAACTGAATCCCCTCAATACTCCCATTCCTCATAATGGATTCATCAAACTCGCCCTCGAGAAGCTCCAGATACTCGGAGTTCAGCTCCTCAACACCCATTACCTTCGTCACACCGGACTCTTTGCATAGTCATCCCCAGCGGGTGGATCACCCAGGCAGCCATCTCAAAACCCTAGGTTCTAGCTTGGATGACTGGGTGCCGACTATCGAGGGATTTATCAATGAAGATCGCCGTGTGGGCGGCCCGGTCCTCTGCCCTCTTCCTGTCGTCAGTGTAGCAATACATCATACAGACCCTGAGTTTGTCAAACTTAGTCAAGCAGAACCTCAGCTCAGTGACCACATCACCTCCATTGTTCAGCGCCACGGGATCGACTTTATTGACATTGACATCACAAGACGTTTGTCAAAGCTGAATCCCCAGACGAGCCCAGTACCGACAGTGGTAATTTTTGCAAACCAACACCAGATCAATCACAGCTGGCTCGATGCAGCAAAGGAGATACACCGTTTCCTACTCTCTAAGAACTTTGCCAACTTTCAGGTCGAGATTGTAGACCCGGTGATTCTCAAGCCTTGGAAATGTTTTCCTGTCCTTGATACTGACCAGGTTTTCTCCCATTGGGATAACCTCCGTGATCGGATACTCAACTCATTTAACCTTCATGAATGGATTTCTCTTGAATGTTATCGGTTTGGGAAGGAGGATGTCTCCTCTAAAAACCCGCCCTGTGTCGTTGTTAGCGTGAAACCAGATTCCTCGACTAATTGGACCCCAACACGCGATCGCATCATCGCCATGCTCGACGAGTATGCTCTTTCATCATCTGTGGGTGTCTATATCATCCCAGACGTCATTTTCAAATCAATCGAGGCCTACATCCCCACCAAGGAGCTTCTATCTGATTCCGCATTCCAGCTGGAAGCGCAAGCAGGTACGAGTATCGGCCTCCATCTTCCAGGGAGCCCCAGCGGAACGCTGGGCGGTTTTATCGAATTACAGTGGTCTGGCAGTCCGGAATGGAAGCAGTTTGGACTAACCTGTTTCCATTGTGTTTATCCCAAGGGATTCTCAGCACCGTTCTCCCCACAGGATAACTTTGGTATGTGGATCTTTTGGCTTGCTGCTGTTACAGTTGCTAACCTTACTTCCTTGACTAGTCATTGACCAGTGGTACGACCGCTCTGTTCGACCCAATGATCCCAATGCCTCAAGGCTTATGCGTCTCTGCCAGCCAAGCCTAGGAGACATGGAGGGCCAGGTCGCATACCTGGCTGACGGGATCCGCAACCAGACATCTGACAAGGAATCCCAGGCGATCGAGCAGGCCCTGGAACAAGGAGAATTCGTTCTGCCCTTCGAGCAGAAGGCTCTAGACATCAGGAAGCTGGTGGTTGAGAAGCTGGAGGCGAGAAAGATGAAGGTAGAGACTTTTCTCTCCTCAACAGACAAAGATCTCGGGCCTGTTTTTGCTGGTTCAGGGTATCAGGTATTCCGAGAGAGCGTCACCATGAAGTCGGTGGAGAAGACCATCCTCGATTGGGCCTTGGTGGAAATCGTGCAGGCGCGGAAATCGCAGAATAACACGGTGAGTTCTGGTACAGTATTTTGATTGATCCTTATCCCACTAACTGGACTTCAAGTTTTCCTTTGCACCCGATTTACTGGTTTCTGACGTCCACACCGGACGACCTGCCGAATTGGGAACCCTGTGCAAGTCTGGACGAACGACTAAACACACGAAGGGCCAATGCGCAAAACTTCGCCAGGCTAAAATCGCACGGTATAGGATCAATGGCATGGAGGAGATTAAAGCGACGCTGGAGCACAGCGTCACCGGCGATTTTTCAGAGCCTGGAGACTCTGGCTCGATTGTCCTTGATGGCGCGGGCAGAGTGGTTGGACTTCTCTTCGGCGGCTGTCAGAACAAGACAGCGTCTTACTTCACTCACGTCCGTGACCTAGTCAAGGATATTAGAGAAGTTACAGGGGCTTCAGGCGTGCGAATTATGGGCTGCGACGTGAGATTCTAGACTTTGTGATTCGTTTACGAACCCTATTATCAGCGGACGAGAGCTTCCGACCAGAAATCTTGAATTCCCTTGAACTCCTTCAACTCGCGTAGAAGATATACTGTAAATACTCTTTAGACTACTTCTCTGACACTGCCGGGCCCAATTTATATTTTACTGTTACAGGACTTCTTTATCTCCTGTATACAGAGCATGTATGATCGAGTTAAAATGGATAAACTAAGAAAGACTAGCAGTACTATATGGTGAACTTGCATACTGGCCATGGGATAGTACATTGCATCAGCCATCCTAGTGATATACATATTGGAGCCAATATAGATAGATAGATAGTATGAATCACTTGCAGTAAATTGATGGAATATACTTTTATTCAAATTAGTATATATAATCCTATCGCCATACCCGCTTGCTAATCCCAAAGAAAAAGAAAAAAAAAAAGTAGAAACAGAGGAATCCAAAACAGAGTAATCAAGTAGCCTCAAGAAAAGGTTAATCTACCAAGCAGAGTGTCCGCCATCGATGCGCAGATCGCTGCCGGTCATGAAGCTGCTGGCGTCTGAAAGTAAGAAGACGGCGGCGCCACGGTACTCGTTGGGCGAAGACAGACGGCCGAGCATGTTTTCCTTGGGCCACTGGTCCCGGCGTTCAGGGAACTGGACGAAGAGATTCTCAACCATGGCGGTGACGATGTAGCCGGGCGAGATGGTGTTGACGCGGATGCGGTACTGGCCCCATTCGGCGGCCAAGTTGCGACCAAGCTGGATGACAGCTGCCTTGCTCGCGTTGTACGCGGGACAGATGAGGCCCTATTTTGATTGATTGATTGTCAGTTATCGGTCAATATATGACGATTGAGCGACATCAAGCATGTAGGTGGTGATTGGATGGAGGACTGATGACTAAAAGCGGGGAAATCGTGGGGGAATGAGGGGGGGGGGGAAAGGGAGGCGCAGGGCAAGCAGGGAAGAAGGGACAAGGGAAACGGAAAGGCAAGGGACATACCCGATTGGCGACGGTGCCACTCATGCTCGCGATCAGGGCAATGCTGCCCCCATTGCCAAAGCGAATCATCTGCTTGGCAACAGCCTGGGCGGTCATGAAGACCCCAGTGACGTTGACCTCGAACATGGTGTTGGCATCCTTGGCCGAGTATTCGAGGGCGGGCGTTTCCTGCTGGATGCCGGCGGCGGCGACCAACCCGTCCATGCGGCCCTCCGTGTTGGCGATGGCCTCGATCACGGTGTTCAGCAGCTCCGTGTCACGCACATCGATGCGGCGGTAGTGCAGGGCGGTGCCAAGCTGCTCAACGGCTCTTTTCTGAATCTGAAAGAATTCGGGAGACTGCGTTGATTAGCCTGGATCTTGATAATTTACTGTGACAGAAAGAAGAAGAAGGAGGAGGAGGAGGAGGAGGAGGAGGAAGAAGAGCAGGAGAGGAAGACAATATCGAGCTTACCGGTTCTTCCAAACGGTCTAGAGCGTAGACAGTAGCTCCAGCCTCCAGCAGAGCCTCTGCCTGAGTCAATCCCAGACCACGGGCAGCCCCTGAGACGCAGACGACCTTGCCTCCCAGGCTGAACTCGGGCAGACGGTTCTGGGTACCGAGGAAGACGTCGTGGTTCTGCTTGGTGGCAGCGACGGGGACTTCTGTGGTTTCAATGGAGACAGACATGGTGATTGAATAAGTAGTATTTAGAGGCAATCTGAGAAGAAGAAGAGAGAGAGAGAGAGAGAGAGAGAGAGTCGGATGGATGGTGAGAGTTGAGGGGTGTCTGGAGAGTCTCTTATATAGCAGGCGCTGCAGGAAATGCTCATGTGAGCGAGGACAGCCCAACTAGGCAAGCCTGAGTCTGGGCCATGCTGGAACATGACAAGAAACATTAGAATCATGCAGTCCCTGTCAGTTACCTTGGGTATATATAATACAGGTATTCCGTACTACAATGTCTTCTATTTCTGGTCTGCTCTACTCTTGTGTTGTTGAACTTGATTCCATGGTGTTCAGTCTTCAATTCCTCTCTTTTCTCCGTTTCCTTTCACTTTTGTTCGTAGAAAGACAAAGGATGAAGATGACTGACTGTTGACTTCATCACTCGGGAGTCTCGATTGGGAAACCCGGCGGGTCACGCGTGAGACGGTCATGTGCCACCCACAGATCTAGTCGATACTACATACAGATGAAAAAAATAAAAAAAAAAAAAGGAATTTCAAATAAATGCTGTAATTTAACTGGTATTGGGATATTCAGTATTTATACCTAGTAGTAATTGCTTCTCTCATCTTTTATCTGATCCGCTGTGAGTTTAACTAATGGAGGAATTCTTATTCTTTCAATTTATAGTGCAATACTTTATATAGTTACCAGTAACATACTCTGTACCTATAAAGCCATGCAGGTCAGACCAGTCTGGGGGTCTAGGCCTTAGATCCAGTGTTCTAGAAGAGACAATGAATAGTTAACTAATGCCTGGCCACGTAGTAACTAGTCGGCTTTCCCGATGAGTATGACCGAGGCAACTTCTTAGTACCTATAGAAATCTCTAGGAGTCTATTATATTGCTGTATACTTGTGGTATCAATTACTACTTGATATTCAAGTACTCATATTATTTAGATGAATAACACTAAAGAAGGAGTAATCTCCTATGATAATATCAATATGTTGGTAATACTATTATTTCTAGTTCTATATATTTATACTATAAAAACAATAACTTATTTTCAGCACAATATTTAGACAAAATCTCATTATAATATATTATAACCCCTCTATTTAAGAATAAGGTAATAGTAGAAAGTATTCAAAACATTGAGAGCCTATACTAATAGTAGGAATAACCACTTACTCGGCTCCCATAGTCTGGTGTTTAGGTCAGTAGACTAAAGGCATCTCCCTCCATCAATTCAATACTCTTATTCATTCTCATCGCCTACAAATATTCCAGCAAGGAGACTTCTATATTATTAAAAGTCATGAATCGTTACTCTTCTTGCCACCCGGACCCCCCGGGCGAGTCTTTGAGTCTTGACATCACCACCAGACGAACCACTCCGCCTGAATCGTCGAACCATTCAACCAGCAAGTCATGCTATTTGTGTTCTACGCAATACTTGGACACTAGAGTCTAATCACTATGGCTCTCTAGGTAGGGAGAGCGTTCTTGCAAGGGTGTCTAGTGTCATCCCTTGCCTCGTCTGCCTCAGTGTTCATACCCTCTGCGCGTCAACAACATGAAGCCCACGCTGTTGCTGGTCGTTTCTGCGCTGGCGGCTGCATTGCCAGGTGAGTTCTTCTTCTAATTAGTATTTCTATTCAATGCGAAGTGTCTGGTCAGTCTAATGATAGATTTCAGCCGAACAAGCATATTCTCTCGCACATCTCGCCCTCCGCGCCCTCCCCAATGCCCCCGACGGTTACACCCCAGCCAACGTCTCCTGTCCTGCAGTGCGTCCCAGCGTGCGGAGTGCGTCTACCTTGTCTACGAACGAGACCGAATGGCTGCGTCTGCGTCGGAACAAGACCTTCGATGCCCTCAAGGACTTCTTCGGCCATGTCGACGTCGGCAGCTTCAACGTCAGCGCCTATCTCGACACCCTCGCTCATAGCAACGCCTCTGAGTTGCCGACCGTTGGAATCGCCATCTCCGGGGGAGGATATCGCGCCCTGTTGAACGGGGCTGGCGCCATCAAGGCGTTTGATAACAGGACTGAGAACGCCACTGCCAGCGGTCGACTGGGTGGCCTGCTGCAGTCGGCGACCTATGTCTCTGGCCTGAGCGGCGGCAGCTGGCTGGTCGGCTCGATCTTCATCAACAATTTCAGCTCGATTACCTCGTTGCAGACGTACAAGGAAGCGGAGGTCTGGCAGTTTGGCAACTCCATCTTCGAGGGTCCGTATACTGGGGGGGTCCAGGCCGTCGATACGGTCGAATACTACAAGAACATCGAGGATGCTGTCTCGGGAAAATCTGATGCTGGTTTCCCGACTACTATTACGGATTACTGGTACTCTCTATATCTCTCTCTCTATCTCTCTGTCTCTCTCATTCGCTCACGAAAATCAGGGGTCGTGCACTGTCGTATCAGCTCGTCAATGGTTCGAATGGAGGCCTCGACTATACCTGGTCATCCATTGCGTTAACAACAGAGTTCCAACAGGCAGACATGCCGATGCCGCTCGTGGTGGCTGACGGGCGTAACCCAGGGGAGCTGGTGATCGGAGGCAATGCGACTGTGTATGAATACAACCCATGGGAGTTTGGTACCTTCGATCCCACCATTTACGGCTTCATCCCACTGGAGTATCTCGGCTCGCGGTTTGTCGCCGGCACCCTGCCCAGCAATGAGACCTGCGTGCGAGGGTACGACAACGCGGGCTTCATAATGGGCACCTCGTCCAGCCTGTTCAACCAGTTTCTACTCAATGTCAACTCGACGGCCCTGCCCAGCGCCCTCAAGGCCATATTCACAGACATCCTGCAGGACATTGGCGAGGACGACGAGGACATTGCTCTGTACGGGCCGAACCCGTTCTACCTATACTCGAACGAAACCTCGCCCTACGCCAACTCTACGGAGCTGGATCTCGTCGACGGCGGCGAGGACGGCCAGAACGTGCCGCTGCACCCGCTGATCCAACCGGAGCGGCACGTCGACGTCGTCTTCGCCGTCGACTCCTCGGCCGACACGACCTACTACTGGCCCAACGGTACCTCGCTGGTCGCCACGTACGAGCGCAGCCTCAACGCCTCTGGGATCGGCAACGGCACCGCATTCCCCGCCATCCCAGACACCAACACCTTTGTCAACCTCGGCCTCAACACCCGCCCGACCTTCTTTGGCTGCAACAGCTCCAACCTCACAGGTCCCGCGCCGCTAATCGTCTACCTGCCCAACTATCCGTACGTGACGTACTCCAACGTTTCCACCTTCGAAGACAGCTACAACGACAGCCACCGTGATGCCATGATCCTCAACGGCTACGACGCCGTCACCCTTGCCAACGCCAGCCGTGACGGCAACTGGACCGCCTGCGTCGGCTGTGCTGTTCTTGCCCGCTCCTTCGACCGCTCCAACACCTCCGTTCCCTCCATCTGTACCGACTGCTTCGACCGTTACTGCTGGAACGGCACGCTCAACAGCTCCACGCCAGCGCCGTATGAGCCTACTCTCCTCTTCCCTGAGGCAACAATTAAGATCAATTCGACCAAGTCCAGTGCTGCTACTGCTGCTGCTGCTCGGGAGGTGACTTTCACAGCGTCACTTGTTGCAGCCAGTGTCGTTTATTTTTTGACTTGTACTTTACTCTAATTGATGAATCTGGTAGTTAGTTTTGCTCATGCCTATGTAAAAGTGAACAGTTAGAATTAATTGATTTTATACTGAAGAATTTAATAATACTCCGTCCAGCATTACCTACTCCACTCAATGTTGTTGCCATGGCAACATTGCGAATCTCCTGTTGACGAAGCGGATCTGCCGAGATTCTCATCCATCCACCCACACGACAACGACACAACGCAACGACACCACGACAATTGATTATTCGAGATATCGACACCAGGATTTCTGATTCCTTCATCTCCACCCATGATGATCAAGGCGTGATTTTCTCACTGAGTATACACCGCCATTCCGACAAACCACCACACCACACCACCACAACAGAGAATAATCATGGCACGAGCGGCGGTGATTCCCAACGTGTCCCCTAAAAAGACTACCCGCGGTCGGCCCAGATTAAATACGAAGGAAAGTACGACTTCAACGACTGCTCGGGCGAGGATAACAAAGACGGCTGCTGCTCCTACTGCAGAACCGAAGAAGAGACCCGCGCGGGTTGCGACCGGGACGACCAGGAAACCCAGCAAGAAGAGCGGTTCCGAATCGGCCGGCGAGGAGAGCAGCGACGAGGATGAGCTGGCAGAGGGCGAGGAAGACGATGCTCCGAAGAAAAAGCGAGTCGGACGCCCAAGGAAAGAACAGATGACGGCGAAGACGCCAGACGTGGCGCCCAAGACGCGCGGACGGCCCAAGTCCGTGACGAGCGAGAAGACAACTGCAGCCTCGAGGAGGCGAACCCAAACACAACATACTACTACTACTACTACTACTACTACTACTACTACTAGTCCTGTGGTTGAGACGTCCTCGCGCAAGCAGATAGCTATTACCACGGGCTCGGTGCTTCGGTCAAATCTCCTGCAGGGTCCTGCCAAGAAGAAGAAAGTAACCTTCCAGGATTTGCTAGACTCGGATGAAGAAGAAGATGAGGAGGACGACGAGGAGGAGGAACACATTTCTACAAAGCGGGCTCCGGCATCAGGGAGGAAGAAGAAAACCACCACCACTACGACGAAAGAGGGACTTGCTGCTAAGCCTGTCCGAAAGCCTGCCAGCAGCACGGGTCGTGGACGTAAACCGGCGGCTGCGACGAAGGGATCCAAAGAGCAGAATCAGCAGCAGCAGCAGCAGCCATTATCCCCGAAGAAGATCAAGCAGGTTGCCAAGTCGATCTCGGCTTACGCCAGTTCCGACGGGGAAGACGACGAGCTAAGCGGTGCAAAGAACCAGACGGCGCTGGTCGTCAAGTCCCCCATCAGACCTGATCCGCCCAGGAGCCCGGCCACGGGGCTGGGCTCCCCCGTACGCAGGATCAACTTCACCCCGTCTTCTTCTCGCCCGGCCGTCCGGGACGTGGACGAGAACGGAGAGCTCACCCTCCCTGTGGTTGACAAACATATGGATTTCAGCGCGTCGCAGTTCATGGCTAGTCCCGCTCGACGTCCGCCGCCGTCTCCGTTTCAGTATAACCTCAAGGAGACGCCTAGGCGTGCCGCCCTGATCATCCCGGATAGCGCCCAGAAACCCTCCCAGCCTAAATTCGACCCAATGCAGAACTCCCCGCTCAAATCGTCGCCCAAGAAGGGCAATCTGGGCGCCTCATTTTTGCAGACCCCGCTCAAGTCCTCCTCCACGCCCTTTTCGGCCAGATCGTCCTTCTTACAGAGCCCGGCGAAGCGCATTGTCTCTCCGTTCAAGTTGTCGCTGACTCCGAAGGTGCCGCAGCCGGAGTCGCTTACTTTAGATGAGGAGCTGGAAATGGACTCAAGTATTCATAATACAGACGCTAAGCATCAACAAGACCTTGAATCAGATACAGATGACGAATTGTCCATGGACATGAAGGATCTGCAAGAAAAGGCCGAAGCAGTGGTTGCTCCTGTAGAGTCGATTGAAATGGAAGAACCGCTTACCTGCGAGTCCCTACTGCTAGAAGAACAGCATGAGCAGGACCAACCCTCTCACTCTGAAACAGGTGACCATGAAGAGAACGAAGGGGAACTTGAAGATCCAGAGGTGGACGAACCAGTCATTGAAGAAATGGAAGAAGACTATGAGGAAGAAGAGAACCTCTCTTATGACAACGAGAGCCCGGCACCGGTTCCAGTTGCAGTCCCTGAAATGGAGGACCCATTCATCGAACATGTGGAAAGCAACTACGAACTCCAAGTCACAGAGCAGCAGTTTCAAGTCACAGAGCAGTCATTCTCAACACATGAAAGTGATATTCTCGTTGAAACGGCTATTCCCTGCTACGAAGTCGAGGAGCCCATTGAAGACGAAGTCCAGGATGAATTCTTTGAAGAAGACTCCGAATTCTACGATGGAGTCGGCGACTTTGACTATGACGACGCGACGCTCGTCGCTTTCGATCCAGATGAGGTCTACCTTGGGACTCCGCGTCGTGCGTTCCCCTACGCAGTCAGCGAGGCCGGTAGATCCATCAGCCCGCGGAAAAGGATGCAGATCTTCACGCCTCGCCCTGGCTCTCCCTCCCCTGCTGTGATGAGCCCCTTGGGGGTTAGGCATGTCATGGAGACTGATGAGATGGATGCCGAAATCCCGGCCTCTCTGGAAGAGGATAACAACGGTGAGGAAGAGGAACTTGGGTCTCCAGAACCGTGTACCCGTTCAACCACGCCCCCTGTGCAGGAAAGCCCGGCACCAAGCACGAACGAACCTTTAGAATCAGCCCAGCCTGAAGAAACCGAGCCTTTGGCTGAACAGCCGAGCCAAAGTCAGGCGGTGAGCCCGGAAAAGGCGCGTCCTTCTCGCCCCCGGCGCAGAGGAGTCTTCTCGCTGGGTGGTGTCCGTGCTCCGACGCGCAGTTCGCCACGCAGATCCCTCGGCTTGCGTTCTCATCTTGTTCGGCGGTCGATGCGAAACGCAGAATTCCTGGCTCCACTTGATATCTCGATCGATAGAAGAGAGTCAGCCCGTTCAAACGTGGGAGAGGAAGGGTTGGATTCCACCCCCGACGCTGCGAGTTCGCCCATTGGAGAACCCTCTGTCGAGGCGACAGAAGCTGCAGATGACTCCGAGATCTTCTGTGATGGCGACGATGTGCCGTTTAGTGAGGTGGAGGAGCTCGAGCAGGATGCGTCTGTACTTGCGGAGGAGGACGACAGTAACCACGGTTACGAAAGTGAGGATAAGGAAAACGAAGGCCCACTCCCCACTCCGATTCCAGTGACGCCGAAGCGGCCGAAACACCAGCTGCAGGAGATTCAGACCGTCCACACGGTATCCAAAGTCCCTCTCAAGCCCGAGGGACAGGTTTCCCCGTTGAAAATGTCACGCAAACGGACCCGCTCGCTGTCTATTACATCGCCCGTACGCTCTTCACCGCGCCTCCGTCAGTCTAATCTTCTGCCTCCCAGCCAGCCGATTGCCCCAGCTAGTCTCTCACCGCACAAGTCATCGCACAAGTCGCCGCGTCGAAGCAGTCGGTCGGCGGGTGAACAGGTCCTCGAGAAATCCACAGTTAATCACAGCCCTGTCAAGAGCGCCGCTACTCCCCGCCGCAATGCGCCTGTTGACCAGGGCGTGCTCGGGGGTGCAGTCGTGTTTGTGGACGTGCACACCACGGAAGGCGAAGATGCGAGCGGCATCTTCGTCGAGCTCCTGCAGCAGATGGGGGCGCGGTGTGTCAAGAGCTGGTCGTGGAACCCGCGTGCCAGCCTGTCCCCCGTGGACGGGGCGGAGCCTCGTGAAAACCGCATCGGGATCACGCATGTCATCTTCAAGGATGGAGGGGTGCGGACGTTGGAGAAGGTTCGCCATGCGGGGGGGGTTGTCAAATGTGTGGGTGTTGGTTGGGTTCTCGAGTATGTATTGCCTTTTTTCCTGCATTCTAAAAAAAAGAAAAAGAAGAAGAAAAAGAAAAAGACACTAATTGATTCTTTCAGCTGCGAAAGACAAAACAAATGGGTCAACGAGGCCGGATACGCAGTCGACAGCACAATCATCCCCCGCGGGGGTGCAAAGCGCAGAAAGAGCATGGAACCCCGGGCACTGAGCAACGTCAACGGCACGCTGGTGAAGAGGGAGCCGGCGACAACTCTATCGGCCAGCGAGAGGCGGTCCGGCGCAGAGGAGTTGAAGAAACGTACCACTCAGGAAGAAGATCCCATCCCGCCGCCGCCCGCGACACCTGGCTCGTCGGCCTACCACTTCGACATGGACGCCATCGGCATGTCGCCCGCCACGCCCTACACGCTCTCCCGCCCTTCGAAAAAACTGATCCAGCAGACTTGTCCGCCGAAGCAGACACAGCAGGGCCTCTTCGCCTCGCGTTTAGAAAGTGATGGGGGTGTCGAGTCGCGCAACCAGCTGCGGTTCAAGCTTGAGGCGGCGCGTCGGAAGAGTCTAGTCTTTAAGCCACGGGTTGGCAGTCCTCTTTCGAGATGACCTTTGGATATCCTTCTCTTCTTTTCTTTTTATGCATTACATCCTTCGGTGTTCTGGTCATGGCGTCATACATACCCTGGTCGTTCTGGTTTTGATATCTTGCATGTAACATTAGCTATGCTTAACTTGTAGACTCTACTAATTTATGTGTTGAGAATGGTGTTATATGCTGGTAATGTTTTCAGTAAAAGGTAGGGCCTATAGCCTAGGGTTTATATAAACACGTGACCTAAGTAATCCAAGTCGTTTCATTAGACAAATAACAATGAACAGCTACTATTTGAGTAGCATATTAATATAAGCATATATAGAGTATAATGGTATTTTTCAATGCACATCGTAGTGTCTCTCAAGATAGGGCTACCTTCAGCTGGACGTCAGTAGTAGTATGTGGAGAGTAGGAATGCCCAAAAATAATAGGCACCTAGTATAAGCATGAGATATGGATGGATTATTTCTGTATCCTCATCCTGTGATTTGCGCTGAGAGACAGTATAGTATTCCCATCTGGAACTCCATGATAAAGGCCAAGTTGGAGTCCTTTTGCGCCCCTGAGAAAGGAGTTCCCCTCTCTGTTCATTTAATTAACAGTAGATAGTATAATTATTGACTATTCTACTTACCTGATTTCATACCAGCCAGAGACTTCGTCGAACCAAACGTCTTCGCGACGACTTCTCTTTCGATAATGATTATAAAGAACTCTTCAGGTGGCTAAAGATTTGGTCTGCTCTCTCTGCCATAACATAGGTAGCAGGCGGGTTTTTCGCTGGACCTGTAGGGTCCTCATAGATTTGATCATCAAAGTCAAAGTAATAGCCCTGAGCCCCTGGACCTTCAAGGCCAGACTCTATGATAGCGAATTTTTCTAGAGTCTGCAGTGAGAGAGGTTCGAATAGACAAGCATGGGAGTTGAGAAAGATAGGATCATCAAAATCGAACGACTCAAGCAGGATTTTCATATGAATGAGCTCATCTCGAGAATAAGCAGCCTGTGGTTGAGAGTCTAGGACCCGGATGATTCCCACATATGTATTCCTCAAGTCAAGACGTTCTTTGATCTGATCAGACTCCATGGAGGAAGGGGGGGGAAGGCATGAGTAGGTACTATGAAGGAGCTGAGAGGTTAGCGAGCCCAACACAGAACTTGAAGCAGATCTCTCACAAGGGCTTGGAGTTGCCAAACGGTAGAAGGAGATGTGGAAGAAAGAAAGATGCCGTCGAGATGGATCGACGCAGTCAAGATGTCATGCCTCGAGCCTGACTAGTCCGCCTTTGGATTAACCTCACACGTTCCATTTTTGGTAGCAGAAATTAGGGATACTTCAGTATATACGACTCTTAGTATGATATGACTGGTTCTATAGTGAATGATCATGGAGGACAAGATACTTTATATGGCAGCCCTCTTTCTCAGAGAATTGAACTAGTGAGCAAAATAATAGACGATGTAGAGTGATCAATAAATCATACCCTGCTATGCAAATCCTCGGATCTATGGTCAGAAGAGGCAGAAGCAAGTGTTTTTTTTCTCTTTTTTTTTTTGCAAATTTCATTTCAACGCTCCTTCTAGCCTCTTTCCATGTCGAAGAGCAACTCTACCCATCACAAACAAGCTCCTACGCAGCGTAAACATCTTCAAGTCCTTCTGGCCTCTTGGCACCCTATCTGTGACCTATAAATAGAGCAATCTTTTCATTTCCTCTCATTGAACTTACCACGTCAGCTTCAGGAATGGTATCAACCCAGCCAAAGTTGACCTCAAGATGGGACTGAATGCGATTAACGAAGAGATTGATCATTCCTCTCTCATCTCTTTTCTAACTGCCATGTGTCTGAAGAACCCCAATGTTCAGGCTAGCTGACTCCTCATCGGTCATCTCTGACTGCAGCGTTCAGGAAAGTTAAGCTCAGAAAGGTGAGTCTAAGGTGCCAGGTTGAAGGACTCTTGGTCTTATAGGCGAGCTCTCAGACCATAGCCATCCTCGATGTGAAAGCAAACGACAGGGCTAGACATGAGCCTAAAGTGAGCATACTGATTGCTCAAGACGGTCGTGAACTGTAGTACATATGTAACGCCATCTACACTGATCATAAGTATTGTAGAACGGAGTAATATCCAAAGAATTCAAGAGCATCATGTGATATTATTATATCATGTGATAGAAAGTCACCTGTTGAAGCGCACGTGTTGAGCTCCTCCAGCCTTCAGACTTCGCGGTTGCACTCGATTCCTCCCTCCTGTTGTCCACAATCCAAGGCATCTCAAGATCAAAGCAAAGACTTGGGCGTACGGAGTAAGCCCCGATTTGAAACTTGATACCCCTGTTAGGATGATTCTAACTAGCCACTGCATCTACTTAATAGTCTCCCCAGTGCTCTATCCTCCGTGCTCCGTGCTCCATACACTCGATAAGGAGTAAAATCGACCCAAACGCTTGCCCAGACTAACTTCAAGCCCGAATCTGCACTAGTTTTTAGCTTGCAGAGTGGATTCGGCATACGATATCTACAGAGTACGAACGGAGCATCTGTATGGAGCACACCCTTGTCACGGCAGATAAGGGAGATGCGCCTTACAGGCCTTTGTACACCGTCAATTCCTTAGCGACGGAATGAAAGTTGCAAAATCAGACTGCAAGTATCCACTTCAAGCAATCGTTCTCCAGTCTTTACTGGGATGAAGGGGCAGAGTTTCCCCTTCTAGTATCGTCTCTCTTGTTGCTGTTGCGGGGGGGTTTAGTCTGGCTATCAGATGAAAAATATCTACTATCTTTCTGCGACTGCTGCTCGCGTATATCTATATATATATATATATATATGACCGTTCTTGCTTCCTTTGAAAATTTTGTTACTGCCCTTTGTTATCTACTGTCCTGTTTCTCGGCATCACTACAGCAACATGGGAAGCATGGAGAACGGCAATGCCATCAAGACCGCAACGTTTGCAATCGACGACGCGGTGGGCGATGGTCATGTCCCAACCAAGTATATCGGTACGACCACCGATCAGGATGATATGCATGCCCTAGGGAAAAAGCAGGTCCTGCGGGTGAGTTACGCCTGGGAGTATATTTTATAATTATCTAGTCATGTGGTTCTGACGCTTCGCCAGAGAAATTTCCGATTTGTCTCCATTGTCGCCTTTGGATGTACCTTGATCGCATCATGGGAGGTGATCCTGACGTTCGTTTTCTCTCTCATCCCCTTCGTTTTTCGATACTAGGATAACACTGAGGGTTATAGAATGACGGGAGATGCTTTGATTGATGGAGGCACCGCTGGTTTCATTTGGGGGTTCGTTGTGGTCACGGTCGGTGTATTATTGCTCTTTGCAAGCCTTGCCGAGATGGCGTCGATGTGAGTTTCTTCTTTTTTTTTTCACTTTTTCTTCACAATCTTCTTTTTCCACTAATAGGATCTTCGATAGGGCGCCCACTGCAGGGGGACAGTACCACTGGGTGTCAGAGTTTGCTCCTCGCAGTTGCCAGAAGTTCCTCAGTTACATCACAGGTACGATATTTCAGAATTATACAGGTACCCGGTCGATAGAGCTGATGGTCATAACAAAGGATGGCTCTGTGCCACTGGCTGGGAGTGTGCCATTGTCTCGATTGCCTTTATCGCAGGCACCATCATCCAGGGAATGGCTATTCTCAACTACCCCGACTACGTTCCGGAGAATTGGCATGGCACCCTGATCACTATCGCCATCACTCTGTTTTCAGTGATCTTCAACACTGTCCTCGCCAAGAAGCTTCCTCTTGTCGAATCTTTTATCCTGGTCCTCCATATCGCCGGCCTTTTTATCGTCATCATTCCTCTCTGGGTCCTTGCCCCGAAGAGCGACGCAAAGACCGTCTTTACCCAATTCACAAACCTCGGCGGCTGGAGTAGTGATGGGGTCGCAACAATGGTTGGTTTGATTACCGCCATCACGGCCATGATCGGTTACGACTGCACGGTCCACATGTGTAGGTCGCATCTCGCCTTCTACCTTGTTTGACTTGTAGGCTGACAGAATCTGTACCATAGCCGAGGAGGTTCGGGATGCGTCGACAACACTCCCCAAGGCCATCATGGCGGCTGTGTCTTTAAATGGCATCATGGCTTTTGTCGTGCTAATCACCCTTTGCTTCACCCTCGGAAACGTCGAGACCGTTGCCGATACGGCGACGGGGTACCCGTTCATCCAGGTGTTCTATGATGCTACCAAAAGCCTCGCAGCGACTAACGCGATGACATCTATCGTTACCCTGACACTGATTGCCAGTGTCATTACCGAAGTGGCCACTGCCTCTCGCCAACTGTGGTCTTTTGCTCGTGACGGGGGTGTCCCATTCGGTGCTTATTTTGGCCATGTACGTTTCAATTCATCATTCTTCATTCCATTTTGAACCATTGGACACTCATGGCATACACCTATTATTTCAGGTCAACCCAGGGTTAAATATTCCTCTGAATGCGGTCTTTTTGTCTCTCGGTCTCACCATTCTCCTTTCCTTGATCAACATCGGGTCAGAAGTGGCCCTGGACGCGTTAATCACGCTTACAGTCGGGTCTCTATTGAACTCATACATCATCACCGTTGCGTGTGTTGCCCTCAAACGTATCCGTGGGCAGCCCTTACCACCTCGGCGCTGGTCTTTGGGCCGCTGGGGTCTTCCCATCAACCTTGGCGCAGTGGCATTTCTCATCCCGGAGTTTATCTTCGTCATGTTCCCTCTCTATTCGACCGTGACGCTTCAGACGATGAATTGGAGTTCACTCATGTACGGCGGCATGCTAATTTTCTCCGTTACTTACTATTTCATCTACGGACGAAAGAACTACATCCCACCCATTGCGTTGGTGAATCGGGATCGGGATACTTGATGAATATTTCCTATACTTGGGCTCTCTGTTAGTCTATTTATAGGGTTTTTGGTGAAGAAAATGTCTGATAAGAAGTACAATCGGCTTCTCAAAACAAGAAACTAGCTATGACGTAGTTTTTAAAATGACAATAATCATAATCAAGCTGACTAGTGGTACTCTAGATAATGTTCATGAGGTCGTTTCAAGGCATGCAGATATGGGTCGAGGGCTCAGATGTAGATGTTAAAATACAGATAGTTCATTTAGCCAACCACCAAGTCGTAGATTCATTATGCATCCCAGTGCTGTTGATCCATCTTCTTTCACATTCAACTATAATATATCGTTGAGAATCTGTTCAATGTATTCGCCTGCTCCGCTTAATTCTAGAATATGTGCGATGGCACGATGGATGCCAAAAAGGCGAGAAGAGGGTGGATCGATGGTGCGATTTGGACTGAGAGTCAATGTGCGAGTAATAGGGAACAACGGATCACGAAGGAAAGGGCTGAGCTCAGTGGAATCAATCCGATATTCATATGGTTTGCCTGTAGGCGTGAAAAGGATCTGAAATTCACCGAATAATCGGTGATAATCAAGTGTCAAGGTCAGGGCATTCAAGGGACTGACAATATCTGGACCATCGATGAGATGTATTATACCTGGATCAAACATATCCAGGATTTGGAGTACTGTTCTCTTTGGTTCACTCTATAGTCATGGTTAGAGTAGTAGTGAGACACATGGCAGAATAGACATACCAGTTCGGTATCGCCAGAAGCGACCGCTGTCAAGCAATGAGGTAATATATGGGCAACCTCTAGGTATTGAAAGTTATCACTTGTCTCGTCTTTTAGTGGAATTCCACCGTCATCCTGGCAGTCCTCCCCATATTTCTGAAAACGCTTTCTGGCCTCGCTTCTATCAAATTTTCGAGAAACGACACAGCGATGATGATCACGTATAAGACATCTCTGACGTAGTAGTGATACTCGTTGACGTACGCCGGCCGGTGTGGACGACTGCATCGAAGACAGCGAGGCTGGGGTAGGCTGGGGTGTTTTCATAGATGATGCTCTGACTAGATAGATCACTTGGATCAGCGTCATATTTCTCAGGCAAATCATGTGAGCGCATACATGGCAGGAGGAAATTATCCACTAGATAGTCCGCGAAGTCTTCAACGGCGGCGCTCTTGATATTCTCTTGCTTTTGCAGGTCTGAGAGAGAAAGGCCATCAAAGAAGTCTAGCGCGGGCCTGATATCATCATTCGGCTCGACTTCTTCAGTCGAGGACATGCTGCTATATTGATATAGGAAAAAGAAGTTCAGGAATGCATCCTTCGATGCGACGAAATCAAAAGTCGACTGGAGAAGTGCGGCGGGCTTGTAACCCTTGCTCCCCATTTGGAAGACGCCATACGATTTGATCAGCTCTCCAAACTGGGCATTTGCACGTAGCCTGATAGAAGGGTTTAAAGAGAAGGATGGCGAGAAGTCCAACTCCTCTTGTAGAAATGAATAGTGGCGATGTAAAGGCATCATTTACAGTTCTTCATTTAGTGAATCCGCAAGGAGGTTACGATAGCTACAATAATCGATTAGTTAAGCAACTTGAGCCACATGAAAATGGTTTATCAGGAAAAAGGTAGAGTACAGGGCGACATATCTATAGATCTTCTTGATTTGTGAGATGAGTGGGATTATTAGTATACCAAATGAAAAAAAAAATCCTTTTTTGAAAAGCTGAAAAGCGTCACATGTATTTGACCAACTTCCAAGAAAACACTGTATTAATCGTTCGATCTATCGATATCCTCGCGGTAAAATCCGGCCACAAGGAAGGCCAGCTCGAGCGCCTGCTTTTCATTCAGGCGTGGATCGCAGAAGGTGGTATAACGCTCGCCCAGGCCATCCTCAGTCAGCCCGCCAGCCCCGCCGACGCACTCGGTGACGGCCTCGCCGGTGAGTTCGAGGTGCATGCCGCCAAGGAAGGAGCCGGCGGCGCGATGGATCTCAAGCGCTTGCTTCAGCTCGGAGAGGATGTCGCTGAAGTGGCGGGTCTTGACACCCGTGGGGGTTGACTGCGTGTTGCCATGCATGGGATCGCACTGCCAGACGGGAATATGGCCCGATCCCTGCACGGCGGCGATATGTGCAGGCAGGTGCTGCGCAATCTTGGCCGCGCCGTAGCGTGAGATTAGGGTGACTTTGCCGATCTCGCGGGCCGGATTGACCACGTCGAGGATGCGGACGAGCTCGTCGGCCGTCATGCTGGGGCCAACCTTGATGCCGATCGGGTTAGTGATGCCGCGGAAGAATTCGACATGGGCGCCGTCGAGTTGGCGGGTGCGATCGCCGATCCAGAGGAAGTGCCCGGACGTGGCGTAGTAGCCTTCTTTGGGGGTGGTGGAGGAGGATGATCCCGCCGCTGCGGTTGGGACAGCCGGGTGGCGGAGCAGACGGGTCAAGCTCTGTTCGTATTCTAATGATAAGCCTTCATGGCTGGTGAATACCTCAACCGTTTCAACCCCACGGTCCGTGTCGATGCCGACAGTATGCATGAATCGAAGTGCGTCCTGGACCCGGTTGACAATGCGCTCGTAGTTCTCCTTGATGGCGGGGGTGATGACATGGCCAAGCCCCCAGTCTAGTGGTGAGTGCAGGTCTGCAATACCCGACGACAGCGCAGCTCGGAGGTAGTTGAGAGTGGCTGCGGAATGGAAATACGCAGAGACTAGGCGCGAGGGATCAGGTCTGCGAGACTCCGGGGTTGCAGCGAACCCGTTGATGTTGTCTCCGCGGAAGGAGGGCATTTCCACGCCGTTCACCACCTCGGTCGGGCTCGATCGAGGCCTAGAAATCGTTAGATCATAAAGACCCATTTTCTCTAGAGGCAACAGACTCACTTAGCGAATTGACCGGCGATACGTGCAATCCGCACGACAGGCTTATTTGCACCTGGAACGGGTCGGTTTGTCAGTAGTCTATATAACCATACATGTGAGCAGACATACCCCAGATCAGCACCAGGCTCATCTGCAACAATAACTTGACCTTTGCCTCGATCATTTCCTGGTCGCAGTAGTCAAATAGCTCAGCGCAGTCCCCTGTATGGTCGTCAGCCGTTGCCCACTTCTCTTCGAGAACGTCAACGTACCTCCTTGGAGAAGAAACGCCTTGCCGAGGGCAACATTGCGCAAATATCTTCGCAGATTCATCACCTATCCACCATAATCAATACTCTTTCCCCCTCCTCTTGATGAAAGAGAGGTAAACAAACCTCCTTTGGAGTGACCAGCGGGGGCAGCTTCTGCAACTTGGTAAGAGCCGCCTGAACCCCATCTGCATCCTCATAGATAACATCTTGCTTAATCGGTTTTTTAGTCCACGCTGTAAAGAAGTGAGCCGAAAAATCACAACAGAACCTATTCAATGCTTCAATCCGACCGTTGACATACAGTTGGGACTCCACTCGGCCATGGTTCGTACTATTGAGGGGCCGAAACTGACAGGTGTGGATCAAACACAGACTACTGCGAAGGGAACAACCGGTATGAGTGGCAGAGAAGGGTGGTAAAAAAAGGAAAAGGAAGGAATGTGTGTTTATCCAGGGGGGTTAAAGTTAGGAGTCCGACATGAGGCAGGATGACTCTTCCTGTACACAAAGGAAAGGAAAAGAACACGACAGGCATTCTTTTTGTATTCGGTTAGCCGCGGCCAACCCCCCGCTGAGTCATACTTCTTGGGCCCGATCGGGAAAGAAGCTCAAGTCGATCACTTGAAACGTCAACACCTGCACTGCTCACTGCACACACACTGCAAACTGCAAGCTTCATTTCCATTCACCAGGGAGCTTCAAGGATAGTCATTTGAAGAAAATATCTCACTAACTGATAACTATACAAAGCTTTCAAGATGTCGGATCCCATCTCCTCTGCGTCCGCCGACCCTGACACCCTCCCCACCAACGCTGAGGACCGCAAGGCCGCCGCCGCCCTCTCAGCCCTGAACACCAACGACATCGGCGCCGATGCTGACGCCTCTTCTGCGGCGAAGCCTCCCTCCTCGGCGGACCAGGAAGCGCTCGGCAAAGCCATGAGTCGGTTGGAGATTGCGGCGGGGGGCGCGCAGGCGGGGAACCGGACAGGCAAGACGCAGCAGAAGCAGGTGGTGGATCAGGGGGCGAAGAAGAAACCAGTCAAGGTGTCCACGGAGGATGTCAATTTATTGGTATTTCCACTCTGTTTTTTTTTTTTTGGTGGTGCTCATGCTGATAATTACAGGTTGATCAGTTGGATCTGAGTAAAATCAAAGCGACCGAGTTGTTGAAGGCGAACGAGGGAGACATCAAGCAGGCGATAAGGTCATTTATTGCACCGGCTATCATTAATGCTTCTTGATGAGTACAGTCGAAGCTTATGATGATTATACGGATTTTATATGAAAGTATTGATCAAGTTAACCGCTAATGACATTCTATATGTTGGTCATATCCATGCAATGGTCTGCTATCGCTTATGCAAAGGCATAGGAAAAACAAAAAAGAAAGGAAAAAAAAAAAGATATTCGTCCGATTCTTGAACCAATGAAGAGAAGGAAATTCTATCACTCCTCGTCTTCGTCTTCTTCTTCTTCTTCCAGGGTGTTCTTGCTTCTGTCGATCCCCTGGCCCTCGTAGATATACCAGAGCAGAATCCAGCCCAGGCCGGCTTCAATGGCAAGCGCCCACCACACAGCCCCGACCATATTATTGGCGAGGCCCAAGCCCAAGCCCCAGCCACCAAGAAGGGGGCCCAAGGTACGCGCCGCGCTCATGACGCTTTGTGCGAAACCGTTCACCGTACCCAGGACGGTGGAGTCGGTGACGCAGTTCTGCACTAGGATTACAGAAGCCGGCAAGGCGAACGTGCGCGAGATGACCTGGATGGCGATGACAACCGTGAACGAGGGCCAGACAAGCCATGCAAGCCGAGGAATGAGCACCAGGAACGGCATCAGAGCATAGGCGAGCGGTGAGAAGGGCAAGAAGATCCGGAAGGAAGTCAACGTCCCCAGTCGCTCCTGGACAGCCGGGTAGACGAAAAGTTGCAAGGGCAGGCCGATGACTCCAATGATGGCTGTGGCGAGACCGACACGTGACGATGACAGACCGAGACCGCCGCCGAAATGGAAGAACCCGTGGTGACTGTCTTCAGGAGCCCGGGGCGTGGGTAGGAAGACAAACGTCATGGAATTGAACGCGCTGGTGTGGATCGACAACAGGAACTGTACAAACAGCGTGAGAACAACGTTGCGGGTCCAGATCTGCTGGAAACTCGGGCGCTGATGGCGCATGGCCCGGGCCCGAGCGCGAGATGGACTGGTAGGAAGAGATCGCGAAGTGACACTTCCTTCGTGGAAAAGGTCCCCATCGTCCTCCTCGTAGTTGCGTAAAGGCCGGTAGTATTTTGGTACCCGATGTCTGGTGAAAACATTCCCTAGTCTTCGTCCCAACTTGCGGCCCCAATCTTCTCGATAACGTGCCACTTCATGGGTCTAGGGGGGATTTTTTTTAGCATACGAACACGAGATGGCAGACATGAAAGAAAAGAACATACCTCTTCCAAGCCTAGAAACACAGCGACAATTGAAGACAGTAAATATAGAGCAATGAGAATATTTGGTAGCGCATATGGCCAGTGCTCCATCCACCAAACCCCGTTCTTGCCGCCGAGAAAAGTACCAGGACCTAGCACGTCTGGGTAGCTATTCACGGGGTCGGCTAGCATACCCCCTAGGATCGGGCCGATGATCACACCGATATTGAAACACATAGGCAGAAGGAGAAGAGCTCGTGATTGATACCTGCCCTGTTAGTCTATTAAAGTAGTCGGCGAGACCAAGGAGAACATACTTTTTCTCTTGTGTGATTTCTGCAATCATGGTCCTCATGACTCCAATGTTGCTGTTTAATGCACCGCCTAATGTACGAAATATGGCTGCCGAGACGAAGGAGCGTGAAAAACCGAATCCGAGGGTCGAGAGGCATGTCCCCGTCAACCCGATCAGTAAAACCCTTTTCCGTCCCATCCAGTCGGCATCGGCCAACCGACCCCACCAGACCGCAGTCACAAACTGGGCTGCCGTGAAACTACCCTGCAGAATACCTGCTTGTGACGAAATGGCCGAATCCGGTAGAGAAGGGTCAAAGGACTTGAGCTGGTAGAACAAGTAGGCCTGGAGCGAGGTTTGGGCGAGTGGCTCCGATAGACGGGCAACCGTGATGATCGCCAGTTGTCCCTTCTTCGGCAGCGAGGCCCAGGTGACTGGTTTCTCATCGCCGGGTGAGGGTGCGCGATCGGGTTCATCCAGATCGTCATCACCATCCTCGCTACTGTCGTCGTCGATTCTATCGACCGAGGATCGGCGACAGTGGCCGATTTCTGGCGCGGGCGCCAGAACTGCGGTTCGCGCAGAACCCCCGTCATAAATGACGGTACTCACGTCGCCTTCGGAATCATCCACGTTGCTCGCGGCGGAGCTATGGCCATGGTGTTCGAATGAGCTGGACGGGTGCAGGTACCCACCGTCGTGGGAATCCTGACGACGCAAATGACGGGAATCGTCGTCGGCCTCTAGCCCGTCGTCGACGCGGTGTGAATGCAATGCCTGAGTGGTCTGCATCAATGAAGAATCTCAACAAACCAGTTGTGGCGGATACCGACAAGCGCTTGGGTATAGATAGCTTTGGCAACAAAGGGCACGGATTCGTGGTCCCCGATAAAACAAAACAACTCAAAAACCGTCTCTCTCTCAGCGTTCTTTGAAGGCGTGTCCAGGACGCGGCCGTGCGGTCTTTCGAGTGATGCAAGAGCAAGAAATTTCCCCCTCAGCCCCAGCCGGTGGACGATCGAACAAATTGGCGTTGTTTTAGTGCCTCGCGAGTGATCTTATCGATAAGGCCCGGCCTCATTATTATTTCCCCAGCATGGCTTGCGTCGGTGGTGCCGACTTAACCGCTGTGGCCCAATTATTAACAGGAGCCTATTGACGAGGGGTGGCAATGGCGTCAAGACAGCCCCAGATCGCCCAATCCAGCCCCTCCCATGGTCGTTCTTTGTCCCCGGCCGTGCCTGAACCCATCGGACGGCTGGTCAAATGATGTATTCAAGGAGGCAAACGCAACATCGATGGCGACAAAGAACACGTAAGCGAAAGAGCTCGCTCTCAAGGGGTGCGTCGTGCGTAGGTACGCTCTGGAGGACTGCAAGTGTCAAATTAGAAGGCTGGGAGGGATACTGCTTAGTAATCTGTAGCTTCCGTCAGGTGACCCACATGTGAGCGGGCGCTAGTCTGCTTTTGTCGATCACGGGTCTTCCCGCTTGGGTCCTGAAGAACGGGTGGTCAACCTGAAGCTCTCATGGTGTTTACTGTTCGCTGTTGAAAGCCTGCTTTTTCCTCTGTGGTTGTCTATACAGGCTTGAGGGGTGGGCGCTGCAGGCAGACTGCTATCTAAGAGGCTTGGACCGGCTTATCGAGGCAATTGCATCACCTGTCACCAAGGTACGGAGTTCTCCGTGGAGGGAATGCGATACGCCGTACGGAGTACCTCCTCCTTATCACTAACTAGTGGGTGATCTTTGTGTCTGCCTGCTGAAGGGATCACCGCGGAGTTCCCGGCTACAGATAGTGGAAAGGTGAGGTTGGCTAGACGACGAACTTTGACTGACGGTGTAGGAAACGGCAGGGCCGGTTGTCGATCTACCGCTGTCAGTAAGGGAGGCCCCTGCCGTCGCTAATCGCGGCAGGAAGATGCTCCTCTTAGCAGCTTATCATGGCCTTGTATGGCTATTCTTAACGAGGGCGGCATCAGCCAAAAAGTAATCCCTCAGGGGTTCATACCAGAATCGACCACCCGGACACATTTACACGAAGTATGGGTTAGACGGGATATGAAATAATTCATGCTCCGTATGAACTACTATGCAGCAGAACGCGAAAAAGATGAAGAAAACGAAAAAGAGAAACATGGGAGAGAGGAAAAAGCATTCCTATGGATAGCAGACCTGTGTTCCCTATTGTCAGCTAAGCCTCGAACAAGAGGCTGAGGCCTCCGGTAACACGCGCCGCATTCTGGCGAACTCTATCGCTTGCACGACATCAAAGCTCACATTCCTGAACTGCCTCGTCTCGATATTTGAGACGAGTTGATCCTCAAACACATCCATTAATCCCTTGCATGGGGTAATTTCCTCTGGTCCCTCGATCAATTTTGGGTGTGGTCAACGCTTCTAGCAGAATGGTCGTTTCCTGTCAATAATGGCATTGAAGATCTTTGCAGAATGACATAATTCTTACCATAGGCGTTTGAGTTCTTTTAACCCGGGGTCAGGTACCTCCGTACATGCTGTAGCCTGTATGAATCTCCACGGAGTTCCTGTCAGGTCGAAAGCGGACTAAACATACAGTCTAGTAAGGCCCTGAAGAAGGGGAGAGGGGGGGGGGGGGGGGGGGGGGTTCTATTGTATATCAATCAATCATCCCCTTCGAAGCCTTCCATGTGCCCTTCATCTTTCATCCGTTTTCTTTCGTGTTCCCTAAGAGTTTTGTTATCTTGTTTAAGGCTCTTGCCACCCGATTTGCGCCAGCATGGGCAATGAATCACCTTCTCCACACCAGCTGCTGATAGAGGCGATCATCTTCTGGAGTATCGGCATCGTGTTGTATATCGGGCGAATGTACGTCCATCCCACCAACAATTTACGGTCGATATCTAATTCCTACTACAAGGGTCTCCCGGATTATTGCCAGTGGGTCGATCAAGCAGTTGTTCCGTACGTTTCCTTGGAGACGTTAGAAAGTATATACCTAACCATATCCAGTCGATGACTATATCATGACTTTCACCTTTGTAGGTGTACCGTGCCCCAGCCTTTGGTTGTCTGAGAGAGGCCACTTATCCATAATCCTCTTCATATAGATGATATACACCATCCTCCTGGTTCTCATCCAAGTATCCGCTCGATATGCTACCAACCTCATGGACCCAGCGGACTACGAACGAGTCCTTTCAGATCCAGAGGAGGTCAAAGATCGGATCTACGGCAGCAAAGTTGTCATCGGACTGGAGCAATGCATGCTCTTCTCAACATGGGGTGTCAAGACATGCCTGCTCATTCTATACTGGCGGATGACCAAGAACCTCCGCATGAATTTCTACGTCAAGATCCTCGCGGCCTACGTTGCCCTTGGTTTTTTTGTGGTCATGCTCACCTACTACGCGGTTTATTGCCGGCCGTTCTCTCAGTACTGGGCAATGCCCGTGTCGAATATACAGTGTGCAACGTACCGGAACTACTCAATCACTCAGGCCGTCTTCAACATCTCCTCCGACGCAGCCATGCTCGCGATTCCAATCCCGTTGCTTACCAAGGCGCAGATTAAACTGCGCAAGAAGGCCTTGCTTATCTGCATCATGAGTCTGGGCGTGTTTACCATCGCCGCCGCAATTATGAACAAGTACTTCAATTTCGCGTCCCCACTGACAACCACGTATCAGATCTGGTACATCCGCGAAGCCAGCACGGCTATATACGTGGCAAACATGATGTGCTGGTGGCCGCTATTGCGCAAGGTCTTTGGCCTCAAGGCTTTCCAGTATGGAAGTCGGCAACATCGTCCCCATCATCTTCCTTGGCCAGGACACAATGCCCAGGTCGTACGGGTGCCGTCCGGATCCGTCGAGTCCAGACAGTCATCTTCTTTCCGTCGCCTGAAACAGTTCAACCTATCCCGCCATTTCTGCGGACAGTTCGACGATAGTACAGGTATGGCTGGTAAAGACATGGAGCGCAGACTAAGCGAAGAGGCAATCAACAAACCGACCATCGAATCTATAGCAGAGAGGCAAACGATAGAGCTGGAATCGTGGGAAGGGATTCCTCGACACCAGCAGGAGGAATCTTATGACAAGACAAAGACTTCCTGTCTAGAAACGATCACAGAGCCAGACTCGGAAAAGGGGACGTACTACACAATTATAAGTTCTCGTCGAGAGTCTCGATGCTGACAACTAATATTTTTCCTATTCTCTTCTTCAAATTACTTCGTACTTTTTCAGACCTTGGATACCTCCAAACTACTTCATAAATTTCAACTATATTATTCCAGATATCCAATTATTAATACCTTTGACTGGTTTAGCAAGAGTATTGCAACTATTAGATACTTGATAGTTTGATGGTATTATAACCCACATTCTTTGCCACCTCCACAACCACCTCCGCACCAATGGTTTAGTGGTTATGATTCGATCCTCCCATTGTGAAGGATAGATCGAGACTCGGGTTCGAATCCCGATTGGTGCATTTCTTTTTTTTTCTTTTCATTTTATACACTTCCTTTTCTCTTTGTTGTGTTTATTGTTATTTTTTTTCTTGACATAATCCCAAAGGAATATGATATGGATTGCCTCTAGGTTGCTTCTACAATTTATTTGGATTGTGGGAGTTATAGACCCAAAAGGGCAGACAATCATCAATCGTCATCATTCATTTCTCGCTGGGTCAGGCTTGCCTAAGTAGCTTGTCTTAGGAGTAGAAAAAACACAGAGCGTGAGTCTAAATAGAGTATGTAGCCCGCTAGACTGACTGTTTACAGTCTCGGCTTGATAAACTGGCCACCCTCCCAGGTCTCGCCAGCTTCCAGGGTCTGCCAGCTAGCCACCGAACCGGCCTCTACACAGATCATGTTCTTAAAGCCCTCGTCGGGAGCAAAGTCAGCCATTCCTTTTGCCTTGTCGGCCCATGGATTCCAGACCACGACGTCATCCAGCGCCTTGCGCGTGATCGAAAAGATGGGCTGGTCGTCGTCCGCCGAGGAGATCACGACGGGGACTCCGGCGTCCAGAGCTTGGTAGACCCGGTCTGTCTCCTGGGTGATGGCCAGTGATGGAGAAGTCTCAGTGTGAATGCTCGCGTTGAGAACCTTGTCGACATACGTCTTCGACTCGAGGCCCTTGACGCGGATTTTGGAGATATCCTGACACCCAGAGTTAGTGGGAGGAAGAAAAATGAACCATCGGGAAGGAGGAACATACATCGATCTGGAAATAAGTGTGCAGGAGAACCTTGAACTCAAAGTTCTGACTACCGTTGTTCTGCACCCGGAGAGAGGTCTCCAATCCGTCTTTGGTAAGCATGACGCTGTACACGAGCCCGAACTCATACGGCCACGCCTTGCGGGACTCGTCGCTCAACATAGTGTTGGAAAGGCCAAAATCGAGCGTGACAGACTCGTTGCTCTGCTTGCGGTCTCCCTTTCCAAGCGACTCCGACGAGGACTTGCCCAGGAACTCCCAGTTCGAGCTGCGTGCGAACCCATGTTGCGGCAGGGCGGAGGTGGCATGATTCTGAGGGGGAGGACCGAAGACCTAGAAATTTAAATCAATAAATCAATGGATTATTTATCGTGGCGGGTAGGAGATGACACTCACCGGAAACACGACAGGGATACCTCCGCGGATGGGCTTGGAGCCGTCCAGGATAGCCTTCTCACTCAAGAAGAGCTGCTCCTTGCCATCTGCAAGCTTCCAGGAGGTAACCGTCGCGCCGTACATGTGAACAGTGACCGACTCTCCCGTGGGCAGAGAGGCCTCGACGATATTCTCGCGGAACGACACTGTAGGCTGGGGGAGCGACGTGCCGACCCCAATCGCAGAGGGTTTCTTGCTACGCTCCATTGAGTTCCGCCTGGCGTATCAGACGATCGGGCTAGTTGCAAATTGAAATTCAACCAGATGTTCTGGCAGAGAAAGAGGACAGTGGCAAGGAGGACAGCTCACTTGGCGGGGGATGCGGGGGTCAGGAGAAAGGCGGACATCGTCACCGGCGGGGCTCTGGAAGGTGCTCGTGTTGTTTTGGGGCGGCGGTGACTTGGACATTACTTCATCTCCTGTCGACTTGTCTTTTTCTCAGCATCGCTCTACTTTTGACATCGTTGCTGTGTAGAATTACTGGTGGTACCTGTTGTATCTGTCGAAGAATGCTAATTTAGAACAGATTGGATAATATTCAATACTAACTACTAGTATTTACAACACCACCACCGCTCATCCATGCTGCCACATAACCGTCGTATTGCCCTCCAAGCTGACATTCTCGATACGGCGGATCTCATCCTGTGAGAGTTTCCAGCCTAGCGCCTGTATGTTCTGTTCAGTCTGCTCGGGGCTGCGGACTCCAACCACAGGAATCACACCTTTGTTGATGTTGAAGTTTAACGCCACGGCGGCCATGGGAACCTGTCTCTCTTCGGCGATCCGCTTCAGAACGTTGAGCGTGGGATCCAGCATATGCATCGGATAGCTGCTGAAACGGTATGTCCGCTGAGGCTCGTTGAAGCGAGAATACTTGCCCGACAGACGGCCGTTGGCCAAGGAGGCGTATCCTTGGAAGACGATGCCTCTCTGGCGGCATTCATGGATCAGACCATAGATCTCCGGATGTCGCCGGAGGATGGAATATTCGCACTGGTTGACAGCCAGGGGCACATTGTGCTGGGCCAATGCGTCCGCCATCTTCACCATCTCTTCTTTGCTATAGTTGGCCACTCCCACCGTCTTTGCTAGGCCGAGATGCACGCATTCAGCCAACCCCTGGGCGACGGTCTCGATGTAGTTGATATGGATAGGGCCGTGGACAAGATAAACGTCCACATGATCGAGGGCGAGGTTTTCCAGGGATTGTCGCAGCTTTTTAACAGGCCCCTGGGCCTGCAACAGCACGTTGGTCAAATCCGGAAACGCCGCCCATTTGGTCTGGATGACAAACGAGTCCCGTGGCATCCCCTTGAACAACGACCCGCAGATCTTTTCACTCTCGCCGTCGCCGTACTCCTGCGCTGTGTCCACAAAGGTCAACCCGGCCTCTTGGAGTTTCTTCCATGCCGCTTGGAGCCGGGGAAGATCCTTCTCCCGATCGTACTTGAAGGTTGCCTTGTCCCCCCAAGACCAGGCGCCGATGCACATGTACGGGACCTGCACATCTTCTTTGGCCCCCTTCAAGGTCACCCGGCTAGTGGCCTCTACTGGAGTCTCTTCGGGCAGGATGTAGGCTGCTTGGTTGAGGGCCGGATCAACTGGCTTGGGATGAGGCGAATGCACGCCCTCTGTTGCTGACATCCCAGTGGCCAGGCCGGTTTGAAAGGCATATTGTGCACCTGCAACTGCCATTATTTATTGCTAGTGTGTTTCTTACTCTAGATTGATTGAAAGAGAAAATACCCGTTAGTAATTCCAGACTGAGTCCCGGTTGGCCTCCTCTCTTGATATATAAAACAATAAATGCTCTTAGACGGGCTGAAATGCGTCATTTGCCATCGCGAAGAGGCGAGTCCGCCCCGGAACTTCAACCCGCTATCAAATTGAAGGGAGAGGCCTTTCGCAAACACTGGCTATGGCGGTGCCCTTGCCACTATGGCGAATCTGGGGAGACCCTGGGAATCCCTCTCCGGTAGCCAAGTAGCTAGATCAGTTATCCACCAGCATATTGCCTAGTAGACAGAGTATGAATGACAGCATTCAGAAAATAATAATGTAATATTGAAATCCATGCATGATTGAAAAGCACCTTTCCACAAACCCATGACAGTTACCATATCCTTTTCCTTCTAGTCAGGAAGACACATGCTGAGGGTCACCCAAGCGGTATCGAGACACAACCAAACAAGACAAAAAAATGAAAAGAAAAAAAAAGAAAACAATGCTGAGAATGAAAAGGGCGGTTTTGAGAATAATAGATGCAGATAGACCCTTTTATCGACAATACGCACAAGGAACAGGGGAAAATAGGAAAAGAAACCTCTCCCCTAGTAGGACAGAGCAAGTAAAGTGAATGAATCAACACCATCGCTATGCGCCAAACCAACTATTCCACATGCCTCTTAGAGGCCTCATGCATTTCCACGCGAATATCAAATAGCAAATCGTCGATCTCTCGCAATGCCTCGCGCCCAAAGTTGGCCTTCTTCACGTCTCCCAGAATCTTTCGAAGAGAATCCAAAATATTGGAGCCGGAGACCTGCGTCCCAGGTGGAATGGTTTCACCTGTTGGCTTCGAGGTAGGAGGGCCCATGTGCAACCCGCCAATTTCTTCGGCAAAAGACACCTGAGTGTCGTGATTCTCGGGCTGGGCGTCTCCCATCTCCACATCATCTGGTATGGCGTTGGCAGGTTCGGTCTCTGGGTCGAGATCCTCCGCTACCATCGTAATGGCCACGTGGTCGCTGGCATAGTTTTGTTCCATCTCGGACTCTATGGATCCAAGTCTATCTCCATCGTCCTGCACCAAATCTTCCTGAAGTGTGCTGTTATGATCCAACTGAGTCTCTTCTACCACCGACGCCTCTTCCTCTAATTGAGGCTCTCTCTGCTCTTCTGTATATAGCTCGCGGCTTGGAGATTGTTTGTTTGCTTTGAGAGCATCTTGTTTGCGGTGTCCTCGCTGTGATCTCTTTCGTGTAGACTGTTCCTCCTTCACCGGCGAAGCAGCATCTGGATCGAGGCGTGCAGAGCGTCTCCGTTTCTTCGGAGACTGTTTTGATTTTTGATGCTTGATCTCGACCTGCTCTTGGGATTTCTCTCCGAGAACAGCAACGCCGGTTGACTCGGTACTGTCAGTCTTTTGCATTTTCCGCCGCTTGGTGCCTTTTGTAGTCTTAGACGGTGAGACTTCAGGTACAGAAATCGGATCCAGCGCTTGTTCGGAGATAGCTGTGCTCACGTCCGATTTGGCATTCGCCGTAGTCGGTTCAGTTATTGGAATCGCCTTTGAGGATCGACTCTTGTTTGCCTCAGGTGTGGCCATCGCCTCCTCAGCTTGTCGCTTTCGCTTTCGTGTAGAGGGTACGCTCTGAACAGGGTTTACAGGCCGTTCCATATCTTCATTGATAGACCTGTTCATCAGGCTCATGTCGTTTTCCAGTTGAGAGGCAATTTGCATTTCCATATCGTCGCTAGACGAGTCTGGGTCGTCCTTTTGAATAGCAACGACTGAAGAGTTGCCATCAAAATCATCGGTCAGGACAGGTGGAGCTATCTTCTTGGCAGATTTTTTGGACATAGAACCCTTGATTTTAGAACTCGACTTCGCCTCTGGGACAATTCCATTGGAGCTCTCTCCTTTTGGGGTTTCCGTTGGCTCGTTTGAGGCGATAGATTTCCTTTGCGATCTTCGACGGCTAGAAACAACTGGCTTGACGGTGGGGGTGCGCTCATTATCCTCGGTTTCGTCATCAGCTGAAGGCTCGACCACGTTACCATTCACCGTATTCTCGTTGAGCGAATTAATCTCGCGGACCGATACCGAAGCTCGAGTCTTCTTCTTGCGTCTCTTGCTATTGGAGGCCTGAAATTCGGGAGGTGATGATGGAAGTTCTTCATCAAGCAGAGACTGGTTGGTACTGATTGGTAGCGAAACAGAGAGGCTCGACCCGGGAGTCGGAACATGACTCCTAGTACCTGGGGTAGGGGATGACCCAAGGAAGTTGTCTTCGAGATCAGCAGAGACGGCTGCGATTGTGGGGGTAAGAGGTGTCCCAGTCGAGCGCTCGAGATTGGAGAGGATACGCAAATGCGGAGGGGTGCGAAAGCCCAAGTTTCCGGGAGTAGATGTAGCGGGGGATGACCTCAGACCCTCAATCATGGTGAATATGTTTTTACGGTCCATATCTTCATGTACTTGGTTTTCCGCCTGCCGTGGTTCGATATCCATCGGCGAGAAATCATCCATAGCTTGGCTGATCGGAACAGGCTCTGGCTGTGAGCCACTGCTGACAACAGCAGATTCAGTCGACTGTCTGAGCTGTAATGCTGAGGATAGGCCATCCTCTCTGGTGACTGGAGATGAATTGAAACCGGTAGATGCTGATGAATCAAAGGAGTCTTCGACAGCGGTCCTCGCCAAGACCTTCCTGGGCAGCCCATCCTTACCTGCTTTAGACTGCTCATTAGATAGAATAGACTTTGGAAGGTTGGGCTGTAGAATTGGTTAGTCACCAACGTCAACATAAGAAGGGCCATGGAACGCATACTTGTAAGCCCTTAGATGGTGACAACCCCGGAAGTTTAACCTTGGTGTAAGGCTCCAGCTTCCTCAGCGCCCGCAGTACCCTTTCAGGATACTCCAGTTTCTCTTGGAGGCCAAAAGAGCTGTTCCACATTTCGATAAACCTCTTGGCTATGTAAACGTGTGAAGACTCCAAACCAGAGTAAGTAATCGTTTCAAATCTCCGCAGAGACAGTGTGTCATGAGGAATAGATGTCTGCAAAATATTCAAAATGGCCGATGACAGGGCGCGATACTGGTAAGGATTAGTATTCATCATTAAGACCCTGATAGCAAATTTCTCTTACGGCAGTCAAGATTCTGCTCTCTACACCACGTTCTGGAGTCAGTTGATGCGTTTCATCTTCTAACCATACGCCAAGAGGCTGCTGGAGGGTTTCAAGAACCGCGGAACGAAACGCTAATGCACCCGACCCCAGAAGGGAAGTCAGAGATTCGATGAAGTCAGCAAGCTCGGCGGTTTCGGAAGGTTTGAACTGCTCGTAAGATTGTTGGAGTGTCTTCTCAGCCAAATTGGCCAGATTGTGAGGGAACAGTAACGATTCCTGATTCAATGGACTGGAAGAAGCGGTGTTATTTATTGTCTCTTGACCATTTGCTTTGTTGTGGTGGAAGAAAGGGATTGACAGCGACTGGTGAAGGAGTGCAGTTGAAGGCTTGTAGGCGTTTTGGAGGGGGACCCGCACAACACGTTCCGCAAGGGGCTCGATGATCATCGTCGCAATGGCCCAATCACCTCGTTCAGTTCTAAGGACTCGAACAAATGAATCAAGTAATTGACCCCATTCTCGAGAGGCATCTGGAAACTGCAAACCGGAGTCAAGTATTTTGACAAGGTTGTCGTAATCACGGGCAACAGTGCCATCTCGCTCCCGAGCCGATTCAATTGGGCAGGAACACAGACAATCCACAGCCAATTTAGCTGTTGTTTTCCAAACAATCTGGGTGAAGGTAGGCAAGTCAAGAGAGCCTGGCTCATTCGGAACCAAGTCAGCACATTGTCGAAGAAATTCGAGCCGTGAACCTCGAGACACCTTGCCGATGCAAGCCGCCTCGAGGGTACCATCGATTAGATGGACGTAAGATTGTACAGGCTCCGAAATACCGCTAACATCACTGACGAATCGAAGAAAATGTAGAATGGGTATATCTAGTTTGGTGTCTGGTCGCGGGTGACGGTGCGTTGGCGTGTTGGCGGCCTGAAAAGATTCGTCACCAGTTTTTAGGAGCAATTTCTCGGTAAAAGATATACTGCCCGTGGACACAATCATGGCGACGGATAAGAAACGGAATCGATCGAAGAATTTATCCACGCAGCGGTCTCCACTGGCGTTCAACGCCGACGGGCCTGCAATCCAAAGGCGTTGGAGAAATCCAAGGACGCTGGCAACAGCTTGCATAGACTCTGTGGATGGTGTGATCTCTTTGCTTGATGCATTTGACAGGGCTTTGGACAGGCTTGTCCAAGCCGTGGAAATATTAGAGCTCTCAGGTGCCTCGTCGTTCCATGTGGATGATTTAAGAAGGTTTTCAAACACCTTCAAAATGGAGGTAATTCGTGTCCTAGTCCACCGGTAGTCAATTGAGGGGAGCTCATCTGGAACAAGCTTGTTCGTCTCGTTAATCCGGCTCTCCGACCAAACCTTTGCCTGCGGACTCCATAGCAGGAACGCTAGCACCTGGGAGACCCTGTCGCTCAGGGCAGGAGTAGAAATCAGGATAGTTGACGAGGGCACAGCCACGTATTCATCCCATACAACATCTAGTCGTTGGTGAGATACGGATGGCCGGAAGGCGTAATACAGCAGGTTGTAATAGCTGGACAAAGCCAGCTGGCTGGGCTGGGTCCCTGACTTGTCCTGCTTTTTCCGGTCAAACTGGGACATGATCGGCTTGCTTAACATCTTCAAGACCGAGGAACTAGTTGCCTCGTTCAGGGCGACAACATATACAAATCGGTTCCAGCCGATTATCGCCTGAGCCTTGATAGCTGACTCACTGCAGTTGAAGCATTTTTGGAGAACCAAAACCCATTCCTTGAAATGTTCCCATTGGTCGACGCTCAACTTCTTACTTCCCACAAGGAGGATGATAATACTCCAGATCTGGGGAACGTGAACACCACTTTCTAGAGACGCCATCATTCGGGACATGCGTTCGCACACCTCAGTCACCAGTTTCCTAGTTTTCTCGATGGGGCGATCAAGAATATCTCGGATAGTTTTGGAGAGTATCGGGCTGGGGCCGAAAGTGGTTGAGATCTGGAAACCAAGTGATATCGCTTTCAGTCGAGTATCCTTGATATGATGAAGCAGTCCCGAAATCAAATGCTCCATCCACAGAGATGACTGCGCGAGAAATGCCCCCTTTGATTGGCTGAGAATGCGTTGATATGTACTCAGTCGATGGAAAACCGCTGCGTTGCCACTGACTCGACTCGTGATATCGTGTAAAACTGTGAGCAACCGTGTGATTCTAGCGTTCGTCATGATCTTGACACTGAAATTTTGCGTTGATAAGATGTGCAGATGGTGTACCAAGATTGACTTGGAGGCTTTGGCTTCATGTAGAGCAGTAATCGAATAGTCGACGAGGAAGGTCTTAAAATCATCTGGAAGTTGGGCGGAGATCTCTGGGTGCCATACCAGCGCGATTGAGAGTTTCAGCGCCTGTATCACTAGATTCGAATCTATTGGACCCCCGTTCTCCAGCTTTCGGGTAGCATCTCGCTGTATATACTGCGTAAGCGGCACCAGGTTGCCAGAAATTTCCTGCGCTGTTGGAAGACCATCGTATGCCTTCAACGCCCCCAACAGATGCATATATGCATCAAGCCGGCCGCTCGGCGCCTCACCGGCCAGTTCCCGCAAGGCTGACTCCAACAACATGACAAACGACTCGGAGGTATACGGCGTGGTCTGGGACAAGCTCACGGGGGCGACGGCCGAGTTGGTAGTCTTCAATATCGATTTAGCGGGCTTGCACTCGTTCGACGGCGGCAGGACCTTAAGATCAGCCATCGGTTTGAGGACTGAGCTGCTGAACGTCGGAGGCTTGATATATTTGGTCCATGGCGAAAAATTCACCCTCTTCGAGTGTCGACTCGACAGGGCGCCTTGCGATCCGTTCGTCGAAAACGGCGAATCCCCAGGGGTCTGAAACGTAGGCAGCAGCTCGCCGGGTCTCTCCCTCTCGTCTGTTGCTGTGTTTGAGAGAGCGCAAGATGTTGTCCTCGGTGGAGTGGGCGGACGAGCAGAGATCGAGACGACAGCCTCCACCATATTTCTTCACCTCAGGGTCGAGACGGGAGCGAGATCAGCGAGAAACAAAGGCTGCACAGCCAACAGCACATTGCGGTCGAGGCCTCTTAACACAAAAAGAACCGTTTCATCGCCCACAGAGGTGCTCTTGCTCTCGTCTCAACTCGCTAGCCCGCAGATCCTCCTGGGGCAGCGCATGGGCCCCAAAGAGCGACGCGAGATCGCGACCGTGGCTCAAGTACGCGTAAAGTGGCTAGTGGCGCGTCCTGTGCCTGAGGCATCAAGGCACACACCCAGGAGACCGCAAAAATACAGCCATTTCGAAATGTAATGGATTCCGACTGTCTGACTGAAAATGCTATTCGGCAGAAGGATGAACCGTCTGGTCTTTGAACTCGCCTTATGACCGTCATTTTGCACCAGATCGTCGAGCTGTTGTGGGGTTCCTAGCTAGTGACTGACCATCCAGTTCGTTGTTGAACTGGAGCTTGACGATGGCCTTACGTTCCCCGCTTGTCTTGTCTGGACTCCAATCCCCCTGACCTCGGGCACTCATTCCCAGGCTGTAAATGCCAGGTTCTAGCTGTGATCTCGCTGCTACATGCTGTGACTCTCTGTTGCTTAATTTTTATCTCCCGACAGTCCTGTTTTTCTCGCCATTGCCAGACAACTTGATCTGCTCGGAAAGGTGCCCCGCCGGTGGTGTCAGGGCCTGAAGTTTACCCCGCGAGATTCAGCATATGCTAGAGCGTCATGGATCCTTCCAAGATGAATGGGGCGGGTATGGAATAGCCCCTATCAATCTGTGTGACCATTTACTAATCTAGCGCTTCTATGCATCGGATAGAAAAGCTGCAGCAGGTTGCTCAGTTGCTGGGTTCACTGGAAAAGGATATCAAGGGAAAAAATCTCAGCTCTGCCCGTACGTCAGTCACGAAAAAAGAAAGAATACTATCCAGGCCTTGTTCGAGTCTGACCCATCTCTTGATTCATACAGAGCGAGTGCAGATTCTGCTAGCATTGCGACTGCATGGCACAGACCCTCGGAACGCAGATCCAATATATTCGAAGAGCGTATGGCTGTTACGATCTCGGCATGGCTACAAAATTTGATCTGATACATTTCTGCAGGGGATAGAGATACTGGTGAAATATGGCGTGGATGGGGAAACGGCCGATGTTCGAAGGGCAGCGTTACGGTGCGTTGCGAACGCGTTGCTCCTGGATGAGAAGATGCGCCAGGTTTTTGTGGACACCGGATACGGTGGTAAACTCGCCGAGCGATTGAAGGTATGATTTTTCAACCATGGTCTTGCGTATATTATTAATTTTTGTGTTGTATGAAAGTGCGACAACTCCGAGGACGAGATGGTCACAAGTCGAATTCTGTTTCTCTCAACCTACGACACAACGTTGGACTTTGAAAAGCTCATTAGAGAACACTCTCTTGGTGACAACATCAACTATGTGAGCTTACTAGATCCCGTTTTACATAGCTAGGCATGCTCATCATAGTAGCAAATCGCCCGACACGCCAAACAGTTTCCTAAAGGAGGGAAGACGCTCTCTCAGATCGACGAGCTAGCACTGATAGATACGCTGAAACTGATATTCAACATCTCCAAAATCTATCCAGACTTGGCCGATACCTTTACGCCTTCTATACAGTCCATTTTCAAGATTATCAGCCGCATAGATGATGTGCCTTCAAAGCCACTGGATGGTTTGACGGGCTACTTGATCAATGCCCTATCGACGCTTGACCTCGAAGGCAAAAAGGGGAAAAAGCTCGACAGCAGTGCTCTGTTTCCCAAATTCAACCAGAACTGCAATGTGGACAAATTGATCAACATTCTGGATCAGTCGGTATCCATATACAAATCCGACGATCTCGAGGCCAAAACCATCCCTCTCTTCTATGCATTGATCACTATATTTGAACTTGCACCCGACGGCCCCCGCAAGTATATGCAGTGGCTTCTTCTACCAGAAGACAACGACCGAAGCCAACCTATTGGTCGTTCTGACACGCTATCCTCCAAGCTTCTGCGACTCTCAACTAAGCCCTACCCCAAACTCAAGACGGCCATCTCTGAGCTGATGTTCGTACTTTCCGGTAAAAATGCAGAGAACCTCACTAAAAACATTGGTTATGGTTTTGCGGCCGGTTTTCTTGCATCCCGCGGCATGGAGATACCGCAGACTGCCGGGGAAGCATTCGCGACGAACTCAAGTGGATTCAGTCCGGATGTGAATCCGATTACCGGTCAAAGATGGGCCGCGGAACCGAAAGATCAAGAGCCGCCCATGACAAATGAGCAGAAGGAGAGGGAAGCAGAGCGCCTCTTTGTCCTTTTCGAAAGGTATGGCTCACCTCATTTCGGTGGTTATTGGTTTTATCCTCGCTAACGTTTTGTACAGAGCCAGGGCGAATGGTATACTCCAGGTAGAAAACCCTGTAGCACAGGCTGTCCGTGAAGGGAGGTTCGAAGAACTGCCTGACGACGCGGACAGCGACTAGCTTTATTTTTGGCCGACTTTTTGAGAAAATCATATACAATATCTCTCATGCAATGTCTTCTAGATCTCTCCAACTGCAAGCCAATTAATTTGCCAAGAATATCACTTGTACCTGTAGTAGCTGATGACGTACCGAGCGATCTTCCAGCCGTGGCGGGGTTCTTCTCGTAACCGCTCGAAAACTCTCCGCCCGAAAAAAATTATCTGCGGGGCAACGAGAGTCTGGTCTGAAGCCTTTTATTCAACATTCACGGCAACATCTATTATTTTACTTGAGAATTCTTCAAACCTGAACCCTAGATAACATACCAGCAAAATGTCGGAACCGTTCGATCCCGAGAAGGCGGAGAACTTGGAGGATGTATGTCTTCACACGCTCTTATCTCGCAGACCTGTGATGGGAACCAAACGCTGACATGGAGTTAGATGGAGAAGCAGTTTGCCGTAAAGGCGGTGGAACACCTGATGACATACTGGGCGATCCTTGAGAAGGTCCGCGGCTCTCAGCTGCGGTTGACACGGATGGACGATGAAATTTACGAACACTTCAAGAAAGAGTTCCCGGACTTTGACCCTGCGGCGACGCTCAGCGAGGACGAAATGAAGAGCAAGGAGGGCAAGGAGAAGTGGCGCAACTTCATGAACCAGTACGAGAAGACGATCAACGACTTCAACTTCGGGACGATCATTCGCAACAGCCCCAAGGTCGAGTACGAGCAGGACACAACCATTTTTGGTCTGCGGATGCAGTTCTACGCGATCGAGATTGCCAGGTAGATTCTCCCAATCTGAGGTATTTGAGGGAGTTTCCAAACTGACGTTTTTTTCCTTAGGAATCGCGCGGGTCTCAATGATTGGATCTACGAGAAGGCCAACTCATAATGTCACTCTGGCCATATTATTCTTGCACAGTCCATTTTAAATCGTCCTTCTCGAGCACGTCTTAGCTAGCTTTGCTTTGACCCATCGGACATAGCGGCATCACGGCGTTTCAAGAGACAAAAAGCGAGTCAGGTTGTACTCTACGCCGGTTTCCATGAATGAGCGCTTGACGTGCTCCTCCTATCTTTCCCGCATCGTCTCGACCATATACCCCATACTTGTGTTGTATTTCTTTCCAACGGGGGAACATTAAAGGATATTTTCTTTGAAAAATTTAGATCGAGATGTGTAGTGTATATGTACATACTCTATTTCTGTCAGAAATTCGCTAGCTGGGTGGTACAACTACCACAGTTGACTGAGGATACTAGTTGATTGTGTCGAGTAGGATAACATGTACTTCGTACTCTTTTCATTCCATTCTCGAAATTTTTCTTCCAGAACACACAATGTTCGAATCATACTCCCCATCACTTGAGTCAAATATTTCTTTGTTTACTCGACCACTGTGGCTCTGGTTGCAGTGGTCATGTGATCGGGCTGGGGTTGAGAACAATGGCAACGGCCAACATATTCATCGCTCTGACATCCTTTGACAGGTGCCCATCATCAATATTACCGCATCAGGAAAGGCAATTGTCTGCAGGACAATGGCACCCAGGATGGATTTTCGTCGGCTTCTGGATGTCTCGAGGGATACTGACTCCCTGAACCCTCGCCTGCACCTCTACGATCGACGCAAGGCCTATCTTCCAAAGTCGAATACAGCGTCACCATGGGTTCTCTACGGTCAAGGCTCATCTCTAAGTGTCTCCCTTTTAGAAAGAAAGATGGCGTCGCTACAGAATCAAGTTGGCTCTCGTTATTTCATTTCATGACCCGAAAGCATGTCCCAACGTTGCTCCTAGCTGTCTTCTTCGCGCTGGCGGCTGGCCTGGTGCCGGCTATACTGGCCATCTTTCTCGGTGACATGTTCAACTCGTTTACCTCCTTTGGTGCTGGAGATATCTCAGCGCAGTCGTTGCTCGGCGGTGTGACAAGGAGCTGTTTAGAGCTGCTTGGCTTGGGGGCAGCCAGCTGGATTGCAAACGGGGCTTACTACACTCTTTTCATTGCCTTTGGTGAGCTACAGGCAAACAGTGCCCGTATCAGCGTGTTTGGGGAACTGCTGGGCAGAGACCTGGAGTGGTTTGAGTCGCATCAAGAAGGTATTGGGGCCTTTCTGTCGTCCCTCCAGGCGTAAGTTGATCGATTATATGCAGGTTGCTCGCTTATAGTTATCTTATGCTAACTCCTCCACTGACAGGCACGTCCATGAACTCCAGATGGCCACCGCTCAGCCGCTGGGCCTTGCTCTTCAGTATATCTTCCGCACCATCGCTTCTCTAGGTTTGGCATTCTACACCTCTTGGAATCTTTCCCTCGTCACTCTCGCCGGTGTACCCGTCCTATCAGCTATCATTGCCTTTCTTTCCGCTCGTATCAAACCGTGTATCGGCTCACAGCAGCAAGAATTGACTCAAGCCTCGAAAGTGGTACACAATGCGGTGTCCTCGATTGATACAGTTAAGGTCCACAATGCACAAATGTTCGAGGCAGAGAAATTTAGCTACCGGATAGACCAGGCGGCTGGCCACTACCTGAAACAGGCACGCTTGAACTCTCTCCAAATTGCGCTTATCCGATTCATCTCATTTGGCATGTTTGTCCAAGGCTTCTGGTACGGCAGTGAGCTGGCTCATTCAGGGAAACTCACATCGGGCGAAGTTCTGCGAACTTTCTGGGCGTGTTTGATGGCGACTCAGTCCATTGAACAAGTTCTCCCACAAGCAATCCTCCTGGAACAGGGCAAGCTGGCAGGGACAGCGCTCAAATCGATTTTGGAGGACAGAACAGACAAACAGAAAGTGAAGAGGACTAAACTGGGTGCATATCCTAAGCACTGCGAAGGCGATATTGAAATCAGGAATGTAAGTTCCAATCTCCTTGGGAATCATCCTATGAAATGGCTTACTGAAACGACGCTGTAAGCTATCTTTTGCCTACCCTTCGCAGCCTGAAAAGATGGTGTTAAAGCCGTCAAGCTTTTTCTTCCCCGCCGGGGACACGATATTCGTGGTAGGCAAAAGTGGCTCTGGCAAAAGTACACTCTCAAATCTGTTGACTCGGTTCTACTCGCCGAGTACAGGCGAAATCCTAATTGATGGTAGATCGATTCAGACATTGGATATCAATTGGATCAGGAACAATATCACTCTCGTGGAGCAAAAGAGTGTACTTTTCAACGAGTCTATCCTCACAAATATTGCATTTGGAAGCCGAAACCATGAGAGCATCACCAAAGACGATGTGCAGGAGTGTATAGATCTGGCAATGCTTGAAAGCGTGTTAGACACGCTTCCGAAAGGCCTTGATACCTGTGTGGGTGAAGGCGGCAGTTTTCTAAGTGGAGGCCAACGACAACGCGTTGCAATTGCGCGAGCCAGACTCAGAAATACACCAATTCTTATTCTCGACGAGCCTACGAGCGCCCTCGATGCGACGAATAGGGTTGCTGTGATAAAAGCCATCCGCCAGTGGCGCAAGGATAAAACCACGATCATCATCACTCACGATCTATCGCAAATTCTGGACAATGACTATGTTTATGTTATGGAAAACGGCTCTATCGTTCAGTCAGGCTACAAAAGACAGCTTGTGAGCCAGGCAAAGGACGAGAGCTCCATCTTCTTTGCTACAAAAGAGGCCTTGCTCCAAAGAGCGGATTGCAAAGATACCCTTACCGACGATGATATGCCCGAACTATACTCGGATTCATTACACTCAGATTCAGTTGACGGTTTTGAAGACGAGCTGCCAGACAATGGTGGGTCAAAGGCGACGACCGGGTTGCCTAGACGCGAGCGTAGCGTCAGCATTGCAAGCTCATACATGCAAAATAGCCCTGCTATACGTACCTCGATGCATGAGTATCTCCAAGAGGCCGAATTCGACAACTTTCCGAGTAACAACAATACTTCATACAAACGAGAACGGCCAGATCCAGCTTTCCGGCTTTCGACCATGCCACGGAAACGCTCCCTCGGACGATTCAGGAAGCAAAAGAAACTGCGCCCGTATACAAAGCGCCATATGGCATCACTCGGAAAGATAATGTCCACCATCATTCCCAAATTGCGCGTAGGCCAACGCTGTCTACTTTTCTTGGGCTTTATCAGTGCTCTGGCTCATGCGTCTGCTGTACCGATCTTCTCATACTGCCTTTCGCAGCTCTTGCAAACGTTTTACGTCTCCAAGGACCATTCGAGTATAACCATGCAATGGTCTCTGGCTGTGCTGGGTGTCGCTTTTGGAGACGGCATCGTCTCTTTATCTATGCATTATTTCCTCGAACACTGTGGACAGATGTGGGTTGATACGCTTCGAAAGAACGCATTCCGTCGCGTTCTTGACCAGCCGCGCTCATTCTTCGAAAAGGATAGAAACCGACCACTCAAGCTGGCAGGTTGCCTGGATCAGAACGCAGAAGAGATTCGCAACATTATCGGACGGTTTGCTGGATTTGTAATTGTTGCAGTTGCGATCGCCGTCATGGCCATTGTGTGGAGTCTGATTGTCTGCTGGAAACTCACGCTTGTCGCTTTGGCCTGCGGTCCTGTCATCTACGCCATCACGCGAGGATTTGAAAAAGTAAACGGCACATGGGAGAAGCGCTGCAATGAAGGCAATGCAGTGATTGCAGGGATTTTCGCGGAGACCTTCTCGGAGATTCGTACCGTACGAACGTTAACTCTCGAAGCATACTTCCACAAGAAACATATCAAAGCTGTTTCCCGGTGTATGACTCTGGGCTTCAAGAGGGCTGTCTATTCTGGCTCGCTTTTCGGAATTGTTGAATCCACAATTATATTCGTCAGTGGTGAGTATTTCTTCATGCCTTGCTTAGATGGACTGATAGCTCATGTTTGATGTCCAGCGTTGATCTTCTACTACGGGGCAGTTCTTGTGTCTATGGATGGTTTCACAGCCGAGGCTATTTTGACTGTATTTTCAATGCTCTTATTCAGCATTGGATACGCGAGTTTTGTTCTATCTTGCAGTACGTTTTACCACATGATGAGGCTCAATAAGATCATTATGTGCACTAACTCGGGCGTCGTAAATAGTTCCTCAAATCAACAACTCACAGGATACCGCAACCCAGCTCTTGCGCCTAGTCAACCTACCAGAATGCGCATCTCACGAGCACTTCGGTCAGATCCGTCTCTCACGGGCAGCGCCAATCAAGCTGACACGCGTCAATTTCCGGTACCCCTCCCGGCCAGACACAGCTGTGCTCCGAGACGTTTCTATTTCTATACCCTCAAACTCATGCACAGCCATTGTCGGCCGGTCCGGGTCAGGAAAGTCAACCGTCGCCTCATTGCTCTTGTCACTGTACGAGGCGCCTGTGTCTCTACACGGACCACCAGCCGTCTCGGTAGGTGGATTTGACATCCGCAGATTGCACACACCCACCCTACGGTCCTGTATCTCGATTGTCTCACAGCAGCCTACGCTTTTCCCGGACACCATTCGCGCGAACATCACGTACGGACTCGACGAGAGCTCGCCGCTGAATACGATGATGAATGTACGTGCGGCGGCACGAGCTGCCGGCATCGACGAGTTCGTCTCGTCTCTGCCCAAGGGTTACTACACGATGGTCGGCGACGGCGGCATTGGGGTATCCGGCGGGCAGGCCCAGCGGCTAGTTATCGCGCGTGCGCTTCTACGCCAGCCGCAAATCTTGGTTCTGGACGAGGCCACATCTGCGTTGGACGTTGGAAGCGCCCAGCTCATTCGAAAAACGGTGCAGCAGCTTGTTGTCAGCCGCCCCGAGCTGACAGTGATTATCATCACGCATTCGGCGGAGATGATGGAGATTGCAGATCAGGTGGTGGTCATGGAGCAAGGGCGTGTGGTTGAGGAGGGTCCGTACACACTGCTGGCGAAGCGGTGGGGGGGGAAGTTGAGGGCGTTGATCGAGGACGAGGGTATGTCGAGCGATGGATGATATGGATCACATTGAATATCTGTTGTATTCCCTACACTTATAAAATGACCGAGGCAGGAATACATCATCTACTTACATGACACATGAAATACACACACGTACACATTGTACGCTGCTTAAGAGCTCCTCATCATGAACATCCATTCGAGTCTGCACAGCCAAGTAGGTGAAGCAGTGTTCTCTTCGGCTAAGAACCTAAATCCAGCTTGGTCAAGAGGAAAGCATCTCCACTGGTCTGTCGTGAAGGGAACTTTCTTCCTGAAGTTCGTGAGCGCACCTGGAATCTTCGGCTCCCTTTCGGCATTCCGAGTCACGGGCCCGAGATCGACGTCATCGTTCCTCTGTACGGGAAGGCACGGGGGCGAACCTACCTCGAATGAACAATGCCTTTTTGCCATCTTCCCACCCAAGGAACATGCACGCCGGGAGTAGGAACAAGTCAGAGAACAGATGATATCTAGGGATCAAAGTTGCAGACGCGACTTACAGGTAAGGTCAGAAAATGATAGGCAATGATTGCTAACGTCTCTGCTGTGTGACGTCGGAACAGCGCCCCTAGCTGACATCCGTATCAAATCGAAGAACCTCGCCATGTCGACAATACATCCTAGGAATACAATCTCACGCAGGAAGGATGAACAGCCAATGCTCATGTCCGATTGCAAGGAGATGCAGTTGCTTCGCCGTATCGCGATGTCGTCCTGCTCCACCATGGGTTCCACACCACACATCAAGATATGACGCCATACGAATCCAGCAACCAGGGATGACTTCCTTGTTATCGGACTTAACAGGATATTCTCGGTGGAGATACAGGAACCAAACAATTACTCGGGTCCTCAGAAACTCTCTAGCTCTGGGAGCAATGAGATATAAAGCGTTCGTTTTCGTGTGTATCGTTGGAGATGATTGGGAAAAGCGGAAAGGGCCAAAAAAGGTCAAGAAGGGCAAAAAGAACTTCCCTTGATCAAGTCAGTTTGATCAACATACTCCATTTATCCTCCTCTCCAAGCCCATTTTGTATACATCTTTTATCTTTCGGGCTATTGCTCTTTATATGGCCAGCATGGCTAGCCGGCCACCCTCTCCCTCCGCTGAGAAAGCAGAAAAAAAGACGGACCTGAAAGATGGGGATAGCGGTCGGCATGCCTTGAATGGGCCTGAGACCAACCCTGTCGCTGTCCAGGCCGAGAATGCCTCACATGGTGGTAGCGATACGTCCTCAACAGAGGGCCACAAAGAACTTCGCACCAACGGCAAACGCGAACTTATGGAAGACGAATGCTACGACAAGCTGGGGTTTTGTTTCCCGTGGTACCGCAAGTGGACTATATTGACAGTCATCTTCGCAGTCCAAATGTCAATGAACTTCAACACAGGTGTCTATTCAAACGCAGTCACGGGCCTGGTAGAGGAGTTCAATATCAGTGAGCAGGCAGCCCGGGTGGGCCAAATGATTTTTCTGGTCGCCTATGCTTTCGGGTGCGAGCTCTGGGCCCCCTGGAGTGAGGAATTTGGTCGCTGGCCGATCATGCAGCTCAGTCTTTTCCTAGTCAACATCTGGCAGATCCCCTGCGCCTTGGCCCCGAATTTCGGTACCATTGTTGTCTGTCGGTTCCTGGGGGGTCTTAGTTCGGCTGGTGGCTCGGTGACCCTGGGTATGACGGCTGATATGTGGGAAGCAGACGACCAGGGCTATGCAGTCGCCTATGTCGTCTTGTCTTCTGTGGGTGGTTCCACGATTGGGCCGGTATTTGGTGGATTCATCGGTCAATACCTCTCCTGGCACTGGGTTTTCTGGGTTCAATTGATTTTCGGAGGTGTCACCCAGATCCTGCATTTCTTTTTGGTCCCTGAAACTCGTGCTACCATCCTCATTGACCGCGAAGCCAAGCGTCGGCGCAAGAACGGTGAGGATGTCTGGGGCCCCGATGAACTCAAGACCCCTCGTCTGGACGCAAAGGACGTCCTGCGGATCTGGCGTCGGCCGTTTGAGATGTTTCTGCGGGAGCCGATCGTCCTGTTCCTTTCCCTTTTGTCTGGATTCTCCGATGCTTTAATCTTTATCTTCACCGAATCTTTCACGCTGGTGTTTGAGCAGTGGAACTTCAACACCATGGAGATTGGATTAACTTTTGTGGCCATTCTTATCGGATATATCATTGCATATCTTATCTTCTTGCCTGATGTAAGACGCCAAATGAAGATCCGAAAAACCCATGGCAATGGCGCTCGTTTGGCTGAGCGTCGTCTTCTTCTCCTACTCTTTATTGCGCCGCTCGAACCGATTGGTCTGCTTGGTTTCGCGTGGACATCAATGGGACCGGCCTACACGCCGTGGATTGCTCCATGCATATTCGCAACCATGATTGCGATGGCCAATTACGGTATCTATATGGCTACGATTGATTACATGGTGGCCGCCTACGGTCCATATTCGGCCTCCGCAACCGGCGGCAATGGTTTTGCTCGGGATTTCCTCGCCGGTATTGCAAGCATGTATGCAACCCCAATGTACACCAACATCGGCGGTGAGCGCCATCTGCAGTGGGCCAGCACCATTCTGGGCTGTATTGCCTTCTTGGTCATGATTCCACTCTACGTTTTCTACTGGAAGGGGCCGGAAATCCGCAGGAGAAGCAAATTCGCGCAGACCTTGGAGGCAGACCGACAGCTTCACGCGGGCCGCCGGGCAAGCCAGCTGCGACCAAACGAGGAACCATATGGTGCTTCACCATGATATGAGGAGATAACGACTCTACTATTAGCATAGATGAATATATAGCAGCGCCAATGCATTTCTTTATATGTTTACTTACTCACTATTTTTAATGTAAGGTAGAAGAAAAAAAAGTGCAAGGCTTTTCCTATCCAACAGTATCTAAACATAGATATCATTGTGCGCAACAGTTGCCTAATGGGGCATATCTATCGAAACTTCGAGTGTCCGGAGGAGATGCTGAGAATATGTCATGTGTGGCGCTGCCTCGTGAACTGCTCCTTCGGAATATTAGTTCTTCCGTATGAAAAAAAGGATAGTAGTCGCCACACAGCCACAGTTCGCGGCTTCGGCATCGGTTACTCCGTATCCATTTGCTCCGCCGGCTCCGCTGCATTACGCCATCAGAGGCTGTGCTCTCTCTACCCCTCATATATAGACCTCACCACCTTTTCTTTCACCACCTTTTCAAGATCTCAAGATCATATCCATCATCTCACACAAAGTCAGATCATAATAAGATGCCGTCCTCACAATCACCACCACCTCTTCCAGACGGCTGGAAGGCCGAGTTCGATGACAGATACCAGGAATGGTAAAAGACACTGCTTTTGAACCGTCATAATCCAGTATACTAACCACGATGTCTTTTAACAGGTACTTCGTCAACCTCCATACTGGGAACTCACAATGGGAAGCTCCCAAAGCGCCCGCCCGGCCTGTTTCTTCCACCGGCCCGCCTCCCACCGGCCCTCCCCCCTCGTACGCGACGGCCACGGGAGACGATGGCAACGGCGACTACAACCGGAAGACCGGCAAGGAAGGAGGGAAATCCCCACGTCCTGCCAGTGGGTCGTACCCGGCTCAACAGTACTACGATTCGAACAACAACGGCAACACCAAGAACAGTAACGACTATCGTGGCGACGGCAGATATGCGGCACAACAGCAGAACTACCCTTACCAGCAGCAGCAACAGCAGTACACTTCTCAGCAACAGTACCCGCCGCAGCAATATCAATACCCTGCCCAGCAGTATCAGTATCCTCCCCAGCAAGTCCAGCAGCAGCAGCAGCCGAAGAAAAAGAAGGGCATGTCCAGTATGGGCGCTGCAGCGCTGGGCGTTGGCGGTGGTCTCCTGGGCGGCTTCCTCTTGACTGAGGGGATCGAAGATCTCACCCACGGCTTTGGAGGGCCAGGTGGGGGCTTTGGAGGAGGCCCCTTTGACGGTGGCTTCGGGGGAGGCGGGTTCGGAGGAGGCGGTTTCGATGGAGGATTCGGGGGGGGAGGGTTTGGTGGGTTTTAACCATGGGTTCTCCTTTTGATTTCCTTGCTTTCTAATGCTGCTTTTTCATTATGATTAATGGTGTATTATTGACTCATGAGTTATGCGAGTTTTAAATGATATCTGGGGACAGGCGTCAGGAACCAATCAACACTTTTCATCTACCCTTCTATTACACTAGCATTTATAAATAGCAATACCGGAAAGAACATTCAAACACTTCAAAAAAACCTTGTAGGGTCCTTGCTTTTTTTCTATAAAAAGGGGCGAGAGCATGAGGAGACGGCAGGTAGAGTTCTTCGTGAAGACGTGGTCACGCGGTCCCCCTCCATCTCCCTGAGTCAGTTTGTCCAGTAAGGCCTCACTTTCCCATCAAATGGGCTTCAGAGAGGATTGGTCTGAATGGCATCTATCGCGGATAGAATCATTTCTCAGTCTTTTCCGTGCTTGTGAGAGTTTCGAGGAGGATTCAATTTCACTCGACTGCCAAGGTACTAGCTCTCCAAGTCTCATCCATTGATTTCAACAAGATGAGATCGAACATTCTAACCATCATGCTAATAGTGGTTCCAATTCTCGGTGTCCATGAGCGTCCCACTAACTAAAGCTCGCCTTTCAATATCTTGTATGGAAACCTTGCAGCACGATTGGCATCTTCATAAATCCTGAAACTGAAGGAAAACCTCAGGAGAGAATATGCTACATAAAGGATTGTTGCATTCAAGATAACCCCAGCGGAAACCCTTCTTACCAGAACTCCTCGAGTTATAGGCCTATGCTAATTATTCCGCATCTTAAGAACCAGGTTCTCAATCCTCCAGGAAGACACCATCCCTTACCCCACTTGGTATTTCAACCATAACAACATCCATGGCAATACTCTCAAGGATTCGGCTTTATACGAGATATTACGTGGGACCACGCGTTACAATTAGCCAAATACCCAGGAATCACTGAATCGCTGCGTACCGAGGATACGGTACTCTCTGGTTCCAGACTAACTATCAAGGCCCTATGCCAGTCGCTCTGCAGCAGCATCAGCACCACGTGGATAACTTCTATCTGCACGACGTTTCGCAACCCTGAAGATACTTTAAAAGTCAGAATACAGACCTTCAAACTTCCTTCTCACCCGTCGATCCATCTATCAAGGTGACCAAGAACGAACTGCAGTCATGGCCAATGTGGATGTCACCCAAACGCTTGAAGCTCTGAACGCCCTAGCTACAGCCCCTCCCTCCGACCCCGAGGTGCGCAAACAGCTCTACAATGCCGCTCAGAAACTGGGCCTAGCCGTGGAGGCACCTTACGACACGGTTTATAGAATTATCTACTCGGTAATAACAACTATAGCCCGTGACTTGATGTCTTTTCTGTACCGAATCTGACCGTCATTAGCCCATCCTCTTGACCGTCGCGCAGATCGCGGGCAATATGCGTATCTTCAAGACTCTGGTCGAAAAGGATACACCCCTTAATTCGGTAGATCTGGCTGCTGCCGCCGGTGCGGACGTTACTTTGACCGGTATGTCTTAGATCCCCATCCCTCTATGCGGATAGATATGGGTGTGTGTATTTCATATATACTAATGGCCAGGCCGTATTGCAAGATATCTGGCATCACATGGCATGATCAATGAGGTGGATGAAGACTCTTTTGCCGCGAACCACATCACGCAAACGCTGAGCATCGAAGGGTTTCGCGCCGGCATCAAACATTAGTGAGATTATTGTACCCGTATGTGCACATACATCTACAGGCTAGAAAGGCTAACAGGTGGATAAGTATGCATGGCACCATGCCCTCTCTGCAAGCTGCCCCGGAGTTCCTGGAGGAAACGCAGTATGCGAATCCCAGCGACATGCTGCACACCCCGTTCCAAAGAGGCTTCCGCACCGATCTGCCCCGATTTGTCTGGTTCCAGAGCCAGCCCGACTTATCCGCCAACTTTGGTGTGTGGATGGGCGCTCAGCACGATCGAAAGATGACCTGGCTAGATGTGATCGACTTCCGAGAGCTCGCGCACGGCTCCACGCCCGAGACTCCTGTCTTTGTCGATGTCGGCGGCGGCATCGGCCACCAGTGCGCCCTACTAAGGAGCAGGTATCCCGATTTGGTCGGCCGGGTCATCCTGCAGGACTCGACGACTGTCGTAGCTCGCGCCCTGCAGACGACCGGCGTGGAGAAGACCGCCCACGATTTCTGGACCCCCCAGCCAGTCCACGCTGCTAGAGCGTACTACCTCCGCTACATCATGCACGACTACCCGGATGAGAAGTGCCTGGTCATCCTCCGCAACATCAAGGCTGCCATGGCGCCCGACTCGGTCCTCCTCATCGACGACATGATCATTCCGAACAAGGGCGCTCATCCGAACGCTACCGACAGGGACATCGCCATGATGGTCAACTTTGCCGCCATGGAGCGCACGGAGAAGCAGTGGCGCGCACTGTTTGCGGCTGCGGGACTGAAACTTCGACGTGTTGCTACTTATAATCAGACGAGTGGGGAAAGTGTCCAAGTAGTAGGGATTGAGGGTCATTAGACTTTACGATGCAGTATAATATATAGCTGATAAATACAAATTGCGCTTCTTTCTTGAATTGGTGTTTCTGGCAGTCCACTTTGGGTAATCGTTTGCTCTACATTGATTCCATTATTCCTAAATACATAACTGAAATGACTATACACGACCCAGCTAGAGAAAGAACAATATATATATATACAGGCAAGGGCGCGAGGCTCTAGAATTCAGAGAACCTATGGACAGGGGAATCCTTGGTTAACATACGCAGTCTCTTGCCAAAGAAGTACAGGGGGATCCCCAGGAGCAAGGGACCTGTAGCGAGCGAGAACTGGACCATAGCCGGGCCGACCAGGCCATACTTGTCGGCGAGGGTGGGGACCCAGTAGCTCATGGCGAACCCACAGGTGTTCTTGATCACGGTGATGACCACCATGATCTCCCCGGCGAGCGGCTTGTAGCAGTCGATCGCATACGCAGTGGCAATGGTAGGCACTGTGGTCACGGTCACACCGGCGAACCCGTACCCGATGACCAAGATGATGTGCCAGGACCACAGATTCTGGTAGGCAAGGCCACCCACCACGACTCCAATCACTGTGATGACAAAGAAGGGGATCAAGGCAGGCAGCCGCATCTCTGCTTCACGGATACCATTGTTCTTGCGTGCACCACGTTTGGCAGCAAAGTCCGACATCGGGCCTGCGGTCAGCAGTCCTATCAAGCCTCCGACAAAGAACGCAAAGTTGCCGTACCCGAGCGCCGCGGTAGAGAAGTCGTACGGAGGCGCAGCAAGCACTTCGGTTTCAGTCAAGGCATAGAATAGGTTGATGTTGATGGATCCGGCACAAGTCACGCCTGCCCAAAGGATGATAGGGTAGTAGAAGATCCGGAAGGGGGTCAGAAGATCGCGCACAACAAAGGACTTCCAACGGGAATCTGGTGTCTGCCACAGTTTAAACTGTTTCTTCGAGGGGCGGCCGGTGCCCACCAGAGAGGTTTCGGGGGATGCAGGAGATGAGGCAGTCGACAGCTCGTCAGTGATGATGGCCGCATCGGGAGTGGCTTTCTCTTGATCATTTCTCTTGTTGTTGGATCCAGACGAAGCAGCCTTCAGCGTGCCTCCGATCCACTGGGCCGAGCGCTTGTATTTGGTCTCAGGGAACAGGAAAAGGAGTGTCAAAAGGTTGAATCCTGACAACCCAACAGAAAGCCAGAAGAAGCTTCGCCAACCATGGCTAGACTCTTAGTCAGTATCTCTTCTCCATCCAGAGGGGAAAGAAGTTGTGATGATCTTACACTGCAGCGATGCTTCCCGCGATAATCGCTCCCAGGAAGATCCCGACGAAATAATTCACACTACAAGGAATGAGCGCGTTAGAGCCATAGGTGGAAAAGGGGGTGTGGAAGGGTGGCGCCTTATCCTTACAAATAGATTCCGGTCCAGAAACCACGCTCGTGTAGGAAGAACATATCGCTTACAACCTGCATCATGATGGTCTCGGATCCAGCAGTGGCCAGACCATTAACGATACGGGAGGCCAGGAAGCTCTCGTTCGAGGTGGCCAGGGCCTCCCAGACCTCGGTGAGGATGATGAAGATCGCCAACAGAAGACTGGTCTGCCTGCGCCCGAAGATGTTGGAGAAGGGCACGATAAGGAGGTTGGCATATCCCTGGGCAAGGATACACCCTCCCGTCAACAGATTAAGCTGCGTCTGGTTGAGACCCCATTCTTCGGCCAGCAAGGCGAACAGGGGGGCGACGGACAGAGCCGCCTCCACCGCGACGAAGGTATATCCAAACTGCACCACGATCACGAGGCCTAACAATCATGATTTTAGTGCATAGTACATGAGGGTAGTAGTAAAGGCGCTCCTTACATTTCCAAAGCGGAGACCAGTTGAGAGGATCACTGGGGTCATTCGAAGGCTGCGGGATGAGGCTTTGCAGATCAGCACATGGGGGCGACAATTAGTAGTCTCGCAGCTGGAAAAACGGGATGCTCACATCACATCGCTGCCTTTACCCTGGTTCAAATGCGAGGTATGATCCACGTCGCACATGAAATCCGTGCCGGGGATGAATTCAGTCCCAGAATCGGATCCAGGGCGGCTGCCAACTGTTGCCTCAGACATCTTCGAAGGGATGTTGCACGATCTGCCGTACAACGATCGCAATCAAGAAAGGGAAGCAGACTGAAGATCAGAGGGGCTCGCTACTTAAAAGCAGAAGGGTAATAAAAGATCTCGAGTGCGAGGAGGAAGAGTGACAGCAAGAGGAAAGAGATCTTCTGTAAAATCGCGGTACTTTTATGAACCCCATCCTTTGGAAAGCACTATCAGCCTTCAAAGTACTTTTTTTTCTCTTCCATGCCGCTCCTAGCGAGTTCGGGACAGACATCCTGGGACCTTAGCTTCTTACCTGGCTGAAAGATTAAAACGGTCTCGCGTATAGTAGTTACAGCAAGGTCGGAGCGAAGGCCATTGGCCTATGTGACTATTTTGGGGTCGTGGCAATAAATCTTTACCCCGAGTAGCGAGTCTAGCGGCCTCTGAGTCTTGGGGAACCCGTCCATCCTCCGGCCCCCGGCGAAAAAACCATTGTGGTCCGGGGCAGGGGGCCTGGCAGGGGTGGAGCTCCCTCAAGCTAAGAAACCAGTGTGCTAGGATTGGGGCCTGCAGGATCCATCACATAACATGAGCTTTATACACATGGGTGTCGGACAGTCTGGCCAATGCATGGTATGGTTTGGGTGTGTACGCATGGCGCACAATCTGTTAACCACGGTATAATTGTGATTGATCAACACTTTCCCCCTGCAAGTCAGCCCATATCTATATTCCATGGTCAATGAAACTCGAACTCCGTTAGAATGCTAAAGACGCATTCGATAGATGCAGCTAGTAAGGAACGTGGTGCGAAGGGTCAGCTGTTAACGCCGGTGGAGACGTACGCAGCTCTGCCGCAGTATCTTTATAGAAAATAATCTTATTAGTCGATGTAGGAGGTTCCGAGAACCGAGAATGTATAAGGGGCTCTCTGGTCAAATCTCTGGAAAGTCGGTCTCTGCATTATTTCTGGGGCGATTGGAAACCTCCTCCTCCTTATTCTTTGCTTTCAAGAGGCGTTCAACACGCTCGCTGCTGAAGAGATTCGTGCGAGCAAGATGGCGGGTACATCTGCACCGTACGGTATCAGCAACTATGGGACAACCTTGGTGATTGTGTCCTGGACCGAGTTTGGGATCTGCTTGGTCCTGTTGTTGGCACGGACATACACCACCTGGGCGATCACCAAGCGTATCAGACTTGATTTGTATCTGGCAGTCTTCACTTTTGTACGAGACGATGGATTATCCTTCTCCCCTCGCGATCCAATAGGAATCTGACTAACGGAGGCTGTTTTTGATTCAGATCACGGCAACGCTCAGTCTCTGCTTCTTCACTCTCTCCATCCTTTATGGTTTAGGTCAGCACATCAGTGTCCTTTCGACACAGCAGGCCACCGAGGCCATGAAATGGGCGTGGTCAAACACGCTTGTTAGTCTGTTCGCCATCTCAGGCGGCAAATTCGCCGTCGTGGCCTTCCTCCATCAGCTCCATGGACCTCAGGACCGCGGGAAAAAGATCTTTCTATGGACGCTTGCCTCGTCCAACTTAATCATGAACACCATCACCGTCGGAACGATCCTAGGAACCTGCATGCCGGCGGCAAAGCTGTGGGATAGCTCGCTGCCAGGGACGTGTGATGGGGGGTTGCGCAACCAGAACTGCGCCTATTTCCAAGGCAGTAAGTGCCGCTGCTCACATGACCTCCCAGTCGACCCTTCTTTGGCTGACAGATGCGTTTTCCCCTCCCCGTCACTACAGGTTGGTCTGCATTTGTCGACATGGTACTGGCCATCTACCCGGCCATCTTCTTCTGGAACGTGCAATTACAGCCGCTCGTCAAGATTGGTTTATGTGTGTTGATGGGCATGGGAATTATGTGCGTTGCGTGCCTCTCTCTACTGGTACATACCTCCTCTTAACAGGCTGCAGTGCTTCCGTCTGCGCGATAGCTAAGACCGTCGAGCTCAGTGCTCTGACAAGGACGGAGGATACGACATGTGAGACCTACCCTACCTGCAGATGGAATTGAAGTAAGAAGGCGAAGATGATCTAATATGCTGATCTTTTTCCTACGTGGGTTTAGATTTCATCGGGAGGCTTGATATCTGGAATACGTATGGTTTTTTTCCGGACACGAAATCCGGTGGGAGAGAGCATTGTAATCCCCCAAGGCTGACTTGCATAGGACCGAGATGTGGGTGATTTTGATCGTCGGCTGCATCCCCCCGATCCGGCCGCTGATCGTCCGAATCCTCAAGAAAGTGAGCTCGACCGTGTATACCCGATCGTATCCCCGCTCTGGCACTGAGCTTCGCAATTACTACGCCTCTGGCACTGGCCACAACCATGGCCGTACAGCCTCCCAGAAGTTCCAGTCGCAGTCGGGCACCAACAACGACAATGACAGCGAGGAGAACATCCTAAAGGGGGACGGGACCATCACAAGGACAACCAACATCGATGTTACGTATTGGCATTCGAATGGATCGTCAGAAGCAGTCGATCAACCCAACGGTATTCCACACGCCTTCTCGAGGCACAGGCCATGATCGAGGAATCTGGTTTTTCTATAAGGAAGTTTTGGTTTACTTCCAGTTACCAGGGATACTACCTCCATACCCTATCCCTACTCTTATTCTCCCATCGACTACGGAGTATTCTCTTTGTTCTACTCGCTAATAGATTACGAAAATAGTTGATGTACATAATGCAAATTTTATTTTCTTTATAGTATTGAAGCATTTTCTCTCTTTCCTTGGCCTCTCATTTCTCCGGAGTAGGTACTCGGTAGTACTTTAAACGTTGTTCCGGCTAGTATCAGAGCTATAGAGAAATTCGATATGATCGTCAGCGCTAGATGTCAGATTAAGATTTAGCAAGGACGGTCAGGCGTTTGCTTGGGTGGAATGAGCCCACGGTAAGGACATTCCGTACGCCACAGGCCTGGGCATTTCTGAGCAAATAGTAGATAATAAATACGAACTTAATAATGAGAAGTCGCAACGCTAGAAAATGGGGGCGTTCGGTCTCGTCCCACGTTCTAGTCCTACTCCGTAAATTCTCGGCGGAGATACCGAATCAGCATTTTGAGGGGGGTGGGACAATAAGGACACGCACTATTATTGGGGCACGCACCGTAGAACAGTATTAGGTATAGTACGGAGTATACTACAATACGGGGTAGAGATAAGCTGTCAAACAAGGATCTAGATCCTCTTTATGAAAAATTCTCGGGTCCACAGAGTCTAGACACGGCCAGCGACTTTCTCTGGTATTCTAGTTAGGATCAAGATACGGAGTACGGAGTATGGAGTACATGTAGGATTATAGTAGGATGCCGAAGGATTCCGGGCTATTCGCAAATTCTGATCTAGTTACTCCTTACTCCATGTCAGTAGGTGTACTACATACTCCGTACTGGTTCCATGATAGCTACCTAGGTAGTGACTTACTAGTCAGTTACAACTAGGTAACATACGCAATTCTCGAGTCGTCGTCAAGTGTTCCAATAATGATTATAGATAGCGTATAGGGTCCCTGCCTAGTAGCTAGAGCTATTTCCTCTTTGAGATTGAAAACACGAGTCTAAAAAGGTCATATAGCCCCTGACCAGGAACCAGGATGGAGTGCTTGTGCAGGTACGCCAGATCCTGGTGCTTTCTAGCCTGTGTCTAGGGAGTAATTCGAATGGCAAGGCGTCCTGCAACCACTCCGATACAATGCTGATATCTCTGCATTAAGACGAAACGGGTTTCAAGAACTCTGGGATTCAAGGAGATAGTCGGCTGGGGGGAATAGCATGGTTTGCAGGATGCAGCCTGCATCTATCCCCAATATATGTTTCAAACTGCGAGCCGTCGGATCTGATCAAGGGGCGCTCTTGTGATAAGCCATGAGATCAGTCTTCGAGCGGCTAATCGAATAAATACTCGGGGTTCACTAGTCAGGTAGCGGCTGGAATAGTTTATGGGTCGTGGAGAGTGTGAAAGCTCTCTGCCCGTCTCTAGACATTGTCAGGCGTGCTGAATAAGTACTTCATGATCAACTACACTCCTCCCCGTGTGGCCACAGACTTCGAAACCGGGCATATTGGAGGTTATGATACTGACTGACTCAAATATGCTAATCTCTCAGTTACCTAATTATAGGTTGATTCCTGCTTCCGGTGCTTCAAACCACATTGCTGGATCTTGACTCTCTTCGTCAAGGCTAGACATTCGGAATGACTGCTGCTTGGGAGAAGGAGTTTCGCCATCTCAATTGGGAAATAGTTCATACTGGTGATATACCAGCCTTCCGAGAGTTTATGCTTCTCTCGCGAGATTTGCAACCGGTACGTTCACATGCTGTCGAGATAGGATTTTGACTGCTGGGCTGAAGGGGGTCGGGTGGAGAGTCATGTGACATATGCACGTGTCACTTGATATTTGATTATATCGGAGTACGGAGAAACATGCTCCTTCAGGATAGCCTGTTCTAAATATGGGGGCTTCTGGTGTGGCTGAAACGGCACGACGACAACAACAGACGGAATATTTTTGAGGTTGCACCCTTTTCCTCTCACAGCGATTGATTGATGCTGGTTTACTGATATTATTACTACTTGGCATTGTCTATATATCGATCCTACTCGTGGATCTTTGCTGCATTATTACCTACGGAGTATCTGTGGATCAGGTACCTGTCAACATCTGCTAACTCTAAGGCGGGCTGGAGCGCTAATTACGCTCAGCCCAGCCCCTGCCACCCGTCTTGTTATCGGCTCACTGGTGATTACTGGTACCCAGTGCTTGGTTATTTCTTCTTCTTGACGTCTGTTGTTACGTTTTCTCTTCACTGCTCATATTCCAAAAGGACATCCCCAGCTGCAGCCAAGGCTTTGGATGGTACATCGTCTATCAGCTGGTTATTCTTCACCTTACAGTCTACGACTCTGCTCAGCCACCCACCCACATTTGCCGTCAACTGTCGATCTCCGCAGGCTCCGCGGTGAGCCGTCATTCCTCTCAGATCAGGCTTCTGGTTTTTTTTTTCTTTTTTGGCCCTATTGATGCGACTATACTATATGCTCTAAGTTGGAAACATTCTGCGGGCGGGAGTTGCCCAGAAACGATAAGAAATGCCAGTGCTGCCTCGGTTCGATGTCGCCCATCGGAATTCTACCCAGACGGCTCAGAATTCGTCCAATAATGGCTCGTCCAACAATAAGGATATCATTATTATTGTAAGCCCCTGTGCAGGTGCTGTCGCTTCGTTATCAAATGTTTCAGGTGCTGATGCCCCGCTTCTTCTGTATAGACCGCCACGGTGGTGATATTTGTTGTCTCTTCTTCGGTAATGGCCTTCTTCCTTCTTCGCGCCCTTCGCCGAATGAATTGCCGACCAAAATACATTCCGGGGAAGTACCTGAAAGAGAAATGGAATCAGTGGTCTCCGGGGGCATCTTACGGACGAGTTGCCGGTGGATCGGCTCCGAATCGGGATCCCGAGGATACCGCATATCATGGCGCATCAGCTGCGGGAGTACGAAATACAACGGCCACTGCTGAGATGAACCGGGTGCATCGAGACACTTCGATCCGTTCCGTCATGACGCTTCCCGCCTACACGCCGAGCCCGAAACCGACAGAGCAGGTTATAGCTCGGGAGGGAGAGCGAGGCGGCATGGATGTCGTCATTGAGTTTCCGGAGACGGCAGACCAGGAGGAATCACGCCGCGAGGGACATATGGAGGCGCTGTATCAGATTCGTCTCCAGCGTCGACAGGAGATTGCCGAGCGAGAAGCTCGGCGAAGGGAACGCCAGGAAGCTCGTGCCCGGGGCGACCATGCTCGTATCGACCAGATGCGAGAAGAAGCTCGCGCTCGTCAGTCATTCGGGAACTCCAGTCGCGCGGCTGCTGCCGCCCTCGCAGACCACCAGGCTCGGGCGAGGGAGAGGCGCATATCCAGTGTCAGTTATGCGGAACTGGGATATGTACGACATGATGGGTCACGGGTTCGGGCCGCATCGCCAGACTCGGATCGGTCACCTCTGTTACAGAATCCGGCGGCGGCCGACGACGAACACTCCCATCCTGCAAGCCTTCATTCCCGCGACGAATCATTTACTTCGTCAATCGTTCCTCTCGCCACTATGACGCCAGATGGCGATAGCAATAGCCTAACCCCTGTGGCGACAGAGGAAGAAGATGATCTCGGGGCACAACACATCCCACCTCCGCAGTATGACGACCTAGACTGGGGCGACGCACCGGCATATGAGAGCCCCATCGCAGGGCGAGGCGAGATTCCTCCTCTCCAGCTACCTATCGAACACATCCCTGTGCCTACCATCCACATTGATATCGCTAGCCCAGTGAACAGCCAGGGTCCGAATACCCCCTTAAACCCTCATCAGAGTGAGCCAGAGCCAGCGACTTCCGCCACCGCTACGAGCCATCCGATTCCAGAGCCATGATAATGACCATAAAGCCTATTTCCTTGAATGAAGATCTTTCTAATCATTTCTTTCCTATATATACATACACTCTTTCAGTGATATATTGGGAGGTTGACAGTGCTTATTATGACGGTGGTTCATCTGATCTTATGAATCTTCACTTGCTCTTTTATAACTGATTCCTTGCCTTCCCTCTTAATGATGGGTTTTTGGAAACTGTTCACACTTAGCAGCATGGCGCCCCAGGTGTTTAGTCCAGTAATTATATCCTTTTATATATATTCTTTTATGTCTATATTTTTAGTAATTATATATATACTTATTCAGTCACAAACAAACTTGATCAGATATAATGTAGTAATAGGAATCACACATTTATATATATACATATAGAGGAGATATAATAGTCTATGCCTACGCTGTATGACTCTTAACCCAAGTAAACAGCACAGCGGATAGTCACAGAGCTATTTTGCACTTTGAATTATCAATAGTACCTCAAGTAGGTATACTCTCAGGCATAGCAACGTGAATGCCTTGATGAATAGGGGTTGGGTTCTGGCGCTGGAGTTGCTGGTCTACTAAGACAGCATCAGTAACAGAGACATTTATTCCTCACTCAAATCATTAAACTTTTAGATGGCTTCAGAGTCTATCCAACCTACTCCGCAGATCGTTAGATTCTGTTGGAATGGCCTCGTTTCCTGTCAACAAGGAGTTCAACTGGTCGTTGGTTAATTGAGTGGCTGGGAAGGAAGAGGCGCCGCTCCGGCAAACCTCCCCAAAGTTCAAACGGCACGATGTAAACAAACCCGCATTCCCTCCGTCGCCGTCTTTCCTCTCCCCACCGCACCGCACTACGAAGAGACAGGCATGTCGTTGGACTAATGCTTCTTATGAAAAGGGCTTTCTCATTGCTCCTACTTATTAATTATAATCGAGTTATCTGTGATCTCTGATCTGATCCTTGTTGTGTGGTCTCGGAGAGGTCAAACCGCTCCCGACGCGTTCTCCAACCCAGCCACCCATCAAAACACGTTTGCTAGACACTGCTGTGCTTAGCAACCACTGCTGAATCTTTGTCTTACAGTCTCCAGGCACCGTTCTATTCAGCATGTCGCGCGATCACTCTCGTCTACTTGAAGCCACCACGTCCAGTTTCAACTCTTTTGGGAATACCACAGTGTCAGACTTTGACCCGGAAGGCGAGGCTATCGCGTCAACCAGAAAGCTTGACGATAGCTACAGACTACCCGAATTCCAGACTAGTGTGAAAAGACAACTGCAGCAGCAGCAGCAGCAGCCAGTGGAAGAACCCGACTACGCGATCGACACGTCGGCTCTCGAGCGCGCCTTTCCAAATTTCTCTCCCGTACACACATCCGAGGAGGAAGAGGAGGACGACCTTTCGATCGAAGTGGGACGCGGTGCCAACAAACCGGCGCGTCGACTCGACGATTCGCGGAATTCGATGATGAGTTTCGAAAACAGCGTACGCTCCTCGTCTCCCGCCGTGAGACTGGACCATATCACTTCCAACACGCCGCTGAAATCAGCGGTGCGTGGCACTACACGGCGAGCTGTAAGCGAGAACCTCAGAAAGGACGCGCAGCTTCGACGAGCGAACCTTGCGCAGAAAGAGGCGTTGGACCAGCAGTATTCCAAGACTTCTCGCAAGGACCAGCGACGAACCCTCTCCGAGATGCACGCTAGGGTTCGCGATACCTACGACGGATCATTTATTGCAGATGAACGGCCTGCAGAGATCCCCGTCAATGCGCGTCCCACGCGTTTCACTCGGAATGATCTCTCTAACCAGATTGCTGATGCTGTCGAGAGAGCCTCCCAGGAAGCATACGCGAAAGAAGTCCGTCAGGCAAAACTAGCCGCCAGTGGTCGCAGCCAGAACGGCAATGGCACGTACACCTCGAACATGCTCGCAGATACCCTGACGCATCAGTCATTTCTCCTTCCCGACCTCCCCAACCTCTCGGAACTGGTCTCGGGTGTGTATGAAGATGGCACCCCTGTTTATTCCCGCCAGAAAACTCGCCCTACCCGTTTTGTTTCGGCCAATGCTGGCGATACAACTTGGACCCGGGATCACCTGCCTCTGGATGCGGTCCCCATCCCTGAAGACGAAAAGGCGCTGTTCGTCTCCTTGAGGCTTTTACAGGATAAAGTTGCCGAGCTGGAGATGGCCAAGGCCGAGGCTGAGAGGAAGATCGAGGAGATGCGCCAGGAAAATGCATCTTTGAAGACAGATAGGTCACGCCATAGAGACAAAAACGAACGAATGAGACATCATGACGCAGGAGAAGACCGTCCTAGGAGAGACGGTAGTAGAATTGAGAATGAAAATAAGAGTAAGTTGACCTCTGTCGAGTTTTTTTTGTTCCCCCCTCGCAGCGCGCTGACAGCTTGTCCTTACAGAGCTGGAGTCATCAAATTTGGCTTTGCAGAACAGAGTGGATATCCTCGAGCGCAAGTCCGAAGTACAGGAAGCCGCGCTGAAAAGGCTTACTCGAGAACGGGACATGGCCGTTTCTCAACTCGGTATTGCATACCTCGATTCCCAGGAGCTCAAAGAGGAGAATGAGACTCTCAAACAAGAAAATTTGGAACTTAAAGACCAACTTTCCAGATTCCTCTCGCTTCCCAGGAAGAAGCGTGAAGATACCATGCGCTCGGAGCGGACTGCAGTCAGCAGTGACCCGGATGCAGAGGATAGCCAATCGTATACCCAACGCAGTGCGGATATGAGCCGAACAACAGGAGATGTGACTTCAAAGAGTGCCCGTTCGCGCTCCAAGTCTAAGCAAGATGAATCTAGAGCGAAGATCCTCAGCCAAGTGGACAAGGAGATCTCTCGATTGGAAAAAGAGCGCGCAGAGGAGGCCCTCTTCTCCATTGACTTGCCTCGCGCAGCTCGTATGTCTGCTCTGAAGGCAGAAGACACAGGTAGTCGTTCAAAGAAAGACACCGTTTCTAGAAAACAGTCCAGTTCTGGGAAACGGCGGACCAAGAGGGTCATTGTTGAGGAGGTGGATGTCAGCGAGCCGGTCGAGTTAGCCACTTCGGATGTCACTGCTGACAATGGCAAGAAGGCAACTTCTAGCGAACAGGACCTAACGCTCCTGAGCTTCGTGGATGAACGTGAAATCGCCCAGCTGCGAAAGACCCTCGAAGAAGAGAGACTTGCGAGGAAACAGCGCCAAACCGTTTCCCTTAAGGACCGTATCACCAACGACACCCTCAATACGACACGCCAAAGTAACTCGAAGGTCGCTGTGCCCCGAAAATCATCTCTGAAAGAGACTAAATATGTCCCCCCCCGACCTGCTTCGGTGGCAGGTGACTTGACCGCAAACACCAAGGCCAGCGCGAACGAAGAAGATAACAGCCTGTCTGTGCCCATAGAACGACCAAGGCGCCATTCGGACCATGCAGTTCTTTCATCTCAGAAAAAGCGACGCCAAAACATCAATGATATGACTTCAGCGTTCATTCTACCTGACATCACCCTCCGGTTTGCGGACCTGGCGGTAGAAAATCAGACCAAGCTTTCTGAATCGGCGCAAAAAGCACTGGATGCTGTCTCGAAACACGATGGAAAGAACTGCACCGTTTGCAAGCGCTGTATTCCCGACGAGGGTGAATGTGACCATAGCCATGAGATCGTGAAGGTCCCCAAGCCTGTGCCGGTTTCCGATCGCATGCCTGAACTCTCTGCCGACAACGAGGAGCATACCATGAGACCGTCTCAGCCACCAGCTGTCGCACTAGCGACTGTCATCAAGGCGTTGGAAGATGAACTTTCGCACTTGAAAATGCAGCTTGCCGCTTACCAAGCCGCATATAACAAACTGGACGCTTCGCTCAACAAACGGAAGAGAAAGTCGTTGCAGGAGAAGCTGGAGAAGCTGCTAAAAGAGGTAGACATGAAATACGATCAGATCTACGCTCTTTACGACGTTCTTGAAGGCCAGAAGCAAGCTGGTCATGAGATGACCGAGCAAGAGATGGAACTCACTCTTCAGTCCGTCGGAATCGATGTCTCAGCCGCCAAAATAGCGGATGTGACTGCCACGACGGATAAGTCTTCCAATAAAAATCTAGACACTGATTATGATGAGGATGAAGACGAAGACCTGCCGTGGGAAGGAATCGAGAGCACTGTTGAGATCACTGGCCGCATTTAGTTCAGCAAGCGAAACGCCTTACTTTCGTCTTTTCTTTCTGTATTCTCTTTTGGCTTTCTGGTTTGCAGTCTTTGATCTCGTTTCTACGGGTTAATGCGAAGCTGCGGAGTTCGAATCCTTATCCTCTTCTCTTTCTCTCTCTTTCTCTTCTCTCGAACTAGCCAACAAACTTGGTTCTCGGCTTGGGTTCTAGACTGACCTCCTTCGGTTGAGGTGTATGTCCCCAGACCTTGAGGATCTGTTGTTGGAATCTTGTGGGATTTGGGTTGATTATCTCTGGCCACTGTAGTGTCTCCAGATGAGGGTTCTCAAATCTTGCTTTTGCCGTTTGGCAGTGTGTTGTACACTTGGTTTCTTACTGTTTTCGGAAGGCATATCATTTTGTAGATGGCCAATTGTATTCCCAGCGTTTTAGCACATTTCTAGACATCATACCTACCTCCTAGCATTCAATAGCGGAAAATTGGTATGGAGTATATCATCTGTCTTTTCTACGTGACTGGTGTAAGGGGGTTCTATAATATTTTATATTTCTTTAGTCAGATAGAATGGCTACCATTCTTCGGGAATTAATTATTCAAACCAGAAATGTTTATGACAAAACTATGGCACATATTGGCCTGGCTGTCCAAAGACAGCCGAACAAGTCCGGTTGTCATCTCAGAGGAAAGGATCCCGGAGAACCAAATGCAAATGAAACCACAACACCATCGCTATGCAGTAGACTTGACCTATCAACGAGACATCCGTAACATTCATGCTTTGCTTGCGTTCCCTCCAGACGTAGCAGCCGCCATGGCAGCCCCCTGAGTGGCGACGGGTTTCGAGGCGTCCAGAGAACCAGATTCAGACAGCTCCTCGTCGAGGAAGCAGCCCAGCCCGGCAAATGCTTCGAGTAACGTCCTTGAGTAGTATTCACGCAGGTCGTACCCGCCTGCCAGCATGCGAGTATCCTGCCTGATGGGATCGAGGTAGGTGGACGGATAGTGTTCCTGAAGGGTATAGTAATCCCTCTTGTCGGGAACCAGGCCGCCAAAGGGATCATACGGCTTATCCGGCACGGGGACCTCAATCTTCTTGAGGCCCTTGACGAGGCCAGAGTCGGGTGCACCGGTGATGCCTGCCGTTGTTGGGGCTGCGACCCCCTTCCGGAGCTCCGAACCGCGCAGGACGGCCTGTTTCTGACGGATTCGTTCCTCTTCGCTGCGCCGCGCAGAGGACTTTTTGAGCAGGACTCTCTGGCCTTCGCGCGCAATTGCCGCCGCATCTCCGGCACGACCGGCGGCGAGGCGGCTCAGCACATCTTCTCGTCCGGCTAGTAATTCCCGACGCTCGTTCTCGTATTCTTGCCGGGCAGCCTCGCGACGTAACCGGGCCTGTTCTTGTTCCAGCGTCTGCCGTTCCTGGAACGTGGTGGCTTCCTGTGCCTCCAGCGCTTGGTTCGCGCGGATCGAGCTCAGGTTCTCTTGTGCGTATCTCTGCAGATCAGTCTCCGTTTTCGCCACATCCGTTCCGTGCACTAGGTTGGCGATGATCATTTCACGTTGCTCAAGAAAATCGTCGTAGGCTCTTTTCGTGGCAAACTCTTCTTCTCGGCGGTTCAGGCTGGAAGTCATGGATTTATCAGCTTCTGTCTTGCCTTATTCCTTGTAACAGATAGACTTGGCGGATAAAAAAACCACTCTTGGTGTCAGAGCGAGGGAGAGAACATAAGAGCACATACATCTGCATGACTCGCCGCCGTATGTCCACCTCTCTTTCCACGCCGATATCCTCAAACGTCTGTTTCCGGAATTTGGCCTTGCGCAGTGTCTTGTGGCATCCCGCGACGGGGCAGGGGGCGGGCCCCGATGAAAAGATGCGGTCAACGCACGACTCGCACATTTTGTGATAACATTCCGGATTGATGAGGAATCGCATATCAGGGTTCAGGTATCGCGAGGATTTGCAGACGGGACAGACCTCTTATTTCCCCCATGACAAGGTTAACCTGGTGGACGGTGAGAACGAGTCAGAAACATGAACGTACCATCTTCTTCCCCCCGAGAGGCAACTCCATTCCGCGCAGTCACCGACATCTCCGGCTCCCTGTGCCTCTTGGGATGACCAAGATGATTATCTAGCGAGAGACAGTGTCGAAAAAAGAGGGGAGAGCAGACAGCTTCAGCAACAGGTACCTTTAGGCAAGATGACGAGGAGGATGAGGTAAGAGATCCACGAGCCAATCACGGGCACAGCCAAGTTCCGCCCGGAGCGGATTTCTTGCGCTTTCTGCCAGGGAAAAAAACGAAGGCGAAAGAAGACTTTGAGCAGGAAGAAAGAGAGGTACATCGTTACTTGATATTCTCTCTCTCAACACCGACTATTGTCGCTCTTTCTTTACATCTGAGTTATTTTGTTGTGGTCATCCGCTCCTCGCCTTTGTTTCTCCTTCCCCCCCACCCACCATGAACCTCTCAGACGGCAGCATAGACGCCCTTGAACGCCGGCGTCTGGAGCTCGAGGTGAATATCCGTGAGCTTCAAGAATCACTGTATCACTGGCGGACATGGGAAGCCGAATACGATGGGCTGAAGGAAGAGATCGACACGCTCAGCGACGACGCCACCGCCGACGATTTCCTCAGCGCTGGGCGAGACTTCGGAGGCTCGCTTGTCAACGAGAAAGAGGTGTTTGCCCTACTGGGCGAGAAGAAGGGAGTCATACGCTCGAGGCAACAGGTTGTGGATATCATATCTCGGCGGATCGACTACGTGAGACAGAATGTCGCGACAATGGAGAAGAGGTTGCAGAGCGCGGGGGACGAGCTAGATGCGCTAGATGAAGGGAGCATAGCACGCCTTGCCTCTACGGATATGGAGAAGGATTTCCCAGTCACGGAGATCATGGAAGAATTGGATGAAGAGGGCCATGTTATCTCCAGTTCGGTATCTACACCAGGGGACAAGGCTCCAGAATTGCTGGACGTGCTTAAGAAAGCAGGTGTTAAGGATATCCCGGATCTTCCAGGGAAGGAGAATGCAAAGTCTGAGTTGATAGAGGATGGTGTGGAACAAGAGGATAAAGAAGTTGAATCTGGCCACAGCGGTTTTGACGAACGTGAGAACCAGGAGCAGCGTCCTGCTTCCCAGGCAAACGGTGTCTCGGAAACACAACCTGAAATCACTGCTACTCAAAATGTGGATGGTGAATTGAATGGTACAGCAGTTGTGGACATTGACGAGTCACCGGAAGATGCAAAGCTGCGCCGAGAAATGCTGCAGTACGGTTTGAACGAAGTTGGCGCAGTGGTGGCTGAACTGGAATTGGACGAAGATGGGAGTGAATTTTCGGTTGATGATGATTACGAATATGACGACTACGTTTCCGAAGAGGATGAGGAGGAAGACGAGTACGGAAGGACCACCGGCCGGGTCTTGTCGGATGAATATCATCAGCAAATGCGTGCGCTAGAGAATAAGCTGAACGCTCGCGGCATGTGGAACGTGGGCAAAGATGCCGGCGTACTTCCAAACGATGTTCGGCAAGAACTTGAAGAGCCACATGTGGTCAAGGTCGAACAAACTACCGAGAATTCGCCAGAAGAGGTCCTCCGTGAGAAGCCGAAGAAAAAGGTTACCTTCTCTAATGAGCTTGACATCGCCCCGAACACAAAGCTGTCCGCACCCGAGAAGAAGGACAAGAGTGTGCCTGTTCGACAATCGGATGTCCCTGTGCTATCTGACGCGATTGTCGAACGCACAGAACGTGTTTCTGAAAGCAGTGGCCATTCGGATGACAAGGCACCTCCTAAAAAGGTCTCTCGTTTCAAGAGTGCCAGACAAACGGTACCGCCGGCTACTCAGGAAGTCGCAACATCATCTACAGATTCATCCGTCTCCAGCAACCCGAAGACTTCCACGTTCCGCTCTTCCTTGCACCAGGAAGACGACTCTTCGTTACCGTCTTCCTTGCCTATCTTTCCTGCTAGACCGAAGGAGCCCAAGCCCTTTTCACAGCCAATTCGGGACATCATCCCGGATACGATTCCTTCTGGGTCCGAGATCCGGCCTCCGGAAGGCAAGACTTTGGCCGACACACTGGTTGAACGAGACGTTAAGCAAGGTTCTGCTGTTGCTCCCGAACCAGATGAGCTGGATGAAAAGCTGCACAGGCAGCAGATTGCCACAGAGTTTTATGACATGCGAAACCGCATGATCTACCGAAATGGGGGATTTGTGAACGACGACGAGCCAGAGACCCAACCCATCGAGGAGCCCCCTAAGCGGATGAGCAAATTCAAAGCCGCTAGAGTCAGGTAAATTTGAATTCAATCCATCTTATCACATATTCTATCATGTATCACCTCATATGAACATATCACCCTCTATCCGAACACACGGACTGCTGTCCTGCCTCTCTTCAGTTCGCTGGAGAGAGATAGTGAACTCTGATTATGCAAATGCTACTCGAAGCATTCCACGTACAATCAAACGCTGCAAGTCCAAGATCAAGAAACGGGGGCTCTCTGACTGCATTTTACCTTGCCATTCATTCATGAGACGTATTGTGCTCATTTTCTTCCTGAAGATTGAGTACTTATTTCTTCTGTTTGATTGACTTCCATGGAGATGTGGTTACGTTTCGCCCCCGACAGATATTTCATCTAAGCAGATATCAATTTTTCAAAGGCCCAGGAAAGGAGACTTGCGTCTAATATTACTCATCATTTAGAAGGACTAGAAGTAAAAGTGTGAGGAGAAATTCAATATCTTTATTAATAATGCTAGGTATTGATTACCACCCAGATTATCAAACCTAATCATCATATGCTTCCGTGTAGGTGAAATCAACATAACATAACACATAAATCGTATCACATGCTTGCTCATGAAAACAGGATATGCAAACAAAACCTCTAAATGAGAGGGAGAAGTACACTCGAAAATACAGCACTTTTGACGATCAAAGAGGGAAACATGGTCATCGAAGCTGGAAGCTCAGAGACCAAATACCGTAGCAGTTGTAGAGTACCAGATACATAAGGCGCCAAGCCGAGCACTTACAGCGATGGTGGCAAGATGTACAACCATTGAGATGATCTGGAATTTGACGCTTCCCGTCCAGAGATTCACCGCCGCCAGCATCAATAACGGGTAAAACACCCATGGATTGACGGCCAGAGGTGAGCATGGCTGAAAGACAGACACAACCTTGAAAAGGAACAGGACGAGTTGGATGAATGGCGATGAAAGCTGCCATCCGGCTGTTGTGATCGACATACAAGGGAATTGAATATGCAGGAAAGAGCGTCGAGATGGAGGAGGTGGGAGTAGTTGAGGCGTGTGAACATGAACATCTTCGTCACACTCGCGCTTAGACTCATGGTCTGGCTCGGGAGCTTGGGCTTGATTAGAAGATAGAGGCGGTGGAGGGGAGAACCTTGGACGGATTATCAAGTCTCTCTCTGGGCTTGTGACAGAACTTGACTCAGAATCAGTATCCGACACAGTGTTCTGGCTTGGCCGGATATCTTCCGAGTCGAACACTGATCCCCGTCGCACGGCTAAATTCCGCGACATGTTTTTTACCGGGGAAAGAGATGTTCGCGGAACGGATGGGGCTGGAGACGCTGGCATCGGGCTGTCGACAGGCCGGATTCGAGAGCTCGGGTGTAGATCTGGCCCTGCTGAACTTGCCCTTTTGAAACGGAAATGTTCTCCTCCATTGACCCCAGCTTGAATCCCGTTCAAGACTTCATCCGCAGATGGCCGTCGGTTGGGGTCGACGGACAATAATCTCTTGAGAAATGTGTAGAGCTTCTCGGGAAGATCTGGGCGCATTCTTCGTGCATCATCAAAGCCACCCCACTGGCTGATCTCTTCACGGAGCTGATCTAGATCCTCTTTCTCTTCATTTATGATGTCGGCGTTGCGATAAGGCAGTTCTGCAAAACAAAGAAAATACAAAATCATACCGAGTGAAAAGATATCCGACTTGAAAGTGAAGTTGCCAAAGGGTCCGCCCGGATAGTCACGCTTCAGGACCTCAGGCGCACAATACGACACCGTACCGGTAGCGCCTGTTGATTTGCGCATGGCGTCTTGGAACTGAACCTCACCGAAATCGCTGACCAGCACTCGTAGTCCATCGCCGGTTTCATGAAGTAGACAGTTGCTAGGCTTGAGATCCCGATGAATATAACCATTCACATGCAGGTGACGCAGCCCGGATGTGATATCACGGAAAAAAGAATATATCTCTTCAAAGTTCAGCCGGCGGGGCCCTGCAAGGTTGATGGTCGGTTCTGGTTCGCCTTTCGACTTCCTCCTCAACCGTTCTTTTAGCTGCTGGGTGGTAGTTGAGGTCTGCATAGATCCACAGATGTAGTTGTGCAAATCCCCAGCATTGCAGTATTGTTGTAGAATAAAGGCACATGGAACGCTCGGGCCGAAGGTACTGATTTTTGCGTTTTCTAGCCACACATGTCGGTAAGACACCAGGTTCTGGTGGGATAGATGTTGCAACAGTTGCACCTCAATTAGTACTTTCTCCAACCACTCGTGATCATCGCCAACTGGCACACGCTTGCAAGCATAGTGGCCTAGCGGCACCCCGTCCAGCACATGCTTCACCAGCAGAACCACTCCCTTGCCTCCTCTACCCAGCTCAGCCTCCTCCACGAAGAACTTCTTGAAATAGTTTGGACTGAAAGCCGCAGATGATATCCCCTGAGTGGAGTTGGTTCGTCCGTGTGTATACTCTGGGTCGCTTGTTGGTCCGGCAAGAGCCGGTTGAACAAGGCGACGACGAGGAGATGGCGGACCGGACGAGTCCGCGGAGCTGGGCAGGCTGTTGTGAAGCAGGCGGAAGTACTCTGGATTAACGAACTCAGGCTGCGTGCTAGCACTCGCATGGTGGGTATCTCGATCTTGACTTCCACCTCGGATAGGACGATGACAGTATGGACAATCGGTCAGCTCAATGCCATTGTCGCTACTAGCCGCATTCCGAAGGGCGAGTTGCTGGGAGTCACGGTCGAGGACGACGACCGAATCATTGTGTCGACTACAAGGTTAAAACTTGTTAGTGATATAGAAATAATGACAATTATGAAGTAGAGCGGCACAGCAGTCACACATACAGCACAACGTCGAGATTCGAGGACCCATGGTAAGGGATCATGGACATGCCATCTTCCGCCATGATAGTGGCGGGTGTCGTGCATGTCCCGTCAGTGGATAAGGATGTGCGTCCGACGGGTCATTTTAAAGGCTACTGATGAGCCAGGTTGATGGGGCGGTTGAAGATCTGCAACTTGAAGGGAAACAACGAGGCCCAACATTTGTGGATTCGGCAGGTCAAGTCCCTCGGAATCTAGACCACGTGAGCAGTGTTGAAGCTATTTTCGTTCGCTGACGTCAGACAACAACAAACTACAGTTGGTTGACTTTGAAATAACTACCAATACCAGAAAAGAAGGCATTTTATTACAGTCGCATTGTACAATTGAACACGTTACTCAACTTACTAGCTGTCTTATTACTAAGACACAGTTCATGTGTATGTCTAGCTAGGGACAGGGCATCAATTCCATCAATTCCACCCATCTAAACGGACCGTGTCGTACGTGTACGCCCAACGAAATGTCGTGGGGAGACTGGACTGGACTGTGTGCCCTGGTAAGTCGCAGGTTCAGGGCTCTTGTCGAGCTTGACCGCGTTAACGGTAGCAGGGGTACCGTTGCTGTTAATGGCAGTGGGTCAACTGCAGCGGGTGAGTTCGGGCAGCCAACACGTCTTTGGCTGACGAGCAACGATTCTTGTCACCGCTTGTGGATTGACCGCTAATTTTCTGCGGACGGGACTTGGTGTTTCCAAGTACTAATAGTGTGGAGAGGGACAGTCGACTTTTTTCAGTCGTTCTCTTCACCACTCTCATCATCGGAGACTTCGATTTGGGCAATGGAATCGTTGTCATCATCATCTGATTCCTCAAAGCCTTCGAAATCAGATCCTTCGCGACTATCTGAGGAATCGTCGGCTGCAGTAGCAGATTCCGGGACCAGTTCATCGAGCTTGCGCTTGCGACTCATCTCGCCCAGCCTGCCTTCGCGCCCTTCAATCTTCTCGTCTTCGGTAGTTTCACCACTCTTAGGGGGAGGGGTGAACCAAGGAATCTTGCCTCGCAGGAAGTCGTTGATGACCATTTTGGCAACACCGTCCAGATCAGGCTCTCCGCCGCGAAGCAATCTGCCTCCCTTCCGAGCAAGGATACTCAAGAAGTCAATAGGATCAGTGGCCTTGATCTCATAGGTACGCTCCAGATGCTTCGGCTGAACCTTGTTAAGGATAGCGGGAATGTACTGCTCCGGGTTGTGCACGTTCTCAATGCGAACGACACCACGAAGCAAGATATCTTGTTCAGTGTCATTGGGGTTGGGCGGGACGACACCAGGACAATCGATGAGATAGATTCTCTTCATCAGAGTAATATACTGCCAAACCTTGGTCTCACCAGGAATAGGAGCAACATTGCAAACCTTCTTCTTTCGAAGAGTGTTGATAATGGATGATTTTCCAGTGTTGGGGTAGCCAATGAAACCCACTGAAATTTGCTTCCGATCAGAGTGCAGGATCGAGAATTGGCGGAGCAGAGCAATAAGAGAACCTTTGCCGAACGAGTTGTTGATGGAAGCGTGGAATGCGAGAGTAGGGTGATCTTTGGATAGATGTCGTACCCAAGAAGCCTAGTTTGCAGAGTTAGCAACTAGTCATTGACAATCAATGAGTGATGAAATGAAAGGATGTGTGAGATGTTACTAAGAGAACTGCTATAAGAGTGCCCATAATAGGCGAAGCAAATCTCAACTCAAAAACAAAGCGCGACTTGGCCCTTAACGACGCGCCTTCAAAACGAAAGCACGTCAGCCTAGCTTCAGAAAGAAGGTCGGCGCGGGCTAGTGTTAATCTACCAAAGCTGTAACAGACAAAACCTCCATTGAAAACACGACAGAGTCGTAGGAAGAAGCCTTGACTTAGCAATGGAATGGGGAGGGGAGGCAAGCAAAACAGAACACATAGGGAAAGAAAAGACAGGACGAGAGAAGGGAAGGGGGAAGCGGCTTGAAAGATGAGGAAATAGACAAGGAACTTACAGCCACACTCGTTGGTACGAGATCACATTTGTTGAGGACAAAGATCAAGTGCTTGTGAGGTGCTTCTTCGCGAATGTACTTTTCAATACCCCTGCACCGAGTACCGTCGGGATCGCGGGCATCCAGAACATGGATCACAACATCCGAAGAGTCAATGACCTTGTAAAGTTCGTTCCAGATACGCTTGCTCTGTCCCTTGGAGAAAATAGACTCTCGGGCAGTGGTGAGAGTGGTATTGTCTTCCTGAGCAACGTCATCACCATTGACAACGAGAGTGCCGTCATCATGTGTTGTGTGGTCGTTCTTCTCGATGTAGGAATCGTGCATCTTAACCGATTCTCCAGCGAGATCCTCTAGGTTGGAGACACCCAGCTTGACACGCTTTCTCTGCGCCTTCGGCCCAAAGGTGTCGCTGAACGGAGCAGTCTCGACGGCAATCTTTGCCTCATGCTGTTTCAAGCCATTCACGCCAGGACCGTCTCTGATCAGGCTCATGGGAAGCTTGTTTGTTTTCAGCAAAACTTGGTACGGATCCTTGGCACGTTCAGCGACCGCCTCGCGAAAGGAAGACAGAGCCTCCTGCGAGATGACTCTGGTGTTCCCGAACCATTTCCGGTTGGGTTCAATCCGAGCATTAGGAATATCTCGAGACTGGTAGGACGCAGCCTTGGTGATCTTTCCAGATGCGTTGCGTTGAGCCTTGCCATCCTTGAACATATTCAGATGCTTGACTTTCTTCGCATCTCTGCAAAAATCAGCATCACATTCTCACTAGAGAAAAACTTTTTGAAAAGTAAAAGCTATTTCAAAACATACCTGTAAAAGTTTTCACCCTTTGTTCTCACGTTCCCCATGCCATCTCCAACCTTCCCTTGACGCTCTCTACGAGCGGCTTCCTTCTTTCCTGTGCCCATTTTGAATTCTACTTTTGTGTCTCAGTCCAAAACAGTACTATTTTTGGGGCAGGTCCGAAGGCTAGACTAGACACAAAGAAGTAGAATTGGCAGAGCGCGAAGAAGAGAAAGAGAGAAGAAGAAGAAGAAGAAGAAAAAGACGCCGAAATTTTTTTTTTGCCGTGGGCGGAAATGGTTTCTGCTTAGCGCCTTGGAGGGCGCACGGACCAGGCGTAAGAAAATCGCTTCGTCCATCAAACAGACGCGGCTGGCACCAACGAAGAGGAAGTTACACTCGATTGCCATCTCGTCGTCGTTGTCTTCCAGTTGTGGGCTGGATATTTATTTGATCGGAGCTCTGTATATCGTTTCTTTCTCATAATTCCCGACTTTCCTTGCCTCTTGAACCAGCGATTGGAGGCCAACATTCACCATGTCTCTCTCCTGGACGTGCCGGGCTGCCAGAGCGCAGGTCCGCGGCTTCAGCTCATCCTCCGGGCGTCGTATCGGACCAGAGTCTCCTTATTACATCTATGTACCACGACCTGTGCAGACTGGTCTGTCTCCGAAGCCACGCGTTAAGGGTACTCTCCCCGTCCCGCGAGAGTTGTTCCCAGCTCGCCGACCTGACAAGGCCACACCGGCATATGTGGCCGACACCGCAAAAGCTCCCTCTAAAAGGGGACCGGTGGATGCGAGCGGCCCGCATGCCGCGCAGATTGAATGGAGGCGCCGGCTAGCGGACACGAGAAGGAGGAATCTCCAGGAAGGTTTGGGGGAGTTATACCAGCGGAAATTCAAGACGGACAGCGAAAATTTTCGGCGGGGTGTGGCCAAGCAGAAGCACCGGGAGCGTATTCTGGCACAACCGGAACGGGAGGATGAGCGTTTGAGTCGGCCGTCGGTGATCCAAGATATGCTTCCTCATCGTATGTCTATTCTCCCTGATCCCGACCGGGAGAGCCGACTGGCGATGTCCCAGGCTCGCACCAAGGCCTTCTACGAGAGAAAGGAATCTGAGAGGAAAGAGAATCTGCACTCTCTGTACATGAATGCGCGAAACTTCATTACCACCGAAACCCAGCTGGCCGCCGAGATTGATCGCGTGTTCCCCGAGGGCGAGAACGAGGCCTGGCGCAACGACCACCAGCAAGGAGATAATGTCTGGAACCTGGGCGTGCCGCCCACGGTGCAGTCCATGCTCACCGAGTCGAAGAGGAATGAGGCCTCCCGGTGGGATCTTATCCAGGGCAGAGTCAAGAAGCTGGGAGAGCAAATCACCGGAGGCAAGATCTAAGCCGACTTTCTACATCCTGTACAATAGTATGCCGCATATGGTTTCTTACCAGAGGCAATTTTGTTATACCATGTTTCCTACTCTGGTTATAAGCGATTTTCACACGGTATTACCTACAATCCTACGGAGTAGAAAGGGTTCTGCATTATCAGGGTCTCTCAGTCCATGTAACTGAAGACTGAAGGCCTCGAAGCCTTTCCTCCAGGCATGACAATTTAACCGCAATTTTGACTGCGAATCAATGCAGGGTTTCAATAGGTAGTATTTTGTTTTTTCAAATCCTCAATGTTCTATATTTTCATTTACTCCGTGCCAGGCAGCAATTCATGTCAGCTGCGAAAACTTGCCGCACAAAAACCGTCCGAGTAAGCAGTACAATGTGTCACCCAATTGACTTTACTTGCAGAGCTATCCTTAGAAACAGTGCATCCAAGGTTCACCATTGCTCCGCCCCAGCCAACCTCTCGCTCTCGGTTACTCCTTGATGAGCGAAAGGAAAAGGGATTGCGTACGGATTTCGACACAGTTACAACATCTGGTTACCTAAGGTACCTTTGAATCTCGAGGTCAGCTGCTTGGTATAGCATTTCACTAGTGCAAGCCCTGTTGCCATCCATCCCAACACCCAATCTGATCGGGGATCGTTATAACTCAGGTAACTTGAGCCGAGACAGGTGTGCAGTTGTCTGAGTTTCCCTTTTGCCTTCCTCTCATGCTGTGTTCACTGGGTGGGTTGCGTGGTGTTGTTCCAGCGGCTTGGTCGGAGGTTATTTATCGGATAACTCGCATTATTCATAGAATCAAGGATCTGACGTAGCTTATCCAATCGACAGACCGCACTATATCATATTAGACCAGAGTCGAGGTCTGTTGATCGTAGCTGGTGGAAGTTTGTCTTAGGTTGCTTGACATCATTCGGCGGGGGACTCTCCACTAGGATATAGACGTCTGCCACTGACTGACCTTCCCTTTGTCTCTCTTCCCCTCTTGTCCGTAGTACAATCCCCAGAAAATCACAACCGCTACTGCGCCCCAAATCAATAGCTTGTGCGAACATCTGACCAGTTAGTTCTTGCCTCGGATATTATGTTGATGATGCCTAACCATACGACCTGCCAAGAGGTTTGATTCAAACCACCAGGGCGAGGTGATTCCAGAACATCCTCATGACTGTTGTGGCAGGTCCTTGGCTGTCTCCAGTGTAATCTAGAATGTGAAGATCTCTATTGCTGACAATTTTCAGAATAGGGAAGTGTGCCTTGTCGACACTCCTTGGTTCGGCCAGTGAAAGAGTCAACGATGATTCGGCCAACCGTTGCCTGTCTCTTCGTGGTCCGAGGACGTGTCTGTTCCGAAATGTACCCCTCTTTTCATAGACCCATAGAAAGAAGCTTGGACTGCCACTCAGAGGATATCCGGCTGACTGGGATGATGGATCCATGCCTTGAAGCTTCTTGTTTGTGATGACTTGGAAAGCTCGGTCCCATGCCTGTTGACCTTCGCTCTCTCTCTTTGTAACGAGTGTCTTGGTCCCACCAGAGCATGCACTGCTCTGTGCACTGGCCAGCATGGTAGTTCCTTGAGGCAATGATTGTGGAACCTATCCACTCACTATTGTCGATGACTCGATAATACTCGCGCAGATTCTTTTGTTATGACGTTGACCACTAGGACGCCTTGAGATTCGAGACATGCATTCCACGGCGTGATGTATCCGGGTCGCCCAGATGGCTGCATTGACTTACCTGCGCGGGGAATATTGGCCCACCTCTGTTTGCTATGGAGCTCGTTTCTATGAGAACCGAGAAAAGTTCTAGGTCTTCGTGTTTCTATATTCAGCAATGGTATAGAAAACGATTCTGACGTCTTGTGTACCCCACCTGGTTGATATAAATACGGTGCACCGTTCTCTGGATTGAGCAGTTCTACCGAATCGCAGGAAAAAACCATATCAAGTACAAAGGTTTCAAGGGGTTTGGGATTTCCTGTCTTTCACCAGACACAAGCACACTCGCTTTCTCGTCACCATCATTCGCTTCTCTGATCATTCTTATCATGAAGACTTTCGTCACCGTTGCAGCTTTGGCTGCTGGTGCTAACGCACTGGTCAGCAGAGGAGATAGCTGCTGTTTCCACCTGACCGCATCTGGCGGCGCGTCAGGCACTGTTGGTCAGCTTAGTGACGGACAGAACCGCATTGGCGGTGGCCTTTCTGCTGCAGAGTACTGCATCAGTGATGGCAAAATAACCGATAGCAGTGGCCGCGGTTGCATCCTGACTCGTGAGTGCTCTTCTTGAGGCTTTGAATCTATACCAGGCTCACTGCTGACTGGGGTTTCCTTGTAGCCCCGACTACTCAGTTCCAGTGTGATGAGGGAGCTTCCCCTACCACGGGTTTCTCAATCAGCTCAGAAGGAGAGCTCGAGTATAATGGTAGTACTAAGTTTATCGCCTGCGAAACCGGAGATGACAATGAGCGCAACATCTACACCACTGACAGCTCCGCTCTCTCGAGCTGTGTTGATATCACCCTGAGTGCGGACTCTTGCTCTACGTGTGCTTCGAAGACCACGGTCGAGACCGCTACGGTTACTGTCACTGTCACTATGAGTGCAGAGTGCACAACCTCAGCTGCTCCTCCCCCGGAGACCACCAGCGTCAAGACCACTACTGCTTCAGCTACAAAGCCTACGACGACTTCTACACTCAGTACAACTGAGGCGCCGCCTCCTGAGACCACTACGACATCTGTTGCGCCTACTACAGCGAAGACTACCACAGCGAAGACTACCACGGTGGAGACTACCACCAGCTCTCCCAAAACGTCCACTACCTCGTCCGCATCGGCTAGCTGCCCGACTGATCTGAGTGGCACCTGGGAGTTCCCTCACCTAATCATCCCTATTGATTCGGCCAAGCCCAAAGATGCTGCCGGTACCTCGTACTATGGTACAGTGTCTTCGACCGTTTCTTCGCTCTTCAACTTTGATATTCCATCCTCGGACTCCGGCAAGACCTGCTCTCTCATTTTCCTCTTCCCCGAGCAGGCGGATCTTGAGACCTCATCCTACACCTTTAGCGGCAACGGCGAGATCAACTTTGGTCTTTTGGAGTCTCCTGCCACCAGCTCCACCGACTACGACAACGCCCCTGCCATCAAGACTGACTACGGTGTTTTCACCGTGGCGCCTGGCAACTCTTATCTGATCGCTACCTTCTCGTGCCCCGCTGGCGAGACAGTCGGCTACGAGCTGAAGAATGCTGGTACCACAGACCTGAACTACTTCCAGGATTACAACCCGTCTCCGTAAGTATTCAAACCGCGAAAAAAAAAAAAATTTTTTTCAAGAAACAATAGTAGCTAACAGCACATGCAGTATCGGCTTGTACATTACTGTCTGCTAAATATAGGGACAGATCGATGATTCGTGGACTGGGCAGTACAGTGTCTTTCAGTTGTATACGCTGACTGGAATGAAACTCCCACTATTGAATCTTTTATGATATTAATAATAACGGTTCTTCTCTTCTGTGCCAGTCAAGTTTGGCCAATAGGTGAAGGATGCAATGAATATGAATACTTATGTCTTCTGCTTATATACTTCATGCTTACACTCCTTGAATATGATTGTTGTAATGAAATTTGAAACAAAACATCCCACGAGGTCTTTTATTTATATTCCCTTGTACAACTGTCGAATGCCAATCAGATAAAGGTTCAGAAACTGTGGTGCCTAAATAGTCAATAAAACGGCCGCTTACATCATCCACCAGCGTACCTCCTCCATCTTTCAACAGTACCAGAAGGTAATCCTCACAACATGGATCGCCTTCCCTCCAAATTGCCCTTTTCCAAGCGAAGACTTCGGCCTCGCGTTGTAATCTCGTGAGCGATTCGCCTTTGCCCGCAATATTCCCCGTTTCTAATATATATTCTGCTGCAGATACCTTGCGGACTACATAATCCTAATGTGCGTTACTCATCCTTCTCGCTCTTCATGGGATCCTGCTTTTGTATATTTAGCTACATATATACACCGTTTATGGCGCTGATCAGGACCCTAGTGGCTGTATCGTTGGATTCTGGATCCTTGACAGCGTCGAACCTTTCCATCAACACTTTTCCCTGCGCAATATTTCTCTCCAATACCCGTATGCAGTCCACGAGCGGGTCCCCATCTTTCTGGCCCTGTGCATCTCCGGCGCCGCTCCCATAGCCATCATCACCGTCTATACCCTTTTGATTGATGGCTTATTCTCGCACCACAAGCCACAGGACCCGGTTTCCCGGAAGCGGAAGCTGACGGGACCCTACCGGTGGAAAGATAGACTGTGGGAGTTGAACTGCGGCGTGTTAGGCCTGTTACTATCCCAGGCTCTCGCGTTCATCATCACCCAAGTGTTGAAGAATGCCTGTGGGAAACCCAGACCGGACTTTATCGATCGTTGTCAGCCGTTGACCGGAAGCGAGGATCAAATGCCTTATGGCTTGTCCAATTCTACCATCTGCAAACAGACCGACCAAGCGATTATGAAGGATGGGTTTCGTTCATGGCCGTCCGGTATGATTCCGACTTCGGCAAGCTCTTTTTTTCTTTTCTTGTCTTCCAAGTCGACTAACATTCTGCTTAGGCCACAGCAGCTGTAAGCTCGGCATTTTACAATTCCGAATCTACCAGCCTCATTAACGATGTATAGCTTCATTCGCCGGATTGTTCTACCTGTCGCTGTGGCTCACCGGCAAGTTCCATGTGATGGACAAGCGAGGGGAGACCTGGAAGACATTGGTCGTCACAATCCCCATTTTAGCAGCCACGCTGATAGCGGTGACACGCATTATGGACGCAAGGCATCATCCGTTTGACGTCATATCTGGCTCTCTCCTTGGAATTGCATGCGCCTGCATGTCCTATCGCCAGTACTTCCCGCCCGTCACGGAGGCCTGGAAAAAGGGCCGGGCGTATCCGATCCGGAGCTGGGCCACCGAGCCATTACCGCCCGCTGCTGCCCGCTATAACGAGTACAATGAGAGCACTGTTGCCCTGCACAATACCGAGGACGAGCATATCAATACTCCTGATGGTGTCCAAGGAAGTAGAGTGCCAGAGGAAGGTGTGCCATCGCAATTGGGCCTTTTCCACAGTCCTCCTTTACTGCACCCTTCAGAAGAAGAAACCCCCTTCTCATCTTCGAACGCATATAACCGTCGACTTCGTGGAGACGATGATCATTGGTCCTCCTCTAGTGAGGATGTCGTGGATGATTTCGAGATGCATCACAGGTACACCGCGACTCAAAATCCCGGAGCCGCCTCTGAATTACCACAGTATGAAGATACGACCTACCCGGCCCAGCCTCAGTCTCTACCGGGGCGATCTTTGACCACCCCTTCCGCCAACCAGCCTTGAAAGTTCATTAATGCTTTGCTAGTGACGGTGGAATTTTTACCATAGATGAAAGCGAATCCTTTGCCCTGCTCATTTGGATAGATCTCAAGATTAGCCACACGGGTTATGACAGCAACAATCATCTTTATTCTTATTTTATTTTATTTCATTTTCATTTTTTTTTATCGAACGATTTCTAGAACATTGAAATCCATGCCTAAGGCATCAATATCCAGGGTCCCTTGTTTACTCCATGGAGTAGATGCAAAAGCAGCATATTACTACACACGTCTCCAAGACCCTGCATATCATTCACTTTTCTTTTTCTATCTGAAAGAAACAGCCTATCATTAATTACGGAGTCCCTCCAGATTATCACTTGCGCACATGGCAAGTGACGTACATCGAATCATTCCCATCAGCTGGTGATAGACAAATGGTTTCCCAGCCACCCCGCAAGGACCGACTCGCCCAGCCTCCTCCCATTTTCGCATTGCATCGCATTCAAGGGCCTGCAGCGACGTCCACTTTTTTTTTCGTTTTCCCCTTGCCCTTAAACCTGGCCCCTTGATTCTTTTTTTGCTTCTCCTACTCTTCCCTCTTATTACTACGTGCGTCTGTGGATTCTTGCTCTGGCCTCCCTCGTGCGCTGCCTGGGGCCGCAACATTTACCCGATAATTACTACTCCGTCACTTGCTTGCGTGGACTGCAGAAATCATCTGAAAAGAATCGCGAAATAATCTAGCCTGACCACGTGGCGGTACATTCTCTACGATAGAACGTCGACTGTTTGTTTGGGATCAAAGTATACCGACACCAATAACTCGGACGATACTATTTCAAAGGTCAACCGCTCGAGCAGCAGAATACACGAACAACCGTCAAGATGCTCGGCAGCTTGTTCTTTATCTTCAACCGGATCGTGGAGATCGTCTTCTTGATCCCAATCATTGGAATGCTGGTATGTAGATCGCTGCGCAAGCTTTCTGTCAGATAACTATAAACTAGTGACTAGGAATGCTGACTGTGAGCGATAATGAAATAGGCCTATTTTGTCAATGGATATCTCAAAGCAAACGAGCTGACACCGGCGTTCATCCTTGTTCTCTTCATCGTCAGTGTGGTCGCCGCCTTCTGGGCGCTGGACACCCTCATCCGGCTGTCGACAACGAAGCGGTCCGCGATCTTTGTCGCCTTCGTCGACCTGTTGTTCTTCGGCGCGTTCGTTGCGGGCGTTTGGCAGCTGCGTTTCATCGCCCACTCCGACTGCACACACTGGGATGGCGGCTCGGTGTACATCTCGCTGGGGCCGTTCGGGTACTACGGGTCCGAGAAGGGCTACACGCTGCATATCAACAAGACATGCGCCATGCTCAAGTCCTCCTTCGCCATGGGGATCATGGAGGCCGTGTTCTTCCTCTGGACCGCGCTGATCGCCCTCTTCCTCCACCGCAACCGCGAGGTCGTCACCAAGGAGACTGTCGTACGTCGGAGAAGCCACAGCAGCAGACGCGGCCACTCCTCTTCTCAGCGTCATCGTAGTTCCAGCCGCCGGCGGGCCGATTACGTTTAACGGCTCCATTGTGTCAATGGCTTCTCTTTACGATGTGTTTCTTTTTTTTTCTCTTTGATTTTATTTTGTCATTCCTTTGTCATGATGTTTACGAATGATGCGATATGAACATATCTGCGAGGATCTATGGTCAAAACGCATGAACTGATGAGCAGTCGAGATTTTTGCAAGGTTGGGATTCGATGATCTTATGATTTGTACGATTTTTTCGCGGCTTGATGGCTGATAATGAATGATGTTTTTTCTTGGTAATACGAATTACTAGCAGTTATAAGAAAGTGTGTTGCCTTTTAGTAGTAGAAACTAGTAGTACTAGTAACTAGTAGTAGTATTCATACCCTTTCAGTGTGCTTTTTATGGCTGCTATGCTAAGGGAGCTATGCTCCGCAGAGCCAGAATCCTATATAGGCTTATATATATTATATATATTTAACACCGCGCCAGGCCGGGCCTGATTCCCTAAAGTAAGAAGTAGAGCCTAATTAATAAAGGAAATGTATATAATAAGAGGATCTTTAGCTCCTTTGATTATATATTACTTAGCCCCTCTTAGGGGCCTACCTTTAGATTAATACTATAGGGTCTCCCCCATAGCCTTTATCTTAACCTATGGTCTATAGTATATCTTAAGTAGTTATATGCTTCCCTAGTATGTTATTAGGCGGCCTGGAGTGCTGTCCAGGGCTGCCATCTATGCTCTCTCCCAGTCTATGGTTGCCCTGGTAGGTTTGTGGCTAGGGTGGGCTCCTAGGAAGTTCTGTTCCTTAGTCTAGATGCAGCCTTCGCCAATTTGTCTGCCTTTTCGTTCCCTGGGATCCAGTGCAGTGTGACCTCTCCCCTTTGTTGCCTTATACTCCGTACAGTCCTCATTGTTATCCAGTGTGAGTCTGTATAACCACTCCCTGGCGGAGGTTCCCGATACTGCCAGACTGATAAGGAGGCGACATGGAGAGCTTTCTCTCTGTCTTGAAGGACGGAGGGCGAATAGAAGACAATAAATACATAGACACATCAATAGACAGCCTGTTGACTTTATTAAAACCAGCCTCTCTGTATAAGATGCAACGTATTGGCGGACTACTGTTCACATCGAAGTGAAAGTCGCTGCGGGAAGTGCCTGAGCTTTGTCCTTGCTGTCGGGGAGCTCCGAAGAGGATCCTATAAGCAGGGAAATTCCTCGAAGAATGCAGCTGTCCTTTCCACTGCAGGTATCTGCTCCTCCATTTCTCTTATTCTCCATTTGGATTCTGACTCATGACCTTTTTTTCCATCTTCAGTTCTTTTAAAGGTACGCTTAGCCTTCATATAAGCTTCCCCGCAAGCTCTCATAGAGAGCTCTTATCGATAAGACTCCTTCCTGGTTATCTTCAAGTTTATCGTTTGGGACGTTGAACGTTCGCCACTACAAAAGGCACCACCTTCCCTGCCGGTAATGTGCTTTGAATTCTCAGGAACCATCGAAAGTTGACAGGCCAGAATCCTGTTTGCCGGATGCAATCCCCTTGTCTTCGACATGATGTTGGAGGGGCCTGAGAGAGACTCTATCACCCCGGGGTATTGCAAGGGATATTCGCAGGATGTGGACGTCATCCGGGCACGCGAGTACCCGTTGCTCAACGGTGAGTAAACCACTTTATATACAGACATGTGTTTGTGTGTTCAAAATGCTGATATACCGGTGTATAGATATCACCTACCTCGACCATGCCGGTACCACCCCCTACGCCAAATCCCTGGTCGAGAAATTCGCCCAGGAGCTGACGACAAACCTGTTTGGAAACCCACACTCGATGTCTGCGTCATCACAGCTATCTACTCGTCGTATCGATGATGTGCGTCTGCGCACCCTACGTTTCTTCAACGCCAGTCCGGACGAGTTCGACCTGGTCTTTGTGGCGAATACCACCGCCGCCGTCAAGCTGGTGGCAGAGACGTTACGGGATGTGGATGAATCTTCAGGTTTCTGGTATGGATACCATGTAGACAGCCATACCAGCCTGGTGGGTCTTCGTGAACTTGCCAAAGCAGGGAGTCGGTGCTTTCTCACCGACGGAGAGGTCGACGCATGGACGGCGGGTTCGGGATCCGGCGATCATCACACAAGACTGTTCTCGTACCCGGCGCAGTCGAATATGAACGGAAGGCGATTACCTCTTCGATGGTGTGAGGCGCTGCGGAGATCAAATGTATTGACCCTGCTCGACGTGGCTTCGCTGGTGTCTACGTCGCCCCTAGATCTAAGTAACGCATCCGCCGCGCCCGATTTCACGGCCCTCAGCTTCTACAAGATATTTGGGTTCCCGGATCTGGGAGCATTGATTGTCCGCAAGAGTACTACAGCACATTTGTTTCAGCGACGGAGGTATTTTGGCGGAGGAACGGTTGATATGGTGCTCACGGCAGGATCGCAGTGGCATGCGAAGAAGGACTCTTCGATCCATGACCTCCTCGAAGACGGGACATTACCATTCCACAACATCATTGCTCTTGATTTCGCCATGGAAACCCATCAACGCTTGTACGGATCGATGTCCAATGTCTCGGCTCACACGCGCTTTCTGGCAATGTGGTTGCACGATCGTCTCTCGGACCTGACCCATGCCAATGGCGTCAAGGCTTGTGAAATCTATAAGTCAGTAGACTCGGATTTTATGGATACAACTACCCAGGGCGCCATCATCGCGTTTAATCTGCGTTCTAGTCGCAACCGATGGGTGGGAAAGTCAGACGTCGAGAAACTGGCGGCTGTCCGGAACATTCAAATTCGATCAGGCTCGCTCTGTAACCCGGGAGGAACGGCGCTGAGTCTTGGCTGGTCTTCATCTGAGCTGCGACGAAACTACTCCCTCGGTCTGCGCTGCGGGGACGAACACGACGTGATGGGAGGGCGGCCAACGGGGGCGCTTCGAGTCAGCCTGGGCGCCATGTCAAACATGAAAGACGTTGATACTTTGGTAGGCTTTATTGAGGAGTTTTACGTGGACAGTTCAACAAGGCCCATTATTCCTATCACACCGTTGTTGAACAGAGGAGACTCAACGGATCGGTCACGATTCTACGTGGAGAGCCTATGTGTGTATCCCATCAAGAGCTGTGGCGCGTTCAGGGTCCCCGACGGCATGCGCTGGGAGATCAAAAGGGAAGGGCTCGCATGTGACCGAGAATGGTGTCTCATCCACCAGGGAACTGGAATGGTTCTCAGCCAGAAAAAATACCCACGCATGGCTCTCATCCATCCTTTCCTAGACCTCGACCGTGGAGTGCTCCGGATCACCACATGTGGAGGAATGGCGTCCAGCGAGCAAAAGAAGAGCATTGAGGTGTCCTTGTCCCGCGAGGCATCGAACATGGTGCCCACCCCCCTCTGCCAGAAGTCTACCAAGAAATCTTCCATCGTGTGTGGCGATCAAGTCACCGTCCAGACCTACGTCTCACCGGCCGTCTCGGCCTTTTTCACCGATTTTCTCGGAGTGCCCTGTACCCTTGCACGATTCCCTCCGCAGTCCTATGCTCCTCGGTATGCGCAGTCCTGGAGGGAACACATCACCACCACCGACACCCCCTACAGCAATCAAGCCATGCCAGGGGCATTCCCCCAAGACCCGTTATTTCCATCCGCTACACGTGTGGAAAAAAGGAATCCACTCCTCCTGGCCAACGAAAGCCCGATCCTACTCATCTCGCGATCGTCCGTGAACCGACTCAACGAGACCATCAAAGCAACCACTACCACTACCACCACCACTACCGAACACAATTCCAGCCGCCTGGGGAAGACCGTCGCCGCAGACGTCTTTCGTGGCAACATCGTCGTGGCCGAAAGCCTGTCTCACGCAGGGGATACCGAGCAGCCATACATTGAAGATCTGTGGTCAGGGGTCCGGCTCGGGGCGCACGGGCTGCATCTGGACATCCTGGGTTCCTGCCAGCGGTGCCAGATGGTCTGCGTCGACCAATTTTCCGGCGTGCGGCGAGACGAGCCCTTCTCGACGCTGGCCAAGACGCGAAAATCAGACGGCAAGGTCCTCTTCGGGCGTCATGCGGCACTTTCTTCCTGGGAGTTTCACCACGACGACGACAATGAGACTGGGAGTAATCTTATTGTCGATTCAAGGACCGTCATGGTCGGAGATATAGTGGTTCCGTCCTATCTAAACGATGAATGATGTGTGTATTATTTATATTGGATATTACATTATAAAAAGGAAGACATAATAAGGGCGAAATAGTTTCATGTATATAAATGAGAGAAGCGTACACATCAGATTTATACTTACAGAAGCTGTAGAAAGATATATAATGAAATTGTCCATTGTACTGTACATAAAACTCCGGCCACCCATGACAATCGATGCAATTATACAACATGGAACTGTAGCGTCCAAGACGAGTCGAGCAAGGCAAAGAAGTTCTTTTTTTCTTCCGGGAATCGAAAAAAAATCGACAAACACGCCATCACACCGCACTGCACTATTTGGGCCACTTCTTCCATCCGCGTCCATGACCTCTCTGTAAACGAAAACTGTAAGTACGTGTAGAGCTATAAAAAAGAGTATCATAAGGGTATTGTAAAGTAAAGCTTACCTCCTTCCACGACCGGATCATCTCCGGCATCTCGAGCATCGCCTTGCGTCTGGCCTCCAGGCGAGACTCCATGGTACGCTCCCACTCGTGACCCTTGACCTTCTGTCCGATACCGGTGCCCTTGACTTGTAAGCCGCGCTCCTCGCGCCGAGCGACCTTGTATTCCGTCGACTTGGGCCCGGGCGGCAACAGGGCCTCCACGTCGTATTTGATCGCCAGCTTGACCAGATCCGCCTGTCTACGCAGGCCGATCGGTGGACTGCTCCATTTCCCGGTCCGAAAGTTCTTGCGTGGCAGGAAGGGGTTCGGGTGTTTCGGGTCGGAGTAGAGCAGCGATTTGGAGTGGGAGAATGCCGCGTAGTCCGGTCGCTTGTATCCCTTGGCTTCCCGGTCGGGCGTGTACGGCGATGGCAGGGTGCTGCTGCCGCTACCACTGCTGCTGTCTACTGCTCCATCTGCTTCAGTGCTGGCTGAGGTGGCAGCAGCAGGACGGGGGGCCACGGCCGCCGAGTAGATCTGCGGCGGATAGCGGGCGAAGAAGTTGCGGAGACGCGCAGGGAGGCTGTTCGCCAGGCCCTGGGTGGCTGACATGACGATGGCTTATTCTCACCGGCGATGCAAGAAACCCGCAACAGACGGGGGAAGGGCGTTGGTATGGACGGTTTGGATGGACGTTGTTTGGCTGCCGTGAGAAATTCCGGGAAGAGAATCATGGCCGAAAATGGACAAGGCCACGCTAGGCCGGTTCGGGTAGCCCGGCAAAATGCGATAAACCGCCTAAACTTGCGCTCTCACCGTGGCTGGGAAAGGATCACCTCAACCAACCCTTTCTGTGTGAGAAGGTCATCGAAACAACAGCACGAGGAGAAGTTAATCTTTGATTATTATTCTTAGTGCCTGCTGACGCTGAAGACTGCTGTCCGCGATGGCTGATTATAACTACGGTGGCTCGGAGGAGGAGAACGCGGAGTTGAGGAAGCTCGAGGTCGAGCTGGTACGTTTGGCTGTGTCCAGCTTCTTGTCGAGACGGACAATTCTCTAACAGATTGGCGCTTGCAGGAGGATGACCCGGATAACTTTGAGACCTGGGAGAAGCTGGTGCGCGGCGCCGAGGCGCTGGAGGGGGGAATCAACCGCAACTCCAACCCGCAGGCCATCACGACGGTCAGGCACGCGTACGATCGCTTCCTTGCCAAGTTTCCGCTGCTGTTTGGATACTGGAAGAAATATGCAGATCTCGAGTTCTCCATCACGGGAACGGAAGCGGCAGAAATGGTGAGATAGATGGACTTGTTTCCAGTCCTTGCGATGGATAGCCAGAGCTGACCAAGCACCCTGTTGGTTTAGATTTATGAGCGAGGCGTCGCGAGTATTTCACCTTCGGTCGACCTGTGGACAAACTACTGCTCCTTCAAGGCGGAAACATCCCATGATGCTGACATTATCAGAGAGTAAGTAGATCAAAATCTGGCTTTCTTCCCTTCCCTGTAACCGTCATCAACACAGCGCGGACGCTTTCCTAGTGCTAGATAACGCATAATTCAACCCTGCAAGCACAAGAAGAAAAAAGGCGGGGAAAAAGGAGTCATGGACAGCAATACCCTCAACGATGGGTGAGATTGTTCGCCTCGGGCACCCTGACTCACTGGAATTTACTTCTCACCAATGGCTTCTTCAGGCTGTTCCTTTTCCCTTGAAATGACTTGAAAGCACCATCTTCCTTACTTATGGATAACCTACACCACATTCTGTTCGCAAGGATACCTGCTATTTTACGCACGATCTAAACCACAACCTCCATGATTGAACACCCTAGTTGTTGGCTTGTTTGGATGCACTTATCAAAAACAATGAGTTCATCCTCATGTTTACTATCCCTGTTATCCCATTCTCTCTTCTCCCGCGACAATCCCCTGCAATGTCTTGTTCTTGGATGATCTAATATACTGACGCTGATTCGTACAGGCTTTTTGAACGTGGCGCAAACAGCGTGGGGCTCGATTTCCTCGCCCATCCGTTCTGGGATAAGTATATCGAATTTGAAGAGCGCCTGGAGGCGACAGACAAGATCTTCGCAATCCTTGGCCGCATCATCCACATTCCTTTGCATCAGTACGCCCGCTACTTTGAGAGATACCGCCAGCTCGCCCAGACACGCCCGGTGAGCGAGCTTGCCTCTTCGGAGATCTTGTCGCAGTTCCGTACGGAGCTCGAGGCTGCCTCTTCGCACGTTCCTCCGGGCGCAAAGGCCGAAGCTGAGATCGAGAGAGATCTCCGTCTGCGCCTGGACAGCTATCACTTGGAAATCTTCTCAAAGACACAGACAGAAACCACAAAACGCTGGACCTACGAGTCTGAAATCAAGAGACCCTATTTCCATGTGACGGAGCTGGATGAGAGTCAGTTGGCCAACTGGCGCAGGTACCTCGACTTTGAGGAGGCCGAAGACTCGTACTCGCGCGTCCAGTTCCTGTATGAGAGGTGTCTGGTGACCTGCGCCCACTACGAAGAATTCTGGCTGCGTTATGCCAGATGGATGAGCGCTCAGACTGGAAAAGAAGAGGAGGTCCGAAACATTTACCAGCGCGCAAGCTGTTTGTACGTGCCCGTTGCCAACCCGACAACACGCCTGCACTATGCGTATTTCGAGGAGTTGTCGGGCCGCATCGATATTGCCAAGGATATCCATGCAGCCATCCTCTTCGCCCTGCCGAACAGCGTGGAGACGATCACTTCTCTGGCCAACCTATCGCGCCGACATGGCGGTCTTGACGCTGCCATTGAGGTATACAAGAGCCAGCTGGACTCGCCCCAGTGCGATCTGGCCACCAAGGCGGCCCTTGTCGCGGAGTGGGCTCGACTACTGTGGAAAATCAAGGGCTCGCCCGAAGACGCTCGGAATGTCTTCCAGGAGAATCAGCAGTATTACCTCGACAGCCGTCCATTCTGGTCGAACTACCTTACCTTTGAACTGGAACAACCGACCAGCTCTGCTTCGGAATCCGTCCAGTACGAGCGTATCAAATCAGTCGTTGCTGAAATCCGCACAAAGAGCGCCCTCCCATTACAAACGGTCAAGGAGCTGGTCCAGCTCTATATGGTTTACCTTCTCGAGCGGGGTACGAAGGACGCGGCCAAGGAATATCTCACGCTCGACCGAGAAGTCCACGGGCCTGCCTCGGTGGCTGCCACCAAACCTGTCGTCCCGGATGAGACCACCCAGAACGGCACCGAGTCAGCACATGCTACCGTTCCTCCTTCCGGGACTCCGGCCGCGGCTCCTGTGAATGCCGCCGCTGACCAGGGCAACTCCTATGCATACTATCAACAAGCTCCTGTTGACGGTGGGGTGAGTTGGCATATCCTATTCCCAAATGAATGATTCGCGCGTTCTTTCGAGGCTAACCTTGCGTTTTCGTGACCAGGCCCCTTCCCAACCGGCACATTACTAATGAGTCAGTCTTCCCTATCGGCCTCGCGCCCCAAAGAAGACTTATGTAGAACCATTATTCCCCCGGCCTTTGACCATTCCCCTGTTTTATTTAGCGTTTTCGGGCTTGACGAAGGGAGGTGAGTGGTCCCACAAACAAGCAAGCTTCTTTCTTTTTCTTAAAAAACCGCCTTCCAAATGAAAAACGTTGGTTCGAGGACCTCTGGGCTTTGTTTGATGCGGTTCTGTATTCTAAAGAGCCTAGTAATCTGATAGCTTACTCTGAATTCCACGTTTCACCTTGCTCATTCTGCAACCGGGTTTTATCTGTCGTATAATCCGATGCCAGCCATTACCATAATTCACTGGTATAACTACCTAATCGTCTGGCTAGGCATGAGGCTGGGCAGTGAGTAAAATACTGGCGGTCTACCCGTATCGATGGTAGATCACGTGATCACATGACCGGTCTTTGCGGTCCGCCGTAGAAATTTGAGACCGAGAGGCGTGACGTTTGTTCTTGGCCGCATCAAACCACCATCCACGAGCGTGTCGCTGTGATCTCGCAGATGCACGACGTCGCTATGAACGGTATAGGCGAGATTGCTCCGCCCGGTCCCCCCCCGGATCCCATCGAACGCCCTCCCACGCCTCCACCGCCTCCTGAGGAGTCCGTCGCCCCTCCGCCGCCCCCAGAAGTGTCGGCGCCGCCTCCTCCGCCAGAAGACCTGCTCCCTCCCCCGCCGCCTGAGAAGAAGACGAAGAAAGGATGGGGGGCCCAGCGGCCAGCTGCGACGCCGCTGAGTGTGGAGGAGCTGCTGCGGAAGAAACGTGAGGCGGATGCAGCTGCTGCGAAGGTATGATTGTAGTTATACTACTATGCCCCAATCGTTATCAAAAAGCACTACTGAGATCTTCGCAAATATAGCCGAAATTTCTTTCCAGAGCTGAACGAGAACGTCTTGCATTAGAGAAGCGCGCGAAAGAAGTGGACGTCGATCGACGATCCAGAAATGGAGGTCTACTGAGCGAGGGGGTTCGGGGCGGCAGACAGTCGCCGTCGGTAAGATCCGAGACCACGCCCAACGGTGACGGTCGGTACATTCCGACAGGACCTCGGGCAATGCGAAATGGCGATGCGCCTACGGGCCCGGCTGCTATGCGAGGCTCGCAGCCAAATAAGAACTACGACATGTCACCTCCGGCGCCACCCAAGCCCATTGCATTCGGAGCCAATGACTCGAAAGGCGGGAAGGCGCGGCTTACAGAGGAGGAAGAGGCAACTGCACAAGCTGCGCTGGTCAAACAGCGGTACATGGGGTCGGAGCAGACGTCGAGTTTCTCCGCGAAGAAGAAGCGGAAGAGGACGACGGATCGCAAGTTCAACTTTGAGTGGAATGCCGAAGAAGACACCAGCGGAGACCATAATCCACTTTATCAGCATCGGCATGAAGCCAACTTTTTCGGTCGAGGGCGTCTTGCGGGTTTCGGAGAAGACATTGCGGACGACATGGCTAAGAAGTATGCCCGAGCGCTGGAGGACCGGGACCGCGAGGCAGGCAGTGTACGTGCCCGGGAGATCCTGGAAATGGAGAGGCGACGCCGGGAAGAGAGTTCGCGCAACCAGCTCGACAAACACTGGAGCGAGAAGAAGCTCGAACACATGCGCGAAAGAGATTGGCGTATCTTCAAGGAAGACTTCAACATCAGCACAAGAGGTGGAAGTTTGCCGAACCCGATGCGGTCCTGGCAAGAGTCCAGCCTTCCCAAACGGCTGCTCGAGCTTATCGATCGCGTCGGGTACAAGGAGCCCTCACCGATCCAGCGGGCCTCTATCCCTATTGCCCTGCAGAACCGAGATCTTATCGGTGTGGCTGTTACAGGTTCAGGTAAGACTGCAGCGTTCCTGCTCCCGTTACTCGTCTACATCGCAGAGCTCCCGCGGTTGGATGAGTATGAGTGGAGGAAGAACGACGGTCCGTACGCGATCGTCCTTGCTCCAACGCGTGAATTGGCCCAGCAGATCGAGATCGAGGCCAAGAAGTTCACCCAGCCGCTGGGATTCAACGTGGTCAGTATTGTCGGTGGTCACTCGATCGAAGAGCAAGCGTACAGCCTACGGAACGGGGCGGAGATCATCATCGCCACTCCCGGACGACTGGTGGACTGTATTGAGCGACGCATCCTAGTGCTTAGCCAATGTTGCTACGTGATTATGGACGAAGCCGACCGCATGATTGACCTTGGGTTTGAGGAGCCCGTCAACAAGATCCTCGACGCGCTCCCCGTGTCAAACGAGAAGCCTGACAGCGAGGAAGCCGAGGACTCGCGCGCCATGAGCCAACACATCGGCCGGGAACGGTACCGCCAGACGATGATGTACACGGCGACCATGCCGACGGCCGTGGAGCGCATCGCACGCAAATATCTGCGCCGGCCCGCGATCGTGACGATCGGCAGCGCCGGCGAGGCCGTCGACACGGTCGAGCAGCGCGTGGAGCTCGTCGCAGGCGAAGACAAGCGCAAGAAGCGTCTGGCAGACATCCTGTCCTCGAACGAGTTCCGCCCGCCCATCATCGTCTTTGTCAACATCAAGCGCAACTGCGACGCCATCGCTCGCGAGATCAAGCAGATGGGCTTCTCCTCGGTCACCCTGCACGGCAGCAAGACGCAGGAGCAGCGTGAAGCCGCCCTGGCCTCGGTCCGCAACGGCTCCACGGACGTCCTCGTCGCCACTGACCTTGCGGGTCGTGGTATCGATGTCCCCGACGTCAGCCTCGTCATCAACTTCAACATGGCCACCACTATCGAGAGCTACACCCACCGTATCGGCCGTACCGGTCGTGCAGGAAAGAGTGGTGTCGCGATTACCTTCCTCGGCAACGAAGACGCAGACGTCATGTATGTTCCTTTTTTTTTTTTTCTTTTCATACTCCCAAATTTTTATCTTTTGAAATGTCTAATAAATACAGGTACGACCTCAAACAAATGCTCATCAAATCGCCCATCTCTCGCGTCCCTGAGGAACTGCGCAAACACGAGGCCGCGCAGTCCAAGCCGACGCGCGGGGGGGGCGGCAAGAAGATCGAGGACAGTTCTGGCTTTGGAGGGAAGGGGGGGTGGGCTTAACACTCGGTGCCTTACTATGTAAAGATAGCATTTATAAACAGATTCAACTAAACTCATCTATGTAAATGGTTTTGGTTACATCACTAAATCTACGTACATCAGTCAAGTAGAATGCTAGTGGCGATTTTATTTCTATCCTAATCCCATATGTACGAATTAATAAAACTACAGCTTCTCACGGAAACTGTTGGTTTTGAGCCAGTTCTCGACATCACCACCGTCACGTTCGATCCACGAGATCTTGGCGCGGATAGTATCGAGACTCTGCTCGACGGCACGGTCAAAGCCCTATAAAGTTGTCAGTATTTATAGTCCTTGAAAGAAAAGAGAGAGAGAGAAAATTACCTTGGTATCCTTTTCGGCAAAGAATGCCTCCACCTCCTTCAGCTGAGCCGGGGTGGAGAAGCTGGAGACGGTGATCTGGATGACGGTGCCGAGCATGCCGAGGGAGGGCGGGAGACGCTTGAAGATGGCGTCCCAGTTGGACTTGAGCCAGGTCCAGCGGGCGTCGACGCCGGCGGCGTGGCTGCGCAGGCCGCTGAGAGGCAGGTAGATGTCCTGGTTCTTGACCTCGTCGCTGCTGGCGAGGGCGAGGGTGCGTTGGATCAGGGCCGGGTCCTCGGCGGAGCCGAGGCAGCGAAGGGCGGTGGTCTTCTCGTCGGAGGTGGCGGCGTGACGGAAGCGGTCGAGCACGATGTCGTACTCCTTGGCGCCGCCGTTCTTGAGCACGATGCTGAAGACGCTGCCGCGGATGTTGGGGTGGATGGCGTCGAGGTCGCCGGCGGCGAAGCGGGCGAACATCTCCTGGGCGGCTTGGACGACGACGGGGTCGTTGGCCATGCCCGCGGCGCCGAACATGAGGGCCTTGAACTGCTGCAGGATGTGGTCGTCGTCGGCGGAGAAGTGCCAGCCGAGCTCGTGGGCCTTGGCGCTGACGAGGGAGCGCTGGAAGGCCTTGAGGGCGTCCCGGGTCTGGTGGTCCTCAAACAGCCAGGCGGCGCGCAGGTTGCCGAGACGCGTGAGGATCTCGTTCCAGACGACAAACTCGGACTCGCTGTCGAAGCTCTTGAGCAGGGAGAGCAGGCCCGAGGTGAGCTGGTAGCCCGAGGCGGCCAGGGCGCCCGAGTCGGCGATCATGCCCGCGCGGTCCTCGACGGTCAGCAGGCCGTTCTTGGCGGCCTGGCCGAGCTTGCTGAGCCGCTCGGGCGTGTAGGAGGTGCGGTAGATGCCGGAGTGGTCGGCGTTGAGCTTGAAGAAGTCCAGGTCGGCGACGGGGAACTCGGTCTCGCGCTCGGTCAGCATGGCGGTCTCGTCGACGCCTTGCTTGGTGCGCAGCGCCAGGGTGACCGGGTAGAGGGTGGTGTCCTCCTCCGGGCGGACGTCGCCCGTGCGCAGGAAGCGGTTCTGCTTGACGGTGATGCTGGAGGCGGCCGGGTTCTCGGAGACGGTGACGACGGGGAAGCCAACGTTCTTGGTCCAGATGTCCATGACCTGCTCGATGGGCTTGCCGCTGGCGTCGGCCAGGGCGGCCCACAGGTCGCCCGTCTGGGTGTTGCCGTAGGCGTGCTTGTGGATGTAGTTGCGGACGCCCTGGATGAAGACGTCCTCACCCATGTACTTGGAGATCATGCGCAGGACGGAGGAGCCCTTGGAGTAGGAGATGGCGTCGAAGATCTGGTTGATCTCGTCGGCGCGCTTGACGGGGACCTCGATCGGGTGGCTGCTGCGCAGGGAGTCGAGCGACAGGGCGCTCTGCAGGGTGTCGATGACGTAGGTCTGCCAGACCTTCCATTCCGGGTAGAAGGTGTTGCACGAGTACCAGGACATCCAGGTGGCGAAGCCCTCGTTCAGCCACAGGCCGTCCCAGAAGTCCATGGTGACCAGGTTGCCGAACCACTGGTGGGCGAGTTCGTGCTGGACGACCTCGGCGACGCGCTCCTTGCGCGAGGCGCCCGAGGCCTTTTCGTCGAGGAGCAAGTCGACGACGCGGTAGGTGATGAGGCCCCAGTTCTCCATGGCGCCCGCGCTGAAGTCCGGGATGGCGACCATGTCCATCTTGGGCAGGGGGAATTCGTTGTCAAAGGCCTTCTCGTAGAAGGCCAGGGTGCGGGCGGCCAGGTCGAGGGAGAAGCGGCCGTGCTCGATGTCCTGGTCCGGGGTGGCGTAGACGCGGATGGGGACGCGGAAGGCCTTGGTCTCGATGTAGTTGAGCTCGCCGACAATAAAGGCCAGCAGGTAGGTGGACATGAGCGGCGAGGTGTTGAAGGTGACGGCCTTTTTGGCGCCGCCCTGCACCTCCTTCTCGTGCGCGATATCCATGTTGCTCAGACAGGTCAGGTGCCGGTCCGCCACGAGGGTGACGGTGAACTTGGCCTTGAGGGCCGGCTCATCGAAGCAAGGGAACGAGCGGCGGGCGTCGGTGGGTTCCATCTGCGTGGTGGCCATGTACTTGGTCTCCCCCTTGGCGGTCTTGTACGACGAGCGGTAGAACCCAGCCATGTTGTCGTTCAGCTCGCCGGTGAAGGCCAGCTTCAGCTGGGCCTTCTTGCCCGCGACAATCGTCTCGCCAAACGTGACGGTGGCCACCTGGGCGTCCTTGTTCATCGTCACCTCCGGGTTGGCGGCCACGACCGCACCCTCCACCGAGACCACGGCGGAGTGAATCTGGAGCTCGTTGGCATTCAGCGAGATGGAATTGGTATCTTCGGCCACATCCAAACTAAAACCCCGTATTAGCCTCCATTATACAATCCATACCCTCATCCCATCACCATCATCACCATCATCACTATCATCACTATCATCACTATCAGGCGACTCACTCAATGATCACCGTGCCGTCATAGGTGAATTTAACCAGGTCCGGTTCCAGAGTCAAATCGTAATGCACGGGCTTGACGTTGGTCGGCAGCACCTCACGACCATGGGCGACATTAGTCGAGCCCAAGGACCCATCTCCGCGACGGGAGCTACACATTCTGCGGTAGGAGCAGTAGCGCTTTGCCGTCTGGGCGAGAGGGGAATAAACACGATGTGACGACGACGACGACGGCGTTCGACGAACAGACGGGGAGCTTCTGACCGACAAAGACGACGGAGAGGAAAGAGATCTCGTTGCAAGAACGGAGGATGAAGGCTGCGAACGAAGGGTAGGCTGAAGGAATCGACGACGCGGTGGTGAGAGAACCAGCGGCGTTCGCGAGGGAGGAGGAAATCGACGCATCGACAGGGAAGGGGGGAAACAAAGAGGCTATAAGGAAGAAGGAAACGCCGTGTTCCAAGCGCAGTGAGAGCGGGGGCGGGGAGGGGAGCCTGTTTGGTGTCTGACTCTGCAGCGGTCCAGGCAGTCAGTCTGTATTTTGGACGAGAAACACGGTCGGAGGGAACAATAGGGAAGGCGGTGCACCGTCGGCAGCCGTCGGAGATTGGCTGGCGGTGGAGGACAATGCGGATGGATTGGGTAGGCGGTGTGTTTCTGCGGGAATATCGGTCACCCACCTGATAGATTAATGGTCGGAGTCGGAGTCGGAGTCGGAGTAGGTTCGGAGTGGGGTCGGAGTTGAGTATCACCTAATATTACGCTAGTTGCGACTAATCTCAAGGAGGTTAGTGTATACTGCTGATCACGTCGATGACTAATCACTGCTTGTCTTTTTCTTTTTTTTCTTCTCTTTCCCCCCTCTCCGTGTTTTCTCCTTCTCTCCACGCAAGTCTCTCCCAGCATGTGTCAACGTCCCGTGGCAGATGGCTGGCCAGATTGTCCTCCGGGGCATCTCTGCGCTTGCAAAAAGGTGCTCCAGCAAGTTTGAGGGGTCCATGACATGCATCGTTTCGCGGTGCGTACTGGATGGGCTTCCATAGATGACTGGGACAGGTTTTAATTAACTACTACTCGACTCTGGATGGATAATGAATCATAGATCTCTGTCTAGGACAATTACTATAAATTATATTGATAAGACGCTTGTTGAATGTTCTTCGTCGCTATCGTTTCGTCGTATCTTCGTTATTGTTGAAATGAATGACACTGGATAAACCCCCCCCCCTCTTCTTTACTCCTCCTCTTCCTGGCTTGTGACCACCTGGTTGACAGGCATTCGGGTGAAGACACTCCGTGACCAGCCATCCGCGTCCACCACTGTTTCCTTGACCAGCACATATCCGCCGAGGCGAGGCAGAACGATCGTCCATACAATGTAGTAAATTCCCCCGACGGCAAACACCGCCAGCGCCACGACGCAGTGGAGGTAGTACGGCAGATCGTTGTACACGTTCTCGCCCGCGTCCGGCGGCACGTACGGCGCAATGACCAAGTACACGTTGGAGAGGAGGAAGAAGACGGTCACGGGCAGCGTCGCCCGGATGCCGGGCGCCCACAGGGGGAAATTCTTCTCGCGAGTAAGGTAGATGTAAACAAGGCCACCGGAGACGAAGACGTTCACGATGGAGAGAGGATAGGAGATGAGGCTGTCCTTATCAGTATCACATTCCATTAAAATAAAGAGAGAGAGGGAGAAGGCTTACTTGAGCAGGAAATTATAGGCATCACCCGGAGGAGGCGCCAGCATGACAATGATCGAGACAAGCCAATGTTCGGCGAGACCCGCCGCCGGGGAGTTGAATGGCCAGTTGCTGGCCCAGATCTTAGAAAAGGGTAGGACTCCCTCACGGCCCAATTCCTGAACGATGCGGCCCTGCGAGAAGAGGACAGACAGAACATTCCCAAACGCCGACAGCGCCACAAACACGGACATGACCTTCTCCGCACGCGTGCCAAACACGTTGCGGAAGAACGAGGCAGCCACAATCTGGCCCGAGGAGATGATGTCCTCCTTGGGCACGGCCGCAAAATAGGCAATGTTGACGAGCATGTAAAGGATACCCACGGAGATGATGGCGATGGGAGCAGCGATCTTCAAAGTGCGGACGGGGTTTCTGGTTTCGCTCAATGCCTGTTTGAAGAGTGAGAATTTGCTAAGGATAAAAAAAGAGGGGGGGGGGGAAACATACATAGTTGGCATTGGAGTAGCCAATAAAAGACCAGATGACATTGTACAAGGCTGTGACAATACCATATCCGGACCCCTTGGTGCCGGCAAAGGCATCGGTAAAGTTGTCCGGAGGGTCGACCTTGAGGTGGCCGGCCAGGGCCGCCCAGCCGGTGACGACGATGATGAGGATGATGATCAGCTTGATGGCGCCGAGCAGGTTCTGCAGGCGCAGGCCCCATTTCAAAGCGCACGAGTGGATGAGGAGAGCGACGGTGACGCAGGCGAGGCCAATGCCACGCTGGTTCCAGCGGTTGACCTCGACACCCGCCGCGTTGAGGATATACTCGCCGAAGATGACGCTGTTGCCGGCGGTCCAGCCGAGCAGGAAGGCGTACGCGGCAAACATGGCGGTGGCCAGGAACTTGGGCTTCCGGTACACGTACTCGAGGTAGTTCTTCTCGCCGCCGTTCTTGGGGATTGCGGTGCCCCATTCCAGATACACCGCGGTGCCCGCCATGGCGATCAGCGTGCCAACCACCCACATGAACAACGACAGGCCCACGCTGCCCGTCAGCGACAAGATGGTCGAGGGGGTCGAGAAGATGCCGGTGCCAATGACGCGGTTGAAGATCAGGAACGAGGCACTGACCACCCCGATCTGGCGGCGGTCCTCGGGTGATGCCTCAAAGACATTTCCTTCGTCTGTTCAGAGAGCAGGGACGTTAGCAGACTTGACCAAGACAGGTTCAAGTAGGAGACGACGTACACAATCCAGTGATCCCATCCGCCCGTTTCAACCCTTCCTCGACATTCTTAGTCGTGGGCTCCGCATACTTCGGCGGTGGTAACGCAGCTTCACCCATGATGACACTCGATGCTTCAACTAGACCACAGACGAGGAAACGAAAGGGATAAATGGCAACCACGTCAAGGATATCCAGCAGCTATGGCCAGACGGTAGAAGAACAGTCCAGTTCGAAGGAAGGCGTGGATGCGCTCCTTCTATAGTCAAGACCAAACCTCCCAATAGCCAAGTGCAACCAGTTCAACTTGGAAGATCGAAATCACTCCGGTACCTACCTACCTAGATAAAGGATCTAGATGGATGCAAAGAAGGAATACAAATTCAATCGAGCTGAGAAAGAAAACACCGCGACCCGAATAGCGATTGCGCCATCCCAGGACTCCCAGGAACCAGCAGCATTTTCCAAACGTAACGTAACGCAAATAGCCTCAGCATCAGAATTTCTCTCCTAATAATAATGGATCTTTTCCTGGTAGCGGTTTTGGCTTTTGTTAGGGCAGATCTCTTGCTCCACTGGGTTGGCTGGATCCAAAGCTTTTTTTTTTTTTTTTTTCTTTTTTTTTTTCTCCTTGGAACCGTCGGCGAATAAATGGTTAAGCTCATTCACACAATAGAGTAAATATTCTGTATCAATTAGCAGCCTCTCAAGAAGGGACATTTGTGGTAATTCTGCAGTACTCACTGTCTTACTCCAATCTTTGAGACTTGTCTTTACCCCTGCTATAGTAGGTAATTAGTCAACCAGTAATGACTGGCAGTTACGTCTACTGGTTCCATATCTCAAAGGTCATCGATGACACATAGAAATGGCCACGGGATGGCTGTCGATCACGCAATTCTCGGCATCTTCGAGTTTATCCAAATGCTTCGGCTTGCCGATGATAGAAAGTAGATGTAGATACTCCAAGAGAACTCATGCAGAATGTATTATACCCAATATGTACATCCGTAGACGTATCAATAAACCAAAAATCAAACCCACCGACTCGGTGTCTCACCCGGCAATGCTGTCAAATCCACCAGGTTCTCCCTTCCGATTAATATCCCCCCCTGTATAGCGCCGGACCAGTCTGTCTGTCATTCTGAGGTCGAAGGAAACACCAAAGCCGAAGAAAACATGTCAATCTGTGTATAGAATGTCCCAATCTGTGAAACGCCTGACGGGCAATGATCAGGAGAGAAAAAAGAGAGAGAGAGAGAGAGAGAGAGAGATAAGGAAAGTAAGTATAAAACTCAGACCATGAGAAACACCCTCCGGCCGATAGATATATGGCGAGTCATGACGCATTATAAAAAAAAGAAAAGAATAATCAAAGCAGTTCAACACCTACGCCGCCCATTAGTACCGTGATCAGAAAGTCTTATAAAACATTGACATGCGCCATCATGTAGACGAGGAATATAAAAAAAAAAAAAAAAAAAAAAAAAAAAAAAGACGGGAAGTTTGAACCAGACTGGCTGATGAAAAGAGGATATAGAGAACAGTGAAAAAGGAGAGGAAGAAAGGGGGGGGGAAAAACAAGACAGCGTTGGCGGCTTGCTTACTCCTGCACTGCAGCCTCAATCGTCTGCGTCGCCGGGGCAAGGTTGGAGATCTTGCCCATGGCGCCAACGGGAGCAGGCACCTGTTTAGCTATCAATGCGAGTTTCTTGCGCAGGGAGGCCAAGCGGCCACGCATGCTGGAGACGACTAAGATTGTTAGAAAGAAAGGGGGGAAGAAGAGAAAAAAGAAAAAGAAAACGGTTGAGAGGGAAGAGCTTACGCTTGACAACCACCTTGCGGTCTTCGACAGGCACGCCGTCGAGGGCCAGGCGGTCGGTATCCTTGAAGGAACCGGAACGGGGAAGCTCGTCGTCTTCCAGGACGCCTTCCAGCATGCGAATGGCGGTCACGTAAGCGATCTCACAGCCGGCCAGGTCCTCGCCCGTGAGCTCATTGATGGCGGCCGCGCGGCTCATCTCCAGGGCACGGTCGTACATGAGCTTCTCCGCCGTGACTCCCGAGCTAACGACGACGTCGATCGAGCCCGCGGGACCGGCGGCAGCGCCCAGGAAGTGGTGGTTATTCGGATGGCTCGGATGACTCCGAGGCAGGCGTTTCTGGGCCTCGACCAGCTTCAGGCGGACAAACTCGGCCTTCTCGAGCACCTCGTTGAATCGGTTACGGACCCACTGGACGATGTTATTGATGCGGTTGCTGGCAATGGCGCTGGCGTTCGCGTCTCCAAAGGCGTCGGCGCGGTTCTTGCGCGCCCACCAGATGCCCGCAATATCCATACACTTGGCCAGTAGCGACAGTGCCTTGACGTAGAGCACCAGGGCCTCCTCCGATAAGGTGACAATGGCATCCACCGTAAGGCCGCTGTCGGCCGAATCTTCTCCCCCAGAATGCTGTTGTTGCTGCTGCTGCTGCTGCCCAGGCCCCCGTTTTTCCGTCTCGGTTACGGATGGAGCCAGGGGAATCAGTTGCCGGTACTTGACTTCGGCGAAGCCATAGACCACATCGCTACGTGTGGCACACTCCTCGATGATCTGGACCGTCTTGGCATCCTCGTCGAGGGCGACGTTCGTCTTGGCCCCGTCTCCGACGATCAGGAGACTGCCCTGTGTGGTCGGGTAGGCGGGGAACGCGTTATACCCCATGGGCGGCGACCGTCCGCCCTTGTTGATGGCCAGCGGGGGGGAGAAGCCCACGCCGAACAGCCGGCCACTGGCCATGTGCAGGGCCTTGGAGATGGCCGAAGTCGCTGACGTGGGGCTCTGTCCGTACCGCCGCTCGTAGGAGCTTTGGCGATGGTGAGCCGAATCCGCCCGGGATCGCCCGGGAATGACCTGCATGGCCTTGGCGGTTGCCAATGATTGATGAGGGGAGGAGGATCCATGAGCCGTCGTGGGCGCCGTGGGTGCCGTCGTCGTGGTGAGAAGCCCCTGCGTAGTGGCACGTCGCGGGATGACTCCTCCAGCAGGGTGAGCCCCGGACCTGGGGAATCCTCCCTGGATACGAGGGCTGTGTGCCAGCTCATCGGCAAAGGCATTTACCTCGACCGCCCGTTTCTCAACGACGACATAGTCCCGTTCGAAGGCTACCTCTTGCGCCGCTCGCTCCCTTTCGTCTCGGGCGTCTTGGTCGGCCAGGGGCGACCCAGCCGAGTAAGTGTTGCGGCTACGCTGTCGTTCCATAATGGCTGCTGCCGCCGTGTGCTGATCGACCAGTTCCTGTCGACCAGGGGCGGTGGCGTGCGAAACAACCGGGGGTCGTTGATGATTATTTGCCACCATCACCGGTGCTATCGAGGGAGCCACTGCTCGGGGTGGTTGATGATGCTGCTGCTGCTGCTGCTGCTGCTGCTGCTGCTGCTCGTAAGCCGAGGGACGATCGGTGCTCCCTGTACGTCGCATCGCCGTTGCCGCAACAGTCGGTGGCGTGCCCGAGCGTATCCGCGGGGGATGTGGCCTGGATGTCGGGTTGGTGGTAGTGGCGGCGGGGACAGGGGCGACTGAGGCCTCTTCCCGGCGGTCACTCTCGAGAGATGAAGGGTCAGCATTACCCGGTACTATTGTAGTGGTGGTGGTGGGCACGTCTGTGGAGGAAGGACGACGGGGTCGATCATCGGGGACGAGGCCTGGAATGTCACTAGTGATGACACCGTGGGCGAAGAAGTCCGGGAAGGACATGCGTTCAACGGGATTGCGCTTCAACAGGGCGCAGATGAGCTCCTTGACGTCGGCCGAGGCCGGATTTTCTTCGGGGAACTTGATCCGATCCTCGCCCTTTTCGATCTTACGCAGCAGCTCGACGTGGTTGGTGGCGCGGAAGGGCGGCTTGCCGACGACCATCTCGTAGAGGACGGTACCAACAGACCAGAGGTCGGCCTTGGCGTCGTACTTTTCGTAGCGGAGGATCTCCGGGGCCATGTAGAGCGGGGAGCCACAGAGGGTCTCGGCGAGGGAGGTGGCGGGTAGGGAGCGAGCGAAGCCGAAATCGGCAATCTTCAGCATGGGGAGAGAGGGCAGGCCGGTGATGGGCTCGAAGGAGTCATCACTGCCCTTGAAGGGGACGACGGTCTGGGGCACGCCCGCGCGGTAGGAGGTCGGGGAGGGGCAGAGGAGGAGGTTCTGGGGCTTGATGTCACGGTGGATGAGGTTACGATCACGGAGGAACTTGAGGGCGCTGGCGAGTTGTTTGAGAAAGTGTCGCACGACCACCTCGTTGAGGGCCCCGCCGCGCGGGTTTGGATAGCGGGCGATCATGTCCCGGGTGTAGCGGTGATCGGCGAGGGAGTCACGGCGCTTGATGAAGAGCGAGAGATCGCCCAGGGCGCAGTATTCCATGACGAGGTGGATGTGCGAAACGGACTCATGGCAGTCGATGAGGGCGACGATGTGCGGGTGGTGCAGACCCTTGAGGATATCGATCTCGGAGGAGAGGTTGTCCTTGAGCTTCTTGTTGAGCTTGGACAGGTTGACGGATTTGATGGCGACATATGTACGAGATTTCTAATCATTAGCAAATGGTGTCCAAAAGAGAGAGAGAGAGAGAGAGAGAGAGAGAGAGAGAAACTCACCGTATGCACACCCTGGTAGACAGTGGCAAAGCTCCCGCGCCCGATCTCGTCCAGCCGTGTATAGCGACCGATAGACATCTCAGGCCGGGAGGCATCTCGCGTCCTCCGGGAATGATGGGTAGTAGCCATGGCGGAGCCAGCGTGCAAGCAGACAGTCACACGCGGGAAGTCATAGATAGATACCGTACCCAGGTAGGTAGGTACCTGTTGAGGAGGGAGGGAGGGAATGACTCAAGTCAGGCCCCAGGCAGAATATCCAGACTCTCTTGCAGAATCAAGCCAGAAGATGACTAGGTATATCGTGGGAATAAAAAAAACCGTCGAGGCAGCAAGCCGACCGGCGGTCGCAGGCAACAGAAACAGACCACCCGGATCGATCGAGCGCCAGGCACGAGCGAGGAACTAAAGAGACGGATGAATCAGAGATAAGGAATCCCCCAGAGTATGTAGGTCGATCGATCGACAACAGAAGAGATGGCGTCGAACTCAAGAAGAAGAGAAAGAGAAAGAGATAGAGAAGAGAAGAGATGGGGGGGGGGGAGGTTGTTACAGATGGACCCAAGGAACTGCTGGGCTGGCTGGTGAGCAGGTCACGGTGACAGGGCGTGACAGTGACAGGCAAGGCGGGTTTGATGGGTTTATGGGTTTATCTCTGATAACTGGGAGTGGGCCAGGCGGTGAGGAGGTGAGGGCGGTCAGGAGGGCGGGAGAGAGAGCACAGACAGAGAAAGAAGAGAGTCGATTCGAGGATTGGGAGGATGATGAGGTTGATAATGGAGATGGGTATAGCAGAGAGGGAGGAGGGGAGAGGAGAGGATGGACGATCAGGAGTTCCAGAGGGAAGAAGGAGAGGATGACGATTTGGAGGTTGGAATCACCTGAGATGACCAGACAGGTTAGTGTGCTTATGTAAGTATTTCTGCCTGAGGCAGTGTGTCTGAGGTACAATGGAAGTACCTTCGTTGCTGGCAGGTGTGGGTAGATACATATACGTAGTTAGGTAGATATAAGTAGGTAGTCCTATTCAGACTCCTACACCAGATGAATAGTATAAAGGCAATAATGAGGCAAGTCAGCTCAATAATTAGTCAATGAAGCCATCACGATAATGACGCCATATTGCTCTTCGATTAAGTTCGCGTACCAAACCATAATACCAATACTACCTACTTACTGCCAGGATAATAGAAGAGATCATTAGGATTACTATGCGTCTAGTCATGCCGACAGGCTCTAAATCTCTATCACGTGTCACCCATCATCATAGTATACAGCCATCACCTCGTCGTCACTCTCCGACCCAAGACAAGACAAGACAAGAGCAAAAGAGAAAGAAATAAAGGGAGACGTTACAGCAATCCTCGTACAAGCAGCCAAAACACAATCGGCACCACCACATTATCGTTACACCCCGTCAGGACGGCTTCCGTAGCGCTGGCTCCCCCAGCAGCGAGGAGAGCCTTGCCTGCGGTCCAGAAGAGGCCGCCTAAGGAGGAGGAAGAGGAGGAGGAAGTCGTGGTCTGTCGCCAGCCAACCGCCAGCCACGCATGAGCCACCATGAGGCCACAGAAGACGGCCAGGGTAAAGGCGACGCTCCCCTCGAGCGACTTGCCGCCGCCCCAGAACCACTTGAGTCGTCCGATCCGACGGCCTACCAGTGAGGCTGCCGCGTCGCCCATCCCCACGCAGATCACCCCGCTCACCATGCTGACATCTCGGGAGAGGACATCCCATCCTGCCCAGGGTCCTCCTCCTCCTCCTCCTCCTCCTCCTCCACCGCCGCTGCCAACAGCAGCAGAAGGAGCACCGACAGGAGATGATGTTCGTGGCACGTCGGCCAGCGACAGCCACAAGGGGATGGAACAACCTATCAAGAGAAAAATGTGCGAGATGATGACGGGCCCCCGGTGGTCACGACCGTCAACATATGGAGCGAGGAAGTAGGTCAGCGGCCGCGAGATAGGAGGCAACTGCGAGGCGCGGAAGAGATCCAGCAGGAGGAACCCGGCCAGGACGAGTGCCAGCGCCAGCGCGCAAAACGCCGGGTCGATAAAGATGGTCGGCAGGAACATGAGCACCATCATCCCGTGGAACACCTTGCGGCGCGTGTCCACCTCGACCACCGTGCTCAGACGAAATACAATCGCCAGCCCCGTCAGCACGACTACCGTGCAGTACCCGCTCAACAAGAGTCGGGTGGTCGCCGCGCCGAACGTCATTTGTCGCACGTGCTCGACCCAACCTTGCAGACAAATCGTAGTAGAAGTAGAAGTAGAAGTAGCGGTTACCTCCCGATCCAGCCGCGGCGGGAGCATGATCCATCGCTCGAGGTTCAACACAAGAACCCAAAACCGGAACTGTGAGATGTTGCCGAAGAGATAGCCCAACGCCCATCCAAAGGGGTCGGCGCCCTGCAGCGCCCGGTGCGCAATGTACAGACGGATGGGGCCCATGATGATCCCCAGCACCGCGAAATAGACATACAGAGCGTACAGCCACTTGCGCACTTGCGCCTGGGGCGCCGTCAACTCCAGAAAAGACGCTAGGCCAGGTGCCATGGAGCGTTTGCGACGGCCCCCGGGCGTGGTCCGTACGCGTTCGGTGGTGTGGACGGCCTCTTCAAAGGTCGAGATGGTGTGTCGTCGCTGTTTGCTATTCGACGAGATTGTCGTTGCTGTCGTCGTCGTCGTCATCGTCATTGTCGTCGCCGAGACCTCCTCGGTGGTGATGCTGTCGTCCACGGTTCCTCCGCCGGAGGCGGCCCGCGCGTGGCCCTTGGCGGGCGGGCGGCCGCGCAGCAGTTCACGGATCGTCATATTGGGGCGCGATGAGCGGTAAACCCCGCCGTTTGGCGCGTCGCTGTCGGAGCCGGCGTCGTCCTGGGACCCGGACCGGCTCAGCTTTTCGCACAGTTTGTGGTCCATGACGTTGAGGATTCGCTTGGGGGACGGAGCCTGCGAGCCACTGGGAGAGCGACGGAACTTCCAGGTGGGGATGCGGGCCAGGGCGATCTCCCAGCGCAGGACGGGGCGGCAGGCAACAAAGATGCACATGCCGCCGAGCCATAGCAGGGCTTTAAGGATCTCCGCCTGCGGGGAAGCGGCAAATAAGAACAGGTTGATGAGGGCGGTAGTCAAGAGTTGCAGCTCCGCCGGCAAGAGGCTTGTGGTGAGGAGAAAATCAAGGATGGGTATCAATGCTTGGTAGAAGGGGAAAACAAGGGTCAGCGCTTCCGAGTCGACGTCGCGCAGCGACAGGGGCCTCGCCGCGGCGGACCCGACGGAGAGGTGTTCCGATACCACGATGGGCACCAGGGTGACTATCCAATGAACAATGCTCTGCCCGTGGATCCAGCCGTATAGAGGGATGACTGCCGGGGGCAGCGAGGCGAGGGCCAGGACGATGTTCGGGAAGAGAAGGGCGGGACAGCGCGTCAGCGAGAGCGCCACGTACACGGGGATCAAGACGGGGTAAAGCAGCGGCGCCGGATCGAAGCGCGAGGGGACCCGAAAAGCTCTGAAGCGCTCCAGGCGCGAGCGAGCCTTTGCACGAGCCATAATACATAGCGGGTAGAGGGCGTACAGTCCGGAGACGGTCGCCAGATAAGTCAGGAGTTCTATTCATTAGTCTCCCCCCCCCCCCAAAAAAAAACAAGCTGTGAGCAGGAAAAACTCACCCTTCCGCCACGACCATGCAAGTCGACGAGACTCCTCTCGTAGCAAGACCACCCCGCCGACAGAGAGCAACAGTCCGGTCTCAAACAGACGACGCCAGACCTCGATGCGTCTCCTCCGACGGACCTTGCGACGCACCTCCACCGCCGCCTCGGCGTCCGCCTGTTCCTCCTCCTGTGAACTCCGTGACGCGGAGGAGGCGCGCACAAGTAGCGACAATGGCAATAACCAGCTGTTGCGAGTTTCTCCTCTTTCGTGCCCACCACCCCATCCCGAACGCAAGACCAGACCTTTCCGCGGCCGCAGCGGTGCCGGAGGAAGACCCTTGAGTATACCCGTGCTCTCATCATCTGCCTCTGTACCACTATCACTCGATGTCCTCGATGATCGCGACCACGCCGACGAGGGAAGACGTGGGGAGGGGTCTGCCGTATTTGACGGCGGCGGCTGCTGCTGCTGCTGCTGCTGACCCTTACGATGGTACGGATGCGGCGAGCGCGAGAGCAGACGACGACGATGGTCGGGCATCTCGTCTGCCCCCAGTCCGTGGCTCTGATGCTGGGGAGAGCTCATGGCGCCATGTCCGGAGTGCCTTTTCTCTGGTGATCTGGTGGTTGTCAAGGGATTTCGATCTGTCTTTTGTTTCTCTTTGTCTGTCTGGCGTGTCGAGTCAGTCAGTTCACCACAGACAGAGGAGAGGTCATGGTTTGATCAGATGGTAGAAAAAGAGAAGTTCAATGATTAGAAAGTTTAATAAAAGAATAAAACAGTAACCTAGAGACACAAAGAAGGGTTGGATGGGTTGTTGATTTCCGGCGCTGAAAGACGGGGTCGAAAGTGTTTTGTTATCAGCAGATCACATGTCTTACTCTCCTTCCCCTCTCTCCTGTCAATACTGACAACAGAGTCTTCTCCAAGTATTCTCTCGATATTCGTGTCTATTTCTTGATTTCTTTGATCCACTTGACTTGATCACTTATTGACTGCTAGAAATCCACTGACTGACTGCTAGGAATCCACTTGGATGATAGAAATCACAGAATGACAGCCACGAGTCTAGACTGTCTGTGCGAGTCCAACAAACTTTGCAACACGCCCGTGCGTCGAGTCTACAAAGACTGCAAGAGTCTACAAAGAGTCTATTATCAATTCTATCGATCAGGCTATGGCTAACAAGACCCAGGGTTTAGGCTAAGGAGAATCCCCGCCGCCAACCGTCTGCCCCCCCTCCCCCAGACTGCCTTGCAAGGCACAATCTGTCCCGGCCATGAGACCTGCTGCGCCGTATAGATGGTCGCTTGGTGACTCTGACTCTGACTCTGACTCTGGCTGAGTTGGTGTAAAGCTGCTTCCAAATGGCCCCAGTCAACCTCGATGGCTGAAAAGCGAATCACCCCATCGACTAGTGTATGCGTGCAGCGGCCGTACGGCTTTGTCTCCTGATTCAGACGCAGTTGCCCACCGCTTAACCCGGCGCTTTGCCATTCGATACTGCTGTTCCGTGGTAACTCGTCCACCTGGACTGCAAAGAAGGGGGGGATGGCGGGCGACGAAGACTCGACGATATCAAAGTTGGGCAGGGCGGGTGCTTTGCTTGTGTAGTGTCTCTCAGCCCGTCCATACTTGAGGTCCCATGCATCCACATCGTCTTCTTCTTCTTTTTCGATGTTTTCTGTAGAATTATGGATTCCTTCCCATATACGACTAGCAATCCAGGCCTTGGTAGCAACATTTTCTCCTGTCAGAAACGCGACTCCCCCCGTCCACCAGTCGACGTGCATCGCGGCCCCAATGCGCCAGAGATGCTGTAATGCCAGCACGGCCTGTAGATTAAAATCTTGCATCCACGTTCCCTGGGTGACGGGGAGGTTCATCGACGCGGGTTCCAGTGGGATCTGCCCGGCGACATACACCAGCTTCGAAGTAGAAGTAGAGTTCAGAGGAACAGAGATTGCCTGCGAGTACGGCCCGATATTTGCGGGCGCCCAATACGAGCGAGACTGGACGTGAAGACCATCCCTCTTCTCGCGGGGACAGCTATCCAGAACAAACGAGGCCATGACGTCCACTCCCGCCGGGAGAGACCGACAAGCGACCGTCACGCGAGCCGGCGGGTTCGGTTTCCGGAAGAGCGAGACGTAGACATCGTTCACGCTGGCGAAGTCGGCCATGGACCGAAGGAGGAGGGTGGCGAAGACAATATCGTCGGTGGTTCTGTTGGAGGCGGCGAGTGTCTCGTCGAGGGTGGTAGCAATAGAGGCCATCTGCTCGGCGGCAGAGGTTCCAGCGGCTGTAAGGTTTGAAATTGACTGCTTTGACTGCTTTGACTGGCTTGACTGGCTTGACTGGCTTGACTGGTTTTTCACCGACTCTGAAAGTATTTGTTCTTGGTGTTCCTGGAGCAAACGTTCAAACCTATCTTCCAACAGAGGCGGCCGTCTCAATTCAAAAGGCTCCCCAGACTCCTTGGGAAGACACCTCGGCCGAGTGAAACGAAGGTACGACACCCCCGCCTCGCCAGAGACAACCTCGGTGTCGACCTCGATCCTCTTCTTCCAGAGAACACTCGGCCCATCCACCGCGAGGGTTTCGTACTCGCCTCCCTCCCCCAGCACCGCGCCCCGAACATCCCCATCCTCCACATCGACGAAGCGCGCCATGGCTTTCGCAATGCGGCTCCGTAGCCGGCCATCCGACGAAGACACATTCCCCCATAGAAACGAGGAATCCAGCCCTCCAGACGCGACCTTGATGATCCGCGCGTCACACGATACACTCGCCATATCCTCCAGCAAGGCGGTTTCCGTCCGGTTCCCAGGGAGTAGAAACGGATACATCCACAACCACGACAGGGAAACCAGGCCCAGCCGCGCTGCGACGCTCTCGATTCTCGTCCGTTGGTACGTGGATAGGATCGCGCCCGTGCAGACGGCGTCGGCGTGGTGGGTTTCCATGATCGTTTTCAACAGCGGGACCAGCGCTTCCGTTTCGTCGGCGCTGTTCTGTGCGCCGTACACGAGAGACGTCTCGATTGCGCTCCCCGCCTGGATTTCTGCTCGGTAGAGTGGGATCCCTAACGCTTCTTCGTACAGAGGGATCACTCCGTGTCCGACAGTCTGGTACATGAATGAGTCGATGTCCTCTTCCTCCTGGCTGGCGGGGTGGAGGTTCGCCAGCGCGACCACCGTGTGGCCATTCGCGAGACAGTGTAGGGGGGTATATAGACTGTCTTTGCCGCCGGAGATCAGCGCTATTACTTTGAGGCTCATTGTAGGTAGAAAGTATCAATTAGTATTAATTGTAGTAATAGTAGTAGTAGTAGTAGTAGTAGCAGTAGTATTTATGCCGTGCAGTGAGTGAGAAGTTGGTGGGATGTGGGGCTATCACTCTGTTAGGTACTCTATCCTTACTCTATACTCTATTAATGATGAATACCAAGACAGATACTGAGACAGATAATAAGATACTAAGATACTAATATGCACATTATTGTGGCCAGCACGTTAACAGTATTATAGAGAGTATACATGAACAGAGGAAATCACAAGGAGTCGGAGAATGAAGAAGAAAGGGTAATAAAATGACAGGATGGAAGAGAATAGAGAATGGAACAGGATGTTGAGTAGAAAAAAAAAAAAAAAAAAAAAAAAAAAAAAAAAAACGCACAAGAGACAAGGAGAGAGCTCTATTTTTGCAGCCGGACGCCAGTTTGCCCGTCCGCCAGAGCCGTCGATCACCCACCAGACGCCGAGACAAGTACAGAATGACCAAGAGAGAGAGAGAGAGAGAGAGAGAGAAAATGATAGAGATGAGAAGACATGGAGTAAGGAGGAAGAAAAAGGAGGAGGAAAGACAAAGTAAACTCCTGGTCTCGTTGGGCATCGTAATTCACGCCGAGTCGTCGCGCTTGCGCTTCTTGAGAGCGCGCCGGTCGACAGGCTCCGAGCCACTGCCGTCCGACTCGCTGGTCGTCGACTTGGTCGCAGCGGCGTGCGCGGCCTCGTACAGCACGGCGCCGAGAGCGCCGGCGTCGCTTTCGTCGTACGGGGTCGGGGCGGCTGCCGATGCGGCCGAGTCGCCGTTCGAGTCGAGCATGTTCATCACCATGCCCGCGCCCCCGTGCGTGCGAGCGTGTTGGGCCAGGTTGTCGCTGCGCGAGAATTTCTTGCCGCACTCGCCGCACTCGAACGGTTTGTCCTGCGTGTGTAGCGACCGGTAGTGCCGCTTCAGGTGCTCCTGGCGCCGGAACCGTCGCGAGCACAGCGTGCACACAAACGTCTTGGACGGGTCGTCCGTCAGTGACTGCTTGCGGCCGCGACGGTTGACCGAGACGGGGGGAGCTCCCGTCCCGGCCTCGGAGGCGCTGAAGCCAGCAGTGACGGACGAGGGGGTGGCGGCCGCCGATCCCGATGAGGGAGTGGTGGCTCCGGCGGCGGCGGCGGCGGCAGCGGCGGCGGCAGCTGGGGTGGATGTTTGGGATGCCGAAGCACCGGCAGCCGCCTCGGAGTGTGGGAGACCAAATTCCGAGTCGCTGCTGTCCGATACACTGCCCTTCTTGAGCGACCGACGCATGCTGGCCCGCTTCTTGGAGCGCGCCATCATCATCTCTTCCGCCGAGTTGTCGGAATCGATCTGCATGGGCACGGGATCGATGGTGACCGACTCCAGAGTCGTTGGGAGGCCGTGGTAGGCGAAGGGATCCTGGTGGTCGTCAAGGTCTTCGATGCTCTGCTCGCTCAAGAACTCGTCTTCATCCAGGGCGTACTGGCCACCGACAACACGCTGGCGCTTGTCGCCGACAAAGTAGGTGCCGTGGTTCGGGTGGAAGTCGACGAGACGGTTGACAAACTCGTCTTCCGAGTCCAGGTCCGAGAAGCTATCGAAAGTGGGCAGAGTGGAAAGCGGATCAATGGCGGCAGCGACAGCGGCGCAGCTGAACACAGGCGAAGGGTTATGCTCGTGAATCGGTAGGGTGACGGCTGCGCTACCCAGGACCAGTTTGTGGTGCTGTTGCTGTTGTTGTTGTTGTTGTTGTTGTTGTTGCTGCTGCTGCTGCTGCTGCTGTTGCTGTTGTTGTTGGTGCTGGTGCTGGTGCTGATGATGCTGATGGTGGTGAGTGTGGTGAGTGTGATGGGGGTGGTGGTGATGGTTAGCCTCCTCCTCGTCACAGGACAGAGTGGGCAGCGGTGGCAGCTCGGCGGCAGGTGCAGCGACACAGATGGACGAGTGTACCGTCAGCTGGCGAGGATCACAGAAGTCGGAGCTGGCAGGCTCGGCGGACTGTGGGTGTGTAACGAAAGTAGTGGTGGGCACGGGCGACGGCGACGGCGACAGGGATGGACAGGAGCTGTTGGCCGACAGAAGGTCGGAGGCTTGGCTGGCAGTAAATGCTGGGGGGTGGATAAACACTGTCATTCTCAGCCCTTGCTTTAAAAAAAAAAAAAAAAAGGAACCACGCGTGTCTCCCGCAAGGGATGCCACGTTTTTGAAAAGACCTACCTGGTGTCATGGGAGGGGAGTCTGAGCGCGACAGATGATCCGGGTTGGCAAGGATCTCAGTGTGAACATCGGTCTCACAGCCCTCTTTGACGCCCTCGACCTTCTCGAAGGAGAAGAAGCCGTTGACCGGGGTGCGCAGGGCGCCGCTGGTGGACGGCGGGCTGCTGATGGTGCTGCCCGAGGTGGAGAGCGGCGGGGTGGAGGGAAAGGAATAGAAGTCGGCGCTGACGAAGCGGGTGTCGAGGGGCATGAGGGCGGGCGAGCCTTGCTGGACGATGATGGTGGGCTTGAGCTGCTGGGAGGGCTGGGGAGAGGCGATCGGGGTCATGTTGTTCATGGCGCCACGGAAGGCGTTGGTGGTGGCCATCTGGTGCATGTTCATCAGCGGCTGAGGCGCATACAGCGGCTGCTGCTCAGGCACACAGTGCTGCGGTGGTGGCGGAGGGAACTGCTGCATCTGCCCGTAGAACTGCTGCATCTCTGCCGGATGGCTGGTGTAGTGGGATGAGGGTCGGTGTTGCTGGTCGGCCGGGTAGTAGTAGGCCTGCGAGGACATGGTGAAGGCGTCCATCTATCCACACCAGGATCAGTATGGATTGAAATCAAACACACAAAAGAGAGCAAGACAGGTAGCTAAGCTCTGATATAGAAATCACTCACTGTGATTATTAGATCGTATGATCGTTCTATTTAGATCGGATGAGGACTCGCTGTCCTCATCTAGCAATGAGTGAATAGTGGGTAGGTGATAAGAGAGCGACTGACGTATATAACGCCAGATGAAGAAGATGAAAAAAAAAAAGATATTAAGATATATATAGTCTCGAAGACAACGAGATCTGGATGCCACAGGGCAAGGTTTAAAGGAAGGGCAGGTCGTAAGGTGACCGGAGGAGTGTTGTTGATGTGGTGGTTGGGTGTGCCGTGGTGGTCGGGTATACCATCAACTATTAGATATGAGACGGGGGATGGGGGAGAGAGAGAGGAGGAGGAGGAGGAAGAGGAAGAAGAGAGAAAGAAAAAGAGAGAGAGAGAGATAGATAGAAAGAGAGAGAGGAAAGGAGGGTGTAAAAAGAGGGACTCAGGCGAGAGAGAGGAAAAAGAAAAGAGAAGCCAGCACGATGGGAATAATAATTCAAAATAGAATAAAAACGAAATAAAATAAAACGGATCAATAAAATAAAACGAAATAAAATAAATAAATAAAAACGGCCGCGGGGAAACGAGAGACAAGGCCCGAAAAAAAACTGGTAGTTGGTTAGTAGTGAGTTATGGGAAAGATGGGAATAGTAAGGAAAAGAGTGGCAGGACAGACGGGTGGATAAGAGCACCACCACCACCACCACCACCACCACCACTACCACTACCACCACTGCTACTACTGCTACTGCTACTAAACTACAAGTTGTAAAACTACTATGACATTGATCTGCCTGTACGACCGGCTCAGACAAAATAACCCGCGGCGAATCCACCAGCCAGTGAAGGCAGCGCATCCACTTTTCTGACTGTGGGCCACTGCTTATCAGAGCTGTAACTTGTCCGTTGCCCGTCGTCACTCGTGGGTTCCCAGGCGTCTAGTAGAGTATTGACCAGGGTAAGACTCAGGTTAGACCTTAGGACCTGGTTAGTTGCTACATAGTACATACCTACTCCTACAGACTGGCCAGGCACCGGGTCGCGCCTCTAGTCTGGGGCGGGATTGCGCGCGAGGAATGGCGCCGGTGATGCACATCCCAGCAGGAAGCGGAGACTGGACGATGGGTTGGACCAGGATACGCGGCCATGCCGCCAGATTGGGCGTAAGCGGGTGGAGGAGCAGCACGAGTGGGCACACCGAAGCCTCATTCAATGGTGGATGGATCAAATGCGGAGGTAGTATGTAAAACAGTGAGTATTGTACTATTACTTCTTACCTACTACATAGTAGTGGTCTATGTAGGCGATACTAATACTCTACCTGGTACTAATAATACATGTAAACTAATTGCTTGTGATCCTCGGACTGTGTGTGTACAACATTACCACAGATGGACAGTAAGACAAACTACCTAGTACCTAGTATATGGAGTACCTAGACCAAGGTACTCGTACTCTACTCCATTAGTACGTAGTACCAGTACTGTACCAACTTGATACCTATTAGGTACCGGTACCGGTACCGGGACCTAGGTACCTAAAGTAGCCTGGGTAGGCAATCCTCCGGCTTATCACCTCTCGATAGCCAATCGACACTGCCCGTGGGTGAAAGGATTTGCACTAGCGCCGGCTGTGTATACGAATTGCCTTTTCAAGAAGACCTACCAGGTAGGTACCTACCTACCTACCTACCTACCTACCTACCTACTGTCTACCTAGGTACCTACTGTAGTATATCGGTACCTAGGTAGGTAGGTATGGAGTAGGTTGAATAGATAGTAGGGAATGTCTAGAGCAAATAAAGGTTTAGAATCTATTAATATTATGTAGTGAGATTATTATTGATAATAATAGAGTGAGTACAGACAAGGAAAATAATTAGGTAGGCCCGGTGGCACCGGCAGGGTTCGATGGTGAAACACGCCCAATTTGGCATCATCCAGAACTGTCACTTCTCCGTATTGTATTACTAGGTCTGTACTGTACGGAGTAGGTACGGAGTACCTAAGGTACCAAGGTAGTACCCCATGTAGGTACCAGGTAACCAACTTGGAACCTATCTCGGTACCGTCCACCGTACTCCTACCAGGTATCAGTGGTAACAGCTCATCTGAATGATTGATCACGCAAGACCTATCGGATGAGCGTCGGTCTACTGCAGGAACACTGTGGAGGACAGCAGCTCCTTACATCTGTCAGAGAGAATAAATGTTTCTTTGTGCATACTACATCCAGAAAAATGACTCGTAGAGTCGTTCGTCGATCCAGGCCCACAACTTAAGAATTAGACTGCCTCTGTTAGGTAGGCATCCTCTGCTCAGTTACGGAGTACTATGAGTACTACATACTACTGGTCAGTCTCGGCGGGATAGTGAAAAGCATGTTTGACTCGGAAATCAATGCCAGCGATTAGATGCCCCGACAAACGAAGCAAGGCACCCTGCACATCGCCCGACAGAGTAATTTGGGGGGGGGCCTTGAATTTGGGACTTTCACTGGACAGAGTCCTCCGGAAGATTACTAAGCTCTAATAATAGATGGTACGTACTGTACAGTAGGTACCAGATACCTACTTCGTACCTACCTCCTAGGTAGTAAGAGATATGCGGATAAAGACTGTATAATTACTCAACCTTCGAGAAGGATACTAACTAATGAATACTAACTAAACTAGGCGATGGAGACGGTAATTCAAATAAATTGATGGTGGTTAAGATTATTACTCCGTGCTCTACTCAACTTGGGACGGGCTTAAATTGCTATCGGCACTTGAGCTAGTCACATCCCCGTCGCTAGTACAGCCACTGTCGTACCGCCGTTGGAGTAGTCAAACACCGTACGGAGTCGGAGGAGTAATGGGTAATAGATAGCTAGAGAACTCGAGTACCTAGGTATACATCACCGCTATTTCATTATGGATATACAGAGTACCTAGGTACTCTACGTAGTTACCGGTACCTAAGTAGAAAGTCGTACCTAAGTAGAAAGTCGTACCTAAGTAGAAAGTCGTACCTAAGTAGAAAGTCGTACCTAGGTAGAAAGTCATAAATAACAGAGTCAAAGTACCTATGTACCTATGTGCGAGGTACCTACCAGGTACCTACCAGGCACTCTCGCCACTCGCTATAATTAGTGCTCAAGCCTCAGTATACAGAATTTTCCTCGGCTACCTCGGCGAGACTCATACGGAATACACTGTGGATAGTACCTACTAGCAAGGAGTTGCCTATAATCGGAGAACTGCATGCCAGTTACTATTCATACTCGACACACGGACACTGGCAGACGCATGTCTCACGTCATGCAACGGCCACCGTTATGTCGATGCGGAAGAATGACAGGTCAGCTGCTTACTATGTAGGAAACCCTAGGGTATGCGTATGTGCTGTGCATTATTAGTGATTATTGACAATAATACATATTAACCATATGATATGGAATTCTTGGGTTCCTGAGAATAGACATCAAATAATATCCCTATGGAGTACATGGTCCAGTGGCAACATGTGCCACAAGACGTAAGCTATGGAGGCAACTGGTACTTATTATTATTAGTTAACTTGCAATAGTAAAGCCAAGGTGGATCTATTTATCCCTCATCCCTGTTTCTTTTGAGGCCAGTGCCATTGCTTCGGTTTCAAACGGTCGAGACGTACCTAGGAGTTAGTACCTTACTACCTAGGTAGTTACTAACTAACTAACAGGTAGGTACTAGTTAAGTACTCCATACTCTGTACTTTTGCAATCACTACTACAGAACTAGTATTTACTATTCACTATTAAGTTTACTCTATCCTTAGTACATTCTGGAAAGATGCTAAAGTACTCCATACAACCCGGCAGTGTGGCGACGGAGTCAGTACCCTGTCGTATGTAGTATAATATAAATTAGTGATAGTAACCCTGTCACTGGATCTATATAATACTATATACTAGGTATTATTTAGTTGTCAACAGCTAGAACTTTGCCTCTGTATACTCTATACTCTATATATTGTTCTAGAACTAAATAATCTCGCTACTAGGTCTGTGCAGTTGTCTGTGCAGAAACTAGTAGAGACTGACACAGCGATTGTTAAAAACCCGCCAGTATTATACTTAGTATGTAGGTACAGAGATACTCTGTACCATTCAGTAACTGATAATACCTACCTATCTATTAAGGTGGTAGGTAGGCATTCTCAAAGTTGTTATTAGGTAAGATAAGAACTCCATCACGTACTGACGACTCCATAGTCAGCCAACATCTCTAGGTCTCTCCCGGGAACGTGGGCGAGGGTCAGATAGCGAACGGCCAGGATTGCTATTGCATGACTGCGGGGCGGCGAGTAGAGGAGAGGAAGAGTAAATTCCACTCTGTAGCAGAAGTTACTAGAGGAGACGCTAGCGATTAGTTAGGTAGGTTAAAGCGTGCCTGTACGGAGTACGGAGTACTTGGGTAGAGTACCTTAGGTAGGTAGGTACTAGGTACCTAGTAGTTACTTGGGTAGTAAGACTAGGGATTTGATTTGATTCTATCCGATACTAGTCGGAACTAGCGGTATTTCGCCGTATTGTGCCTGGTATGTTACGCCGTACAGCCTACAGTGTCAGGTTGGCAGTCTGGCACGTGCTCACCTTGAGAAGGTTCGAGCTGAACATCAACCACCTCAAGTCCTCCACTGTCTCTGCCATCATCCATGGATCTCTTCCTGACCGTCGTCGCATACCGTCTTACACTCCCCAGAAAAGGAAAATGAAGAATATGAATATGAAGCAAATCTCGCCAAGCTAACCTTATATTAGCTATATTCATTGCACCACTACCTACTACTAAGTTATCTACTAACTAACTACCTACCTACCTACTAAGTGATCTACTAGTTAGTTACTTACCTACCTACTAAACTATCTACTCTACGACCAAGACAATGCGGAGACGCCCGGTGCACAGTGTGGCCTCATCTCCCGGCGGAAGCGCGAGCGGAAGGATCCAGTACCCATTCTTGCGTTGTGTTGTCCTACTCCGGACGGAGGACCTTCGCTGCGCAAAAGTTTATCCCGCGGACGTGAGGCGGGCCAATGCCCAAGGAACCAAACTTTGAGGTGGGCGGTCCCTCTGCCAACGTCATCGCTGAAAGATGGAGGTTGCTAACTTTTGTTTCTAGTAGATACCTTGGTAGCTTCTGCTTCAATCTTCATGACAACTGCACTTCAGCCAGCCTACTTCTTTCAAGACTTGACGGGAGATCAAAGATACTACACACGGTCAAGGCTTATGGCCACAGCATTGTGGTCAAGGCTTCTTCTGGTCAGAGCTCATGGTCAGAGCTTACCGGCGTCAGTCTAATGCTCAAAAGGCAAGCTCAACCCGTGTCTAAACTTCAAATGGTCAGGTCAGGTCAGGGTCGAATATCCCGGACTTCAAGCGACACTCTCCGATCGACTGACTCGATCTGCGTTGTTTTCTTTCTTTCTTTTTTTTTTTTTTTTTTACAAAATTTCGCCAGTCTGGTGTCCACTACTGCCCTGAGCATGTCCAGTGGGAAAGCAGATCATGATCATCCCTCTCCGGACCCTCCGAGCACAGATTTCGTATCCGAAGTTCAGCGACAGGCTGCTATAGGGCAGTTGGCATTGCGGGATATCCCGTTCCTCCATTTCACGCCTTGGAAGTTTGGATCTGGCGGATCCTCGGCCTTCCTCCGTCGGGTTGATTTGGGAAGATAAGACTCAAGAGTCAACAACTGCATGGTGCACGCTGCCATGTACGGCATATGCGTTGATCTCTTATGCCGAGCATCTTCAGTTTCAGCTCGGCGGATACACACCGTGGTCCATGGTTCTCGTATAGCTGTGAGCAAAGCTAGTCGATCTAGGTAAGAGCTCGACTCAGTGCCGGGCAGGAAGGAGGTTCATTTTCCGTAGGATTCTCGGTACGTAAGCATACAAGCTATCTTGGGTCGACAGTGGCAAATATGAGTAGCAGGATCAGATAACAATTCTGCTGTCAATTCATATCCACGGTCCTCCAAGTCCTACATATCGACACGAGAGTAGATACTAGATACTAGATATTTTGTTCGCTCTGCCACACTAATAAGATTGACAATTAAACTCAATAAACCCATCACTATCTATTCTATCACTATCAAGCCTGGTTTAACCTGCTTGCTTGTCCTGCTTGTAACTAGGTAGCTTGACGCTCAAATAAATGACAGGTACGACTTCAGTGGATGGTTATGTGAGATCACGGCCGCAAAAAGAAGCAAGCTCAGTCTCTTCCTATCAAAATCCATATCCTCATCATCAGTCGAATAAAATATATGATGAGGAAAAGGAAGCAAGAAAAGAAAACAAAAAGTTGTGGGAAGAGTTTTTTTTTTCCGCCATGACTAAGCGAATAACAAACAGAACAAACATCCCCACTACGCGCAGGGGTATAAAAACCTCGACTTTGCACGCCCGGTTTTTCACTTTCTTCTTTTCTTTCTTCGTGCGGCGACGCAACTATTATTTCACCCGTGTTGCTTGGACATCCTCTTCGTCTCTCATTCGAGAGATGATAATTCATGATGTTACCAGGTGTCAGTTGCGTCACAGACGAATGAAAATTGCACGCCGGTTCTACTTTTTTGGCCTTTCTTCTTTTTTTCTACGGATGAGGCCATTGGTTTGGGATCGGACACTCAACAAAATCACTATTTTTGCTTGGATACTCGTAGCTCGTAATCACACGGAAAAGAGAGAGTTAGAGATTGTGTATTGTACTAGCTAGGATAGTAGGATTCTACTCTCCCTGCTCGTCGCCAATCTTCTGCAACTTGCCCATCTCTCGCTTCTCGCCCGCTTCGCCCAGAATGCGCACGCGGTCGACGCGGATTTTCTCGCCGTCGCCGTCGCCGTCGACGAAAAACACAACCAACGAGCTCACGTTCTGGAACTTGACGAACCGCAGGTCCACCTTGGCCGTGCCTGTCTTTGCATCCCAGTCGCCCGCCTGCAGCGTCACCGTCTGCACGGCAGGGATATCTTCTGCATCGTCGAAACTAAGCACGTGTGTCCGGTTCGTGTAGAGTTGAATCGTCTGCGGCCGGAGGGGGGTTTCGTCGTCGTCGTCGTCATCGTCATCATCGCCCTCCGAGGAAGAGGGAGGCAAGGAGGTGATGTGTAGCGAATGCACCTTGGACGTAGATTGCAGCGGAATATACAGCATCAGCTGCTCGTCCGTGTCACTCTCGACCCAGTCGGTCACGGCCTTGCCCTTGCCATTTTTCCCGTTCAGCAGCGCGGACGGCTTCGTTGTGTCAAACAGCACCCGCACGTCTCCAAACCCGGCGTCGCGGTTCAGCAGCTCTAGCCCCTTCACGTTCACCTGGTCCGTAATATCGCTGTATCCCTTGGGCACCGCCGCCCCGAGCCATCCCTCCCCTCCCTCGCCGGACGCACCCTCCCCGCCGTCAGGCCCTGCCTTGCTGGCTTCCGAGGCCAGTTTGCGCACCACCTCGTTAAGTTTCTGGGGGTTCGCGCCCTGCACGGTGTTCACAACGCGGCCTTTTTCGAAGACAATAAAAGTAGGCATACTATATTCATCATTCATCAGTTTCTCTCTCTCTCTCTCTCTCTCTCTCTCTCTCTCTCTCTCTCCTAAAGAGTGGTAAATGTGCAAAACACACGCTGTAACCTTGTAAGCCCGGGCGATGTCCTGCTGCTGATCAACGTTGACCTTGGTGAAGGTGATCCGGTTCGCGCGAGACAGGCGCTGGGCCAGCTGCTCATAAACAGGGGCGATGGCTTTGCATGGTCCACACCAATCCGCGTAAACTGATATTTCAAGGCAAAGGTTAGCTGGGTGTGTTTACACGTTTCTGGCTCTGTCGTGTCTGGGTGGCGGGGGGTAGCCGCTAGCTTGCAACGATGAACGAGAAGCTCAGGCACAACTTACAGTCTGTCACGACAAAAGTAGAGGATCTCAGAATGCTATCAAACTGCTCCTTGGAGGAGATATTTATGGGCGTCGTTTCCATCGTGGGCGAGGTGTATGCAAGTGTGAAGAAAGGAGGGGGAATCGCAGGTGGGCTGCGGCGGGAGGTAAAGCTCAGCGGGGGCTGGGCAACGCTGTGTACATAACATGACTTTTCACCACCTACTCAATTGTCCACCTGGATGCGTATTTGATTCGAAGTGACTCTGTGTTTCGATTAAATGGGTTATTTTCGAGTTACCTTCCATTTTACCCTTGTCTTCTTAGTTTAAGAGATGTGCACTACTCAGGTACTTCACTACCAAAATAACTCATTTATATATAACGGAATGTGTCGAGACAACCAAAACAGAAAGCGACTAGTAGAATAGAATAGAACAGTGCTGGGAAGAGGCTATATATGAAGTAATATCCTCGACAACAATTATACAAAGTGTATAGATATCTTGAATTGAAAGCACATTCATATGCTAAGACAAGCCTGATGTCTCCGAGCACGCCTGACTCGAACCCCTTGCCATTGCCTCAACGACCAACGTATTTCTCGACCGATTAGACCACAGACAGTGTAGTCCAAATTGAACTTGAGCCTGTCAAATTGTTCATCTTGGGGGACACGCTCATATGACCCAAGAGATCGGTGAGACCGTCAGCCCGGGTCAAGCAGGTAGGCCTCTTGCAAATAAAGACCATATGTCGACACCGTATAAGCGTTGACTCGTCGGATCTCTTGGATTGGTTTCTCAGTTGTTTCTCACTTGAGAATAGTATACCGAGTAGCGAGATGTATGCATTTGACAACCCTGCGGTCTCGAAACCGGGAAACTGGCGACGCTGGGTGTGCCCTGTGCCCTCAAAAATCCAAAAAGAAAAGAACCAAAACATCTTTCGCCCTCATCCATCTTCGACGGCAAACAAAATCTTCATCCAGAGACTACATCCGCGACACCCGATGACGATCTCGCCATGCTCTGCCTCCCTTTCCAGATCGCTTTCGCGGACGAGGAAGCCTCTCTCGTCACCGCACCGGCAGCTGCGATACCAGCAAGTCTCCGTATCATCATTGTCCTCCTCGCCATCTTCGCACGATAGGTCTTCCAGATCGACAGTCTCCAATCCCGTGTGGAATATGTCTGCTGCTTTCTCGCGCCCCGCGGACTTTAAACGGTCGAGCCGGAGGGTCCGGTCGTACTCGGCGCGCAGGGAAGGGCTCGAAAGCGTTTTATACGCTGCTGTAATCTGGTCGATCGTATATGTTATTGAAACCGGATTTGCTGCAGTAGAGGCAGAGGCAGAGGCAGAGGGCGTTGCCTTCAAGTCGGTTTCCCCCGCTCCCGCTTTGTCAGGGTGATGCCTGAGTAGGGCACGGTGGTACGCCAGCTTGATCTGCTGATTTGAAAACGACTCGGCCGAGGTCTCTGGGAAGGGGAGATTGAGGATCTGGTAGTAGTCGTGTGCTGGATCTGTTCGAGTCATTTTGCACGGTTTTATTTTTTCTTCCCTCGTCTTCCGCTGTCCCTCTTTTCTCTTCTTTCCCCCCCTTCCTTTCTCTCCTCTTTTTTATTTTATATTAAAAAAACCCCTCGACATCATTTCATTCGTTGTTGGTTCGTTGTTGGTCGTAGAGAGGATGGGAAAAGTCGGTCGTGGACGGACGCCACTTCTCTTTCTCCCCAGGCGCGTCCAACCACTGCGGCCCAACGCTGGAATTGACGGACTTGCGAGGGTCTGAGGGCAGCGCATCCTTGCACTTCTCCGCATTTTCGATATGAGACCTGCTGGAAATACGGAGTAGTAGACTAGTAGGTCTCCCATTTTGATCGTATTTAGCGGGGTTCTTCCTGTTCCTAGAGTTCGCTTTGGTGGTACAAGAGTGCCAATCGTACTGACTATCTAGGTTGACGGACGATATCCTTCCTCGAGTCTTCCTGGTGCAAAAGTGACATTCACTATTCGGTACCTAGTACACTGCAACGCCCAGTTGCGTTGCGGTGATCATTCTAATACAGGGTGGGTGGGAAGATAGCACATTTGGGTTCACAAAAGCAGACGTGATCTGAGACATTCTAATCGGTTCAAAAACATACTGTGCCGGATATTGGGGATATGAGGAGAAGAACAAAGAAAAAGAAAAAAAAACCAAAAGAACCAAGGAGAAAGGGAAATAAAGGTACAAAGTCTATGGAGTGACTGCTCTTACGCCGAGCTCTTGAAGACGAAGCGGTCCTCAGCCTTGCTGGTGAAGGGGACGCCGAGCTCGAGAAGCTTGACATAGACGTCAGAGAACTCCTTGAAGAAGACATCGCTGTCCTTGGCGTAACGATCAACGTGCTGCTTGAACTCCTTGTCCTTGACCAGGGCGAGATCGGTGGGGAGCATCATGAGGGTCTTGGTGGTCTTGTCAGTGAATTGTTGAGGGCCGTTCCACTTGCGCTTCTCCCACTTCTCATCGAGGAGCAGCTTGTAGAACTCGTTGGTGAAGACGGTGGGGCTGAAGTCCCAGGGGCCATCGAAGCCCGAGCGGTCGGTATGGGCGCGGCCCAGGGCGTGGGCGCCGCACAAGGCGACAATCTCACGGTCGTCAAAGCCCATGCGGTAGAAGATGTCGCGGATGTGGCGCTGGTCCTTGGAGGCATCCGGCAGACGGCCGTCCGGCGTGCATGCGGCCAGGTCCCTGTCGGCACGGCCAGGTCTCCAAGGGATGACAGGGCCACCTAGCTCCTGGATGGCGCAGGAGCCGGCCAGGGTCCAGAGATCCGAGTAGGTGATCCAGGGGAACTTCTCTATATTATTTAACCCAGTGTTAGCCTACTGATCCATATTGCAATCAAACGAGGGGGGGGGGGGGGTTGACAGCACATACCCTTGACAGGCTCCAAGAAGTCTCTGGCGTGCTTCAGACCAGCATTCGCACCATGGTCGGACTCGGGGGCGAATCGCATCGTCGCTCCGTTACTTCCTCCAGTGCCCGTCTCCTTATCATAGGTACCGCTGGCGTGCCAGGCGAGACGAACAAGGACCTACATGATTTAGCCAGCGTTTTCTTGAAAAAATTTTTTTTGACGGGAAAGACACTTACCGGTCCATAGCTGCCGTCGTCGTACTCGTCCTTCTCAACCAGCAGGCGGGCAATCTCGTTGTACACCTTCTGATAGTCCTCCTTGGTGGGCACAAAGGGGCCGGTTGCCTTGACGGAGGCGTCGCCGCCGCTCAAGTAGAAGTAGGCGCCCGCGCCTCCAGCAACCGCAATCCCCGCCCAGAGCAACGTGTTGGAGGACTTGCCAGGGCCTGCTTCCGAGGCGTATCCCCGGCGACCAGCAGCTCGAGCACCGTGGGCAGGCAGAGCGAAGCGAGCGCTGCGAACACCCGGCCTGAAGGACGAGGTGGCCGGAGTGGAGCGAGCGATGGCCCGGGAAACCGTCCTGACAGCCGAGGCCATTGTGAAGGAGTGTGTAGAGATGGGTTGAAGGGGAGTTTGATAAGGGGAAACAGGAAAAGAACACAAGAGCAGGGGATTCAATGGGCGGAAAAGAGAAGACAGACAAAAGGAGGGTGAGGGAATGCAGGGGCTTTTAAGATAAAAAAGAGGTAACGTATCTTACAGAACTGCATCGCAGCTGTCTCCTCCCCCCCTCCCTGTCCCTCTCCCCAAAACACGCAGAACCGAGTCGAAGACACATCAGCAACCAATCACGGCGCTACGATTGGTGAGCTCTGGTCCCTCAACACCTCTGGACCGTTCCTTTGACTCAGCAAGCTGCGCGCACTCTCCGCATTCTGTCCCTCGGTAGTTGCTCCACCGATCACTGGTGAGGAATCAGAAGCCTCAGAAGCTCCGGATTTTCAGTCTACGAGTCTACGACTATCAGACAGTGGCTCGCTTCGCGTCGGCGGCGACCAGCAATCCACGGATTGGCGTCCCAGGAGTCGGCGTGGCGGCTGCAAGACGGGTGGTTTGTGTGGTGTACAGAGGAAAGAATAGGTGCAAGTACAGAGCATCCTCAGTTTTAGAATTATTCCTTCTTCCTGGATGCTGACGCTGGCAGACCGTGACAATATGACAGACGTCTTCGACTTCTTTTAGTCCTTTCCTCCGACCCCATCTCCAGACACCCACCCGGTCCACCATGGCGGAGTCGCTGCCTGCCGTTGGCCTCTTGTGTGCGTCGCGTTAGTAAACAACCGATTAGTCATCGTGAATAGTCTCGAGCGCCCAGACCCACCTTGATGCCTGAGGAACAATTGCTGTGGATACTGGGGAGAGAGACAGAGTTGGCCGTTGAGGTTGGGATGTCGGCAGCTGCTCTGTCCTGGATTGGATTGCTGAATTGTGAGATGGCTGTCTGGAGAGAGCTTGGGTATATACCCATGTATATGCCTTGGACTGAGGCGGTCTGCTCGTACCGTCTCACAGCCTTGTATTGAGCTGTTTTGCGACAAGTTCAATTCTCTGACGCATCATCTCCCGTATATGGAGGGACGATGGATGTCGCTGGTGCAAATTCACATGGACAATACAGGTCAACCGATGCTGGTCCTTACAATGCTCTACGTCTTCGATTCCTCTCCTGTCGTCAGCTACTGTGGAAGATCGATAGCAGGTTAGTGCCGCTTCTCTCAGTCTTCGTTTTGTCTTTTTTTTTTTTTTTTTTGGATCGATGAGGCAGGCATTGCCAATCGCCAACAGAGAATTGGGCTTCTTTTGTTCTGGTTGTCTTCTACATGACTTCCATGCTGTTTGAGATTCCCTCGAACATTGTCTTGAAGAGCCGAAGGTGCAGTATGCCTGCCTTTTACTCATACTAATCGGCATGTCTAGTCTCACCTCGTATATCTTAAACTCGTCCCTTCTCTTTTTCATTATCTAGTATCTCCTCCGTGGATGCCTTGCGTCCTGATCCTATCTGGTGGAAATCTGCCGGGCTGCGCATTGCCTTTTGCTGCGCCTCGATAGTCCTTTGCACACTGTACGCTGTCTATTAGCGACAGGCTGTCGATGTGCTGTACAGGGGTCAATCTTGCGGAGACGAGGATGCAACAGGGTGATTTGAGTGCTATACAAGCTCATAGTTGATCGAGTATCTGAGATATGCGGCGATCCCATGTAAATTTTGTCTCCGTAAAAAAAAATTCTCGAGTCTTCTATAGTATTATAGCATATATTTAGAATCCTAGAGTACACTGTACAAACTGTTAGTATTGACGTACTCTATACAAACACCATTGCTACCTAGGTACCTACATATCTCTGTATGAATACCCAAAGCAATGGAAGTCTGGGCAAACGGAGGGGGAAAAATCACAAAAGGACAGCATCCCCGCCGCGAAGACCCGACATGGGTGGGATCCTTCAACAAGAGAAGTGGCCTGCCTTTTTTGCTTTTACCTTATTTTGCCCTCTTCGACCGAGTTATCATGGAAACCAGTCGTTATATTTTTCAGACGAAGGGTAAAAGATATCTGCCTTGGGCATAATCGAAGGTAAGTAAGGCAGATTCCACCAGGCAACGAGAAATTGGCAATGCTGACTGTTATTGAGCAGGTGACCTCACGTGGTTTTGAACCTCCCGAGTCCCTAGTCCCCCTCCCTTTTCCAAGGCTTGGGTTTTAATACCTGATGGCTGCCTGTTGGCCATCTGGGACCAGGATTGGCCGGCGGACCCCTGCAAGACCACCGGCTGCTGGGAACGGTACGGAGTACTTTTTCTCTGGCCTAGATCCAGGCTAAAAGTCTCAAGGTTAAGCTTGATTCCGGCCGAGGTAGGCTGGGACGAAACAAGGGCCTCAATGCTGGATCCGTTGACAACGATTGTGGAACCCTTCTGATCGCTTCTAGCAGGTACCTAATCTCACTGCCTCAACGTTATGTCCACAGATAAGCGTGTTGTTTTTCACCCGCCACCCACTCGCCCTGCCACACCGGGTGTGAAGGAGATGACTCTGGTTTTTTCACCCTCCAGGGTGCCTTGTTCGCCTTGCCGGAGCGAAAGCAACGAACCACGGGGCAATACGGTCTCTCAGCCCCATCTAGGGACTGTTGAGACGATCCCACGTCAGTCGGGACGAAAAAGTGACGGTGCAAGCTTCACTTTGAAGAAACGCACGGTTGTTCCTGGTTTGCTGGACTATGAACTTGCTGGTCTATCCCAGCACCGGTGGGTGCTGGGGCACCACTGAGCGAGATGGATGCATAAAACCAAGGTGGCGACCCTGGAGCAAGGATTTCCTGGATGAAAACCGAGTAATCTTCGTCTATCTTGGCTAGCATCGTACGCTAAGATGTCCTTCAACCAGCAGTCGTTTGATCCGTCCTGGTTTTTGCCCTCCGCCTCGTCATCGGGGCCAACAGAACCGATGCAGGCTTTCTCTGGTGTCGATCGGAACGAATATGCTCACCAGCAACGGTATGTGAATCCACCACCGGATGTACTGAGAGCGGCTACATACCAGACGGTTCCCCAGATGATGGCGAGCTATGAAAACGAGCCTATCGCGTACGATGGTGGTGATGCTGGTTCCTCCTCCCAATATATGTACCGAGCTCGGATAGGTCCCCAGAGCATGAGGCGGGAATGGAGTCATGGGTCTTTGGCGGCCAGCTCGAGCTCTGGGTATACCAGCTCACAAGGGATGGCGGTTTCGCCGTCGTTCTGTGGGAACGATGAGTCGCTAGCCATGAGTGACTGTGGAAGTCCTTTCGGCGAGTTTCAAGGCGAGGAGCAGCAAATGCTGGGCGAACCCTCGTATCAACCGGGCGTTGGCAGCCAGGCTATTCCGAGAACCATGGGCCAAGGTAAAATGTCGTCTTAAAAAGAAGATGTAATTTTTGTCACGAGCTAATTCACGAGAAACAGAAATCCCGGATATCGACCCTCAGCTTTTGGCCTGGGAGAGCGGCTTATATCAGTTTCAGGCACCGGAAGAGGACGAGCCATTGGCCAGCATGGCCCTGGCCGGAGATCCTGCAAGGCAAACATGGGCACACTTGTCATACAGGGATGGTCCCGGAGTCTCAAATCAAGGAGAGGCACTCTCCTATGGAGGCTTCATTGAGACTGGACAGTTGCAGTATCAACAACCGAGAACTTTGAGTGCTCACCAATCCCCAGTCATCCAACGCAGTATACATGCTAGTGATGAATTGGCCGGTGGCTCGAGCCATGTACTGGAGAGCCAGCCCCGTATCAATTATAGTCTCCTCCACGCTCATGTTGTGCCAACGAGCATCAGGAAGCAGAAGAAGGGTCGTGGTGGACGGCAGCCTGGCTCTCACCTGCCGGCCGATGATGCAGCAAATGCACGTTCTGTGCGGGGTGTGGGCTCATGTTGGCGGTGCTCCTTTCAGAAAACGAAATGTTCAACGCATATGACGTGTTCGACCTGCAGTGCCATTGTTAATTTCCGGACCTGGCCCCTAGGGTGTGAGCGCCGGTCCATCAAGGATATGTTACGGAACTCTCTTGTTCCAGGTGAGTAGAAAAACCCGGCATGGAGTCTAGCAATGGTTGAGGATCCACTGTTCTGATATCTTGTGGTAATTCGAGAAAGATTGCTTTGAGAGTCGTCTCACGAAATCTGCGGTACTAGAGTTTGTCAAGGATACCGTCCAGTGTCCCACTGGCAAGAAGTTTCCTCTCACGCTCAACGCTGGCTTTGGGAGGGACTTCACTCTGTGGGGATGGGAATTCAAGCCGAAAAACGACGAGACGGTGAGATTCCATTCGATCTCCGTCAACGAAGAGACAGGACTTCAGTCCGTTCGGAGCCCGCCCTCGCGTGCCTTTACAGTCGCATTTGACAAGGCCAATCTCTATGCCACGTTTACAAGACTGAATGCCTGGGCGATGGAGACGCTGCAAAGCCCGCAAGCCATCCAACAATGGCTTCGCAGTCTCTTTCCTCACAATCAGCCCTCATGGGTTGCCTCGGCGATCGACAGTCTGTGGCAATTCTCATACCAGAGTGGGATCTTCCAGAAGGAGGCGCCCCCCGGCAGGGGGAGGGAACCGAATGTTATCTTGCTGAAGGCGTGGAAGATGGCCATGCTTGTAGTGGCATTGACCAATTTGATCTATATCCCCTCTGACGCCGGTGCTTCGATCACCCAACACCTGCAATGGGGCCCAACGCATAACGCGAGCGATCGGATCTCCTCGCGGCTGACAAACAAGATCATCAAGTTCGTGCTGCTGGCACACTACGGGCGGCTGGTGGACGAGGTCCTCGAGGGGCTGGACTATCTTCTGCGAAACCAGGGCCAGTGGAAGCACGCCTTCGGGGTGACCCTGCTGTGTGTGTTGGTGAGCGGGCGGATGCAGGAAGCCCAGACGGACAACATGCTCGTGGCGCGGCGGCATGGGGAGGACATCCGGGCGACGACGCGGGCGGCGGTGCAGGAACTGGAACAGGGCATCACGACGGTGACCAATCTGTTCCATCTGAAGTACCGGACGGTCCGGGGGGCGAGTTCGGCGCAGAACCCTTTCCGCCCGGGGTCGACGCTGGTGAAGGAGGATCCTCACCTCCAAGCGCTCATCCAGCAGATCGAGGGAGCACGCCGGCAATGGAGTCCAAGTAGGTAGGTCCGTCTACGTGAATTGTACAGGAAAGTCGAGCTAACCGACAGTCCGGTGCCCGCCATGGACACTCGACGACATGACCGAGGAGAAATTTGCGGCCTTGAACCTTTCGCGGCTGCTGGATGGGTTTCTGACCCCGTTCTTCCACAAGCCACCTGGGCCGAAACGGCGATAACTGGGATGAAAATAGGTACAATTTTTATTTTATTTTTAAATAAAACCAAGTAACTAGATGTCCGTCGTAAAAAAGTCCTCCTGTTCGATTGCAGCGAACAGAAGGGTGGAGTAGACGCAGCTCTGCTAAAAACTGGGGATTTCGATCTTCCACTGAACGAACTGTGCGTGCATTCAAGCCATGGAGGGCCAGATGCGCACGGCGTGGTTTATCATCAACTAGATTTAGGAATTGTATCCGTCGAGTCCTACATATAGACTCGATAGAAGAGAGTACACAACCACTTTAGAATTGTGATGGTTGATGTGATGGTTGAATAATTGTCTAAGCGAAGAGAAGAAGAAGAAAAGAAAAGAAGAAGAGAAGAAAAAATAAGAGGGAATCAACGACGGAATTATATTCCTCCTCTCCGGGCCTAATCCCGACTAGCGCCCACATGACACGCCGGTATTTGACCGAATCTTTTCTTCCGCTCGCCTTCTGCTTCTGTTTTTTCTCTCATTACACTTCATAACACGAACGCATAATCAACCTCCAGATTTCTTTCATCCATAGGGTGGCAGGTCATATTGGCGTACTAGATGGACACTGGGCACATGGTGGCTTTGCACTGTCTCGAGGAGTTTCGATTCCTTGCTGGTGTGGCGTCACCTGCTGCTCAGACATTCTCCTAGAGTATTTACGGAGTAGAACTGGTATCTCGTAGTTTCTGTACTCTGTCCCTATCTACAGTACTCAGTACTCAGTACTCGGTACGGATAGCAACGCGAGATATCTGATACCCCTTTCGTATCACTTGGGTGATACGACTGATAACTATCCCAATAATTGCTCTATTATTATAGCATACGTACGGCCGAGTGCTCGTACTTCTATTGATAGTTCGTACTTTGTCTCAGTCTCCTTAACTGCCTCCTTCCGCCAAACGGTCGGGCGGTTTTTCCCCCCACCCGGCGAACTCTCGCTCAGGTACTCCATACTCTAAGGGGACGGTGAATTACTTGATATGGTATAGTGTTCCTATTAGGGGAAAGCGCGTCTTATATGTCTTAATCTTGATGTCTACTCTATAAACTTAAGCTGCCTACCTTAAAATAATAATATACTTTTATATTCTACTTTTTACTTTCCCCTCCTTTCTTTCTGCCTTCCTTTATTTTATCTTAGCTACTATATCTACTATACTACCCCCTTATCTTCCCCTCTTTAGGTAATTTATAAGCTGTTTAACTAGAGCATTTTTAACCTAATGTGACATTATTACATCAGGTTTTACTCCCTACTATTTTTTATTATGTGCTTTTGCCTAATATTACTTTAAGGACTTACTTAGATTCTAACTATGGCATTCTTTACCTTTTTGACCCTTTAAGCTACCCTTTAAGCTTCTTATTATATTCTTAAAGCTGTCACTGCTATGCCTATAGACTTTTACTACCTTAGGTAACCCTAACAGCCCTAGCTAATATTTAGATGTAATATATCGCGTCCACTGTCAACACTAATAGCAAAAATATTATATTATTAGATATAATCTAGATTAGGTTAGTTAATTAAACACCTTATTGCTTCTACTATGTATATTTATCTTATCCCCTAATATTAAATAATTAGTAATTACTCCTTTTAAGTATAAGAAAATTTAGACTAGTAATGAACTAGTCAGCTACAATATCCCTAATAAGCATCTAAATATAATATATTATATTCACTACTAAAACTAATGACAAAAATGCCGCAGTGTTGAATATAATCTAGATTAGGTTAGTTAATTAGATATCTTATTACTTCTACTATATATATTTATTCTCTAGTATTAAATAATCAGCAATTACTCCCCTTAAGCATAATAAAATTTAGATTAGTAATATACTAGTTAGCTATAGCAATATACCTGTGCCATTATACTAGAAATAATCACCTCTAATTAGAGAGGTCTTGGCCATGTAGATGAAAAAGAAAAGGCATGATTAAGGGCGCAGCCTAAAAGCAGTAAGTAAGGCACTAAAATATAATTAACTACTAATAAAGACCTAAATATATCTATAATTAATGCTGTAGAAGGCCTTCTATTTTAGGCCTTATAAATAGTATTCCCTATCTCCCCTATAAGTAGAATGTAAGCTTTCTCTATTTATATTAAAGTAGAGAATAGCCTAGAGTAGAATAAGAAGAGTATATTACTAAATTATTTAATATTAGGCAACAGATGGCCTAGAGAAAGTAGAAGAGATATATATAGATAGATAATAATAATAGTGATAGTAATAATGATCTAGGATGCACACAGGTAAGAGAGAAAAGGCAAGTAGGATAGCACTAAGTTTAAGTAGATAGACACCTTTAATATTTAATAAAGATTTAATTATAGGGAAAAATATTTAAGAGACCTTAAAAAGCTATAATATTTATACTAGTTATAATATTTATTACTGGCTTGGTTATACTTATCCTTTACTAGTGAAATTTAGATCTCTTTTAGTATTGTTGTAGAGCACCTATACTCTTAAAGCTTCTAGAACTCTAATTATAATACTAATATATTAGATATAAATATAGTGATTAGTAACTATAGGACACTAACCTA